CCCGGTGTTCCTGTCTCAGATTCCATCTGGCCTCTCGACGCTTGCCCCTTTTCCCACACAACCTAATAAATTATAGACGTCTTATCACAGCTTCTATCCTAATCCTGCTGGGGACCCAATTGCTAGAGTGTTTTCTGCTCTAGTTCCTCGTCCTCTCGCTTTACAAGTCCCTTCACAAGACACCGCGCCATTATATGTAGTACCAACGACTTGGCTAATCAAGCCCTACCAACTTTGGACCGAAACGATATACTAATACGAATATCATTTCTTACATCTCCAAAGACTGGAACATGTATTCTCCTGGCAGAACAGATAGTCCATCTTACATACGCACTGGGTGCATATAACCGTGTCAACAAAATCCCCATTGCACACATCTCCGCACCCCGCTATTTGCACGTCGTCGTGTCTAACCATGTTGACATGTTTGTGGCCGGCAGGTTCCGGGCCGGCGTTAGGCCAAGGATCCTGCCCCTGGTGCATGAATTCCAGGTCTAGAGGGCCCGACTTGTCCTGAAATTCCTGGACCGCAGTCATGAACTCGGTGAATTCCTTGGGATTTTGCTGTGCAAAAGAGCCGTCAAGGGAGCCGTTCAGGTACATGCAGTAGCGACTAGGGGTGTAGGCGTAGAGGCCATTGGGCCCAACAAAAGGCCAGCGGCTTGGTTCTCTGGTGGTTTCGAGCGTGTCGTAGGACACTTGAGTGCAGTTGAGGCTTGCCCAGGACGCCGCTTGCGAGACGCGAGGCAGAAAGAGGCATAAGGAAAGAATGATGACTCGGCAGCTTGGACGGGCCATGGTGATTCGTAGTGCCGGCTCGAGTGTGTGCAGTTGTAACGGTGAAGCAGCTACTCCATCACCCAAGGCAGACAGACATGGATTAATATATGAGTTGACCAGGGCCGCTAAATGGATGTTGGGGGCGAGTTGTTCCCATTTCAGGCATCTGCAAGGAGGGCCAGGCGGTTGCGAGAATAAGGCAAGGCATACTCAACTCCTGTCCCCGCCTTTGGTACCGCCCTACAGGCTAATTGCCAGGGCCCGTTGCCGACCGGAGTGCCCTTTCCGCCTCCCACATGCTGCTATACGTGCGGGGGCAAGCGTTACAACCGAGTCGTGATATTGCCCGTTGACGGCGCAGCAATTAACCGTCAAGGTACGGTAGTTGACGAGCGTCTAACAGCAACAAATTGTTAACGGATAACAATACGTAGGTAAAGAGACAGTTTCTTCGCTTATAATGCTGTCCGATATTCCTCTCCCACTCTCCACTCTCTAATTGATAGCTCTGCGCTTGCCGTGTGCGAACACACACTGCAGTCCAGCTAATTACATCTTGCGCCATATTCACAGCTTGCGTCCAACCCAACCGTCGCCTTCACAGCCATGACCTTCAATTCTAACCCATCGTCCAGGGATAAATGCAAGCAAGAGTTTGACGAGAAACAAAGTGACCAGCCACCTCCACGGCAACGATCATGGAAACGGAATACAAGCATGTACGTCATTAGCTCCTGAAAGGCTAAGGGAACCATCTGACATTGACTGACGACTTTTCAAGGAGATCAAGCGGCAGTAGTCAACTTAAAGTTCTCCATAGTGAGAGGAAGAAAGGAGTTCTCATCGAGTTCCTAGTTTTCCATTCCTTACCCGTCTCTTTCGTCCTTGTTCTTTTTGGGCTACATCTCGGCAATATCTATTGGCGTCCACCAACCCCCAGCAGCAATGTCCTCAGTTCCCTACAGTTCGTGGCCAAGGCTCATGAAGCCCTCATCATAACGTCAATGTCCACAATTCTCCTTCACAACATCCGGTACCGACTCCTCGTCTCGTCATCGTCCGGCATACCGTTGGGCATGGTCACGGCCCCGTTTCGTCTCAGCTCTGCTGCGCCTACATACCTAGCAAGCAGCGAGTTTTGTTCGTCTCTGAAAGTGAAAGAATGGAGGCATCTCTCAGCAAAGGACATAACCACTACGGCACTTATCGTCTACTTATTCATTATGGCACTCTTGGCTGGTCCATCAGTAGCTATCGCTATCTTGCCGAACCTGTCGACCATGCCTTACCCTGAATCTTTCTCGACTATCCAATCCGAGATAGGGGGACTTCAGGGGCGCTATCTCGATTTCTATAAGGGCTGCCAGTTCGCCGACATCTATCCCACCGTTGTCAATGCTTCGTTTCTTGATGGAAGCCAGTGCGGACCATCGCAGCCTGACTGTCCTATGAACGCCATCCGAGAAGTGCTCAAGCAGTCCTACGGAACATACCTCACGAATCTAGTCGACTTCAGCACCTCCCACAATACTACCATCCGGGCCGAGCAGACGATCCGTTCCAGGCTGCTAAATTCGTTCATCTTCGAGACCCCGATTGATGCAGGCCCGGATTTCAGATACGAGAAATACGACGTGGAGGTGGCCTACGCCACAACCCCACTAAGGTCTCTCAGCGTCAACATGGGGCTGCTAACCCCCCTAGTCGGGAGATGGCTGCGATCTAACGGACGGAACTGGCCAGTGCGCATCGCATCCACGGCGAGCGACTCGACGGGCACCTCGCTGTGGAAGCAGCCCTTTGTCACGACGCACTGCTCGTACGGATATCGTCCCCGACAATCACCCGACAGCAACAGGACCACCACCACCACCACCACCACCCACGACGACGGCGCCACCACATTCGGCTTTCTCGCCTCAGACAACTCGACCATCGCCGTCAGCCTGGCCCCTGGTACTATCACACGTCCATCCCAAAACACGTCCAGCACGACCATGGTGCCGCGCACAAGCCTGACCTCCAGCCCCACCATCGACTTTTCTTCGGCTTTAGCCTTTCAAACTAGCAACAACGCGACCACCTTGTGCCTCATCAGCGCGCAATGGCTCGAAGCAGCCGAGACCTTCAAAACGCTTCTCCAACCAGGAAACATCCCCGACTCTACGCTCGCCGAGCCCAACCTCGACCTCCACCACCACCACATCAACAGCAGCAACAACAACAATAACAACAACAACAACAACAACAACAACAACAACAACAACAACAACAACAACAACAACAACAACAACAACAACAACAACAACAACAACAACAACAACAACAACAACAACAACAACAATAACAACAACAGCAACAACAATCCAGTCCTCACCATCACGCAAGACTGGCTACAAACTTTCGACCAGGGTAACGAACCCTTCCCCTCATCATCAGGCTACTTTTCCAACCTTACAACTATCTGCGCAAGCAGCCTCCCCCCGCCGCATCCTCCGGACCCTGCATGTCTCGCAGCGGGCCTATCGATGGGACTCGCCGAGGGCCTGTCGCAGGCTATGGACGCGTTCGATACCTTCTATCTCTCCTCTTCCTCCTCCTCCGGGACGCGCACGCTCTACAAGCTGCAGTCGAACGCCGATCTGGACGACTTGGAACTGGTCAGCGAGATCTCTTCAGGGGAGGATGCGCAGCTGGCGGGGTACACGCACGTGCAATTCGCCATCACGCACGCGGTGTACGCTTATACATTTGGTGCAAATGGGAGCGGAGGAGGAGAAGGAGGGGCAGGGGTGACGGTGTACCTCGCGTTCACGGTGCTGTTCCTGTACGTGGTGACGGTGGCGGCGCATGTGATATTGCTGCTTTGGGTGGGTAGAACGTGGAGCAGTAACGCGTGGTCGAGTCCGGGGCAGCTGCTTGCGCTTGCAATGCGGGGGGCGGCGGCGAGTGATGATGGGGGGGGGGAGGTTTGAATGGGGATAGGAATGGTGACTTGATGAGGGAGAACTTGAAGAGAGATTGGGTTTGGACTCTTCGGGCGGTTGTCGAGGAGGTTGAGCCCGCCGGGGAGAGTGGGAGTGGGAGTGGGAGTGGGAGCCCGGGGTCTGGGACTAGGGCCGTGTGCGCGGGCTTGGTGGTGAGGGATCATCGTCATTGTCGTGGCGAGGGTGGGGAGAGGGGCGGGGATGGGGAGCAGAGGCGGCTGACCAAGGCGGATCGGCTTTATACGTATCCGTAGATTGCTTTATGTGTATATGATGTAATAGTGTGCTAGGTTTCCATATTGCACAACTTTTGGTGCCACCGAGGTTGATTTGCTAAACGAGAATAGGGCTTCGACGTTGTACTACCGAGAAAGAAGTCAGGGGCTAGTGTCACGGCAGGGCCAAAACCCGCTGGTTGGGCGCATCGGTTTTAGGCTTTGTGGCTCGTGCACTCTTGCAGGATCTCCACTCTCTGCGCCCACAACTATTTCCCCACGGCCGCCCGGTATTACAAACCACTCGACTGTTAGGGTCGTCTGTCTGTAAGGGAGCACGGGCTCCACAGAATGCTGGGGCTGGTAATTATGAAGATAGAACAAAGGGCAAGCTCCTATCGCACGGGTAATACAGTCAAATCGGAATGCCACTCAAAATGTATGAGTGCAGCGAATGTGTATTGCTTGCTTGAAGAACCAAGCAAGAACTATCTAAGACCGTGGCTACGGTCGTCATATATATCTATCTAAGGCGGACCAATCAGAGTCCTTCTCCAAAAGTCAGAGCGATCACTGCGATCAGTCCACACTGATCGCACTGATCACACTGACCGCTTCCTGACTGGTTGACCGTCCTGCTAGTGGTGGTCAGTCGGGCCTTGGCGGCCCGTCGTGACTGACCACCTCCTGGTTGGCTGCACCAGCCCCTAGGTGGGTCTACCCCACCTGGCTGCCCCAGCCAATCTGCAGGGGGGCTCAAGGCGCCTCCTGCACACCTGTGCCAGGATCGTAACAGTGCAGCTTTAAGACACGTCAAGCGCGCAGGGGTTCGACAGAATACTAGCTTAATTATAGTAAGAATAGAAGTATAGTGAGAGGAGGAATGTAGTAGAGAGGAAAAGTGGTGAGAGGAGTAGATAGGGGTAGAAGAACGACAACGCTAAACTATAATACCAATTTTTAGTCATGATAGAATATATTCTCCTTAATTCTCAAGTCTTCAAGTAAGAACCGGTCTCAATCACGCCTTGACTAATTCTTAGGATCTTTTTCATCAGCTCGATATACGTACTAGTCTTAAATTCATCTGGGGCTCATATGCAGTCTTGCTAATGCATTTTTCGCCAAGTCTCGTGCCGACGATGTAGAATCAGGAGAAGCAGGATGGTAGGAATCATGCGCAGCAATGTACACGGGGCGCGCCGTCCACCTGGAGTGGTCGCTATCGGCGGAAAAGTCTGGCTCCTCCCTCAGTGCCCCTATAATCCTCCACTGGCGCTAAGCCTGGAAGGAAAGGCCGGCACCCGTCAGGGATGCCAGTTCCTAAACTAACCGGTCTCAACTGACGCCCCTTCTAATCGACAATCCCGGCTTGACCGGCTTCCTTGCTGGGGGCGGTCATTTTCTGGGAAGGTGTTGCGGCGGCCTGGTTATCCGCAGCTCATTTGCTGATCAAGTCTGGTGTTTGCTTTTTCGTATTGCTGGTGAGGGGTGAAATGGCACTCAACCAGGGCATTCTTTGCTAGGAAGGCATCTGCTTCAGTACTGTTTAGATTGCTCCTGCATTATCAAATTTGGAACTAGTTACACAACTGATCGGGAGGGCAAGAGGCGAATCCAGGGATTGTAGAAGCTTCGATCGCCATCCTCTAGGACAACTAGTTCTTTCGGGAATAGGAAGTTATTCTCAAGTCAGTTTTTCAGTTGTGGTGGGCATTTTAATCAAAAGGCTCACTTCAAGTGACCAGTCGACCTCTCTAAGGATTGGCTAAGGGGAAGAGTTCCGGTGCTAAAGGCGGACGAGACAAATTCCAAAGGCCGACTGGTAGCTTGTCTCGTCGGATCACAAAGGCAATAATGTCCAGCGTGTCAAACTGGAAGGCCAGAGGCCCACGGAAATCAGCCACGTTATTGTTTGTTCCCGCTTGAGTCCGTCCTATTACAAAAACCGTTTACGCATACTCGGGCTTTTTGTCAGCCCATCTTTTAAGCCCCTTCCCATTGTATAAGTAGACTCTTTCGAATCCAGTCGGTGCCAAAACATCGCGGGAACGATCTATACGGGGGTTTCATTCCAATTCTTAGGCCGCAAGTCTTGGCGGGTAACTTCACGGCTTTCTCAGATTCCACTCTGAAGCGGAAGCTAGTCCTATGCATGCATGAGACAGAAATCACCTCTCTTTGTCAGATATGTTGATAAGCCAGGTGCCCAAAAGGGTCCTGTGAGAGAAGGTGACGGTGAACGCCTTAGTGGGCATGCAACGTGCATGAGCACTGCCTCTTTCACGTTCGTGCAAACTTGTCCCTTGCTGAGGTTGCCTTGTAGTGGAGCCTCTCCTCTTCCGAGTTGCCCCTGATCATTCTTTCTTCCGCCGGTTTCCCCTTCAACGAGGACTGCTGCCTGGTCTGTAGCGGTTCGTATATCCGAAATCAGCCGCCCCCGAGCTGAGGAGTAAGCTAATTCCTACATCGGCGGTGGCAACATCACCTCGAACAGTACTCTGCTATGAGAGAAGGCAGGTACGCCGGATCAAGGTGGTCACAATGAAGGTAACAAGAAGTGCGAGCAATGACTGGTATTGGGGGAAGACTTCAACCTGGCCCTCGCAAAGGAAGGGGGCGAGGGCCGCTTATTTATATACATGCTTAGGAGCTCAGTCCTGCATGTGCTTGTGAAAGCTTGTGGGTTGTGGCGCCTTAGCGTGGCTTAGTGGCTTGTGCCAGCAGGCAGTGGCCTGGCCAGTTGGTGCTCTTCCTTTACATCTGCCTCGTCATCACGCCGTATTATCTTCGAAGGATGAACTAGGTAATCACTAGCCTGGACAAGGTAACGTATATTAGTGTGACCTTCTAGTTTTATATTCAGTGTCAAAAGTCGGAAGTACCTTGTCCGCTTCTTCAGCTTCAAGCACACCCAAGTAAAACAGGCATGAATTATACCTGGGTGGGGGGTGGTATTAATTCGACGCATTCATGCCAATGTAACTATTAGTTAGGGCTGCAGATGCAAGGAGGCACTCGATAGTCGGGGGAGAGGGACCGTTACGTGCATGAACTTGAGCTGGAAATAGTTCCCGGATAAGTCGACTGGAAATCCACAGCCATTGCATGGAAATATTGGCCTTATGTGGCTGGTCCTGTGTAAGGAAAGGACACCCCAAACACCAGCCGCGCGCACAGGGTGCGCGCTCACCACCTGTTACCAACTGGCCAGAACACTGCCAGTTGGCACAAGCCACTACGCCACGCCATGGCGCCTGAGCCCCTGAGCACGTATATAAACAGTGGCCCTCGCCTACCTTCCTTTGCGAGGGCCAGGTCGAAGTCTCACACCAATACTACTCATTGCTCGCCCACCTTCTTACCTGCATTGTGACCACCTTGATCCGGCGTACCTGCCTTCTCTTACATCCTGTAATTCGATCTTCTCTGTCACGGCATGGCGCATTGCGGGTTCCTTATCGGGTCCCTTATCGCTAGCCGTATGACATCAATTCTAGACTAAGCCCGAATAAGCTTAGTTTCCCCGCGCCACGTGCACCGAGCCCCGCGCCCACAAACCTCAATCGCAGCCTTCGCGATTCTTTCCCTTTTTCCTTTTCCATTTTCTTCTCATTTCCTATTATCCGTGACATTCCCCTCATAAAAAGTGGCCGTTGTATCATAATCGGCAATGCTGGGAACATGTTACGATCCTGGCTCAGGCGTGCAGGAGGCTGCACGGGGCGGTCCGCCATTGGCCGACGCAGGGCTGCGGGGTGGTTCCTCGCTGGGACCGAATGCAGCCAATAAGGGGCAATCAGGGTGCTCAGGGCACTTCGGGGCGCTCAGTGCGCTCAGTCGGGACTGAGCGCGGTCCGGGACACTGAGCGCACTGATCACCTAGGACCAACGCTCTGATTGGTCCGCCTTGGATGGATATATACGACGACCGTGGCACCGGTCTTAGATAGTTCTTGCTTGGTTCTTCAAGCAAGCAATACACATTCGCTGCACTCATACATTTTGAGTGGCATTCCGATTTGACTGTATTACCCGTGCGATAGGAGCTTGCCCTTTGTTCTATCTTCATAATTACCAGCCCCAGCATTCTGTGGAGCCCGTGCTCCCTTACAGACAGACGACCCTAACAGTCGAGTGGTTTGTAATACACCCCTCTTCAATTCAATGGCATTCAACCAATTTTGAATCTATGACATAAAAAAACATCATTCTGTAGAGAATTGACCTATATATTAGTACCGACGTTTTTTAACTATCCAACCCGACCTGGTAGTAAGCTGAGGGGATTCAGGTGATACTCCAACCTCAATAACTGAAGCGATTTCTCCATCCGAAGCAACCTCCTCCTCTGGATCAGAATCCACCACAACAACCTTCCTTTTGTTTCCAACTTCTGGAATCGGTCCACCAGATGCTAATGCTTCGCCCAAACTCATAAACCGCCTGTTTGGATTAGGGATAGCTCTTCTTTTCTTCCCTCTCTTCAGCTGGGCTACTTCTTCTTCCAAGCTAGCAATCCGAACAGCATGTGCCGCCAATGTCTGCTCCTGAGTCTCAAAGCCTTTGGAAATTACAAAATAACGCCTTCGTGTTGTAGGAGACTTATTCTTTCCAAGATCACGAACTTGGCGGCTAGTATATGGCGTATCATCTGAGCCCAAATAAGGACCAGTGTGACGGCCCGCCTTACGCAGTAGGGATGTCAATGGTTGAAGGCAGCAACGAATGTGGATTTAAAGCTAAGGAAGAGAAAGGAATCTATCGCCGGGTCCGCGCAGGGCGCGGAGAAATAGGTAGTGGTGCTCAGTGCGCACAGGCCACACCCTAAGCACAATGCAGCCAATAGAATCAATCCTGTCACATGAGCCCTGTGGCGACCGTGACAACCAGGTTCTGGAGTTGTCTTTTTGACCTTATCCTCTTGGATTTCTAGATGTCGTAGCGCCTTTGAACGTGAAATAGGCCAATTTCCAGTCACTCTCCATCCGGAGAGTATATTCTTCTATGTCATTCCAGTCTCACGGGCCTTTGCGTAAGCTCTAATAAAGTCGACTTTATCAATAGGTGTAGAATCTGTCAAAACGGCCAGCTTTTCAAGCTCTTTTCGATAAGCTGCTTTGGAGGCATTAAATACCCCATTATCAAGGGGTTGGAGGCCATGTGAGCAATGAGCAGGGAGATAACAACAATAAATGTTGTTCAGAAAGCATGTACTCATCCACTCATCCTATTTCCAAATTAGTGATATATTTAATGATGTAGATTGATAACTTACGGTTGCATGACCTCCATGACCATCAAGGATGATCAATCGAGCATCAGACTCATCGGCAGGCTGTGTTTGAGGTATATAAACACTCTCAAGCCACTCAATAGCAATGTGGTTATCTGTCCACCCATTAGGTGAAGTGATGTAATACCAGTCGGCTATTTTGCGAAACTCATTCAGAAACCATTGCTTTTGAAGCTCCTGCCTATGAATATAATGCCAGGAGTTAAAAGACGGCCGTCGGCAGTAACTGCCTCGATGAATGAGGTCCAATTTCGAGATTGAGGTCCTTTGAGCAGAGCTTTTTGTTTTGGATCTGCACTGCCAACTGCCAAGTTGTCGAAGCCTAGGAAAAGGATTAGTCAGTTAGATCTTTAAATAAAGGCGTTTGAACTTACCGAAACCAGTTAAAATACCTCCTTCATCAACATTGACAGTGTTCTCAGGCTTGATCTAACCGTACTCTTTTTCCCTTATATCAAAGTACCAATGTACTGCTTTAGGTGTGAATGAATCGAATCTGTTGGCCTCTTGGCGTCTCCAAACCTTAGCTTTCAGTTCTGGGCGGCGTTGGATAAATCTTGACACCCAGTTATGTCCTAGTTCTGGTTTGAGGCCTTGTTGTTTGAGCATGGCCAGAACACAAGCGCGGATCTGACTGTGATGGAGCGTAGCCCAAAGACTCCTGAAGAAGGATCCAAGTAGATAATCTACCTTCTTGGCTCCTAGTTAGAATGCTTCCAGGCTGCATCTAATCAGCTGTGGCTGTTTGACCCCGAAGCCTGTCAGAAATCGTTGCCTTAGGTATTCCCCACTTCTCACCAGCTTTGCGTACTGACATCCCATTTTCTGTGATCTCTAGGATTGCTTCAGCTACAGAATCTTCTGTGTAATCCCAGTGGGGTTTTTTGCGAGGCATATCTGTAAGGTTGTGGGTAAAAACGGAGGAAGAAAAGAGAAGAAAGCAAAGGAGATCAAAGGTCAAATTTGAAAATTTTGCAACACCAGGGTGGCACGGACCAGTAGCTGAAAATCGTCAACACTTTATTGAACGTAAATTCTAGCTATTACTTTATATATAAGAGGTTACGATTTGTAAATTGCTTCAAAACTGGTTGAAAGCCATGAGGTTGAAGAGGGTGGATTTTGTATGGGGCGCAGGCAGTTTTGCTGTCCGAAAGGGTGGGGTGTCCGAAAGGGTGGGGTGTCCGAAAGGGTGGGGTGTCCGAAAGGGTGGTGGGGCATGGTAGAAAAGACAACTAAAGTGTAAGGAAAGAGCACCCCAAGCCCATGTCAACGCGCGCAAACCTTGTGCGCGCCCACCACCTGTCACCAACTGGCCAGACCACTGCCAGTTGGCACAGCCACTAAGCCACACCATGGCGCCACGTCGTCATAGGGAACGGAGCTTCTGAGCATGTATATAAACAGCGTGTTACGATCCCGGCTCAGGTGTGCAGGAGGCGCCGTGAGCCCTCTGCAGATTGGCTGGTGCAATCAGGAGGGGCGGGCCCCTCCACAGGATTGGTGCAGCCAGTCAGGAGATGATCTGTGGAGTCTTTGTGATCTGTGGGCTTCGGCCTGACAGATCACTATGTCTCCGCAGATCACTCTGAGCAGGACTCTGATTGGTCACTCATAGTTCTAAATAGGGGAGCTGGAGAACACTCCTTCTGAGTGCTCCCCAGCTATCAACTTGCACACTGTTTCCATCATTGCTTGATAACAGGTAGAGAGTTGGACTCTCGCAATCTGTGCATCCTTGGTACTCCTTACCGCTTGTCAATTGCCTAAATGGCATACTGCCCTCTTCAGCTTACCCACCCAAACCCACATCAATCCCAGGCTCACCACCCACCGAGCCCGGCCCCTCTGGTGAACCCTTTGTTCAGATTGTAACACAGCCCCCTAGTAAGTATTCTATAGTACCTCAACAATCTCTAGAGATCCCTAAACGTCGACTTTGACGTGCCGCCCCCAAACAACTCACCCCACCTCCTTCACTCCCTTCACTCGCCTACTCACAAATAATCGCCCCTTCATGTCGTCATCAGAGCTGTCGTCGTCCGATCAGCAGCAGCCGCCGCCGCCGACGACGAGATCGATCGGCAGCGGAGAGTGGGACGCCCTCTCCCCCGAGGCTAAGATCAAGTGGCTTCTGGGCGACAGCACCGAAAAGTGAGGCTGGGTTATCTACCCGTGCGCCTACGCGCCCGCCCTACCCAACGCCGACGTGCAAGGGGCGCCTTCAAGCAGCGCGTGGAGGAGCGCACGCGCCGCGCCGTCGCGCAGTCGGACGCGCCCGACATCGCCAACCGGCTCGACTGGGTCTTTGTCGACAGCGACTCGGCGGCGCTTAAGGGCGCCTCGCTCGCGCAGCTGAAGCGGCGGTTCCGCGCCTAGGCCCGCGTTGCCACACAAACCGAATGTCCCGGCTAGGATTTAGAGGGAATCGTGGGCGGGCGCGGCTCGAGGTACACTTACTTTGTCCAGGTCGATGCCGAGGGGCTGGCTAGCGGGCAGGTCAATCTAGTGAGGGGCTGGGAGGGGGGCGTGGAGGAGGATGAGGCAGCCGAGGAGGATGACAATGACGAGGACTGGATGCGGATCCGGGAGAGCATGCTCGCGCCGCGGTTTTACGTCGAGATGGATAACGACGAGGTTTAGTATGTGCATTATAGACCGCCGTGGCAGGGCGTGGTTGGCCGGTAATCAATTAGCAATCTCGCCTCAAGTTTGGAACATCGCCTCCATCATTACACTCCAGACATATCCTTTAATGTTGGCAAAATAATAAGGGTTAACTTTTATGACAGGGCTAAAACTGCAGTGTAGAGTAGTAAATGAAGATGAGATCCTTCTTAGTCGAGACTGTGCAGTTAGCCTCCAGTTTCGGTGTTCCATCTCGGCCAAAATAAGGAAACCCCTGCCATGCCATCCGTACCTAGGTGGAGTGTAGGTTCCAAGGCTAGTAGTCCTTCACACCCTTACAAGACCGACGCGAGGCAAAAACGACAGGGCCATTGACAGAAACAGAAGGAACATGGCCGGTTCCATCATAAGTTTCAGGATAAGGATGAGAGGCTGGGCCCAATGATCACTATTGGGCATATTTGTAACGAACAGTATGAAACCGACAAACCAAAACAGCCAACTTAGGACATGTATAAAGAAAGCAGCCTTGGCAAGCAGGGGCATCACAGTGGAGGCTTGGCTCTCGGACCTCTCTCGTCGAGCAATAACAAGGCCAACAAGGTAGAAGACAATCCATGGGTACGTGCTGACGAGACCGATCCTACATTTGCTTCAAAACGCAGTCAATATCCTCACTCGTCGGCACGGCTCGCATTGAGATGTTCATGGGATGCGACAAACGTACCTGTTGCATAGGCCTGAAGGCGCTCTAGTTCTGAGCGGTAAGGTAGGTAGTATAATGTTGAAAACGGATACAATCAAAACGAAGGGTGCAACTATCCACTGACGTCGCCACCACCTCGTAGCCAGCGATGTCGTTAAGTGTTGAAAGTTGTTTTCGAAGCGTGGATAATTGCTCACAACCTACAGATGCGTCTGTTAGAGCTGATAATAATCGACATCAGTCTGTCAATTTGGGGGTACCAACAGCAGCAAACGTGACAAGCTCGCTCTGAGAATTGCTATCTACGTCCGCCACCGGACGGCCAGTAGCACCGTCCGCTGTTTGGCCAGCTGTACGCGACTAGGTACGAGTTATTAGTTAGCGGTTACCCCGGGTTCCTTTATATCAAGCGTCACGTACCACAAGCTCTGCCCTCTCTTGGCGCTTTTGCCATTGGGTTTCGTGCTGGCGGAACAGGTGCGCAATAGTTCCAGGCACAGCATCAGACTCCTCCAGCTGGGTGGAAAGAAGTAAATCCTCCTCCTCCTGCCTTGTGGTCGTCGGATAACAAACTGTTGGCTCATATCGAGGGGGCACCCGAGTTGCCGGGACTAGTGTTACCAAGGACATGATGGCCATATGAATGAATGAGCCAACCAAGCCGCAGGATAGGCTAATAGCCAGTCCGACATGCACTTGGGACATGCGTCTATTCCAGTCGCTCTCGGCCTGGGCTAAAGTTAAAGTAGGCGCGAAGGCAAGCACCGCTTCTAGATCCGGTCTAGCCGACGTGACTCTTTGCCCGAGGAGGAAGATGGTTATCATGACTGCGATGAAAAGCCCAGTGAAAGAGAAATGGAGGCCGGCGCGAATATACCCGTTTTCGCGTCGGTACAAACAACAAGAGAAGACCGCGGCCCACGTAAAGAGGGACAAGAACGGATGCGCAACAACTACGAGGGCCGACATGACTTTAAACATGGTCTCCGTTTTTAAATCCACGAGCAAGTGCATCGGGACACTATATTCAGGAGAACGTCCGAAGATAAGATCACGGAAGGGGTTGATGAGAATCATGCCGGGTATGAGCAAGGTCATCCAGCAACCAAGGGTAAGGCATAGAGCGTAGTTCAATATAGCATTGCCGAAAGGAATATCGTATGGACCTGTGATCCTGCGAATCATTTTATGGAGGAGGCGGTATCGATATTGCAAAGGGTAATCTGTGTGCCGATGAGGCTGGTTGCTTGCCGAGGGCGTTACAGCGTTCTTAAACAGCAAATCTGGAGGGAGAGCTATGAACTTACGGATAGAACGGCGGACAAATGCTCCCCCATTGATGCCGAAACTGGAAAGCGGTGAAAGTGCGGGGTTCGCGAATGCTACCTTGGGGCACTGAGTCCTCCCCGTTCCGATCGCGAGGCTGTGCTCCTCGATACTCCTCTGTACCTCGCGCAAAGCCCCATCACGAGTGTCCCTTTCCTTGATCTTGCCTTCTACCTCGGGCTCCCGCAGAGACTCATACCATTCCGGCCAACTCTCACGATGCTTTGTGCCAGATGCCAAAATTTCGACATTCAAGCGTTTGCCAGAAAGGCCTACCCTTATCGTGGGTTTCGCGAGGCCACGGTTTGCCAATCTGCTCGAGAAGGATGCTCTTTTTGCAGTCTCTTGCTTCAACATGCCAATATCGACAAGGAAAAACAACCCAGTTTCATGGATTCTATTACATCATTCTTCATGCCCCGTTGGCTGCATTTTAGGGCAGTGCGATACGCTAATGACCTCGCAGACGATGGCGACGATGGGCTCAACATCTCGGCTCTTGAGATTGAATCACAATATAAGTGCCTGACTTTTCAGACTGCGGCCGATGAAGGTTGGTGGTTCTCAGCAGCGAACATTGGAATGTCGCTGATGAGGCGATGTGGACGGATCTAGGTACACCCCCCAGCGTTCGACGCGACATTACTGGCTCCGTCATGGGAATGGGATGTTTCACAGAGAAAAACCTTGATCGCGCCAAAGCTTGGCTCCAAGAGTGCGACTTGAGGCATACGACTTGCCACTTAACGCTGTCTGGGACACAGACCGTCGAGGCGGCAGCTGCCGTCCTGCCCAGTCGGTGCATAGAGATTCTAGACTTCAGCACTTCGAACCCTCGGGCATTAGGCTCCACGTCACGGAGTACAGCCCAGCCTGCACCATGGAGTTGGCGGCTATGCGAGACGTCTGGGATGACGGGAAAGTACATAGCACTGAGCCACCGCTGGAATGATGCAGCCGAGGCGTGCAGGACAACCAAAGCGAACTACACATCCCGACTCCAGGGCACCCGGGCTGACCCCACCAACACGGACCTCTCTCCTCTTTTCGTCGGTGTCTGTAAGCTGGCTTGCCAGATGGATGTCAAGCACGTGTGGATAGACACCCTTTGCATCATCCAAGATGCCCCAGAGGACTGGGCCCGTGAATCCACCAAGATGGCCGACTACTACCAGCAGGCCTGGCTGACCTTGTCGGCCACTACGACTGCACTCCATGGAGGAGGATTGATCGACCGCGTGGAAGCCGAGGACCTGCCGAGGGTATCGCGTCTTCCCTATCGGAACAAGAGCGGTGAACAAGAGGGCTACTTCTACGTCCAGTGCAACCAAGACGACGTGCCCGAGAGCTACAGGCTGAACGTAGAGTCTAGCGAGCTGCTGCACCGCGGATGGGTCTACCAGGAGTGGACGTTGAGCCGGCGTATTATGACGTTTTCTAGGTTGGGCATCTTTCTGGAGTGCCAGTCGCAACAACCCCGGTCGGTCACGGGAGACGTGGTCCATGTGGAAAGACAAGGCACAAGGTCCAAGCTACAACGGGCAGCCGGGAGCCCCGGGGCACACATCCACGACGTCATTCTGGCTTGGAAAGACACGGTCCAGAGATTCTCGGTCATGAGCCTGACCAAATTTGCCCAGGACAGACTGGTCGCTATAGCGGGCGTGGCAAGAGAGTTTGCGCGTGCCATTGAGGCCAGCTTAGACGTCGACGACGGAACACCGGAATACCGTGATAATGCCGTGACAGGGCTCCACCTCGGCCGCAAGTACCTTTGCGGGCTGTTCCCCCAGATGATTGAGTCGCAGCTGCTGTGGGAATGTGTCGAGCCCAAGCAGGTAGCCAGAGTGGACGGTGTGCCCTCATGGTCCTGGGCTTCGGTAGCAGGGTCCTATACGGACGACGCAGGAGAGCAGAAGCTGCTCGGCTCCGAGGTCACCTGGGCTCCGCCACCTAGCATACACTCTATCCGAAGAATCGAAACGTTTGTATGCGAGGTAACCCATGCTGCCACGGTGCCGGTCGACAAAGGAATATGGGCGCCCATGTTCCCAGATGCCCGCGCACATGCAGCTGTCCCCGACGACGAGTATGGGAACGACAACCGCTTCGTGGTACTTGGCGTCCTGGGCGTGTTGCAACCGGTGCAGATCCACGACATCTTCGCGCCCCCCAGCGATGCTTATACCTACAGCGATGCTGAGATGGCATGTGAGGCCACGTGCTACACGGGCTATAGCAAGGACCACTGGAGGCGAGTGAGCACGGCGTCCAACCCTGAAGTCGTAGCTGGCTGGGCGTCGCTCGAGTCACCCGATTTCCAGACCACCGAGGCGTGCCGGTCAAGTCGCGGTGATATCCGGGCACTCTACATAGGAAAGCTCGACAAGGGCAACTGGGGACGATATCAATACGCGTATCAGGTACTGTTTCTGCGGTTGGTCGAGAGGGAGAAATTTAATTCTTGCTATGAAAGGATAGGACTGGGAGGCCTTTTTGGGCCTGATGTAGAACGATATTTCGAGACGGCGGAGGAAACTAAATTGCATCTTGTCTAGGATTTGTTTTTTTGTTTTTTTTTGGGTTTTTTTTAGAGAATACGATTTTAAAAATATAAAATATTATTAATACTACAGCCTTGGCGTCGGTGTCCTGGTGTCCTGGTGTCCTTCGGGTGCCTGTTACGATCCTGGTTCAAAGGTGTAGTAGGCGTTGCCCGCTCGCGACAGATTGGCTGGAGTGGCATTTAGGGCGGGGCTCTCGGCGAAGTGGATGCAGCCAATCAGGGAACGCTCAGTATGATCAGTACGCCCAGTCGGCTCAGTTGGCCTTGGAGCGCACTGAGCATACGGAGCGCACTGACAAGACGGCTGCAGCCAATCAGGGAGCGCTCAGTATGGTCAGTACGCTCGATCGGCTCAGTTAGCCTGGGAGCGCACTGAGCATACGGAGCGCACTGAGCATACGGAGCGCACTAAGCACATAGGATAAGGATTCTAATTAGTTGTCATAGTTCTATATAGGAGCTGGCAGAACGCTCCCCCTGGGAGAACGGTTCTGCAGCTATCAATGCATCTGGTTAAGCATACGTTGGTTGTGTGTTGAAAGCCTCTCTTTCGCAATCTGTGCACGATACTCCTTGTCTCCTGTCATCTCCCACCTGCCGTCCAGACCCCCCACAATCCTAGGCAGGGCCTAGCTCCGTGGACCTGTTGTCCAGATTGTAACACCTGCTTGTTGCTCCTATTGTGATCACCTTGATCAGGCGTACCTGCCTTCTCTTACATATAGGACACGGTAATGCTGGTCACCTGGAAGAATGGTAAGCTGGAATTACGTTTCAGTCTCAAGAGAGAATTTGCTAAGGCAATACAAGATAAAGAACAGAAAAGGTTAGAATATACCTTATGCGTTTATAATGTCGGTACTAATGAATATACTGCAATATGTCACGGCCGGCTTAAAATGAGGGCGGAACTCCTCTATTCGGGCGCTATCGACGAAGATTCTAAACTAAAGGAAAAAGGGAAAAGAAGCTCAAAAGTCTCCCCTCGCGAGATTCTTCCAGGGTGTCTCAAGGTGGGGCTCAGGTTGGGCTTCCATTGGTCAGTCGGGTGGATCCACCCGACTGGCGTCTGATTAGTCAGAGCGTCTAGGAGGTTTGGAACACACTGTTACGATCCTGGTTCAAGACTGCAGGAGGCGCTGGAAGCCAATTGCTGATTGGGCCGTACAAGTGGGCGGGGTCGGGCCCCGCAAGTATTCAACGCAGCCAATCAGGAGGCGCTCGGTGCGACTGGTCTGCCAAGACTGGGCGAGCGCACCGAGCAGGGCGCTCGGTAGTCTCTGAGACGCTCGGTGTACCAAGCGTTAGGAGGAGCACTGAGCACGCAAAGGAAAAGTCCTGATTGGTTACCTGAATTAGATATATACGATGACCGTAGCCACGGTCTTAGATAGTTCTTGCTTGGTTCTGCAAGCAAGCAATACACATTCACTGCACTCATACACTTTGAGTGGCATTCCGATTTGACTGTATTACCCGTGCGGAAGGAGCTTGCCCTTTGTTCTATCTTCATAATTACCAACCCCAGCATTCTGTGGAGCCCGTGCTCCCTTACAGACAGACGACCCTGACAGTCGAGTGGTTTGTAATACACACCTTCTATATGAATCAACCCTCGGCCAGCCCCTTGTTGTCAACTCGATGCTCTTTTTACTTACTATATGTTTCGCGGCGGGAGTATTCAAAAAGTATACGACTCTTGAGGAGGTTTTAGACCTCTGACCGCCAGCAGATCAAAAGTACTAGGTTCTCAAATGGTCCCCTCACGTCTTAGATCTACCGATCTTTCCAGAAGCGTCAGTAGACGGACCGACCAATAAGATGCAAACGAGTAATTCCTTTGGCAAACAGCTTAAGGAGCTATCTATTCGAGCAGAGGTGGATCCCGTTACGGTGCACGACATGCGGCGGGAGGCCCTCATCATAGCTACGGGTAGAGTATTTACCTGTCTCTTCAACGTTTCACGTAGCCAATTTACGTCTAGCCAATGGCTATTCGGATAGGGAATTGATGAAATTTGCCGCGCATACGAACAAAATGACCCTCACAAGGGATTACTTGAGTTCTATAACCGTGGTAGATAGCATGGCCGGTTTTCTAAACCTACCTCTTCGAAGCGACCAAGCCGAGGACCTCTGGTCTATGACCGTAAACCGAAATCCTGAACTTTTCTTATCATTGCCTGCGAAGGCACAAGACGAGCTGAGGCAGAGAGAGGATTATGTCACAATCACAAAGAAAATCGAGGACAGCAACGTTTATCTTTGAGATGTAGTCGATCTTTAAGGATTCCTTCCACGGTGTCAAGTCGCCCCTGATATCAGTGTCAGCTGCAAGTGGTTGCCATGAGGTAAACTGCTTGATGCGGTAGTCGATCTAGATCCACAGGGTGTCGGCTTTGTGTAAGGAAAAAGGACACCCCAAACACCAACTGCGCGCACAGGGTGCGCGCCCACCACTTGTCACCAACTGGCTAGAACACTGCCAGCTGGCATACGCTACGCCGTGGCGCCACGACCGCAGACTGATGCCCGGGCCGAACCCCTGAGCAGGTATATAAACAATGGCCCTCGCCCATCTTCCTTTGCGAGGGCCAGGTTGAAGTCTTACACCAATACAAGTCATTGCTCCCCTACCTTCTTGCCTGCATTGTGACCACCTTGATCAGGCGTACCTACCTTCTCTTACACTTTGCCCGTGACAAGGGTTATGGCCCGTGCACTAGGCCCGTGCCATAGGGCCTTCGGCCCTAGCGCACCATGCCCAGCATATAACCTAGGCACAGCGCGCCTTCCATAGTTAGCTCTTCGTGCAACTACATCTTACCAACAAGGCACATAAAGATACCCCGTGATGCAGGGCAACGGTATGGCCAGAAGTCAAAGATTCTAAATTTTAGCTTGTTTCTACAATAAAGAACTGAGGGCTGCTCTGCAACCCCGCTTCCATCTTACCGGTGTTGAGTCCATACTCCCAGAGATAATGATACCGGGCCGCTGCCGGAGTAATCCCCTTATTCCTAGACGAATAGACGTAGAGGGTGACCAGTCCTACTATCTCAGATAGAAGCAGGGCTAGGTAGCCTAGTAGGACATGTCGTTGAAGGAAGAAAAGGCTGCCAATGTCCGAGCTTGACGGGATTATTTGCGGAGGCATCGGAATCCTTGCCGCCGAGAGAAGGAGTTGAAGAAACTGAGGCACAGTGTCACGGCATGGCCCGTGCATGACATGGCACGTGGCCCACAACTACCTATTTCCCTGCGTCCTGCGCGGTCTCTGCCATAGCTTCCTTCTTCATCTTTAGATTCTACGAATTCAGCAATGATTACTGCAGCCCTGTCTCCTTACGTTGACTGAGCCGTGATACACAGGAGCCTATGCCGGAGGCCACGGGAACAGCTAAAGAATCTTCACGTAACTGTTATTCCTCGCTGCTATCCACTGACGGGTTGCTAGCTCGGTCGACTGGAGGATTCATTGCCACGAATTGAGCTTCTTCATGAGAGAGAAGCAACTGGAATAAATGACATACAAAAGAGTTTCCAGAAGACCAAGATACCTAGGTACCTACCCCAGAGCGATTTCTCCCAGGTTTATAAAAGAAACTTCAATATGTGCGATAAGTTGGTTGCAGAGAGGGAAACGCCCTCTGCACTACGGAAAATCGTAGTTCGCGGCCTTGTGGGCGCGTTGGGCTGCACTTGGGATGAACTGGCGTTGCCACCGCAACACGTGCTCAACTTAATTATACAAAAAAGCCTGGCAATTAAACCGCTGCTCGGGTTATAAATGAGGGCGCAGCATGCACACATACAATATGGTAATAGCAAAGCATCATGCGAGAGGCTTATCAGCCGATGAAGCGCTGCCCTGCGCCTCAATTTATTTCAATGCACCTTCCATTTTTTTGGTGCAACCACGAACAATAAATGGGTCCTTGTATTGCAATCAGACTAAGTTGGCCGTGCTATTTGTGCCCAATTCGCTCTTTGAGAGTAAGAAACCGGGCGGCATTTCTTAGAGCTGCCAAAGAGGCGATACGACGATTGGCGGCTACAAGGACCCGGTTGTGGGAGTATTTCATTACGCATCGGCCCGTCCATGTCTAGCTGGCTTCGGTGAGAAATGCTGTGCTCGTACTTGTTATAATATGGCAAGGCTTTCTCAATCTTGACAATTTCGTCCCACTCACACCGCTGTTTCTTCACCTGAGTGGTTGGCCCCCCACTCATCTGGGCGAGGCGAGCGCTTGGTGGCTGCAGCTAGCATTCTCTTACCTGAGAGATCGGCCACTGGACACAAATACAACTACTTTTTAATAGTGTTCTTGAATTTTCTGATTTTCTAATGGCTTCCTCTTCGATGCGAGCTTTTTCGTCCTCGACCCGCCAAGACCGTGCCTCCACTGAGGCTACATGTATCATCTTGAAGACAGGTCCGGTAGTCTCGGGCTTTAACAGCCAGGAGTTTTAATCGTTGGGCTTATCCTTATTTCTGTCAAAGTATGAAAATATCCAAAGGTCTTCAATGCTATGTCCTCGAACGGGGGTTGTAAGCCCTTGGGGACTTGACTTAAGGCCGTAGATAAGAGCTAAAAGGTCACGCAATGTCTATTGCAAGACATTCAAAAATGCCGTAAGGCCTCATATGGTTCAATGAACGCCTTTAACAAAGCGAAGGTAACACCGTACCGTAACCCCACTTATTCTAGTCAATAGAACCAGTCCACACTGCCCTCTTAAATTAGAAGGAGGTAAGTAATGCAGTGGTGCTAGGTGCACGCAGTTCAATTGAATGCCATGGAAATCTTCATTTTCCAGCGACTTCGTTGTTTTGCACTCAATTTGTTGATTTCTGGCGTTTCTGGCGTTTGCAGTGGTTTTCACGTACGTGGAACTCAGTTAATTAAGCCTACATTACACTACACCCTTCCAACCACTACTCCCACCACCACTTATACAGAGGATGGCCATTGCTAAGGCGGGCACCACCAAGAAGCGCACCCCGGCCCAACACACGGATTGTATCTAAGATGTCGCTGCACGCAACCGTCACCTCGACGTCGCCTGGACTGGTTGAACTGCGTGGTCTGATTGGTTGGAATTGTGGGGTTACGGTACGGTGTTACCTTCTCTTAACAAATACTAGAAGGCATTACACAAATACGTCAACGCATCACAGCCTTGTCCCATCCGATGGTTTTTCCCCAATCCTACGTCACTTAGTAATTATTATTGGAGTTGATGACCATGCATATGAGAGGTAGAAATCTCTCCCCATCGTCTACGGCCCATCCATTTTGGACAATTCCAAGTCCTGTGGAGGTCTCGAGTAGACGTAGAGGCCTTGTCCAACCTTCTTTTAGCACTAAGCAATTTTGCGATGAGGTGTCAGAAGCACTGCACACTGCACTGCACACTAGATTCGGTGGAAGAGATGGAGTTCAAAGTGATTTTCATTGAGATCTCTCCTCCTCCCGTGCTCTTTGGCTCAGTCAGAGAACCTCTATTATAGTTATGAATGGTGGCAAACAGTAGTCGTTGCTAGCTGAACTGACTACGTAAAGTTCAGCTTGCATGAGCTCTTTTTCAGCTCGCATAAGCACTTTTTCAGCTTAGTTAACCACACCACTTGTGTTCTGGCACGCAGTGCCAGAACCCCCTTCTTTCTGACATGAGGCTTGTCCAGCCGCGCAGCATGGGGGGACGTACGGAATAGGTGACCCGGCTACGACATGTGTATGCCGGGCGGCTTCCTCTTCCGGCTTAACAACACACAGAACTGCCTTTTGATCCCCCTCTTTCATTTCCGACTTGTTCGCCGTTATCACACGCCCATTTTTGATCTTAGCCTTCTCTTTGTTTGGCTTATACTCTTTGCTATCGTTGCCTTCTCCCATTAAGTCTTCCGTTCTTTTTTTGCTAGACGACCCTTTTGATCTAGCTTGGGAAGTAGTCTTTTTCGAGCTTGTCCTCAAGCTTTTTTCTGATTTTTCGTCATCAACTCTCGTGTTGGTTTTGGCAAAAAAAATCTCCAAGGCTCCTCGAACTGATCCAGTTGAGGTACGCATGTGTTTGGTATCCAGTGCTGCCGCCAGAAGTTTCAATTTCAGGCGCTTAGCCTTTCGAAACTCTTGCAAGACATGGGGCGGTGCGACAAGCAGGGTTACGTAAGAGTAGTCGTTAAGATCCTTCGATATTTTATTGTTTTCTTGTTACTGTTCGACTATCGAGATAATAAGCTCAACGCGGAGCTCAAGGTCGTCAAGCGGCAACAGGCTTACGGTTGCCGCTTGTGGCGGTGTGCCTTCAAGAAACTTCATGATCAACGGAATCTTGCCGGTTCACCTTCGCCCTCAGCTTTGCTAGCCCGCTCTTTCTCTCCCCTCCTCAACGACTTCGAAAGGCGTCGCAGAGAGCTAGTCATACGTATCCCCGTACTCACTAGCTGCAAAGGTGAGCCCATTGATCACAACCGCCGCGCCGGTGATCGACAAGGGTGCCTTGTTATTGATGTTAACGGTCCCGGGCTCCAGCCGTCCGTCATACGCTGATTTAATTCGACCTTCTCTCCCTCTAGTCACCATTTCCTCCTTTACACCTGAATCTCGTTTCGTCGTTAACATTTTCTCGTACTGCCTGCGAAACGCAATCGCATTGATACATGTATCTAAGCAAATTGAGACAAGGTATTGGCAAGATGTCGCGCGAACAACGGCATGATCCTCGTACCTAGGATCTAGTCATCGCACTTGACGATTACCTTGGCAATGGAGGCAGTTTCATTGAGCTATTTTTCACGGCTGGTAGACACCCTCCAAAGGCTGAGGAAGGCAATACTTGCCTTAGCCACTGACGCACCCGCATCATTCGAGTTCACCATTACGCGAGCGCACATGCCCGTATGGAAACGCACTGTCGAACATGATGTTGGACGTTGATGAATACATAGGGCGGGATGAGCTCGAAGCCCAGTGCTCGAGGGAGTATTGCCATTATGAGAGATAGCGAGGCTCGTATGCACGGTTGGGCACCTTACCTTTGACAGTACGTACACCCAAGTTGCACACATCTTTACCCGTCAATACCATCCGGGCGCGTTTTACATTCCTCCGATCTTTATCGCTGCCTAGGTACCTACGTAGATAAGGCATTCCACCAAGACAACAGTGTTGCACGTACCGCGGTCCCGTCTGGTGATCGCCTAACCCGCTTAGGATGGCCCCCGGCGCGGGAGTTGTAATAGATACCGATGCAGCATGGGCTACGCGTACGCGTACCAGAGAAGGGACTTACCGCTTTACTAATGCATATCTCATAGGTGGAATTTCTCTTTCTGCTTTAGTATCTCCATGGTCTGTCGTAAGCTACCAACGTAACCATGTCATGACGACACCGCGAAGTTGTGAACGTTGCATGTAACATGGCTGCTCGCGGCTAAACTGCCGCATGTGGGTACCTACACCTTACGTAAACGTGCCATTGGCGACAATTAACATCCATGATAATCGACCGCTTACCTTGGTCTCTTATTTATTAGGTCCTATGTTCAGGGTATTATACATAGGTATCGCCGTTTCCTGCGAAAACAAAACCTTCTACTGGAAGAAAGAAAAACGCCTGAACAAACCATCGTCAGCATCTCACTGAGAATCAGTCACCGCCATGCATCTCCCGTCCTCGATTGCCGCTCTCGCCGCAGCATCACTCCCCCTTGCTTTCCCGTCTACCGTTGCTGGATGGACATCCGGACACGTGTACGGCTTCTGGACGCTGCGTCTATACGAGACTAGCTCCCCTAGCGGCTACACCAAATCCAGCATCACGGCCGAGTACTGGGCGCCGTCGGGCGTGTCTGGCGGTATCGTGTACTGCGCCGACGTGCACATCCCCGCTTACGGCGACAACCCGGGAGACCACCACACGCCATGCAACGATACAACGTTCTCGTGTCGCTCGCTCCGACGCGACCTCTGGACGGACAGTAAGCCTTCTTTTCTCTGTTATTTTTTGCCTCGCCAATGCACTGTAACATGCACAATGGCTGATACCGACTGATTCGGTTGTGGCAGCTTACCTCTACGAGATCCGCCAGACGTTCGACCTCGACGGAAAGCGCGCTCCCCTCGTTGGGTCCAAGAACCTGACTATGCAGAGGGACAAGGTGACGGGTTGGACGTTCCAGGCCGATGTGACTGTGGACGCCGAACTGGCAGACGAGGAGGCTAGCACTGTGTATTAGCTTTTCCCCCAAGACCGAATCGAGGGAATCACATCATGAACTCACCTAATGAATGTCAAAATCTTCCTCAATCAGTTCTCCGCGCTCAATCATTTGCATCGCCTCTCCTTCCATCAACCCATACACATATGCCTCCTCGATGAGAGTGCGGCGTTCTCCATCACACTTTGTGACGAATGGAACATCCAGCCCTCCAAAATTACAGACGTGGTCTCCTGGCTTTGCCAGGCGTGGAACCAGACAGTAACGACCATGCTTCGTCACTGCGAATGAGCGCCCTGAGCACTTAGCGGCCAAGAGCTGGAAACATACCAGCTTGTCGGTGAGCTTGGGGTTATTGGTTCATAACGCCAGTATCTAAATTCATTTGTATGTGAAATAAGGTCTTATAAGCCCTGAAAATAGCTTGATGACCCCCACTATCCAAGGTCGTCCGCCGCACAAGGTGGTACTGAAAATTTTCATGGTAGGAAGCACCATCGTGTCCCAGTGGCGATCGTAGTAAACACATGGCGTGTTTTTAGTCGTAAGGAATGCGACAATATCATCGAGGCTAAGATACTTTGCTGGGTAGTCGAGCTCTAGGAATGCTATCAGGCGTCTCGTCCGATCAAGTGAAATCCCGAAGCACTTCCACAGGGTATCAGTTATCGCGCCTCTATTAGTCCCCTGATCGAACTCTCGGTGGTTCGCTTCCCCAGCGCGCTAGACCTTAATATACCGCTGAGCAGCACCGCGCCCCTCTATCTCTTCTGCGGCTTGATCGATTACGTTTGTGTCGTGGCGATTGCCAAGCTCGCGGGTCTCTTCCTCGGTGAACCCGACGTCTTCCCATTTATTCTGTTCTGCACCGGTCTTTTCCGTGTCTGGAGATTCGGGCCGCTGGCTTTTTGTACGAGATGGCAAGTCGACTGGGCCGACTCAACCTCCTGCTTCTCCTGGTGAACCCTGCACTGCTCTGGCACACGGCCCTAGCTGTAGCCGCCGGGTTCACATGGTTCGATGCTATCCAAGCGTGGGCTGTCCGCCTCTTGCAGCTGGTCCTTGAGGGGCGTGTCAATCATACCTTGCAGTTTGTCGTCAGGGTATTCTCTACGCTCGCACTGCTTCTCATCGCGAAGCTGCCGGGCTTGGTGCGGGCGCTGCACCAAGGGGTTCACTGAGGGCTTCGGCGTGTCCACGGATACATGTACACGGAAACCCATTCGTCACGAGATTAGAGGAGGATATTAGGAGGGATGTAGGGTCAAAATTAAATGCTGCAAACGCATTTGCCGTCCGAATGCGAAACGGAGCGCTGCGCCGGAGCTGGAACCTCTTGCAGACCAATGCTACCCTTACGCCCTCGGCTATTATCGATTGATGCCTACAGCAGCAGCAGCAGCAGCAGCTAACGCCGCCGCCAGCGGCCGGCTTAGTCGCTAGAATCCGGCTCTTGAGGCTTTCTCCCGTCATCAGCAGCGGCTTCTCCGAGATTCGGGGATCCCTCGAAGAAGTGGAGTTGAGCGAAGACCCCTGCGTGCCGTCTGTGTGCGCCTACACCGCCGTGTCGTATTGCTGGGGAGACCCGTCCCCGAAGAGGAGCATCTTTGTGGACGGTCGGCAGGTAGCTGTTGCCGAGTCGGCATACTAAGCCCTTCGGGAACTGCGACCTTACTGGCGACTCAAGCGGTTCTGGATCGACCAGATCTGCATCAAGCAGGACGACATCCAGGACAAGGAGGAGCAGATACCGCTGATGGCTACCATATACCGCAAGTCGTTGCGGCTCATTATCTGGCTCGGCGTCGCGGGTGAGGATGGCTCGCTGGCCGTGAACACGGTCAACCGTCTGTGGATTTGGGATCGTCTGTAGATCTTTGGCCTGTTGTCACCCTCCCTCGAGGTCGACGGGAGCGCTTCGGTGCCGTCACCGGCCGCAAAACAGGCGCTGCTGGGCCTGCTGCGCAATCCCTGGTTCACCCGGACATGGGTCGTGCAGGAGGTGACCATGGGCACCGGCATGGGCTGGCTGACCGACCAGGGCACTATTGCCTACGGGGGGCCCGTCTCTCGTGGAGGCGATTTGCGTACTTCGCCATGACCACGCTCCGAAACCGCCGGCTAGTCGACGACCTCACGGGGGGCGACACGGCGCTCGCGGCGATTTGTCAGCTGGTCGCGCAGCAAGTCACCACCATGGCGCTGTTCGGATAGCGGCAGGAGCGGCTGTCACTGCTCTTTTGCCTAGTCCGGATGATTCGCATCGGCCGCTTCGATGCCTCCGTGAGCAAGGACCGCATCTACGCGGTGCTAGCGCTCTGTGGCCTGCCCTCCTGGGTGCCCAACTGGACCGTCACACCGGCGGCCGCCACGACACCCTGGGTCGAGCTCTCGGGAATAGCCGAACTCATCGACCCCCGCGTGGGCGGTATTCACTGGGAACTTGCCCAAGTGTACAGCTACGGGAAGATCGACTGGGTGCACGCCGACGACCGCCCGCGGTTCCGCGGCGCCAATGCCTCGCTCAAGGCAAAAGAGGCTGCCTTCATGGCCGTGCTCGATCTGGCGGGACCGGCGATACCTGCTACCGTCCAAGACATCGAAATCTTCGACGAAGACAAGTTGCTCGTTGTTCACGGACGCCGCATCGACCGCCTGCGGGCTGTGAGCTGTGTTATGGACACCACGGCCGCAACCGCCGCCGCCATCCTCCGGCTCTGGTTGCAGCTGGCGCGGTCCAACATGGACGTGTACCCTTATAGAGAGGAGGAACAGAGTCGGTTACTGGCTCCCTTCCTCCGCACCCTGTGCACCGATTTGTCGTGTGACTGGACTGACCTGGTGGATATCCAGTGTCTGCAGCGTCCCATGCCCGACGATATGCTGGCAGCGGTCGGCTGGTACGTCTCCCAGACGGAGGACCAGACGGAATACCAGACGGAGGACCGGACGGAGGAGAGCCCCCCAACGCACTACAAACATAAAGCACCGCCGCCGCCGCCGCCGCCACCGCTTGAGATGACGGAGCACGTCAAGCGTCTTGTAACATCCACCTGCATCGGCAGGATGTTTGGGGTCACTGAGAAGGGATACTATGGCCTCTTCCCGCGCGGTAGCCGGGCCGCCGACCTAGTGTGCCTGTTCAATGGGAGTCCGGTGCCGTTTTGCGTGCGTCCGTGTCCGGGGAGCAGTCCCAGAAGCAGTCTTAAGAGCAGAGGGAGAAATGGAGGGGGAGATGAAGGGGAAGATGGAGATGTTGAGTCACGACACGCATTGGTAGGGTCATGCTACATCCAGGATATTATTATTATTATTATTATTCTTACACCGTTATGCCCTTGGGCGTGCCGGTCCTTCTACCGCTAAATACATAGGAAAACCGTGCCTATTGGCCAGGTAAAAAACCTACATCTACCTAATAGTAACAGTCTTCCTGAATCCTTCCACTACATAATGGGGCTTATAACGGCCAGCCATGGGCTCTACAGGCTCTGTACCTGGGCTTCGCCCCCGGAATCGGCCGCTATTTTACTAGCTAGGCTATATTCGGGGAGCTTGCCGGAGTCCATAAGCCAGCGCAGTATAGCCTTGGTAAGCTCGCTGTTACGATCCTGGCTCAAGTCTGCAGGAGGCGCTGGAAGCCAATTGCTAATTGGGCAGCACAAGCGGGCGGCCCGGGCCCCGCAGGGGCTCGGTGCGGCCAATCGGGCGGCGCTCAGTGCATTCGGCCGCCATGATTGGGAAGACCCACTGAGCAGGAAGGGCAGCCAATTAGGAAGCGCCCTGTCCGATTAGCTGCCAAGACCAACGGAGCGGACGGAGCGGGCGCTCTGTGGGGCTCTCGTGCTCTGTGAGCAGAGCACCCTGGGCCCGCAGAGCGTAGAAACAGAGGAAGAACTCTGATTGGTTACACAGTTGGATATATACGATGACCGTAGCCACGGTCTTAGATAGTTCTTGCTTGGTTCCTCAAGCAAGCAATACACATTCACTGCACTCATACACTTTGAGTGGCATTCCAATTTGACTGTATTACCCGTGCGTTAGGAGCTTGCCCTTTGTTCTATCTTCATAATTACCAACCCCAGCATCCTGTGGAGCCCGTGCTCCCTTACAGACAGACGACCCTAACAGTCGAGTGGTTTGTAATACCAAGCAGTGTCACAGACTTGTGCAATAGTCGTAGGCACTGAAACCTGGCTCTTGAATGGCTCAAATACTCCAAAGCCGGTTGATCGATAAGAACCCTCATTTCCTTACGTATAACGTGGCTGAAGGAGCCTGCCTCGGCAACATAGTCGTCACTTTTGATACTAATACCTTATAATTGGAGGGCATCACGAACAAAAGGGCTCATCAGAACCTCTCCAAGCCGCTGGGAATTTATGGTAATATGATTCGGGTGTTACGATCCTGGTTCAGGGTGCATGAGGCGCCCTGCTTCCGCCCCGTGATTGGGTGACGTGGTGGAGACGGACAGACCCCACCCCGTGTGGGTGCGGCCAACCAGGAAGCGCTCTGTCTGATTAGCTGCCAAGACCAGCAGAGCGGACGGAGCGGGCGCTCTGTGGGGCCCCTGCGCTCTGCGAGCAGAGCGCCCTGGACCCGCGGAGCGCAGACACCAAGGACTCTGATTGGTCCGCCTTAGATAGATATATACGACGACCGTAGCCACGGTCTTAGATAGTTCTTGCTTGGTTCTTCAAGCAAGCAATACACATTCACTGCACTCATACACTTTGAGTGGCATTCCGATTTGACTGTATTACCCGTGCGATAGGAGCTTGCCCTTTGTTCTATCTTTATAATTACCAACCCCAGCATTCTGTGGAGCCCGTGCTCCCTTACAGACAGACGACCCTAACAGTCGAGTGGTTTGTAATATCGGGGTGCCCTCGCTCGTGAGCTTGAAGAAGAAGGCATCAAGGTTGTATCTCTAACGCTCAGCTCCTTGCCGTCGTACCTGGTTGTTGTTGTTCTTGCGCAGTTGTTCCCAAAATCGCATTGTTTTCTGTAAAATATCGTCTGCTGGATATACAGACTCGTCTGAATCGTCGTCTTCAACGTCATCTTCATCTTCGTCATAGTCTTCTTATTATAAGGCTTCTACAGCCTTGGTAGGAGAGGAGAGGTCAGGGGTGCTGCCTAGGCCAGTAAGCTGTGAGTTCGACCCTACATGCCCACGCAGGGGCAATGCCTGGCTACCACCAGAAAGGCCCGATTCGTCGTTTTCTGACGCGCCCGACACTGTTCTATTGAAATGATTAGTACCAAAATGATCAGAAAATACCGCGCATTCGAATAGTGTTAGCGGCGCGCTGTTACGATCGCTTTTGCCGTTGTTATGCATGCGCATTCGATCGCCAGTTGCAGGTCTGAGGCCTTGACGGTTCGATGCACATTATGCACAGCTCTTTTCTTCGTGTGTTGTGACTGGTTCAAATGTGTATTTGAGGGTCTATCCCCCCTGCAAATCTAAAAAAATCGGGGCTGCAGGCCCTCCACTGGGGCGTAGCCTCTCTTTGAGTCACGGTACTGGTCTGAGCTTGCTGAGATAAGGCGAGGCTCTGGGAAGCATCCATGGATGTTTATCGGGAGACTGGCCCAAGCGTTCTGGGCTTTACTCTGCAGGCAGCGACGTCCCACAGAATCAGCCCACAGCACAGCTAGCCTCCTGCAAGATAAGGCCTGATATGCCCAGGAGGGGGGAACCCGTGGACCTGTTGTATTGCAGGCAACCCCCCCTCCGCTAAGATTGACGCCCACCCACCCATATGTCGTTATACGCACGCGCTGAACACAGGGCCGCATCCCGCATTTAATAGTACAGTATCCCATTCCGGTGAGCATTAAAGAAGCGGAAAGACACCCATCAATAACACAACTACAACAAGGCAAGCCGCGACCGCAAGCTCGACTTTCATGGAAGGGTACTAGGCATGGCGACGTAGTTAGAAAGAACATGGGTGGAAGCACTACCTTTTGCGCCGGTGCACGGGCATCAAACCGTGGGGGAAAAGAGGTGATTCCTAATAAACGGCTAGAAAGAAACAAAACGAGAAACACGACATACCCTGCCTCTGATGAGAGAAAGTGCGCCAATCTTGAAGTGCCCGATATGGAGTGCATCAACCGAGAAAACATGTATATCGCACCAGATTACATTAGGTAAGAGTCCAAGATTCATCGTCGTGCGCATACTGCCACGGAGCGGCGTACTAGCCACTGTGCGTGAACCGGATCAGGGGGCCGGTGACATTGGACTGCCGATTTCTCCGCCGCCAGTAGAAAAAGCACCCTCCCGCGATCAGGATCAGGCTTAGGGGCACCCCGAGCCCGGCCGCGAGACCCGTGATTATCTTCTGCTTGTAGTCGTCGTTATTAGTGGCGTTGTTGTCGCTGGGAGGAGCAGTGGAGGAGAGTGAGCTTGATGTTGTCGTCGGCGAGTAGGGATAGTTTATGACCGTGAACTTCGCGAGGGTAAAGACGCTGTCGCTGTTATTGCAGCAGCTCCGATCGAAGCCGCAGCAGTAATGGAACCCGGAGCAATGTACGAGGTAGGCGTAGAGATTGATATTATCCTGTGCGGCTTTAATAATAGACGTGTATTATTAGCGGAAGCTCTGAGGTAATTTCTAGCCATTGCCGAGAATAATTTGTGAGAGGTAGAGTAATAGAGGAGCCACAATTACCTTGCCATTTTCTGCAGTTGCTAATGCAAGGGCTGTCCCATGCTGGTTGGTGCATCCCTGGGCAGTAAACTCATTATCAGCGCCGAGATTGAGGCATAGCCCGTTAGACAAGCAAAGGTCGACTGTTCCGCAGCAAGGGTTCGTGCCCGTGGCCGGGATGTTGGGGAAGCAGGGCTGCATCCCACTCTGAGGATACCCTCTCGAGTCGTAGCATGTCATGGTGGACGTGGTCGGCGAAGTGAGGTAGATATTGGACTGTAAGGTATTTGGTATTGATTGGAAAGTGTTCGAAACTCAACGGAACCGGAGCTTCGCACCACCACCCACAGATGGGTCCGGGGATGGAAGATTCTTATCTCTTCCAAATCCCGACAGAAAATGGAGAAGAGGGGCCACCCTGTGGCTGAGTGCCAGCCAGCTGAGTTTCTAGAGGTGGGAGGGACCGAAATTCCTACCAATAGAGTTGTAATTTTCTGTAGCTGCCGACAACCTGCACTTCCTCTTACGCACAGGAGAGGCCAGAGGGAGGCTAGAGTCTGCCAGTAGACGAGTCAAAACTCGGTGTGGCTGCCCCCAATATGCACCTGCTGCCGCGCACTGTACATGTACACTAGAGGTTCAAGAAAGGTGGAAGAGGTACTTCCTAGAACGCCTTGAAAGGCTGCCTTTCGGCCCCAAGCCATAGGCCATATATGGTATGGATTAACACCGAGGAGAACGCCACCACCTAACCCGGCTGCATTCTGCAACAACTTTTGGCCCCTTTGCATTCAGCTTACTATTTTAGTGACTGGAGAGGAATTTTGCCAGCAGATCCTTCCGAACGAACTGTCGATTTGCGGCGCAACTACCCCACACCTCAGAAAGCCTGGCGGTATTTTACGGACTCCGTTCTACATCTCGTGGACTGACGCAAGAGTTATTTCACCAACCGATATTCCGTTTCGCTGGTGGTTTGTAAACCAACCAGCAACTAGGAGTAAGTAAGCCACAAAGTCATAATTGTAGATTAATCAGAACAACTCAATTCAATATCATGCGCCGTGGCTTCAGCTGGCCAATGATTCGCGGGAGAGCAATACTCTGGTTTCGTTCGGGACAATGCTGCAGACGGACGTGCTAGCCAATTAAACAGCCGAACCCATCTATTCCAGAGGTGTGATATGACTAAGGTATCTCTTTGCATGATATAAACGCTGGTCAAATGATGTCAAGTTCCACGTAAACTATTGGCAATTTACATGACTTCGAGCAAGGCAAGCTAGACACTAGACTGTGACCTTCATCCAGAGACATGGGAACAGGTCCCCTGTGTTCCCTTTGACTTCTAATATTACCGAGGCACCTTAGGCGAAGAGTCTACGGCTATAACGGAGAGGCCTTCCATCTAACTTTTTTTTTGAGCGAACGTAGAAGCTCGTACAGCGGTTACAATATGCACGCGGAATCGCAGTCAAACTGTCCGTTAAAGGTTTCGACTCTGCGTTCCATATAAAGGGTCTTGCTTGCAGTTAAAAAGAGCGTTAGCAGAAGCTAGAAACATTCTTCACGAGATCTCTTCTTGATAATCGCGTTAGTCTGATACAAAGGTTCTATATCGTGCCATTTAGACAATAAATGCTGCCTTTAAGTGAAAAGGCCAGCAAGATGAAATCCTTATGGACAACCTAAAGCTTCCAGTTATAGCGTTGAAAGATCTGGAGGCATTAACTCATGTGATCATCTCACCAAGCAATTTAAAGCCAGGTTTTACTAATTAGTATAACGTGTCTAGCAACCTTGTACTCCAACAGGCCGTCCTCGAAGACGGGGACGATGAACTTCCACTACCCGCACCCAAACAACTTTCAGCTTCCATTCAGGTATCCAAAGGTCTCAAAGAAAACCTGATCAATGTCAACAGCGGACCACGGCCAGAGCGCTGCTGCGATCACGGATCCGGCTCCAACGCCTTCCAGTCTGGTTGACATCGACATCTCGGCCTTCCAGGACATATATAACAGGAACATCAACCCGCTAAGACTGTTACGGTTGTTAAGGGAAAAACAAGGGGCGGGAAACTACGAATATACGTATGTTCGTGTCCATGTATCAGAGCCCTCCGCCTGAACATTTGCTAACCGGTGTCCTAATCGTCACAGAGAACCCACGAGGTGTACAGCATCCGAGCTCCGGAACAGCTGTCGAAACATGTCATCGAGCTGTGCAAGTGAGAAGACATCGGCGCTTGAGCCAACGAAGTCGTAGGCCGTTGCCAAGGGGCTTGTCTTGCGTGTTGGAGAGAAGCACATAACGAGGACCAAATGTGACTCCAGCTTGGCTTTTCGGGATTTATATCATTGTTGGTCATTTCATTTCGGGTTGAAGTATTTGACAGAATGGACAGAAGATGAACTGCTTCCTTATTCAGTATCGATCATTCGCTTAATCTATAAATTAGGATAATACAACGCCCCATTTCCCAAACACGGAGGAGACTACCGAACTATCAAAATGACGGAAAGACGTTCGGTCAGATTTTGGGCCGTAGGATTAGTGGAAATACATATTCTAATTCTATCGAGGAGAAACAGATGCAAATATCCTTTGTCGGGAACAGGGCTACTCCGCGGCGCTTACATACTCACGCTCTCGATCTCCGTTGAGTCCATTAATCCCTACCCCCTATTAGCTTAGTTTACATGAATGCCTATCAGTTTGGAGGGGTATAGAACAGGGACGCCCGAGAATGTATTAATCATTATGCGATATATAGATCAAAGTTGGTCACGAAAAAAAAAGCCAATACCCGGCGGAAGCACGAAGCACAAGTCCAACAAGAATATTAATTATTATATAAGTGACTACGATGCTTCTCGCGCTATTTAACAAGGCAAATTATTAATGTGTAAATACATCCCGAACCGGATGCTGCTTCCAGGCTGGGACCGTAGGCATGGTCCTCAGATAGTCGGCCGTGTACTGAAGGTGTTCGTTTAGATTCGCAATCATGCTCTGCAGCTCGTTCTTGAGCTGGTCTCGGGAACTGATTCCCTGCAGCACATTTGCCGAAGGCGGCATCGGGAGAGGCGGGAGAGGCGGCACCGATGAGCTCGGGAAGTCGTCAGAGAAATGCGAAGAGTTCTTCGACCAGGCCCTGTCCCGCCGTGGCTGCGGTAAGGCGCTCGGCATCCTCCCATCGTCACGCGGCGGGCTTGGCGATGGCGTGGCGCTTCGCAGCACTTCGAGCGTCTCCAGCGACAGCGTAAGGTCCGTCTCGTCAGTAATGTACATGGACGGCTCCCTATATGATCTCGGGTACGAGGTCGGCGGAAGGGAACGCGCCTCAAATTCGAGATCAAACGACATCGACCCAGTCATCGAGCTTGGAGAGGTGGCCTGCGATCCAGCTGTAGAGGGCCGAGTTACATCTGACGAGAACCCATCAACCAGGCTTGCGTCGAGGTCGATCAAGCTCATATTGGAGGCTCGATTGGCATAGGAAGGCACCAAGGTTGAAGCGGTGCTACTACTGGTTGACAGTATGCGTGGCCCGGCGGCAGAAGACTGCCAGTCGAGGTCGGGCACAAAGCTGGCGTCAAGGTCAATAAGGCTCATATTCGAAGCCCGATTCGATGGTGCAGTCAACCCCGATTCACCGGGAAAGCTGAACCCCTGAGCGGTGGAAGGTCTGACAATATCTACCGGCATGCTCACCAAGCTAGCGTCAAGATCAATCAAGCTCAGGTTGGAAGCTCGATTTGGCTGAGCCATCAGATGAGAGCTATGCGAGAACGGATACGGGTCGGCGGTGGCGGTGGCGGGACGTATGTCGTCGGCCATGCTGACTAGACTTGCGTTAAGGTCAATTAGGCTGAGGCTCGACTCCCGATTGTTTGACTGTGAGGGTGTAATCGAAATATCTGGGTGGAAACCGCTGCCGAATGAGGCGTCATCGCTTGAGTGAAATGTTTGGGCGGGGGGGATCTCGAGGTGGCCGCCAAGAGCAGAGGCGCTCCTGGATTGATAGTGTCCCAGGCCGAGGCTGGCAGGAGCCGGGGCTGGCATAGAGGGAAATGTCCAGTCTTGGGTCTTGCGTCGATCAGTATCATCCGTTGGAGCGCCAGAGAAAGGTTGCGCTCCGAGTCCAGGCTTAAGCGTCTCGAGGTTACCGTGGGAAGCGTCCAGGTCAATCATGGATTCTCGGAGAGTTGAGTGATCGGATCCGTCCCGGAGGGGCAGGTCGTTTGGCGGCGGCGAGGCCAGCTTGCCGTAAAAAACACGGGCGCTATCGCCGTAATTAGTGATGGTGTTGGGATCAAATACCCTCTCGAGCGGCGCTTTGAACTCTTTGATAACCCGAGGTTGGCGGCGGCGACGATTTGGCTTCTGCGGGGCGTCTTGTTCAGGAACACTAGAGCTCATGGCGTAGGCGTCAAGCACGGCTTGTGCCTCTGGCGTGTTTTCAATTCGGAACTGGTCGGCCTCATCGTCCTCGGTGAAATCCCACTCGTCGTCTTCCAGGTTTTGAGCTAAGTCTTCCGGTGCCCCCTGGGCGCCACCAGCCGAGAAGAGCGATCGCCTGCTCCCACCTTGCGACTCCCAAAGCTTGTAAGCGCTGACGAGCTTTGAAAGCGAGGCAGTCGGGTATCCGTCGTACGTGTCAAATACGTACGGATGTTTCTGAACTTGCTCGATCCGAGGACGTTGCCTTGGATCCTCAACCAAGCAGAAGGCGACGAGGCTTTTCAGCTGAGCAGAATACTGGTCGCCCTCCAAGCGTGGGCAGTACTGTTTCAAGTAAGAACCGAACTGGGGAATGTCGATGGAGGTAGTTGCGTTAGGTGGCAATCCCGAGGCGACCTCGTAAGCCATGGAGCCAAATGCCCAAATATCAACCTCCATGCCGTACGAGACGTTCGAATCGAAGAGCTCAGGGGCCATCCACTGCAGTGTTCCCGTCACGGTGCTTCTCTTGTCGAACTTGGTTTCCATGATGCCGGCGACTCCAAAGTCGCAGAGCTGGACACCTCCGGTCTCAGTCACCAGAACGTTTGCGCACTTGATATCGCGGTGGATAATACCCTGTCGGTGAACCCAGAAAATGGCTTCGGCAACTTCTCTGAGAATCGGGATGATCCACTTCTCGGGGAGACCGCCGGTTGGCCTCATCAGCGAGGAAACGCTGCCACCGCCGCAGTACTCGGTGACGATCCAGACAGACTGGTCGACGAGGAGGGTGTCGACGACGGCATTGATATTGCGTGCGCCGCTGGTGGTCAGCATCTTCAACGTGTTGACCTCTTTGAGGATATCGTTGAAGGTGTCTGCGGCGCCGGGACTGAGAGTGTCGCCCTCTTCGATGCTGATGATCTTGACGGCCACAAGCTGGCCCGGCCTGGTGCGGGTGCCGGTTGCCTTGTACACACGGCCAAAGCTGCCCTTGCCGATGAGCTCGGCTAGCAGATATGGCGGCGGCTCCTTGCCGGCCTCGGCGCACTGCCTCACAATGGACAGCTGGGCCTTGCGCGCATCTTCGATGGCCTTTAGCTTAGTTGCCGAGTAGTCGAAATCGGCCAGCTGAAGATTGCGCATCGTACCGACCCTTGCATCGGGGGTCCAAGGGACTGGAATTGGCCCTCAAGTTGCGATGGTGGCCGGCGATGTGAAGCCCGCAGGCAATTAATTTCACGGTGGCGATGGAACGTGACGGCGTGACCCACGCAGCGCAGGCTCAGGCTGCTGCTAATGGCTGCAAGCGGCTAGCTGATTGGGAGCTCTAGCAATGCACAGGCTGGGATGTGTAAACAGCAGCACAACCCAGGCCGTTTGTGGTGTCGATGGTCACTTGTTTCGTCGGAACGCCGATGAATGCGTTTCTGCACGTCAAGACGGCGTCGATGGCGGTCAATGGCGCGTCGCGCTCGAGCCTCTGGTCTCACCGTTCAATTTTCTTTTCCCCCTGTTTCATTTCACGATGGATCGGTGCCAGCCCCTTGCAATCGGCCCCACCTTATTCCGGCCTGCCCCTGTCCGAGGTGAATGGACCCGAGCCGGGCGGGGTCTTGGCAGCCAGAGGACGCGTCTCTGGTTTTGCTTCCAACGCATCGGCTTTTCTTTGGCTCTCGCAACAGCACCCAGAGCCCACCCAGCCCTTTAATTCATTGTGAATTAGACTGTCTGTCGCAGCCAAGCCTAGCTTGAATCAAAGCTCAATTTCAATTCACAAATGTGCGAGAAGGCGCCAAATGCGGCTTGCACAGCCAATTAATTGATTACCCCCTCGATATTTGTACAGTGTTGGGCCGGGACGACGGAGCGAAAGAGCAAGTCCTGTGCGGCCAGACATTTGGTGCGCCTTATTTACCCTGAAAAAAAATGATATTTGGCGGGAAGGTTCGTAAGTTGGCCAGTATAATTAACTCTGTCGGTGCCGTTCAATTGTATTGTTTGACTTTCTGCTACCATTACCGCGGCGAACACTTAATTGTATTTACGTTAGTAATAAGTCTAATCAGGGAAGTCGCTATTAGAGTATTCCGTAGACGAAAGAAAACGCAAGGTGAATAAACCCTTATTGCTCTTTCCGGTGAATAATAGATATTAGAAATAAGGATCAGTTTTGGGTTGGCCGAGGGGGAAATTCTTGAAGATACATCAACATAGGTATCTTGAAGATACATCTACATAGGTAGGTACTCTGTAATAAAAATTCCAGACCGACTCTACACCTGTCTGCTCGTTGCGGTCTCTCATCATCTCGAATAGTGTTGTGCCTTCTACTTACTACAAGAATCGGGGGTAAAGAAGACTTCACATGGAGCTCTAGGCGGTGGCAAGGATAACCACGCTGGGTTAGGAGGAGCATCACACTCGTCTGTCGACTTTGGAAAGCTGTCTTGGTCGTATTTTCTAATAATCAATAGATGTGATAAAAACGAGGCTGTGCCTGGTCTCTTATTCGGTACTGTGCAGTCGACGCGCCAGTTAAGTCTATTCCAAAATACATCAACTTTCGATTTTATACTCTGGTCAAAGGTCCTCTACAACGGCATTCAGAAGATGCGAGCCTTTAATACAGCGGAATATAATTAGGTCGTTACCTGGAGTCATGGTATGGGAAGAGGGTGCTGGGGAGTGCGGAACGTGTTGCACGCAGAAGTTTAGTATCTTCTGGTTCGTCCGCTGTTTCAGATTTATTGAATGCCTTCGTGCCCTGTATCTCTTCCACCACGGTACTGTTCAAATTCGGTGGCCTGTTGGGACTCGGAAGACCTGACAAGTTTTAGATATCTCGAGAGTCGGGGGTATTTTTGAAGATTAGAGTAGCCGTGAACTAAATCTCAGTGGATATCGTCAGTGAGGTCCTCTCGTGGCCGAAGCCGCTAATGAAAAGAGTTATCTGTGAGGTTCGATTAGATACACTAATACCGTCCTTCACGTGATTCGAATCACATGCTGTATTTAGGCAGCAACTATAGCTTTATTGTGATCAATGGGACAAACTTCTCCAGGCTTGTCTGTTATCAGCCACAAACAACTCCTACAAGCCTTCCTCAAAAATGTCCGGTATCTCTGACAGCTATCCAGGTGTAATTTGCCCCCCTCATACCTTGATAGCCCATTCAAAACAGACCATGGCGCTGACTGAGAGCTTTGAAGACGTGGTTCTATGCTGAAGACGACGACAAACATGCCCGCTTCAGTGGATACAAGCTGGGAAAGCCCACGGCAACCGCGTTTGAGATTGCCCTGGGGCTTCATCTCATGGAGCTAGAACGGCGGTATGGGAGGCGCCTTGGTCCAGACCCCTCAGGGGCTGCGCAGGTCGCGCAGGGATTCGCGAGTCCTAGCAGCATGCTCCATGTTTCCGGGAGCTGGAGCACTATTGCAGACGACAGACGAAAGCGACTGCGCGCCATGGACAAGTATGAGAAGGCCATCTATCGTGTTTTGGCAATCCACGATTCGACATTTCGCCGTGGCATGGACAAGGATACGTTCACGGAAAGACACAGGCGCTCTACGCTATGACGGAGGTGGAAGAGCGACCGGCAATTTAGGGCCAAGCGGAAAGTTGTAAACGGAAACCACAGGTTCAGGACTCAAATACTACTGTCGACATGGAGCCGGACCGGTCAGCTGTGGTGGTACTTCAAAGAACGGTCGTATATTATCCCAAGAGTTGTGCTATCGAGTGCGGGCATGTTTCTGATGAGCATCAAAAGACCATGCGGGTTGAAAATGGATGCAAGGTGAATTGGCGCTTCGCCATGGCGAATATACAAGCTGATAATTATTCCCGAATGTATGCACAGAAGAGCTGAACGCGCCTATTAAAGACAGTTCATCAAGGGTCGAGAACATAGCTAAATGGTAGGCCCCGTGTTCGCGAGAGGCTCTATTATACATCTATAACACACACGCCATCGTGGCCCCACTGGGAGTCTATTTGCAAGATGAACATGTGGACCATCTGCAGCATTTGCCACGGCGATACAACGTGCTCAACGCTGGACGAGCATCAAAGCAAAAATTCGTGACCCAGTCTAGTTTCCTGTTGTTCTAGTTTCCTGTTGTTCATGGGGTGCGCGCCCGCACAAACCTGTCGAAGCCGCCTGTGCTTCCACCTGAGTCTTCTTGCCCGGCTATTATGCCATTTCCTGATGCCTCCCCAGACCATTGCATCAAGGCACCCTCGTCTTCAACTGAACGCCATGCCATTCCTTCATAAGGTCCGCTATTGCTGCGTTGACGATGCGCTGTTGCTTGAGCATTGTCTGGCCGCGAAACTTCTCCGAGCTGACCTCTATGCCGTACATGGAGCCGCACCCGCCCGAGATGTCCTGGACAATCAGTTGGGTGGGCGCAAGCTCGGCTATCAGCCTGTCCCAGACTTGTGACTCGCCGTCGGTTAGGGATTGGGGTTTTTCGAGGCCCAAGTTCGACTCTTGCGTAGGTTCTTGGGGTTGGACTTGTTCGGAGGCGGAGGCTGTCGAAGTAGAGAATTGCCTTGGCCGAGCCGAGGGGGGCGATTTTCGTATCAGCGAGCGTGCGGAGATGGCTGGGGGTGCGGTGCGAGGAGGCTGTGTGCGGCCAAAGGCAATCGAGGAGAGCGACTTTGACGGCGTCGTTTGGAGCAGTGCTCGCGACAGTGGGCGAGCTCCAGCTTGGAGGCCACCCTGGCCCGCTCGTAGACACGCCTGGCAGATCATGTTTGAGCTAGGCGACAGGCAGCCTACACAGGTCAGTCTGATTAATTGCAGCAAGCACGGAGTTGCCTTCTCACCTGTACTGTGGTACGTACGCACGTCAAAATTCGAATCTTGAATCGCTTGTCAAGGGCCGAGGCAAGGTTCCAGAAGCAGAGTCATTTGTCAGCCCGCCCGAGCTCTTCCAACCGCCCGAGCTTTTCCAACCGTCCGAGCTTCGAATTGGCTGAAAGATTCTTGGCTGGCTGCCGGTGGAAGTGGGGCGAGAGGTGAACCTGAAAGGCCCCACTGCCAGGCCATTACCGCTACCCACGCCTGTTGTGCCGCTAAAATCTAGAGCTTCCGTTCTAGGCACCGGTGTGGTGTCTTCCATCCATACGGTAGGTCGTCTTCCACCTGGCTGCATGCGATCCACTGCGGGCGCAGAGCAGTGATGAAACGGCTCTAGTGCGTATAATCGTGGACTTGAAGTGTCTGGAAAGTCCATGTCAATCCGTCGGAATTTGACGGTGTAAAATATCCCACGGCAGATCTTTCGGAGCTCGCGCCTTCGCTCTCCCTGGCCACAGCGCACGCGCGACTTGGGTTGCCGTCCCTGATGTCATCTCAACCGTTAATCGTCTTGATCTTCACCCGTTGCACATTTGCTGGCTATGGTACCCTACAATAGAATGGGGATGCTATTTTGGAGAAGCCTCCTTTTAGCACACTCCCACGGTTCTCTATGATGGCCCAGCCAGAGCTGCTTCAACGTCACTAAACGCAAATTCAAGCACTGTTTTGTCACATCTGGTCTGCTGTGGACATGGTTGGGGTACGTATCTCCCGAATCTGGCAGCTGGAGGTTAGGTTAGCCCGGCACCCATCCCTACCTGTATCAAGACCGTGATGTTAGTACTCACAATGAGCCCGTTAAAATGGCTCGTGGCCGAGGCACGTGAAATTCTGCCCACCTGGGGAACCGACAGACAGGGTCACAGCACCGCCCCAAGCATATACGAGCTGGGTTGTGTTGGGTTGTGTATCTTCCCCCTGGGCGACATGCATCTGTTTCTGACTCGCAGGCCGCATCCGATGGCCTTTGAACAAGTCTAGAGTGTGGCGGCGTTGAGGGCACGCCTCGAAGATCGAACCCAGCTCAAGGTGCCGAGTACGGAGTACCTTTGGAGTGTTCTAGCATTGAGCCCCAATCAATGGCGGCTTTGTACCTATCCCGTCCGGCGAGGCGTAACGACAGGAGCCAATCTAGCCGGCAGCGGAACGGAAAAAGTTGTACAATATCAATCTATGCGCAACATGCTGGGAATATCCAAAATCCCTCGTCGATCTATATTGCACCCCCCTCTGAGCCTAGATCTTATCGATGCCGAGACGCCCAAGCGATGCGACGCCCACTGGTCGTTGCTATCATTGTGGATTGAACCACCAAAAACCTCCGTGGTTGACGCAATATCACCTTGGATGGCCACTGGTGCAACCCTGGCACGATGCTAATCCCGGGACCGATGCAAGCGAGCTCGCAAAGTCGTTCTAAAAAAAAAAGCAGCCTCCATTCTAGGATGGACGAGAAGCCGGCCATGTCCTTCGGTCCCTCTGTCTATCATGGCGTAGAAGGCATTTCTGCCAGCAGCAGGTGCCTTTCTGCCAGCAGTAGGTGCCTCGTTCTCTCTAGCGTCTGCAGCATCTCAGCCCGCGCCGACCGCAACTTGCGCTATGCACTGGCTTACCATGTTGAAATTGAAATCTCGGGATGGCGCCCTATTAGATGCACCCAGACATACGGCAAGCCACAACCTTTGCCTCCTCCCTAATAGAGACTGGCCCGTGAAACCTCGAGGAAGCACGACAGTTTCCATTTCGCACGATGTTGCATCTGAGAATATCCAGGTAGTCGGAACGGAGGCAATCGCGCCCAACCTGAGGGGGACACCAAGTTCAGGCCCACCAACCGTTACGGGGTGGGCATGTTCATACGGCTGGGTTCTAACAGGCTCTGGGCCTGCATCGACGTTGCAGCTGATTAAAGGTCTAGCCCCCGCACCTAAATACCCTACGTTAAGGTATGGATGATCTCATGAGAGAAGCAAGCCAGTGGCAGTGGAAGCCCACAGCGCGCCGCGGGGTAGTGGAGGTCGGTCCTGCAGGAACAAAGCCGCAGTGGGGGTTCAACCGTCCGCAGGGATCGCTTTACCACCCGGCCCCCGCATCCAATGAGTGGTGCCTCAGGTGCGGCATTGCTTTACTGGAAAGCAGAACAGCACAGCGAATTCTGCGGAACACATACGGAGGACCTGATCCGCTTCTATCTTATCTTGAGCTTTGCTATATCGAGAACACCAACGGTATCGTTGTCGCGGCCTACGCGTACATACATACATATGTATGTATGCACGGATACAGTACGTACGAATACAGGCTGCCTGAGGGCAATGTGCAGAGGTGGCTGGGATGGCACGGGCCGCTCTTGACTGCCGAAATCCGACCTCCCCAAAAGGGGCACAGGCAAGACAGTGCGCCCTTGTCCGCAAAGGGGAGGAGGTTAAACTTGAAGGGTCAACCCGGAGGGCGAAGGCCATGGCGAACACAAGCGATCACCGCGCTGCGCTCTCTTGCCATCAGACCTGTCAAGCAGAACGTCATGCATGGCGAAAACCTTCTCGACGCTTCTCTCCGCAAATGAACCGGAAGCTACGGAGACCGCTGGGCTCGAGCTAATTATTACACCACGACCGTCGGATTGGCAGGCGGACGGGCGGTTGGCTTTTTTCTGGAGCCGCCCAGGTTCGCCCTGCGTGGCATCTCTGTGCTCCATCATGCGTATTGGCAGCGCCGACACCCATTGAGCTGTCTTATAACGACGGTTCCCCGCAGAAAATGCAGCCCTGGTTTGGTACCTGTGCTAGGAGGGGACGCAAATTAATAACGGGACTTGGCAAAAGAGCCACATCCCCAATGGAGCATGCCCCGTTCCATTTTGCATTCCACGGCTACCACTCGGCCGGCCTGCCATCTCGAGCGACGACGCAGCACTTTCCATCTTGCATGCGCCCGCTCTGGCCCTCGTCTGCGCAGTGGCCCTCCGGCCAATGGGATCGCCCAATGGCACTGTTGATAAGATGCTGGCTAAATTCGGCCGCCATCAACCCCGAGGGCCCTACCCCGGACGTGGGACCGAGTTCGCTTCCTGGCCTTGCGCTTGGCGCCGATAATATATATAACATGGCGACAGTTGGCCTGTTGCGCACGCGAGACCTGGCAGTGACACGGTCTCGCAGCTCCCTATGTCGAGCGCGGTCCAGTCTCTCGGTAGCTGCGCAGCCGGTTCTAGTCGTTCACTCGTTTCTCGTCTGCCTCCCGCCTCCCCTCGCCCCTCGCCCCACCTGCTTTCCTTGACATCCCTTGCTTGCTGTAGCCTGCCTCTGGATCGCGAGCGGGAAACTACGCCATGGTCCGTCTAGACTGGTTAGCGGCGCTTCTGGCGACCGCAAGCCTTGCGCGGGCTGTTCCCAATGCGCCCCCCATCGTCCCCGGCGCCTACATCGTCGAGTACCAGGATGACCAGGTGAGTTGAGCTCGAGCCTGGCCGACCGCAAGCTGAGACGGGGGGAAATACTGAACCCCTCGCCCGTACAGGATTCCGCGGCGTTTGTGGAAGCTCTTCCCGGAGATGCTTCTCTGCGGAAGGACCTTCGCTTCCAGCTCTTCAAGGGCGCATCGATCCAGTTCCCCGACGCCGAGACAGCCGAGGACATGGCCGCGACAGTAGCTAAGATGTCCATTGTCAAGCGGGTGTATCCCGTCAAGCGCTACGCGATCCCGAATTACACAGTCCACTCGACGGGTAACGCCGCTGTCAATTCGGTGCTCTCGAAGCGGCAAGACGGCGCCAACGACACGTTCAGCCCGCATCTTATGACGCAGGTGAACAAGTTTAGGGATGCGGGTATTACTGGGACCGGCCTCAAGATCGGTATCGTCGACACAGGTGTAAGTCTTGTTGGGGGTGGCGAGGGTGGCCGGTGTATGGTGCACGGTGCCAGGTGCACGGTGCATTCCAGGCCATCGCTATGGGATGTCGGTTGCTAACGCGCAAGCCTAGACCGATTACCTCCACCCTGCTCTCGGTGGATGCTTTGGACCCGGCTGCCTTGTCTCGTATGGCGCCGATCTGGTGGGTGATTCGTTCAACGGCAAGAACACGCCAATGCCGGACTCGGATCCCATGGACAACTGCAACGGCCACGGCACGCACGTGGCGGGGATTATCGCGGCGCAGGCCGGTAAGAACCCCTACGGAATCCTCGGCGCGGCCCAGGGCGTCACGCTGGGGTCGTTCCGCGTGTTTGGCTGCTCAGGCGACGTGAGCAACGACATTTTGATCGCCGCCTACAACATGGCATACGAGGCCGGGAGCGACATCATTACCGCGTCCATCGGCGGGGCATCTGGCTGGAGCGAAGACCCGTGGGCGACTGTCGTGTCGCGTATTGTTGCCAAGGGGGTCCCGTGCGTCGTCTCGGCCGGCAATGACGGGAGCGATGGCATATTCTATGCCTCGACGGCCGCGAACGGCAAGGCTGTCACGGCGATTGCGTCCGTCGACAACACAGTCAGCCCTTCCCTGCTCTCTAACGCCACGTACACCGTGAACGGTGGGGCGCTCGCGTCCTTTGGCTTCACAGCTGGAGATCCCGATGCCTGGGCTAATGTCAGCCTCCCGCTGTGGGCTGTCAGCTTCAACACGACTGACCCTGCCAACGGATGCGACCCCTATCCAGCCTCGACGCCCAATCTCGCTGGCTACGTCGTGCTGGTTCGCCGAGGCACTTGCACGTTTGTGCAGAAAGCAAGCAATGCTGCGGCCAAGGGCGCAAAGTACGTTATTTACTACAATAACATCGGCGGCAGCAATGGCGTGACGGCTCAGGTGGCTGGTATCAAAGGCGTTGCCATGGTCACCGCCAACACAGGTGCGACGTGGATCAAAGCGCTCGCGGCTGGGTCCAATATCACGGTCAACATGATCGATCCCGAGACGGGCCCAATGTTCCTCACCAACTTCCCGAACACAGACACCCCGGGGTTCTTGAGCACCTACACCAGCTGGGGGCCGACGTTTGAAGTCGACGTCAAGCCGCAATTTTCCACGCCCGGAGGCATGATCCTCTCGACATACCCTAGAGCCCTGGGCTCGTACGGTGTGCTATCTGGAACCTCCATGGCCTGCCCTCTAGCGGCTGCCATCTACGCGTTGATCATCAGCGTCCGTAAAACAAAGGACCCAAAGACGCTCGAGAACCTCATTTCGGCCACGGCACATCCGAACGTCTTCCAGGACGGCAGAAACTCGTATCCCATCCTGGCGCCAGTGCCTCAGCAGGGTGGTGGTCTGGTCCAAGCCTGGGATGCGGCTCACGCAACTACGATTTTGAGTGTTTCTAGCCTGTCCTTCAACGACACTGATCATTTCAAGGCTGTTCACTCGTTTGACATACAAAACACGGGAAAGACTGACGTTAGCTTCTCGCTCGGCCATATCGGCGCGGCTACCGCCTACACGTTCGCCACAACCGCTGACATTACACCTGATACGTTCCCCAACGAGCTGGACGACAGCATCGCGACTCTCTCGTTTGGCTCTAGTGGCAGCGTTGCTGTTGCTGCGGGGCAGACCAAGACGGTCCAAGTCACGGTTGTGCCACCCGCAGGTCTCGATGCCAAGCGCCTGCCAGTCTACTCGGGCTACATCACCATCAACGGATCGGACGGGTCGGCATTCTCCCTGCCATATCTCGGTGTCGCCGGCAGTATGCACGGCGCCGTGGTGCTCGATAAGTCTCAAACTCTTCTCAGCCATTCATTTGACAGCAAGAGTGCACCCGTGGCGGCGAACTTGACCTTTACGCTACCACCCCCGGGTTACGCCAACGACACGGCCTACAGGAACAAGACGGACCAGCCTAAACTAGTCGTCACACTGGCTATGGGAAGTGCGCTCGTTCGGGCTGATCTCGTGGCGATCGGCAACGGCACGGTTACGAATGCCACTACCATTCTCGGCACCACAACGCTCGGCTCGGCCGACGAATTCCCCTCGTATTGGAACACGCGCGGCCCTTTTGAATACACGTTTGATGGCAAGTTGGCGGACGGCACCTTCGTCCCGCCCGGCTTGTACAAGTTTGCCGTCAAGGCGCTGAGGATATTCGGAAATCCAGAGCTGGCCAGCGAGTACGATGCCACAGAATCAGTCCCGTTCAGGGTGCGATACACATCTCTCCCAAAACGGAGCTTGATTCGGGGCATGGCGTGAAGCCTGCGTGGCTGAACGGCGGCGAAAGCTTCCTGGCCCTTGTGAGAAAGTGGGCGTTTGCTGTGAACGAGGTTGAGACGGGACGAAACGGCGCTTGCGGCGTCGACACTTATCTACATGCGATTCTTTCTCATTAGAGCAATAGTAATACATCGCAAATATCAACGTGACTTCATGGGTCTCGTTAAATCCTTCACCTTTCCAGAGAGTATGGAATCAAGTCTCATCAAATGTTGTCATATTACATCTGGCCCCTGTCATGATGTAACGTCTCAGCGCCCGAAAAGAGCAGCCTAGAAAGACATGTGCTGTTGCTGACAAGCATGGAGCTTTCACGGGTTGAGATTGATTTAGATCAAGCCTCGTGATAACGAAACAACATGACCCACAAGGTTCGGGTTTGCTATGTAGGTAGAACAAGTGAACAGCTAGCCGCAAGGGATGGAGGAGAAACAGCCACGGAAGCCCAACATTGCAAAGGAAATAAACTCCGAACGAAGCAGGGCCAAGATAGGACGACAAGACCGAAAACCCGACACTTTTTGAACATCCTCTTCAATGGATAATAACTTTGGCACCCGTGTTTAAGGTAGTGCAAACGGAATTTTCTAGATGGGCCAGTTTATGAATTCGATTGGCATCATGTCCGAGTCCTCCGCGGGCCTGTTTTTCAAGATCAGCGTCATGCATGCAGGACGCATTCAGATCTGAAATGAGCAGGTTCCGTTCGGCCTTGCTCACTTCATGGCATTTTTCCATTGAACTCAAAGCAACGTGAATACCTTTTATCTTGCCCAGTGTTTCATCGCGGCCGGTGGTGGGGCGGTAGATTGGGATTCGCGATGTGATGCTGACCTTTGATCTCTTCCAGATTGGGCAAGTGGCTTACCCCTAACGCGAGTCGGCTCGGGAGTCGAGACCCTGTCACCGAAATTAATTACACTACAAGGCTTGAAACAGTCGGAAATTTGGGTGTCGCTCGCCCTCTGGTTCGCACAGACCGTTGGCGAGATCGGCGGCGTCTAGCGCCCAGGGATCTCACTTGGCCATGTGTCAGGTGCGTCATTAATGGTGACGTTGGGCCGAGGAACAGGAAACGATCGGCTGTCTCCATCCACTGGGGAAGAGGCTATTTGAGCGAGCCAACGGCCGTTGGGAGACGCTCAAAAGGGGGGAGGGGGGGCTGGGGGGAAACAAGGAACTCTTTAACTTACTAGGCACCTCAAGAACCGGGGTCTGCACCTCCAAGCCACGATTCTGCGTGTCGTAGAAAGAAGGGCCGAGACGTCCGACGGTGATGAGGCTGATGACGGATCGCCTGTCCGCGACACTGGCTATTGAGATCAGCACAACAAAAAAATCACTGCTGTTGCGGCTCCGGGGAGCAAGCTTGCATCCGGGCTCACTGGATCGAGTATTTATCATGGCATATGCCACCTCGTCTTCTCGTCCAACTTCCATCCTCACGCTCACACTCGCTCAGCCATCTGTCTACCTGTTTTCGGTTCCTTCACCACCCCGTCAGTCTTTACAGCATTCCAACTCAAGTCGCTCGTTGCAACACGGTTTCCAGTTCATCCTTCAGTCGCTACCATGAAACTTTCCATCGCCCTTCTTGCCGCTGCCGCTTTCGGCTCGGCCCTGGCCGCCCCCCAGATTGATGCCCACCTCTGGGCGACGTCTTCGTCGACAAGCAGCACTAGGTCTACGACTTCAACATCGTATTCCACTCGCACCAGCACAAGCTCCACCACTACCACTAACACCACCCCCAGCACCACCTCCAGCACCACATCCAGCACTACGACCACTCTCTTGCCCTCCACTAGCTCGTGGTCTCGAGGATGGAAGGCCCCTGAGACCTGGTCCGTCCCCATTCCTACTACCGCCGCGATTAAGAAGGTCACGTTCGCGAACGCCAAGGACGCGGCCAATGATGCAAACGACAAGAAGACGCGCGTCAACAATGACATTGATACTGCCAGTATGTGTTTCCGTCCCTTGACTCGCCTTGCCGATAGCTGACCCAATTTCTTCACAATTACAGACAAGGTCAACACTAACAGGGACCTCGCCATTGTCGCTATCGGCACTCTCAACACCGACCTCGACGACCTCTTGACTGACGTGGGCATTCTCGTCGCGGATCTGCTCACGGATCTCGGGAATGTTGCTGAGGACGTTCTCGTCCTTGTGGCTGCCCTTCTCGTGGACGTTGCCGTCATTCTCGTCAACCTGGGAACCGTGCTCACCACCATAACCACCAGCACCAGCGTCGGTGAGTGATATTACTGCCCCGGCCTCATACTTGCCCTCCCCACACACGGGATGCATTCTCTGTCGAGTAAATACTGACACAGAAAAACAACAGGTCTCGTGCCCGCCCTGGTCATCCTGCTCGAAGTCCTTGTCGTCGAGGTGCTGGCGCTGCTGGGGCCCATCATCAACAACGCCCTGATTCTCGTCGCGGAGCTGGTCCACTTGGATGTGCCCCTCGTCGTCTCCCAGATCACCACTACCGTCAACACCATCACAACCGCCGTCTACGACATCGACGTCATCCTGCAGCCCGTGGTTGGCGGATTCCTCACCGTCTTCACCTGAAGCTCTGACAAGGTTGCCAAGCCGGCTCCGAAGACATCCAGGGAACCTGGCCCGTGGCTGCCCCTGGTGTTGTATTGTCTTGGACCAAAGGAAGTGAGGCTTTTGTGTGCGTGTCTGTGTAATAAATTGTTCGGCGGTCAGAAGCGAGATGGCTAGTGTTTGTTCTGTCGGGTCTTCTAGTGATAATGAAACGTGGTTTGGCGGAGGATTCGCTATTAGATACTTTTACCTTTTTCGAAAGGAATAATATTAATGACAATGTGGACATCCTCTCAACACTTCTCCTTTCCTATTTTCCCGATTGTTCTGTTCAGTATCTCAGGGTCAATAGGATAATTTGCGAGGCTCGAACTAATTTTCCGCTATTAAAATTCTTGGTGAGTTTCTTGCTTGTTGTTGGCAGAAGTACGTCACTCGTGGTTGAAGAAATGGCGAATTGGATCTAAATTAGAACTAGGAGCATGCTACGTAATAACTGCGAAGGCCCTAGATGTCTAGGTAGGGCCCTGTCATCCAACGTCAAGTTAGAGACCAAATCCCGCGCCATCTTCCCCCTGAAACATAACCCTCTCTGTTTCCTGCCTCGAACCAGCTAGAGTTTAATTTCTCCTTGGCATTTCATTTTTCTTTCTTTGTTTCAAGTTCCCATAGATTTATAGCTTGCTCCTACTCTCCACTTCTTCGTTCAAGAAGCAATGCTTGGAAGGTGCATACACCCCTGTAAGTTGGGGTAGAATTATATGATTGCATGCTGCCGTGCTAGGCCTCCGGCGCTAAGAGACCAAAGACCCGGTACCCAATAGCAGCCCCTGTTTTGTTATTTTGCTATTGGATGTTAATTGATAAATTAGGGTTAAAATCGGCTTTGGACAGATAAACACGCAAATGAACGCTTTGCGCAAAAGGCGACGGCACTTTTGAACCCGATATTAACCTCGATCAGGTACCTTACCCACGGATGTCTTTTTTTTCTCGTCCTTTTGTTGACCTTGTCGAAAACAGGTCAAACCATAGACGCAACGCAAAGAATGGACACCTTAGCTCTCAAGCCTTTGGTCCCAGTCGGGCTGACCACCACCCAGAGCCATGGGCAAACAGGAAATCGAGGAAGAACATCAACTCCAAAGTCGCAGACTGTCAGAGCCCCCAGCATACGACGACGAGAGGTCAGCCCCCGAGACTCTCGAGAAGCCAAAAATTGCGTCGAGCAGCCGGAAGCGCGACGCCCTGCTGTGGACGAGTATGAAAAAGGATCAGTGCCTGGAGTTTGTGGTTTGCGATGCCGATCGGGGTGACTACCGGGGACTCGAAGGGCAAGAGAAGCCGAATGCCAATGCCCAATACTCTTAAGATGGAGCAGTAGTTGCCTTGCCTGCGGCTCCCCTAAGGGTTTTCGCCGAGGGAGGCAATAGCTGTGTAAATCCGTACATTAGAATCCTAGAGGCTTGTACGTTCTCTATAAATAGTTATTTCTAATTGAAGACTTTATTAGCCGGTTTATTCGTTGTTCTCCTTTCCTTCCTAAGTACCACGCAACCAGATCAGGTCCAAAAAACCGGGGTTCCTGCAACAACAAATATCTCATTACTGTTAAGCCAGTTCAACTCTCCCGCCCAAGTCTGCAGAGCACGTGGATATCACGGTTGAGCTCGTGGTAAGTGCGGGTATCAATTGTTCAACAATGACGACGGAGTTAGACAAACGCTAGGCCCCGCACGACGGTCGACAGACCATACAGACTCCAACCCATCCCTAGAGGGCTTGAAACGCTGGTTTGGTCTGATTAACCAACAAACCGCAATGGAGAGACGATACATCGTCCCTGGTTCCCCAACGGATACTCTCCTCAGCGTCGTGGAGACTGAGGGCTATCTAGTCGCAGCCATATACGATATCGTCACCAACTACCCACCGCGCCACAGATATCCCCAGGAAACCCTGCATGGCCTTTGGAGAGGTCCTACCGGCCTGGCGTATCTGTTCCATCGAGTCTCGGTGCGCAGGCCAGATCTTGTTGTCGGCAGTGAAAGAGGCCTCTACTGGGCCCAGGGCTATATCTCTAGATCTCGCGACCACAATCTACGCCTCGGCTCTCACGGATGTGGTATAAGCGATGAGAGACTAGCTTTCGATCATCTCTCTGCGGTCCCACTTTCCAGAGCTGCGGGACAAGATCGATGGTGCAATAGACAAAGGACGGAAGTGCATCTGGAGCCAGGGGATGTTACTCAAAGAGCCTTCGCTCTATCACGGCCTCTTCGGCAACGCTCTCCAGCCGCGGCGTGAGTGTGGATGTTTTGGAGAGAAAATCAGCCGACGATTTTCTGCTACGATGACATTTAATCAACGGTTCGGAACCATTCTAGATTCCTCAAGCCTGGAAACCTTTTGAAAATGTCGCTAATTAAACCACCCTTTGCTGAGTATCCTCGCGGCTCGGGGAGAAGTAAAATGTAAATAATGGAAAGGAGGTGCTCGCTTTAGATAGTTGTGATTAATTGGTTGGGAAGCTACAGTTCTTCTTCGTTACAAATTCCAACATTTCGGTCTAAAGACAAAACCTTCATCTAATTAGCAAGTAGCGTGTTCGTTGTTGGAAGTATTTGCCATAAGGTTCCTTTCTAGGCCTTTTTAGAAGTCAATCACTAGTACGAGATTAGCGAGGTGGATCGTCAAGCAGTTAATGAATACGGGAATAGGAGCCGTGACTACAACCCTGCACCAACCATGAAACGCTAAGACGTTTGAGCGAGGCACAAAAGACTAGGTACCAACAGACCCAATGTCACGCTCGGGATCTATATCGAGCTGTGATCTGCACCGGTACGAGGTTCCGAGTTTTCGTCCTGGTTATGCCACAGTCTGGCCGGAGCAGTCGCTGATGGGTCAGGGTTCCAAACGAAATGTGTCGACTTGGTGCAATTGTGTTCTAATTCTGTTTCACTATATGTTCCTATGAGTGTGGCTGGCTATTTTGCTAATTACAGAATCCCAGCCCGGCGTTTGTTAAACCCTTTGCCGCACAGTTAGCGATACAGCCAGTGGATTGAACTTTTGGAAGGAGTCGGCCCCCAGCATGATGGTTCGCCCTGAAAATATGAACTAGACACCACGTTCCAGTAACGTTCCCGGTGGCTGAGTGGGCAGTGCTCGCCTGCGTTGCATTTCGGCAGAATTTCATCGTCATTTTCCCGGGTCTGCTGGTTCCAACAGCCCTACAGGATCCTAAAAACAGCGTCGGATGCGGTGCCAGTGCCGAGGAGGATTCGGCCCACTGGCTTACCGGTGTTCAGGCAGAATACGAGGCGACTACCAACAGCATAACTTGCAGAGGCTTGGCTGGCGATACGATGGCCAGAGTCAGCTCTGGTACAATCATCACGAGGTGGAACACAATACAATCCCTGTGACGTAAAGGTGCGAGTTGGGGTCCAAATGGAAGAATATAAGGCAGGTCGAGCTCTCGCTTTCTCCAGCCAGATAGTTCACAAGACAAACCTCACTCGCCCTCAACAGCTCAATCCGTACGTAAACTACCACTGCATAACTTTCACCCACCAAACTTCAAATTCACGTCAGACTTCTCCCCAGCCCAAATCAATCAACTCTCATCACGATGCTATCCGCCACCTTCCTCGCCCTTGCCACTCTGGCCGCCGCATCCCCCATCACACCTCGTCAAAGCGGCAATGCTCCTTTCAGCTGGGGAAAAGCGTACTCTCTCGTTGTCAATGTCACCGATATAAGCACCGACTTCCAGTCCAACCCTGTCCACAGACTCAAGGTTGTCGGGGTCCATGCCGGAGCAGGCCTCAATTCTCCCACCGTCACCTTCAATCCCGAGTCTCACGGCGATGTCTTTTTCAATTCGCTCACGGACCATACGGTCCGGCTCTCTGGCGGCACCCCATCCCTCCCGCCCATGGGCGTAAAGCTCTACGACAACAACCCCTCTGCCGGGAACCCGCCATTCCTGCACGAGCTGGGATTCAACTTTGGCAACGGAACCTGGGGGTTCGGCGCGTCCGCCGGTCCGCTCAACCCCCGCCCGTGCCCGCAGTTGTGGGCGCCTCTCGAAGGCACCTTTGTTGTGTGCGACCGCGGTATTGACGCGCCAACTTATCCGCGTTTCGCGGTGCAGTTTGTCGAGGGCCAGGCCAACTCGGGAACTCATACATGGTACCAGCCAGAGCCCCACATCCCGGCCAACTGTGTTGCCGTCAAGCTCGTGCCCGAGTGTGCGACGCCGAGCGAGAATGACGGGAAGAGCAGCAACGGAGATGTGGAAGTGGAGAACGTGCAGTGCTACCCGGATGTTGGTGCCATTCAGTGGACCGAGTATTCGGAGTGCTGGTGAAGGAGTTTGATGCAATTATTAGATGGCCAAGTGTTTTGTTAGTTAACTATCGTGCAAACAGTCTGTGTTATTGCACAGACAGTTTGGGACCACGAGACTTTCAGGTTAATGATAATAGTCAGACAAGAACGGTGATGGAGTTATGATATATGATTCAAGGACTCGAGTTCCTCATATTCATCAGTGCAAGGTTTATAGATAGTCGGGATGTTTCGAAAATCGGGATTCGCAACAAAGCAAAAGACTCCAGCCTCCAGCATGAGTCCATCTAACAAAGCCTTATCCTAGCCAGACCCACAAATAACAACAAACGCCAAGATATAGTTTACAATCATTCTAATACCAAGGCACAGAAATAGGCAATTACCAATATTCAGTGGTGGTTCTCGGACAGGGTTTTAAGCAGCTGCGCAGATGGCGAACAATATCTAGGCGCAACTGCAATTAAATGCAAATAAATGACGGACACAAAATTTCCCTCTCGATCTTGCAACTATTTTGTGTGCAGGGTGCTCAGAACGATAGGAAATCTTGAAATTAGGCCGATCTATCGCATCAGCGACTTTCGAGCCAGTGACCAGGAGAAATCTTGGCTTTGGCATCGCGGCGCTGAGAACTAGTGGGGAATGGGGGTAATTGTTCCGTACCCCTGGCTCGAATACACAGTAGATATTATGTGATGCGCGCTAGAAAGGTAATCCGATGCCTTGTGGCGTCCACGTGTCATTGCGTTAGAAAGCAAGCAAGGGATTTGAGCCAGCAGAAGTGATGTGTGTACCGAGCCGCCAGACCAATCCCCATGCTGCACGTTCTCAAAAGTCGTCATGGGGAATTGCTGTTGCAACAGCTTGAGCGGCAAATCAGACGGGGATTTGAAATGGTCCGTCCATGGCATCGGCAACCCCTCATTAGCACTTCGCCGAATCCCGAGCGCCGAAGAGCCTTGAAGTCTGCGCCAATAGGAAGGCGCGAATTTAACATCAATCGAACGACACTTCCTCGTCACAAAGCTGCCTCCAGTGGAGTCTGCCAGGGATATTGCGTTATCCCGAGCTACCTTGCGGGGAAGTAAGAACTGAGGCGGGGCTGGGAGGCCCACATGTCGCCTTCGTTAGGGGTTAGCGACATGGGAAGGACACTGCGGGGTCAAGATGATCGACAATAGGCGGGGGACGTGGGAGCCACCTGTGAACGGGCCCTGTAACACGCTGGCACCTCACGAAGGCCAGGTGCCGCCCCCCTGCCGCGGTCAATTCGGATAAGAAGTGCGGGGTATTCTCCGTGCCATTGTGCCATCCTCGTTCGATATTCCTCTTGGTTCGCCTTTTTTTTTGTTTCCAGGGCGCACTCGTCGATTGACATTCCTGCCTCGCTTTTTTTTCTTCTGCAAGACAGTCGAAGAACCTACCTACCTACCTCGATCCGTGACCACGCGATCACGAAGCTGACGAACAAGTCCTAAATCATGGCCAAGTGTCCCATCAAGCACGCCAACATCGGAGGCGGCGGCACCAAGAACCGCGACTGGTGGCCCGACGAGCTCAAGCTCAACATCCTCCGCCAGCACACGGCGGCTACAAACCCCTACAGCAGCGAGTTCGACTATGCGGCCGCCTTCAAGAGCCTCGACTATGAGGGCCTCAAGAAAGACCTGCACGCGCTGATGACGGATTCGCAGGACTGGTGGCCCGCCGACTTTGGCCACTACGGCGGTCTCTTCATTCGGATGGCGTGGCACAGCGCCGGTACCTACCGTGTCTTTGACGGCCGCGGCGGTGGTGGCCAGGGCCAGCAGCGCTTTGCCCCCCTCAACAGCTGGCCCGACAATGTTAGTCTCGACAAGGCCCGCCGCCTGCTGTGGCCCATCAAGCAAAAGTACGGCAACAAGATTTCGTGGGCCGATCTTCTGCTCCTCACCGGAAACGTCGCCCTCGAGTCCATGGGCCTCAAGCCTTTTGGCTTCGCCGGTGGCCGCCCCGATACCTGGGAGGCCGACGAGTCGGTCTACTGGGGTGGCGAGACGACGTGGCTGGGCAATGACGTCCGCTACTCGAACGGCAAGGTCGGCCCCGGCGCACACGCCGTGCTCGATGGCGACGAGTCCAAGAAGGACCACACCGACATCCACTCGCGCGATCTCGAGAAGCCGCTCGGCGCCGTCCACATGGGTCTAATCTACGTCAACCCCGAGGGACCCGACGGCATTCCCGACCCTGTCGCCTCGGCTCGGGACATCCGCACCACCTTCGGCCGCATGGCCATGAACGACGAGGAGACGGTTGCCCTGATTGCCGGGGGACACACGTTCGGCAAGACACACGGCGCAGGCCCTTCGGACAACGTCGGCGTGGAGCCGGAGGCGGCTTCCATCGAGCAGCAGGGCCTCGGCTGGAGCAGCAAGTTCCGCTCCGGCAAGGGCCCCGACGCCATCACCAGTGGCCTCGAGGTCACCTGGACCTCGACCCCAGCCAAGTGGAGCATGAGCTATCTCGAGTATCTGTTCAAGTTCGAGTGGGAGCTTACCAAGAGCCCGGCTGGTGCCAACCAGTGGGTTGCCAAGAACGCCGAACCCATCATCCCCGATGCTTTCGACCACAACAAGAAGCACCTGCCCACCATGTTGACGTCTGACCTTGCGCTCATCCGCGACCCCGCGTACGAGAAGATTTGCCGCAAGTTCCTCGCCAACCCCGATCAGTTCGCTGACGCCTTTGCTCGTGCCTGGTTCAAGCTTCTGCACCGTGACATGGGCCCGCGGTCTCGCTGGCTCGGCCCCGAGATTCCGTCTGAGGAGCTGATCTGGGAGGATCCCATCCCAGCTCTGAGCCATGCCGTCATTGACGATGCCGACATCGCTGCCCTCAAGCAAGAAATTCTGGCCACCGGTGTCGAACCCTCCAAGCTTATCTCGACCGCCTGGGCGTCGGCCTCGACGTTCCGGGGGGGCGACAAGCGCGGTGGCGCCAACGGTGCTCGCATCCGCCTTGCCCCCCAGAAAGACTGGGAAGTCAACAACCCGGCCCAGTTGGCCGAGGTTCTCAAGGCCCTGGAGGGAGTCCAGCAAAAGTTCAACGCTTCTGCGTCGAGCGGAAAGAAGGTTTCCCTGGCCGATGTCATCGTGCTCGCAGGTTCAGCAGCGCTCGAGAAGGCCGCTGGTGTGTCGGTTCCCTTTGCACCCGGCCGCAATGACACTTCCCAGGAGCAGACAGATGTCGAGTCGTTTACGCACCTCGAGCCGGTCGTAGATGGATTCCGCAACTACGGCAAGGGGGCATCCCGTGTGACCACGGAGCAGTTCCTCGTCGACCGGGCTCACCTCCTGACCCTCACAGCCCCCGAGCTGGCTGTCCTGGTCGGTGGCCTGCGCGTCCTCGGTGCCAACTACGATGGCTCCTCTCACGGCGTTTTCACCACACGCCCAGGCAAGCTGACCAACGACTTCTTTGTCAATCTCTTGGACACCAACACGACCTGGAAGGCCACTAATGGCGAGATCTACGAGGGATCGGACCTCAAGACGGGAGCGAAAAAGTGGACCGCCACCCGTGCTGATCTCGTGTTTGGCTCGCACGCGGAGCTGCGTGCCATTGCCGAGGTCTATGGCAGCGCGGATGGGCAAGACAAGCTCGTCAAGGATTTCGTGGCGGCGTGGGTGAAGGTCATGAACCTTGATCGTTTTGATCTGAAGCATGCGACCGCCGCTTCAAACCCCAAACTCTAGGCTACCCACACAGCACGAGCTGTTCTAAAGTGGTTGAGGTCATTTCTCTGATTAGCCGATTTTAGAATGCCACAATAATTTAAGCCAGGCTTTCAGCGGATGCATCTTTCAACTCTGTGCACTCCGGTTCTTTTATGCACATCATGATATGTTATTGGCCAACTTTGCTGTCTTGAAATCATTGAAGCAACTCAGAATCACGATTCAACGTGTTATTAGACACGACGAGCAAGCCGTCTAAGATAATGTCGAGCGCACGAAGACAACAACGCGTTTAGGGTATGAATACACTGCCGAGTATTACAGTACAGGCATGCTAATTACACATGGTCATCGGAACATGGATCCAGCTCGTGTCATCACTTGCCATCCTTGGCCTTGTCGACGATCTGCTGCGCCTTCTTGGCCTTGTCCTCGAGCACCCGCTTCAGCTCTTCCTTCGTCTCCTCAAGGAGGCGTTCGCCCTCATCAGAGTGCTTCTTAACGACGTCAGTCAGCAGCGACATGTTTTGCTGTATCTTCTCGCCTGTCCCGTGTGACGTGACACCAAGGAACTGCCCCAGTGCCGCGAAGCTTGCGCTGCCGCCTCCCATCAGCGACTCCGCTCCCTCGCCCGTCGACGACTTGGCCTTGTCCACCGCCTTCTTGATGTAGTCCTCGAGCTTGCTCGTGTCCCCGCTCTCCACGGCACTCTTCGCCTGCTTGAACAGCGCGGACGCATTTCCCTGCTTGAGGAGCTCCTGGTTGTCCATGATGAGCTGCTTGACACGCGGGCTCTTGTCCAAATAGGGGCGCGCCTGCTCAAGCCCCTTCTCCCACACTTGATCGCCCAGCTTCCGGAGTTTCTCCAGCTTCTCCTCGACCATCTTCTTCACCTTGTTCGCGTTGTCGGCAGTAAACCCGCCGGCCATGACCTCCCCGACCTGGTCCCACGTCTCGTCCACCATCTTCTTAGCCTCGGGGCCGTATTTCTCGCCCATCTGCTTCAGCTGAGACATGGGCTCGCCGACCTTATCTTTGAGCTGCGGGTGGTTCTCGAGAATCTGCTCGGCTGCGCTCCCGGTGAGCTTGGCGAGCTTCTGCGCCAGGTCCGTGAGGGCGTCGTAGGATTTTGACAAGGTCTCCATGTTCAGCCCGGACTTGGCAATGTCCTGGAACTTGCGGTATGTGTCGTCGACGAGCTTGTCCACCTCGTCGCGGTGGCTCTCGCGGACCGTGTCGAAGTCGTGGAAGGCCGTGTCGACGTACTGCCGGCCGCCAGGGATCCAGCCGACGTACGCGTAGCAGATCTGCCTGATCCTGTCAACGGCTTCGTCTGCGCTCGGGGCCTTGTCGCGCATGGTGGAGGCGACTTGCTGGTATTTAGTGTTGGCTTCGCGGGCCGCCTTGTTGATCGCCGTGTTCATCTTACCCGACGGGGTGAAGAGCCAGATGCCGTAGAGCAGCGACGCGCTGGCGAGGCCACCGGCAACGCCTGAGCTGATGTGCGATGCGCCTGAGCTATTGGCTCCCGAAGTTGGGCCCGTGGTGCCCGAGGATTGGAGGCGGCGCTGGGGGCCCTTCCGAGAGATGCGGGGCACACGGGGGAGGCATGCTTCGCACGAGCGTGCGGCTCGTGGAGCGGCCTGGGCGACGCCAAATGATCGCGTCGTGAACATTGTGGCTCGTGGGGTTGGAGGGGTGCAGCAGTTCGCTCTGGTGGGATATTTATGGGGGGTGGTAAAAGTCAAGGGTTGGGCTTGAGCTGCCGGTTGTCAGTGTCGGGGCGCTTTCTGGAGATGGCGAGGTGCCGAGATTGGTAGGAAATGCAGATTAATTCCGGCGCTTTGCACACACCAAGATTCGTTATTTGTGTGGCATGTGAACCATTTCGCCAGCGTCCTGACCTTCTACACGTGGACATGACGTACGGAAACTGCCCAGGTATATATGCCTTTGCTGATTGGTTGGATTCGGTCGCCAGCGCAAACCGGTGTTTCTATGACGTCAACGACTCCATTGGCGCTGGGTGTGACGCCCCTATTTCGGGGGCCCGAATGCACCCTGCCCAAGGCATTATTACACGCATGCAGGACCTTCAATTAGAACTACCCCCACCGAGTTAATCTACAATCTAGTGGCGCTGATGGATTGAAGCACAGGGTGGGGATGAAAGAGACGGCATGACTTTTTAGCGTTGCGCTACAATTGCACGCAAGGTGTGGACATGATTCTGGGGACTACTTTAGCTGCATAGCAATTCGGTAGGCTGTCCGTCTAGGTAACTATAGCTTTCGTAATGGGGCATTCGTTTCAAGTTTGTGATAAGAACGGTAAATGGCAATCATTCGCCTTGGCCCTCTGCGGTGTCGCCTTCTTCAGTCTCGATTGCGTTGCAGAAATTAGTTTAATTAAATCTAGCACCAATAAAGCAGCAGCAGCAGAAGTCCGTGTGGGCCAAATCTGACTTCGACTCTGATGACGAACCCGCGTCTGAACCCACATGACTCTACGCGGCAGGAACTGGTTCTCTCTGTATCATCCGATAAACGTAGAATCATCAATTGACTAATCGGGACTGCTGCCGAATCGACTCTTGCGTGCTTCTCTCCTTTAAAAACTTGCCGTGACTCGATATGAACAAAGCGAAGAGGTTGTACCCACCTTACCTAGGTGACTTTTATCCACGAGCGTCAAAGGCGAATTACTGTAATCTCTTTTACCCATCTCCTTTGTAACATTTTGACACCAAATAACATGAAAAACTATTAATAGAATTGGCTTTGAAGAAGGTGAGTAATAAAGACGCTGTTATAAAAGACAGTGGATGCTTGCGAGTTGTCTTTTTTAATCCATCCAACTTCCCCACTCTCTACTCTAATTACCCATTTACGCCTCCTTCTTCCCTCACAGAACACCCCATCAGACCCCAATAACAACAACATGCATGCCATTCCGTTTATAGCCCTCCTCGTCTCTGCCGCATCTGCGGTCCGAGGAGGGTCCAGCTCAGAAAATGGTGAGCTTCACAAGCAGGGCCTCTACGCAGCCAGCCCGAGTCCGACAGCTAACTTGGAAAAAGGAGACCTGCAAGACATCCTCCGCTCCTCCGCCGACTCTCTCTACAAGAGAATCCCTGCTACTTCAGCACCACCGCTTCAAGTTATCCCGGTCACAGGCCCACCACTCCAAGTCATCCCAGTCACATCCGAACCACCGCTCCAAGTGATTCCAGTCACTTCGGAACCACCTCTACAGGTAATTCCGGTTATCTCCTCGGGGCCGCCGCTTCAGGTTATCCCAGTCACTTCAGAACCGCCACTCCAAGTTATTCCAGTCACTTCGGAACCACCTCTGCAGGTGATTCCGGTTAACTCCTCGGGGCCGCCGCTTCAGGTTATTCCGGTCACATCTGCGCCACCTCTTCAGGTTATCCCAGTAACTTCAGAGCCGCCTCTACAAGTTATTCCAGTCACATCTGAACCGCCACTCCAGGTTGTCCCCGTGACTTCGAGCCAACCACTTCAGGTCATTCCGGTGGCTTCGAGTCAACCACTCCAGGTTATACCCGTGACTTCGATCCAGCCACTTCCGGTCATCCCGGTGACTTCGAGTCAACCACTCCAAGTTCTTCCGGTCCCTTCGAGCCCACCACTTCAAGTTATTCCGGTCACATCTGAACCGCCACTCCAAGTCATCCCGGTTACTCACTGGACTCTCTCACCAAGTCAAATCGATCCAATTTTCGCTTCGTTTGCCTCCATTATATTATCCTCGCCGACACAGGTAGTGCCGACGACAATCACTCTCGAGTCACCGAACCCAGCCATTCCTGCCATCTCCTCCCCAGCATCAACGAAAACGATCATCCCTATTATTACCATAACGATTACTATATCGAGTACCGAGTTCGTGAACCCCGCGCCCAGATTCACCACAACAACGACTATAAGGACAAGTTTCTTCCGCTCTGTTCATGGCAGAACCCAAGCTGCCCTCCAACCCCTAAACTCGGCTCCGCCTGTTTCATCTGCGGCTGCTGCAACACACGGAATACGGTTTCTTTCTAGTAGCCTCAATCTCTTGCTTGTGCTGGGGATGGCAGCTGCTTTTTTCTTTCTTCCTTAAAGCTTGCATAAGTTCATCGCGCTGCATCTAAGAGAGATGATGGCGTTGAGACTTTGGACTTGCGCACTCTTCTTTTCTTCTTGTTATTATCTTAGTCTTATTTAACTGGCTTTCGTTGAGCACTTGTGCGTTCTGAATACGAGTTAGTCTTTATTCCGCACATTGCTGAGATGCGCGTAAATAAATTTGTTTCTTGTTCAATCAATGCTGAGGCACTGTAAATGTCCAAAAAGCCGCAGTTTGATCATCACTGGCTCCACCGTAATCAGACCCGCAAGTTAACTTTTAACGGAAGCTTGAAGGACACTATGAACGGTTAGTCTTCATAGGTAATTATGATTCGGAGAGCTTCTTTACGATAATAAGGTAGTTTCTTTTTGGTTATTGTTTAAAACCTTTGGTTTCATACCACGTCAAGTTTTGAGCCCTTGTCGAAAGTGAAACTGTATCAGTAGCTCTGGCGTCATTTCGCATTCTGGTGGTCTCATGCGAAGAGCGGGGTTTGTGTCGTATCCGCTGCGAGTCACTAACAAAATCAGCAGGTCAACTCAAACGCAATTTCCAAGAATAACCCATCAATATCGCACTTTCATAAAGAAACCCGCTTTAAGCTCAATAGCCATGTCGGCGACATCAATTTCATCGACGCTGGATCATATTGTCTTGCTGCTGCCGCACACGACTCTTTCGAACCTCCCCGGCTGGATCACTGACTCATTCACGGTTCTGGATGGCGGGCGACACACAAACCGCATAACAGAAAACAAACTCATTGTCTTTTCGGACGGAACCTACATTGAACTGATTGCCTTTGTCGATGGGGTGGACCCCGAGAAGCGCGCTGCTACGCGGTGGGGCCAAAAGGCCGAAGGAGAAGTCGTCGACTGGGCTCTGACCCTGCTGGAACGCGACGGAGAGCAAAAATCACAACCCGAGCAATTTTTTCCAGAGATACAGGCCAGCGTCAATGCTGCGCAGACGCAGTTTTCTTTCGCAGATCCGGTCGGCGGCGGAAGGACGGCGCCGGACGGAACCGAGCTGCGCTGGGCTATCTCGGCCCCTCGAACCTCGAGCTCCCAGTACGGTGTCAGCGGAGGGACTGTCCATTTGGACGAAGGGGAGCTGCCATTCTGGTGCCTTGACCGTACGCTACGCCATTTGAGAGTACCTCATCTATCGCCAGAAGAAGTAAATCATGCATGCCTCGCAACCGGCGTGGCGGGTATTTCGGTGCGAGTTGACTCACCAGAGCAAGCCATCGGGCTAAGCAAAGTATACAACGTTATTTTGGGCTCAGGTGCTAAGCCCTCTGCTGCGGACTCATCCAGTGCGACATTCCGGTGGGAACTGCAGGTGCCCGCTCTGAAGTCATCACCTCAACCAGCCCACCTTACTATCCAATCGACTCAGACGGACACGGTTGGCGTAGAGACATCTTATCCAAACTCTCGAGGGGGTCCAGGGTCGGCACGTGTGACTATCGCTTTGTTTGCAAGGACAAAGAACTCGAGGACTCTGAGCGGCGATATTGGAAACGGGCAGATACTTGATATTTCCATCATTCCTGAAAGCAAACAGCTACGCATAGTTGATGTCTAGCATTAGTACGTTATTTTGGGCCATCGGAAGTCAGTTTCGAGTCTGATAACGATTTTATCAATTATGACGGAGAAATACCTACAAGTATGTGTCTGCGTGTGCGAGGACTGCCGTTTTTGGTATGTTAGGGCCGCCAAATCCGGCAGAGACATCAACTTTCTAACTTATTATTATCTCAGCAAGCCCAGACCAGTACCTGGCTCAAAGAGGAGCTACGCCCCGTGGAGGGCCTGCGGCCCCGATTTTTTAGATTTGTAGGGGGGTAGACTCACAAATACACATTTGAACCAATCAGAACGCACGAAGAAAAGAGCCACTATACTGGTCTGAGTGCGTTAGGGTGTCTCCAAACTACAACATACAACGCACTACAGCCTCAACAACAAGATCAAGAGCGATCAAAAAACTGCCCAGCTAGTACTGTTTGAATAGGCGTGTTTCTCTGATCATTCCGGTAGTAATATCATCAATAGATCATGTCTGGCGCGTCAGTAAATGACGATTCAGGCCTTTCGGGTGGCAGCCAGGAATTGCCCCTATAAGGGCATGACTCGAGCTCACAGCTTACTGGCCTGGGCAGCACCCCTGAGCTCTCCTCTCCTACCAAGGCTATAGAAGCCTCACAATAAGAAGACAACAAGAAGAAGACGAACAAGAAGACGAACAAGAAGATGAACAAGAAGAAGACGAACAAGACGACCAACCAGATGCCTCTATCCCTTTGACCGCGAGAAGACCCCACTCCAGGATTATTCCCGTACCAGACAGGGGTTTGAACCAACTAAAAGTCACCCATTCAAAGGTACATCAATTCCCTATCTATTTTGCTGGTGGAATAAGTACCGACAATCGTCCTTGTTACAAAGTGATACATTGCACTGTCGGCAGCCCGACCGGGCACAACAAAGGGCTCGAAGGTCGTGCCGGCCTCGGTGTAGCCGGCTCTCAGGCAGGTAGGTGCAGCCTCCAACAGCCTCGCGCTCGCATGCTGCAGTGCATGCATTAGTAAGGTCATCAGGTAGAACAGCAACAGTAATACAGTCTAGGATTGTGTCGGTTGAGTCCATTTGAAATGTAGGGGAGTGTCAATTACCGCCAAAACAATAGACGCGATGCTTCTCGATGTTTTTATTGTACCTTCCCGTACCCCTGCGATGACAGGGGTAGTGTGGGGGTTGATATAACGTGGGGTCTTCTCGCGGTCAAAGGGATATATCCTGCAGATGCCTCTATATATCCTACAGATGCCTCTATATATCTTACAGATGCTTCTATATATTCTATGGACGATATTTTCCAGAAAACCATATATTCCTAGTCAAAACCACGCAAAAATAACTACCACGGGAATCGCCGTTATGGAGATGAGGTTTAGAGATATAACCTCGATGCCTTTCTCTTTTAATAGACAAGCGAGGACACCCGAATAACATTGCCACGGCAATGAACCGCGCCGATCTGGCCCTAGCGCGCTTCCCTGGCACCTGTGATCTCGCAGATCACATCGTTAATGCGTTTTTTCTACTCGCTTTCTTCCATTTCGGCGGCGCAGGAGCTCTCTGTTACGATCCTGGTCCAAGACTGCAGGAGGCGCTGGAAGCCAATTGCCAATTGGGCCGCACAGGTGGGCGGGGTCGGGCCCCGCAAGTGTTCGACACAGCCAATCAGGAGGCGCTCGGTGCGACTGGTCTGCCAAGACTAGGCGAGCGCACCGAGCAGGGCGCTCGGTAGTCTCTGAGACGCTCGGTGTACCAAGCGTTAGGAGGAGCACTGAGCACGCAAAGGAAAAGTCCTGATTGGTTACCTGAATTAGATATATACGATGACCGTAGCCACGGTCTTAGACAGTTCTTGCTTGGTTCTTCAAGCAACCAATACACATTCGCTGCACTCATACATTTTGAGTGGCATTCCGATTTGACTGTATTATCCGTGCGATAGGAGCTTGCCCTTTGTTCTATCTTCATAATTACCAACCCCAGCATTCTGTGGAACCCGTGCTCCCTTACAGACAGACGACCCTAACAGTCGAGTGGTTTGTAATACTCTCCCGGTAGTTCAAAAGGAAGAAGTAGGTTGTAGAAGGAAAAAATTATATGCTGAGGATGCCCCGCGCGAGGGCATTCTATATGCGAATTTTCAGATTTTTTAGTTTTGTAGTAATTGCATAGTTGGGATGAAGCTGACGGCAAAAAGACGAAGACACGCTGAACGTTTTTTCTTTGATGCTATTTAATACTTCTAGACTAGTTAGAGACATAAAAATTATACCATTCGACTCGTAAGCGTCTCAGCATTTTCAGAAGCATATTTGCATATTTTCACAATATGTCGTTATTTTAAAATTGACAGGAAACCAAACTACTTTTTTTTTCATTTGTTTGGCAGCTGTATCCCTACTGACGACTACTACAACATTATGCTCTCAGACCTCTTTTTCAGGCGTTCTGTGCAACGTGGGTCCAAGTGGGTCTATCTAAGCCACAGCAAAAATTTGCGGGTCACAGGATACGCTCCTTCCACGCCTGAAAAAGAGGTCGGAGCTTGCTGAGATAACCGCGAGCCTCTTCCTCTTCCTCCCACATCCGTCCGCCAACCTTCAACTTTAACTCGCCACCTCCATCTACCTTCCCCATAACGTCGGCCAACCTAGCTGCGTGTGCAGACTCGAGATCATGGCGGCCGCATCCCCGGATCTGTCGACATTGTCGATGGGATCGTCCTCGGGCCTGGCATCAGTCTCGACCAATCCTTCCACAGCACCGTCGCTCGACATGAAATCGTCAGGAGTGCAGTCCACGCCAGGAATTCCATTCACCGCCGCCGTCAAGAAGTTGTTTGACGAGATTCATCGTACTGATGGTGATGCCCTGATCGTCCATGGTAAGTAGCATGTGCACACGTATGTACGCTATTAACCAGTTCCTAGGTGTTTCGGTCTAGCTCTTTGCCGAGATCAAAAAGGAGAGATCGAAACGGGGAAGGAGACTTCGTTTTCGATTCGAGGCTGCATCCGGGATGCTCATCGTCATAATCCCGACCGAATTTCACGAAGGACTCCATCTTGGACTCTATAATCTTGGACGTGATAGTATTATCCGGATAGGGCGCGGCGATAACTGGAGATCGATGGGCACCGCGAAGTATCGAGCACAAGGCCACCCAAACGGAGATGAGGGAGAAGGAGACTCGACCGGAGGTCCAGAGCCACAACGTCAACATCTTGGCGCCTGGCCAACCCTTGTCATCAAGGCGGGGTATTCACAAAGCTTAGAAGCCTTACGAGGCGATATGAGTTGGTGGTTTGGCGCGTCGGACCATCAGGTGAAAATCGTTCTGCTGGCCAAATTCGACACTCAGCAGATGACCGCCATTATCGAAAAATGGGTCGAGATCCAAGCACCAGCTCGACAGGGAGCAACGACAACTCGGGCGGCTGCCCAACTCAGACCCGATTGCGACTAGATCATCACCATCACGCAAAATCCCGGCACGAACAGGGATAATCCCACGTCATATACTGTCACTAGGGGTGCTTTACGACTGGAGTTTGACCTCTTGTTTCTTCAACAACCGCAGCCGGGATCGGCAGAGGGAGACGTCATCATTGACATCCCAGATCTCCAACGCTGGGCGGTGAGGCTCTGGCGACTGGTACCTTGAGTAGATGGCCTTGAGTAGATGGTAGTTATGGAGTCGGACGGGAGGGATGAATTGAATTTTTTTAAAGTAGAAGTGAAAAATGTGTTTGCTCGCCAAGCATGGTGGCCGACGCGCGCATGAGGAAGCTGCAGGATCGGCAGACTTTGCGCGCGCAGGAAAATAACAAAAATACCAAGTCTCAAGGTATGGGACAACAGCATTTGGATAGTTCAAAAAATCACAAAGAAACAAATTTCCGAGCACAAAAAGTGCGCAAAGTTATTATATCGTATTTATTACCGTATGATCCGAGCCTGTAACGCAAACACAAGGGACAGGAAGGCTACCAATACAGACAATAAAAGGCCGCGGGTAATAATACAACCAGAACACCAGTTATTTTCCATGGTGCTCGGGTAATCGAGACACGAATCAGATATCAACAAGACGCCTTGGCCGTACTGTTCAGGGGGCAACTCCGGTCGGCGTGTTGCAGAGAATACCTTGATCAAGCTATGCAGAAGAAGAATTAGCAAAACATGGAATGCTAGCGTGTGACAGAGCACCAAGAAGAGAACACTTACGATAGGCAGAACACAGCAACGGGCACGCTGGCCAATGGCAGAGCATACGGCGCTGAAGTTGTCGGCGCTGGTCGGGACAGCGGGGGCTAGAGATGGAATATGTCAGCGCGGAAAACATAGAGCAGTGTCTGTGTGTTTTGCTACGTACGTAGACCGCAGTCAAGGTCTGCAACTCCAAGGACATCGGTGGCGCAGCACTGAGCGCTACCATAAAGACCGCTACAAGGTGTATAGACCTGGCGGTCTTCGACCTGGGCGGGGAGGGCCAGAGCAAAGCTCGCGGCAATGGCAACGACGACGGTGGTAATTGCGGACTTCATTGTGACGGGTCGGGTAATATGAGCGGTTGCTTGGCGTGTGGATTTTGGGATGTGAGTCGTATGTGGATGTGGATCGTGGATAAAGCGCTGCAGTGGGGATTGTGAAGTGTTGTCTGATTCTGGAGATTGGGACTGTTGTTGAGGAAAAGATCAGGCTCCTTATATAGACAACAATTTATCGCCAGTGAGGACAAATCCACCAGGTCATTCTTTCCCGGGGCAACAGCAGCATGTTGGCGGTGCCTCCAGGCTCGACCAACAGCCAACCAACTTAGTGACCTGGGATTGCGTCACTTCTGGAATCGTAGTGCCCCGAGCAAGCTGGAAGTGAAGCTCTAGAGGCCGGGCCAGACGACCAGATTCTTGGAGTTTGGGTATAGCCAGGAATAGTCTGCTATAGCCGGCCGTTGTCTAGCTCAGTGGCGAGCACTGGTGCGTTCGTTGATTATTGGTCGAGAGATCGCCTTATGACGGCAGTGCATGACCGAGAAAACACACGCAGGGGTTAATTGGAACACTGATGCGGCTCGTCCCTGGTAGTCTTAACGTCATCCGCCAAGGCGCATTCTAATTTCAGAAGCGATGCCGATCAACTCCCCCTACAGCTACCACCGCGACCACCCCTTTGGTTGGGACGTTCCAGGGGGCTTGTTTCCTGTGGACCCTGCTTCAAGCCTATGCACACCCTCAAGACCCTCTAGTCTAAGTAGTCGCATCGAAGAATGCGATGGGTGGTGGGGAAGCATAGAGGTCGAAATGGGACGAGTAACCGACAGGATTGGTGTTTTGACCCATGACGCATTGCCTTAATAGGCATATTAAGTTGATCGCCATACAATGGAACAGGATCTTGGCACGGGGCATTGGCCAATCGAAAATTGCCCGGCACCGTTTTTTTCGTTATTGTCCTCATTGCGGTTAAGATGTGCGGCAATACTCGAGAGCGAGCCGTCCGCCCCGAGTGGTGCTGGCTTCCTTGATTCGGCGTGCCACAAGATCTCCTATCGCTGCCCGATCTGGGGACATCGCCACCACCAGGTACGTTTACCTCGCCGCTCAGGTCGGTTGAACAGCCACCCATCAATACTCACTCGTCACACTACCTTGGGCATGTCTTGGATAGAGGCCGCCGGAAATGGCCCTGGACTGCATGGTCATTGGCGCACAAAGGCAACCCAACGGACCTGCGTCAACGCGCATGCTAGATCGATCGTATTTTAGTTGCCCCCTTGCTGTGCGGCGAAATCTAAGCCCTCTTACCAGGCTTCTGCTCCTGTAATGGACGTCGCTAGCCCTCTGCTGGGACAGAAACAACCTGCTTCGAGCGCAGCGGAATACAACCCTGCATCCCCCCCATTCCTCCCTTGTTGATTGGCCAAGGTATTACAGAGAGCACGTACTTTGGGTATTGGGTGCGGATAATCAGTAGCTTGGCGCCCTGGTGGAAATCTTTGGGCCGACTCAGTGCTGCAACTCGATGTTGTACTCGCTTGCTCTTATGACAACATCGTCTCGTTTCTCTAGCCACGTCTACTAGTACCACGACCAAAAGTGGCTGATTTCTCACCCACTACTGTTAGCACGGGTTTCCTTGATTCGCAGCGTCGCGTTAGCCGCGCTCGTACACTCGAGCGCAGGGAATTAAGTCTTGTTTGCCATACCGCGGTAAGCAACAAGCATCTCCGGAGGAGAGCCTCCAGGAGCGCCAGCGCCAAGGGGCCGACAAATTCGCTACGGTTGATCGGAGGCCTCGTGACATCATTGCTGTAGATATCTGAGTGCGATTTATTAGCAACTTAGTCTTTCTTGGTCTACCGGTTCCTTCCATCAAATTACTTACCTACCCAGCAGCTAGTCATATGCCCGAGTTTTAAATAACAGGACTCGACCCGTACTGGATGCACTGTCGTTGCCGTAACTTCCATCTGACGGCCGCAAACAACTGCTCAGTCTTCGACTTGTTGGACTACTAACCCGCCGTCGAGCTTAATTGTTGACGGTGCAGAACTACCTAATCAAGTAGGTTCATGACAGGTAAAACCACTTCTAATCGCAATCAGCAAACTGTCCGCATTATTGCAAATTCACGACATGCTTAATGTCGGGTTCATGGCCTGCACCTTTCATGTAATTAAATCCATCCAGCTCGCGCAAAATAGTCGGGGTTTTCCCAGCAGCACCTCAAGAGCAGCCATGGGCCTCGTCTCGTGGAACATCCTCCCTGTGCGAAATTTTCCGGAAATGTCCCCCGCATCGGTCGGGTTTGGTGCTTCATCATGGTCCTACGACGCCGTGCAGGCTAGCTTCCAAGTCCATCACATCTTCCTCTGCACAATCGTGGTATTATTCATTTCTTCTCGCTTGTATGGAAAGAAAATAGAAATATAACAATAGGAAGGAATTGAAGAGATCACGAACAGGAATATTGCGCGAAAGACTTACAACCAGCGTATTTTGACTCAGTCATCAAAAGACGGCTTTCTCCTGGGATAATCAACACTGAATGAGCTGGCATGCTCTGATAAACACAAGCAAATAGAATAGTGCTTGCAAAAGCACAAGCTGCCATGCATTTGACTACTTGACTCGAATCAGCGTCAAATCATATTTCCCCTTTTTTCCCTTCTTTTTTTTTTTCGCCCGCACTTTTTTCCATTCCTCTCCCGTCGGAACTGGAAGCCATTAGAAGCCACGCCGGGCGCCCGACCAAGGCCCGGCCACGGAAGCCGAAATTTCGGGCCTGACAAATGCCAAATCATTGGCCGTAATTCGGCACCTTAAGCCGAGAGAGTACTAGCGGTTTCAGATTCAAACGTGGCACTGCTGGATTTTAAGGTGGTCAAACGGCAGAGGTGGCCTGGAACGGGCGGCCAGGCGGCCAACGAGACGAGTTGCCGTAACTCAGACTTTTAGGCCTGCCACACCGAAACAAAAATGCAACTGACTCTGCACCAATTTTGCAGGTCCTTGATCACCTCCATATTCTTAAGAGCATTGTCCAATGGTCCGACGCCATAGACCTGGTCAGAGGCCGGCGATGCACAGGCTGCACCTGTCAATTGCGTCCTGTGCGACTGGCTGCCGGCTGCTGCGGCTGCCCGCCCCACGGCACCCCTGTCGGCTCTGGCTGTAGCTGGATTTTCCAGTGGCTTGAAACCCACTGATCGCGCCCACTGATCGCGCCCACTGATCGCACCCGGCGATCGCCGACCCAGCGCTGATGATGGATCAGCTCGTTGATAGCCACGACGATGTCGCTGTGCGCCGCGGATTGCTTGCCTACGTACGCTGTTGCGGAGCCCTGAAGACGACGGGAAAGGGCTAAATAGTAGCTGGCTGCCCGGCCATGAAGCGTACAGGAAAGAGTTACACCTCACACCACACAGCCAAGGCAAGCCAACAGCAACGCAACAAGCACCACTGCCACAACAACAATAACCCCTAACAGCAAAAAAACCACCCACACAACAACCCACCAAGACACCAAAAGAGCAGCACAACAAGACAGCAATTCACAGGGACTCGACCCACGTCATAAACACCCCCGGGCCCTCTCCCAGCTCGTCCATTAGCCCGGCACTCATAAGCTACCCCAACAACACCCACAACACCTCTTCAACCTCCTCCAAAGACATGTCCATGGTTCTTTCCAGTGCTACACCCCTTCTGACGCCCCCAGACTCTCCCCGTCTGCAGCCGGCTGGCCCGGCCGTCAGGGTGACTTCGCCGCGCATCGAGTTCAATGTTGGCGTTGAGACGGAGCTGTTCCTGGAACGGCGAGTCGCTACCAAGGAGCTGCCTACCATTCTAGAGTTCAGTCTCGATCTGCGCGACCGGTACATGGAAGAAGTTGGCTCGCAAGCTGGATATCCCGCCCTGCGCAGCCAGTTCGTGCCCAAGGAGGAGGTTGAAGAGGACCCCGGCTTTGAGAAGTGGTCCGTCATTAACGAAATCTCGCTAACTAAACGAGACCGCGAGCCATGTAAGTCTGAACTGATGACAGCACTCCCCTCCAATACTATTCTGCGCATTTGTTTTTCGTGTGGTTCCTGGCTTACGCTGACACTGTTTTCTCGACAGGGGGTCTCGAGGTGGTGTCGCCTAAGCTTGCAGTTGCCGCCTCGTCTCCGTGGCGGTCGCACGTCAAGGGCTGGTGGCAGTTCTTGGACCAGAACTACATAGTCTCAAACGACACGACTTGCGGCACCCACGTGCACATCTCCCTGGATGGAGAGTTTAGCGTGGCCATGCTGCAGGAAATCGCCGTGGCAGCCATCTTCTTTGAGCCCGCCATCGAGGCACTGGTGCCCCAGGAGCGCCGGGGCAACCGCCACACGGCGAGTAACTGGATCGACAATCCTAGCTTTGGGCAGCTCGGCCGGAGCAGATACGACACGATTGCGCGCCTGAGGAAGTGCAGGACCAAGGACGAGCTCATCTGGATGATCAGTCCCGGCAAGCCCTACGGCTGGAACTTTTGGTCGCTGAACAAGCTGAGGACAATCGAGTTCCGCCGCGGCTCCCCGAGTAAGTCCCAGCATGACGTCTTCATGTGGATCGACTTCGTCGTCGCCTTCATCCGCGCCGCCATCACGAAGCCCATCGAGATCCACGATAACTACCTCTCCTACGCCCCAACCGTCGGCGGCCTTTTCGAGTTCCTGGCCGATGTCCGCGTCCCCGACTCTGCGAGCGACGTCTTCGGCAACGCGCAATCCATAGCCCGGCTCTTCGACGGCCGCCAGTTCCGCATGCCCGATCTCTTCATGCAGCCTATCCCGGCGGTAGGTGAGGGCCTTGCGCTGCTGTTCGACCAGGAAATGTACATATATATGTTCCAAGCAATTGACGACGAGGAGGAGGCCATGCCTGGAAGAATCATGCTCGCTCGCAGGTCTGCCAAGCCAAACAGGCTCGCGGCGCTCAAGACGCTCCGAATCAAGGAGGCAAACGAGATGATACACAAGGACGTCAGGAGCCCGCTCCAGGAGATGAGGAGCCCGATTGGTCTCTGCTACTAGAGTTATTAACTAGGTAGCAGAGTTAGAAGTTGGCGGGTAAATATGGTGCGAGAGAAGAGATGAGCGAGAGAGGAGATGAGCGAGAGAGGGGATGAGCGAGAAAGGAGATGAGCGAGAGAGGGGATGAGCGAGAAAGGAGATGAGCGAGAGAGGGGATGAGCGACAGAGGAGATGAGCGAGAGAGGAGATGAGCGAGAGAGATGAGAATGTTGAAAGTTAGAAGGAAAATAATATTTAAAAAGGGGAAGGAGTTGAAGGGAGCGGGAAGACGAGAGGAAGGGAGAGGAGGGGGTTAGAAGGAGGGGGTTAGAAGGAGGGGGTTAGAAGGAGGGGATGGGAAGAAAGGAATTTGGAAGCGGACGAGCTGTGAGGAGGGGTAGGTGGTGAGAGGTAGATGGACGGTGTGGTGGGTAAAAGAAGATGGCAAGGAGAGGGTTTTAGAAGAAGGTGGGCAAATTCAAAAAAAGGAAAGTTGTTGGGTGGTTGTAACGGGAAGGTCGGAAGTTTGAAGGAGATGGGAGATGCTATGATAGGGTTGTGGAGTTGAAAAGAAATGGTTGATTGAAGAGGCAGCAGGGGGAGAAGGACTGAGTTTTGAGAAGGCGGGGAGCCAGGCGTGGAGGGAGAAGGTGGTAAAGATGGGAGTTGAGTATCGGGGCCTGAGAGGAGATGGACGATGAGAAGGTCAGAAGTCGAAATGAGAAATGAGAAAAGAAAATGAGAGGTTGGAGGTGGATGGGTGATGAGAAGGGCAGAGAAGCGGAGTTGAGAGGGTGGAAGGAGATTGATGACTGAGGTGGAGGTTGGAAGTTGGGGGTTGAAGAAGCCACTTGATGAGAATCTAGGTTGAAGGAAGGCGAAAGGTTGTCGAGGAAGGTTGTTGGGGAAGCCTTATTCTTTTTTTTTCTAAGATTAAAAAGAATGAGAAGAAGTAATAGCATGGCTGAAATTTGTAGGCTATTATTAGCTGGAATGTAATTGCTGTCCGAAAGTGAGTGAACTCTGAGCTACTTGAGTGATGAAGACTCAAAGCCTATTCCTGCGATAATGTGCAGTGTTGTCTGCCTACCAGGTAAGGTAGGTAATACGGAAGAAGGTTGTTGCTAATTACCTACCTAAATTTCTCTTAATTACCCCATGCGCTTTTATTCCCAAGCCAATTGCGCACTTGTCCAGGGAGCGGCTCGAAAGACGGAAGTGGTTGTGTTGCCAAAGTATGTGCAATGCGAGGCAGTCATTCAGCATGCATCTTCAAGGGTTGCCGATTGTAAAGGTCAGCCTACGCGCGTCTCACCACATCTTCGTGGTCGTGTTACGCTAGTTGCGGTGCGGGGCTCGGCTTGCTGCACCCGAAAAGGAATGCAATTGGAACCTGAATTATTCGCTGAGACTGGAGGTAGTGGCAAATAAATGCTGCATTGCACCCAGCGACATGAGCTTTCGTTGCACTGAACAAAAACTACTATTTATTGCGTCGTTCGTTCACAAGTGGCTGAGAACGATTGCTGCATCACCTTATCCTTGTTTGTAATTACCGCACTTACGACCTAGTGAGTGTAACAGCACTGACGGGTCGGTCAAAACAGCCTGGAACTCACTCCAGCAATTGCACCAGCCCGTATTCCGTATGTACTGTACGGAGTACTGGAGTACTCTCCATACATGCAGATACATAAGGTAGGAGGGCGCGACGTGCGTAGGTGGCTTGCTAGTGGGGCCCGTTTGGGGCAAAACTGCCTGTTTTGGAAATGCACACTCGCCGCGGCCTGCAATTATTCCATAACTGCACTAAGGTTATTAAATGGTTTTCGGATGATCCATGGGGCTTAGGTGTCGCTTGTTGAGGGAATGTTTTCTAACCCGAGAAATTTACTCAGTGCAAGGCGGGAAAGCATCGTGAGTGCGAGCCGGTACGAGTTTTGCTCGTAGCGTAAGTGCTCTAATTTTTCCCTCCGATCGCCGATTGCCTGCTGCGTTCCCGGTGTAGGTGTGGCAATTCCGGCGTGTTTCGGGTCGGAGCGCCAGACTAACTGAACGACGGGATATGAGGCAGCTCCGCCTCATTTCCTTTTTCGCTGGAGCCTAGAACTTTGGGAATGCGGTGGCCATCCACGCACCACCAGATCGTTCATCTTGCAGAAGCTTATTCTAAGCGACCAGCTGTCAGATAAGCCGAGAGAAGGTGTTGAGCCTGCTCACCTGACAGATGGCAGGGAGTGCAGACAGATGGGAGCAGGGGCAGCCTTGGTCACGTGGTAGAACCCTGGTGGACCAAGGCGCCAATCGCCTTGCGTGGGATGGGACGCGCCTTCGTTCCGTCTTCTAACCCCGCCAAACAATCAGGCAGCAGCATTTTGCACCCACCCACAGCCAACCTTATGCGGGGGACCTTGGATGCCGCCAGCAGACCTCGCAAGTGACCCATCAGAGCCACTGGTCGGAATTGCAGACACATTGATGCGATAGGCACCGAAATAACTACCTAGATCTACCTACCCTAACTTGCCCGCCGCGAGTGGTGTACTGATGCCGCCGTGATGGTTTCTGCAACTGCTTTTCTATGTCGAGCGCACTTCCCTTGATAGCCTCATCCCGCACAAGGTTCCTCCGGCTGTCATTCCTCGCCATCGACTGCGCATCTTCTTGTTGTTTTGTCCGTGGATTGGTGAGCTACGCGCGCGTAACTCTCGTCCCAGCCCACCCCATCTGACGCCGCCCCCATCGGCCAGTCTCCTCCGCTGACTTCCGTCGCGCACGACAGCCTCCGATTCAGCTGGGGCAAGTTTATTTTTTTGGTCAACCTCGCCCCCCGCGTGGCTCCCAACTGGCCGGAATTGTTCTCGTTGCCCAGCATTCTTCACCCAGCAATGTGTTGCGCTGGACGGGCCTCTAACACCACGAACCCCTCGCCCGTTGTCCATGCCGAGTAGGCCCCGTCTTGCGCCATGACCTCGTTTATTCCCATGGCAGGTGTCCAGCTGCCCTTCCAACGGCGGCTGAGCAGGCTCTACAATGATACCAAGAAGTCGTCAGACTTCGTCAAGGAGCCAGCCCAAAATGCCGAAGCCGACCCCGAGATCAAAGCTCTGCACCGCAAGCTCCGTATCCAGAAGGACCGCCTCGTCACTTGGGGCCTGGAATGGTCAGATCCAAGCCAGTCGGCCGAGAACCAGTCGGCCGAGGTGTTGATAGACTCGTCTCTCTCCAAGGCTGGCCTCAGCGAGATTGTCGGCAGCATCATGTCGACCATCAAGGACATCCTCGCCGAGGCCGAGCCTCTGTGGCACAGTTCCCGCCGTTTGGCTGGCGAGAGGTTCGACTCGGACCCGCTCCCGAGAAGGGGTGAGAAAATCCGCCTCGTCGTTTGGGACAGGAACCGCTTCGAGGACCTGGTGCGCGACCTGACCACCTCTATCGACACGCTCTACGACCTGTCTAGAACCAGGTCATCGTATGCCCAGGCGTCCGCCCCTGTCCGGGCGAGACTCTCCAAGCCTTCCGTCGCCCCTGAAGACGAGCGCCCCTTTGAGTCGTCGAGAATACAGGCGCCCACACAGATCGACCCCAAGACGCTGAGGAATCTTCGCTCCATGCAGGCAGAGCCCATGACGGACCTCGTTGACGATCGGGCTCGCGAGATTGTTTTTATGAGCCAACAAGCTTACTCGGAGCTCATCCACGGGTCTACTGGCCGCGAGTCTCACGCCCCCCTTCTCCTCGAGTATGCATCCTTTGACTCTATCTACTCCATCACAGGCATCACGCCACCCCTGACGCGCTTCGAGAAGCTGTCGTCGGGTCTCCAAAGCGAGCCACAGCGGTCGCCTGGGTCGTGGACTGGCCTCCCTCGCCTGGTGGCCTACTTTGAGGACATGGAAAACTCTAGATATGGCCTCGTCTACCAGTTCCCACGAACCTTCAACCCCGTCTCATTTGAACACCTGACCCGAAACCCACTGTACAACCTGTGTTCCCTATCCGATCTCTTGGCTCGTCCCGACTTTGAGCCAAAGCTCGAAGCAAAGTTCCGGCTGGCGGCAAATTTGGCCAACACGATTTTCGATCTGCATGCCAGGGGTATCACGCACGGCAACCTCATCGACAAAAACGTCTCTTTCTGTAATGCCGTAGGGACCGACCCGGAAATCAGCGGGATCACGCAGGGGGAAGTGGATATAAGGCGGCCACTGGTCTCATCCTTTGATCTCTTCTCAGACCCGCAGTCTGAGGATGCTCCCAGGCCATTCTCTTTGTACATGCACCCCCTTGACCCCAGGAACAGCGTCCAATCGCCACTCCTCAACCATGCTGGCTCCAAAACCTTTGATCTATACTCCCTGGCCATGGTACTCTTGTCCGTCGGCCTCTGGACTAAGCTCGAAAACCTCGTGCCCAATGCAGAGTCCGGCGGAGTCCCAGAATCCCTCCTTGGACAGCTTGCCATCCGGTGCGGCACTCTTTACACCAAAGCTGTCCAGGCATGTTGGAATGCCGTCGATCTTGAGATGAAAGGCTCCCACACCGCCGATCAAATCGTTTCTCATGTCCAGTTCAAGGCCAGCCGCTATTTGGAAGCGTGCTGCATTCTAGATGGCGTCAGCAACCTCGAGGAGCGGCTTGGCGATGATATTGGCGATGCTAGTCTGGAACCAGAAAGCCTCAGCACGTCCCAGTTAGCTGGCACTTCAAAGGAACTCCAATCTGAGAAGCAGCGTGGCTCAACCCCAGCTACCCCATCCGAGGGTAGAACTGGACGATGGACGCATCCTTCCGAGAGCCCGACGATTTCGCTTTCGGCGTCACAGGGACGAGCTTCAGGTATTCTTTCTCCTGATATCCCACGACCCACCGATCATAAACTAACGCCAACAGCTTCGGGAATAGCTGAAACGCCAGCCAAGTTACCGTCAGCTAAGACACGGCTGTATCCGCAAGTTCCTCTGCCCCCTCATGTCATACAGCAGTGGAGCACAATTGTGATGCCACAGATCAACATCGCCTTACACCATTTCTATCGCAAGAACCCAGAGTCGGTTGAGATCTCGCTCGAGTCGATTGGTGAATCGCCACAGAGTACGAAACCGACAGTCCTTGTGGTATGCACCTCTGTGGGCAAAGTGCGAGCCATTCTCAAGAAGAGGCTCGCGACTTTTTTCGACGGCACGACAGGGTTGGCACTCAAGGTCTGTCGGGGCCAGGTTCTACGCTCCCGCAACGACCGCGTTGGCCGGAGTATGACCAGGCCTGGGGACGACGGGCATGATGAGATTAAGGCTGCCAATCCAGACTACCAAGAACGGCCAAGCAATGGGGCAAGCATCGGGGCCTGGATCGGGGACCGTCACCTGCCCCCGGTAAGCTTTGGGGGGCTAATTGTGGTTGACGACAAACCATATGGCATGACGGTTCATCACATGTTGGATGATCCTGACCAAGGCACGCACGCGACCACGTCCAAGGAGGGTATTTCCAGGAGCATGGCCGGACCACAGCCCCTGACGGACCTCGCTGCGTGGTATGCTGAGCAGTACCCGAATAGCGAGTCGGACCCCGACAGCAGCGGCACAGAAGACTACGCCTGCGAGTTTTCCGAGTCCGACTCGGATTCGTTTTCCGAGTCCGCCATCACTTCGGACGACGACGAGGAGGACGATGATGATGTTCAGTACGGCGAGGTTGGAGACATACCCGGCATAGAGCCCGGGTGCGGAGAAGGCTACATCGTCACGCAGCCAGCGCAGGATGATGTTCCAGATGGGTTCTACCCCTCGAGCGAGACCCAAGACGAAGACCACCTCGATACGTATGGCCTCGGTGAGGTATACGCATCGAGCGGCATTAAGCGACGCTTAGAGGACGGCATGTTACACGAGATTGACTGGGCCCTGTTTGAGTTTAAAGACGACCGGCTACCGGATGACAACTTGATCCCTCGGGCTGACCAGCTTAGCGAGACCCGAGGCCAGCGAGTCGAACCCAGATCGTCCAGGTCACTGAGATCATCTACCAGCAGGCCTACAATCCACCCCACCACAGTCGCGCGGACGTCGAGCCTGCCCGGGCTGGAAGTCCAATGCATGGCGCGCACGAGCGGGCTACAGACTGGCTTGATCCTCCCAGCTGTTGCGTCAGTCAAGATTTACGGGCGCATGACCCCTAGCCATATCTACCAAGTGTCGGGGACTTCGCCGAATGGGGTCTCTAATAGAACGACGGGAAGCGGCGAAGAGAGCGGCAAGCCCAGGCGGGCCCTTCCCATGGGAATCCCGGGAGACAGCGGTGCATGGGTGGTGGATCGCCACCATGGGCAACTTTGCGGCCACGTTCTGGCGTGGAGCGAACGGAAACGGGTGGCTTACGTTTGCCCCATGGACGTTTTGCTCCTCGACATTGCCGAAACTTTGGAGGCTGGCGAGATCCGACTACCCAGCGGCGAGGTTCTGCTGTCTAACCCGGAACACAACAACGGCAAGCGAGCGAGCAGGCTGACGCACATCAGTGAGGCGTCGGATCGCCATTGTAGCTGGTATAGCGAAGATGTAGACACGGAGACACTGAGCCTCGCCGCAGTGAGCAAATCCCGGTGGAGCCGAACGCTGTCGCAGAACCAGAGGGGCTCGCTTTTTCTGAGCCAACAACAGCTGGATTCACTGGCCGAGAACGACAATGATGAAGCTGAAGACGACTCATACGACGAAGGTGTTGAGGTAGAGCTTGCTCGAGACATTAAAAAGATGCACTTGGATGATCTGGCCGAACGAGACGCGTCTGTGCAGGTGGGCAGATGGAGGGTCACTTAATTCAGATTGACTCGGGGCCTTCGTCAAGGAAGTTGTGCTGTGGAGGCGCGTGTTTCTTCCCCGCGCATCCCTTCTTCCTCCATGGTCCTGGGAGAATTACATGCGGCATGGATCTTGTTAGACCATTGCCTACTTAGCCTCATTTTTGTATTTTTGAGGTTTTTGGCATGTCAGGATATTGGCGTATCAGCGTGAATGATCTTGAATACCCAGTACACTTCGGCAGAACTGGCCATCGTGACTTGTATCTGTTCAATAGTGGCGTGGTTGTCATCACCAGGGGCAAATTTCCTCTCGAGGCCGATAAGGTGCCTGACGAGCGAATTGGAAGCTACACCAGCAAGCTGCGCAAGCTCCTTCGAGGCCCAGCTTCTGTGCATTGGGTATCCCTTGTGGTCAAGTCAAGCCATAAATGGCGTCTTCTCTGTTCATCTCCACGCCACAACCCCCACTTTGAAACTGCCAAGAAGCCAAACAGCCGAATCCAGCAGGAACGCGTTGGTGGCGTGGCGCCAAAATGTCGGGACAAAGCCCCTGAAATTACTCTGTATTTTCGTCCAAAACTGCAAGGCATCTTTCGTCGCATTGCCGTCAACGACCCACAGCCGTCAACGACCTACAAAATAGGCAAGACAACGAAAATCTCTCTAGCCAAGTCAACAAAAAGGTGTCTTCCAGATGTAATGGAAAAATGAAGCCATGCCTGGAATCACTTTTACCTAGAGTAGGCAATCGGGTGGCTTCCGAAGCTTGCTGTGTCAAAGAATTGTTCTCTGCAATTACCTTGGGTACTCACGTACCCAACGACGGAAACAGAAGAACCTCGTGAGTCGTCAACCCGGAACGAAGTGGCCTGTTGACGCGACTGCAGTTCCTTCGGTGCCGTTCGCGCCATCGAACTACGCATCTCGGAAATAACACGCAGGGCTGCTGTCAGGGAGCTGGCTGACGTATGGAAGTGGTTGTTGGCCTGTCAAGGTCTTGTTTTTCGAAGCGTTGGTGCGGCGTCGTAGATGGTGGAGTCATGTAATAGGCTAGTAATATACCGTATCAACATTGGCCCCCTCCGAATAACGGCGAATTTGCTTGGCTAGATTTGCTCCAGGGGATGGCCGCTTGGACTATAATACGGCGTAATTGAGGGAACGAGTGTAAGGATCTAGTATTTCGAGCCTGACAAGGCCAATACCAAGGACGTATCCAAACATGCAGGGACATACCCTGCGTGAAAATTTGTAAGAGTCCCACTCCACCGGCATGCCGCCGGGCTCAAGGGAGCTAGCAGTCAATGGACGGCGAGGCTCCGCCATTCAACGATAGTCATCGTTGGCATTCCGACCTTCCATGGACCGACACTGCAGCTGTTCCTACAATTTTCAACATGGTATTCGCTAATCTGGTGTTTGATGCTCGGCTCACGCACCCAGATCGCCTGGTGCTGCAGCAGCTGAGCGAAGACATTACCAAGTCCGAGCAGTGGGTCGCAGGCAAGTCGGCACCTTCGGGCGAATCACACCAGTTAGCAGGGCCAAAGCAAGCCCCGACGACGGGAACAGGAGCGCCACCACCACCACCACCACTACCGCCGCCGCCACCGGCATCGGCATCGGCATCGGCATCGGCGTCGGCGACATTGCCATCCAAGGCTCCGTCGCTGTCACAATGCCGGCCGCCACCATCGACAGAGCAGCCCGGAGGCTCTGGCGTCGATGAGGAGGGCACAGCCGCCGAGCTCGCGGCGCTCAACAACCCTCTCGATGAGCGCTTCGAGCCAACTGTCTTCACCTCTTACGATCTCGATGAGGCTTTTGAGGCGGCCCCGGCATTTCTGCACGGCCCGCTCAAGCGCTACATCTCGTGGGCGCGGGGCGTGGCGCGGGTCGAGACTGACGTCGTCTTTGTGACGCACCTGCTCATCTACTTTGGCACCACGCTGCCGAGCGCCGCCATGCTCTTCACCCGCTTCGGCTACCTCCACGCCGTCTTGCACATGCTCATGCAGGCCACCTACATTGGGCCCTACACGCTGCTCAAGCACCAGCACATTCACCAGAACGGCGTGCTGAACCGTCGCTTTTCCCTGCTCGACTCGCTGTTCCCTTATGTCATGGACCCCCTCATGGGCCACTCGTGGAACAGCTACTTCTACCACCACGTCAAGCACCACCATGTCGAGGGCAACGGGCCCAACGATCTCTCATCCACCATACGCTACCAGCGTGACAGCCTTGTCAATTTCCTGCACTACCTGGGCCGCTTCTACTTCTTCGTCTGGCTGGACCTGCCCCGATACTTCTGGCGTTCCCGCAGGCCGGTGCTGGCTGCCAAGTCGTGCTTCTGGGAGCTGGGCACCTACGCTGCCATCTACGCTGCCTGGCGGTTCAACCATGCCGCCGCCGTCGTTGTTTTGATCACCCCCCTTAGTCTGCTCCGTATCGCCCTGATGGTCGGTAACTGGGGGCAGCACGCCTTTGTTGACGAGAACGAGCCCGACTCGGATTTTCGGTCGAGCATTACCTTGATCGATGTTCCGGTACGTTTTGATGTTATTATCCTCTTTACTCTTGACCTCGATCTGGTAACCCCCTTCACGACTACACGCACCTTTGCTAGTCACTTTTATTCGCCCCTGCCACCCAAAGTCCCGGACAGAAAGACATCAATCTCCCTTCCATATCATCTATCCTACCCCATCACAATCCCCTTTCCCTAGGATTGACATCATGCCCCTTGTACTCACGCGCTAACTTGAACCCTTTCCCGTCTTGCAGAGCAACCGGTTCTGCTTCAACGACGGATACCACACGTCGCACCACCTGAATCCGCTGCGGCACTGGCGTGAGCATCCGTTGGCCTTCCTCAAGGCTCGCGACGAGTACGCTCGGCAGGGCGCGCTCGTGTTCCACGACATCGACTACATCGGCATCACGGTACGCCTGCTGTGCAAGGACTACGACCACCTCGCGCGCCGGCTCGTCCCCATCGGCAGGGAGCAGATGGCCCTCACCCTCGAAGGCCGTGCCGCTATGCTCAAGACGCACACGCGCGCCTTCACCAGCGATGAGATTACGCAAAAGTACAGCAAGAAGTCGTCTTGATCAGCTCTCTTCTCCAACCCTAGCCTCAGCATTGTTGCTAGGTATTCTTACCCCTCACTCTCCGTTGACGCATAAAGACAGCCTCCCTCAGCGGACCGCATTAGAGCACGCATGTTTCTTGCCCAACTTTTATAGATAGACCTAAAGCATGGCGTTCTCTGGATTGCCGGACATAAATAATTTACTTGGCTTTCGCCGTTTTGTGCAAAGAAGCCCCATCAAGGCATAAGTAGTTATATATCTCTACCGCCCGCTTGTAAAAATACAATTTACGCAATGCGCCCATCCTTGAGATACGTTGCTGTTGTGAACCATATCGGCTGTATAAATGAGACGAGTGCAACCTTGTCGAGCCGAAACAGAGAAAAGAAAAACTCTCGATCTGCCATATACTGATAACTGGAAATGCAAGAAACCCAATTTCTGCGACAGCCAGGAGCTTGTGACAATAACTAGGAAAAAATGGTGGGGAGACGTTAGGGTGCAGGGGTATCTGGTTAGACATACAAATGAGAGACTCGGCTCTTCTCCACCCCAAGCCGCCACCCGCATACAACGTCGTGCCTCTTCCAAGAGGAACGTGATTCAATCAGCCAAAACACGCCATCCATTCCTACCATACGTGATCAAATAATCCACCCTTCCCCTTGAATATGGCGTAGAGTATCATTTTGTATTGGAAATTTCATTAGCTCATCTCTGGCCGTGTCTGGTAGTGACATGGTCTCGAGCGTTGCAAACACCACGCGACAAGGCACTCAAAGACGCACCGATAGACATCAAAGTATAGAAACTTGTCAGAGTTCGTCCTTTGCATGACGTACCGGTTCCTTGACCGCCTCAATAGCTTCGCTCGCAGCACTAGCCACATTGTCGCCAATGCTTTTCATGGCTTCAACTGCCTCGTCGGCCGCCGACGCAGCTGTCGCCTGTGCAGCACTGGCGAGACTGGATGCGGAAGATACACCAGTCTCGTAGGCCGCATAGAGCCGTGATAATACGCTTTCGGAAAATGTTGGCTCCTTCCCAACAAGCAGTTCTAAGACGATGCTGCTCACTGCCGAGTATTTCTTGGAAGCCTCATCGGAAGCCCCGGCAGCATAACTGCCAGCAGCACTTGTAACGGATGCCGCGCCATCGCCGGCGGCCTGAGTAACCGACGAAGCGTAGTCGCTGGCAACACTGAATATGCTCTCGTACCACGGAGTTGGTGTCGGTGCCCCGTAGACCTGGATGCTAATCTTGCTGACTACCACTTCCCAGCTTTCGGCAGCCTTGTCTGCAGCGCCTGCCACGTTATCATACCCGGCCGCAGCAGCAGCCGACACGTTTTCGCCAAGAACAGACGCTGCAGAAGCTGCACTCTCCCCAACGAGAGAAGCTGCAGAGGATAAATTGTTCCCAACTACCGAAACGGCAGAAGCAGCAGACTCACTAACTACCGAAGCTGCAGAAGACGCAGACTCACTGGCAACCGAAACAATGGATGACGCGGTTCCAGAAAGGTTGGTTGGTGTTTGCGTAGCGGTCAGAGAGCTGAGGGCTGAACTTGCGGCAGCCATGAATTCGGAGTGCCTGACATGGGCCACGCCAATCGCCGCGTAGTAATTGTGTCTAGCGTTGTCGAGGAATTTGCTCGCATAACTCGCAGGCGACGATGGAGTCGGAGTAGCAAGACCAACGGCAATCTTGGCACTCTCAAACTGCTCCTCGGCCCAAACACGGCCGTCCCGGAGTCTATCGGCAGCAATGGATTCGATACTTTCCATTGAAGGCCAGTCAATGCTCGGCATAGATGGAATAGGTATCGTGGTCGGAATGATGTTTTTTGTTGTTGGTGTGCCGTATATTTGATGCGATGCAGCTTCCAATGCGTCATCGAGTCCAGCACTTGCCGACGCCACCGCCTTGCTGTAGGCCGAAGTAACTGATGCAAGCATTTTCTGGTGGGCGGGAAGAGGAGTCCCGTGGACTTGGACAGACAGCACAGAGATAGCCTGCGAGTACTGGGCATCTGCGCGTGACATGGCCGCTGAGTATGCCGACTTCAACTCTTGACGTACCGACTCCATCACGCCCGCAACATCGTCTACATCTTCAAGTATGGGCTCCCGGCTGGGAACAGACTGCGCGGCGGCGCCAAGAAACGCAGGCTTCACTGACGACGGGGAAGCCGAGACGGGTAGTTCTTCTGTGGGAACTAGGATGTCGTGGGTTTCAAGATCCGAATCCTCGACTGGGAGCTGGATCGGGGCAGGGCCGTCTTCTTTTAGCTCGCTGGTGTTTCCGGCCACAATTGGAGTTTGTTCCAAGATGATGGTGGATGCAAGATCCGGGGCTTGTTGTGTAGTCGAGTCGCCGCCTTCCGATGCGAGTGTTGCCTCAGTGGACTCCTCCGTAGGTTTAGCTTCGTCCGGTGACATGCTCTCAACTGATGGTATAGCAGATTCCACAACAAGGCTGGAGGCTTCTACTGGGAGGCTAATTGCGGCCTCGCCAACGGCAGATCCTGCACTGCTTACAGAATGTGAAGCTTTGGAGGCAAACTCCCCGAGTGACGATGAGGCCTGAGCAGCAGACTGAATTTCGCTTGCCGACCGTACAGCCTGTTCCGATTGCTCTTCAGCCGTGCTTAGAGCATTCTTGACAGCCTCCTTCGCGTCCTCGACAAGTTCAGCTGCTAGGTTGGCCCCTTCTTCAATCTTCTCTGCAACCGCATCCTTGCCCGCAACAGCAGAGTCTTCGGCCTTGCTTAGAAGGTTAGCTGCCGCATCCTTCAAGGCCGTAGCAGCCTCGGCGGCCTGCTCCATAAGAGTGCTATCAAATTCGGAAGTGTCGTCGGATGCAGCGAGCTTCCACTTGGCAACCTGCTTAAGGCGTGCAAGCTCCTTGGCGGCGGATGCTGCGATATTCATAGCCTCGTCCTCGATGTTGGCGCCTTCGAGCTGGGCGGCCTCAAGGTTAGGGTGGGTTACAATCAGATTCTCCAGGTCGCCTTGCCACTCGTCGAAACGGCTCTTGAGAAGATGGTACTTCGCCCAGTCCTTGTAGGTAATGCCATCCATCCAAGCCCATTTCATACCAATCTTCTGAAGCGCAAGATCTCGTATGTTCTCAAGGATAGCAAAATGAGTTTCTGCCGCCTTCGTGATGGCCGCTTGCATCTCGGCCTCGTAACTCTCACGCCACGCGCGCACATCTAGGGCCTTCTCCCTGATGGCCATGCCCGCCAGCCGAACGACCTTGACAATTTCCTCCTCGCTCTCCTTTGGAGAGGCGCTTCCCTTGTTGGCCGCACCGACGATTGCTTGGATATCGCGGCGAAGGCCGACCAGGCCAGATACAGTGCTTTTCTGAAGCTGTTCTAGTAGAGACTTGCCCGTAATTCTTGCGTTGCGCCGGACCATCCTCTTCGTGATCTCTTGAACTCGCTCGTCTATCTCCGCGGCGCCCTCGTCAGCGGCCTTGGAGTATCTTTCCTGCCAGTCTTTCAGGTCGGCAGCAACGGTCTCCCGGGCAGTCCGACGGACGGGATCCTCGTTTTCAACTGAGCCATCAACCTCAGGAGGTGGCACAAGGTCTGCAGTCGACCTCGGCTTTGTCGACTCCGTAGTGTTGTCCTCCTCCTCGACCTGCGTTGCGACACTTGAAGTCGTCGAAGAAGACAAGCTTGAAGATGATGAGCTCGAGGAGGCGGAAACGGAAGGTTTAGCAAATGACGATGAGGCTTTACTGGATGAACTTGATATGGCCGGTCAGCTGGTTTCGGCAACGGAGGTTTCGGGAGGTATACAAGTAACTTACCTTGGCTGCGACTCGGTAACTGTCTTGGGAACAGTCTTCTTGCCGCTATTGTACCTGCCTAGCCGCTTGCCAATCTTGACAAGTTGCGGTTCGACATTCTCGACGTAGATAACCCTCAACTGCGGCCAGACAGTCGCGTCGAGAAATACGTAGGTCTTATTCCAGGCCCAAATAACCGACGGCACAGCCTTTCCCGTGGTGAAATCCGAGGCAGCGGCATAGCCCTGATAGACATACGGCTGTATGTACTGGTATGAAGGTAACAAAAACTCGTGATATGTCTGCAGGGCGTTGGTGCGCGCAATCTCGAAATAGGGCCCAGCAACGGCTGTAACGCGAGTGACATGTGGGCCCAAGTTCTGGTTATACTGGGCGACGGCGAGATGCTGATACTTAGCAATCTGGGGCTGAACGCTCTTCTCCCACTGCGCCCTCCCATATGACTCAGCCAGTTGTAACCTGGGAGCGCCGTGCTTCTTCGCGTATCCCCAGCTTGGCGAGATGACTCTCTGGTCAACTACATTGTAGTACGGCCGAACAATATCCACATAGGGCGCTGCGTAGGCGTCATAGTAGGGCTCGAAGATGGGAGAAACGGCTTGTACGAGTTGGAAGTAGGGCTTGCAAATTCGTGGAGAGGTCTCGTCACAGGCGTCGAGGGTCGATGGACACCGAAGCAGAATCGTGAAGATGGAATACCATGTCAAAAGTCTGAGACAGAAAGGTCGGTCAGTGGGCCAACTCTGAGGGTAGGTACAGCTTGCCCAGCGGAGTCGCCAAAAGGCACAGAAAAGCTTACCTGGCGAGGGCGCTGAGGCTGCGAGCAAGGAAGCCGGGCCGAGAGGGCGTAATTCTCTTCTTAGGGCCAACGGGGTGGCCGTTGAGTGTTGATTTTATAGCGCCATTGATGCCGTTCATGGGCTTCGGGCCCTTGAGCGACCCGTTTGTGTCGTCCATGGCGCGCTGCGGTTCAGCGCCAGGCTGAGAAACGCGACAGGCGTTCGAAGGCGTCTGGGGAGAATTATGCGGCTCACGGTCGCAAGGAGAGCATACGGAGCTTCTTGGTGGAGGGCGAGGTCAAGCCGTGTCAATCGGCGCCCTTATTTCCTGGGCTGATGTCGCGGGGAGGGAAAGATAATGGTGGCCGCGATGACACGCCAGAAAAAAGAAGCTCGGACGATGCCACAGACGCACTAAAACTCGCTCCTGCCACGGCGCGGGCGCGGGGCCTGCTCTTCCTGTTGGCCCGGGCTTTGGTAAGCGAAAAGCAGGGGCAGTTGGATTTGCATCAGCAAAAAAATGGCTTCGAGGTGGAACTCACTGTGGTATTATTCTGTATTGTATTTTTGCTTGCTCCTGCAGCGCAGAAAAATTGGAAACTGGTCCCAAATGTCAACTTTCACAGTGGCTATCGGTAGCTATAGATGCAAAATTCCGATCCTCTCTTTATCTCGTCCTTGGTTTCCCAATGTGCTGGGAACTAACGTCACGGCTCTCTCGAGCTTGTTTTGGCGCGACTGTCGTTTTAGCGCTTGTTGGTTCACGTCATTCGGCGTTGTGGCGGCCAGCCCACCCACCAATCCCAAAGCCAAGCGAGACCAATAGAGGGGCCGGGATGTATCTCCCCTCCCCTCCAACCTTACGTAGTTACACGGCCGGAGACTTCATGGACGTTCTCTTGGCTACTTCGTAAATGTAGGTAGGTATGTTCCGAGGCTAGACAAGTCGTGATTTAAGTTGAAAAGGGGTTTCTTAAGATTACGATATGTATACTCCGTAGGTACCTAGCCCAGTGCTGACATTACCTTAGGTACCTTACTTATGTTGGCGGGTTTAGAAATTTATAGCCATGATTCGTATCCCAGGCTTGTCCCAGGCTTGTCCTTGACAAGCCGGAAGCCAGCAATATTTATGATTTAACATTGTCTTGCCGTCGCCGAAACATTTTCCACCGCAAAATGGCATTTTACCTTCCTGCCATCGTGTCTCAGGATAAAAATCAAGCCAGGATCAACCTCAACCCTATTGACATGAAATCTTTTCGTTTAGGTTTCCATATGAGAACTCTACATCTTTGAGCTAACTGCGAAACCTTCGGTCCACCTTTCTGATATCCAAACGCAACGCATATACAATCCAATCCCTGAATGTGAAGATCTGAAGGGCCTTAGCACTTTACGGCTCGACCTTGGGTTTTTCGCCGAGGCAGGTAATAACTATTAGAACTTTATTCTAGAATCATAGAGACATATCTATTCTCTGGAGATGCCTATGAATTAAATAGAACGCCTTTTTGCCGGTGTATTTGCGATAATCCTCTCCTTACTTCCAAGTATCCTGATTCCCAGGTACGTACTTGGGCAAGCGGAGGCACGTGCTTCAAAGCCCCACTCTTCACCTTTCTCGCCGTGGGCGGGCCTGAGTGGGCCCAACCAGCCTGCAACCCTTTTCAGTGGGAACATCTCGGTTGACCCCACTGATTTCCAGAGGCAGTCGAGGTACATTAGCAAGCAGTCCAGCCGCAACCGAAGTTCGCAACCTTTCAAGTGTCCTAGCCCCCCCACCCACGCTCTTCACCACGACGTCCCATCGCTTGCCTCAGGACCACTGAGCAACCTGGAACCTCGCGATATCCTCCCCCCACCAGCTTAACGTTTGCACACCGTCGTGCCGCGCGCAATCCGCCATAGCTTTGTCCTGCGTCGCACATCTCTTGCCATCCCGAAGCTGGCCGGCGGCTCTTTGTCTCCGACTACCGGCCGCACCGCTATCGTCCTTGCTACGCAACTGGCGCCCGTCTCCCCATCGCCATTCTCGCGTTACTGTTGCCGCATACATATCTACTCATGACAAGGTAGGACGCGCATCTGGGCTACCCTGGGTGGCATGTCCCTAAAGTTAGCCGCCGTTCCGACAACTCAGCTCCAATTCCAGCCATGGGCGACGCGCGAATAGACCCGTTCCTGGGTCACGACCCAGCCCAGTTTCCGAACACGCGCCTCCGAGCCTCCGCCGCCTCCGAGCACAGCGACAGCCCCGATCCCGACGGCCAGCCATCATTATTCCGGACTGCCCAGCCCGACCTGGGCCCGTCGACGGACCCAGATACATGTCGGATATGTCGGGGCGAAAAGACGGCTGAGGAGCCGCTCTTTTATCCCTGCAAATGCAGTGGGAGCATCAAATTTGTCCACCAGGACTGTTTAATGGAATGGCTGTCACACTCTCAGAAGAAACACTGCGAGCTATGTAAAACGCCTTTCCGGTTCACGAAGCTTTATGCACACGACATGCCCAAGGCCCTGCCATTCCATGTCTTCGTCAGCCACATGGCCAAGTACACCGTTAGAAACCTGCTGGTCTGGCTGAGGGTTGCGCTAGTGGCGAGCGTCTGGTTGGGCTGGTTACCATATTTGATGCGCTCGGTCTGGTCTTTTCTGTTCTGGATCAGCGATGAGGGTCTCGGAGGCGGCTCCTCTTTCTTCGGGAGGCAGAACGCCACAGCCGGAGACAGCTTCAACAGCCTTGCTACCACAAATCACGCCACTGGTGTTTGCCCGTCGAGCCCCCTGTTCGCTGCGTCAACTACAGTTGCAACTATCGGCGGCGTCTTAGACGGGCTGCCCGTGGACTCGGTTCAGCTGGTGAGGGGCTTGTACAGCATCAACTTGACGTCGGCAAACCCCTTGTATTCAACAATATTACGTCTCCTCTTTGGCACGGTTGGCCTTGCTGAGAAGCCCACAGCAACCGCCTCCAACGCCAGTGTTTCGATCCTCGACAACGCCCTATCTGCCTCGGCGAGCCACCATTCGCTGCTGAGCGAAGTTGGCTTTCTTCGGAACATGACGCGGCATGCGTCAATCAACCGCACCATCATTTCCACTCTCGAAGGCCAGATCATCACCATTCTCGTCATTGTGTGTTTCATTCTCATCATTCTGGTAAGAGATTACGTTGTGCAACAACAGCCCGAGATCAACATGCGCGCCGCTTTTGCTGCCGCCGAGAATCCAGCTCCGCAACCGCCTCGAGAGGACCCCGGGGTTCGAGCAGAAGACATTGAACACCTAGCTGGGCCTGGAGAAGAGGAACCGGTGGACGATAACTCCGATGAAGAGGCGGCCCAAGCTTCCATGGCTGCGGATCATACGAGCAACCAGTCGGCTATAGAGGATCAGTTCTTTCTCCACCGCCAGACTTCAGATAGCGGCGCTCTGGGCGCTTCCGAAGAGTCGATGCTAGCCCCAATCTTGGACGTGCATCGAAATCTGACTATTCCTGGGGGCCCGACGGCAAGCCTATTGGACCATGAGAGAACAACAGTCAACGAGTACCTAGAAATATATAGAGAGGCTGGCGGAGACCCAGAAAAAATACTCGGGATTGCAAAAGAGCGCCATCTAGAAGACAAGCTGGACTATTGGATCAGGCTCACCCGGTCAATGATGGACCGAAACAGACAACCGGATAATGAAAGCTCAGATGGAGGTGATATGTCCGAATCGACCGCGGAAATGAGCACGGCGGCTCAGTATGCCACATCGGCCGCCACAAGATCGACCGGCTCCGGCTCTAACCAATCATCAGAGTGGGTTTGGCCACCCGACCAGCAAGATCAAGCCGATCCGGGGGAGAAAGGGAAGTATCCGGCAGCCGAGGAAGAACAGGACAACTCGGAAGCGCAGCACATGAACCCCTTTAGGCCACGTTCTAACACCGACGGCCCCAGAGTTGGCGACACTCTGAACCCCCTGGCTAACAACAACTGGTCATTCTCTGATTTACCACACCAACCACTGACGGCACCAATATTGCCATCACATATATCAGCCACGCAACGAGACCTTTACCCTACCCACCCGTCCCCGACGACGCCTGGGCCAAGCAATACAGGAGACACCTTGCCATCGGTGGTCGCGGCTAGTCCACCAGGCTCCTCGAGTCCTGTAGGCGAGGATGCTCGCCAGGATGCGGAAGTCCTTCAGCTTCCCTCCGAAACAAATCTTCCTGCTTTGCTTGAGGATACGCAAGATGTGGATGTTGTTCTTTACCGCCCCACTGCTGAGGCCCCTCTACGTGGACAGCCTGCGTCCTTGGCTGAGCGGGTTGCCGACTTCATGTGGCGCGACGTCGACGCCATTGACCCCGCGGAATTGGCTGCCGTGGATATGCAAGACGGGTTTGGGGATAATGATGACGCCGGCCTTGCTGCCCTGCAAGACGACGCGTTGGCCGATGATGAGGAGAGGGATCGGGAGGTCGTGGAGGCTGCGGTCGCAGCTGGCCTGGACCCTGAAGCGATTGAGGACGCCGAGGATCTCGAGGGCATCCTGGAGCTACTCGGGATGCGGGGCCCTGTCGCGGGTCTGTTCCAAAATGCCATCTTCTGCGCCTTTCTTGTCTCCATCACCATTTTCCTCGGCATATTCGTGCCATACAATATCGGACGAATCAGCGTATGGACCATCGCGAACCCCGTGCGCCCGGCACGAATGCTATTCAGCATTTCGAAATTTGTCCAAGATTGCGCCGTTGTTATTCTGGGGGCTTCCTTATTTTTGTTCTCCTACGGGCTTCAGTCACAGGCTCGGCTGGTCAAGTTTATGTCCTTCGCCGACTACATGCAGGCCACCACCGCGGCCTCCTTGGCCATGGCCTTGAGCGCCGCAAACCGAATCGCCGCTAGCTTCATGACGGAGCTTCCCATCATCTCAGCTTCAGAAATGCGCAACTTCTCCGCCCTTAGCCACGAAGCCTTGCTCGCCGTAAAGGAGCACCTCGGGGCTGCATTTGCCACTGTGGGGAACCTGTTCGTGTTCTTGTCTGGCGGTGACTACGCTGGCAAGGGCTCCGAGGTGATGTCAGTGGCCGGAAACATTTCTGCCGTCGCGTGGGCGGGCCTGAAGGACCTACCGGACGTATTATCGAATCCGGGCTCCTGGGTCATCAATCTAAATCTGCCGGAAACAGCGGGAACCATCAATCCAGAACTTGCATACTGGAACGGTATGGACAGGTTCTGGGCCATCATGTGCGGTTATATCGCCATATCGATAATTGCGGGACTCTATCTCCGTCGCGGCACTCCTTTCTCGTCCGGGCAGACCGGCCAGGACTGGGAGGCGTCCATCATCGACGGGCTGAACCAAGCCAGCGGGGTCATGAAAGTCATTCTGATCATCGGCATCGAGATGCTTGTCTTCCCTCTCTACTGCGGCATGCTCCTCGACGTTGCACTGCTACCTCTGTTCGAGAATACGTCGATGAAGTCTCGGGTTCTTTTCACCGTCAACTACCCTGTCACCTCGATCTTTGTCCACTGGTTTGTTGGCACGGGTTACATGTTCCATTTCGCCCTGTTCGTCTCCATGTGCCGAAAGATCATGCGCAAGGGCGTCCTCTACTTCATCCGCGACCCCGACGATCCCGAATTCCACCCGGTTCGTGATGTACTAGAGCGCAACGTCACTACCCAGTTGCGGAAAATTCTCTTTTCCGCCTTCGTCTACGGCGCGCTTGTTATTGTGTGTCTCGGTGGCGTTGTTTGGGGGTTGGCACTGTCACTCCCTACCGTTTTGCCCATCCACTACTCGTCCAACGAGCCGGTCCTCGAGTTCCCCATTGACCTCCTTTTCTACAACTTCCTGATGCCCCTCGCGGTCAAGTTCTTCCGGCCCAGCGACGGCCTCCATGCCATGTACACTTGGTGGTTCCGGAAGTGTGCTCGCGTGTTGAGGATCACCTGGTTTCTCTTTGGGGAGCGACGGATAGACGAGGAGGGGCATTTAGCCCTTGGGAAGGAATCTACACATCGGAACCTGACCTGGTGGAGAACGCTATTCTTGGAGTTGGACGACAGCGGTAACGTCATTCCCAAGACATGGAAGGATACCTTCGAAGGCGGCACTGCCAATCCAACCTTGTCCATCCCCACCGATGAGTTGATCACCCTAAACGTCAAGAAGATCAACCTCGTCAGGTCTGGGCAGCTCATTCCTGACGGACGCTTTGTTCGCACCCCGGCATCTGACCAGGTGAAAATTCCCAAGGGCAAGACGGTCTTCTTGGCCGTCAACGAAAACAATACTAGACGGGATGAACAGCCTGACCAGGCTGACACGGATATCTACTCGACCAACCAGTATCAGTTAGTCTTTGTACCGCCGCACTTCCGCGTCCGCGTGTTCCTGTTCATTCTGTTCATCTGGATTTTTGCCGCCGTCACTGGCGTCGGCATCACCATTGTGCCACTTGTTTTTGGCCGGCGCATGTTCAAGCTACTCATCCCTAGCCACATACGCACCAACGACATCTACGCCTTCAGTATCGGGATCTACGTCTTAGGCTCGGTCGCCTACACGGCATTTCATCTGCGAACAATCTATCGAGCCGTGGAGGAATGGGTCGTGGCAGCCGCTTTATCGGCGTACAATCGCGACGGCGTGCGGCGGGTTCTGAACACGGTGCTCCGTGTCGCCAGGGTCGTTTACGCCTATGTCTTCCTTCTGCTCGTCTTCCCCCTCATGGTGGCCTCCCTGATGGAACTGTACGCCTTGATTCCCCTTCACGAATTCATGTACAGCATCCTCCTGTCAGGCGGTGGCACCTCGACTACGTCGTCTGCCGAGGCCGCCGATCTGAACCCAAGGCACACGATACGAGTGATCCAAGCGTGGACGATTGGCCTGCTCTACTTGAAACTGGGCGCACATTTTATAACCCATTGGTTTATCGACACTCGGCTAGCCGCCGCCGTCAGAGCCGTCCTCCGCCGTGGCTGGCTTGATCCCGACCTTGCTGTCCTCACTCGCGCCTTTATTATCCCTGGCGTTACGCTCTGGGCCGCAGCCGTTGCAACTCCGCTGCTCGTCGCCAAGTTCACAGTGGCAAATGGCCTTGCCGAGGCCATCGTACAAGGCTCTGGCGCGGTGCTAATAGACGGTGTACCCGACCAGCCATTGCATGATGCCTACTTGGTTTTGATATATCGTCTTAGCTTCCCCTTCATTGCACTTGGTATCGCCATGTGCATCATGTTGTGGAGCATGGTCGGCGTTTTCCGAAGCTGGAAGGTGCGGATACGGGATGAAGCCTACTTGATCGGCGAGCGCCTCCACAACTTTGGCGTCGTTAACGGCCCGCCGAAAGCTCGAGGTGCCTGGAGAGCCAGCGGGTCACGCCTATGATGGCATGCGGAGGCCGATTTTCCCGCGTCCTCCCGCATCCCGGTATCCCGGGTTTCCTAGGTACTTTTGCGGCAGCACCGTGGGTGTATGGGCGTGTATGGGCGTTGGGGAATGAAATGCATTTCTGGAGATTGATTATAGTCTTGGTTCCAACAAAATTCCCCCATCCTCGACACGACGTTTTGGGTCAATGTACGTACGGGTAAATTACGATTAGCAACCACAGCGCATATATGTCTGTTCCATATCGGCGTTCTCGGGATCTATGGGCGCAGTGTTGAAGATTATTTTACCACCAATTATATCAAGAGATATTTCGCGTCACTGACAGTGCAGGCGAGCATGCAGTGTGATAATTCGCTGCCTCGATTCGGGTAGTCCATCTATAAGAGGTATTTCTATCTACATATCCATGTCTATGTCAATGTAATGATTGCTATTCAACTCCACGTTTTTTCCTTTCCGGAAAGGTTAGGTACCAGTCCACATCCTTTTATCAAGAGACCAATCCTTCCAAACAAGGTGCACTTGAAGTGCCTGCTGCGCCCATGCCAGAGTGCTGGCGCATCGCATACGGATACATCGTGAACGGTCAATGGTCTTCAACGTCCTCGTCACGGCCGGGGTACATGATGTCCTGCACCATAACTGCGCGAACGTGGTGGAACAGCACGAAACTGTAGACGAGCAGGAGCAACACGGACATGGCTGTTGCAAACCAGAGCACGACGTCGTTCTGGAACGCGCGGCCAAGTGCGATGGTGGCCAGGATAAATCCCGTGTTGGGGAAGACTGAGGCCCACCAGCCGAGGTGGAAGTACTTGGGCGGGCTCTGCAGCACGGCCAGCGCCACGATGGCGAACCACCAGAAGCTCAGCGACCACAAGAACCCAGCCCCAATGACGGCCATGGTCTGGATGATGCTGGCGTCAAGCAGCCCGTCCATGTCGGCATCGAAGCTAGCCGGTAGGCCCTCAGACAGCCCGATAAAGGCCAGGGCCGTGAACGCCGGCGGCCCGACGCACATGAACAGCCCTGGCCGGTGCTCACGGTTCGGCAGCCCAGACTTCATCAGCCGCCCTACCATGTGGGAATACATCATCATGGCGACAGCGACACCGAGCCCCTGGCACGTCAGTCCGGCAATGATGATGCTCACAGCCTGCTCGGGCGGCTGCGAGGGGGCCACAACCGACGCCACGGTACCGGACAGCATGATGGGGAAGATGGGAAGGATCCAGGTGGGCATCATGGTGTGCAGCTCGAAGCTGTGCGCGGCGAAGACGAACGAGTACTGCCCAATGGCCAGCACCGTCGTAACCACGACGTAGGCCCAAAAGGCCGCCTGCATGGCCCACAGCGGGCCGGGGCCATGCGACGGCGAGCTGCCGATGCCGTCGACGCCGTACCGCTGCGTCGACGTGATGAGCGTCGCCACCGACAGGAAGAAGGTCGGGAAGAAGAAGCCCTCACGCGGGTGCGTAATGGACCGGCTGAACGACCCCGCCACGAGGAAGAAGCGGCCGACCAGCGCCGACGTGATCAGCGCAAACAGCATGATGTTGACAATGTACACGGCCAGCCCGATCTGCGGCAAGCCGGGGAACTGGTGCGGCTGCGCTGCGATGAGCAGGGATAGCCCGCCCGTCGCCATGGTCAGCGTGTACCACGCCCAGGTGAAGTGCGCTAGCCGATCCCGGACCCCGAGCCGAGGCCGGCTAGCCGAGTGTGCATTCTCGAATGCATCCTTGAGCAACTCGTCCTTGGTGCGGTCTTTCTCCGGGTCGTGTACCAGCTGTTGCTGGCGTTGCGGTGCTAGGTTTGGCAGGGGGCGGCTTTGCTCCTGGCTGCCCGCATGCTGTTGCTGGATAATGACAGGGGCGTCTTCATCCCGGTGGGATGCGAGGGCAGTTGCATAGGTGATGGCCGGAGACTTTTCGCTGGCGTCGACGAATGGGTTCGGGTCAAGGTCTACCGAGCTGCGGGACGAGGGCCCCGAAAACCTGTCGTCGCCGAAGGCTGAAGGATGAGGTGGCTGGAATTTCGGCTGGAAGGCCACAATACTGCGTGGGTTGGTATTTGAACCGAAGGCCTGGTGTTGCGGCCGCTGTGCTTCTTGTGGCGTAGACGAGAAGCGGGTTGAGTCAGAGTAAAATGTCAAGTGCAAGTTGCCACGGTCTGTTGATAGGTCGTCTGGCAACGGCATTGTTGAGCGTCCACGCACGCTGGCAACTCCGAGCCCTTGCTTGCATCAACAGGCCCTTGCTTGAATCAACAGGAATGGCAAAATGGAAAAAGGAACTGAAGAAAGAGAGGGCCCCGAGGTTGTAAAAGAGAAAGAAGGAAAAGAATGAAGAATCCTTATCCCGAATACGTCTTCAGCTTCATGTCTTCCAGAGACGGCTAACTGGTTGAGACCCAACACCCCACAGCTGCAAAGATACTTTCAGTCCAGCTGGAAATGAGAGGGCAGCTTGGAGAGAAGGAAGACTGAGACCGAGACCAGAGGAAGAAATATAAAGTTGCACATGGCGTTCATGTCCGAGCCCTAGTACTGGCAGTCTCCAGACTCTTGGACCTCTCTCCACAATCAAAATTTATATTGCGGGTAGTGGGTTGACTCAAGCTCTTTCCACTGCTGTCGGGAGTATCTAGGTATGCACTCAATTGCCGAATCACTTCCAAACAGGACCTGTTCCAAAAACAAGCAACATGAGGTTGGTAGCGTGTTTTGGTTCAGATGGATCCACGCCACAGGTTTGGAATGCTGAGAAGGTGAAACGCTACCGTGATACTGACTCAATTATCGCCACATCTAATACGGGTTACCCTTGACATGTTTTGCATCTAGACCGATGCGCTGGAATAAACCCGCATGCAACGGAGGCGCGAGACCACGGATCAAATCCAAAACGCCTCTTTGATCCTAGGAAGACATCTTCAATCTAGATGCAATCTACCGGTAGACTTTATACCGGTTGAAGTAGAGCAGCGTATGTACGTTACATAGACAAGTACATATCTTGAGGGACATGGCTAGATGATATTGATGGACAAGGATTACTGCTGGGCTCTATCCCGCTGTGAGACAGAAAGTTTAAGGGATCCCAGACAAAGACGTCACGACCAGGATTTGTTCGAGGACTTTGAGCTCCGTCGCAAGTCTCGATGTTTGACGTCAGTCCAATCAAAGAAAGAGGAAGACATGATTCGGAGACCCTTGGGAGAGCAGCGCCCCTCGATTAATATCAGTGATTTGTGCGAGTTATTCGACAGTTCATCGTTCAAAAAGTGCGTTGGGCCGTGAGGCCTAGCTATTTTCTAATAATTAAGCCTGGCAGAATTTAATACTTGGTCCTTACTATGGCTCGAGAACTGCAATGCAGGTGGGAAGGCCGTGGCAAACTATCGACGAGATGCGATCAGGCCGACGAGATGCGATCAGGCAGACGAAATCTGGCGTCTACCCCCCTAATCCCCGGTGTCTGACCTGGTCCTTCACGAGGCAATTGGACGGACGCTCTGGGGGTTGTGAAAGATATCCAGCGGATCCCACCGCAGCTTCGTGTTCTGCAGCTGGGCCAGGTTGGGGCCCCAGTACTGCTCCTGGCCGTCCGTCAAGGCAGGATCGACGTAGCCGGCGTAGGTGCCAAAGGTGCCGGTTGGGGCGACGGACAGGACTTGGTTGTGGAAGCCGGTCAGGAATTTCTTGGTCTTGTCCGACAGCGGGAAACCGATGCCGTACGACTGATAGAACAGGATCTTGTCGCGGTGGGCGAAGGCCGTGCCGTTCATGGCCACGTCGCCAATGGCACCGCCGGCGGCGTCAAAGATGATGGCCCACAGTAGCGTACCCTTGTCCTGCTTGTCGACCCAGCTGAAGAGCTTCTTGATGCCCTCGCGTGAAATCATGTCCTCGCGCTTGAAACCGATGCTCTTGGAGTAGAACGGGTTGGGCAGGTTAGATAGGTACAGCGCTTCGTTCTCGCCATCGTGGGTAATGGATCCGAGCCAGTCGTTCGCCACGACCTGATTGTCGCTTTTAGGAAGATAAGCGGGGATTCCTGAGGCGTGGTACTCATCGTCGGTGCCGTAAAAGGTGCCAGTGATGATGGCCCCGAGCGGCATCATGATAAACAAGGACCCAAATCTGCGGTCGAGTCCTGGGTTGGATATCAAGTCTTGCCAGGCCGAGTAATATGATGCCATCTCAGCCTGGGTGCCAAAGTTCAACGAGTACGAGTACTGAACGACGTTGGCTGGCTCTGAGTGTGTCCGAACAACGAATTCCGTAATGACTCCGAAGCTTGCGGCTGCTCCTTTCAGGGCCTGGGTTGTTGTCTTTAGGTAAGCAATTCGAACAGGGGGTGCATGGTGAATTAATTAGACAGTTAGCGCATACCCAGAAGAGATCCGAGTTTTTGTTGTCGTTTGCCCTTTGAATCTTTCCATCGGCCGTCACAACCTCGACTTCAATGACATGGTCAAGGCAAGAGCCCCACATGCGCGACATTGGACCCAGCCCTCCCTAATGGTGAAGGCGAGTTAGTGAATCGGTCACGGGGGGGGGGGGGGGGGGGGGGGAAGGGGGGACAGCTGCATCCCGAGCTGACGAGACCAGAGCCTGTATTGATGGATGTTGATGCTTACAATTGTGGCATGCCCGCCTATGCCAACATCGGGACAGACGCCATGGGCAATGGCTCGGCCGCCGGCGCCGTGGAGCCGCTTAGTAACCTCGCCGAGGCGGAAGCCGGCCCCGATAGTTGCCTGCCAGGTGGTCTTGTCCATGTTGAAGTGCTGAAAGTTGACCAGGTCGATGGCGACGGCACCGCTGTCGCCGCCAAGGCCTGCGGTGAGCAAGGAAAGGTCAGTCTGGGGCATGTCTTATAGCAAGGCACCAGGAACACATATCATAGGCACTCTATTCGACCACTCACCGTAGTTCCTGTGTCTGAAATGTCAGCTATCGAGTTGCGGGGAATTGGATGAGCTTGGGAACGTACGCATACGAATGGCCTCCGGACTTGGCTTGGACCTTGACATTGTTGACGGTAGCACATTGGATAATACCCGATATATCTTCGGCTGTCTGGGGCCGCACAACTGCGGCAGGAGTGACGCGGACGTCAAGATTGTAGGGTTTGGTCCAGGATATCTGGTAGAAGGGGTTGGACGGATAGGCTGCGAAGCCGGACCGGCCGTTGCCGACCGTGTCGATGCACTGCTGGAGCGCGCTCGGGTAGTTGCCCATGGTATTGCGAGTAATGATGGAAATGGGACAATTCGGACAATAGGACGCGTCGGGACAATAGGAAGAAGGGGGGGCGCGCGGGGGGAAACAAAAGAGGGAATGGCAAAACGAGTAGAAGACCTAGAAAGAAGGAACCCTGAACAGCGTGGGTAAGGTAGACCAGGCAGCTTAAATGCTGCAAAATGAACGGCAGCTTAAATGCTGCAAAATGAACGAAGGTTGGACAAATAGGACAGGAGGGGCAAGAGCGAAAGGCGGTACTGTCATCGAATCAGTTGTCGACCGGCAAAGCCCACGGCTATTGGCTGCACCTAGGTAAATGATACAATGATACGGCTAGAAAGACGACCCCAGGGTTGAGGTCGCGAGCACGCACACTGGTCACTGGCAACCATTGTGACACATGAAGCAGCACTAAAGCGGCAAGCGTCCAACTTAAGCAAGCCACGGCGTCCTCGACATGAGCTGATGCGACGTTTGCCGAGGATCTCCTCCTTAGTACCTCGAGTATTTCGCTCTCAGCGCACCTAATCCCCGTCCGCGCTGGAGAGCGAGGATTGGGCACGGGGAAAAGGGCAAACACACATACTCATGGGCGTACAAGCTTGATGTGGTTGGGGCCTCAACCTGGAATGGTTTGTTCTTGTTTGGCCGGGCGGGCGGCTACCTGTGGGTCAGGTGCGTTTGCCCCAATATTTTACGGACAACAACAGACGGAATCGGTGGAGGTACACTAGCTCTAGAAAACCTTCCATCAGTGCAGCAATCTTGTTGGCTGCCTGGGCACTCCAGCAAGATGACTTCAGCGCAGCATCCGCCACACTGGCAGCCAGTGACCGTCGCCCATCCGACCCCTCCACGGCCGGTGGTTCCTTGGCACGCCAGGTTTTTGGCAGCTCTTCGACCCAAGGTGGCGAAACGGGCCAACATGGCCGCACCAATTACCGTCATTGCAACAGCCCAGGGGGTCGAAAAATAGAAGACAGCGAATTACAGGCCGCGCAGTGACGGATGGGCACGAAAAGAGCCCAAAACAGGGCTCCTATTGGCCGGCTCACATACGCCCTACAGTATGGCGCATTTCTATTGTTGGCCCGTGCGTTGCCCCTCTCCTGACGCCCCTCCCTCCAGGCTCCAGCAACACTGTTCGCTAGGTGTTTGCCGTACAGAATAGGGGCAAGGTATAGAATTGTTTCACAATAAGGTAAATCACCTACAGATATTACTAACAATTCGTAACTTGCATAACGGCTCTATTAATGCCTATTTATATACGCTGTCGAAGTGGTGACTATCTAATTAGTACAGGAGTAGTTAGGTAGGTATCTAATTACAACTTCGCACATGAAAATATAGCAGTGAGCACTGAGCAATGAGCTGAAAGTTATGTCACAGTTCATGATTAATTAGGAGTCTATAATCACGGCAAAGAAAGAGAAATGATGGGAAGTCCCTCAAAGACAAGGCTGGGTTGTGGTCTGGTTAATGCCGAAAATTCTCCACTTCACCAAATCTGAGAATGTTGCCTCGGTACCTAATTACATATGCCGCAACAATAGTTTTTCTGGGACTATTGTCTTCGCATGAATAGCTTGGACCTGGGCGGTGTCATATTACCGCTTTCCAAAAGGTTGGACGATACTAGCGGTGAAGAGAGAAAATACGTCTAGCTAACCTAAGTAACTACGATTACTCATAGCTAAATTGTTAGGACGATTTTCATCTTCCCATTCATTTATTAGATAGCTAGCTCCAGCTTATAATATCCGAGCAGCCATTCTCATCCTAACGTAAACACCGAATTCGTCCCGTGGAACACTTTCATGTAGCAAGTAGCTAGCAAGTAGCAAAATATGCGACGAAGAGTGTTGAACCCTGAACTTGACATCTATCTACCCAGGTAGGTATTCAGTAACCCCGATAATTCTTCGTCTGAGCTCTTAGATTTACCACACTCCCTCGATAAGGTCCTCCGGTTCGGGGTCGAATACGTTATCAACATGTACCGGGGAGGCTCAATGGGGAGGCTCAAGTGAAGCCCTGGTGTTGAGACGGCCTCTCGCATATTCCCCACTGTGTTCTTGTCGCGGCACAAATATTCCAACCCTCGTTCCCTTCTAACCTCTTGCTTTGTATCTCGTCACTCACCTCCAGCCGACCGGAACCGTATCTCTACGCTGCAGTCATTTTACACCTCGTATCATTACTATCGAGTATACCCTACCCGTCAGCGAATAAGCCTGCTTTCAGATTTCTTCTTTTACCACTGCTACCGAAGCTCAGCTACCAACCTTGCTTTTTCTCGTCATTCTCTCGCAGTGGCCGGAATCATGCGTTGTGCTTCCATCGTTCTACTTAGCTTGGCTGCCATTGCTACCGCGATCACAGTCCCTGCTACCAATTCCGTGATCACGACTCCTACCTCTGTTGCCGCAGATCCGCCGTCTATCCTCGCCCCTGCCAACGTCACTGCCCAAGCGGAAGACGTAGTCTGCTGCGTTCCCGCTTGTACCCTTTGCCCGGGGCCCTGTCCTTGCGATGGCAATATCTTGGTGAGTTGTGCTCTGTGGTGAATCGAAGAAGGGGAGCATCACATTTGTTTCTCGTCTTTTCTAATTACGCACACTCCCAGCACTGCCCAAATCCTGCCGTGCTAACCGACTTTCCCACTTCATAGTACTCGGTCTGCTGCGCCACGTCCAAGTAAACGGTCGCATGCTAAATGAGCTATAGAGACCAGCGTCGATGCGATGCGGCCGATCCATTTGATTTCCTACGAGTAAGTACAACAGCACGGGGAGGGAAAATTGGATGGGTATTCAGCAAATAAGCTTGATAACTCTTGGTGGAATGCTGGGATGTTGGTTTGAAATGATGGCAGCGAGTGCGGTCGAGATCCGGAAATCTCTAGATAGCAAATACCTGGTCGGGTATATTACCTAGGTACCTAGGCACTTGGCAAATACCTTACCTGCGATCGTCAAGGCCCTTTTGCGCAGCTTGTCAGTGTACAAATACTTTGTGCCCCTGAACAGTCATATCTCATGGCGCTTGTCGTATCCAGTAATCTCTTATGCAGTAGACTCGACTCTTGGATTAATAGTTCTAAATCAGAGGCTATGTCAGGGGGCCAAAATTCTGACATGCCTAAGAGGATTCCTCGTTGGTGACATTTTCCAAGTTTCTCATCACGAAATGGCCACCTCTCAAGAATTATAAATTAGACGTCCTCTCTCACCTCCGAAACTCTCACTGCATATTTCCCGACACTTCCCATAATATTTTACCTACAACTCCACAAAATATCTCGCGTGCTGGCGACTACAAGGGCAAAATACCGGGGTTTTCTATCAAATCGGAGTTACCTTGCTTCTTGATCTCCACCGCCAGAATAACCAACACGTTCCATAGCTCGCCATGTTTCGCAACACATGGCCATTATTCTGCTTCTTGCTCTCTGCATTAATCTTGCCCATGGCGGCTGTTGCGAGTCTCTACGAGATTGTTGTTTTACCATTCCCTCGACGTAGCCCCTCGTCCACCGCCGTTGTTTGCGCTCCGATGGCTACATCTGATTCTATTTTGACTCCGGGTTTATATCACATACACTCGGAAAGCCATTGTTGCGTGCCGGGATGCACCCTCTGCAGCACTGTGTTATGTAATAGCACACACTCTAACTGTGCGTCTAATAGAGCTGTGAGTACTCCATATTCACTTTAGTCATCGATGGACGAGACATTTGCTTTCTTTACCCTCAGTCTGCACCTGAAGAGGTACTAATATGCGAGTGGCAACCTGATATAGTACAAAGGCTGCTGCACCATTGCGATTGGAGTTGACAAGGACAGCAACCTTGTGTGCCGTCGAACGGAACTGGCGCAGCTGCCACTTTTCTCACAAACGAGCAGATCCTAAGGACTACTGGCTTTTAAACCAGCAATGACTTTTCACTCCTCCCCTTTGTCAAGTCCTTCGCAATGAATAGAGAATGGAATGTGTGTGTATGTGTGTGTCTGTGTGTGTGTGTGTGTGAGAGAGAGAGAGAGAGAGAGAGAGAGAGAGAGAGAGAGAGAGAGCGGCCAAGTGCTACCAAAGTAAAGCAGGTGTTTGTGTTTGGTAGGGCAATTATCGAATCTCCTTAGCCTGATACATTTAACTAGTTTACCGGTCGGCTTGAACGACTAAGTAACCACTATTATTGTATCTAAACCGAGAAGAACAACCGAAAGAAGGGAAGAATCTAAGGGAATTTATTTTGGACGCAGGTGGGATAAAGCATTTTGACTAAAAGGTGTAGCCATAGTTGAGCAAACTGACAAAAACCCTATGACCAAGCCCATTGCAAATAGTACCGAGGAGACAGATAAACAAAAGAAATGTTCAGAGGCGTCATATCATCCCCCAACCCGACGTAGAAGTTGCCTGTATGTCTATAACTCATACCCAAGTGTTCCTGAATACCCGAGTGTTCTTACCAGACTATAATAAGACTTGAAGGAATGTGTCTGCTCCCAAGAGACACGGGGGTGACTTGGAAGCCCCGTGAAAAAAGAAATATCGAAACCGCCAAAGTTGATGTGATAACAAGCCACTGCTCAGGCCCAGCGCCAGGCCCCAGGAACATCCAAAACAGTCACAACGGGTTCTATTTTCGCGTATTGCATCTTCTCGTCCAACAAAGGCATGATAATCACGTCCTCCTTATCCGACTCTAGCTCCTCGAGCTCCGAGCATGAGTCCCGCGACGACAGGTCGGGCTCGGGGCTCGAGTCTCGGACGTTGATGAGGACGTCGTGGTCGCTGTCAACATCATCGTCGTCGCCGCCGATGTCCTCAGTCTGCTCGGCTCCAATCTCAACGCCGTTTGCATCCTGGCCAAACTTGAGGGTGCCGAGGTCGCTGAAGAGGTCGTACTCGTACTCATCGGCGTCTTCGGCCTCGAGCTCGTGGTCGTGGGCTGCCTCGTCGTACATGGCACGCATGGCCAGCATCTTGTCGCGCGACCGCGGCACCGCGTCGAAGGGGAACGGTGCAGGCTTGGCGATCAGCAGTGGCGTGTAGTCATTCCAGTGCACGGGAACCTCGCCCCCCGTCCGCGCGTCGCGCTTCTTGCGCACGTCAAACGCCCACGCCATGCCGCCCATGGTCAGGAACAAATCCTGCTCCACCACCGGAATGCCCTGGCACGTCCGCCGCCCGAACCCGAACTGAGAGAAGCCGTTGAGGTTGGGGTACTGCGTCAAGGGCTCCCGGAAGGTCGGGAACGATGGGTCCAGCCACCGCCGCGGGTTGAAGTTCTCGGCGTCTGGGTACATTTGCTCGTCACGCGTGATGCCCCTGGTTCGAATTCCAACAATTAGTTAGCATCGATGGGGCATAGAGACCATAAGGTAGAGAAACGAAGACGAGATGACCGAAAACATACCATTCAAGTGCGTGTATAGTGGCACCGGCCGGGATGAAATATCCGTTATAGATGTCGTCTTTCTCGATGGCGTGGGGGATGCCAGTCGGCACGGGCGGCCTCCACCGGATGACCTCCTTGACGACGGCCCGCAGAGTGGGTAGCTGCTCCCTGTCCTCCCACTCGGGGCACCGGCCGTCGAGCGCAGTGTCGATCTCTTCCTGCAGCTTCCGTTGCCACTCGGGGTAGTGGCACATGGCCAGGAGGTAGCTCTGGATGGGGCTACCGATGGTCAGGGCGCCGGCGATGGCCATGAGCCCGACGACGTGCATGGCCTCGTCTGTCTCGCCCCACTTGGCCCGCTCCTTCTCGTCGGTGCTCTGCTTGCTCTCGAGAAAGGTGCGGATGAAGCTGGGCTCGGCGCGCTGGCCGGCCATGCGGTGCCCGACAAAATCCACGTTCGCGCGGAACAGGCGGTCCTCGAGCTCGTGACGTGCGCGCTCCTTCTGCTTCCACGGACTGAGGCACGCTGGCAAGTGTCTTAGAAAGGCCACAATGTTTGGCAGCGCCCCTGACGGGCTGATGGTCTCGAGCAACCCAAAGGTCGTGTGCCGCAACATGTGCGCAGGGTGTGTCGTGCCCCAACTGAGTCGCGACACGGTGCGGCTCGTGAACTGCTCGATCCACTCGACGTATTTGCTCGGGTCACGCCACATCAGACACAGAAAGCGATTCCTCTCGCGCTTTGGGTACGAGTGTAGAGACGACAAGGCACTGGCATGCATTAGATGACTGCATAGCTTTCGTTGGCGCTTCCATGTTTCTGTCGTCCAGTGATGCCTTGTCAGCGATGCGCGTCGCAGTTCTGCGTCGTTCGAGGGAAAACTGGGTGTGAAAAGCAAGAGGGTAAACAGGAATCTAGACATACCTGTCCGTCCGAGGAGGGCGAGATAGTCGCCGCTGGTTCGGTTGTCCGGGAGGTTGGGGATCATGGGCCGGTCCGAGTAGATGATGGCTCTCTTGGAGAGGAGATCGTGGGCAATCATCTCGGACGAGATCCATACGTGGACGGCGCCGAATATCTTTGTCTGGTAGATGGGCCCGTATGTCTTGCTCCAGTCGTAGAACTTCAGCCAGGATGCTTTGGATGGGATATCATGGACGCGGCCGACAAATGGCAAGTCTATATTCATTTAGATTTAGCTACCGACCCGTCGTCGAGGCAGGCGTTTCACTGCCAGAGACTCCGGCGGCGCGTGGCTGCGTAAAGCAAAGACTTACTCCATGGCCCAGGAAGTGGTTGTATGCCGGGAGGTAACCTCTTCCTGTTCACACATCGATTCACTGCAACGAGGGCGACTCCTACGATAACGAGGAGGTAGAGAGGGAAACCCATCACAACGATAGTCCAAGACAGTCTCAACATGGAAGGAAACAGACAGAGAATGCCGCCGAGAGTAAGGACTGATGGTTGCTGAGAGAGATAGAGAAGAAATCACGGACTCCTACACGTCATGCAAGAGGCGAGAGGAGGGGAGTCATATGTTCGAGCCCGGCCGGCCTGTGCGGACTTGGATGATGACTTGCAAGATTTGACGGCCCCTCTTGGCCCTGCATGCTCTCCCTGGCCGGTGGATCTCTAGATGCACAGCCATTGGGGCCAAGGGGCAGAACAACAAAGCAAAGCATTGGTGGTCGAGATCACTGTTCTGAGCGTACATTGAGTGGCGGCAAGGTTGCAAGACTGCAGGACAAGCTTCAAAGTTCTCGGCCTGGCCAACCTGGAATGACGGCCTGACGGTAAAAAAAAACAAGCCTGCCAGCTTGCCAGCCTGCCAGCCCTGTTTACATTCCAGCCGGTAGCCGGGAAACAAATCCCGAGGAGGCTTCCGCACACCCATGTTGCATCCGGCCCGATGACAGGAGGCGAAAACAACGCGGCCGCCAGCTGATCAGGGGACCTTGGCTGCCGCGCGCAAGAGCATGGGTAGGGGGGGCCCCACACGTTGAATGGCGACGCAAGTGTCTGTGGTCAACAAGACGTTGGCTCCAGGGAAGCTCGCGTTTGTTATAACTTCGGGGCTAGGGCGTCAATAATAAACATCAATATCCGTCACATGGCCCAGTTTGATCAGATCACAGTCCTGCCAAATGCAACATTTTGCGTCCGATTAAACAGGCCATTTCTGGTCAGGTAACTTCTCATCACCATATAATTGCGTCCACTCTGGGTCATCGAAGAGATCTTCCCATTGTGGTCCAGCAACGGCCGGTAGGCTGCAATCGACTAACAAGGCGTGCATCCGCGCCGAGAAGCACATTTGGTCAGTGAAGGCTACGGTGCCAAGTTTCTCCTACAATTTCATGTGCTAGCTGGGAAGCAAACACTAGCGCGAAGCGATTTGCTGCTGGCGCGAACTCTGTCGGGCTAAGGACTGACTTCCCCAGACTCGAACCTTGGTTAGTTTTTTAAGGACGTTGACAAGAAGAAGACAAAATTGGCCCGATATTGCACCGGTATCGCTATTTTGCCTTCGGATTGGTCAAGAATTAACATTTTTTAGACGATTTGCCGACTGGGCGACGAGAATTTGGGCTTGCGGGCCCTCGGGGAAAAGGGGTCCCGGTGGCACACAGCCAGCTAAGCCGTTGTTGAGCCGTAGCAATTGGCGGCCCATGGACTGCGATTTTGGGTTTTACCCGACCTAGGATTTCCGTGGTATCCGGCCCCCCAATGCTTTCCGTGCATGTTTGGAAAGCTGTTGGAAAACTGTCATTAGTATCCATGCAAGATTCCAAGGTCCTGTTGACTGTGAGTTAGAGAAATACCACTCGCAGTGACATCACAAAGAGAAGCGAAGCAAGTTGCCAATATAGACAGCATTTGACTACGGTATTTAAAACTCTGGACTCTGAGTTGAGCCGTAAGAGCCGGGAATGGTCCCATAGGCTGGATGCGGATGAGACACCATATCTCGTGGGATAAGCTCATCAACAGTGTGATCCTCGGACAGTGACCAACCGGTAATAAGCCGTAGAAATAATTCCAAGACGCTTCCCACCGTAAAGTTGCCAGAACGATGTAACGGACATGCTTTCTTAACGGTCTCTCAACTTCGTCGTAGCATCCCTCGCAAGGGCCGAGGACCGAACAATCCCCATGCAAGTCAGTGGCTGGTACGGACATCGTTCTGCCACAAAAAAAACGGGCATACATAGTAGAGTTTACATGCTATATAACGTCAGTATAACCGAATTCTGCATATTTCGCACGTTTTGCAGAGAAATTGTGGGCCGAAGCTTACCGATCGACCGGATTCAACCCTAAAAGCCGCATTCCGTTGCCTAGCACGACGTGCGCAGCATCGTACAGTGCCATACGAGCCTTCATCAACTCCCGTTCGCTCCCGACTACTTGGAGGTGGTCGTAGCTGCTACTTAGCGCATGCGTCATCTTGAACAAGTAAGTGAGCACAGTGGTGGGCTCAAGCGTCTTCACCGTGGTCTGAACCGTGTCAGGCCACTGGAGGAGTAGGCGGACAATGTTGACAGCATGGGGCTCGGAAAGCAGCGTCAAATCCGCGTCGGCGAGATCCTCGTCAGTGAGATCCGCCCGGCGCCTGATGGAAGTGACACGGGCATGCGCATATTGTAAGTACGGCCCAGTATCGCCTTCGAACGAGGTCATGGCGTCCATGTTGAATGTGTAGTTGTTATTCCTGAGAGGCGTTAGAATGACTTTTGCGGGGTGTAGGAACGATGGCTGACAGAAACGTGTATTAACCTCTTTCCAGTCATATCCTGAGCCATGACGCTGCTAATACCAAGGATATCGGCAGTTCCTTCGGGGTCCGCGACTTGGGAGTACTTGTTCTCGTTCTTCTTCATGGTCTCGTGCATCTTGTCGGCAACGTCTCTCAGGATGTCATCGAGGAACTTGACCGTACCCCTCCGAGTGCTCATTCCTTGAACTAGGCCGAAGTTGACGTGCTGGCACTTCTCTGCAATTTCCTTGTGTCCAAGCAGCTCAATGATCTTAAAGAGTTGCTTTAGATGTAGATCTTGAGCTGACGCCACAACGTAAATCATCTTGTCGAAGTTGTACTTTTCGTGCCGCGCAAGAAGCTCGCTGATGTCCCGCGTCAAGTACAATGCTGTACCATCCTTCTTCCTGACAATCGGCTTTTCCAAGCGCTTGCCTTCTTTCCCGGGAACCAGTGCGGTGAAGTCGACGAGCATGGCGCCCTTGTCCTCTTTGCAGATACCCTTCTCCTCCATCTCTTTCCCAATTTTCTCCATGGAGTTCTCGCTTACCCGGCTCTCGCCACTGTATTCGTCAAAATTGATGTTGAGACGCGCATAGGTTTGCTTGTACCGGGTGATGCTGAGGTCTCGAAACCGCTTCCATTGAGCCAGAGCAGCTTCGTCCTTCTCTGTCATCTTCTTAAAATACCGACGGGCCTGCTCATCCAGACTATTGGCCTCTAGTTCCGCGACGTCCTCTCCGGCCAGCTTCCGCTTCTCGGTTTCCTCCTTCTCGGCCGTCATCTCCGAGTTGATCCGAACGTAAAGATGAAACAGATGGTTGATGGGGTCTGCCTTCAGCGCCTCCTCGTCGCCGTATTTCTCAAAAGCTAAAGCCAAGAGGCCATACTGCTTCCCCCAATCTCCCAGATAGTTTATACGGGTGACGTCCCACCCCGCTCCTTCGTAGACGTTTGCGATGAAACCGCCAATGATTGTACTCCGCAGGTGACCGGCGTGGAAGGGCTTCGCGATGTTGGGAGAGGAAAACTCGACGATTATTCGCTTTTTGCCCTTGCTGGGATCTTTGGGGTCCCTCAGACCGAGGCTCGCGTTGCGCCCGTAGTCAGCACCCAACTGGCGCACCAAGGGGATTACAGCCTTGACAAGCGGGGTGCCCTTGACGTAGAAGCTCAGAAAGTAATTGATCACAACCGGCTTGTCAAAAAAGGGATCGTTCTCGGGGAACTGCCAGGGAGAAATTGTCAGAGGCAGTAGCAATACCGTTGCGGACCACGGTAGCGCGTACCTTTTCGGCCCACTCTTTTGCCAGCTCGTCGGGCTTCTTGCCCTTGATTCTGAGCGACGGAGCAGCCAAGACCAGGTCGCCTTTATCGAGACTTAGAGTCCATGACAGATTCGGATAGATGATCTTGGTGTCGACGCCGGTGATATCGCCAAGCACGTTGGCGAGATGTCCGCGGTAGAGATCGAATGGGTTGATGGCGGGGAAGGTATTCGGGTACTTCTCGGCGATGGAATCGACGGTCATGCCCGCAACCATTGTCGCCAGCCTGTCGATAGCACCGTGGGTACTCATGGCTGCGAATCTGCGAGTTTGGTGGGAAAATAAGGTGCGAAAGGTGCGATCAAGAACGGCGCGGCCGGGCGAGGATACGAAAATGGGCGTTGGGGTGTGGTTGTTGACGTGGTGGGGCACAGAGGTGCACAAAAGACTTCGAGTTCTGGAAAAAGTTCGAGAGGAAAAAGCTGCGCGGAGAAGAGAAGTGGAGGCGGCGGTCTGGGTACAGACAATCATGAAAAGGCGCGCAACAAGACAATCCTACTCAAGTCTTTCCTAAGCTTTGGCGGCCTGCATTGAAGGGCAATGGATGCCATCAAGTGCACTGCTGGTGACTCAGAATTCTGCCCAACCAAAAATTTGGCGGACTTCAGAAGGCGCTGACCTGACCGACTGGAGACGGAAACGGGGCTAGACCCACCTCTCTAGACGCCCAGCCAATCAGAGGCCAAGATTGAGTGGGCATGGGTCGGCGCATTTGGCGGGAGGGAAAAAGGCAAACTCACAGCACCCTCCCCCTAACAGCCATTTCGACCACGGTATAAGATCTGTAACTTCAACAAACATCAATCTATGTGCGCCTCGACGAGACGCAGCATCACTTATCCGTCCAGTTCGGTTCATTTTCATGCTGAAAGACATGGAAACGAAAATGCTAGGTTAAAATACGGATTCGTCATTTAAGATGGGAAAACAAAAGGCCGAAAAAAGACATTCATTGTGCTGTACGGATACTGCGTAGGCGTGCCAGGATCGTCCGCCAGTAGAAAATTTGAAGTGCAAGGGAAAAAGGGATAAGAATTTCAGGATATCCTAAATCCGAACTATTCGAGCAAAATAACTAACGCCTTATACTCCCCGCTTAACGCCAATCATCAGCATTTTCTCAAAAATGCATCAGAAAGAATATTCTTCGACATGCAATTGGATGCCCTGTGCACCAGTTCCCTTGTGCACTGCTCTCTCGTCAGACAAGCTAGCAACGAAATTCCTGACCCTCGAGACCAGTGACGGGCCGCCACAGACCACAACGCTGGTCTCTCCCCCTGCCGCCTCAACAGGCCCGCGGATGAACGCCTCTACGTCGGCTCTTGCAGACGTGTGGTGGACATGAGAATCGGCACTAGCGGTGCTCAGTCTTCTCCGGGGACTCGATGTGGCCGAATTCTCTATATCAACAGACGAGTCTCCTGTCGTCTTCTCGTTCATTTCCTTGCCAAAGTTGCTACCCGACGAGGAAGCCGACGGGCGGTCAGCTGCCGTGGCGCTCGTAGCGTTTGGTTTGACGATGAAGGGAGACACGCTGCGAGTGACTGCAACGTGCACGCGAAGTTCGATACCAATATCTTTAGCGCGATCAATGAGCTCGTGAAGGCGAGTGACGTAGAAATCGATTTCCTCTCCTTGCTTTGCCGTAAGGAGGAAGTCAATGCGCTTGGTGCAGTTTGTCTGTTTTGTGTGCAGCACACTTTCCAGAATCGGGAGCGTGAAGGATGCGCCCGTCGAGGCGGAGATGAGGATTATGGCCTCGTAAATATCCCACCGCGGGGGGACGCCATATGGTCCCGAAACAAAAGCTGTCAAGCTTTCCTTCCTTCCCGCCGCCTGTGCCTTGGCAGCAAACGTGTGAAGCCGACGGGAAAATCCCCCATGCTTGCGCACCACGAGCTGAATGCTATTGCAGATGCATGTTTCCGGCAACTGATGCGCGCAAGCAATTGTGTACGGGTGTGCTTCTGCCAGCCCCACTCTGGGCATCCAAAGGTAGAGATGCTGACCCGCTCGCCATTTGAAGTGGACGTCCTTGATGGTCACGACCGTGATCGACTCTCCAACTGCTCTAACCTGAGCATGGTGCCCAATTCGTTGACCCCCCTTACAATTCGCCTTATTTGGGAAGAACTTGATGTTCTGCCACACAAGCAAGACGATCCGGCACACGCGGTCGAAGGAAAGGGCAGCGATGGCAAACCAGATATTGTACTGGGCGTACACGGGAACGTGGACATAGAGGAGCCAAAGGAACAGAGCGGCGCTGATGATGTGCTGAAGCAGGAAAAACTCATAGGACAGACGACGGATTGGGACCAGGGACGAGATCAAGGACCATAGTAGAACGCCCCAAGCGCCGAGTCCGTATTTGACCATGGGCATCATTTTCATCTCATATTCCACAAAGTCGGCAAGGACCCATTCGGTATAAAAGTGCCAGCCGTGGACGGTTGCAGTGACGAACATGGTGCGCGCGACCCATCGATGAAGCCAGTTGAGGCGCTCGTGGCTGGTGCCTGCGATGAATCCCAATATGCTGCACTTGGAAGCAAGCAGGTATAAAAGCGGCACCTGCATAACGGTAACCCATGCATTACGGAACCCGATCCTCTCCCAGAAGAAGGCATCCTTGACAATGGCGCCAGCCGTCATCATGTATATGATAACAGCCCAGTAGATAAGGAGTCCCAAAACACGCCCCAAGGATGGAGGAGTCAGCCATGAAAGGCCTCTCACTGGGATGTATAGCTGCGGGTAGCTGGCCTCGCGAACAACTGCCGTCAGAGTGGCCCAAGTCGCTAGAAATGGGTTGCTGGGTTTCGTCGGACACTCGACCGAGTTCGCGGCGCATCTTCGTAACCTAGAAAAATCTCCAATATTAGATCCAATCCAAGCGCGGCAGCCAAAATCTGTGCGAACATTTGGAGTAACTGGGACTAACCGTCTTTCCGACTTGTAGAAGTGGACAGCGCGACAGGCAGCAAAAAGGCTCATGACACCGGCAATGATATACCAAAAGTCGCGGGCCAAAGCCATGTTTACGTCCTGGAACATGTCTGTCCCCATGGACATACCACCCATGTCCATGTCCATCTTAAGTCAATAAACTGTCGAATGGCTGGAAGCTTATCGGTCCCTGGGCGATAGGAGGTTCGTCGTTGATCGTCGGAGTCGGTTGATGGGAGACTGTGTTGGGAGGGATGTGTCGCGATTCAAGCGCACCACCTCGTACACGAGCTCTCGAGGTGATCGGTGGTCAAAGCTGGCAAGTCTTGAACTTCAAATCCTGATGCAAAGGCGTATAACGGCGAAGGACATATTTTGGCCAACGCGGGAACGAAGACGCGGATGTTGGTGATGCAAGAAGGGACCCGGCGCACAGCTTTGCTCCTCTGTGGGGTATGTTAGCTTGACTTTGGCTCACACACATAACCTGGAATTTGGCTGGGGCTGGCACCTTAAAGGTATCTGGGATAGGGAGGAACGTCACGTCCCAGCGTCACGGGCCCTTGGCGCTTCCGGAGGATTGTCTCTCGTTTTCACCTTTCCAGATACCTAAGGTGCCTATGCATGTATGTATACTGCCGGGCCGTGACAAATTCGAGCAATAGCGGGTAAAAAACTGCAGAGTAACCGTGGGGGGATGGAAATCGGAGCGAGCAACTTTCTTTGCCACGAGGCTAAAGGGAGCGTCGACAGCAAGCAGGGCTTGGCAGCATTGCACGCCACGGGAAACGATCAGCCGTGAGCAATCCGTGTCACCCGGTCAGCGCCATTGCAATTGCCTCTCTCGACTCCTTGAGATGCCCGTGACCGGTGAGCCGCTGCCCGATTCCGATTCTGCAACGCTGAAACCCAGCATGTCGAAACTCGGGAGTCGTGCCCGTAGGGAGCGAGATAGAGCAAGTTTTGTGATTGGCGTGCGTCGTGCTGATGTTCCAGGCGGCGGACGCTAGCAAGCCACAATTTGCTCAAACCCCCTCGCAAATCCAGTCCATACCTAATGCGGGATGGCGTGCCGCGAACGAAGGCCTGTCACCACCTTTTACAGACATGGCGCGGCAATTGCTGCAGGCGCCACCAACGAGGGGCAGCGTTGCCCCTCCATCTACGCATTTCTAGGTGACGCTGATGGAGCTCAATACATGCGTTCGTTGCAACATTGACCCTCATCCCTGGCAACGAACGGCGCTTTGTTGAACAAAAGTTCCATTCAAGTTGTCTGCTAAAGCCTCTTCTAAAACTTGTATTTTGGGGCCTCTGTCTCGGTTCTTTTCCCAAATTGGGCGCATCCGAGAGACCCGGAAGGTCCAAGCCCACGGGCTTCCATTCCCAGCTCCTAAACAGGCGGAAACCTGGAAAGAGACAACAACACGAGACAGAAAAGGCAGGGAGAGGCTCTGGGGAGCGATTGGCGATCTTTAGTTCATCCCTAATAGCATCTCTGTAGCATGACAAGCAGTGTCAGGTATATGGATGTCGAAGAAGACTGGCTATGGAGAGCAAAGACACAGATCCATTGTTTGTTTGCCTTGCTAACCCCCTCTCCGATTATACGGCTCCGAGCTACCAATGACTTCCATCAATACTGCTGCATGTTCCGGGTATCGGCCGCAGGGCCGGCAAGTGCCCCCCAAACGGGCGAATGTGAGTTTGAGTCAATGCGTAGTACTGTAGAGTACTACTGTGCCTTGACGACCTTGGGTTAGGTACCTCGTGCCTTTGGCGTCTCAATGGGAGAGTGGGAATCCACCCCATCCACGCTTGTTGCTCCTCCATCTTCACCCTGCCCCAGGTCGGCCGAGCTCCGGCAGCAACCATGACAGCCCTTGGGACCTTGGGACCAAGAAGTCTGACACAACTCCACTCGTTCTGCAAGCCACCCTGTCTACCTGGCACCTTAGCCACCAGACGCAGGTGTTGCCCGCTAACACTTCGTTGTCTCTGGGCCATTCCTTGTCCATGTGCCTGCCTCTCCCCCATATCTCCCGGCTTGGCATGCGCCATATGTAATACCCAACTCCCCAAGCTCTGCCCTCAAGCTCCATCTCTGCCATTGACTCTTCCTTGTCTCATTTATTAAAGATTCGGCCCTCCCTGTTCGTGACGCGCCGTCTCCCGTGCTTCTCAACACTGCATCTGTGTCATCTCTAGCTTCCTCTTCCACTAGACACCTCGATTTCACGCACCATCTCACACAATGGCACCTCTCCGTTCTCTGGTCGCAGCCGGCCTCCTATTCTTGTCGGCCGCGAATGCACATTTCCTTCTCCTCTCTCCGCCTTCTATCGAGGGTTCGTCTATCGACGAGGACAAGGAAGGCAATGCGCCTTGCGGCGCCGATCTGCCCGACCTCTCTGCCAACTCTACGACGGACTTCCATGTCGGCGGCGACCAGGTCGCCCTGCAACTAGGCCACCCGCAAGCCAATTGGCTGATACGCGGCACGCTCGACGCAAAGGCCAGCAGCAACTGGACACAGCTCTTCCCAATTGTTACCCAGAGCGGCCTAGGCAACTTTTGTGAGCTTTCTGTCGCTGCGCCCAAGGAATGGGTTGGTCAGAAGGGTATCATTGGTGTCGCCTGCAATGGCCCGGACGGCATTTTGTACCAGGTTTGTGGAATCCTTACTTGTCCACACATACATCAAAAATACGCCGCGACTATTGCACAAGACATGGCGTGGCAAACTGCATGCTGCAGGCATACTGCACGTCGTGTTTGAGTACTTTGACAGAAACTGACAATCTGGCAGTGTGCGGTAGTCAACTTCGTCTCTGGCACCAGCTCGTCACAGGCGAGCTCCTGCACCAACGGGAGTTCCGTCACCGCCAGCTTCTCATCCGACTCAAAACTCTCCGCACTTGTTGGCAACCCTAGCAATACCTCCAGCAGCGCTCCGAGTAGTACCAGCCGTAACGCTTCGCCATCTCCTGTTCGGAGTCAGTTCCCACTCGGGAGCCTTCTTTTGGGCGCTGTTATGGTGTTGGTAGGAGCCACCTTACTATGATAGTAGATGGTTGATGTTTCTGGGATTTGCTTGTACGTTTCTGCACTTGATACGCTGGAGTTTGGATTAGGGTTGCCTAATTGCCTCTTTCTTTACCTTCCATTACCTGGGACAGGATATATTTGCTGCTGCTTTCTGGAAAAGATGCTGGCTGGGGGCACCTGGGGGATTATTTTATTCGAGAATCACGCAGAGTTAAAAAAAAAAAAAAAAAAAAAAAAAAAGGGCCTTTGTCAATTCTTATTTCTGAAGCGCGAGCCGCTGTTTTCTGGTTCAGCTGACCATATTCCCCAATCTTGAAGTATTTTCCAAAGTGAATTAGCAAAGGAACTTGAAGTGACAAGTTGCGCGACTACGCACTTTCGGGTAATTTGTACACATAGATGTGTGCTAAATAACTTTGGGCCGTCAGACAAAAAAACTGCGGGAAGGTTCAAGGAACATCGTGCCCACTAGAAATTTGGTAGCACAGGAATAATGTCTCTGTTTCCGTTGGCGAATGCTAGGAAAAATCACGGCTAGCATCACAAGGTGGGAAGTCAAATGACCGAACGTTAGGAACCACCTCAAACTAAGGCCTATAATTAATACCAACTTCAAACCAGCCACGATGGCACGAGTTTGCAGATGGGAAATTCCGCAGGCTCCAGAAATACCCCTTTCATTATTTCCAAATATCTTTTAAGGGTGACTGGAGGAGGTTGAACAGGCACAAATAGTTTTTTCCTTACAAAGTCCACAAAAACAAGCCAATCTCAATTGACGGAAGTGGTGCCAATAGGCTGTCATCCTCTTTAACTCCACCCAAGTCATGAAACAGTAAAACCACTTGTCAGGAGACGGTGCAAGCTACCTCGAGCCGCAGTGAGTGCAGTCATCGCTACAGTAACTACATTCCAGGTTCTTACTTAGTGGCACTTGACATGGAATTAGATTGCTTGGCTCGAAGCAGTGGTTCTCTGCTTGCCGCAAGTAGTACTTGCCTCTTGAATTCAATGACGTCTAATCAGGCGAGTATTTGTCCAAGTCTCAGAAGGAAGGCGCGAGTTTATGCCTGACGACTATGAGCGGATGTATTCTAGGAAGGAGCAAGTTGCTTGTGGTGCTTGCCTAGCTTTTGATTGTGTCAACTTGAAATTGCCCACCAACTGCGGTTCCACCTCCATTGTGCATCTTCCTTGTCACCGTTATCCTGCTTTGCGTCTCCTGTCTCCTGATCAAATCTTGCATTTGACGACATCAAGCCCTACCAGATCGATGAAAGATACTTCGGCGCCGTTGCAGACCTCAAGTTCCAGAATGTCCCCGACCATCTCCTTCCGCAGCGCCGTGCTGCTTGCTGCTGCTACAGTGTCTGCTGGTTTCGTCGGCGCTGAGAGCTCCACGCCGACCACCAAGACCACGACCGTTACCGTCCCGGCCAAATCTTTCACGTCCTTTGTCGAGGTTACTCCGAAAATTGTGGACGTTATGACGGTGGCGCTCTCGACTGTGACGGTGTTTAGAAACGAGCCTGTTGAGTCCAGTTCTGCCGACACTACTGTCACATACACCGCCGACACCACAGGCGGTAACTCTTCCAGCACTTTCTCTACTGCGCTTGTGACGAACGTGAGCCTTGGCACCAACTCGACAAGTGCCTGGTCGTCTACCAGCCCTAACAATTTGACTTGGACCACGTCTTCGGGGTCGACCCCAAGCACAACCGATACAACAAGTGTCCCATCTCCAGACTCCACCTCTGAAGCAACGGCCACCAGCTCAAAGAACGCGGCAGCTATTGAAACGGGCTCAGCATTCAGTCGGTAAGTCTTTTACTCTGCTATCCCTTTCTTCTCCCATGATTTTGCGACATTGAACAGCTAGGCAACAAGTTTAATTAATTAACTTTGTGCCCCAGGAGTGCCAAGGCAATTGCTGTCGGTTTCCTTCTCGCTCTTGCTCTTTGAGCTTCCTCCGCGACAAGACAAACACGTTCATTTCGGGAACTTCCTTTTGAGGTGGTCCAGGGTCACAAAACCAAACGGGGGCTGGCTCAATACTTGTGGTTGGAATTAAAACAAGCTCGACAGGCTAATGCGGATGGGGTTTGATTGCAACGGTATTTCTTTTCGTTGGAGTTTCCACAACATATTGCTAGGCGCTGGGAAGCAGAAATACCCGCTCAGAGAATGTCGAGAAATGTGTGCAGCCTGTTAACTATTATCCGATCAATAGATCACATTATTTACAACTGATGTTTGGGGATCGCATAGTGGAACATCACACCGTCTGGAGTTTCGGTCTCTGATCTCCGGTTGATGATAGACCTTTACCAAAGACGCCTGCCATTAACATATAACAAGGGGGTGCAATTGCCAGCTGTTCACGCCAAGGAATGGTAAATAGAGCAGCTTAAACTCAACTTTGGTCAATTACTGGAAAGTCTCACGCTTATCAAGCAGCTCTATTTAGTCTCCGGCACGACAAAAATAACCTCAATGGCGCAAATTATCCCTCCTTATCTGGTATGTAATTATTTGTGTCACCTTGACAGTATAATTTCCCCGCTCCAAACATGTGGCTAATAACCTTGCTGCGCCATTTACATAGTGGGCGCAGAGCCAATGAAACCGGGGAGGATAGTGAGGACCGACAGATCTGTTCCTTTCTGCATGGGGAGGGCCTTCGGGAAACGGGAGGCGGTGCATCCGGGTGCAGCACCCCTCATGCACGGTCGCTAACAAGCCCAAGTTGGCTGCCTCATGTCCAGTTGTTTGTTGCCGCGAGGCCTAAGTGACGATAGACGCCTCTGAAGAAGCAGCTTTCCCGAGCTGAGCAGACATGGTAATCGATGAGGCGTGCTGGAATTAGTAAGATCTAATTCGGGATTAACGTTCATGATATGCGAGTTAGCCATGATAAGCGAGTTGGCCACCTTAACGAGATTTGGTGGGGCACAAGCAAAAAGATGTTAGTAAATTGTTAGTGATCTTATCAATTTCTTATCGCATTTGACTGCGCACGCTACCCGGTCTCGTTAAGGTGGCCAACTTGCTTATCATGGCTAACTCGCTTATCAAATACGTTATCGTGGATAATTATGTGATGTGACAAAAGGGCGTGGAAAGTAGGTAACGCTAGTGACTGAGAGGGGGGAAACTGCATGTTTTTATCTTCGGGCGAGTGGCCCTTAATAATTCAACTGACCCCCTTTGGTCTGTTAGCATAATTAGGTAGGTAGGGGCACGAATTCAACGAGCTTCTAGGTTGGTATGCGGCTGTTCTTAAGATCTGAGCAGTGCAAGGTACGAATACAGGTAAGGTCATTACGAAGTTCGCCTCCCAGCCAATAAGGACTCGAGAAAAAGTTCCCTCCCAGAAATATCTTGGCATTACTAATCCGTCCCTGTCAGCGCACAACGCGCCGATGGACATGGACGCATTCGCCAGTCAACATTTATCCACCTTCGCCTCTTCACCGGAACCTCGTCCACTCAACGTCAGGAAAAGGTTCCAAAATCTAACCCATTGCATTCCCGAGGGTAAACCGCGGCGATGAAGTTTGCAGTACTGGCTCCTCGGCCCCAAGACCCAAACGCGTCGATGGCGGAACAGGAACAGGACCAGGTCCCGGCGCCCAGCAAATCTGATTGGCTCAGAATGCGCCCCAAGATCGAGCAACTGTATGTTGGCGAGCGTCGAAGCCTGCGCACCATCATGCGCTCCATGGAGAAGCTGGGCTTCAAGGCAACGTAAGGACACCCTCACACATAACACCATTTGGCCCCCGATAAATCTATAGCTTGGTTGCCTTGGGCGCCTACCTATCCGACCCCAATTAGTATCTCTCAGTCTTGCTCAAATAACCCTCCTTACCTTGGTTGCTCACAAACCCAGTGAACAGATGTACAAGAAGCGCTTTTTCAAGTGGGGCTTCCAGAAAAATATCAGACGGAAGAAGCCAAGGGACGACTGCTGGAGCAAACCGGAAGGTTGCGACTCGGAAACTACCCTTGACGGAGAGCTTTGCTCATCGAGCCACCATGACACCACAGTCCTCTTAATCCTAACCACCGTGCGCACATGGAGCGTGGCCTTCTTTGAGTCGATGCGGCTCGATGGCCGCAAGGTGCCTGCCTACCTGCCCGAGTGTGCGAACCGAGTCAAGGACGTTAGCTTTGACTTCAAGCTGGTCATCGACCTGCTGGACAGGCGCCGCGGGCACATGGCCGGAAGGATGGCTCGCCATGCCTTCTTGTTCATCGAGAACTTGCTAGTGCTCGATGCACCCGCCCTGATATGGAACCTTCTCGAGATGATGCACACCCTGGTGACACTACGCCAGACGCAACTCTTTCACATGTTGCTGGCCCATCTCATTGCGCTGGTCGATGGCCGTATGCCTGCCTCTCATCCGCTCCCCGGATTTCTGCGCGCTATACGCCAGATCGCCGAGAGCTCTGTCGGCGGTGCCCGAGATGGCCGTGCCAACAGCGCAATGCCACTCCAGTTTTTGCTACAGCGCGCATGGGTCCTCAACGCCGAACTCGTCTTCGGCAATTTCGAACCGCGCCTGCTGCCATTATATTTTTCGCTACTGTGGGATAGCTCGTCGATCGGACCGCCGGAAAATATTGTTAGCTTTATAGATTATTGTGGGAGCAAGATCGAGGCGTTTTTGGCGGATATATCGACTGCTGCAATGGTGGCCGCGGTTGCCGACGAGGCCTTCGGTGTTGATGGCGGTGACGACGGGAGTGCGGTGCTGGGGCGCTTGCTTGGACCACGGACCGATGCGTCGCCACCGCGTGACTTTGCTATGCTGCGCACCAGCAGCATTGCCGCCCTGCGTAAGCACGGTGACTTGTATCTTGCTGATGGGGCCGGTTTTCCAAACGGGGCCGACACTTCTAACATCCTGTCTATGATTGCTGCCCTGGTGAAAGCCAAGGTTATAGACGGATGGTCTGCGGCCATGGATGCCTTACCGAATAATGCCGCCGCCACCTCCAGCACTAAAACAACACCAGTCGTGTCACGCCTCCAGGCAGGCCACCTAGCCAGCGTGATCAGGAGCCTCGTCAACCTGGACCTCAGCGGCGGCTTCCGCAGCAAGACCGACATCGTATCAGAACCCTCTTCTGGTGACGTCGTGGACATGATGCAGGCGGTTGTGGCGCTCCGTGAATACTCACAGGGTGAAACGGATCCGCAGCTTGTACGCGACCTATGGCTACTTCAGGATACCCTTGTCGCGGCCGGTGAAAAGGATGAAGCCCGACTGGTTGGCCAGGACGCATATCGCCGCCTAGAGAAGTACCTGGAGGCTATCCCTACCGACCATGTTCAATTCACTTGACAGGCTGAGCGGCCAATTCATCCTGGGCTACCCTGGAAGGGCACGTTTTGAGGTCAGACTTCGAGAATATCTGGTACTTGAACAGGCGTTGATTCAATCTCTCCTTATTTCATCCTAACACTGTACAGAATAACACATCCATTAACGAAATAGAATCGGAGCGTTCCCTTTGTGTTACCTGGTCCACCTAATAGGTAGTATGCGGTGTAGTAGACTGTCTCATAATCAACTACCGTATATCTCAAGTTACGCTGAAGACCCTTCCGTAAACACAACCCAATTATACCAGTTAACCTCGCCACCGTCCAAGTGCATATTTCGACCATTTGAGGAACCATCCATGTCAGGATTGGAAACACATCAGTGGAGTTGTCACCCTCGGCCCACAGCCAAGCGCCAAGATTCGGAACCATGGGATGGTCGTCTGACCACCAATCCTTGATACCTGACTGAAATGCGTCACTATTAATAGCTGCTTGCCCCGTGGAAAGTTTGTTGGGATCGCTCGCCGTGGCGCCGGGCTCAGTTGCGTTTGATCTAATCATCAATGGGTCAGCGCGTTTTGAGCCTCCTAGACTGTCATAATATAGTGTGTTAATATCTTCGGACGGCAGCAACTCAGAGCTTGACGGGCGCGGCAGCTTCTGATCTTCTACATCCAGACTTGCAACGGCGTGTGGGTCGGACTGTGGGGGCTGACCTCGGCATTGCGATGTTTGCGGGCTTTAGCCATCAGCTTGCGCAGCGGGAACCAGACGTGTGGGTTTCCTTGTACGTGGCGGGTTGTGCTGGAACTAGGCAGCTGCTATGGGGCGCGACCTAAGCTCTCTCGATAGTAGGCGACCATGGCCATCGGCCCGAAGTTTTAAGTAAGAGAAATATGATGGTGTACCAATGCGTGTACGTCTAGTAAACCCATCGCCAATGGCGGCACGCTTGTTTACCGTTTAACGCATGATTGTACTCTGCCACTTCGATGGCTGCAATAAGCAACTTTGATGGAATCTCGTGTGCGGGAACTGTTCACTTGGGAAGAGAATAGGCAGAAAAGCGACAAGCGTTATTTTAGCCATGACAAGCCGCGCGATGATGACTGCAACGCAATACGCAACGTTACCGGAGTCATTTATGTATCTGAAGTAGCCATCCTCATACTCTTGATAGATCTTGTTCAAGAGGCGGCTCTGGTCGGGCAAATCTACAGCACCCCCCTTGGTTAGCTCGATTATTCGCCTCGTGATATTGTAAAGACCGATGGATATGCGAGAGAACGACATGTCGGTTATTCCATCGCGTTCCAAAGGCATCACCTTTGTCTCAGGGCTGATATCCGCATCATTGATGCTGCCTGGCAGTTTGGCGTCGAAGCTGCCGCTCGCTATGGCCAAGTCGGTCTCCTGGTCCTTATATGCCCCTAAATCCAGCCTACAAACTGTCCACCAGAGCCTTCGCTGCATTTCAATCCCAAAGGCCGTCAAGTGGCTGAAATTTGTGCTATCTCGATGCAACTCAAGGTACTCGGCCATCCTGATAACGATTCCCGTCATCATCCATACTAACCTCGGGCTATCGTGGCGAAGAAGCAGGCAGATAAATAAAGAGAGTGCCCTGAACAGGATTATATCAGGGGCGTTCAAGAAGTCGGCCTCGGCAAGGGCTTGCTCGAGACCGAGGGGATACTTGAGAGAGAGGCCGACTCTGGATTCTCCAAAGTTGGCCATAACCTGCTCAGTGTTGGTGGCTGGTTACCGCCGGTATGAACTCAAAGCCCAGGCGAGAACTAACATCATCTTCCTCTATAGAGACTATGGAAGCATAGTAGATGGAGAACATCAAAGCCTGGTTGGAAGGTGAAAGACGGACCATATCACTACCGCGCAAATCGCGGGCCATCCGGACAACCATGGGCATATAAAGCAGCCCCATTGCCACATTCAAGTTTTCAGAAAAGATGTCGAGGAGGACAGGAATCTGCGAGGGCATTGGATAGAATTCGCGAAGGCTGGGAACCGAGGGACTTGGGTTGTGTCGAAACAAGAACGCATGTCGCCCTGAGGATGTCCGCTCATGCTCGGCTAGGGCGGGAGCTGAGACTCCAGGCGTTGATTCGTCGTCAGAATCATCACAGGTATCCTCTGTAATATCGTGGGCATACATATTTAAATCATCGAGCTACGGGCAGTTCGCGGGCAGCGCCTCGACGAGATGGGCGCCAAGGTCATGAAGTGACAAAATACCTCGTAGTTTACACGAGACCAAAAGCCGGTGCCCGCGTAGTGGCTGCGGCCGGGATCGTCGTCATCGCGGACAACGAGTCTTCCAAATTGAGTTGGGAGCGCGGCAGCATCTGTGTGGTGGGATACTGGCATATTGCATCACGGGAGGGCGGGCGGGCTCGCGGCAGCGCGTGCCTCTTCTAGCTGGGCCCTGAGCTGCTTGACGAGTGCCTCGCGGTTCCGCAGCCTGTCAACGACCTTATCAACGCCCTGTTGCTTGGGGCCGTTGGTACCTTCGGGGGCACCGATAGTGCTAGGTGCGGTGGCAGAGCGGGTGAAATGTTGGAGGCGGTGGATCCATCTTGGCGGGCGATGGCTTTGAAGGCATGCAATGTTTGCGCGGCGGCAGTTGGAGCACGGCCGCAGAACCAGAGAAGCAGTAGCAACCACAGGAGCGGCAGGACCGGGTGTTGACGACAATGGGTTGGGGGCGATTTTGTCTGAAGCTGAGCCAGAGCCCGAAATTGAACCCGAAACCGAAGTTGCAGGCACTTGCGACATGCTCTGTGCTCGGGCTGGCAATTGAAGAAGTCGTCGCTAATATTGCTACCTGAGGTAAGGTAGAAGATGGAACTGGTGGGTTACCTGGTAGCAGCAACCTGGCCGTTAACTGCGTCCTCGTTCCCGGCTTCTCGCGCTTGCGAAGCGGCTGCTGCGTGCCAAGGAACAGGCTACTGTCTTACCGGTCTAGCCGAAAGCACTGACGTGGCCGTGACGAGCGAGTGCGCTATTCCACTTCGGGCCAGAACGGGCTTGAAGGAGCCAAGAACAAACTGCCCGGGCCGGAGTCGGCCAGTTGTGTTGGCCAGACCCGATCGGGAAGGTTTCGCGCTCGCAAAAACGTACTGCCAAGCTCTCCCTAAACATCTATGATCCCATGATTCATTAAGCAAAGAATAATTACCAGATAGTAAAGCCACAAACCCTACTCGTAACCAACTCCAACCAACGAATTCGCAACCATGGACCCCTCAACAGGATGCAATGAGTGCATCAAGGTATGTCAAAAGTCGAGCCTCACACCCTTGAATTCCCTCTAAACCCCCCAAAAAGGGCACGATCCATGCGGGCCTACCCCTCGGCACTGAAGAAACCATTCACGGCCTGAACACATATGTCATTGGAAACCGCACCAATCCCCGGGGCATTATTGTCATTTACAGTGACATTTTCGGGCTGCTTCTGCCCAACAACAAACTGATCGCCGACGCCTACGCCAAGAGCGGCGAATGGCTCGTGTACCTGCCTGACTTCTTCAACGGCGACCCCGCTCCGCTCAAGTTTGCTGACGTCGCCATCCCCGTCGACGCCTCCAAGCAATCCGCTCTTGCCAAGTACTCGGGGCTCCTGGCCCGCGCCCCGTCCATCATCATGTGGATGTCGCGTCACAAAGAAGCCCCTACCAACAAAGTCTGCATGGACTGGCTGGAGGCGCTGCGCCGCGCCACACCGCCCACCAGGAAGATAGGCATCGCCGGCTTCTGCTGGGGCGGAAAATATGCCCTCCGCGTCACCCGGGAAGCCAACATGGTCGACTTGGACGGAAAAAGGGTACCGTTGGTTGATGCTGCCGTGGCCCTGCACCCGAGCAACCTGGTGCTTCCGGGCGACGCCGAGAACCCCGTTGTGCCCATCAGCTGTGGCTGGGGACTCGAGGACATCGGCGTCAAAATTGAGACCAAGGCCAAGATAGAGGCGATCCACGCCAAAGCGAAGGAAGCCGGCGCGACACTGCCCGAGATAGAGCACAGGGTCTACAAGCCCGGACGCCATGGCTTTGCCGTGCGCGGAAACCCAGACGACCCAGCCGAGAGAAAGTGCTTGGAAGACTCTGAGAAACAGGCCCTGGAATGGTTTGCGCGATGGCTTTAGTCGTCGCTTGACGTGCAATCTCATGCTAGCATTCTTCTCTACAGGCTCGCAGTGCATAGTTACAATGCCTTCTAGCCACCAAATGTATTTGCCCGCCTGCCTATCTGCTCGTAATTACTCCGCCCGGCTGCGATTCTACTTTTTTTTTTCAATATATTAGACTATCGCAGACTTCTCGTCCCTGTGACGATAGCTGTTGCTACTTTTGCATGATTGGTTCTCCTCCTCATGTGTTTGTTCTTTCTAGCTACTACTTGTGCGACCAGTCCCTGTCTCTCGAGAAACTGAATATATACTTTAGATAATTGCGAAACAAAATGCTTGGTTTATCCATATTAGAACATGCTAAATAGACCGATAATGTCGTCTACAAGAAGACGCCCCGCAGTTCACGATGGAGTCATCAAACTACCTCACGCAAAAGCCACTCCATATCCGTCTTGGAACGCTACTACCAACATGCTCCACCCACGAGCACCAACGAACAAGGAAATCCCGGACTCGGACTATGACTCTACCTCTGAGCCACTGGAAGATGTGGATACCTATGCAAAGCGACAATACATGGCCAGATATTCCCTAGCCTTGACAATACCAGAGATATTATCCGCTCAAGCCGTCACCTCCCATGAAACTGCAGTCGATGCCGGCCACGGGGTCGCTGTTGGATCTGAGCAGCCGAAGCCTGAAGTTGTCGTGCCAGCAGACAGGCGGTCCTGCGCCAGGAGACACTGCTCATTGCTCATTGGGTAATTAATTTTATGCCTGGCCATATGGGTTTCCAAGCGGTGAAGCGGCGCCTAATGTAGATGCTCCGTCTCAAAGAATAATTAGGAAAAAATAAAAAATAAAATTTATGTCACACTCATGTGTGAATATATTATACGATAACATCTAATCCGGGGACTACATCACTATTGTAGGGAATCTTCTACTTGACGAGGAAATTTCCCAGAGTTCTCGGCCCTCTGATTGGTCTATTGGACGAAACAATTTATAGAAAATAGCGAGCGGCCATTGTATATTAAAATGTGAAAGAATGTGGAACCACCGAAGCAAATCAATCTCCCCACGATACTCCTCCCCGCATAGCATTTTCTCCTTTATTTAGCTCTCCTACCGAAGCACTTCGCTCCATACGAACTACTTCTCTTCATTCCAAGATCGGACATACAAAATATTATATCTCAAGATTATGGCGGAATTAAGCTTCAAGGTATAGAGACATACGAAATTTCCCTTCGTGCTCATCCTCAAATCCAGCTAATAGATAATTGCTGCAAAGGTTCTTGTGGTCTGTGCTGGCCCTGCTGGTCTATTGCTTGGTCCCCTTCTTTCCAAGCATGGCATGTTCGTGACAGTCGTCGATGGCGCCTATGGATTGGATGTTCGGCCTCGTGCCGCCCACTATGTACCACCTGCAGTGCGTGAGCTGCGTCGGGCCGGGGTTATCGAGGACGTGCTCGCCGATGGCTTCGTTCCGAAAAAGATGTTTTGGGGCAAACTGGATGGCGCCTATCCAGCTGGCCTGGACAACAGCATCCTTGGAGACGACCACCCAGACCGTATGGCATGTCTGCCCCTAGATAAGCTTGGGCCAATTCTCGCCCTTCACTTACAACGGTAACCAACAGCAGAGGTCAATTGGGGGCACTGCGCGGCTGGAGAGCTTGGCCAAAGTAAGGCCAGAGCTTGGGTTCAAGTGTCGACTTCTGCTGGAGAGATCCGTATGGAAGCAGACTACACTATGGGTTGCGATGGCGCCAACTTTCAGATCCGACGGTCTCTGCAGGGCGACATGACCTTTCCAGGGTTCACATGGGACAAACAGATTGTGGCCACCAACGTTTATTACGACTTTGACCGGTATGGCTACGAAGATGCGAACTTCATCATCCATCCAGAGCATTGGCACATGGCCTCCCGCATTACCAAGGACGGCATGTGGGGCGTCTCATATAGCGAGCAGGGTGGCCTTTCCCACGAAGAGCTCGCTGCTCGCCAGCCGATGAAGTTTGAGACAATGCTGCCAGGAAACCCCAAGCCCCAGGATTATGTGCTCGCCAACTTCAGCCTATATCGCGTACACCAGCGCCTGACTGAGAACATGCGGGTCGGTCGCTTTCTCCTAGTCGCAGACGCGGCTCATCTTTGCAATCCGTTGGAACCATTCCAACGTATCCGTGTTTTTGGTCATTCCAATTCCCAGTGAGAACTTGGAGCGCTTACACAGTGACCCCGAGATTGTCTTGGAACCCGGCCAGGATGAGTTTCTGACCCTCTGTTTGAAGGCTGAGAAGGACGTCGACTTCTCTCGGAATGCCATCGCAGCTGTGGTGGCTTCAAAATTGGGGAAGAGAACGAATGCATGTGGACTGGGGTGCTCTTTTCTTACACTAATGAAGTTATCCCAGGTATTGTGCGCTCACAGCACGCGCCGAGCGTGCAGATAATTGTTGCCCCTCTGATCGGCTGACCTGAAAGACGCCCAGTGTGTATATTGGAGTGCAGCATACAGCATTTAGACTACGAGTTGTTGTTGTTGTTGTTCTCGAAGCGCACCACCCCTTGTTTAGTATGCGCGCGTTGGCCTACTTATCGTTGCATTTAACAACATCTCTACTAAGTAATAACTTATTATAATCGGTAATATGGCTTACAAGACAATAAATAGCCTATTATAGTGTTAAATTAAGTAATGAGAGTACTAAAATTCATTAAACGTTATCATTCTAATTTTTGCTCGTCAAGCTAATTGCGTTCTGTTAATTGCCCGTGTCCAACATGCCATGTTTGTCTGTTTACAGTCGTCACACGCGCCCGCCAGGCCATTGCAGAACAAAACGGCTGTAGACTCGCATTCTGGTGGGGCATCATTGCCTCTCCTGGGCGTACCGCAAGCAATAAACCGGGTCTGTCATTATCGCAGAGCCCGGCTCCCCGGATCGTCAGCGGCCTGTAGTGGCGATCCCTGTATCCTAGCCCAATCAGACTGGGCATGCGTGTCTTATTAAAATTATCCAGGACCCAGCGCCCCAATCAGTATGTTAAATTCCCTGCCCTCCTGTGCTGGCTAGCTCGAGACGAGAACTACTCACTGACAACCACGCTAAATCAGCCCTAGAGCTTTTAGGGAGGCGACCACTTTCACGATCAAGAAGGAGACATACGTTAAGGCCAGCAGCTGAAGGCCGATTGCTCTGCTTTCTTGTCTGGGCAATATGCTAGAGAAAATCATGACAAGTCGCTTTACGAAGCTCTTCGAGGATCACAAGCTCCTCTCCGAGACGCAGTTTGCCGCGCCGGGTCGATCTACGGCCATGGCCCTTGAGCGTGTAGTCCCCTTCATCTGCCGGGAGCGTTCAACGCTGTTCCGCGTGCCAGACTTCTAGCAATCCTATCATCAAAAAGAATACCGCATTGGTTCACAGCCTCATTTTTATACTGGAAGGTGTGTGCAAGGAAGACCCTTTCGTCAATTGCAGCATTCTTGTTCTTTTTGTACTCGTACCGGGCGATCTAATTTGACACCAAGTGCCTCTGATTCGACAGCGAGAATCGCGAATGTTCTCCCCCTCAAGTCACTTGCCGCAGCTGAGTGCATGTCACTTCACACGCCAAACAAACCGAACAATAAAGCAGGAGGGAGGGGGGTGCTTTTGCGCAGGGGGGAGAAGGGAGTCACTTGGCAAGAAGCAGGTAAAGCCGGGCTCCATTTCACAGCGGATGGTTCACGTAACGGCTGGTCAGGCCAGATGGGGAGCGAGAGTCATGCAATTGCCCTTGCTCTAGTTGCTCGTCGGAACCACTAATAAAGCCGACTGGGGCCATCATGTCCCACATTTGAACTCACAGTGAAGCCATCACGCTTCGATGTCGCAAGCGCGGGAAGCTCGCGGTCTAAAATCGTGGACTCGTGCCTTCCATGAACACTGTCAGTGTTACCTTCAGATTTTACCGCGCTCGCACTTACCGTCAAAGTTTGAAGCCTTGTCCAGGACGCCTGGTTGAGCCTCTGATCGTGACTCTCTCGCGGCTGCCGTCGCGTCCCAGATGCCACTTGAAGCTGAACCAGTGGCTTCTGGTGACCGATGGGTTGGACCCGCATCACTCTGCGCCTGTCAGTGTCTAAATTTCTCGCCTTCTAGTTCCTCGCGGCCTCCTGATCCTCAATGGTCCTTCACGGCCAATGTTGGATCTCTCTGGGTGGGCACCCCGAAAATATCCTGGAAAGGCTGGGGATGCCATCTGAGCAAGGGAGTCGGCTTCGCTTGGCTGGCGGAACGCACAACTTGTTAATCCTAATTATGGCTGCAAATCATGGGAAATGCGAAGGAGCGAGACGTCATCTCTCAAATAATGGCCTTGCCGTTCCTGACCAACTAAGCGGGCTCTGGGGGATAGTTACCAGTGGCACTGGGGGACTATGTCGAGCAATGATGAAGATGGAGAACTGAGCTCACAGGATTGGACAAGACCTTCTCCCTTGGCGAGTCCTAAATAAAGTCCGCGGGCAGTTGTCGCGCAAATGGGACCAAAAGTGGTGTCAATCAAGCATGTCAGTTCTTCGTGGCTGTCCGAGAAATCCGTCTTTTTCTCCCCTTTCAATTTCTTCCTTTCCGCAGAACTCCTGTCTCATGGATTTTGCGTTCCTGATACTCCTTCCTACGGGCAGTTTCGTGAATAAAGCAAAACAAAGCTAAAAAAAAAAAAAAACTTCAACTCAAGCTCCGAATCGAAACAACCACGCTGAATCGAACTCGAAACCTGGTGGGAACTATAAGCACCCATACCACGTATGGGGGGTAATTACAGCGTAATGCAAAGACTACCATTGCAAGTACCCTTAGTACCCCATCACCATAGGTGGGTACCTGCCTAAGGCAAGTTAAATTCTTCTGTTCACGTCTATTTCAATTTATCACTCAAGCAACGAGTATGGGGCCCGTCGCGTCCTTCGCGAATAGCCCAGACTCTTGTCTTTGTATGACCACATACGGATGCTTCCATCGCTGGAGCCACTTACGAATTCAATGTCGAACCCCCCAGAAGTTGGAGCCCATTCAGACTCGTATATAGCAAACGAGCTGACGCGCTTCGGATGCACTTGAATGCTCATGAGCACCTCATTTTCCCAATGATCGAACATCTGGATGGTCCCGTCAACAAAGCTTGTCATCATATACATCGTCTCTGGAACCAATGACATGACTGTGATGAGAGACTGCAAGGGAAGCTAGTTAGCGAACTCTTTCAAACGTCAAGTAACGCCAGTGGCGCTAAAGATCTGGGCTTGGGTACCTGTGTCTTTGTTGTGCCCAAACGCCGAGTAAGGGGTTTGACGGTGACTGATTCCTTGACGTCCCACTTCTGGATGGTTCCATCGCGGCTGCCACTGTAGAGGCAAAGGCTACTCGAGGTGAATGCCACGGCGGTGACTTCGAGTCTGTGGGCGATCACCGAGAATAGTAGCTTGTACCCGTCCAAGTTCCAGACACTCAGGGTTCCCATTGCGTCTCCTGCGGCCAGAAGTTTGAAGTCAGGCGAGACTGTAATGGATTCGATCTTGGCACCGCTGGCTCGGAGATCTTTTAGAGAATTTGACCCAATGGAGGTCAGGTCCCAAAAGTGGACTTCCCCATCCCGCCCTCCGGACACAAGAATCATCCCATCCTGAGACGCTAGAGAAATGGCAGAGACGCCCCCGAGGTGCCCAGAGTACCAATTGTCTTCGATCCGTTTCTCGCGAACATCACAAATCTGACAAAGCAAAATTTCAGCCTACGAAAGGTAGCGACGTGAACTTACGACAAGCGTTGAACCTACCATGATTTTTCCTTCGTCTCCTCCTGTTACGAGGTATTTAGAGTCGGCAGTGAAGATCAAACAGCGGTAATGGGTCGCATATATGTTGTTCTCGAAGATAGTCTCACCCCCCGGGCCATAGTAGAGAATGCAGTGGTTTTGGGACGTTGCAGGGTCAAATATCGCGACGGAGGTTCTATAACCAACAGCAAGAAACCTTCGGTTTGGAGAGATGCTCACCGAGTAGATTGGAGAGCTTTGTGGATGGTATAGCGTGCGCACGAGTGACACCTTGTCTTTAGCATCGACGGTAGGCATGTTTCGGTTAGTCTCTTCCAGCTTCTTTAGGAAGGCCGAGAAGGCAATGAATGTTGACCGTTTCTTTGCAATGACGCTCCAGCCGCGACCGCAGTCCTCGCGAACCCACTTGTAGCCCGCGGCTGGAACATGTTCCTGATCTGGAAGTAAGCCAATTACTTCGTTTGAGCCGGCGTTTTCGTTCGGGGGCGCGCGTGGGAGAGAGAAAAGCGCGATTTGCTGTAGGTGATGACCGAGGTGCTTTCGAAACTGATCCGGATCAACCACGATGACATGTCCGTCGCCTTTTCCCACATCTGCAGATGCCCAGTTTTCATCACACAGTGGACAGTCGTTTGCGGGGATCCATTGCAGTGGTCGACGTGACTGTTCGACAACGTCGGCAACTTGCTTTTCGAGAACGTCGCTGTGGGATTGTGTAATATGGCGGTGTATTTCCTCAACCGTCCCAAAGGCTGGAGCATCAGGGTCGTGACATATTTGACAGCGCCAATTGTTGCGATGTTTGAGAAGTTCGTGCTCAAACCAGGAATGCTGCGAGGTAAATGCATCTAGCGAGCAGGTTGGAAACGTGCATATGTATGGTTGAAGATCATTGATGACATGTTTTCTTCAGGGTGATGTGTTAGTGTATCCGTGTGGGGTAAAAGAAGACTAATTTCTCACCTCCATTGATGATTCTTGTCTTTGGACGACTTCATTGATACGACCATGTGGCAGTATGAACAAATAAAAGATGAGGTATCCAGAGCTTCTTGGGGCATTGGTGGGAATGACAATGGGTCGTCTGATTGTTCAACAATAGATGTTGCAAAGGAAGCCACAGAGGGTGTAGGCTCGAGAAATGTTGTCGCAGCTTCCAAGTTTCCCATCACAAGCTCTGTTGCCTCTGTCTCTGCGAACAAAGTGAGTTTTGTGGCCTTTGAGATGGCAGACTTATCGGCACTTGGCCCAGGAGCTTGGCCCTCGATTGGCTTGGTATGGTTGGAAAGTGACCGAGACTCGGGGTTGGGAGCGTTGGCGAACTGCATCTCGTCGGATGGCAAGGTCGCCAACCGGGCGCTGTGGTCCCGCCGATACTTAAAATACTGCCTCCTTCGAGCATTGGCCTCACCAAGTCGCATCACTAGTGGCTCGTTCTTCCGCGAGGCAGCTGGGTACCGATCCCTGAGATACATCTTGTCGGCATGGCTGTCAAATGGCGACGTCCTGGATGCCCGCTGGCGTCTTTCTGAGGGAGCAAACTTTCGTATAAAGTCGGACGCCTTGAACAAGCTGTCGATGGCGTGTTTTATTGCCGACATCAGCTCGTGGATTTCCGATATCGAGGTTTCAGGATCCCGAGTCTCGGCGGAACTTGCCGAGAGAGACGAGCCGGAATCGCTGGATGAGATGTAATACTCGGCCAGATCGACATCTGAATCCACCAACATGCTCGCTGTTCTGTTGATGCGCTTTCCGCTGATAATATCCGTTGCCGCCTCGGTAGAGTCATAGAGATTGAGGAGAAACCCGAGTATGGCCTCCTTAACGGCAGGGCTATTTCGCAGGCGGTGCTCGAGTGATACGGGGGAGGTTCGAGGCTGCATGGCACCGAGGTTGCCAGCCCATTGCTCAAATCTTCCCCACAGCTGCTCCACATCGCGTTTCTTGACAGCTTCCTTTCCCGGGATTGCTTGGATGACCTGGTCACTCGTGTCATCCGGAATGGCATTGAGAAGGGCGTCAAGGGCAAGGTAACAGTTCTTAGCAGCTTCAGAAATGTTTTCTATGCTGTCTGTGCTGTCTGTGCTGTCAATATGGCCTTCGAGAACATCGGGTGTCCAGCCATTGTGCTCCATTTTGCTCTGAGGAGGCGCAGGGTGCATACCTTCCCAGATTGCTTGAGGGATAGAGATGTTGATGATGGAAGGAGCGATGTGTTCCCGTGCGGCGAAGTTGGTGCCTAGAACCCACCATCACCCAATCATCACACATCGTCGTTGCCAAGCTTGTCTTACCCCGCTCCGCGACGACGGGCAGGTGCAGCTAAGTCTTTACACTCTTTGCACTAACAAATTTCATCCATCGAAGTTCCAACCTCCACCGACGAGACAGCACGTTAAAGCGTTCCTTCCTCTTTGGCCTTGTTCAGATCGAATGTCGGGAATTGAAGTGGCCGGCCTTGTGCTGGGAGGCTTTCCTGTCCTTCTGGAATGCCTCAGCTTCTATCGCAAGAGTTTTGAGCCGCTCGAAGAATGGTGGAATTTCCGGACCCATTTCATCGCCTTCGTCGACGACATTAGGCACCAGACGATGCGGTACAACGAGAACCTTATCCGGCTGCTGGACCCGATTGTCACAAACAATGAAGACCTGCTGAAGTTGGTTGCTGATCCAGCTGATCCGCGCTGGAAAGACGGCAGCCTTGATGGGCCCCTGGAGCAGCGCTTATCGAGCGAGCTAGACAGATTCCTTCGCATCGTCAGCAGGATGAAGAGTGTGATGGACGACCTGAACAAGCTCCTTCAGATCGAGAATGGAAAGGTACGCGTAGTAATAGCCTGCTCTGACTCTACCCCACGATGTGCTTGTGTGTTGACACAAGAGCAGGTTTCCTGGCAGCAACCGCAGCAATCGTGGCAGTGGCAGTATAAAAGGCTCCAACTTAGCTTCTCCAAAGGGAAACACAAGAAAGTGAAGAAGCTAGCAGCCCATAACCAAGAGCTCCAAGACATCTTGGGATACAGCGAGCGGCTGATTCCGATATCGGATCGAAGGCAGGCGTCTGGGCCCGTTGAGAGCTTCGAAAAGATGCGGAAACATGCCTGTTTAATCCACAGGGTCCTTCGCCAGCAGTGGAACTGTCGAGTAAACACTCACTGCCATGAAGCTCATCTCAAGCTGGAAGTCCTCGTCGAACCATCAAAGACTAACAATCTCAGCGTGCTGTTCAAGGTCGACAATTCTGGGAACCCAATCCAAGAGGTTGTGATTCGCGCGAAAGTATTAAACCCCACAGCTGCCAGAGCTGGGCTACAGATCAAGCAGTCGACATCCGCACTCGAGTTACAATCAAGCGAGATGACTTCGGCGCAAGTGGCGTCTGTTCATCAATCGACGCCCCTTAAGTCAGTTCAAGAAGCAATGCTTCAGAAGGACAACAAGCGAAGCCTTCTGGACCGGATGTCGCAAAAGCTTTTGAAGCAGTCTTCAACTAATCAGTCTGCAAAACGAAAGGTCATGTTTGACTCAACGTCAACGATCTCGATCTCAGTCACTCCCGCCGTGGAGTCATCAGTGGAGCTGCAAGCTGTTCCTGGACCCGAAGATGACAGCCAACAACAGTCCATAGTCTCAGATCTCTGCGCATTTCTTTGTGAGCATGGAACTCTGAGGGGTATGCTCCGAGACGAATTCGACCGGCACCTAGAGCTCTCCAAGCTCCCACGGCGCCGTCAGGCTCCATCCCAAGCGGGCCAGTCACTGAAGCTGCTGACACTCCCTGAGCTTCTAAAAGCATATCACGAAGCCCAAATCGACGTCCCCAGACAACGCCGGTTTGAGATCGCCGCCCATATTGCGTCAGCGCTTCTCCAGACGCACTCGTCGCCATGGCTTCCCACCACTTGGTCAAAGGAAAGATTCATGTTCCTCGCAGATGCTACGAACTCGTTGGCCCTGTGCAGCAGCCACCCCTTTGTGGCGCAAGACTTCTCACTCACCCCAACGGATGTGGACGCGATAGAGGATGAAAACAACTTACACCTACTACACACTCTCGCCTCTTGCAATCCCTTGCAACAAGCCGCTGAGGAATCAACGCGGGCTTGCCTCTTCACTATGGGCGTGATGATCTTAGAACTCATATTCGGCCACAACATCGAAGACTGCACATTCCGCAAGGACTACTACGGCAAGGACAACAAGCCGAACGACCAAACCGACATTAGCACTGCGAGGAAGTGGGCTAAGAAGGTACTTGGAGAAAGCGGGGCCAACATCTCGGACGTTGTGAGGCGATGCTTAGACTGCTCCTTCGGGCCAAGGCCGAGCTTCGCAGACGTTAGGTTCAGGGAGTCCGTGTACGAGGGCGTGATCAAGCCCTTGGCGGCATATTCAAGGGTATGGCCTGAAGCCATGCCATGATGGCGGCGTACTGTGAGGTAATGAGTGGTGTTAAATGAAACACGCCCTAACAAATGTCAGTTCTTTGAAACCTCTCGAGCAACTGACATTGACTCCATTCCTTTCCGTTGACCCAAACTGCATGTATCCACATCCCGGGCCAACTCTATCCACCTATTGAGCACTCCACTCACCACGGCCACCTAAACCCACATAATATCCATTCCCGACCGGTTAATCCATCAAATAAAATAATCACCGCAGAGCCCGGTTAGCTCAGCTGGTTAGAGCGTCGTACTAATATCGTCTGAAAGGACCATATTTGGTCATGCGAAGGTCAACAGTTCAATCCTGTTACTGGGCAGTAAACTTTTGCTTTTTTCACCCCTATTCTTCAGGCTTCCACGAGAGTGAAATACCTTATGGTATGGTTCTAGTCACTGGTGGAAGCTGCATGATTTAGTTTTCACGATTCAGTTTTCTTACTGGCTGACAAAGTTTGTTTCTGTTTCACAAGCTCACTATTTCTTTTTCCTTGCCTTCTTTCTGAGATGTTTGTTTGTGCTGGAATTTGTTTTGGGACTTTAATTCAATCTTGTAAATTTATGGTCCACTACTGCATCTTTCCGGCAACGGTACCTGTTTCCTCCCCACCAGTAACTGGTTTGCGACGACGAACCCGAACCTCTCGCAATCTCCTGGCTATGTCGCGCGGAGAAGCAGTGTTAATGTCCCCTGTAAACTCGGCCAGGGTTAAATGCTCTTCTTCTCCAGAGTTGCCCTTGAACCGAGCCAGCTTATGCACTTCGATGCGTCGTGCTAAATTGATCATGTCAATTTCAGCAACGCCCGACACGATGGGAACTCGTTCTGGAAGCCGCAGAATCTATCATATCCCAAAGATGACCAGCATAAGCAGCGCTATTGTACTTGATATGAACAGCGCACCGGTCCAGGTCTAGATGACGAGACACTGGCTTGATGATCCTGCTATGGCCCTGGTGGCCATCTCTTCGGGCGGGGCAAACACCGTGCTCATCCCAGGAGGCGCTAACTGTCCCAACTTGCTGATGGAGTTATTACCCAACTGCACTCCGGTGGTAGTAAATATAAGAGGAATTGCAAAAAGATTTTGCAGCAAATTGACCATCGTAAAGTTTTCGGGGAAGTATGCAAGGTAGCCGCGTTGTGAAGCTATTGTGAGAGCAAAAGCATTTACGCTGTATATGTCGTTCGCGATTGTCTTTGGTGTGGGAGCGAGGATTTTCGCGAAGATGGTTATTTATTCCGCCGTACTGATATGAATGGGCACCCGATCCCCAATGGGCTCAAGGTTGATGATTGATAGATTCTGCCGGCCGTATGCCGTCCTGGTTGACTATCGATATAACGACATCTTGGTTTTGATATATGGCGGTTGGGATGCCCAAGATCGATCGGTCTTGCACCTGTTATTCATCACAAAGTTTTGTGGACAATTGGCCTATCCTCAGATACTCGAAATCAGCTTCTAAAGCCAGTATTTTCCTTGCGAGACTGAGAACTTACCGACGGCAATAGAACCACCCATTTAGAGTATACAAATTTATAGTGTCGTTGATGAGCCCGGCGCCATATACGCACTCGAATGTCGAGTCAAAGACCACATCATCTCCAAGGTTATCAAAGCTAACTAAAATTCCTGGCGATTTATGGATCAATATGGTCTGGGTGTTGTCGAAGATAGTGTCATATAGGATAGAGTAGTTCAGGAAGGGAAGGTACCGGCGGGATATCTCCAGACCGTTGGGAAGAACAAAGGCTTTGCAGGAGCTGGCATTGCCACAGCCCGGAAGAGGGAACCCCGTTGCGTACTTGGAATTGCGGAGCAGACTTGATACCCAAAGAGAATAAAATCCGACGAATTAGGCTATTGTACGTCGCTCTAGTGCATGAGTACCAATTGGTGCTAGCCCAGCGTACACCTTAAGACCGACATTGTCCGAGACGAAGTAGTACTGGGCTGTCGTATGGACTAGAATCCCAAAACCAATCAGCAGATATACAACGCTCATACAGCGATAGGTGTGCAAAAAGGCACTGACATTTAACTCCCGAGCCAAGACCAACACTTAGAATTGGCAATATGGATCTGTAGCAATTATATGAGCGTGAGTTGTTTCAGGCAATGAGCTGCCAAGTACTCAGGGTCTACTAACCTGAGAAAAAGCCAGAAGTCTGGCTATCTTGCAGCCCAAGCAGTATGCACGGTTGAAATCCGGTTTGTAGAAAAGGACAGCCCAAAAAAGGTCGTTGTAAGTGTTCCGTCTGGTCGGGGTTTGTTGACTGGTGATTGACAGAGAGAAGGATCGAAAAATCGGGACAAAGAAAAAAGAATGCTGGCGAAGACATGGACAATACCGTGCTCTCCACCAACTGGCAACCAGCCAAGTTTGTTAATACCGGGCGGGCACTGGAATGGATCAACACTCGGTTCGTAAGCGATACCAGAAGGTACCCAGTTTGATGGCGAGGATGGAATGGGGCGGTGGGAATGCCGCATCCACTATCGCAAAGGTTTAGAAGTTGGTTTATGTTAGTGTGTCTTCTTGTCTTGGGCTATGACATGCTTCCTCTATTGATATTTTTACATGCTCGTGGGGGTTACGAGCGTTTCTAGATTTAATATCTCTCGTCCTATCTATTATTAACGGTTTGAGGCTTTGCAATGATGAACCCAAAGTATATACGTGTCATTAGCTGTTTCACGTAGACGAGTGGTTGGTATATTCATATCTCCATGGTGTTCAAGTTCCAAGCTCCCTCCTCCCCCATATTTAGCCTGTCACGCCGTCGCTCTACGTCGTGTCGATACCATCCGTGCCTCTCTTAGTGAATAATAACCAGCATAATCAACCCGTTCTATTCTTTCCAGAAACCATTCCCAAGATTGGGCCAAAGGAAAGTCCCTGCTTAGCAACTTTCCTTGAACTTCTCAAAAGCGACAGGGGTTCTCTGTGTCGGAATACGAGCTTGAAGCTGTTGGCAATTCCGGAGATCCTGCCTGGTGCCATGAGCAGCGACTCTACCGCCGCGGCCCCCCTCTGGAGCGCGAGAGGGCATGGAAGGGCAGAAGGAGCTTGATTTCCGTGTCAATTATCTGAATTGGGATGGAAAGGATTGTGCCTAGGAGCACCGGAACAAACGAGCCTGTAAAGTACTCTCTTGCTGACAGCGGCAGGACATGAATCTTGGCAGGTCCCGACAAGCCATTGAGGACGGGCGGTGTGATGGGATCAGTGGCCGCCACGTAGCCTGTCGTTGTGGCGGTGGGGACACCGTTTGAGTCTATGAGTGGCACTGTTGTGATCGTAACCGGCGCATCGGTGGTTATGATACTAACCCAAGCCCCATCGCCGCCTCTAACGTACATCCACGTCAAGCGGCGCGTCGCGGTTCGCTGACCAAGCGATTTTGTTAAAGTCTTAAGCTGCGACGGCACAATTAGGGCTGGTCCAGACCCGGCAGTCGTCTTTTTTGCGTCGTTAAGTGTAGGTGGTCAGTATTCGAGTAACCCCGTTCAAGTCAGTGAATGTCAAAGTTGTGACTCTCGCTGTTGTGAGGACTATCGAGGAGTGCCAATCAGCGCCAGCGACTACACCCTGAATCGTAGAAACCGGTGCGGCAGTCGGTGGGGGAAAGGTGTCTGCGCCTCGACTTCGTAGTGGTGAAAATCGCCCTTTCGTTAAGTTCGCGTAACCAACAGCTCGGCAACCTCGAGGCATGACAAAAGCGATAGCGGAGTGGATGGCCGAGGCAGCTCTACCCGCTGTCCCCGAAGCTATCACTCTAGTCATCGACGGCAATCCGGCGCCGGATGTTTCCTCGGATATCTTCCGGGGTCTCGTTCAGGCCGACGCAGCCTGGCAAACCGCCATCGACCGGGCCTTTCCCCCCAGCCGCGTGAGCCCTTTGGATTTTCTACTCAAAGCAACCGTAAAACCCTACCAATGTAAGGGCTTCCCTGAGCTCCTCAAGGCCGTGTGTAATGGGGATCCTTCCTCTTGTATTCGCTGCAAGTTCGACCCCGGCGAGCCCTGGGATGACGGCCAGATCGACGAAATTATCAAGGCCAACCCTAGCGATAGCGACGACCCCTTCGAGTGGGCGGACGTGTGGAGGCCGGCAAGAGGGCGCGTCGGCTTCAAACCTCCAACTCCATTACCTCCGTATTGCAAGATGCTGGATGAGCTCCCGACAACGGAAAATTGAACTAGGTACTTGCCGTGTTGCGCGAGAATCGGCGACGCGAAAGAGATTGGCGCGGCTGAAGATGTGGTGGGAATTTTGTAGACGGAAATAGTTGCATTAACCATGGTTGCTCCAGATCCATCTTAATTAGGTACACAATTCTATTGACCGTCTTGCAAATGCCCATCTGGGCCAATTTATGTAGAGTCTTATCACAGCCTAGTGTGAATAGGAGCAAAGTTGTGGTAAACCAAGGAGTAATCATTACACAGTCGCTTCGCAAGTACTTGACGTTCTAGTTACAAATTAAAATTAGAATGCAAACGCTCGTGTTAATTATTCTCCCCAAAGGACAATTCCGCTCTCCAACTCCCTTTTTTTGCCGACTCGTTTGGAATATTCATCAAAACAACTAAAAACCGTAAACTTAGCCGTTGGGGGGCGGCCATCCCGCAACGCTTCCCGCCACCATGCCCGCCATGACCGCGGCTGGCGCAAAGCTTGAATCCGACTTGTGATGTTGGAGTCTGAGGCTGCTCGTCCCGCTCGTGCCGGTGCTGCTCTTGGCCGCGAGCAAGGGGCTCCTTTCGTCAGGGGTACTGCCGCTCCCGTCCGACAGGGTCTTGCCGTACATAAATGCCGATATCTTGTGACTGATTCTACCAAGCCGCGAGCTTCGGGGCTGCCTCAGAAGCATGAGCTTGCACCGTACATTCTCAATGGCCCGGCTCCATGACATGGGGTCGTGTGTGTCGGAACAGTGTTCCACGGGTGGCAGAGAAACTTGGAGTCTCGTCCGCTCTGTCCTCTGCCTTCTCCATCCAAGGACCCTGCGAACGAGGCTATCTGGGATGAACCGTATGGCCATCCCAACCGGGATGGAAAGAAAGCCCAGAAGAAGAGAAATTCCCCATTGCTTCGACGTCAGTGGCGCCACCGACAGGGCCTCTCCACCGTAACAAACAATCAAGACTTGGCCAGCGACAATGGCAACATTGATGGCGATGAAGAAAGGATTTTGAAAGATACCCTCGACTATGTTGAGATTGTTGTCAAGTCGCCGGTTACTACAACAGATAAGTCAACATTTTCGCAAAGGGAAAATCGCCGGGGCAGTGATTGAGACAAGACAACTCACTTGTATAGGTTGAAAAACTGCATCCACACAAACGTGTTGAATATGAGCGTGTTGAGGGCCTCTTGCTTCCCTGGTGTGTCGTAGCCGAGCAGGTCATTTCCAGCAAAGTTCAGCACCAATGTCACGGCGAGCTGGTAGACAGCCTGTCCGACAATCATCTTCCAGCTGGTAAGCGAGATGAGTGGCGCGTCTCTCCTCTCGGGCTTGCGGTTGAGAACACTCGGGTTTGCGGGGTCTGTTGCCAACGCCAGGGCGGCAAAAGTGTCCATGATCAGATTGACCCAGAGAAGTTGAACCGGGGTGAGTATTGCTTCCTCAGTATCGCCCGCAATCGCTGACACGAAGGTGAGAGTGACTGCGGTGATGTTGACGGTGAGTTGGAACTGCAAGAATTATGTGTCAGTGTGAATAACGTCAAGTCGACACTGGTCGCGGTAGAAAACGTCCCCTAGCCCCTTACCTGCAGGAACTTCTTTATCACATCGTTGACTGTCCGCCCCCACTCAATTGCTTTGACAATCGACGAGAAATTGTCGTCCATCAACACAATCGACGAGGCTTCCTTTGCGACTTCAGTGCCGGAAATGCCCATGGAGAAGCCCACGTCAGCAGCCCTCAAAGCAGGCCCGTCGTTGGTTCCGTCACCTGTCACAGCCACAGTCTCGCCGAGCTTCTTCAGCCTCCTGACCAGCAGCTTTTTATCGTCCGGGCTGGATCGTGCCAAAACCTGCAGCCTGGGGAGAATCGCAAACATCTGTCCTTCCGACATTCTCCTGAACTCGGGACCTTCCATGACGACGCCGTCTTTGGTCAGAATCCCACTTGCAGCTGCGATCGCTGTTGCCGTTTTGACGTTGTCGCCAGTAACCATTCTCACAAACACTCCCGCGTGCTGGCAAAGCGCCACGGCCTCTTCGACGCCCGCTCTCAGCGGGTCCTGGATGCCCATGACCGCGAAGAAGGTGAGGCCCTGAAACACGCTATCAAACAACGACACACGGCCAGTACCCATGTCAGGCTCGGTGGCTGGTGGTGGCCAGGAGGGGAAATCCCGAAAGGCGAGGCCGAGGGTGCGGAGCGATTCAGACGCAAATCTATCTACGGTTTCGACCACTTTCTCGCAACGCTCGTGGGTCAATTGGATCTCTTCCATAGAGCGTGCCGAATCGGCGATGATACGGTCACACTGGTCAAGCAAAATCTCGGGCGCACCCTTTACGTACATTCGGTACGCGTTGCCGCCGAGCCGTGTCACCGTGGCCATGCACTTCCGGCCCGAGTCGAAAGGAAAGATTTCCACAACCTCGGCGTTGGCTCGCACTTCGTGAAGTGAGCCCATGCCAAGCCGTTCGGCGGCAAAGGTCAGAAGTGCAGCCTCTGTCTTTGAGCCGATATAGGTTGGCCTGCCGTCGCATTCGCCCTGAAACGCTGTCGAATTGATCGCAATTGATTGAACCAGCTGCGCCCGAACTTCTGCAGCAATTGAGGCGACGAACAGGCCGGTGGAGGTAGATGCAGAGCTGCTGCCTTGCTCAGTACTCGAACCGGAAGTCGTGGAGTCGGCATCAGCGACTGCAGAACCGAATCCAAGTGCCGGTGCCCTGATTGCTAAGGCGAAATTCGAGAATCGGGTGCGGTGATTCGCAAACTGGCCGTCGGCTCCAACCATGCCAGCTGTAACTTTCATCTTATTCATGGTGAGGGTTCCTGTCTTGTCGGAGCAGACGGTTGTGGCATTTCCCATTGTCTCGCACGCAGACAGGACCCTCACTAGATTATTGTCCTTGAGCATTCTTGTCACGGCAATTGCGAGCGCCAGAGTAACAGCGAGCGGCAATCCTTCAGGGACGGCAATAACAACGACTGTGATGGACACGATGAAAATTCTAAGCAAGCTTTGAGCCTTCTCAAAGTCCGAGTCGGATCTGCTGGGCAACTGGATGAAGAATTTGGCAGCCAGGGCAATGAAAAGCAGGACGGCCGCTGCAACTCCGGTCGTGGCAATCCTATCGGCAACAGCGCTGAGCTTTTGCTGCAGTGGCGTAGCCTCGGATGGTTCTTCCAGGCCCATCCTGAGTCGCCCATAAACACTGTTCACGCCCACGCCAGTGACGATATAGGTGCCGAGCCCCTCCAAGACCTTGCCCCCCGAGATGATGAATGGGTCGGCATCTCGCAAGCCTCGGCCGGTATGTAGTCTTTCCAGCGCCTCGTGGCCGCCAACTTTGGCTATCTGGTCGGTTTCTCCCGTTACGGACGACTCGTCGCATCGGATGTTGTGGCTGGATACGAGAAGGCCGTCGGCGGGGACGAGATCTCCAGGCTCGAGGTGGACAATGTCCCCTGCTAGAATGTCATAGACAGAAAGCTCAATGGATTTTCCCGAGCGGATGACCTTGACCATTCGATCATCTTTCTACATGCATTGTAAGCTATCCGACCATTCTTCGACAGGATCACAGGGCAAGAACATAGCGCAAAACTTACCTTTTTAGCCAGCCGCGCAAACTGCTGTTCCTTCTGGTAGTCGTTCAATGCGCCAGCGACAACAACAATGACAACGGCAGTCATAATGGTGACGCCGTCAACCCATTCCACGCGAGGCTGGCCGGGGCCGTGGAACACCCAGAAGGCCTGGTAGAGGCCGAGGCCGAGCGAGATGGTTGCAACAACCGAGAGGAGTATCAAGACCTTGTCGTTCAGAGCAAGCAGCATGAGCTGGAAGATGCCCTTGATCGGCTTGTCTGGCAAACGGTTCGTCCCGAAGACGGCCCGTCTTTTCGCCAGCAACGAGGAGCCGCCCAACAGGTCCTCCTGGTGCTCCCACTCGTGTGTTTCACCCCCGGTCCAAGTCTCGTCGAGGCTTAAGCCGGCCTTCGCATCCGTCCGCAGGCCCCGTGTAATGCCCTGCATCCCTCCTAGTGCCTGGAGTTCGGCCAGACTCTTGGAGGCGATCATGTCGGCAAGCGCGTGCGGCGGAAAGGCAAAAGCGGCGTCGACGTCGAGGGCGAGAGGAAGCGGGGCGCGGCGGGGCGAGTCGACCGGGAGATGGGCTGCTCCATTCTGCCTCGGCGAGCCTGTATATAAAGTCATGGGCGACTCTGTGCCGGACAAGGAGGTGGCGGCCGTTGACACGTCGGTGCCATGGGGTGAGGCGGATCGCATGGAGAGGTCGGTGGCGCTGCTGCAGGTGCTGGCGCAGGGCGACGAGGAGTCGAAGGCGGCGCGCGAGGGCGGGTTGCCAGGAATCTGGAGGAAGAGCCGGCGCGCCGACGTGTCAACAGCGTCCGGCGCTGGCTGCAGACACGTCGCAATGAACGAAGTCGTCGGGCTCGGGGTTTCATCAATTGCTGGTGGGCCGGGACAAGAGTGCAGTCTCAGCAGGCGGTTGTCGGTTTGGTGCTGAGGCGCCAAGAAAAGGTGACGGGAGGTTAACCAACAGGTCTTGGCACGAACAGCTCCAGCTTCAGGTCGCATCGGATTGCTGCAGGGACAGGCCTGTCGCGGCATTCCATTCCCCTGCTTTGGCGGGGTCGGGAGGAAAGGTGGGGATATAGTGGGGCTGCTTACCACAGGGGTCACGGTAATGACAGGCGCAGGGGCAATGGCAGGCGCAGGGGCAATGGCAGGGGAGGATCGTTGAGATGCGCACCACTCGTGGCCTCCATCGCCTGGCTGGCGCTGCAGGTTGTCTTGCACGACGGTCATCGAAGAGGCCGAACCACCAACAGTATTGCGCCGTGATTCAGCCATTGGCCTGGTATATATGGCCTTGGTGAACAAGTCTGGACGTATCAATATGGGACGAACTCGAATGATTAAGGTAGAGAAGGAAAAGGATACAATTGACGACAAAAAATGCAAGCACCAATTCCGAGGAATTCGTGAGAATGGAAGGTCAAAGTCCCGATTCAGATTGGTCCAAGAGCCATCCTCGTCCATAAAAGCACGGACATTACGGGTTGAACCCAGTCGAGCACGCTAGGGGCAAACATTAGGGGCAGCGAGCTGTAGCCAACGTAAAAGAAGTTGCGTAAGAGAACCTATTCCATGCGTGCCTTAGGTTGCCTACGCTACCTTAGGTAAGGTACAGTACTATCGTATGCGCTGGCACCTGTCTTCCAAGTTACAGGTAGCGACATGTGCAATTCTGGCCCCGCTTCAGGAGACACCCGCTGGAACGAAACAACAGGCCGTCCGATGTCAAGGCAGGAAAACCTAAATTAAGGTAGGTGAAGCTTGGAGAGCCTGCCTCCCCCTGGGGGGGCAGGAATTGACTGGGTATTATTCCGTGCAGAGTAATGGATCTGTGGCTCCGATTATTGCACTACACGTCTCCAATTCTCGGAAAAACACATGTTTCGGCGCCAAGAGGATACGTTAACTATGCCTCCTCGTAGGGAAGCTCGGTGCCACCCTGAAGAAGGCGGTAAAATAGAGAGGAATAAAGGAGAGAGTCGACTGGAATTTTACGGCATCAAAACTCGAATCCAACTCCACTCCATTGTCTGTGTGATGACGTCAAAACTCGGGGTGGCATTTGTTGGTAGCTTCGAGGCACCAACGCCAAGGGAATACCAGGGTACGGTAGCAAGTGAAATTAGGTGGCTTCTATACCTAAATAGGTGGTTCCATGGCAGACGCTGCATGACTGCCGTGGCTGCAATGAGTAGAAAGGTACGTAGTAGATATTGTCGAGTACCTCACTAAATGCTGCGGCAAGATGCCAGTCGAGCAAAAGACGCCTCGGCCAGCTCTGGAGTTGTAAACCTCACCTTACCTAGGATAGGTATTAGTGGTAAAGTAGCGTGGGCTGGATGCAGAGATTAGCCATTGTGAAGCCGACAATGTCCCGGCTCGCTCTTTCCCATCCCTCTTCGTCCTTGCCCTTGGAATTTAACTTTTCTCGGCCATTATTCTCAACCCAGGGCCCTGCCGCCTCAGAGAATCATATTGGCCCCTTACGGAGAGAGATGGAGATGTTGCAGACGTAGGAATCCTAGGCTTTCAAGCTCGACTCGTCGTCGGACCGGATACTGCCCCTCGTGTGCGATGCTTCTCTATTCTCATTCTCCGCCGTGGGCTGGTGTTGAACCGGGTATCGACTAGGGCCCTGGCCTCCCGATTTCCGAAGGCCCTGTTCACTGCTTCGTTCGACGGTAAGGCTGCTGGCGCCCCGAGAGCCATGTTAAGCTCCGCAACAGCTTGCTGGCGGCCGTCGGCTACATCGAGGCCGCAAACGCTGGAGACTTTGCCGCTAACGTCTGTAACATGTCGCCCCTACCCATCCATGCCATCGGTCTCGTAGCTATTGGCGGCACCGTCGCGTACGCTCGTTGCTACCGACGACGAGGTCCTCGTCGGTAGGTTACTTGACGTCGTAAAGACTGTAGTTAATCAGGAGACGCTAAAGTCTTTCAAGAGCTAAGAGCGTTGGCCCCTCAAGACGCTCGGCTGCCGTATAGCCAATCTTGGTGACCCCGATAGCGACAGCGGCAAAGAAAAGGACGAAGCGACGCCCCCGCAGAGCCGGCCTCGGAACGCTCATTCTAACTGCGGCAGGCACGCTAATGGCTAGTTGTGTGGGGGTTCTCAATGATAGAAACGGCCCGCAGGCAGGGCGGTGGGCAGAGGGTGAAGCAGCCTGTAATACCTACTTGCCTGACGGAGTGCGGCCTTCTACCTCCTGCCCTCCTCACTCGATCCCCTTTCGACCTATCTTATAGTAGCTTGTCATTCTACCTCCCGCACCCTAAAAGCTCTCTTCTGAGGCATATGATCCACTCAACCACTCTACCACGTCGATCTTTCCATCCATTTCGCACCCCCCGAGACACCGCGTAAAAAGTAGACTTCGGTCTTCCCGAGTCTCTTCGTGTAAGGAAAAGGACACCCCAAACACCAACTGCGCGCACAGGGTGCGCGCCCACCACTTGTCACCAACTGCCTAGAACACTGCCAGCTGGCATACGCTACGCCGTGGCGCCACGACCGCAGACTGATGCCCGGGCCGAACCCCTGAGCAGGTATATAAACAATGGCCCTCGCCCATCTTCCTTTGCGAGGGCCAGGTTGAAGTCTTACACCAATACAAGTCATTGCTCCCCTACCTTCTTGCCTGCATTATGACCACCTTGATCAGGCGTACCTACCTTCTCTTACACTTCGACACGATTAAACGACCCGGGCCACAAAAGCGATCAGCCGCCTCCCGTCTACCGCCCCGTCCTCGCCACTTTTTCTTTCATTTTTCTTTTTTTGCTGAGCGTTGACATCTTCGGCCTCTGCTTACTGCAGCCTTGCACTGCCAGTTTAATCCGAACCCGGATACGAGATCGATTGCGCGTATAAGTTTTTGCCTGCCTACCCTTTAGCCCTAAAATTCTATACGCATCACTAGCTTGATAGGGTGCTCCGTATTGTTTAGCTCTTCTTTCCGGCCGAGTCGGCCGACGTTGCCGAATGCCGAACATGACGGCTGCCGATGTGTACGTAATTACGTACTTGCCAAGTGGGTCTGTCCAAGTGGTGCCTGCCGCCGTTTCTCGATTCCCGTTATCTGGGGTGCGTTGGATCTACGAAAGCCCTTTGAAGTCTCGTGTCAGTCAAACCCTCCCCCAATCGCTGCGGTAAAACCAGCCTCTTGACGAGATGCGATATCTGTTGTCTTTTCTCTAGATATTGCAACGATATCGACCTCAACTTGAAACCTTGGGGATTTTATACCTCCTGATAGATACACCTAGCCCTCTTTTGCGTTTTTGAGGGACAATTCCTGGACCGTAAAAATGAGTGGAGCGGGGCATGATAGCGGCGTGTATGACCTGTGTACCCTGCCCGCATCTCGGCGACAAAGGCTATGGCCACCTCGGATTTACATTATTTTATTCGCATATGTTTTATTCGCATATATTTTATTTACAATTGAGTCAAGAAGCCTCTCGCCGCCTAACTACGTAGTGTGTCTCTGCTCTTGAGTATTTTGATTGAATCGACGCGTGGTCGAATGGTGGCTTGTCCCCCGGATTCCTGTGGCGGGACCCCAATTACGAAACGAATACGGATATAGCAGGGGTCTATGTATTTATTATACGCCTGTATCCGTACATACAATACGGAAGGAGAGGCGGTATTCTTAATCCCCCCAATACGTGCCCTGTCTGCCGTCTCGTTCCCCTCCCTTCCCCTCTCCTCGCCGTCTTGTCAACAACACAACAAAACAACAAAATAGCCATTGGCGCGGAACTCCACGACGCGATTCAATCCGGCAGCAAAGCGAACCCCCTCGCTAGTCACTAGAACAACGCAGACAGAATAACGAAGCGAGCATCCGACGCCACTAGTAGCCTCCGCTCCCTTACTCCCGAAACCCCACCTGAAAAAAACATGGTCTCGACACGCTCGTCGTCGACGGCCATCGCGACGCCGCGCGCGCAAAAGTCCGAGTCGGCCACTCCGCCCCCGTCGACGATCCCTAAGACGCGCGCCTCGCGTGCCAGCAATGCCAGTGCGTGGTCGCACGCGCCGTCGACACTGACGCTCGTGTGGTTGGGCGTGACGCTGCCGCTGGTGATCTACGACACGACCTACGTGCTGCTGCGGCCGCTGACAATGGAGGGCGGGTCGCTGCACTGGCCGCTGTTTGTGCCGTACGAAATGTATGGTGATGTTGACCACGTATACGGCTGGCCGGCGTTTGAGCGCCACGACGGCTTCACGGGCGCCCAGAGCTTCATGAACGTCGTCGAGACGGCCATGTACCTCGTCTACCTGGGCCTGTGGTACCGCAACGCCAAGCCCGCCAAGACCGCCGGCGCCAGGCCTGCCGTTGACGGCCCCGTCGGCGCCCTGGCCTTGCTGATCGGCTTTAGCGCTGCCGTCATGACCTTCAGCAAGACGGCGCTGTACTGTGCGTTCTCCCGCCTGCATCCCTCGTCCCGTGTGACTTGACCGGCGCGATATCGGCTCGGCGCTTTTGCTCCAGCGCTCGCTTTCGCTGACTTTTCTCCTTGGTTTTTTTTTGCAGGGCTCAACGAGTACTACTCGGGCTACTCCAACGTCGGCCACAACTCGATCCAGCGGGTGATCTTTGTATTTGTCCTTCTCAAGTAAGCGCGCCCGCAGGCCTTGTCTATTCTTGCCCAATTCCCCATTTCGCTAACCAGGTATCACTTTGCACCTGCAGCGGCCCATGGCTCATCGGCCCAGCCATCATCACCTACCGGTTGGGCTCCGAGATTGTCGCCGGCCTAGCGAGCGCCTCAGCTCCGCCTGCGCGCCGCGGGAAGAGCGAATAACCCCGGAGTCGTTCGTCTTCTGCTCGAACGGATGGAATCCGGGACCTGCTGGCGGGGCGGGTGCGGATTGATGGAGAGAGAAAAAGGAAAGGGATGAGAAGCTGCCCTTTCAGGGATTTGCGGGTTCCCCTTCTCACGAGTGTATACGTCTTAATATTATTACCTGTATATACTTGCATTTTTCGTTGGCGGTCGTGTTTTTTTTTCTTTTCTTCTCTTCGCGTCTCGCGCATCGCGATGCGGCATCGGCAGGCCTTTGTCTCTGGTGGGTTTTAGTTTGGATTCCAAGCCTTTCTCTCTTTATTTTCTTAGGAGCGGTGCGAAACAGATATCCCAATGACGCTCTTCGCTTGTTTTATCTCAATTGCCCCTTTTCTCTCGAACAAAACACACCCAAGACTTTGGACCCTATGGTCGCCGCCCCTCTAAGTCATCTTGCAATTCACGAGTTATAGCTAGCGGGAAAGCCGTGTAAACCATCCGTAAAATATTTCTACAGCCAAACCTCCCAGAAAGCCCAGTCCATGGAATAAATGTCAACCAGCCGGCGCAGGGTATCAGCCACAGAAACGAGGGGAGAAGTACGAAAAGGCCAGCCGACCGGCCCAGACGAATCACTGATAGACGCCCCCATGACTTTAACTTGCCATTGACATGTCCTTCAAACCGCCCACGTCTGCGAACTGGGACCACACGTCATCGGCCCGTGAAATCCGCGTACTATCTCCATCCCCCTGCCTGTCGCCGATGGCATGGCTTATGGCCCCGACGGAAACAACGACAGGAGTTGGATATACTCCCTCAACTTTGCGGACGCTCAGCGGATCAGGTTGCAGCTCGCCCAGCCTGCGCCGGCTGTTCCTCCGCGGAAGAGCCGGCGGCGATCCGTCTTCGACAGTAGACGACGTGCCGCTGCCAGAAGCAGTCTCCGAGGGGCGATCTGACGTTGGTCGCGATAAGTCAAGCGGAGCGGGCTGATCTATCTTCTCAGCCGGACGGCTGGGCTCCCTAGTAGTCCAAGGCGAGGCAATGGAGCACACAGCGGTGCTAGGTGCGGTGGATACAGTAGACGCCATAGAAGCCGTGGACGCATCTGAAAGCCTGCTGGCGGTGCTGGCGGTGCTGGCAGTAGAAGATGTCGACGAGGTCGAGGGCGAGCGGACGGCTGAGGGCTGAGGCTTGAGGGTCTCGACGGAACCTCCCAGGTCATCGTCAGCCTCTTGGGCGTCACCCCCTATCTTTGCGGTACCTGGGCTAGCCGATGGCTCCTCGGTGGTGCCTGGATTTTTCCCATCCCCGAGGGTCAGACTGTCGTGGTACGTCAGGCCAAAGTTTGTCACTGACGGGAGTTCATTGCCTGTGCTGCCGTTATTTAGCGTGAATATGTGTAGGGATCGCCGAAAAGTAGTGTCAAGTCTCCGAACACGTGGAGGGATGCTCGGCGGGGCACTCATCCGTTTCTTTTTGGCCGATGACGAGGTGTCTTTCTGGCGTGTTAGGGACAAGTAATTGATATCCGGCTCAATCTCATAAGACGGCGAGGCGGAGCGGATAGGTTCGGGCATGGTTGGTGTTATGGGAACTGGCGAAGTAGGAGAAGGGGTCTTGTTTTGCTTGAGGCTGTTTGCTCTCCTTGTAGTAGAAGACTGCCGTCGCCCCTCCCTCCACGGCGGTAGATTTGCGGTGTTGATGGCGACGTTGTAGGGTATCGCGTTAGTACCCTGGCACTCAGGGGGCGCCTCAGTGCAGCCACGCAGAACTTGATAAATGGAGTAGACGAGAATCCAGCGAATTTTTCGAGCATCCACCAGCGACAGCTTCTCAGACCGACTGTACTTCGATGGCGAGAAGATCGAATCTTCTTCAAAGCTACGATATGCCGAGACAAGCTGGTTCTGTAGAAGATCGTGCTTGTGTTTGTTGGTCGCATTGAGCAGTGCAGCATGGAAAACTAGCCGCTGGTCTGGCTTGAGCTTATCACTCTTGTTGAGCCAGGTAATGCGCCGTGAAGGCGTGGCGGGGGCTATTTCGGGGATTAGTGGCAAAGGGTAAAGCAGTGGCGTGAATTTGTTGCGCAGATCAAAGCCACAGACAGTCTGCAGCGCGCAAATGCCGCCCTGAGCAAGTGCCGGGATGCTCTTGGACACTGTAAAAGAGTCGTCGACGAGGTACCCGTAAAGCGCCTCAAAGTCGTCCCGCATCGTGCAATACGTTTCGCGGTCAAATATGAGACTGCGTGCGTCGATTGAGAACGGCGGATAATAACCCAGTCTTCTGGAAAAGAAAGCGAGGAGGAATGTCCGAAACTGTTCAAGATGATCCCTCCCTCCGGGGGTCAGTCCAATGTGAGCTTCGGAGAGGTCGTCCTCGAGGAAATTACGAAGCATAACACCGGCGTGCCCAAGCTTCATGTCCATCTCCATCCTGGCCTGTCGAATGAGTTTCCTTGTTACTGAAGTAATGACCTACTGAGCGTTAGTTTGCGCAACTGTCGCCGGACAATTGGGCTCGGTAGATCATCCTACCTGGTACTCCGGGATAACAAAGAGTCGATCAGACATGCCCACGCAGTGAGAAAAGGCGTCAATATAGAGCCCCCTGAACTGGAAGTACTCGGCGAAATGGACTGCCGCCAAGGCGTGGACAGGCTGACTCTGCATGTCGAGATAGCCCTCCTCATCAAGATAGCTAACGAGAGCCTCCATATTGTTCTCTCCAGGGCAGCGAAGCTCTGACATCATGTCTAAAAGTTCAATGAGGGCGGTCCCGAGGTAATCCCCAACCACTGGCCTCTGAAACACCCAGGCGAAGAAGTTGCGTATTGCCAGGTGGTAGCGCAGAGCTTCGTCCTTGTTCGCCATGGGCGGCGGTGGGATATACAGATCGATTCTGCCATTAAGGGGCATGTGGTGCAGAAAGCGAATTGGGTCTTGGCCCACCCCGGCACCTGGTGTGGTCGAGGCATCTCGTAACATGAACCTCGCCACGAGGGGGTGACATTTGGTCGCAAGCAAGGCATCAAGAGGCACCTTGAATGCAGGGCCTCGGTACGATTGGCCCTTCCCGTAAAGATGCACGAAGCAATCGCCATTCTGGTACCACAGCTCTGGGTCCTAGTCGCGGGTTAGCCGGTCTGTCGATGCCGTGAGAGTTTTGCCCAACTCACCCGTTTTATATTGTCCCAAGCCGTGCATTCCCTCAAGGCGCCATCCCACCTCTTGATTCTGGACTTCCCTAGAACTCGTCTTTCCATTTGATCGTCGAATGTCCCGGGGTTGCGGACTGAAGCGTGATGCGACTTGCCAGTGTGCAGCAAGGCAGGCTTGTCGATGGGTGCAAGATTCGAGCTCGCCACCGACGTTTTCCTAGCTGACGGGAGCCGCCTCCCAGACGAGAAGAGGTCTGGCCACCGATTAGAGACCCTTTTGGCGGCTTGACGAGGTTTGGAGGCTGCAAGATTTGAGTCAAGGGCCCGAAGTGACCTCCGAGTGCCCCTAGAGGCCGAGACAGAATGCCTGCCTGCCGTTCTCAGAGGGCGAGAGCGGTCTGCGCAAGTGGCTAGGGCCCGTGTCTTTGTTCAGAGCCGAGACTGGACTGGGTAGCGCCGTCCATGGAAGCTGTTCAATGGAGATGGCGGATGGAAACCTCGGCTGGGGCCGTTCACTTTCTCACCAGATCAATCTGCCACCCGATGTGGGAAACTTTCGAGACGCATACCCGGGATCGCGTCCAAGAGAAGGGTGGGAGTGTGATGAGAGGAGAACCCATCTTCTTCAAGACAGTTGACACAAGGCGGCCGCGCCAAAACGCCATGTTCCGGATTAGAGTGGATAATCAGCGCCCGATGTTTGTCTTGTGCGGTTCCACGGTTCAGAGTTGCGTTAGTGCGTGGCCTGGATTCGCTGCTCCTTCACCGCATTCCTGTTGTGGCTTTGCTTTGTTCGTCAAGTCTGGCGGCAGGGCAGGGTAGAGCAGGACCCCCATCGAGAGACCGGCAATGCGTGGTCCAGATGGCCCTCACCAACCAGAGCTGCATTTCAACCTCGGCTCTGCATGCAGCTGAGCTGGCAGCCAGAGCTCCTCCTGCCTGTCCAAATCCCGAAGATGATTCAGCCCGCTGCAGTTATGGCAATGGTGATCACTGATCGCTGATCAGAGCTGAAATATGCACCCAATGGACATGCCATCACAATCTTCGGACAAAAACAGTCGTTGGGCATGTGGGGGGTCTGGGGGAGAGTGCCAGTGCCGCCCACCGCGTTCTTTGACGAGGGGAGACTTTATCGTGGCGCCGGAGCTTTGGGGGGTGCCGAAAGTTTAGGTTGCAGCTCTCCGGTTTACCATCGTCGTCTGCATCCGACCAGACCATCATGCAATTCCTGATGCTCGGCCAAGCTCTTCCAGTCCAGTCCATCAACTTCCGACAGAGGTCAGCGATAACCTCACTCTTCATTCAGCCTACCCGTGAATACATGGAGGGCTCTGTCACCTCTCCTCTACTCGTAGTCGCTGGTGCATGATGCACTTAGTCCCGATTCAAGACAATTCTAAGGCGCTCCAACAAGCGGCCAAGCTTTCGCATTGACGAACCCCCCCAAGGCTAGCCACTAGGTAGTCTGCCCCTCTTAACTCCGCCCACTTGGGCGGCGCCTCTCGGAGCCAAATATCGAAGGTACAGTACAGGCTATCGCGGGATGGATGGCGCCAGACAGCCAAAGACAGCGAGGCTCGCAACCTGGAGGCTTCGCATTGGGCGAAAACGAGAACTAGGTCGAGATGGCCGAGAGTGGAACTTGACGTGAGTGGTGCGACGCGCGCGTTGCGCGCCAGGCAATGCCGATCCAGTTGTTTGAGGCGACAACAGATTCCATTTGGGCCACTGACGTTCCGACAGGCCTTCTCCGTACCCCCTCGGGATTTGGAGACAGAATACTGCCGAATTTGACATGATGCAAGTTCAAAAGTTCCCAGACACTATCGGTTAGATGAGCAGATGATGTCGGTATTTGTAATTCTCGGGTAGTACGTATAGATGCACATGCGCCCTCAGTTTGCAGCAAGCTTTGCCTGGAACTTGGAGATCTTCTAAGTCGGAATTGGAATTTCGGGTGTGGGTGGAAAGATTACCAGATATACTACTAGTCAGTAAACCACCGCAACCGACACCGCCTTCGACCATGGTCGGATTCATACATCTTTGCCAGGCCTTGGGAACGCCGGGATTTGTCGAATTTTGTCTCAAACACTCCGGACTACGGAAGGGCTTTCTGTACGGTACGGAGTACGGTACGAAGTACTCAGCACCTTCGTGAATCGTACAGGGTTTAGTCAACCGACGGGTTAGGGAACTGAAGACGGAAAATGCGACAGCGACAAGGTCTGGGTTAGGGTTAGCGGCCGTCGCGCGTTTGGGCACCCACTGAACGCGTTAAGCTCTCGGCGAGCTTGGAGCTTGGAGCACCAACCACTGGCAATCATCAGTTTGAGGAATCGTCGAAAGCAGCTTGTTACGCAACCTCTTCCGGCCTCTCCTGCATAGTCAGGAATGCGGTGTCCAAAATGGCGCCGCTGACCCCGTACACATTCTTCCAATGTCCTTGCTCAGAGCCTTCGACGCTGGGCCAGCCCGCAGATAGGAGTTCTGGTGCCGGCGCAGGTGCCGAGCCCGACGCTGACGACGAAGATCGCGCATTCGACCCCCGCGCCCCGCGCTCCAACTATAGCCTGTACCCTCTCGAGTATCTGCTGTACTGCGAGGACTGCCAGCAGATCCGCTGCCCTCGCTGTGTCGCCGAGGAAATCGTGACCTTCTACTGCCCATGCTGCCTGTTTGAGGTGCCCAGCAGCAATCTCAAGAGCGAGGGAAACAGGTCAGTTCCCCATCCCTACGTCAGCCTCAACCTTCTGCACCCCCTAATGGCAAGCCTGCTGACAGGCTCGCCTCTGGCGCATCAGGTGCACGCGCAGTTGCTTTCAGTGCCCTGTGTGCATTGGACCCCTCACGACTACGAGTCTCGAATCCCACCCTGACCCGAGCCTGCTGGCCGCCCCAGACAACTCGGCCGTACCCCATTCGGGTCCCTACATGTTGACCTGCTCCTACTGCAACTGGAGCTCGACCGAGATCGGTATCAAGTTCGACAAGTCCAACGGCATTCACGCGCAGCTGGCAAAGTTGCGCAATGGCGGCACCACGAGACTAACGGCTAAGGAGCATAAGGAGCGGCGGAAAGACTTGTTACAAGGTGGCGGGCCGTCAACAAGGACCGCCGAGGCTGCCGTCGACGGCCGGGACTTGGATGTGGACACGCAGTTTGCAAATCTCAAGGCCTTTTACCAAAACCAGCTGGCCGATTCGAGCTCGGGCGGAAACGGGCTCTCCTCGTTGGGCGACTTGGGATTCGCGTCGCCTAACTCGCTGTCGCGCATCATGAGCATCTACACCGGCGGTAACCTGCACGACAAGAGGTCGAAGTCACGGATTGGCGTGATGAGGGAGGCCCTCGATAGCGACGAGGGCCTCAAGATCGCCAACCTGGACGAGTCCGAGGCCGTCGAGAAGCTGCAGGAGGAAGGCTACGACGCCACCGTCTCGACAGAGCAGATGTCGAACCAGACGCCCAACTTGGGCGAAGCGCCTCTTCACGGCCGCGGCCGCTTCACGTCCGAGCTCCGGCCCGTACCCTACCTGCTGCGGACGAAACGCTCGAAGCGATGTCCAATCTGCCGACACATCATCAGCAAGCCCGAAGCAAAAGTCCAGGCAACACGGTTCCGCATACGGCTGGTGGCCGGCAGCTACATCCCCAGCATCACGATCCGACCTCTAAACACGCCCGAGGCGAACCCAGGAGCACCGTCGGACACGCTGCAGCCGCTCAAGCCGGTGCAATTTCTGCTCACGTTTAAGAACCCCATCTTCGAGGCAGTAAAGGTCACGCTGGCGACTCCGGCAAAGACTCCGGGCAGGTTCGCCAGTAAGGTGACGGTCCTTTGTCCGCAGTTTGAGATTGACGCAAACACGGATGTCTGGGACGAGGCGCTCAAGGACGGCGATAAGGACAAGAGGCGGCGTAGAGGCGAGGATGGCCCCCACCAGGCAGAGGCAGGTAAGATCTGGGAAAGGGGTCGCAACTGGGTCAGTCTCGTCATCGAGGTTGTCCCGGCCTCTCTGCGGTTGGACCTGCTAGCCTTGACGAGCCCCGCCGGAGGGCATGAAGTGGATACGGGGCCCCTCCGCGAAGACGAGGACCTGTTGGAGATACCCATGTTTGTGCGCGTCGAGTGGGAGGCCGACGCGGTCGGCGACGAGATCGGCTCCGCTCCGAATAAGGACAAGGAAGGCAGGGAGAAGCGCGAGCTGGCGTATTGGTGTGTCCTCGGGCTCGGCCGAGTCAGTCAGTCATAGCAGGTATGATCCGTCATGTCTTCTGAGAGCGTGTTGATGAGGAGGCAATGCAGCTTCGTGTCGCATTATGGCAGCTGCAGGCTGTCTATTTCGAGGCGGAAACACCCTACTCGGAAGCGATTGTATAAAGTTATCCTGACGGTTTTATTGTAAATTAGTACAACACTTTTTCGCATCAGCGTCTACGCTTGCTAGTCCAACACACCATTTGCCGCTATTTTGACGCAACGAACCGTGCCAAGAACGGCAATAATCGGCAATATTCCGTCTCTTACGATGGATGAAGGGCGTGCATGTCATTCTCTTCAAACGTCAAAGCTTCATTGTTCGCATGTGCTGTACTATAAAAGCGAGGATGCCCTGCAGGTACTTTTCCACAGGTACTTTCCCACTCGTCGAAGCTTTTTGCAATAATTACCCAAAACCACCAGGTTCCAGAATGGCAGGCCTGGAGAGCATTGCTCTTCGGGAGTCTGTCAGGTCCGGCGTCGGTGCACGAAACCCGCCGCATGACCCCGAGCGAGCCTCGCCCAGTGTCGACGACGCGCAGCCAGCAAGACAGTTGGAAACGGGCCGGAAGAGGGTCTACGTTCTCGTCGGATCTGCAATACTGCAGCTGCCTATTTGGGGTACGGTCAACAACATGTACCATCACCCTGCTCTCTGAGGACAACTCCACTCACGCAAGCGGGACGAGCAGGCTTTGCCATGAGCTATGGCGTCTTCCAGGAGTACTACTCGGGCAACTGGACGCTCGACGGCAGCCAGGACGTCACGGGCATCATCGGCACGACATCCAACGGCGTCATGTACCTGTCCATGCCCTTCCTCTTTGCCCTGTTCACCCGCCGCTGGGCCCGCTGGCGCCAGGCAGCCGCTTTGTTCGGCGTCTTCTTGACGTGCATCAGCTTTCTGGTATCCTCTTTCGGCACCCATGTTTGGTGCGTATCCGGGTCCTGTTCCAGGAGGTTCAGGGGGCCATGGCACCTCTTTCGGCGCCGTTCTGGGGCTGAACAACGGGCCAGGGTGAGGGAGATTTTACTGATTTGAATGCACATGCACGATAGGCATCTTGTGGCAACCCAGGGCGTGCTGGCCGCGCTGGGCTGCGCGCTCATCTACAGCCCGACAACGCTGTCTCTGGGCGAGTGGTTCTACACGGGCAACCGAGCTGTGGCCTACGGCATTGTGCTGTCGTGCAAGAACATCGTGGGCTCGGCCTGCCCATTCCTGCTGCGCGTGCTGCTCGACCGCTTTGGCTTCCGCACCGCGCTGCGGGTCTGGACGGCGCTTGCGGCCGGGACCAGCATCCTCGCCGTCGTCTTCTTGGTGCCCACGCCGCCCACGAGCCTCCTGCCGCCGCCTTCCGCCAGCGAGAGCAGCGCGCGACGTGCGAGGAGGATCCCTTGGCACTTTCTCAAGCACCGCACGTTCTACACCTACAGCGTGGCCATCGTGTTCCAGAGCTCGGGCTACGGCATCCCGCAGACTTACCTCAACACGTACGCGCACGAGGTGGCGCTGCTGTCGCAGACGTCGGCCACGCTGCTGCTCACGCTATTCAACATCCCGGGCATCGTGTCGTCGTCCTTCTTCGGCTACCTGAGCGACAACAAGCGCTTCCCGCTGTCGGCGACCACCGTGACGTCCATCTCAGCCGTCATCTCGGCGCTATCGGCGCTGCTGCTCTGGGGCCTGACGTCGCAGGGCAGCATGGGGCTGCTGGTGCTCTTCTCCGTCACCTTTGGCTTCTTCGCCGGCGGCTACAGCGCCACCTGGGGCGGCGTCATCAACGAGCTTGAGCGGGAGGCCGCCCGCTGCAACGAGGCCATCGACACGGGCATGCTGTACGGCCTGCTCAACGGCGCCAGGGGCATCGGCTACGTCAGCGGCGGGCTCGCCGGCGTCCCGCTGCTCAAGGCCGGCGCCTTGGCCGGCTCCGTGGGCACGCCGTTTGGCTACGGCACGTCGTACGGCCCGCTGATTGTCTTTACGGGTCTTTCGTCCGTTCTGGGCAGCGGGTTGCTGTGGAGATGGGATAGGCTTTTGCACTGGCCGGGACTACCTAGGTCTTTTTTATACTTTGACTAGGCCTGGGTCTTTGCTAGTTGCTTCAAGGCTGCGCTTTCCATCAAGCTGGCCGATGGTCAAGTGGCTTTGATTCGAATCAGGAGGGGTTAGGTACCTAGATTGTTATTTGATGCCGTACCCACTCTGTTCTTTATCAAAGAGTTCAGAGGAATTCGTTGTAAAAGCCGACTTCCCTTGCGCTAATTCCCCGTGGGTGCCTGGTCGGTCACGACTAGTGTGGTTCAGGAATCGTCTTCTCAGCTCATAGCTTTCGTGTCTCAGATCATGCGCCACACAAAGTTCTCGGCCCAGTTCTCGGGATAGCCATTCGCCAGGATGAAGTCTAGATGTGTCATGCTGCGTACCCGGGTCATCAGATACGTATATAGCGGCTCCTTACCGTCCATTTCAATCCCAATCCCGCCTCGGAATAAAGCCACTGGCGCCAGGGGCCCGTAGATGGCTGCCGCCATTGCGAATGTCTCTTGCTCGAGTTCTGTAGACTTGAAGCAGAATTGACGGCATAAACCGTGTAGCTGCAAGCTCCTTGGATGTTGAGAGACACAACATTACCGCCCGCTAGCTCCTTTGCCTAGGCATCGCATTCTGAGCGCTCTACTGAAGTTTTGTCAAAGAAACCCGCTATTTCTTCGTTAATGGAGTATTCCGAATAAGTTGCGGCGATTGTGTACAACCTGACCTCTGAGCGAGTGTGAGTACGAGGCTTGCCAGATTCGAAAGGTCCAACTACCTTACGGCACGCCCCAATTAGAATAATGGTTTTCTCTGAGGGAGGCGGTAGGTAGCGCAACCTGTAGCACAGAATCCACAAGCTCTGTCCCCCCCCACGCAAATGTCTGGGTAAAGGCTTTTGAGGGTCGATTTCACTTGTGCTGGGCAGGTGAACTCAAGCAGTTGAGAGTTGGCCACAGTTACATGACTAGGTAGTAGGTACCCGTGCGGCAAAGGCTCTAAGTACTGACATACATAAACACAAAAAACGCTGCGATTACTGGGAAAGGGATCAAGTATTTATGATCTATCCCCTGCACCAGCTAGACAAAACAGAAACCTGTTGCCTAGAGGTCTAGGCAACAGTACATATATGTGCTGTAGGCTGTAGTGCTGTAGGCCACCTAGCACATGATCAAGCCAGCTCTTACCAGAGGGGTTGGGAAGAGAGGGGGGCAGTTTCACTCGCCGCCATCAGGCTGGTGTCAAATCTTGGCCTGGTTGCCTGTTGCACAGTGCACAAACACATGGATGGCAGTGACACCCCGGTGAAGGGAAGGTAAGCAAGCCCAAAAGGTCTAGACGATGCCAAAAGCAACCTCCGTTAACTTCCATCTGGTAGATTGTCGACCGGTAAATGGGAATTGTAACCTTGAAGTTCATTTGTCGTAAATCACGTCGAAGAAGCCATCAGAGGCGACTCACCGTAGTGTGGCAGGTCGGCACTGGAATAATTGCGTTCGGACCTGTCTGTAGGTGCATGTGGGACTAATTGGCAGCCGCTTCCTCTGATCCCGTGCAAATAGACATCCTGTTCAGGCTCGTTTGCGGAAATGGGAACATTAACTGCCTGTTAGTCTGTTTCGGATTCATCATCGTGAAGTTTTGTCCCGAGATATTCCTGTCGGATCTATGCAAAGGGCACCGCTGGGCCAGTGCCATTGCCACTTGAGCCAGCAAGTCAGTTTCGGTGAGTTCGGCGAAGGCTCGGAGGTGAAGAGACAGCTTCTGATATGGCGATCCAGCGAAGAGAGCCCTGGCAGTGGAAACCTATGAGCGCCGGAACATATATTTAAGATTGCAGATCAAGTTTCCAAGTCGAAGCGAGCATTGTGTTGGGTAACTCCCAATACCGGAATGACGGATATCTTGATGCTTGCAAGAAAGAGGTAAGACGACATGTAACAACAGTGCTCGAAAGCGACCAATGAGCACGCACAATCGCCGTTATGTCCTGCCTTGGTCACGATCATCATTTATCAGCACTGTCTCTCATTGATGCTCCTAGTCAAGTGACAAGATGCTGTGTAAACTTGGGACGACAATACATGGTGAAGAGATCCTGGCAATTTCACCAGAACGGTGGTTTGTCTTCGTTGATGCAGTCGACTTGGCCCTATATCCCATCACGCGCCAAACTCGTCCTCGTAGCCTATCATGCAGAACCGGTAGCGCACGTTATTGTTGTGCAGCTTGGTCAGGGTCTCCGCCAAGTTCTTGTCGCTGATAGCGCACTCCTCAACCCATGGCTTGATGCCTTTATCGGCGGCCAGTTGCAGCATGTCGATTGACTCGCGTCTGCTTCCAATGTGCGAGGTGCCGATGAAGCAGCCGTTGCTGAGAAAAGTCTGGTTGCGTATTTTGATGCCATCGCCCTCGGGCAGCCCGACGCTCACAAATTTGGCATGTATGTCCAGCAGGCTCAAATACGCATCGATGTCGAAGCCTTCAAAGCTGCTCGCCGTGTTAAGGATCAAGTCAAACGTCATGACGTGTGGTTCGTTCCATCCCTTGTCGGCTGTCGCGAGGAAACCATCGGCGCCAAGTTTGAGCGCATCAGCCTCCTTCGCATGTGAGCGGCTTATCACCCAAACCTCGGCCCCCAAGGCTTTAGCAAACAGCAAACCAAAATGACCAATGCCACCTAATCCCACAATTCCAACTTTCTTGCCCGGCCCGCAGCCGTTTCGCACAAGGGGCGAGTACGCAGTCAGCCCAGCGCAAAGCATAGGCGCCGCAGCGGTGCTGGGGAGGGCTTCGGGGATGGGGAAGACCCTGGCGTGGAGATGTTAGTGCAACGGAAAATGATCGACAGACAGGACCGCAGAACACCGGATGCCATACCAGTGTTCGTGAGTTCGCACGTGCGAAGAGTAGCCGCCTTGCGATACAATTCCGGTGTCGGGCCAGACGGCGCCATATGTATCCAGCTGCTGCCTGCAGTAGGCTTCGTTGTTGTTCTTGCACTGGCGGCAGTCGAGGCACGAGTAGCTCTGCGCGCCGACGCCCACACGCTCGCCTTTCTTGATCAGCGTCACCTTGGGCCCCACGCGAATGGCCTTCCCAACGATCTCTGTCGAGCTTCCGTTAGTCCGTCTCGCCGAGACCCAAGCGTTCACTGCTTGTGTTGCGCAACAGGTCGCTTACCATGGCCGACGGCTAGAGGGAATTGCTGCTCGCCCCAGCCGCCGCTGATGGTATGGACGTCGCTGCCGCACACGCCACAGCATTCGACCTTGATATCGACATCGTAGTCGCCGAAGGGCTTGGGTTGGAACTCGTTCTTGTGGAATTCTAGCCACGTCTCGGGTCCATTGACCTGAAAGCCCGTGAACTTGTCGGGATACGGCATTGTTAAGGCGCGATAGGATCGAATTGGGGAGTGAACAAAGGCTCGAGAAATCCCGAGCTATCGGGACAAAGATCACAAGGCAGAGCAGACCTTAGGACAGAATTGTGGTCTGGAGACACAGGAATTGTGGTCTGGAGACACAGGAACTAGAGAGCGTAGAAGATTGGATTTTATTATCGCCTGACGACGCACCTACCCACGGCGAGTTGTGAGGGGAAATCTAGAATGCAGCCCGAGTCAACATCATGGCGCGCTTCTCCCAATATGGAGGCGGTTGAGGTAGCCTATCGTGACTGCGGGTGGGATGGAATGGAGCTTGTGAGCATCGGGCCCCACCATGCCCGCCTTGCCCCGCTACAAGCTGCCATGGTCCATCTGGGGGAAGTGACGGAAAATCCGACTACATGCCGAATTTCCCACAAATCAAAACGCTCACCCACATGGAACGAAGACCGTCGAATTGTTCCGCAATGTGGATTGAGCCGAGATCGGGGGGCAGCCATGAAAGGCTCCGCAGCAAAAATTGTTGGACGGACGCCAAATATGAGCACAACGAAGTCTCATCTTGCAGCTGTGTTTTGGCCAAAGAAATCGCCTCAATGGGGGGGGTTCTGATGGCTCTCCGCGATACAGCCAGGCCTCATGGTTTATGCGGCCGGCCATCACAAACGCCAAGAGTGTTCAAAGCCTCCCTAGGCACCCAACGTACAGTATCCAGAGTACCCGCAGCTCTGACACGTTGACTGCATCCCGTTCGTTCAAGAGTTGCCGACAACATTCCGATTCCATGATTTGGACAGTCGGTCGAGTTGCTGAGCCTAGGAAGGCAATAGCACTGGGAACCAGACCTGCTGCGAGAGGTGGCCCAAATGTACCTATTGCAAAAGAAGCCCTCGAGCTGCAAGTCGCTAGCAGTCCAACAACACATGTCTATAGAGGGAAGATAGCTCGCAATCGCACTGGTGGCAGGGCGGTCAAGCAGTTCTCCTCTTCATTTTCCTCCTTTTAACCCCAAGACCAACATCAGCTATGAAGGCAATGCGCATTGCCGCGCCAAGGTAGACAAAGGGAATATTGCCCCAGTCAATAGCATTCCACTTAGACACGCTCCAGTAAATTGGTAGTCCTAGCTCCCGAACCGTATACAGATGGCCGAGGTCTCCGATGAGCAGGCAGAAGAGTACCGTCTTCCAGACGCGAAGATCCGAGGTGGATCGCAGCACGAGTGCTTCGTTGATCGCAAAGAAAAGGTACAAATTAGCGAGCTGTGACATGGCGATAGTGGTCCCTAGAGGAATGGGCGAAGGCGTAGATTCGGCATGCGTAAGGTTTAAGTACGTGGATTGGCGGAAATGCGCGAAGTAGGCTCCGACAAGGGCCGAGATGGGCTCGATCAGGAAGAAAAAGATTCGGTACACAAAAGGGAGCGAGTCGCCGGCCGCTGCGGATGACGGCGCTGGCATTTTCGCGGGTGTAGAGTCTGCTACAGCAGCCGCTTGTTTCTGGCTAGCCATCTCGACAAACTGATGATTAGTTCACGGATTGACGTTCTGCTCGCTGGGGATGGAAATACGGAAATAGTTGCCCCCTCTGACAAGTGCGGCAAAACATTTGGCTGCAGCCACCTTGCTTGGAGCTTGGGCCACTTGTCAACAATTCAACCGCCCGACACCGCCTGCCGACTGTCCACGCTAGCGTCCCCACACCATGTCTTGGCGCTGAAGAAAACTCAAGGGCTAGCAAGCCCTAGCCCCCAACCCCGATTTTCAACAATTCCTACGGGTAACTTCCAAGCCGGTCCCGCGATCTCGAGCCTTCCTTCAACCGACGATCGACGACCTGACATCGACAAACGCCATAATGAGTGCCCCTCAGCTCAATAAGCTCGCGGCGAACAGCCCGTCCCGCCAGAAACCCTCGGAGCTGGAGACCGCCATTGCTGGCGCTCTTTACGACCTCGAGACGAACACTGCCGACCTCAAGGTCGCCCTCCGGCCTCTGCAGTTCGTGTCTGCCCGCGAGGTGAGAAACCGCTGAAGAAGCAATAGCCCACTCCTGCGACAATCTACAACCACATCCGAGATCCTGTTCCACCGGCAGCACGGGCGCGCAATCGTGCTCTCACCGTGTGCCGAGCGTCGCATCTGGGGAATTGATCGCACTTTGGAGGCGGGCGAGGCGGCGCCTGCTTGCTTCGCCCAGCGGCCATAACAACATCAAATATCCATGTAGCGCGCGGAATAGGACGGGAAGCGGTCCATGGATTGCATCGTCATCCTGGAGCTCGCATGCTGACTTGGGTCTTGAAATAGATCGAAGTTGGCCACGGCAAGAAGGCGATTGTCATCTTTGTCCCCGTCCCTTCCCTGCAGGGCTTCCACAGAGTCCAGCAGCGGTAAGTTTCTGCTCCATGCCTCGTTTTGTGCGTCGACGTTGTGCTGATGGCGGTTTTCCAGCCTGACTCGCGAGCTCGAGAAGAAGTTCTCTGACCGCCACGTCCTGATCCTCGCTTCGCGCCGCATTCTCCCCCGCCCCAAGCGGTCCACCCGCTCGCGCAACACTGCCACGCAGAAGCGCCCCCGCTCGCGCACCCTCACTGCTGTGCACGATGCCATCCTGACCGACCTCGTCTACCCCGTCGAGATTGTCGGCAAGCGTCTCCGCACCAAGGAGGACGGCTCCAAGACCCTCAAGGTCATCCTTGACGAGAAGGAGCGTGGCGGTGTGGACTACAGACTCGACACCTACTCCGAGGTCTACAAGCGCCTCACTGGCCGTGGCGTCATTTTCGAGTTCCCCCAGACCGGTGCCACTGACTATTAGAGAAGTATTGGTGGCTGAGCTGGTTTGTCATCTGGAGCACTGAGGGTCCGGTTGGGTTTGATATTCGGGATTGGGTCAATTGCAATGCATGCATGGCAACCAAAACGGGGCGGCGTCTAGCTAGCTTGTTACCAATACAAGCTTGATTGTGTTATCATCTCCTGGTGCCTGAATACAAGCTCGGCTCTCTTACTATTCGTTGTGACATGCGTTGCCTCTGCTTCCTCGCCTGCCTGTCTGGTGCCTCTCATTCTATTCCAGCTGTGGTGGGTCACGTCGCCTGTGCAAGACTTTGTCTCTCATGGTCCAAGTACTTTTGTCCTGACCTTGTACTATACCTTTTTTTAACACCGCTCGCCTCGCTACATGAGATTGGCCTCCAATTTTTACCCCTGGATATGCACAGTTCCACACATATGTCTCGCGACCTAATGATGCCACTCATCTCAAGTCAATCTCACGGATTATGTAATGTCCTTAGCTACCTGCTCTTGTTGTCTGTTTTAACATAAATGACCCAGGTGCGTTCTTTGTGTTGGTGTCCTCCGCACTTTTTACCCAGTCTTCTCAATTTCTGAAGTTATAGGCTCTTTTTGGTTCAGGAGAGTTGCAATCTCCGTTGCCTACAGCAAACTGTCACATTTCCATCACTGAGGTCGGGTGCATCTATTTGAAGTTTTCCCGAAGAGGATCTCTACCGCATGCTCGGATATTCCCTCGGAAGATTCATTTGCTGGTTGGCTTGAGATAGCAAGACGATACGCTTAACTAGCTACGCGCAACGGCGAACTTATCCAAGACTCATGATTGTGATAGTGACTGAACTAATAATTCGGGGCTTTAGGTGCAAGAGGCAGGCTGAGTAGGTGGGTGCATATCCTGTTGCCTGATTATCACATAGCCACTTGACTCCTGACTTGCATAACAGCTCCTCTGTAGGAGCATTTTTGTGGCGCTTGTGTGCGTTGGCTGTTGAATAATCAAGCTGAACCGGTAATTCGATGGACAGTAAAACCCTGACGGCAAATTGATTCTCCTGCGCCTCTGTTTATTATACGAATATCATGGTGCATCATGCGTTTTCAACATTTCAAACCCCTAACGCTAGCGTAAAGCACCTTGACAGAAGATGAATCTGCAGGTCTGTCGACTAATACTAGATACATCATCGATATGCGGCATGAAACCAGCTGGTCTCTAAATGGATGGCCTCAAAACAGCATCATCCGGCACATTTGAATGGCTCGTACAAATCAAGGTTCCCGCGTCCACTGCAACACGCGCTCCCAGATCTCTAGCCCGTCGTGCTGCAGTTCCATGCGCCACACAAGGTCCTCTACGGCCTGCTTGTCGGCCAGGTCGGTGCCGAACCAGCGCACGGCGTCCTTGACGCGCAGCTTGGCCGTCTCGGCGTCCTTTTCAGGGTGGCCCTGGAAGGTGAGAATGGCGTTGTTGTAGCTCAGGAACGCCTGGTGCCCGGCCAGCAGCTCGTGGAAGCCCTCGGGCCGGGCGCCCACCGCCCGCCGGTGGTGCTGCTGCAGCCGCACCACTCCGTCGCCATCCTGCCCGCCGCCGCGCACAAAGAAGCGCCGCCCGGCCGGGGTCATCTTTGACTCCGTCACCCCCAGCTGATAAAACGAGTCAATCTCGACGGCGGCAAGAGATGGAAGAGTGTCATAATTGGTGCAGTTGCTTACCTCTGGCGTCTCCATGTCCACGATCTGGCCGCCAAAGACCAGGGATATGGTCTGGTGGCCCCAGCAGATGCCGCACAGCTTCTTGCTGGGGTAGTCGGCGACGATGCTGACGATGAAGTGATGGACGCGCTGGATCCAGGCGTGCTGCTGGCGGGGGTCGGTGTTGCTGCCGCCGACGACGATCAAGTCGAAGGCATCCGGGTCTGGGAAGTCGCCGGGGCAGTCGGCCGGGTAGAAGAAGGAGAGCCGGCACTCGGGGGCGACGGCGCCGATGGAGCGCACGTACGACTCGCGGATCTCGGCAATGAAGGGCGAGCGGAACGAGTTGAGCAGGATGGCGATGTTGAGTGGCCGCTCCTGCTCGCACTGCTGCTCGCACTGCTGCTCCACGGTGGCCGTCATGTTGAATGAAGGCGCGCGTGGGGCTTGGTTGGTTGGGAAGGTGTGGATTGGGTGTATTTCGCCTGTGGTGGAATTGAAGGCAGTTCTTTGTTTCTGGATTTGGTGTTTTCTCCCCTCCCCTCAGCTCTCAATAAATTAGACTACCAGCAAGCATCAGGGGTTTGTTGATTATTGTATTCCGTAATTATCAATTGAGTCAGCTGGTCACTCTTCTTTGCCCGGGGGACTGACTGCCTGTGGCTGGCTGAGAGTTTGTGCAAACCCACACTAAACTGACATCACATGGGTTGAGGAAAGGGTTAATCCGTGCCCCTAGTGCAGAACGCAGAGGTGAGCGCGAGGCGGGGACAAATGGGGGATGGTCCAGGGGAAGAACGAAAAGACCGAGCCCGCCAAAAACGGCCCGCGAGACATTGACACCTGGAAAATGTGTCGATGACACAAAGAATGGAGGAATGGCACAAGCCGGGCCCGAAGTGATGGGGGCCTTTAAACTCCAGATCTGCACTGGCCAGGTCGAGCGGGTTGGACCACGTCAGACCCTCATAACGCCCCACCCGGTTCACCTACGTGTTTGCACCGGGTTTCATCTCACCCATTGGCCGCCCGTCCAGCCGGGTTGGCTCCGGCCCCAATTGTGGGGACCGCTAGGGCCGTGCGAGCCGGTCGCTGGCCGCCGTCTCGTTTTTGATCACGGGGATCAAAACAGGTGGAGGGCCGCTTGTGTCTACACAGCTGAACACAAGCTGTCATTGGAAATAATTAAAAGCCGAAAACGCCAAAACCACCCATGCAAATACAAAAGCAATGGTTTCCTCAATTGGGCCGGGGTGTCAGCTTATTTCTGCAAGCACAGCCTCCATTTTTCCCATGTGTGGCGCCACGCGCCACGCGCCACTCGACCGAAGGCCTACGGCCTTCAATTGGCTGCACCCAACACCGAAGCACGTCCATCTAGGAAGTGGCCGTTCTTATGAAAGCCAAACTATATTACTATATTACAAACCACTCGACTGTTAGGGTCGTCTGTCTGTAAGGGAGCACGGGCTCCACAGAATGCTGGGGTTGGTAATTATGAAGATAGAACAAAGGGCAAGCTCCTATCGCACGGGTAATACAGTCAAATCGGAATGCCACTCAAAGTGTATGAGTGCAGCGAATGTGTATTGCTTGCTTGAAGAACCAAACAAGAACTATCTAAGACCGTGGATACGGTCATCGTATTTATTTAATTATGGCGGGCCAGTAAGAGCGCAGCTCTTACTTGCCCGACAGGAAGGAGCTGCCTGGCGCCGGGCACTGCTAGCGTGCCGGGCCATTTGCCTGGTGCCAAGACCCTTCTTGGCACCGGGCCACCCCTGATTGGCCGTCCTTCCGTTTGCCTGGTGCCAAGAGCCCTCTTGGCACCGGGCACCGTCTGATTGGCTCTCGACAAGCGGGGCCCCCACAGTCCTGCCTGAGGTGCCCGCCTTCTGCAGCTGGTCCAGTACGAACCAGGTTCGTCACATACTAGTAGGAGCCGTGAAAAGGAACAATAATAAATTTTTGTGAAAAATTCTGACTGCCTGTTTTGAACCTAATCAGGGACATATATCGTCACACCTTAACAACACTTACTACCCCCTAGTGCACCACCTTGCTGCCCGAGCCCTACCACTTTCCCTTACAGCAAGCCAGAGACGCAGAAGCCTGTGACCGAGGCAGGTGTCAAGGAAGAAAAGAAATAAAAGGGGTGTTACTTCCAAAATTTGTAGCAGCCTTCATCGCTAGACGTTTTAGGCGGCTGAATTGTCCTGGTTTTTGTCACGAGCGAGTCTCCTGCAACTGTTAAAACGTCCCCAGTCACTGTGTGTACATAGGCCGCCAAGCGTTACAGCTCACCGCCCATGAAAATACCACATTTTACAGCTAAAATTACCACATTCGCTGGCAACCCCGCTCCAAACGCTAGCAACGCAGTTGCACCGCAATTGCACCTCGCCGCCGTCGCCAACGTCAACACACTTCCAAATACGGTAATTCTAGCTCAGGACCGTAGATTCGCTCAAATCGCTCAAATCTACAGTAAAATGCGAAGCTGACTTCGTTAAATTCGCTTACATAACAGGGCCAAAAATAGATGATTTATATACTCTATATAATCAAGAAGAAGCTCGAAGATCCATTTTCTATCGTTATAAATGAGGGCTTTGGCTACGGCCTGCCAACTACAGCCTCTGTATTCGGTGGTGGTGTTGTCCACTGTTGCCCTGGACTTCACGACTCTTCCACGTTGGCAGCCAAAATCAACCCTCGTTGCGCCGAAGTCCTTGACATAGTTAGAGCTTCGTAATTTAGCGATATTGAAGAGCGCAGAAGCGGCGAATTCGCTCAAATTATCCATAAGATCATCGAGGGAGTCATATTTCGTACTAAAAAAATCGATGCCCGGGGGGGGGCGGATTCGTAAGTGGTGGTGGCGGGGGCGCATTTTCATCGGGCGGCGCATCGCTGAGATCGCCAAAGTCGCTAAGATCGCTTAGATCTTCAAGGGCGGCCATTTCTATCGCTAGTTAGTACTGCGAGACGAAGTAAATAAGGAAGAAATGAAGCCATACCGATGCATCGATTGAATGCGGCGATGACGATGTCTTGGTGTTGTTGAAGGTGGGTTGCAGTGGAAGGTGTAAGGTTCGGGTGCGTTGTGGTAAAAAGAGTTAAATTACTGCGCGGCAGAATCTTGGATGTACTGGTGGGGAGGGGGGATGCCGGCAGGGTTAGGGTTATGTGTGGTGGAATACAGTGACTGGGGACGTTTTAACAGTTGAGGAGACTCGCTCTTTGTCACGCCCAGCTGCTACCCAGTTACATTCACTCGGTCCGGTCCAGGGGCTTCAGTTCTTGAACACAGCCGTACAACCCCCTACCGTTATTTTTCTCAGGCAACTCCCCTCCCTGTGCATTGTGACCACGGGATCAGGCTGCAGGCTAATCATGGCGGCTTTGAGGTTGGGGAGAGGGGGGTCTCCAACGCCCATGGCGATGTCGCGATATTCACCGCCGTCAGCAGCGTAGTCTTGGCGGCGTCTTGAAAAGGGACTGTGTCTCGGTCTTGCCGTCGGCGATAAAATCAAGCGGACCAGCTAGACGAGGATCAACCCGACTGCGTGAGAGTCTTCGTAGTGATTGAACTCGTCCAGGACCGCAACCACGCTCCAGGGTTACATCAACGCCCACTTAGTCAGGCCCCAGGGACCCAGGGGCCCAGTGTAATTGTTCGGAACCGCGACTGCAGGACGCGACCCTCGTGACCTGGAACAAAGCCTTGGTGCAGGCTCGGCTCGGCTCCATAAATATCTGTCCGTGCGATCTCAAAGCCCGGCCGGAGATTGCCCCTGCGGTATACAAGGATGCCAAGACGGCCGTCAACCCCATTTCCCTGCCGAATTCTGCGGCACGGGTGTTTCGAACAATGCCAGCTCCAACGAGATAGTCTGGGGGCCAGAATTGTTTCATGGAGTAGTGCACAGTCTGTTGGCCTAACCGGGCCTTCTCCCTTGGGGGGACTGGGGGAGATGGATTGGACAGATCTCTGCTCCCACCGCCCAATAAGTGCAGTTGGTCCCTGGTGGGAGTCAAAATCCACATCCTCAAGACCTCAACCTGATATAAAGTCCCGGCCACATCCCAGAACAATTATCTACAATCTTCTATCCAACCAGCACAAATCAGACTTTTCACACTACAAATCCCTAGATTCTCTACCCAATCGCCTTGGGCACGTCCTCATTTTTAGAATTCTTTTGAACTAGATCTTCGTCGCACTCTCTTTTACACTCTAGATATATCTTCCCTTCGCTATTCTCGTGATCTGCAACAGGGACGAACAGGCTTGCGCAGGAACCTGACTTTTCGATAAGACCTGCACTTGCGCTTCCCAACTCCCTTGTCAAAGATTGTTCATTTCTCGTGATGGCTCAACAACCCGATTACACATTTGATAATGACACGCTGCTCAGGAGCAAAGGCACCGCCACGCATAAAAGCGGGCTGAAGTGTGCAGCACAACGTATGCCCGCAGAAACGGTCACTAAACCCTTCAAATGGCCAGCAGAGTTCCCTTTTGGAGTCAAAGTCCAGGACGACGATCATATCCAGTATATGGAGGTGGTAAACCATCGTAACCCGATTCGCAGCACGAATGAGCAGTGGTGTATTAATCTAAGTGCCGGCCTTGATACACTCGAGGAGTGGGTGAAAAAGAACCCTGTGACCGTGAAGGAAATTTTTCTCATTATCCGTCAGGTTTCCATTGCACGCCGAAAGATGGTTGAGCATAAGATGGATTCACTCATCATATTGAGAATGCGATCGATTACGATCTTGGCATGGGATACTGATGCGAACGGACGAAAGACGATAACAAATGTACAGCTCTCGCCCATAGTCGACAGGCCATTACTTCAGTGGACCAAAGTGTTTCACGGCATCAAGGGACTCGGCGAAAACCCGGCTTACGCGGCTCCCGAGCAACTCGAACACGCTCTGAACCAGAGCCACATGCTTATCCCCGACGCATCTGAGAAAGGGTGTGTTTGGTCGCTCGGCCTGATGGCTTTGGCCCTCTATAGCTCTGGCCAGGGGATCCAGAAGCCTAGCACACCTGTGAACCGCCAAATGGTCATCAGATTTATGGACAACATAAAAACGCGCTTTATTGCCTGCTACCAACTCGCAGCGGAACCCCAACCAGACGCGAAGCGCCTGTTAGACCTCATTGGGAAGATGATACAGGCTAATCACACGGATCAATCCGGCAACATTACCGGCAACGACCGAATCTCGCTCGAACAGTGCGCAGAGGAGGCTCGGGCCGGCCTTCACTGTGTTGAAGAGACGGAAAAGATCATCCAAAGACAGAAGGAGGATTTAATCAAGCACAAGGATGATAAAGTAGCTCACGAAAAAGCGCAGACTGCACTCAACGGGATGACTGCCTGGCTGTCAGCGCCGGTGCTAAAGGGCGATCAGTGGAAAGGTATCACCACAACTTGGTTCGATTGATGATGGTTGAGCCACGGTCTATGGGTCTGCCGGCCTGACCTGTAATCCGACAACGTCAAGTCTGGATGGCGAAACATGGGCAGCTGTGCGCAGATGTTTCTCGAGTCTCATAGCATTAAGTCTAGTGCACTGATTTATTTTTTTGCTGGTCGATTTACGTGACTGCTACATGGGGAATAGTGCTATTATCCCGCTGGGAACATCGAGTAATCAGAATTCGGCGGTCCCGACCAATGCACATGTATTCCAGGCGTTTAAACGCAGCATGCGGCGATACTAGGACAATCAATTATTAGCTAAAGTTTAGGGTTCGTCCATGTCGCAAAATATGCAACTAGGTAATTATGAGTCTTAATTATGTCTTGCTCTTCCATCAGTCATGGAGCCGAAGTTCTTAAAGATAATGCCCTCGTTCAGCTGCATGTCGTCGAGGAAGTACTATCGCTGCTTGGGATTGTGCTTGAACTGGAAGTTTTCGCCAACGAAGTGAGAATAGATCAAGTCATGGGTCACGAGGTCTGCGTGTTCGACAGAACGGGCGTCGCAGACAGCGAGCAGCATGTCTTTCAATGGCCCAACAATCGGGCGCCAAACGCTGTCTCCTTGCTTAGCTGTCATCTTCTCTGCCGAAAAAATGGTAGAGGTGAGGCCAAGTAGAGCTCGACTTTAGAAACCTACTTGACCAACTGGACCCGTCGATCCCGAAGGGTGTCCATGGCGCCCTTGAGGTGGAGTTTGAGCCTTGTAAAAGCGGATGAGAGCTTTGGTCTATAGTTATGGACCGATTAGCTGGCAGGTGATCCGGTCAGATGTGCGTCAATTGACAAATACCTGTAGGTATGGGCTGCTCTGCCTGGAGGTCGAGCTTCATTCCACTCGTATGGCACCCCCGACGCTTTGACACGCCGCAGCTTTCACGGCCAGATTAGCAGCAAGCCTTGAACATAACATGGGGCAGGTATCTTTCGCATCGTTGCCAGTCGTTCCACATTGGTCTTCCTCCCGTCTCCCGGGGATAACCGTCGAGAAGAAGTTGGAGAACTGCGCCGAAGGCCGTCTCACAGCTGCTGGGGCTCATTTCTAGGTATTCTACCTGCTGAACCAGTCGGTGAATGGTTGTCGTCGAGCTTTTCAAGCAGAGACCTCTTTATGAGACTTTCAAGGCCGTTAAAATAGCTGGTTCTGGGTTAAATTCGGAACAATGATAGGATATAACCGATGAAATCGGCAATTATGGAGAAGGATGTTTTCTTACTCCATCTCAGACGAAATCTCGTGGAACTCTAAGCCTCTGTTGAGTACCGACTCCACCAGCTCGTTGGGTTGTTCACTGGGTCAAAAAAAACACATGGCCTGGAGAATCGCTTTGGCGGTACTATCCAGATACTGGGTCGCAAATGCTGTCGCCACACTATGTGGGTACTTCTCGAAGACTTTCTCCTTGCGGAGGAGTCTGGCAGTGTTTTGGTTTACAGTTTGGCAAATACGTCAAGGCTCAGTCCCAACTGTCGAATGAAACTGGCCATTTGATTGGTGGCCCTAGGCACGCCCCTCTAGTGTTCGAGGAGGCATCGAATTTAAGTGTTATCCGACAAGACCTTCCAGGGCCTTCCACAACCTTCCATAATAGCCAGGGCACTCGTAGAGTACCTAGAGTCTTATAAGGTAGTTGGAGAGGGACCCGTAGAGTATTGTGGTTGCTCATAGTAATCGTGCCTTTAGGGGTTCAGGGGCGAGCCCCTGAACGCTTCATCAAGCACTATGAGCATGGGTACGCCGACGAGACCATCGCGGACATCATCCAGAAGATGTGTCCCTATGTAGACGGATTTAACACCAGCCTGAAGAACGACGGGCTTGCCAACAGGGCGGAGTCTTGTGCTTTCGCAACCAGGGGGTGTTCAGCAAGAGATACGAAGGCATAGGCATGGGCTTGAAAGAGAGGCAGATGCTCGGTTACCGGAACGACTCGTATGACGGCAGTAAGTAAAAGCACAACATCACAGGGCGTACAGGCTCTCATGTTGTCCCTGCTTACCTTATGCTCGCTGACATGACCTCGTTCTTTCTTTCCCTTTAGTGGGCGGACGAGACTTGATGGCGGCTGCAGCGAGTCTGTATCAAGTGACTGACCGGGCATACATCGCCAGTCGCATTAGGCAAGTCCAGACATATGCACAGAAGCTTCTTGCCGACGACACACTTCCCAATGTCGTCATCACCCGCGGCAAGACCATGAGACTCCGCTACTTTTCCGCCGGCCTGAGGCCCGTCCTGGTGTTCCTTGACAACCCGGTGGCAACTTGAACAATTCCATGAAGATGAAGGGCGCCACCTACTTCTCCGCGGCTAACGGCCAGCTCGGCCTCTTGTCCGCGGCACTAGGCTAGGACGCAACTGCTAGGGATGAGCTGATGTGCGCCCTCGCGCTGGCAACGGGCGGCTGGGGCCAGACCCGCACCCGAGCTCCGTCGCCCTCATCATCATGGACCTCGGGCGTCGGGAACGACCGCTCCCTTATCGAGTTCTCCGTGTCCATCCCCCAAACGCCCGCGGCAGCAGCCGAGCTGCGCTTCCTGACCGAGGCCCAGCCCCCCAAAACTCGTAGCGCCACGCCGTCGACGCCGCGCTGCGTCTCAACGCCGACCTCGTCGCCGCCCATTCCTCTTGCTCTTCTTCTTCCTCTTCTTCTTCTTCTTTTTCTTCTTCTTCCCTCCTTGTCTATCTGGCATCTCGCCGCCGTTACTACGCCTCTTAGACCTCACCCGCCACTTGTTCCTCAACCCGGACAGTCCACCCGAGACTATTCAACTCACCACCTGGCACAGTTGCGCTTGGTCCACCAAAAAGAGCCGGCTCCAATGGAAGATCTACCTCGACCCCCGCGCCGCTGGTGAAGCCGTGGCGACCACACGCGAAGCGTTCCGGTTGCTGGGGCTCGAGGCCGGTTGGCGGCTGATGGAGAGTATCCTGATGCCTCCTCCTCCTGCTACAGGGACTAAGCCTAGTAGTGGTGGTGGTATTGGTAACTCCATCATTTACTTTTCTTTGGATCTCCCGGATGACGACAAAGACGACGAAGCACGACGAGGACGACGAAGCACGACAAGGATGACGAAGCACGACAAGGATGACGAAGCACGTGTCAAGGTGTAAGTCGCGCATGGCAGCGGCAGCGGCGACGAAGAAGAAGAAAAAAGGAGATGCTACGTCGCGCACGACGGCGGCGAGGGTCGCGCAGAAGCACGCGCGTTTCTGTCCCGACGCAGACGCCTACGAGGTTCAGCGGTTCTTGATGGCCATGGCGGCCGCGGCCGCAGCGGTAGTGGTGTAATAAGTGGCGTCAACGGTTTGAATGGCTCGAACGGGCTGAATGGTTTGAGCAATCATGTGAACGGTGCGAATGGAACTAACGACATCGGCGGCATTAAGGGGACTAGCGGAATTAAGGGGACTAGCGGAATTAAGGGGACCAGCGGAATTAAGGGGACCAGCGGAATTAAGGGGACCAGCGGAATCAATCAATAGAACCAACGGCCACTATCACCACAGCAACGGCAACTCGGAAAAGAAGGACAAGGGACAGGAGGAAGATCACCAGCGAACCGGAAAATTACTCCTCTCCTACCTCGCCTTCCCCAGCAAGACAGGCGACCGCCCCGTCGGCGCGGTGCCACTTCCACGTGGACGCCTACGTATCCGACGACGCTAATGGCAAGCGCCGCGTCGGCGCGTACCTCGTGGCCATCCTCGGCGCCGGCGGCCCAGCGGCGACCCCTCGGCCGCGACATCCATGCTTGGGTGAGCCTCAAGCAGCGCCCCGGGGGCAGGCAGGAGAATACCTTTTTTTACTTTGGGCGTGAGGTGTCCTCGAGCTAAGTTATGTGATGGGTGGGTGGGACGCGCCGCGCGTCTTGGTTTGCCGGTTGCAAGTGATGAGATGGGAGAAAGGGGCCGGGTTGCTTTGCCATGGGCAGATTGGAATGCCGAGGTACCTTAACTTGGTGGCCTACCTACCTATCTACTTGAGGTATATGGGAACACGATGAGTGGCGGCAAGAGGTTTGAGGTGCCCGTTAAATATAGATTCCAAAAAAATACGTTCAGTGCTTACCAGCCCTAGTCGTATCTCAAATGTGTGTTCTAATCCTTCAACGACATCAATATACCAAATGTCGCAAGACACGCAGAGTACCCAACTACAGAAGTTAATCGGCCACAGGATTAAAGCGGTTCACCACTCGAGAAAAGCTCATCGAAACACTCTAGCCATCCCAAACATTTTGGCCATCCCAAACACTTTCGGCCTTCCCAAGAGCGGCAAGCCCCGGTTAACGTGCAGCTTCAACAGCTGCACTGCAAGCACAACGTCACCGCTTAACCCGACATCCCCGGTCGACTCTCCCACGATGTTCATCTCGTTGTCAACTTTTCCTGTCACGGTGTTGCTGGTGGTGGTGTTGGCGGCGGTGGCAGCACTTTTATTGTTGTCGTTGTTGCTGCTGGTAGTGTTGGCGGTGGTGGCAGCACTTTTATTGTTGTTGTCGTTGTTGCTGGTGGTGGTGTTGGCGGCGGTGGCAGCACTGTTGTTGTTGTTGTTGTTGTTGTTGCTGGTGGTGGTGTTGGCGGCGGTGTTGGCGGCGGTGGCAGCACTGTTGTTGTTGTTGTTGTTGTTGCTGGTGGTGGCGTTGGCGGCAGTGTTGGCGGCGGTGGCAGCACTGCTGTTGTTGTTGTTGTTGTTGTTGTTGTTGCTGGTGGTGGTGTTGGCGGCGGCGTTGGCGGCGGTGTTGGCGGCGGTGACAGCACTGTTGTTGTTGTTGTCGCCGCTGCTGCTGCTGTTGTTGCTGCTGCGGCTCGACGAGGCACCCCGCATAATCTTCATCCCGATGACCATATAGAGCGACCTTCCCCGCAGATCCATGAGCTTCTTCTTGGCGTCGGATGGCAACGACGGCAACGACTCGAGCCACGCCTGGGCGAGCTCGACGGGCCGGTCCAGGGTCTTCGTCTCGAGGCCATCCACCTCGACGACGAAGTCCTCCTCGTCCTTGATGGGCGCCTTAGCCTTGTACAGGGGCTGCGCGTACTGGCCTTTCTTGAGCTGCGACAGCGTCGTCTTGAAGCCAGACGCGCACTGTCGCATGGTCTCGTAGGAACCGGGGGCGAGCACGCTCTTGCCGCCTTGGAAGGCCGCCATGGTTTGGCGGTCCAGGATGATGGCGCCGAGGTCGAGAGTTTTCTTGTCACTACCGCCATCATTACCTGGAACTGGGCCTGGAAGGGGAGTGACGGTGTTTGCGACAAGTGGTGACGAAGATGAAGCGTTACTGGCGTCTGTAGCGCGGGGAGGAGCATGAGGAGGAGAGACCGTCTTAAAGTTTGGCATGAGGATGTAGCTCTTGTCAGGTAAGTTGGACTTGGACTCGGGTGGCAGAACGCGCATGACGCTCTTCCGGCCCGCGATGGCCGCCCAATCAAACGGTGTTTTCCCCCACGTGTCGGGAAGATTGAAGTCGGCCTCGTGGCCGAGCAGCAGCCGCACGGCGTCGGCATGGCCGCTCTTGGCTGCTAGGTGCAGTCCGCTCCGCAGTTCCATGTCGAGCAAGTCGACATACATGTAGCCACGCGACTTTTGTCTTTGTATTTCCAAATCTTTGCCCTTCCCTTTGTTGTCCGCGGTGATATCCGAGCCGATACCGGCGCTCGACTGACCAGGAGGACCGATTCCCGCTCGGCTGGCGTCGTCTTTGTTTGTCTGATCAGCCACGCCGCCGCGTCCCTCGCCTAGCAAAAGCTCAATGATAGCCAAGTCGCCGTTCACGGACGCCCAGTGGAGCGCCGTCCAGCCCTTTTCGTCGGCAAGATCGACCTTGGGCCCATGTTCCAGCAGTCGCTCGACAAAGTCGCGGTGCTTGTTCTTGGCTGCGATGACCAGCGCCGTCATGCCTTGTTCGTTTGTCTTGTCGATGTCTTCGGGGTGCTTGACGAGATAACCCCCTATCATGTCCACGTCCCCTTGCTCGGCCGCGAGGTGTAGAGGGGTAAGGTTCAAGCCTCCCAGCAGCGAGTCGTCCTCGGCAACCTCTCTCGCGGCGTCCCTCCCCTTGCTTAGCAGTCCGATTGGTGGGGCCGACTTCTCCAGCGACTCTGACTCTGGAGACGGATCTTTTGTTGCGATCGGGTCATGAGACATGATGCAAAGTCTGTTGAGTTTTTCGAATACAGGGTAAAATATCGAGTCGGGGGCCGACTGTTTTTGCTGAAACGACGTGTTCTCGATTGTGGTTTCGACGGGGATTCTTGGTAAATGGGCGACCGGCCGCCCTGCCGACTGGGATTGTGTCATGGGGAAGTCGGGAGGGGAGGCATTCATCTGGGCTGGGAGGGTGCTGACGAAATCTTCTCAAATGCCCGGGCGTGGCGCCCAATATTGGTACCCTACCATGTCCAGATTTATCAGGTCCCTCAGCTGGCTTCCTGGTGCGGCGAGGTGCGCTGACCCATCCCACCAATGGTCGAGAGAGGGACCGTGTCAGCGAATCAGATCCTTCACTCAAGCTCCTCCCCCAGAGCTTCCCCCCCCCCTTGGGCCTCACCTAGCCTCATTGGCCTGTAAACTCTGGATATGATTGGTAGCCTGTCTTGATACCTGTTCCCAACAGGGTAAGAGGCTTGATATTGTGACGGCAGATGCAGGTGAATGGCGAGTTCATACCAACCCGGAACACAGGGATGAGCGCGTCCAGGCGGTGGGCTGGATGAGGAGAGGAGCAGAGTAGGTATGAAAGCTTTAAAGATAGTCCAGCCCCGCGGCATTTCGCCCGCGGCTCGGGGATGAGGACTCAAGGCAGTCTCAAATTCTACGCATCCCTTTCGGACATCACTCTCGTCGACATTTCCGAGAGCGCGACATTGGGTAACATGGCTGACCAACCATTATTTCGGCTTGCTCTTCTCGGCCTCGCCATCTGTTGTCTGCCGGTTTCCATCTCAGCTCAGGATCCTGCACCGTCATCAGGCCCGGACTCAAGTCGCAACAACCTCGTTGGATGGCAGCCCAATCCCGACCGCCGTGGAACGATGAACATATTGCAGAGCTGCTTGTTGACTATCATAGCCTGTACATGGACCATCCATCATCCCAATGTCCCAAAGAGAACCCCCGAGACAGCGTTGGGACGATTTTTGCACCGAGCCAGATGGATGATTGCGACGATCCTGCTGCCTGAGTTCATTCTGGCCCAGGCTGTCGACGAATTCCTGTGGGTTAATGATGCCTGGAAGGATCTGGATCAGGCCAAATCCTTTTGGCAAAGAATCAAGGACTTCTGCGCTGCCACCGACAAGGCGAAAAGAATAAGGGGGTTCGACATGTTTAGGACTGAGGGCAAGGAGGAGCAAGAGTGGCGCAAACAGCACTTCTACTATGCCAACATGGGTGGCTTCCGAGTCAACCTATCAAGCCTCGACGAGGTTGAAGGCGACAACGCGGCCCTCACCCGCGTATACCCTCTTACAGCAAAAGAGCTGGTCAAGTATCTCAAGACCCCGTCGCCCTCGGAGACCGAAGTGAATCGTCCACGAACCCCTGAATGGGGCCAAAACACACATCCTACAGACGCGGAGAAGAGACCACAAACGGGCGACACGGCGGAATTGCCAGTCCGGCCACCGGCAGCCAGCCTGGCATCGGCAAACAATGCATCACCACCGCCACCGCCACCATCGCCGCCGCCGCCGCCGCCGCCAACGCAGTCAACGACTTTGCAGGGCCGACTCAAGCCACCCATCTCCGAGACCGAAGTGAGGCGGAGGATCAAGGTCGACACGCTCTCCAAGCTAGTCGCCTTCATGCAGATCGCGTGGACCCTCTTCTCGGTGCTGACGCGGTGGGCCATCCACCGCGCGACGTCACAACTGGAGATCATGACGGTGGCCTTTGCCGCGTGTGCCGTCTTGACGTATGTCCTGCGCTGGAACAAGCCGCAGAACGTCGAGGTCTGGACCACGATCCCCAACAAGTTCCTCAACCTGTCCCCGCTCTGGCAGCCGCAGCGCTTTGTCCACTCCTTCATGCGCGAAAATAAACCCAAGACGCTGCGGCTCCCTTACTTCCGCAACGACACGATCCGTCCCGTTCACGTCAACAGGTCCTTCCTCCCCTGGCTGGTCGCGTTCATGGTGCCGGTCGGGGTCATCCACCTCTGCGCGTGGAACTTTTCGTTCCCGTCGACCGCCGAGAAGCTGCTCTGGAGATGTGGCACCATGGTCTCGGTGGGCGCTCCGCTCGTGGTCTTGGTCTGTTCCTTTGTCGTTCCCCGGGTTGTCGTTTGGCTCCGCGAAAACTGGATCGAGACAGAAGAAGACAAGGAATTCGAGCGAAAGGAGGCCAGAGAGTTCAGGAAGCACTGCTCTTGGGCGTTGCAGAGCATGCGAGGGGAAGACGAGGAGCTTGATCTGAGTATTAAAGGCGCGCTTGCTAACCTGCAGAGCGGCGTCAACGGCAAGAGGAGGTACAGGGAAATCTTGGAACCCTCTCTGCTCCGAAAGGTCCACTACCACATCCAAGCCAGGAGGATCATATTTCGTATGTACACCTCGCCTGACTTCCCGGACACCTTCGAAAAGCTCTGGATGCAGCTTCGCGACGCGGGGTACGCCGAGCCGGACATCATCGCCCAAGAGATCCTCCCCCCTGGCTATGATGAGTGGTTCGACGATGTCAACGTCTTCCCCCACCTGACCACGAAGTGGAAGAGGGGAGAAATGCGCTTCAAGATCCTGAGCTGGGCCGTTCCCACTGTCGGCATCTTCTATTCGTTGGCGAGGCTTGCCATTATTGTTATCGCGTTTACAAGCTTACGCGCAATGCCAGAAGGGGTGTATGACAATTCCTGGACTGACTATGTCCCGAACATTGAGTAGGGCCGTCTTGTGGCTTTACTTTCAAAGAAGAACAGAACAATTATCTTGCCTTACAAGTCGGCATCTGGGAAGGTGGAATGTCTGCTGACAACTAGTCTTCTCACGAGAGCTGATAACAGTCTGGTTAGAGGAGGCGAATCTGGGCTCACACAATTGCCGTTGTCGTTCGTGGTCCTCAAAAAACGCTGCCGGCGCCGCTTCCTGAGGACCCGGAACCGTCGTACAGGGAGTTGACGGCGTCGGATATCGCTCTGCACGTTGGCCCGGATCGGTACAGGGTGTTTTTGGGCGCCATGCTCGACACAGGCCGGAATGTGGATCTAGATGATGACGAGGTGTTTTGGGGACGTGGCGGATGAGTGCAAGTTGAATGGAGACAATGATGCGGCTCCTATATACGGGGCGGAGGATGTGGATGATAGGTGGACGCTGCCACATTGGGTGTCGTATAATGGGTCACCTAAGATCAAGAGGCTGCTTCTGCTGAAGGACGTAGATCCAAAGCATATAGACGCTATTACGCTGGAGGATAATCCGACATTGTTATTATTGCCGGTTAGTCCGTTTCAAGGGCGGTGAATCTAGGGCTGGGAGGTGTCGGTAAGTCGAAGCCTGTTTAAGGGTTCTGGCCACGCAGTGCTAGAACACCTACCGAGGTTGTGGTTTAGATTTGTCAGTCGCAAAGGCTGGAGTTAGCTAGAACTATTGTGGCTGGGACCGCAGGGATCAGGCCGGAACCCAGCCTACTGCGCCCGTGCCGGGGCATAGGTGGATCTGGGATCCACCAATCCAGGCCATCATTTCCACATATATATTCCGCCGGGCCAAGATAGCTAGACTTCCTTCAAGCAATCCAGCCATTCCCTTCCTGCCAACAACTATAGATTTGTAACAGGTTGACCCAGCCGCACAAACTGACGCGCCATGGCTTGCCACTATTCACAACTATAAGCATGGCTCTTGCAACCCCATTAATTCCACCGAATCCAGTGTGCTATGTTTCTAACACATCTTTCAAGGCGTGGACCGAAGAAGATAAGGGTGGCGTTAGCTTTTACGGGGCACTGGAGGCCAAATCCGGAAGTAGCCGGCTTGGTAACAGAGGCTTTTTAGGTGCTTGTCGGCGCGCGGCCCCGGAGGAAGATTTATTTCGGCGCCGGATTTTAAGCTGCGATTCCCGGATGCCGAGTTCTACGCTGACCTGACAACCGGGTCCTCGAGGTCCGTACAGGCGCATCTCTACAAATACGGCAACACGCTGTTGCTGCTTTTGTACTAGACTGTTAGTTATATCTTCGCTCGTGTTCTCTTCTGTCGCCTAAGATTTGAGCCACATCCGAGCCACAACCGAGTTGAGCCTTAAAAGGCTCTCTATGACGCTTGTCACGGCCGGCTTGGAATGAGGGCGGAACTCCTCTATTGGGCGCTATAGACGAAGATTCTAAATTAAAGGGAAAAGGGAAAAGAAGCTCAAAAGCCTCCCCTCGCGAGATTCTTCCAGGGCGTCTCAAGGTGGGGCTCTGGCTGGTCGGGTGGATCCACCCAACTGGCGTCTGATTAGTCAGAGCGTCTGGGAGGCCTGGAGGACCAGGCCCTCACAACGCTCACTTCCTAGTACTACGAGATTTCCTTTGTTTACTTTTTGGGTATAAAAAGGGCCTTCTTTTTTGTATCTCTAGACATTTTTTTAGACAGACAGTTCAATGCGCGGTTAACGACGATCACGTGCAACATCTTCACACCCATGGCCCGAAAATGATCAGGTAGTAGGTACTAGGGTAGGTTTCGTGTCGCGCGCATTCACAGGGCAACAGAAATGAAGCATTTGATGCAGGGAGGTAAGGCTTGAATTGTCCGAAAAGGTCTAATCTTTTGTTTCCTCTGGCAGGGCCAAAAGTCTCTTTTTTATAGTTATGAATAGTGGCAAAAGCTGGTGGCGAAGAATCACATAGCAGCTTCTAGATCTTTCTTGCTCACTAATCCCAATATTGTGACATTTCGCGAATGAGCAATCCGGGTTCGGATGCATATTGCAGCCCGCAAATCAGCCTGAGACGGTAATATATATATATTAATGAGCAGCTGCGCCTCATCGAGTAATCAGAGGTTTTAAGACATCGTGCTCGTTGCTGGTTGTCCATTTGAATATTATTGCTTGGGGGTTTCCTTGTTGAAGCTCGACGAGCGAACGCTCACTTCGACCTTGGCCAGCTACCACGATTTTATCAGCTTTACCCAATGGCGCCGAGTTCCGAACCATCTGTCATTCCGCCGAAGAAGACGCGCTGGGGGCACATTTGTGGTAGGCTTAAGCTACCGTCTGGATGGCGCTTCTCCCTTCTCTGCGGGGCAGTTCTGGCCAGCGTGGTTTTCTTGTTCAACCTGAGTGTGCTGCTGTGGTCAATCAGCCTACTGACGGTCCCGAGCACGCAAGGAAATGAAAGTGGGCGAGGTATTCTCTTTGAGGGATCGTGCTCCAAGGCCAAGGATATTAACACTGCTTTGCATGTCTTGATCAACGTCTTGAGCTCGCTACTTCTCAGTGCCTCCAACTTCGGCATGTAGTGTCTCTCGTCGCCGACGAGGAGCGAGGTTGACAGGGCCCACGCCAGGGGGAAGTGGCTCGAGATTGGTGTTCCCAGCACACGTAACATCGGGAGCATCAGCCTAATAAGAGGTTTGCTCTGGTTCCTACTTTTGCTATCTTCACTGCCGCTACATTTTCTGTAAGTCGCAAACGCCAACAGTTGCTTGTCCCCAGTGCTGATCCCACACGCTCCATGGTTGCGTGCCTACCTAAGTATAACTCTGTCGTCATTTCGTCCCTCTCGGCACACAATTACGAGGTTGTTGCAGCCCCTGAGGGCTTCACCAGAAAAGATTACGTTTTTGGTGCAGACAACCATAATCATAGCGATTACTATGATGCTGGTACACTTGAATCGATTGACGACGACTTGCGCTCTCTACAGTGCCTTGCCTCGACGGACCAGTTACAGAATCTCACCAGTGCCGACTGCATCGACGCTTATGGGACTCCGTTTCTGACTTCTCTTAGCGATGTGGTGCTCGTTATCGGCCAGCTCCATGATAACGCAACGCTCGAACGATTTGATGCGGCCATGCCGCATTCGCAAGACTTGAATGTTGTGACGCCTCGATTGTATAACGTCTTCTCATGGATTTGCCCAAAAGATACACTCGAGCTCCCATGTAGCGACCAGCTCCGCGGAATCCGCAACGACGTGGCCGCGTGGAAGCCCCGATAGCCGGGAACCACACAGTCGCCTACTGTCTGAGCAAGCAGGAGGAGGAGTACTGCAAAGTCAACTTTAGCATCGTATTTGCCGCCATTGTCGTTGCTGCCAACGCCGTCAAAGTCACGGTCCTGGTTATTACCCTGCTCAACCCACCCCAAGAGCCGCTCCTAGTGCTAGGTGACGCAATCGCATCCTTCCTCACCCGGCCTAATCTCCACAGTGCCGGAATGTGCCTGGCAAGTTGGTCAACTATCACAAAAGAAAGGGCGCGTTGTTGTCACCCATTTCGGGCTGTTCCTGACCCGAGCCTATGGAATTCACCACGCAGACACTGGGGTTCTGCTGCAAGGTTGTCCCAATGGTTCGTCAACTTGGTGCTGTAGGTCCATAATTGCCTAAATATCTACCACCTTCCTATTTGACGCGACGAATTGATACGAATCCGGCCACTTCAGATACTTGTCGGGAGTTGTGACTATCAGCGTCTTTCTCGCCATCGTGATAACCTCCCTCTTTGGAGCTAACGACTTGGTGAGCCTCTGAAATCTTAGAATAAGGACTACGAGCGGGAAAGCCTTGATTGCATTTGTTGAGCCGTCCTCGTCGAAGTCGTCGATGGATGCGCTGGCGCTACGTGTTGTTGTAGCCAACACCCCTCATGTGATCTTCTCGATTTTCTACTTTCGGTACAACAGCATGTTCACTAGGATGCTCGCGGCGCGAGAGTGGAGCGGCTTCGGCGTCAAGCGCAAGTCATTGCGCGTCTCGTCGGCGCCTAGAGGCGCCTAACGAGAGCGCTACTTCCTACAGCTACCGTACCGCTTCGGCGTGCCGCTACTGATGTTTTCCGTGTTGATGCACTGGCTCATGTCGCAGAGCCTCTTTGTTGTGGCTGTCGAGAGCCCCAACGACGTGTATAACGATGACAACGGCTGGTATCTTATCACCTGCGGCTATTCGCCCATGGCCATCATTTTAGTGCTGGCGCTATGCTGCTTTCTTGTCGCCGCCGTCGTCGTCGCCGGCTTCTGCCGTCTGCCGTCTGCTATTACTGTCGTCGGTAGCTGCAGCTTTGCCATCGCCGCAGCGTGCCACAGCCCCGGCGAACAGCTGCAACCCCAGCCCGATTCAGCGCTCGCTCCACTACAGTGGGGAGTGATAATTCTCCCTGATTTTGAGAGCTCAAAGGGCCAGAGTAGCGGCCATTGCAGCTTCTCGGCCGAGGAAGTCGGCGAGCCAGAAGAGGGCTGCCGTTACGGCAGAGTGGTCGATATCTAAAGGGTAACTATGACCGCCGAAAGATGCAGCCAGTAGAACGGCAGCCAATAGCTAACGGACCTTGAACAGGAGCTAGACGAGTTTAGAGCGAAAGATTTCGGGCATCTTAAGCCAACTCCACTACCGTGAAGGCCTTGTCTGCATTTTCAACGACGGTGGCGTTCATCACCTGTCGGCCCTAAGATAGAGATTGCGATTGAATAACGAAATCCACGACGATGAACGAGTCATGGTTGATTAGACTCACGTTGTGTTTTTCATGTTCTTGACAACAAGTTAACAACACATAATTACTCAAACCTTGAATATAAATGTTTTAACTTAGATTTCACGACGCCTGAGGATTCTATTAATTATCCTTTAATATTTGGCAGTTAGCTTTAACCTAAAACCGACTACCACGCACCCATTTTCTCCCTCGGAGCTAGGATGTTGCCGCTTAAGCTAAGGTAGGCCGAGCTAAGCTGGGCAAGAGGTCATTTTTAGGATCACCCCGGCTATACTTACCTTGGTTTGAAAATGGTATTCTAAGCCTAATTTGGGATACAAAGCACATTTTTGGCCGGGAAAATCCACATTTGGCTAGGTCTGGAAGGTTGCCGTTGGGCCCCTGATCTAAGCTAATTGGTAAAATTCGGTCCAAATCTATGCCCAAAGTAGGTAAAATATGTCATCAAATATGATCCACAACTTACAATTTAATCAAGTATTATTTGTGACGGCTTGCCCGCCCCCGGAAGGTGCGGCACACACCTGCCATTTCCGACACCTACCATGTGCAAATTTTCGCGAGGGAGGAGGTACTTCGTGCGTTCCACACAGTGTGTACAGTGCAACCGCACGGCCCTGGATGTGCCAGTTATCTGTCGCTAAACCAGACCTGCAGCACACAACCTCAATGGGTCGATGCCTTACGTTACGTGCCCAACTGACCACAGTCTCTGCTGCTGATCAAGCCTTGGAGTTATCTTCGGCATTTCATGGTAAGAAAGGGCGACTATGGATCCCCTCTCTGTGACTGCATCCATTGCGGGCATCGCAGGAGTCTGTATCCAGGCAGCCAGCTTACTCGATACCCTTCGGTCCAAAATTCAAAATGCCCACATTACCATCACAGCGCTCTCATCGCAGTGCCGCGCCATCAAGACGGGCTTATCGCAGCTGCAGACACTCATCCTTCAGAACCACGCGATTCGCGACCAGCCCGATGTCATCCTCACGCTAGATACAACGCTCACCGGGTGCTTGGTTGTGCTGACGTGCTTTGAGGACTTGCTCGACAAGCTGTGCGACAGGGCGGTGCTGATGGGGTCTCGTCGCTCGCTCGCCCGGATGTGGTGGAGCAGAACGCGCATTGCCTGGAACGAGAGTGAGATGAAGGACTATCTCTCGCTCCTGCAGGGACAGCAGTCCGCCGTCGCCTTCCTGGTTCAGGTCCTCCATATGAACTCTATCGATGAGATTCTAGAGAGCGTCAGAAACGGAAAGGATCTTCTCAACAACCAGACGACGAGGGCCGAGTCTGTGCGATACGCGAACCCCCAACTCCAGATTGCCGACTCCGTCCTCGGCTCCCGACACACTGCCGACACCATCTTCCAGGACAGAAATACCGTGGCTGAAGGCGTGGAGTTCGAGTTTGACAATGCCGTCGTCAACTCCAAAGCCTACCGCCGTGTCGTGGCCATGGCGACGAAGGTTATCACCAAGAGGGGTACCGGAAGACCCAAGTCGATTATGAACCTCGAGAACACGAGCTTTGACTCGAAGGCTCAATCACTGCCATTCATTATGCCCATATCTCAATCTTCTGATGGCAGGAAGGAAGCGTCTCCGTCAGTTTCGCCACTACCATCTACAAAATCTGAAGCTTTTGAGTCACCTCCACCTAGTCCTGGTATTCTGGCTGATAAAACCAGCGGAGAAGATGCCAACGGCCTTCGCGCACCCCAAGGCGCGGCAACAATCCTGGTGGATGCTCTCAGAATACGACATGGTCAAATCGGGGCGGTCTATGATATTGACTACTTCGACATGCGGTGCCAGAAACTCCTTAGTGCTGTGATTCAGTGGGTTCTTCGCTTCTCGAAGTTCTCCGACATGCGTTCTAGTCGTCTTTCTTCAGAATTAAATGACGAGAAGCTCATTGACAGGCTGGAAGATTCCATTCTGGACGGCTCCGACGTCGACACATACCTCGCTGATCGAGTTAAGCGGCGAGACATCTTTACCTCAATGATCATGACCATGATCTGGGAGTTTGTCTTCACGCGTTATCTCTTCGGGATGGATCGAGAGGAGCGGCAAAAGCTGAAAGTGCTCGAGAAACAACTGTCAGGTGTCGGCCCACCGGAGGCCATTCGCGCCTGGCGGGCGACTACGTTGAGTTTGCTCTCCAACAGACCATCGTTCAAAAATCAACGGGAACAGGACACTCACGCGGTCACGGCGGCAATTTTGGAGGAGCTAGCGAAGATCCTACCACCCCCGCTAGCTTTGCAGGACCAGATTCAGATGCAGCTCCACAGAGTCATCTGCGATGCGGTAGAATTGTCAATTCTCATGCGCACGCAGCTAGCAGAATATGTGATGCTCCCTCCGCTACGGCCCGAGTATGATGATACTGGAGAGTTGGTTGAGGTGGTCAGTTTTAACGCGGCATTGATGAGTCAGTTGGGCCGCCAGCGAAAAATGGAGGATCTGGAACTCGAACATGAAGGGGCTGTGGTGAGGATCGTTTTGTTCCCCCTGGTAGTACGCAAGGGAGACCAAGAAGGAGAAGGCGAGGATGAGGTCGTGGTACGTCCGGCACAGGTTCTCGTGCAACCCAAGGCAACCAAGGAACTAGTGCGGACGATTGAAGTCTCACCACCCAGTTCACAGCAACTCAGTTAAAGCAGCAGTAGCTTATAACGGTGCACGACTGCGGAAAATTGCTGAAGATGAAATTCAGGACACGCGTTTTGCTATTAATAAAGTCCACGCATACAACTCGACCTGGTCCGCATGGCATCATCATCATCACTATTCTGTCTCATGAGATAAATCTGCACACATGCCCCTGCAGCATGACCAGGCAGGGGACGCTCACGGCCAAGCCAGTGATTGAACCGCTGCTGACGCTAAGGGGAGAGGGTCCTGGCCTCAATAAGCCATGCACGTGTAAAAGCCATAGCCAACAGTCCCAACACGCGGACGATCATTACGCTAAGGAGCGGCTTCCCTGTCGACGATGCGAAATACTTTTGATCTTTACTATTAGTCAGGCCAGTCTCGTCCTATAACAAAGTCCCTTTCCTTTACCTTCCCATCAGTCAAGAAACATCACCGCACAGCATCACAAGAACGCCATACTCAATAACACTAAGAGCCGGTCCATCAAGCTCGCATCGAATTAACTTCGTATATAAGCCGAGCAAACACACACCCAACGCACCCCGTCTCACGAACCCGCAAACACACACCCACCACCAACCCAAAATGTTCTCCGTGTGGCACATCCCCGCGCTGATCCAGGCGACGGCCATGACCTTCGGCGGCATGTGGCCCATGTGGGACGCGCGGGCCGCCATGGCCGAGTTCGGGTGGCCGGCGCGCATCGCCTCGGCGCCGGCCGCGGGCCCCGTCATGGTGCAGGGCCAGGCGCGCACGACCGTCGTCGGCCTGCTAGTCGCCCTGTTCTACCTGCGGCGCGAGTACGCCGCCGTCCACGCCGTCATAGCCGTCACGGGGTTTTATGTTTGTGTCGTCGACGCTTATCTCTTCTGGAGGGAAAATGATCGCGGGTTGAGCTGGGCGGTCTTCCGGCTTGTCGCTTCGTGGTTCTAAGCAAACAAACTCACCCGGCAGACGACGACCAGCTGGAACCGCACGCGCCGGGACCCCGGCCGCTGCGCGGCGATCTGCTGCAGCATGCCGCAGTCGTAGACGGGCCGTGCCAGCGCGCACAAGTGCCGCCACGCGGCGGCCGCCGCCGCGCTGTCCGCGTGCGCCACTGTTAGTGTTGTGTACAGCAGCGCGTGCACGCCCGGCGAGCTGACGCACGCGTACGCCCGCCGCACGAGCTGCTGCCGGCGGATGCGCAGGCCCGTCGGCGTGAAGGCGGCGTGGCGCGGCCACCACAGCAGCTGCCGCATCTCGATCCACGTCTCGTGGGCGGGTGTCAGGCTCGCCATGCGACAGGAGCTCCACACTAACGGATTATCTGGCAACCCACGATATCGTCTGTTCTTCCCATTGTTCAGATAAAATCATCTAACCTTGACCCTTCCATCTTCTCCTGGATCCCATGTACGAGAAGCGAAGCAAATTCGTTCACAGTACCAATATGAACATCCCCAAGTTGTTTCCTGCCGATGCCGAGCTCAAAGGCCTCAGCTCCAACCTGTTGTGGTCTTTGGGGACACTGATGAGCTGTATGAGAGCAGCGCTTGGAAGAATAAATACCGTTGGTGTACCATTTTGGAGATCTCATCGTGGTTACGCACTCCACCACCTCCGCGAGACTCAAGTCCCCATTCGGAGTTTCTGGCGGATAGTATAGAAATTTATGACCAGATAAGTTCTTCATCAAGGTGCCGAGGTGCATGGCGCTGCACTCGAAGTTGCAGCCCTGGCGGCCATGGATGTAGTCATCTCGGAGTCCGCGGAACGCGGCAGCGATCACGTCTATAGAGTCTTTTCGATGTTGATTGATTCGGTCTGCGCGTTTCCGTAGTTAGTCCAGTAAGCTCGTTATATTTTCGTTAAAACTTACCAATTACAGCCGAGATTGGGAGCTCCGGGATTACTATGTCCTTCTTGCTCCGTAGTATAGCAACCTTGGTGACTTGTCTGAATATGGCCGTATGCCCAAAAACCCAGGAGACTAAGATCCACAGAATAATGTCCCTCCCGGGAGAATCGGGCAAGGACTTTTTGAGGGCGTTGATCCACAGTGACGCGATGATTTGGAGCGCCTCGTGGATCTTGTAATAGTCAATAATGACAGCTATCTTGGCGAGCATCTCCAGCGAGACCTTCTTTAGCACCTGACGGTAATGACTGTGGAGGACGTTCATAACGATCACCAAAGCCTTGGTATCCCAGTCCTCGGCACCTCCTCGAACCGGGCTATTATTTTTGTCTCCCTCTTTCCACCCTCCGGTCAGCATTGCCTTGAACACAGGTGAGGCCAAGATGAGGTGGCGTAACGAAACGAGGAAGGTCGCCGACTCAGTCAATATAGTGCTTATTTGCGATTCTTCCTACGGAGAGGCTTCGTTGTCCTGCAGAGCGGATAGCTCATCCCTGGCGATAGTGCTATCCTCAGCAGCCGCGGTAGGTTCCACGAGCGGCGGGGTTTCAGCTGGTAGTATATGTTCGGCAGGCGGCATAGGCTCGGCCTCTGGGTTGGCACTGGGCTCGGTCAGGGCGGGGCCGTCCTCGCCATCGTCCCATACAGCAAACGGCGCGTTCGGGTTGCTGAGCGTAAGTATGAAATCCCCGAAGGAATCCATAACATAGTCACACATCTTGGCCAAGGAAAGATTGCCGAAACAGCGAGGTAGATAGGGAGGAAAATGGAAACGGACATAAGTCTAGGAGGGGCAGATGATAGAAAAGTCTCATGCTCTGAGGCCCAAAGCTACGTGACGGGCCGGCTCCTGTAGCATTTGAGGGCCCTCTCCTGGCAACGGCCTTCTCAAAGCATTGACTACTCGATGTCCTTGAAAGAAATGTACAGGTCAGATGGAGTTGTGTCTCCAGCTATTGCTTCGGGAAAATCATGGATAATAGCCATCTCAACAGCCTTGCTTCGGTCATTCTCATCGGTCTTTGGACCACCTGTAAGCTCAGGGATGAAGAAGGGGCAGTTCACACTTAGGTGGTAGATCTTGGTTCACACTACCCCGCTGCCTCCACTGAGATCCTTCGGTAACTTGTTACGGGATATTGCTTCATCTCGCTAAGCGTAAGGTCGATGGGATTATCCCGACTACTCCCTTGCCCCCCATCATACCTACGAGAAGCCATCGCATTCACGTGCTCACCATCTCCAGTCAGGTCTATCAGAACCCTTGAAATCAAGCCAGAGCAGAGTGCCGGCTGACGGTTCGTTAGATCTTGTACCCAGGCGTCACAATCCCACTCGACCCAGTAATCGATCACACCGTCCCATTTCCTAGCCGGTTCTGTGAGGTTCACAAAAACCACTTTTCCAGCCCGTTTGTGAATAATCTTCGCAAAGTCCTTCACCAGGTGCTTGACCCCGTGTGTTGCAAGGCTCGTGCCCATGACAAGAAGGACGTCTGGGCGCTATAATAGGTCATGCCGTACGATAGCGGAGATCGAGTCAGCCCATGGGTCCTGTTCATCGTAAAGCACGATATCCGGTCGGAGCGTCCCGATTACGGCTGCGCGTTTCCCTACTACCGTTCTGGCTTCGGAGATCTCGGCACAGCTGGGGCACGGAGGTTCCTGTCCTACCAGAGTCTTCGCTTCTCGACCATCCTTGTCCCAGCAACATATGCTATTTGGACACCCATCTCCATTGCTAACAGACAGCGGGGTTAGTCCGTCACATGGACATGGCTATCTGAGCCTGGCGTATCTGGTTGACGCAGTCCTCGAAGTTGGTCCTCGAAATCAAAAGCGGCTTCCTCATCTGGCTCAAGTCAACGGCACGAGGATCAGCTCCAAGCTCCAGCAGGGTTCTGACAGCCTCCGAATCCCCTCTCTTGCCCGCCTTGCAGAGCGCCGTCTGACCTTTTAGGTCGTGCGAGTCGATATTTGAGGTATTTCGTACTAGGATCCTCATTTTCTCTTGACTCGATGGCTCTCTCAAGTCACCATTGGCCGCGACGGAGTGCAGTGGCATCCACCCATCCTCATTCTTAGAATCCAGCCGGAGACCGCATTGCAGGAGAATTTCGAGAGACTCGGCCGGCGCGACCGCGGTTTTGGCAACGAAGTGGCTCGCATTGCTGCTTGTCGAGTCCACGGAATCGAATTCCGCGCCGTATTCGAGCAGAAGCAGCAGGAACGCCGGGTCTCGGCACTGTGCAGATAGATGGATCGGCCGGGTAAGCTTTGATGTCTTTCCCTCAACATATGCGCCGGCCCTAAGGAGCATTCGAGCAACTCGAAGACCTGTATTCTCGTTCGATCCACTGTGTGAATGATTATTGATGACGCGATGGAGAGGAGTGACCCCGTACTAGTCTCTTGCATTTACGTCGACTGAAAAAGCGCTCCCGAGTAAATGCTCAGCATGTACGACGTCCCCTGACGTTAAGAGAGCCTCTAAAGCTTCTTCAAGTCTGAAATTGATGCCAGTCGTAATTCCATGTTTCGCCAAGGCTCGCAACAGCCCTTCCTTGGATATTGCAGTGGAGCTTGACAGATGGTTGTACTCTGACATGGTTTGTTTTGTGCTTGGCGGTAGCTGAGCTTTTGCTCCAGACGGAATGCTGGGGGCAATACTGAACGGCGATTGTTGAAGAGGCTCCAGGGAGTATACGCTTGTTCGCGTCAACAAAGTCCGGCGCGAATGCCGCTCTGTCACAGGACTAGCCTGCGATAGGTGTTACATCACCTGACTACTGGTAACACCTGGTCGTGTCGAGTACAGCGAAGTCAGTCGAAATGCATGTATGACGTCAATTACGATCAATTCTATTGCATCTGAGTGTCTGTTGCAGGCGCGTAGTGCGCATGCCTTTGAGTGGTGTTCCTGCATTAAGGCGGCCAGGCCGGCATTATGGTTGAACTTCGGCACAACCACTTTCCTTTGGAGCACCTTTCTACGTAACATACTATAAGAGAAGGCAGGTACGCCTAATCAAGGTGGTCACAATGAAGGTAATAAGAAGGGAGAGCAATGACCGGCAATGGCGTAAGACTTCAACCTGGCCCTCGGGCCGCTGCTTATATACCGTGTGTGCTCTGGTGGCTTGGCCCAGCTGGTGACAGGTGGTGAGCGCGCGCAGGGTGCGCGCGCGTCAGGGAGTATGTGGGTTAGGGTGCTCTTTCCTTACATCTGGCTCGCAGAGTGTGCTTTCGGACATGTGACGGTACCGATCTTTCAGGGACTTGAGGCTGGCAGGGGAGTGTCGTTTATGTGGAAGGTGGTAACTCGGCAAGTGCCAGAGTAGAGTGCAAGGTAGAAGGTAGGTAAGCACTTTCCTCTCTTCCGGTCTGGGGGTGGTCTGTCAGCACAATGGGAAGGAGCGAGGAAGGAGCGAGGAAGGACGTTGGGCAGACATATCTCGTCTTGCTCGTGTCCTCTCTCTCCTCTCTTTGCTTGCTTCTTCGTCGAACGAATGAACTTAGCTACCCGTCGTTTTTGTTGTCGTTTCAAGCTGTAAATATGCCGTCGACTTGCACCTCCACCCCCACCACAACCTCGCCGCTATCCGTGGACCAGTTGAGCTTCGGCTCTTTCGTTATTACGGCAATCACCTGCGTCTTTGGCCTCTAGGGCATCATCTGGGCGATTGTTGTATATAAATGGCCTCCCAAAGGCTCAGAGGGACTGCAGGGGCTCCCGGGACACCCAGGAATTGATGGCCAGTCAATCCTCGCCGACTACATTGCTGGCCTCACCGCAGCCCTCCCTGGACTCACCGAGCCCAACATCTCCCTCGCCAACCAGGCCCAATCCCTCGCCGCCCTCAGACAGGGGAACGGTATGTTTTCAGTCATTTCTACCCATATAGCACCTACCTCAGCTCCCTCGGGATAGAGCAACGATACCTTTTACATTCTCCCGAGTATGCCGCTGTCGTGGAGCCGGGTTCGTGGGTTATTAAGATGGATAAGGGAGAATAGAGTATGTTATTGCTGATCAGCGCAATTGCCAAATCGATGTCTGATATGTACACCACCGATCTGTGCAACTCAGTGCTTTGTTGCAACTAGAAAAATTTCGGCCTCCGGATCCCTTGCCCGAGGCGGGAGGCCCAGGCTAAGGAACGAAACTCGTCTCCCGACACGCAGATAGAGAGACTATGCAATCCGAAAACAGCCTACGAAGAGTCTGTTGGGGCCATCGTGGTGGATACCATGGCAAATGTGCTTATCAGGGCGGTTCGGAGCCAGTTGAGTGTCGTGAAGTCGTCGTGATTAGGGAGGAGGAGCAGATTGTAGGTAAAATGAAACAGACCAGACTGTGAGGCTGCCCCTTCCTTTCTCACCCCAGCCACATGCAATGCCGTGTGATGGTGTGTATAGTCTAGTTGGAAAATGCACCATGGGGTTGGCTTCTTAGGCCGTATCAGGCATGCAAGGAAACCGCAAGGAAACGTCCGTATAGAAGGCTAACCGCTGGTAGAAGGCAAGCACCGTGAGAAGGCTAACCGTGAGATTTGTGGGCCCAGATTGGTAAGATTAAGGGGTGCGCTAGAATTCCGACTTCAGGGGGACCATCACTGTAGTTCAGGACTCTCCTGAACGAAGCCTGCCGGGAGACTGGTCTGACGACCGATTCAGTAGGCTATACCGACATGGCGCGACTGCTGGAAGGCTTTGGACGTACCGACATGGCAATCACCGGCGGGGCCCAGTTTCTGCTGGTTTTTCAGCATTGCGCTGGAATTGCGGGGCGGCGGCTTCATTTCTCGAATCTGTCACAACATCAACAATTTTAGTGCCTCGGCGCAGCTACCCACCGTCGAGTCAAAGATGAAAACCTTCTTCGCTCCGTATTTGCTCTTGAGGAACCGCTGGGCCTCGGCATGATATATCGATTCTACGGTGATGATATCTTGTAGCTGCGAGGATGAGAGCGACGTTGGAAACAAATCAAGCTTGAACCCCTGAGTGTCGGTCGAAACCAAGTCTCGTATCCCAGTCAAGTCACAAAACCGGGTCGATCATAGCCACAGGGAGAAGTTCGTCCTTCGAACGTTCGTATGCGTCACTTTGACAGGCAAAAAGGGAACCTCGTATGGCTTCTCCGTCTTGTACAGGCCCAGCTGATCCATGTAGCGGATTTCGCTAGCAGTCGAATGGGAAGAGGCAGCTTCAGAAGCACAATTCGCCATATTGAAGACATGAGCACTAGAGGGTTGGATATTATCAAGAGAAGAGGCAGTGGAGCAACTGAGCCCGGTCGCTCGTACTTGGGGGGTTCGGGAGAGGAGAGGCGTCGTGACCCCGAAAATTGAGGCTCTTGTGGGATGCGGCCTCGTTTCCATTCATTGGACAGGAACCTGCCGGACCCCCCTTTTCCCCCCAAACCAGGGAAGACCGGCGAGAGGTGGTGCAGTTGGGCAGCATCTGATGATTCGTGAATAGATGGATGGAATAGATGGATGGGAGGCTACCCTTCCTGATTCAAAACCCCGCTCTCGCGTTACACCAGGAAGCCCACGGGGTCGACGGGGCAGCATGTAACCGGAAGATACGCTGGGCAGCCCTACCGAATTGATATCCGGGAGGGTTCCAAGTTCAAATATACGGCACGAGTCCATCGAAGTCCTCCTCGGACCTGGGGTGAGCTGGGGTGAGCTGCGACTGATTTGTCCTGGGCACTCTTCCCTGAGCTAGGGTGATCCCACACGCGGCCGCTGCGCAGTCCCACAGGCCGGTCTTCGGTCCACCCCCCCGGCTAAAGTTGCGTTTTGATGGAATGCAGATGGCACGTAATTGTTGAAGGGTGGTAGCGGTTACAATGAAGATGGCTGAGAATAGTCGAACTGAGCATGCTTTAGATCCTGGAAGCAGTGGGAGGTTCCTGTTACTTGTAGCCAGGGGTCCAGACCATCTAAGGTTGAGCCAATCTATTGCGTGCTCCCCGGCTTGCACATAGTAGCTTTCGACTCTACTACTTTTCCGTCGTTTTCGCTCCGTCTCTAGCATTTCCCGGTCGCACTGTTGGGGCTCCCTACCCTAGTAGCTCTGGGGGTGAGAAAGGAAAGAAGGATAGAGGGGGCAGGGGTTTGGTTAAGAGATAAATGTGGTATTTTCCCGAAATTAATAGGATATTAACCGGCGGTCAGCTAGGAGTGATCATGTAGGGTGGCGTTACATTAATTCCACGTCAACTTAGCATTCGTATTGTACACTAGATGTCCGAGGAAGAGGTGGAGAGACCTGACTGATATTTAGGCCCTTGATAAGTAGGCACCCTACAAAGGAGAGGCCCGGCAGTGATTTCTGTGATGGAGGTAATATGTGAAGAGGGTGATTAATTTGGTTATTCCGGATTGAGCACCTCTAGACACTCATAGGTCTAATTACCGCTATGGGTTTACGCATATATTCCAGCAGGTAGATTGTAAAGACCTTTTAATTGGACACACGCCGCCCCGTTAGGAGGGGTATATATGTGACTAGGGACTGGAAGATTCTAGTTAAATAGAGCTCATGGTAGCTGCACTAGCTAGGGGAAACAACTGCCTCTACGGCTATTGTGAATCATACCCACAAGGATGGAAAAGCCTAGACTTCAGTGAAAACACACACGCTTCATTTCAGTACTCCAAGCTTTCTTATTGCAGGCTCTCCGTCTTAGCCAATCTCAAAATCTCGTCCCGCTTTCACCGCTCGCTCCTCTTCGTATTCCCAACAACGGCACAGACAATGGTGAGGATATGCCACACTCCTTGTTTCGAGTAGCACTGAAGGACCCAACTAAACTATAATAAGTCCGGAGAAGCTGTGGCAGCCGCGGCGAAGAAGACGAAGAAGGAGCGGGAGTATTTGTGGTCCTGTGTAAGCCCCCTTTCGCGTGTAAACCAGCAAAATCTTTGAATTAAGTTCTAATAATACTTGTATAGTGTTATTGCAAAATTGGGCCGTATTTAGCCAGCACGACATCTGCCTGCGTTGGACCATCATGCGTGGGTCACCTGAGGTGTTCCTATTGCCCGTTTCAACTCTGTCCAAAAAAGGCGTAACGTGGTTCCCGGCCATGCGACGCACTTTTCCACAACCAAGTAACAAAACATTTCAACTACTTTGGGTGGGAAACGGATGACTGTATTGCTTGCAGGAAGGAAGTCTAGCTATCTAGGCTACGGCGGAATATATATGTGAAGGTGATGGTCTGGAATACAGGTGCCGTGGTCGGGACTGCCGAATTCTGCGGGATCCACTGAGGCTAGCTAATCATATTCCGCGCTCGGACCACAATCTTGTACCTCAACCGACAAGCCTAGGTACTGACCACTTCACTGAGAAGGTCGCCAGGTCTTGATCTGTTTGCATATTTTCAACTTTCTCTTTCCTTCTCCATCTTGATTCCGGGCATTACTTCAGCCAATAGGACACTTATCACGGACCTGGCTCACAGACAGGTGGGGGATTACGTCATTGAGTTTAGTCCTGATTAGGCATAGACTCCCAAATCCCATTTCCCCACTCAGGCCCTCACCCGGGACTTGACCTTTTCTTTTTTTCCCTCCAAAGCAAGCAAACACCTCAAGCCCTCAAAACGCCCATTCCGAGAACAGGGGCCATCCTTAAAACACTAAGCAAGTCCTCAACGGCCCCCGCCCCCTTTCTGCTCAGGCTCATGCCCAGCCAGCGCGCGGGCCAATGCAAGCAAAATAAAGCAACTTGCAAGCAAGTTCAATCTAAGCAATTCAAGTATGCCTAGAAAAGCCACAATTCAATCCAATTTAAAGCCGTAGACTACTTGAAATACTACTTTAACAATGTGACGGCGAGTCTGCCGCTGTTTTTGGTGGGTTCTGCCGCCTATTGCGGCGGTCTACTCGCCAAAAATTCAGCATCGCCCCACCCCAAGCTGCCCCACTACACCACACGGCCAGGGCCCAAGCCACGCGCATTCAGGCACGTCAGGTACCACACATGTACCGCAGGTACCGAGCCTTTGTGCCCCGCGAACCGCCTCCAAATAGCGAGGGTCCAAAACTGGTTCCCAGATTTCTGTTTCCTGCTCACCACCTTGCTGGATGCTGGAGAGCCACCAAAAATGGCTCCCAACCCAATGTTTAAGAGGCCGCGCCTGCGGCTCACCAGCGATGCATTCCCTTCGTGGAAAGGATTGCGAGTCTATCGCCTACCAGCCTATCCTGCTCCGGCGACCGACATTGTCTCCCTTCTCTACCCTCCTACGCTCAACTTACCGACTGTATCGGTCGTCATCGCAGGAACATGGCGCGTCACCGCCGCAGACCTGACGACGATTACTCGGACGTTTCGAACTCGGACTCTCCAGACAACGTGTCCTTGTCTCACGAGGATGAGGGGTTGATGTCGAGGTCGACGATGGCGGCTATGAGACCAGCCCGACAGACATTGACGACGAAGAAAGCAACGATACTGGTGACTTTGACGACGATTATGACGACTTTGACATAGAAGATCAGGTGCAGCTCTTCGACGGAAATCTGTATCCTCGAGAGTACTACCTCAAACAACTAAAAGAGTTCAACGAGGCCGCGTTCGATGATGAAGATTATAGTGAGGGGAGTACCATACTTCTCGATGGAATAGAAGAGCTGTGGAATAAGTAGGTGACCTGAACGGCCGTGCTTTGACTGCTTGATTTATGCTGATAATCTATAACGTAGGTATTACGCGTGGTTCGAGTACGACCCGCAGGAATCCTTTGAGTCCGTCTCTCTCGGGTCCCTCTATAACTTCTTCGACTGGCTGCTGGGCCAGAAGGCTGGTAAGAATGGTAGAAAGAAGCGGGGAACGAAGAAGAGCAGCTCACTCGGGACGTACTGGAAGGTGTATTGGCTTGTCTACGAGAAGCCCACCGGCGCGAAACTCGATGCGAAACTGAATCAGAAAATGCACAGGGTAGGGTCTTCTCCAGCCCGCGACCGAGGCACTGGGCTAGGCTAACGTTGTACAGGTGCTCAAAAAGCTCGCCAAAAAGCATGGGTTGAGCGACTAGAAGCGCGAGAACAGGTGTACAATAGTCGACGACCTTAAGTAACAAGCCGAGACGACGCTGGGTACGACGGAGAAGTTCTTTTCCCTAGGAGAGCTCCGAATTCTCTGCGTCCTATTCCTCCTACTGCTCGCTCTTACCGGCGCTCGCCCTGCTTCAGTGCTCAAACTCCGCTACCAAGACATCCGAGTTGTACTGTCCCGAGACCCAGACGGTAGTCCGTACAAAGTCCTAATCAGGTTCACGCTGGAGTTTACTAAGACTCATCTCGGTACTAAAGATACGTACGTGCCTAGGCCTAGCCGGGGTGTCCGGGGTAGCTGGCGCTTTATAGTTCTACGTATGCTGACGCCATGTTAGGAAGACCGTAACCCTCCTGAAGCGGTAAAACCGAGAAGGAAGCAAGAAAGTGTAAAAGGTGATACTTTTTTTAAGGCTAGGTAGGCGCGGCGGATTTCCCTAAGGTAGGAAATCCCCAGACCCCGCTATGTCACGTGCTAGCGCCGAACGCTATTAGTGGGGCTCCCACCAGCGCTTCACGTAATGAAGTTATTTACACTGTCAGAAACACTGCACACTGGATCTTGTGGAATTGATGGGGTTGCAATTGCTTGATTGTATTGCCCTCTTTCTAGGCTCTCTGGCTCTGCCAGAGAGCATTTCTTATAGCCATGGCCAGGTGGCGAGGTTATTGCGCGTCTGTGGCTAATAGTGACAAATTCATGATTCTAGCACCTTCTAGAATCTCCCTTCTTTCTGATAGTGACAAATCCATGATTCCAGCACCTTCTAGAACCCCCCCTTTTTTCTGACATACACTTTTCGTGCATCACCTCCCTAAAGTCTTGTTCGACGACTCGCTTATACTCAGCCCCCACGTCTTCCTCGAAGGTGTCCTCTTTAAGCACCGGGCATTCGAGGCACCGAGTCTGACCTGCCCTAATATAATAAGCAGGCTCGACATCCACCTGGGCGAGTAGGAGTTACCTTTGCCGCTTAAAGTAAGTATGGGTGATATTTATATCTTCCGTCGAGCCGTCAAGACGCTAGTCAGATACAAGACGTCCCCAGCCGAGCCTATTAGTCCTGCAATAATTGCTGGATGGGTTAGGAGAGTTGGCGAGCTCACGGGGTTCGAGGTCCCGACGATCCCATGATATAATGCTGCTAATGTGTTTGACAGAAGTAGTATGTTTTCTGATTATAAAAAGATATCCTTACTAATAACTAGATAGGTAATATGAGCGGCGTAACTAGAAATCTCATACTAGATCACGCGAACTCGAATCAGTTCCAGAGGCACTACCTAGGGCGCCAACTTGCGGTCGACTCGTACGCACTCATCCGCGGGCTAGAACCGCAGAATGCCCTAGTATTAAGAAGCTAGCCTGCAAGGTCAAGGAGTTACGCCAACAGGCAAAAACCTCACGTAAAGCCATGCAGAAATACAAAAAGGCGTATGACAAGCTCCGGAGCGCTAAGCAAACGTAGAGAAGGGCCCTCAAGGACAAGATCAGAGAATAGTGGACCAACAAACAGGCAGTGATCGACATTGAGAACCAGCTTGCGGGCCTTGGCTTCGTTGAGGAACCGGCTATCCGGAAGTCTAGCCGTCCGAGACGCCCAGCCCAGAAACGGCTAATGGACGCACTCACGGCTCCGGTCGAAAGCACAGTCGAGGGCCAGCACCGGCGAATAGATGTTGCCATCTATGCCGTGATGGCCTATTACGTCGTAGTGGAAGGACCGGCTGTACGGCGTACTAACACTTCCGGGGCGGGGACGATGTAGCGGTCTTCCGTCAAGGATGAGCCTCGAGAAGACAGTTGTTATGCAGAAGACGGTCGTTATACAGAAGACGGTCGTTATGCAGAAGACGGTCGTCGTGCGGCTGTGTTGTCTGTCTTCATAGCAAGTAAGGAGGAGAGGCCGAGGAGATACTTCCTTTGCGTAGGCCTAGCGCTCCGCTTGGAACCAGATGACCCTTGCATCGAAGAACTCAAGTACGAATTTTACAGTGCCGGCGACTTAAGTAAGCACTTCTAACGGAAGCACCTGAAAAACATCCGAAAGGGGGACGGTATAGAGTGCGGAGCTTGCTACATACTACTAGACCACAAGATACATCTCCAACGCCATGCCCTTCAGATCCATAGCACGGTATCCTAATATCATCTATCTACCAAGAGTGGCTTGCACTATCAAGTGAACTGCCTTGCTCAGCTTGTATAAATCCCTACGAATCGAAAGGCCCTGTTTGCCTTTCAGCCGGCCGTCTACGCCGCTATGCTCTGCAGCCACCCAAGACACCGGCTTTGTCGGGAGCGGGAAGAGAGTAGTCAAGGCCTGGATGCCTGGAGCTTTAGAGTATATAAACCACCCCTCGCCCCTGTTCCCTTTCTCCTCCTCTTATCCCTTGACTTCTCACTCCTTGGAAGCGGCAGGAAGCCCGACGAACCACCATCTGACTAACGACCTCGACAATCAACTTTCGTGGCCGTCTCTACCTCCTACGTTCCTGAAGTTATTACGTAGAATACTATACGTCGCTGCCTTGGTGTAATGGCTATCACTCATGTGCGACCGGACGACCGTCTCCACCTATAAAGCATTGCGAGCCTATTTGGTGCGTTATCCAATGTAAGAGAAGGCAGGTACGCCTGATCAAGGTGGTCACAATAGGAGCAACAAGCAGGGCGAGCAATGACTGGTATTGGCGTAAGACTTCAACCTGGCCTGAGCTAAAGAGGTGTGCGAAGGCCATGGTCTATATACACGTGAAAGGGGTTACGAGTCATCCTTGCGTGGCCAGGGTGGTAGTGGCGATAGTGCGTGGCCCTGTTAGCGGTGGCGATAGTGGCGATGGTGGCGAGGGTGGCCCTGGTGGCGGTGGCCATGGTGGTTACGAGGGTGGTTTCCTTACATCCAAGATCATGACCGTTATAGGGGCTGGTATTAGCACAAAGGTAGGTATTCCTATAGTTATTCCCCGCTTCCCTTCTTGATCACCTCTTACTAGATTAGGACTTTCGGTCGAAAAATGGCTTCTATTCCCTCGGTTATTGTCGTCTTTTCTACTCGACGGTTCTTTCTGATCCGGAAAGGAAGCCTCTCTTCTATAATAGCATCACCAAGATACGCCAGGTCGTTAAGCGCGCCAGTCTAACGAGAACACATCGCTTTATCTTTAGTTTGCGTAATACTAGAAAGCTAGTTCAGGACTATGCCCAGAACATCGAATGCCTTGAAGAGAAGGTTGGTCTCTCTACCGATTTGCGGAAGGGTCCTGGAAGTCGACCCCGTTTCTGCAGGAAGTACCGGCCAACACATGTCCGAGGCCACCACCGAGTCGACCACGAGCCGCGTCTCCAAGAGAGAGGCGTTGAATGTATTCTCCTCTATGGATCTCTCTGCCGTTTGCGATGCTCCAACTGTTTTAGTCACCCCTGTACAAATCTGCGGGCTCTGGCAAGAAGCGTTAGAGGGCGTCTTAGTGGCTGCATGTATCCTTGCCTACCTCTCCGAACACGATAGGATATTTACTTACCTGTGCGTCACAAATTGTGGTTTGCGATCATTAGTTCAATTAGACGAGAACGAAGAGCAGAGAATAGGAGGGGGAGAAAACGAGCACCTAACTTGAAGTAAATCCAAATTGGACCACTTAAGAGTACCGCTCGTAACTTGACAAATTATATAAACATTTACATTATTTCCTTGACAATGAGACTCTACCTACCCTACCTTCCCATGTAAAAAATATCCACTGTTTACAGGCGGCCTTTCCTAAACTAGTCTAGAGCGTCCTCGTCTTAGCTATAATATATGAACATACAATATGTCTTTGACTTTTTTATTATCTCTACCCGGACACTCGGCTCTCACCGGCATGCGGTCTAATTGTGCCCCGTCAAGAATCAAATCTATCAGAAAGACAAGACATCTCTAATCTTCCTCATTACTCTTACCCAAACATCCCGGCATCCATCATAGAGAGAGCATGCAATCCAAATACACCGCAACCAGGTTCAATAAGTACTATTATAGAATCCAAAAACAGACATTAACTCGAAATCCTTCCACATTTCCTTTCCCATTGATACATTTGATAACACGACGACATGCAGTCCGAATAAAGCCGAGACCGGAAAATCCAGACTGAAAATACCAAGTCGGGGATCGCCTTGCTCCGCCGGATTATGAATGCCAACCCTTTTTTTGTTGCTTGGCTTTGAAGCTTAGCTTCATGTCTAGTGTTTCAGTCGCCTACCCTTATCATAACCACCTACCTGGTAGTCAAATACTTGGTTCTCATTGCTGACTTAATTTTTGATGACTTAATTTTCGATGGTTGCTATTATTTGTATTGTTATCAATTAAATATATTATATTTTAGCAACACACCAGAAATATATTAAGAAGTAATCAACAGCGCATCACTCTCAGCCGATGAACGAAAGACAGGAAGAAATTCGGAGTACAAGATTGTAGTCCGAGCGCGGGATCTGATTGGCCGGCCTCGGTTAGTCCATGCCGTCCAGAGAATGATTAACAGAGCTCGCCTCAACGCAAAATGTGTCGGCATCTACAGCTTGTTTCCCTCGGCAACGATGGCTGAATTCTCCAGGACCGGCTCGTCTCCGTGGCCATTGAGCGCCGTGTCTACCAAGACCTTTCCTACGGAATCGACGGTCACTGAAGGAGCCACCAGCCTCGAAATATGTCTCGGATGTTGTTGTGCTTCGCTAGGATGAAACCCGGCTTCAAAATCACGACTTCCAAAACGTCGGCATTCGCTTTGGCATGCGCCAGCAGTTCGGTCTCTACTTGGCCCTGTTCATCTGGTTAGCGACGAATGGTATTGAATTTTGACAATAACAGTGACGCATAGTCAAGGTAACAGGTACTTACGCGAATCCGCCGGTAGCTTTGCATGACCCAGAGAGATTTGGTCTGGTCACGCTCGGCCAGCCCGCCGCTCACGTAGATGAAGCGGAACTTCCTGCCACCTGGGCTCACGGCAGCCGGGGTGAAGGTTCGGGCAGCCGTCATGGTGAAGTCGAGACTGACTTTCTTAGCCAATGCAGCGTCGGATGTGGGATTCTGGCCCGGAGCCCTGGAGTGTGGAGAGAAACAAAGCAGTTAGCTGATGTAGTTTTTGACATACCATCATGCAATCGCGCCTGGCTGCTCGTAGCTGCTGATGATAATTCAAGATTGGTAACCTAGAAAAGAAGAGGCCGAGTGATTGAGAATTGAGAGCGATTGCGAACCTGTTGTACGCGATCGAAGTTGACAGCGCATTGAAATGTCTGCTCAATAGGTCTAAAAGTACAGAAAAGAACGCTTCCTTATACTCGTGGAGAGAGGGCAAGGGAGGCGTTGTAATCAGCCCGAAAGAGGGCATTCCGAATGAAATGAGGACATTCTGAGTCAAGAATGGAGGAAATAACAAAGAATGAAGGAAGCTCAGAAACATGTCAACCAGGCCTGTCCAATTCCATGAAAAGTGGGTCAATTCCAGACGACAGAACCAGATACACGCCTCGGCACCCTCAGCTGCTTTTAGGGCAGCGGGGCCGTAGGAGAGATGGTCATCGATGATTACATTGTTGACCTTGGGACTTAGTGGCAAGGGAAGAGGGCGGCGAGAGAAGGCGACGATGGACGTGACAGCAGCGTGCTGGGTCAACTGGCCCAGCACCTCTTGGCCGACAAATCCCGTCGCGCCGCCCAGGATGACCTTCATGGCGTGTTTGAGTATTGAGGATCTTGTTTGATGCAGCGCTGGATAACGAATTGCGTGGATCTAGCGAAGCTCCATTTACAAAGCGTGGCAAATTGTAAGTTCGGCCGAGTAACAGCGATATAGCCATTTTTGCCATTTTTGCCGTCACTGCTGCGGCATACGTCGGAAAGCAGCTTTGCTAAATCTTGGCTGAGTGGCGCGGATCCATGTCACACGGCATGAGAACGACAAATTATCCACGGTTTGGAAGCGTGATCATTCTGCAATACTTGTAGAGTTGAATTTGGGCCTGATACTTGAGTGCTGGTAACCCGACTAAAGTCAAAACAGGGTGCTGCCATTCACCGGAGCTAACGCAACGGGGAAACAAGAAGAGAGATCACCAATCCAATTTTTTATGTAGTCTAGCTACTCCAAGATGGTGAGAGCAAATGTTTGCCACCAGCCTTTGCGACCAATCATGCCGATGACAAACGAATAGCGTATTTAGGACCTGCCCATCTATTTGTCTCGCGGTACAAGGCAGAGACAGACACAACGAATTACAATGAAATTCCTGCAGCTGGCGGTCGGAGTTCTAAAATCCTCAACTCATACAGTATTCCAGCCAAACCCTCCACTAACGGGACTAATTAGCTGCTGTCAACCAAGAAGGCGGCTGTCAGCAAGCCGTCAGAAATTCGGATCGAGATAATGTAGTGACGGCTGCGGCAAGATCTCATCGTCATCGTCATCGACATCATCGTCATCATCGTCATCATCATCATCATCGTCCTCGTCCTCGTCCTCGTCATCTTCAGAGGGCATCCAGTGGGTGTACTCGTCCTCAAGGTCCGAGGTCCACACGGGGCAGATATTCTCGGGGCTGAAATGCGCATTGTAGAACAGGTGGATAGCGGCGACGACGATGTCCCAGAGCTCGGCCTGGTTCACGTTGTTGTACCACTCTCGCCAGTCCCAGATATCCGAGCCCCGGGAATGGCCGAACACGATGTTGCGGGCCGCATCGACGAGGTGGTGGATCTGCATGTTGCGGATCTCCTCCGAGCTCTGGTCCTCGGCCAGCAGCCTGATGGCCGCCTGCCAGTCGACCGGCGGGGGCCAGGCGCCGCCGTCGTAGTTGTCCTCGAGGTCCCGGACAAAGTCCTCCATGGTGTCGGCGACTTCAAGGCTCGTCATGAACTGCGTGAACAGCTCCCGCTCCGCGATCCCATGAGCGATTTCGTACACGCCGTTGCCGAACTGGTGTACTTCAGGTGTCTCGTCGCCGCCATGGCCGTTGATATCGTCGTAATACATTGGCGCAGTGGGTGTGGAATAAAAAGGTCGGTAATTAACGCCGCAGTTGAAACGTGATTTTGGTTTCCAGAGAGGAACAATAACCAGGGAGGGTGTGCTGCTTATGATATAGAGAAACAGGAAGGGCCAGAAACATAAGTGTTGTAAGATGTTAGCAAAAAATAACTTTAAGTTCCAAAATGACTTCAATAACAAAAGTAATAGCAAAGACAACAAACTATCCAGTCAATGTCTGCCGTCGTTCCTGTGCGAAGGTGGATCATCATTCGTGTGAGTCTTGGTAATGACAATAAAGTTTGGCTTTGTCCGCTTGCTCTCAACCAAAACCTGTCTTGGCGCTCAGTGGCGATATTCCAAGATGCGTCGCTCTACAGTCCATGAAAGACACGTCCCATGAGCTCGGAGATATGGGTATTTACAAGAGGTTTGTTGCGAGGTGAAAAATGAAAATAGTATCAAAATCATGCATCTGCTCTCTGTTTAAAATAACGTTGATAAATTCTCTCGATTTGACCAAAATGAATACACAACATACATTTCTCTGCCTCATTTGCTCGTCCTTCCTCATGACCAAAACAAACCCCGCTTGCACCTCGCATGCAGGAGAGAAGACTTTGGAGCCGCCCGCGAAGGATCCTTTCTGGCGGATGAATCCATGTTCTTTCTCTCAAGCAGACTAAGTTGGCTGCGCTGCGAAATGCAAGGGGAAAAAGAACCTGAGACTAGTTTTCAAGACATTCCCAAGCAGACCCAGCTCAGGGACTCATCTCATTGAATCAGGGCTGGGACAGGCGCAGATGACACGACATGACATCCATGACATGAACTGCTGACCCAACGGTCACACACAAATAAGGGTTTCAACTTTTGTGTAACAGAAAACACGAAGAACCGAGAAAGAAAAAAAGAACGAAAAGAAAAAGGTCTCACTGTGGGCTTGGCCTAAGCTAGTAGGGATCGTCACTTTTATATAAGTAACGTCAGAAACCTTGTTTCGAGCTTGGCCGATGACATTGGAGATGGTGTGTGGGTGGGCGTGTGTCCCACGGCCATTCACAGCATGCACAATCTGAGCTAATCAGGAAAGCGAAACGCGTTCGACCGTTTGTTCTTTTTGAGCACTGATCACAAAAGCACTGCAGCCAACTCACGGAGGGCGTAAGCACTCTGTTGTGTGTCCAGAGTCGCAGCGCTGTGGCACAGAGAGTGGCTCGGCCCAGGGCCTTGTGCGGTGCTGCAAACGAAAGGGTCACAGAGCGCGATCTCAATCCTGAATGAGATCTAAAACAAATCCTTTCCGCGTGCGCGCCGCCGCTGCCGCCTGCTGCGGCTGGAAGCCTGGAAAAAGCTGGCAGACCGGCCAGAGGCTTTGGCGGCGTCCCAACATCCCACCTCATCCTTCTGGAAGGATCCGGGGCAAATGCTTGTCTGCTGTCAAAAATGGAAGAAGTTCACGAAAAGAGACGAACCGACTACCAGGGAGCTTCTTTAGTGATTTCGCCTTTGATCCGCAATTTGCGTTGCTTTCTTGTTCTCGATAGCAAGCGAAGACATGGAACGAAGTTGCTATTGTCGGCTTGGTCTCAGCAAGACGGCCATCAGCTAAGTGTACCTGGTTATGCTTAGCAGGCGGTTAAGAAGCGGTTGGATCTTGAGGTTTCTCGAGTTGAGGATCCGAGTGCAACTATTTGCCTCGAGTTTTGTGCGGCGTCGAGCTAGGTGGTGGGTTTGTAATTTAGGTGGATTTTTGGCAGGGAGATTACCTACCCTCAGCTACCGCATTTGAGTCGCGGATAGCAGGCACCGAAACTCAACAACGTTTCGAGGCAAGTCACTCACTCTTGTGCAGTGGATAGAATAAGCACGGCATCTAGTTGTTCGACGGCTTTTGACTTATCTAACAATTAGCTTCCATTTAATAGAAAGAGATGAAACAGAAGCCGGAGAGTAGCAGGGCTGCTAGCGAAGCTCAAGGGGCGGCCGCAGACTCGGCGCTAGAGTGCTCGCTAGGTGGATTCCACGGCGCTTGTTGGGAAAGCTGAGGATCTGAGGGGCGCGAATGGCGCTAGGCGCTTATGGTGGGTGGTGCGGGGCCGTGGCAAATGCCTGGGCGCTTGGCCCTGGGGCCTGCTGTAGTGGCCTGACAAGCCAGAATGGCCGACTCACTGCAGTGGCGAACCTTGAAGGCAGCGCGATCACTGTGAGCACCAGGGCGGGAGCAAGCAAGTGAGCCCGGAGGAGCGGGAGCAGACCACCAATCAACCAGTAGTGCATTTGTCCTGGGGGCCCAACAAATCTGGCGGCCCGCGGGCCTCGACGAACCGTTCGCGTTGAGACGCAAGCCACCGCACTGGTGAGACTAGAAAACTTGGAAACGTTGGCGCGTGGGAAAGCCCACGCCGTGGCCAATGTTACACGTCTCTTTGCATTACACAGTACATTGACGGCGCCGAGCTGATGAGAGTGAGTCTGTGCGTGCTTATGCCGGTCGCAAAAAGAAAGGGAACCTGGGAAGCGACAACTCTTCTCAACCAGTAAAACACAGAAAGGCGATGAAGCTCGATCCCGAATTCCACCTGTCACATCCGGACGTTGGCGATCGGCGTTCGACATTGCGACTTCGGGGCCTAATGCGGGCGGTGCGCGGGGCGCTGGTTCTGCGGGGACGCGGTTGCAAGCCTTATTTGGCCAGCGGCAGGACGCCGTCGCCGTGGAGGTTGCATACAAGTTGCTGCAGTGTCCAGCGGGACAGAACGGGCGAGGCGGTCGAATCTGCACAAATTGTGAGGCTGAGAATGGACGGTGGGATTGGTGGTGGTGGGGAGTTAAGCGTTGCGCATGCATCAGCGTCCAGTGCCGGGCCAAACAGACACGAAAACCACTATTCGACGGAATAGCACTTCGTACTAGGACTACGGACATGACGGGAATATGATGGGCGGAAAAGTCCTTAGTGGTCACCTCAGTCAGCACCGCAGCCGACAGTTGATCTCTCTTACCCGTTCGGTTTGTTGGTTTGGCCCCTCGAGTCCACTGATTGACGCTTCTCCTATTTTACCCAATCGCTGGCAAGGCTGGCGCAGCTGGTTGCTGTCTACGTAGTGGGAGAAATGAGGTGAGGTGCAATGGGCTGCAGTAAAACGCGGTGATCTCTCGGCGGCCCGGCTAGCTCGGACTCCGGTACGACAGCACACCGACCTCGACCGATTTTAGGGGCCAGGGAGACTCGGACACAAATAATGGGTGTGTGGTTAGCGTGATGGTAGTGTACTCAGGTGCGGTGCTTGGAGTCTTGGACAGAAAGCTGATTGTCTTGGCCTATCCGCGATTCTATCCCTCGTCCTCATTTTGCAGCGATTCAAGACGAATCTCGGGAAGAATCAAGGCTAGGCAAGCCCAGAGGCGTAGGTAGTCATAGTCAGGATGTTGACCTGCCTAAGCTTGACTTGCGCGATTTGGAAGGCATTGCATCATCCCTCCCCACCCCCCTTCCCCCGAAAAAACCGGGCGGGGTTGGCCATCTGCGCAAAGATACTGTGTACGTCCGAGAAACACGAGAGCGGCCTGGAGTGCTAAGTGCCTGGAAGAGCCAGCCAGGCCTGGACGAGATGTCTCGGGACCTGCCATGACTAGTCGGGCGTGTATCGGACGGCTGGCCGTTCTGGTCGGATCTTGGCCACCGCAGGCCGTTGTTGGGAGTTCAGGTGCACCAACTTCGAAGTGGGGGGACAAGCTCCAGGGGAGCTCCCTCCAAGGGATGGGCAGGGCTGGAGACGGGACCCGTTCCACGGGCAGACACAGCGCCACTCAAGCGGTTCCACTGCCTACCTCAGAGAAACCTGCCACCCCAAGGTACGCAAGATTTCGACATACATGGACGCTCCGCGGAGGTGACTACCAGGTGGCTTATTCCATTCCATATCATAAGATATGTAGTATCTCGTAGATATACCGGTGGGGAAAAAATGTGCACAGTAACTTCTTGGCGGCGGGCGGTCGAGGCGCAAAACAGTCAGAAGCGTATTGCAACACGTTACTCGGCCTCGATACATCCCCCCAAGGGAACTGGGGAGTGATCGCGCCTCTAAGATTGGGCTTGCCCAGGCTTGTCCGTATCAGGGCGGTCTTGCTCGTTTGAGCAATGTCACTGACAAAGCGGATGACCAACGCCTTGCTTCGAGCGGCTGCAAAAAGCAGGCTGGGAGCGAGATGGGCGGTTGTATGTGTACAATACATACAGACTTCGTAGTCATGGATAGAATGCCGCCGTATGCAGGACAAGTCACGTCCAGCGCCTTCGATTGCCCCCAGTTCGGTTTTGGCCCCACCGCCTCCCACAGGCGGGGCCCACCTTAGATCTCCACACCAGCGCTCCCCACCAGCGCTCCCCACCAGCGCTCCCTACCAGCGCTCCCCGCTCTCCGCTTCCCGGCGCACCAACTGACAGACGGGCAGACAGCCAACCTCCCTCCCCCTCGCCTTTCTTGGCTCCAGCGGTGCCGACTTCCATGCCTCGAGCGTGCATGCTCCCCTGCCAGCGACTTCGAGTCTCCGAAAGAGCCACGCTTTTGTTAATAAATCACGGAAGGACTCTGAGCTGGTTAATTAGTGGAGTGCAGTACAGTGCAGTGCAGTGCTGGAGAGTCGACGGGGCCCGGCAGGCGCCAGGCGACGGGTGTCTTCCTGGCTGTCACGTTGCGACCAATCAAGGATGGAATCAGATACTCCCCTCTGCCGTCTGAGTGCGGCTCAGGTGCCTCATTGTCGGTGAGTGGATATCTCGGGTCCTGGGAGGGTGCATCTGCCTGGCGGGTTAAGTGATCATAACACACCCCTTCCGTCAGCTGAGGCGGGCAAGGCTCGTGGGCCTCTGGATTGCGCAAGCTGGCTGGCCTGCGAGCGAGAGCTGGCTATATCCGCTGAACTTCCTTCTCACGCCACCCAGGAGCCGAATACCTTGCCTTACCTTACCTTGCTTTGCTTTCCATACTTTGGGTTGGTGGGACGTTTCCGTCGCGTTGATCCAAAGTCTGTTGCGACGGCCTGTACGGTAATCACAGCTGTCTTTCCTGTCAATGAGTGGGTGCCCCTCCTTTCCATCCAGTCTTCCAGGTTGTTATCTGCCCAGCGCTCTGGGCCCTCAAGGTCCCTGCCCTCAAGGTCCCTGCTCCTTATCTCGGCCCATCCAGAGTCAGTGTCGATCGCTTCTAGAACGTCCATCCCGGCACTTCCCGCCACCACTGCAGCGCACTCTGCCCCGCCTAGTCGCCCACTTCTGAGCAAATAGGGGACTGGCCGCCCCTGGATCCTTTGTCTTTGCTCTCGTACCTGATCTTTGTAAAGGCACCGCCCTTTCAAAGGAAACTTGTTAACTTGCGCCCGGCCTCGAGCAGACCCCTTTTCACCGAGCCGATTGTCGACGTCACGCTTGCAACGGGTTAGATAGACCCTAGGTTATTTACCTACGGGCCTCTACAAAGCCTCTCTCGACGATCCCTCGACGAGCACGGAACCGCAAAGCCCGATCCTACGGTGCAGTTCGTCCTACCCTCCTCCCTCGACCCCATCCAACAGTTCGTCCTGCCCTCCTCCCTCAACCCCATCCAACAGTTGCCCACCATGCACGGCTATTCGTCCGAGTCCGAGACGGACGATGATTACACCTACCGCAAGCAAAAGGCGGCCGCAGCTGCTGCCCCGGCTACCAACGATGCAAACAAGAAGAAAAAAAAGCGCCGGGTGCCCCCCCAACAGTCGATCAACCGTATTTGGAAGCGTTTCAGCAACAAGAAGTTCAACAAGGCCTTGGCGGTTCTGCCCTTCGACCCCGTCCTCCCGCCCACCATCTCTGAGCGGTCAAACGAATTGTTGACTGCTGGCTATGAGCGTGCTGCGGAGGAATGCCGCCGCAAAGTCAAGAAGATTATACAAGAATGCCGGAGGGTGAACATGCGATACCGGGACCCTGGCTGGGATATTGTAAGTGATGCTATGTACCGCTCGCGCGCCCTCTGTGTGGCTCACATTGGGGAATGTAACCATCTACGTGATGGCTCATATGCATCTTCCCATGACGAGAAGTGCGCTGTTCCTTAACGTGTATTCCTCGTCCAATGTTGTGGCCGTCTGCACTGTTTCCAAAGATGGCTAACCTGCGTGTCTGATATTCTAGGACTGGGACCTTAAGATGGAAAAAGGTCATACCCTAAACAGCCTCGGCGCCACAAAGTTCGACATCTCCGGTTCTACCATCTTGAACCCAAGCTCTGTCGTCCCTAAGGCTGTTAAGCGTGTGCACGAAATCTACGAGAAGCCCACGTTCATGGCCAAACTCAGTGGCTCCGATGTCAAGCAAGGCAGTATCGGCGACTGCTGGTTGATGGCCAGTTTGTCTGGGCTTGCCAACGTTGAAGACGGCATTAAGCGCATATGCGTCGAGTATGATACCAGGATTGGCATCTACGGCTTCGTGTTTTATCGAGGTAGGCGTCCCAGCGGCTGTCGCAATTGGCCCAGATAAGAGCCGTTGTACTGACTACATCCAGACGGCGAGTGGATCTACTCCATCATCGACGACAAGCTGTTCCTAAAGTCTCCTGTCTGGGATTCGCCTAGCATGCAACGTGACCTCCTCCAGCAGATTGACCGCGAGGACGTGGAGCGCGTCTACCGCAAGACCTACCAGACTGGCTCCAAGGCGCTCTTCTTTGCGCAGTGCAAGGATCAGAATGAGACGTGGGTTCCGCTGATTGAGAAAGCATACGCGAAAGCCCACGGCGACTATGCGTCCCTCGCCGGAGGCTGGATCGGGGAGGGATTGGAAGATCTCTCGGGCGGTGTTACAACCGAGCTCCTGGCATCAGACATCCTTGACCTGGATGGGTTCTGGGACAACGAACTCAGCAGGGTCAACGACGAGTTTCTCTTCGGCTGCAGCACTGGCCTTCTGGATGGTGGCTATGGCGACCGAGACGGCATCTCCGAAGGCCACGCTTATGTCGTCATGGAAGCGCGGACTCTCAAGAACGGCACCCGCCTGCTCAAACTACGGTGAGTACGTCAGAGCAAGAGACCCAAGAAGTAACGCTAACTGTGCCGACAGAAATCCATGGGGTAAAGCTAAGAAGGGCATCTGGGAGGGTGCTTGGTCAGATGGCTCTAAGGAGTGGACCACCGAGGTGCAAGAAGAACTGGGTCACCAATTCGGGAGCGACAGCGTCTTCTGGATCTCGTACGAGGATCTCCTCAGCAAGTATCAGCATTTTGACCGGACCCGCCTATTCCGTGACCCGGACTGGCGGTGCTGCCAACGATGGATCGGTGTCGATGTGCCATGGAAGCCCCAGTACAACGAGAAGTTTCACATCAAGCTGACACGCGAGTCGCCATTGGTGTTGGTTTTGAGCCAGCTTGACAACCGGTACTTCAAGGGTCTACACGGCCAGTACTCATTCCGGCTGCACTTTCGAGTGCATGAGCAAGATCGGCCCAACCCCGAGGACTACATCGTCCGGAGCCACGGCAACTACCTGATGGATCGTTCGGTATCTATCGAACTTCCATCCATGCTTCCCGGCAACTACAGCGTTTTCATCAGCGTGGTTGGCGAACGCGACACCAACGTTTCCAGCATTGAGAGCGTGGTGAATCGCGAGTGTAAGAAGCGCGTCGAAAACGAGAAACTCGCCCAGGTCGGCTCTGCATATGATCTCGCCCATAGCAAAGCCGCCGCTCATATTGAGGCGGTCAAGAAGCTCCGCAAGCGTGCTGACCAGAAGAAAGCCAGCGATGCGCGTGTCCAGGAGCGCCGTAAGCTGTGGGAGAAGCGCCACCTTAACCGCGAGATCACCAAGAAACAGGGCCGCAAGAATAACCAGAAGCTGGAGGCCAAGCAAGCAGCTCGCGATGCGAGAAAGCGCAAAGAAGAAGATCTGAAGCCTAAGGATAAGGCAGTCCAGACCGAGGACCCTCCCAAGGACGAGAAGAAGCCCGAAGATGCACCCAGTGGCGACGATGTTACCAAAGTCGAAGAGAGCCCCAAATCCGAGGAGGGCCCTAAGCTCGAGACGGTCCCTAAAGTTGAGGATACTCTCAAGGCGGACGATATATCCAAGGGTGAGAACGTTTCCGAGGCCGGAGAGACCCCCAAGGCCGAGGACACGACCAAATCCGAGGCCACGACGGTCGATGAGAAGAAGCCAGAAGCCGAATCCGGCTCCAAGGTTGAACAGCAGCCCGAAGCCAAGGAAGAGAAGGCGGCAGATGCAACGGAGTCCAAGAAAGAGGACACTGCCGGGGCTGGAGTTAAAGGCGTAGAAAATGATGAGACGCCCGACAGTACTCCTGTTCCAACTCCAACCGAAAGCCCTGCCGAGACCCCTACCGCGGAGAAGACTGAGGATCAAATGACTGGAAAGTCACCAGGATCCTCTACCCCGTCTGAAGAGGTGAAATCTGAAGACGCAGCAGAGAAAGAGTCGGGAGAAAGCTCTGGAGCCAGTTCACACGACAAGACAGCTGCTCAGCCTTCCGACAACAAGCCTGAAGAAGCCAGCCCGGGGTCGTCGAAGGACGGCAAAGACGGTAGCTTGGACGATAAGTCCTCGGCCCACGAAGGTGTTCCTTCGGCAAGCAGCTCCGACTCTTCAGGTAGCCCGGAGCTCACGCCGAAGAGCGACACTACCGTAGCACCTGCCACGAATCAGAAAGACGAAGACAAGGTCCCTGTACCGCCTGTCGATGCGTCGACCGTGTCAGGCGCTCCGCCCCCGGCCGATTCAGCGCCTACCGCCGACAATACTGCCAACGCGCACTTGCCCACCTCTTCAGATTCGCAGCCTGCTCCAGCATCCAAGAAGGCGGCGAATATGTACGTCACTTCAGATGGCGAATCTAGCGCATCGCCCATCGAGGACTGGGAAGAGCTTTACAGCAGCGACGACATGACTCGGAAGCCGCGTATGGCTGCCTCTGCGGCGGCTGGCACTAACGTCATCAGCAAATACAAGGACGAGACAGATGACGATGACGAGGCCGACCCGTGGAACGCGATCTGCGTCGTTGGGTTGAGATTATACTCGAGGGACGAGGATCTAGAGCTCCGCATCGTAATGGAAGGTGGCGAGCTTGAGGAAGGCGGCATGGGTGAGAAGGGCGGTGTCGACCTTGACAACGCACAGGCCAACGCAGGCGGCGAGAGAGGACGCAAGAAAGACGACGAGGACGGCGCGTACGAGGGCGATAGCGAGGTCGACAAGAAGCTCAAAAATGAGAAGAAGCGGTCCGACAGCAAGGGCAATGCCGAGACAGACAAGGCGGCCGACGGCGTTGCTCCTTATCCCGTCATCGTTCAGAAAGGGAAAGGCGACGAGGACTACGAGAGCGCCGTCGAGTCCCAGAGAGACTAAGCAACGACTGAGGTGCTTAGTTGAGGTGACTCACGGCACAAAACGAACACTTTGAGTGAGCAGCATCGATTTCCACACACATGCGATGATGATGAGATGGGTCAAAACACACACTACACAATAGAAACGACCAAACGCCGGACGGATGGGTAAAGTGTATAGAACGACTTTTTGGGCACAGTGCGATGCATTACAAGCGAGACAGACAGGCATTGTGATTTGAGAGCTTGTCGAGACAAACAGACTCTAATGTCTGGTTGTCTTAACACGAAAGCCTCTTGGTATTTAATCGACTTGATATCAGAACGGAGGAAGGGCATGCTGATACGTTTACATATCCACTTACTTCGTATTTATTCTCATCTATATGGGGCTGCTGTAAACTGTTCTAATTAGTATACGAAGGAATATGCCACTTACACTTATTTACATTTCTTCAGCTAATAGTTTGTTCGCGGCTCACATAATTACTCTATCAAAATCGTATTTTCTGCATCCTATTGGTGGTTTAACTGCCCCAGAATCGGTCGATGACAGAGGCCTTCGCGTGCCAAAAGCGAGTTGTTATCTATTTCCCCTGTGGACCAGTTTAATCACCAAGCCACAGTCTCGCCGTTGTAAAGAATGAGCTTCCCGCCGTGCTCTGCCTTGGTCGTCGCCGAGAGCACCTTTAGCATTGTGTCGCACGACCTTCCAGCCCGATCACGAACGTAGCCTGTGTGAACTTAGCCTAGTGACCTCGTCGACGCCAAAGGCCTTAGCCGCATCCCCCAGGTTTGTGTGAACCCACCCAAGGCACAGCGAGAACGAGTGCAGCCAGTCATCTTCAAGGTGGATCTTGAGCGTGTACCAGGCCGAGGCCAGCTTGGACGGCCCGTAGGCTGCGTTGGAAAAGGGGAGGGGGGCGCTGTGCCGGTTTAACGTCTTGTGTTGGCGAAATGGGAAACAGGATGGTTGCTGAATCAGGCTATTCGGTACCTTGAGCTGCCGGTCGTGCCGCCCATGTTGGTCATCAGGATGGGCTCCCACTTGGACTTCTCGAGCAGCGGCCGCGTGCCCTCGCCCCGCGGCAGCGACGACAGCGCCCGCGACGAAGCGCCGTCCGGGTCCCGGTTCGCCGCGATCACGGCGTGGTCCGGCAGCGCTAGGTACCGCGCGAGCAGGCCCCGGCCGATGCTCTTTTGAACAATACACGAGAACAACGGTCAAGGCTTTCATCCCCGTATTTCTCTGCTCTCCAACACCATCTTTATGGAATGACATTTTCTATACGCTGTGGAAATGGCTGGTCAAGTCAAAGTGAGGACGGCCAAGTCCAGGGTTGAGCTTCGTGTCGACTTGGGCTTGAGGCATTATCTTGGCCTGGAGTGCTTGTCTGTGACGTGGATTGGTCTCACGGATAATGCTGTCTTGCTAATTGAAGTTTGTTGAGGGAGGCTGCAATAGCTATATGAGTAATGGAATGATGCATCGACCATCAAAGTTTCGATCAAAAGGCCCTTTCGCAGCAGCTTAAATACCAATATCCCCACCCTTCCTAACTCAACCATAAGACCAAGTTAAATACTTGGCGTGATAAATTGCACCGGCCCTTGTCCGTCTCCATAGATTCGCTTCTTGGTTCGGCGACGTTCGGTTCCTTGGAGATTCACACGCGTGAAAGCAAATCTCGCAACCCTACAGTTATCAGTCGCCGGCTGCTGGTCACCGGAAATCGACAATCACGCGACATGTAGATAGAAATTAAACCAGGGTGAGCGCTGCCGCGGTACCGATGAACGACGATGCAGCCTGCAGGTTATTGCATGTCGCCCTGCTCCACAAGAAGAAACCCAACCCACAACTCAAAATATGGGTTGGATAGACAGGGATCATAGTACTATAGCATGTTGTGCTGGTTGAAAGAGGGCAAGTTTTGTCTCTGATTGGCTTTGTTTGGCAAGGCATTGTCTGTTCTTGTCCGCTTCAATGACGCGGGAGGCTGGGAGACGGGATGGGAGAGGAGGGTCTGGGCAAACGTCATCGGGGGTGGCCGCCAACCTTGCACATGCCTTGGACAGCCCGACTTGGACCCTTTGTGCCTTCCAAACCAGGCCATTGGACGAGTGCGGAGAAGAGGCTCCGCTGAGAGATCTACCTAGCTGCAGCAAAGTAAAATTTTGGAAACGCAACCGTTCGTTCATCCCAGTCGATCTCTCCTGCCGCGCCGCTGGCCGACGCCCGGGTCGGTGACGTCATCGTCATGACAGCCACCCACCTCATCGCATCGCTTTGTCGCCTGTATAAGAAGACCACAAGAAAAGTCAATTCCCTCGCGGCCGATACAGAATATTACAAGCCACATACAAAAATACACACACACCACCAACGAATCTATTGCAGCATCTTGACAGACAGAGCCTGCAACTCAATCCTCCACCACAACCCCCGACCAACGAAAAAGACCATCAGGAAAAAAAATGGCTGTCACCACCGCCGTCTCGGACCTCGTCAAGTCATTCGCCGAGCTGCTCTCGTCGCTCGTGCACTCGGTCTACGCCATCGTGCACTCGCTCGTGGCCGGCTTCGTGCACCTCTTCGCGGGCTTCTTTGCCTTTATCAGCGAGATCCTGACGGGCGTGCTCGACCTGGTCGGCGGCCTCGGCCGCTTCATCGCCGGTGTGTCATTTTTTCTCTTCACTGCTGTCCCCTGTTCTCACATGCTAACCACCCTTTGCTGCTAATTACCAGGCAACATCGTCATCCTCGGCGTCCTCGGCGCCGCCGGCTACGCCTACGTCCACTACACGCAGCAGGGCCAGCAGCTCGGCCAGGCGGGGAAGAAGCAGATCCACGCCGCCGGGAAGAAGGCGAACTGAAGAGAGCACGCGGAATGTTTGTGATTTTCGGACATGGCGTGACTGACGACGGGATTGACGTCGGGATGGGATTGACGTCGGGACGGGATTGGCGTCGGGACGGGATTGACGTCGGGACGGGTTGACGTGTATGATGATTCTGTACGATACCAGGCGACGGGACGGGGTGGAGCATTGCATTCCTTTTCACTTTTCTTCTTTTCCAGCCGGGGGAGTCTGCTAGTTCCGTTTCAAACATCAATGTGCTTCGTTATTGTGCCACGGAATATACCCAGCCGATGAGAGGCTAAGCATACCAAACTGTTGGAATAACATACTGGAATGACGCGCTGATCCAAGGAATGCGGCTCCGCATTCCTGGCCACAGCAACGTCTGTGGAGGAGCGGGCCTGACAGATGCATATATATTGGCCTACGCCCACCTGTTCAGATAGATAAAAAGACAGACAGACACAAACGAATCCATCACTTGAACCACCACCTTACGGCGCGCAGCGCGCCATGCTGTTTCCAGTACCGATACCCTGGTGATTCCTACACAAACTGACCTTGCCAAGTTAAAACACAATGCAAATTCTATGTGCTGGCACGGTATAGCCTATGAATTTACTTGTCTAAAAATAGGAATCAAAACTTGTCTCGGGGCTCACCATCCACCTTTGACTGAAAATTCCACCAACTAACCAGGAACCCCCCCGACCCTCCCCCAACCCTCCTCCTACACCCTCATAGGCATATGCCCCATGGCAGGCTCGGCCTGGCCGGGCAGCGCATCGAGCCAGCCGTCCGTCTCCTCGACGACAGTCGGCTTGACGGCACACCTGTTCATCTCGTCGACGGTCTGCGTCTTGAGCACGCCCTGGACGCCCGGGCTGCCGCAGGCGTGAAACATGCACGTCGAGTTCATGGCGCGCTGCAGGCTGTCGCCCTTCCAGCCGAACAGGTAGTCGGCGTGGGTGCCGTAGCCGTTGCCCTCGAAGCTCCACACGAACGGCTGGCGGCCGTCGGCCGGCCACATGCCCGCGAACGCCGTCGTGTTCCACATGGTCTCGTAGGCTACCTGCGCCACGCGCACCGGGTGCGACGTCGGGCACTCGCCCGCCTCGGCGAACCCGCCCCGCGTCGTGCTGTACATGTGCGCCTGGTGGTCCGGGCTGTCGACGTTCTTGCCGTCCCAGCACGCCGGGAAGTGGTGGATCGCCATGATCCCTGCTGGGCACGGCTTGGCCGGGAAGTCAGCCGTCTCGGACCCGCGCGTGAGGATTGTCTGCAGGCACGTGTAGCGCAGCCCCGGGTGCCCCTTGGCGTAGTCGGCCGAGCTGGCCGCCGGGCTGCCGACCGTCATGCGGAACCCCTGGGCGCACGACGGGGGTTTAGTATTTGTATCACGTGGTTGGCGTGTCGGACACGTCTTGGGTGTGGTCCGACACGTCTTGGGTGTGGAAACTCACGGGGGGAAAGGCGCGGATGAACTTGTTGCCGTTCGTGTTGAAGTCTTTCTGCGTGTAGTAGACGGTCATGCCGCCCTGGATGTTGGGGGCGTCCTTGCCCTCGGTGCCGAGCTGGGCATTGGCGTACTGGGGCACGCGCTTGTACGAGCCGTTGGCGTGGCGGAAGTACATGACGGCGGTCCAGTAGTTGGACAGGTCCTCGGTGTAGGCGCAGGTGGTGCAGGTGGCCTGCTCACCAATGTCGCCCGCCATGGTGGCGTTGAAGGCGTTGCCGCCGACGATCTGGTGCACGTGGGCCGACGGGATCCGGCCGGGCTCGACGAGCGGGTCGAGGCGTTGGATCGAGACTCTGGAGCACGCGAACCGGAGCGCCGCCTGCGAGAGGCCGGCGGCCTGGAGCAGCACGAGTGCGGCAAGGCCCTTCATCTTGAGACTTAGTTTTTGCTATGGTGAACCGTTTCGACGTGCTCGAGAAACTCAGCCCGTCTGAGCCGCCCAGGGCAGCTGCTCTGGATGTTATCAAAATTCGTGTCATCTAAGCCGTCAGACACTGCGCGCATTTCATTTGCCGACGACTGGGCGCTGGAGCATAATTAGCCTGATTCGTGAGATTAATAGCGACGACAGTGCTGCCGGCTTGGGCGATAACGAAGATGAGGAGAATATTCAATATCCCTATGCCAAGCCGGGACTTGTCAGCACCACAGTCGACTGTCAAGTTATCTAATGCAAGTGCCACTCTATTGGCAAAAACGTGCCAAGACCTTCTGGAAGCAATAGCCGAGTTTGTTGTTGAGTGCGCGATCGACTTCGCTTCAGACCTTGCATGTAAGCACATCCAAAGACCCAAAATAGGTACCCGGTCATAGATAGCAGATGACTTGGCAGCAGCCAACACGGGAAGCATATGTGACATGGGTAGCTGGGCAAACACTCGCCCGGCGCTGTCTCATTAACAAACTAATCATGATTCTCAGCTATTCAGACTGCGATGCTGGTGACGCTAATGCAGGATGTTCCAAGAGAATGATGCTATCCAACGCAACACGGGGTATCGTTCATCATTACATTAAATTACTAGACAACCTTGGTGTATGTCTTCCGCTGACATGATCAAATTCAAACGGCGCCGGCAACGTCCGGCCCCTTGCCCTTGGGCGACCTTGGCGGGGCGGGAGCCTCCCTTTCCGGCTCGGGCCCTGCAGTTGGTGCTAGCGGCTCATCGTATCGCCGTACCTCTGCCGCTGTTGCATGTGGCGATGGGTGCTCGTCCGTGCTCAGGGCGGATACGGCAACAGAGCCACGGTCCGAAGACCCCGCAGGCACCGCCACCGCCATCATTGGCTCCTGTCCGGCCAGAGCCGGCAGCTGAGGGGCTTGCGTGCCGCCTCCGCCAACCACTCCCTGGTGCTCGGGAATGGAAGGCAAAGCCCCGGGAGCTACCGCCGCCGGCCCACTACCGCCCGACATGACGTTCTGACCTGCCGCGCCTGCTGGACCGCTTAGTGATTCATCGTCGAGATCCTTTGTCGGCACTGTCTTTCCCCCAACTATCGCACGTCTCCAGAGGACTGCGGCCACGCCCAAAGCAATGAGAATTATCGTTCCGAAAGAGACGCTGATTCCGATGACAACCTTCACCCAAGGCCTGGAAAGGGGATTCGAGTCTCCACTTGAACTAGTGTCAGAGTCCGTACCAGAACCGGATCCGTTGCCATTCCCGTTCCCGTTCCCGTTGCCGCTGCCGTTGCCGGACCCTGATCCTGTGTTACCGGAGCCGGATGAGCAGGCGAAAGACGAGCTGGCCGAGCAGAATATGGACGACGACGGGACCTTGGCCGCATAGTTTGCAAACGAAACAATGGTAGGATTCGGCTTTTCCGAACCGGACGACATCTTGGTAGGAGCAAAGGCCACCTCCTCATTGACAACGTCAAAGACAAGATAGCTGCGCCGCAGCAGCGAGTTGCCGATACTGAACCGTGAGGTGGAGGTGTCCGATGTGGAATACGACGACGACGACGACGAGTAGTTTTGAATGCCGAACAGACACAAGTTGGGCGAGTCAGCAAAGTACGAGTACCTCGATCCGCCTCTCAAAAGTCCCGGCGCCAAGATGAGATCGGAAACCTGGGACGTCACTACCGGGCCACCGGAACCGCCCAGCTCGAAGGCGAACTTAGCCGAGTTAGACTTGGCGGCGTCGCAGCTGATGACATTCCGTCCGATTGTGCGGTTATATCTGGCACCTGCAATAATCATGATCTTGGAGGCGATGAGCGAGGGTAGATAAGAAAAGGTGTCGCCGGGGCTGATGGCAACGGTGAAAGGGTAGTCGTTCGATTTGATGGCCGACATGTCGGAGCCAGAACTGGTGGAGCCATTGACGGCGTTGAGAGAAACGGCAAACGTGTCCTGGTATTTGTTCGACGCGTCGGCATCGAGGCGAACCAGGCTCCCCTCGAACTTGGACTGGTCGACGGCGCCAAAGAGCAAGCTGCCGGACTTGGCATCGGCATCATCGAGCCACAGACTGTACGCAGGAGTGGCGATCTTGCCAGAGGATACCAAGCGGTCCAGAAAGTGAGCGTATTTGCCGGGATAGCTCGATGAGTAGTAACTTGAGCTTGACGTCGAGTTGGGGCCGAGGCCAAGCACGCCAATCCAACGGTCGGCGCTCTGCACCACTCCCATGGAGTAATCGTCCATCACAATGTCGCCCAATGCCAGCCGGTCTGTGACGTTGGTGCCATAGGCGTCTGTCCCATCCATGTACGATGCGTCGAACGACGAGTACTTCGAGTTCGCCGGCAGGTACGTCGACGACAACGACGAATTATCTAGAGATCGATGTCGTGTCAGCGTAAGATCAAGTTGGCCCCAGCCATCCCCAGATAGTGCAAGGAGTGCAGTGCGATGGAATGGGATGGGATGGGATGGGATGGGATGCGACCCGGAAACACTCACAGCTGCCCCATACGCAAGACGGATCGGGCATCGTGTAGTTGTAGTCGTCACCATAGTATGAACTGTAGTAGGACGGATCGCAGTCCGACGACGTTGCATCGGGCACCCACGTGTCGGAGGCCGACGGCGATACAATGAGCGAAATTTGTTGCCCTGGAGTGCCGACAGTAGCGTTGACCATGAAGGCCAACTCACCCCCGATGAGCGACGTCTGGGTTGATGCCGTGTCGCGGCTCGTGAGCCCTCCCGTGAGCTTGGGAAGCGGAACGCCGATATGAAGCTTGAACGGCAGCAATACGTGTGCCGCAGCCGTAGTGGCACCTAGAAGGCATGTGGTGGCTTGCGACAAGCGCGAAAAACGAGTGCGGTGCGTCATGGTGGCTGCAGCAAGACCCGAGACTCCTTCAGGGGCTAGCTAAAGCTGCAGTGATGCTAAAATAAACAAAAAGAGCGGCGCGCAACGGCGACAAAAGTGAAAGTCGCGATTGATTACGGCAACATGATGTTTGCGAAGATCAGCAGAAAATCTTACACAAACGAAGGAGAAACGAGAGAAATGGATCCAAAGATCACTGCGCGCAAACTTGAAGGAACCAAGAGGTTGAAGAGGGTCAAGAGGCGAAAAGGGACTGAAAATTTCGGCGGTGGTGCCTGGGACCCCCCAGACCCCGTGACGGACACGAGAGGCAGAGGCGCGCCAAGGAGCTACGCCGTGAACGTTTTCCAACTCATTTTGAACGCAGCCGTGATTGGCGCTAACGCGGTAAAGGAATACCAATTTGCTGCGCCGCACCCAAAACCCCTGCCAAAGTCACATTGGCGCCTTGCCCTCGTGGTATTCGTCAAGCGAATACACCAATTAGGTAGGTACCTATCAATGACTATGACTCACAATTGAAGTTAAACCGTCATATCATTTACTGGTTAGGCAGAATTCACTGTAACCACAAAAGAGATATTAGGGGCCAGAGAATAGAAGCAGCCTAGTCTTCTATGTTTTTTTTTTAAAAAAAAAAATTGCGAGTCGTGAGTTGTTGTATCGTCTTCTGGCACAGTTTGTCGGACGTCGACGCTTCTGTTGCTTAGCGGTTATTCGGGTATGTTGTCATCTCAATCTGATTCTGGCTCTTAGAGTTAGGCAACCGAGGAGACGAAGATCCATAGAGAAGCAGAATCTTTTCGAGTCTTGTGAGAAGGAGTGAAAGCACAGTGAGCCAGGGACAGTGAAACGCTAGGGACAGCGGGACTCACGTTGGACCTGCACGCCACTGATAGTTACTGGGATTGATTATTGTTTCACGAAAGCGGCTGGTGGTGTAAGAAAAATGCCGTTATCTCGTGATATGTGAGCTCCAATAGCCCGCTCTCAGCCGGAAATCTCCCCAGTAGTTAGCAAAACCCAAGACCAAGCAAGTCACCGAAACAACTAACTAGCTTCTTCCATTATCAACGAAAACGGCGAATACAAACAAACAGAAGTAGAGCCCAGGGACCAATGGAACACTGAAGGAAAAACATCAACACTAAACCATGTCCGAAAGGGTGAAAAATTAATCACGAACCTCTTGGGGCTAACTGCCGCCCTCTACTCGCTCTCTTGGTCCGAGGATTCCTTATTTGATTTGGAATAAGCTTCAAGGAGTTTAGTCAGCTGCTGTTGCTCCGGGATTCCCTTACTAACGGCCACGATATTGACTGGCCATGCGCTGCGGACACGCTATCCGGCGCCTCCTCCGGAATGTTTGCGAAATGTTTCAGCAAATTTGCCTCGGCTGGTAGTATGCCGTCGCGGACAAGACGGAAGACTATCTGTGGAAGAAACCAGCCACGGCCCTGATCGTAAAGTCCTTTAGCGTAGAGTATAAGGGTGAGCGAATGGAATTGAGGCGGGAGAGATTTGCATCGCCGTCGGAGTTTCCACTCTCGCCGCCAACCCTGCTATCCTAAAGGGGCTTGATCTACCCAATTGAACGGAATAACAATGCGATAAGTGAAGTGAGAAGGAAGGGGTCAGTTGCCTCAAACCCATGGCGGAGATAATATAGCCGTAGAATCGTCTCGTAATGGACTTCAGCATCAGTCAAGACTTCTCTCGCGGACCTCTCGCCGAAGATGGCTTCGTCAGGAGAAGGCGGTGCGAAAGTTGGTTCATCTCCCACACCCTCCAAGACCCGAAACAGAGGTTGGAAGACGTTCATGACCACATGTTGATAGTGCATGCTGGAAACGGCCTTTTAGCAAAACAAAGAGCATGGCAAGAGACCAGGACCCAAAATTGGAGAGGGGCGGGATCCCAGAGAGAGTTTCAACACAGGTCCTGCCATTGACACCCTTTGCAGAGATCACAGGTCATCACAAACCAGATAGCCACGATAACGACAACAAGTTTTAGCAAAGGGGAGAGCGTGCGGGTGAGAAACAGTGAGTACTGTAGCTTCATTTGTGCTGGAAATACGATCTTTCGCGGAGAGAGTGGCTCGGGAAGGGAGATATACCAGGTTTCGAGGCGGGTGTAGAGTTTCGTGATGTTCTCCAAGGAGGTCATTCGATTGACGCTTTGTCTGTCCAAGAAGCATTGCTCTCCAACCTCTTTGATGAGGGCCCGAAACCCTGAGAGTGCTTTAAAGAAGCGGCCGAAATTCATCGGATATAGCGTATGCTGTAGAGGGTACCTCAGTCGAACCTCGCCGTACCACCCAGGATTCTCGGCGACATCTGGAAGCCCCATCTCCGGTGGCGACTTTATCGTGCCCGAAGTAAGGAAATGATAAACGTATTCACTGGCAACCACAGAGTGTTAGGAATCGGCGAGTCCCACAAGCATTTCTCGGGGTTTGCTTAATTACCACTCGCAACCGTACAGGCCCCATGTAGCCATCCCCCAAACAGCCTGCATCTTTGGGTCCATAAGGTCCCAGTGGTCGGGCCTCTTGAAGAGCCCAAGCTCTCGAGCAATTGAGATGGCATGTAGGGTGTAGAGTCGGCCGAGTTTGTCCGCCCCGTTCAAGTTGTAAACCATGTTGGGGAGGATGGCGGCTTGGATGGTAGTGAGCTTATTCTTGTTCTGCTCCAACTCCCACAATCTCTTTGCTTCGGCATGGAATTGATAACCAAGAGTGTGAGGATTCCGAAACTCGGCACGATACGGCAAGTCTCCATGGTAGAACTAGCATAGAGCTGAGCATCAGCAAGGATAAATGTGGGCAAGGCTTTATAGTCCCGGCTGTACCTACGCAAGCCATGGCAAGCAAGGCGTTAACGAGAAGCGAAGAGCAGAACCGCCTGCGACCAGTATTTATATCCTCGAGGAAGCAATCCTTTTGAAAGCAAGTGTACCAGTTGTACTCATGCAGGAAGTAAGCGCGTAACAGGCTCCGCATGAGGCTGTTGTCCGGGCTCACCGATGTCCATTTGGACGGCTCTGCCTCATCCACCAGGGGGTCAACGACTTCTGCTGCATGAAATGGCATCGAATAGGGACCGTGAGGCTGCATACTAAAAGCCGGTTCGGCCACCGCCATGGCCTGCTGTTGGCGCTGGCCTTGGGTCTGCTCGACAGACTGCTGACCGTCCCACTCGTAGACGAGAGACGAGGGGTGGACATTTCTCGGCGTTTGCAGACGGGCCGGGAACTTGACCATGAATGGAAACTCGTAGGGGTACCGGAACTCGGGAACCACGCTAAGCTGGAGTAGGAGGTCGCCGTGTCGGACATGGCGGAGGATGGCCTCGGGTTGTTCACCAGCACGGATGCGGCGGAGGATGGCGGCCACTTCTGACTCGGGACGCGTGGCTAGGATCTTGTAGATGTTTTCGTAGACGTTTGTCTGATTTTCGAGGTCGGCATATTTGCGCTTTAGGGCACGCGCCGGCGTCTCGCCGCCGCTCGTGTCGTAACTGCATTCGGTTCCACGGCGGAGGCATTCGGTGCATTTCGGGCGGCCAGCACTGCACTGCACGGCGACTAGTCAGAACCTCCTGACTGAAGAGAGCAAAACACCCCAAAATCAGTTGGACATGCTTGCCTTGGATTTCCGTCTGCGACAAGCCGTACAGGCTCCCAAAACTGCTCGCCGTTTTGGGGCTGAGGGTCCCGTCGACGATGAGGCGCTGCCGGGTACCGTCAGGTCGGCTGGCAAAAGGGGTCGAAGGCGCGGACCGGAAACAGGAGGAGGGACAGTGCTAGGAGTATTGGTGGAAGCAGCAGCTGTAGGAGTCGAGGCAGGGCCGGTATTACCTGTACCAGTACGAGAAATGGGGACTGGTGGTGGCCCAGGATTTGACATTGCGCAAGGAAGGCGCCAACCTGGAAATAGTCGGAAACTGGGTGTAGCCGGGGACCCGAAAATGACAAGGCAACGCCAAACAAATATTGATAATCCTGAGATGGACCCGCACCCAGCGGATGGCACGATATCTTACCAAAACTCGATGGTGCCAACCAACCTCAGATCAGGAAGGGGATGGCCTTGACTTCATATTTCAAGTTCCAATCCATCCATAGGTACCTAACCGCAGGCGACCTCCGGGGAATTCTCGGGCGACCTAGCTCGGTAACCCGTCGCGTCGGCAGTACAGATCCGTGGAAAGTTGCAGCACATACGAAGTTATGGCCTGATTAATACGGATGCTCAAGTACGATTCCTACCCAAGCCTCAAGGGACGCGCTTTGGAATAGCAATTACGACCACTCATACTTGGTGCCTGACCACCTTCTCTACTGCTTTGGAAGGCAAGCACCACCGCAAAGTGCTAAGTTGGGTGTCCTAGTGCTCCCGCCGCTCCTGCGGCAGTCGCTGACAGGAGGAGCAGGGTCGCCGGTAAAAGACCTCGAGAGTTTCATTGGCCAGGGCCAGACCGATTCTTCGGCGTTACCGTTACCGGGTCCACTGGCCCGTCGGTCAAGATGCGGGCTGTATTCGCTGTCCCCTCGAACGTCTCCCCCCGTCTCCACCCCGTTTCACTCCGCTAACCGCGATCAGCGAGCGGGAGGCGCGCGTGCTGCCGATTGATTGGCTCGGGGCGCGCTCAGCCGGGCAAGGTTTAATTGTTTGTCATCGCGCATTCGGAGCCAGCTCCAGCTTCTCCAACATCGGATGTCTTTAAAGAGGTTCTAGACCGCGCAGCCACACAAAATCCCATCATATCGGCCATGGCTTCGGGCGAATGAAGCTGCAGCACCTCGTGCGCACTGGCCCGCCGGACATCTGTGGCCGCCGTGACGATGAGGCTGGTACGGCTCCAATGCTATGTTAAGCCTGGAAGGTCAGGCTCCCGGCTTTCCGCTCTGACGGCTGGCCTGACAGGCGCATTTCTGACTGGTCCTTGCGCCTTCCCACCCGCCCGATCTCTTGGGACGAGCAGGGGATTTTAGGGTGAGGGGAAAGCACAACGCACGGATCCCATACTGCACCGGCCGCAGTTCCCCCCAATTTACCCCACGGCAAGAGCCCAACGTCGCGGCTCCGTTTGGAACTCCTGCTTTGTTGGCGTGCCTCCTTGACCGACTCTTCAGCCAGCCAAGCCGAAGTGGAATCATCCAGGCCCGGCACGATGCAATCCGGAATCTCAGGTGAGCGCATCTCGGGAAAGCTGATGGCCCAGACCGCGGGCATGGACAGAGCAATCTGCTGATATGCACACGCCTGCAGCTTCGCAGGAGCTGGTCTCGAAGTTCAACACTCTGCTTGCCGACGACAGCCAGTTTGGTCTGCTAGTCACCATTGCTTCCGAGAAGCTGCAGCCGTTGCAGGTGCTCGCCTCTACTGCACCTGGCGCCTCCTTTGCATCCAACCTGAGCTCCCTTGTTACGCCGGCCCTCAAACCGAATGAAGCGCTCTACCTCATCCTGCGTCGGCACGCTGCCGCCCCGGCCCTGGTGGCTGTGACGTACGTTCCCGACGCTGCGCCTGTGCGCCAGAAGATGCTGTTTGCCTCGTCGCGTCTCACGCTGGTGCGCGAGCTCGGGAGCGAGCACTTTAGCGAAACCATCTTTGCGACCCTAGCCTCGGAGCTTAGCCCGGCTGGCTTCGAGAAGCACGACGCCCACACCGCCCTCGACGCCCCCTTGACCGAGGAGGAGAAGACGTTGGGCGATGTCAGGCGAGCCGAACAAGAGGCTGGTTCCGGTACTGGCACGCGCGAGATACATCTGAGCAGCCACATGGCCATTCCAATCAACGACGAGGGTTTGGCAGCGCTGAAGGAGCTGGCTTCCGAGGGCCCGCGGGCGTTGGTCACGCTGGTTAGTAGCTGCGCTTTCCTCTTTGTCTATCCTGTGTTGGTGCGCTCGAGTGGACCGCTTCTAACATGTTCTCGACCTCGACAGAAAATAGACCAGGCCACGGAACAAATCGTGCTCGTCCCCGACGACGCGACCCCCGAGTCCATACCCGAACTCGTCCAAGCGATTTCGGCCACGGAACCACGCTTCACCTTTTACAGATTCACCCACTCCTATGGCGGCAATCACAGTAGCCCGGTACTCTTCTTTTACACGTGCCCCAGCACTCCTGGCACAAAGGCCGTCAAGTCCCGCATGATCTACCCGCTCATGAAGAGGGCCGTCTTGACCATTGCTGAAAAGGAGGCTGGCTTGCAGGTAGCCAAGAAGTTCGAGGTTGAGGACCCGAGCGAGATTACCGAGGCAAGTGTGCTGGAGGAGTTACACCCCAAGGTTGAAGTCAGGGCTGGATTCAGTAGGCCCAAGCGTCCTGGCCGTTGACGGAGCACACTCGCTAGCGTGTCTTCCTCGTTATTGTCTGTGCTGAGCACGACGGCTTCATAGTAGGAAGGTATGACAATATGAACGCTCCAAATTCCGCGAAGGGCCCATTTGTCAAGTTGCATGCCTCGTTTGTCTCGTTACCGGAGGTTGTCGGTACAGCTGCCGTCAACTACAAGAGTATATCAGTGAAACTACAAGAGTGTATCAGTGACGGTACTATCTGTCCGTTTCAAACTACATGGTGAGTCCCCCCATTGTTGTTGGTTGACCGTGTGGTCGTTTAAAGGTGTCTGGGCCTTGGATAGTTCAGTCCAGCACCATGTGAGCCAGTCCTACTTTACATCATCATTTCTTTACGTGTAGCATTATCACCCCTAAGTCCAGCTGCCCATCAGTTCTTTTAGCTTATCGCAGCCACTTGATCACCTATCTAGATGTTATCATGTTATAATATCACATAATTGTCCCTTTTTCACATAGTTATCTCTTTTTTCATATACTTTCTATTGATATGATTCCCTTTGGAAAGCTAGATAGCTGCTTTTACTACTGACGCTTCGCACGCAAACCTTCGCACGCAAACCTACACACCTCTGTTGTTCAATGTTGACACGTGAAAGCAAAGATCGAAGACGCCGCCCTGGGGATGCATAACATGGACACCTGATAGGCAATTACATGTTACATCCAATTGACCAGCCTCGAAGCTGGCGTCCGAACCTCGTGCTCGTCAACATTCATCATGTCAGTAGCGGAACCAACCTATGCCCAGTTAGTCTTAACGGGCCAGATCTAGCTCCATTGAATACAGTTGGACCCATCGGGGGCCGGATCCGCCCGTTCAACGGTGTGCGTCACTTGACTGCCCAAAACGGTGTGCGTCACTTGACTGCCCAAAGCGGCGCCGCTGGTCAGAAACCCATCAGCATCAGAGCTGGGAGCGTGATACAGCAGCCACGTCAGGAATTCTGCGCATTGGGCACATTGGGGAGCATCTAGATCTCCACAGAAGCTGCACTTGACTTCAAAGCCACTCTCTGGGAGGTCGGATTCGCTCTGGGCCGCTTCTTGGGTATCGGCGTTGGGTATGCATGGGTTTTTGTGCGGTTCAGCTGAGACCTCTGCTTCGTTGACCCCGGCTGGGCCCTCGGCTGCCGCATCATCGATCAGATCGTCCAGATCCTCAAAGTCGGAATCGAAGTCCTCGGAATCGTCCAGGGGGGCGCCCAGGAACTCTTCGATGACATCGTCTTCGCCCTGGAGAATGCACTGGGAAACAGTCGCACGGAACAGCTGTTCTGTCTTTGCCGCCATGATTACAGTCGTGAGATTTGAGTTTGAAGCTCTTCGATCTCCACCACGTTCTCGCAGACGGTTTGATAGCGCCACTTACCCAAAGGTTGATACGAACCGACAAACAGGGGGCGATGGAGCAGCGCAACTGGTCTATTTTAATTAATCTTAGCTATCCGGCACCCTATAAATCTTGGCTTATCCTCGGGGTTGAACAAGTACTTTGTAACTGCGAGGGTGTTGTACTACTGAGTCAAAGAAACAGCCTGACAACAGAAACTGTTCGAGGAAGGCAGCTCAGTGACAGCCATTGTCCGCCTCTTTGTCTCACCAAGCAGAGACACCCCCTCAACAGATGACATAGAGGATGGATAACTAACAAAGCTATGTTTCTGGTGTGTATTGGTTTGAGTAATCTGTCTAAATTACGTACGGCGGAATTTGAAGCGATTGGATTCACATTGACACCTACCCAGCAGGAGGTTGTAACAATGCCATAGCCTAAGTGCTCGGCCACCATACACGTCAATGAGGTACGAACCCCGGTTTTGAACAAGCATACAGATTGAATTTTCTCGGGAAAGCTCGGATGCCAGTTTGCGTTAACTTTGTTTACTAACTTTGACAGCGGCAACAACCGCAGAGAATTATGAGAAGAGAGACAAGTAAAAAGCCAAACCGTTTGACAACCGTGGGTGTGTTCAGCTAAAAGATCGCTCTTTCGAACAGTTGAATATCTCCTTTCCCCCGAACTCGCCCCTTGTCAGCGTCAACGCAGCTCATCGGATCACGTGAGACCTACCCCGGAGCTCAGGGCTCCGGGTGAAATAAACGACTATCTTTGTTCAGGATGGAACATGATCCGAAGTTCGAAACAGTCGCTCGGTTTGCATAGGAGAATCTGACAGGCGAATGGTTCCGTGGCAGGCACCCAGAAAGCTCTAATCTTCCACTATCACCGAGAAAGATCGGCCTGTGATCACATCCCCTGTCACTCACGGAGAGGGGGGGAAAGCAAAATCAGGCTTTGCAAGGACCAGCACCCGGAGGATCCTGTGTTCATCTCAATTTCTCTGTTGATCATGCCCTGGTTGATCATCTGCCCGACCAAATCCATCTTGTCTGCACACAATGTATCTGTTCTTTACCTAAATAACTGTCCACACCTCCATTCACGTTGTATATAGTTCACCTTTTCCCGTTAAGCATCGCCAGTTCCGGGGTCTCGGCCAACTCAAAACATAACTCCCACACACGGCAGGAAACTCCAGTCATGTGAGTATCCCTTCCAGATACCAGAGCATCCTTTTTGGCCACTTGACGTCCCCCCTCTTCGACCAGGGAGAAGAACATCCACACCCACACACACGGAGTATGGCATCACCACCACAAACCACAAGGCTTGCCCACGTCTTCCGGGACGGCGCCGACGGGCCCTGTCTGTTCGTCCGCGCCCTGGACAACGGGCGGGACTGCCAGGCCCAGCTCGTCTACCACATCCAGACGGGCGAGCATCGGGTGCGGAAGGTTCTGGCCCCCCGTGTTCCCGCCTCAGAGCCGCCGACAGCACGGGAAAGGCGCTTTGACGCGGACGTGAACACGGCAAGGACGCTGTTCGCCGCCGCGGCCGGGCGGACCAAGCTCCGGATCCCCGAAGTCCTGTCGGACCGGAAGACGGTCTCTCCAGACGGCAACAAGTCCACGTGCGTGTCGTACTGGCGGCTCTGCAACGGCGGCAGCATAGGGGCGCTCCTCAACGCGTGCAAGCGGCACGGCGCCAGCCTGCCGCGCGTCGTGGTCTTCCGCCTGCTCCGCCATGTGCTCGAAACGCTCGAGCTCATGTACCAGCAGTGCGAGCGCGGGCCCGTCTTCCACCTCGACCTCAGCGACGAGAACCTGCTGCTGGACTTCAACGGGGCCGAGGACATGCCCGAGCTGTACGTCATCGACCTCGGCCGGGCTGGCAGGTTCCCGCTCCCACGGCGGGACAGGTCTTGGGATGTTGTTGATGTGCTGTACCTGGCCGAGTGCCTCGTCTCGCAGACCAGCGGCGCTCAGCTACCCGGCCAGTACCAGCGAGAGCGCAACTGGCGCGGCTACTTGAGCGACGAGGACTACGCTGACGCGGAAGCATTTTGCGAGATATACCAGGCGCTGCTGGGCCTGGGAGAGCGGTTCGAGGCCAACGCGACGGCGGCGAGCCACCGCGATGATGATGCCCACCCCGAGCTGCGACACGGCGACGTGCCGAGTCTGCAGCCCGTCATCGACACGCTGCAAGCCAGAATCAGCAAGGGCTTGTCGGATATGTGGCTGAAGCGGTGGCAGCCGGGCACGGACGAGGCGCGCTTTTTCGACTTTCTCGCCGTGTACCGCCAGCGGACGCGGCTCCAGTCGGCCAGCGACATGAGCCCGACGCTGTACGACACGCAGGCTGGTATCCTCGGCGCCGCTAACGTGCACGGCCCGTGGTTTGTCGGCAGGGTGGACGAGCTCACCTTTGAGCTCCAGGGCGGCCCGCTCAGAAGCCCGTACCACCGGCCGAACAAGTTCAACTCGGGCTCGGAGACGGAGGGCCAGTTGGACCTGGTCTCTGACGGGGGCTCGGACGAGGAGGAGTGCAATGACAACAACCTTTACAGCGCAGAAGAGAGAGACATGTTACACGACGCTGGCTCTTCCTTCTTCGGCAATTAAACCATTCACTGCCGAATAGTGCTGCTGAACGAGCCGGAGGTTTGCAGTTGGATAAACTTTGGGCATGACTTAATAGATCTACCACAGTTGGTTAACTATATAGCGAAATAGGAAATCAGATACCGCGGGAGATGATATGACATTTCGAATTTGAGACCAGTGTTGCGTTGAGTAGCTATACTGATCGTATCTCGTACGTAAATATTGAATCGAGTTTTAGTGTTGACCAGGAAGGAATTCAATTTGCGTGTTCCCCAGCCAGAACACGTCACGACAATAGCGGAGTATTATTCTACATTCAAAGTTCCAAACACGCCCGCTCTGCCCATAACAGTAAGTTTTATCCTCCGCGTCCATCTAGGTATAATGGTATATTCCGATCCCTGTTTGATTCCCTGCCCCGTGACTGATCATGCCATCGTTTTCGCTGAAACGCCAGACGCCTTCGCCAATTACCCAATTTCCGACCGCTAATACTGAATGGAAAAGTGAATTGCCCCCAAAAGAAACGAGTAAGAAAGGACTAAAATCATGGTTCAAATCTGCCCTCCCGCCAGAGAGACAACTAACCTAAGACGCAGTCCCGACATGGTACACGCGGGGCCACGCCTCCGCGTCAGCCCGGCTCTGACCGTGCCAGATGGGCGCCTGGCTCTCCTGGCTCTGCGACCTGACAGCATTGACATTGCCATCCGTCACGCCGCCGCCGAGCGCGCGCAGGCCGATGTGGTCCGACGCGACGCTCTTGGAGTTGTGGTCGTCGCGGCTCAGGCGCAGCGACGACGACGCCGACGGCTGGCGGTGCTGCTGTGACGGCAGCTGCAGCTGCTGGCCGCCGCCGGGGTACGACATGTTGCCGCCGCCGCCGCCGCCGCCGCCGCCGCGCCGGCGCACCATCTCGACAAGGCGGTTGAGGATGGCGAACTCGACCTTCAGCTTGATGCCGTAGACGCACGGCTTGAAGGCGCCCTGCAGGTAGAACAGGTCGGCGTACTGCACGCCGAGCAGCGCCACGTCGAGTGCGATGACGAGCACGTTGGTGTAGACGAGGTGGCGGAGTACCTCGTCCGTCTCGACGACGGGCCGCAGGGGCAGCACCGACGACGGGCTGCGGTGGGATTGTGGTTGTGGCTGCTGGGCTAGCGACGGGGGCTGCGAGAGCAGCGACGAGTCGCGTAGGTACTGGCGCGTGTGGTAGATGTACAGCAAGCTCAGGGCCGTCTCCTGCACGAAGAAGACGGTGAGCTGGATGCGGTCCCAGATTAGGTTGATGTGGAACAGGTTCGGGTTGGTCGTGGTGGTTTGCTGTTGTTTGGGGGTGTTGTCAGTACTATGTGGCGGCTGGGGAGGTTCTGTCATTGGGGGGGGGAAACAAAAAGACGCACCGCCAGAATGCCAACGACTATGGTCGGCACTGAGAACACAACCGAGTTTACCAGCAAGACGGCTTTGATCCAGCGCAGCACGCGGTCGTGGTGCAGCAGCAGGTGCAGGCGCGAGTACAGCAGCCAGCTCTGCGGCACGACCATGATCAGCCAGGTCAGGTAGATGAAGGTGATGGCGGCCTTGAGGTCGGTCCAGATGCCGAAGTCGGCCAGGATGATGCACAGCGGCTGCAGCACGACGCCCCACGAGCAGAGGGCGCACGACCAAAAGTACAGGCCGCGGCGGCGCTTGAAGAGGATGAACAGCGACGTGTTGATCTCGGCGCCGATGTACCACGAGATGCCGACGAAGGCGGCGATGATCATGGAGGTGCGCAGGTCATCCTTGAGGTCGACCATGATGGCGGCTGAGGAAATAACCTCGTCCGTGTGTTTGCGTGTTCTCCGGAGTCAGTCCCGGCCTGTCAGTCCGTCTCCAGGGTGGTGTCTTGTTCTGGGTGCGGCGAGACTAGCCTGGCACGGGTGCCGACATGCTGCTAGTGACAGATGGCGGCGGCAGCAGAGCAGCAGCAGAGCAGCAGCAGCAGCGGCGGCGGCGGCGGCGGCGGCGGCGCTAGGTAGCAATAAGTAGCAGCACGTATCAAACGCAACGACACCAAGCACGGAGCAACGATGCGCGAGTGCAAGGTCGGTTGCAAGGTCGGTGAGACAATGGCTAAGACCGTATGGAATAAGACCAAAAAGTCGCGCAGGCCAAGTCACCCCAGGGGGCGCGGGTACAGCCTTAAGAGACAGACCTCCACGCTGCCCACCCAGGGTTGCAGCCACCAAGGCTCCAAGGGAGCCAGGTTATGCAGATAAGGCCGTCTGCAGTAGTGTCGCGTAGCACCAGGGCGGGAGGAATAGCGTCGCTTTGTCAGCGCTAATCAAGCTGTCAGGGAATGGAAGAGGGGCAGCTGGTCAGGTAGCCTTTTTCTTTTGCTTTTGCTTCGTCTGATGTGCATTGGCTGCGGTGGGAATATGGAATTCAGGAGTGTACATTTGCCGCCCAAGACAAGGCAAGATAAGACAAGGTAAGACAAGACAAGGCAAGACAAAGTAAGACAAGACAAGGCAAGACAAGTCGAGCCCAGACCAGACAAAATGACCCCCTAGCATCGATCCGCACCCCCCTAAGCGCAAGGCTCGGCCCGACCAAAGCGACCGCAGAGAGGCCGGTGTCAAGACGACGCTGCTGGCCTAAGCTCTGGGGGTCGCGTTGGGCTCCCAGCCCGGGGGGGCCATCTCAAAGGCCTCCATGGTGAAGGCCGGGGCGACGGAGCAGCCGACGAGAGTCCAGTCGCCGAGGCTGCGTGCGTGCTGCCACTCGCCGCGCTGCACGACGATCTGGGGCCGCTCGCCGGCCCATAGGTCCTTGCCCAGTACCACGTCGCGCACGGCGGACCCGTCGTTCCAGGCCAGCGACAACTGCAGCGGCGCCCCGGCGTAGTGGTGCCAAACCTCGACCGCGTCCAGCACGCGGTGCCAATGCGAGAGCCCCGACTCGCCCTCGAGCAGGTAGTAGATGCACGTGCTGTTGGACCGGTTGTCGCCGCTGCCGTCCGCCGACGCCGACGCCGACGTGGCCGGGTCACGGAATGTCTCGACGAAGTAGCCCTTTTCCGGGTGCGGGGCGAGCTTCAGCGCCGCAATGACTTCCTGGGCCGAGCGGTTGGCCCCCATATTGTATCGTTTGCGTTACCGGGTTGGGGGTTGGCTTTTTAATCTGGAGAGTTTTTTGAAGGGTGCGGGTGTGTGCCGTGCCCCCTAATTAAAAACGACCTAGGCTAGCGAGGTTGGCTGGAAAACGGTCAAGAATTTATTGAATCAGTATTTGCTTTTTGGAGGCGACTGACAGAGCGGTGAAGTGAAGAACTGTAATGGAAACTGTAATTTTGGGTTTCGGCAGGAAGAGGCACTGACTGCCCGCACTGCAGCCAAGTGGAAGGAGAGCACTTAATGGTCAGATTTTTAATTATTGCTCCGTAGCACTTGCACCCGATGCCATCCCATCATCCTTCGCCGGGGGGCGGCAGAAAACAAACCGTTGCACGGCAGGAGCTCGATCCCTCCAAAAGACGCTGATCTTGACCGCGTCTCCTGCAGACGAGCGGGGCTGCCCTCGGGGCTGCCCTCAGGGCAAGGATGCCCCCACTGTCTAGCCCCATACGGGGTCCGATTGGCTCGGCGTCTGGGCACACGTCCCACGCCCTTGGCCCTTGCCTGCCGAGCTACTAGTGTAAGCTGCCCGCGTAAAGTTTCTCGGTTGCCCACTGTAATGAACTTCACGGCTTCGGCGGCGGCTCGCTAAAAAGCCCCGCTGACTGCCGCTAATTCCGTTGCTTGGCAGCTGGCTGGCCTCGCACGCACACCCCCGCCGTCACGCAATTGATTGGCAAACAATATTTGACTCAAGTCGGTGACAGCGCCATTGACGGCGGCCAATAGCCCGGGAGCCACGGGAGCGTGTCCGGGATCGAAACACAAGGGTCAACGCAAGGGCTGGCAATGTTTTGCTTCCCGCCCGACTACAAAAGGAGCGCAGCCGCAGTGCTAGCCTCGCCTGTCGTTGATCGTCGTGAGACGCTCGTCTGTCTCACAGCTCCACATTCCAGCCCGCCCGAAGCCTCCGAGTCCTCGAGTCCCTGACGTGACGGCAATCATGATTCGACTCCGCGCATCCCTCCTCTTCGCGTGCATCGCGTTCGTGGTGGCAATCTGCGTGCAGGCAGCAGCAGCAGCAGCAGCAGCAGCAGCCGCAGCAGCGCCAGAGGCACACGCGGTTCGACGTAGCGGCGGCGGTGGCAGCAGCAGCCAGAAACCGATCGACAAGCGCACGGCCGCCGAAGTCATCAGGCAGCTCGGCCTCGCGGCCAACCCCGAGAAGGGCTATTTCGCCGAGACCTTCCGCGACACGCTGCTGGTCAGTTTCAACGGAAGCAGCAGCGGCCGCGCCGCCAGCACTGAAATCTACTACCTGCTCGAGGGCAAGGTCGGCGACTCGCTGTGGCACCGTGTGGATGCGGTCGAGGTGTGGCACTACTACGCTGGCGCCCCCCTCACCTTGTCTCTGTCCAACAATGACGGTAGGCCGGTGCGCAAGGTGACCCTGGGCCCGGACGTGTTCAAGAGCCAGCAGCCCCAGGTCGTCATCGCCTCGTGGGAGTGGCAGCGTGCACGCAGCCTTGGCGACTGGACCCTCGTGGGAACGACTGGTGGGTTGCCCGTCATCAATCTTACCTTTACTTGGAGAACTACCACTAACTCGGGATACTAGTTGCCCCTGGCTTCGACCCTAGTGGCTATGAAATTGCCGCGGCAAACTGGAATCCTAGGTCTCGTTGATGGGGCAGTCTGGCAGACTGGAAACCCCGGCATCGACGACCGTTGATGAGATTGAGCAGTGCCGCCGACAAAGTGTTCCGGACAGGGCGAGATTTCATTCAGTCGTTTTGCGCTTCCAGTACAGTGCATCATAGCAAAGAAGAATCGCCATGGCAACGCCATGAGATTTGCGTCGTGACTGAAGTCATGCCACTATCAAACACAACACTCCGAGCCCGCGATTTAAGCACTTGGATGTCCGAACTCTGATCTCTAATTACCTACCTACCTGACAACTCGAATGTTTATATCAATTATTCTACGGATACTACTAGCATTATTAAATCATTACATCAATAATCAATTACTGCCGCGATCTGCTCCCGACCAAGACCTTGCTCCCCAGAGCCACATCCGGTTCAGAGTCTGACGACGAGCCGCTGGACTCGGGGCTCTCGATGCCCTCGGCCTTCTCGTCCTGCTCAGCCTGCTTCGCCGTCCTCCATCCCAGCCCGTAAATCTCGAGCAACCACAGCGGGGCGACGCTGAGGGAGTGCAGCACGCCGAGGATGACGAAGCACCAGCCGGGCCCGAGGGCGCGCAGCATGATGTCGAGCAGCGCCAGAGCACCAGCGGCCAGCTCGCACCGGAACAGATTGTTGGTCGCCTGGATCGCCGACGGCCGGTCCGGGTGGAAGTCGACTAGCAGCGCGTTCAGTGCCTGTTTCCGGACTGTCAGCCTCAAAGAGGCGGATTTTCAAGAGAGAGGGAGAGTGATTGGGGACTCACCGTGTAGTTGACCTGGTTCGTGGCGCCAATGAAGAACTGCAGCACCAACGGCACGGCGATGTGCTACGAATACCACAAAATGCTGTCAGCTAGGGGGAGACATGTTCGCCGAAGGGAGATAGTGAAACTCACCACCCGCGCCTGCAGCGCCCAGCCATACGCAACAACCAGCGGCGCGCAGCACGCGACGATCCACTTGGTGGTGCGCAGGCGCGCGTGCTCGATGGGGAACGCGACAATGTCCTCGCCGGTGCGGGCGCCGCCGACCGTCGTGGCCGCCGTGCGCCGGTAGTCGCGATCGAGCAGGCGGCCGGCCAGGTACGACGCGATGATGCACGCCACGCCGAACGGGATGTATGACAACCCCGCCACCAAGCCCGACACGCCGTAGATGTCGACGAAGATGGTCGACAGCGACGCCTGCAGGCACGAGTACAGCGCGTAGTTGAACCCGTACGTCACCACCACGACCGCCGTGCCTTTGTTGCGCAGCATGGCGAGCCCCGAGAACGGGTTGGGCCGGCTGCGTTTTGCTTTGGGCGGTGGCGGTGGACTCTCGGGGGCGGCCGGCCTGGAGTCTGGGTCTGGTGGCGAGGAGGGGTCCGGAGCGGGAGAGGAGGGCGTGGGAGGTGTCAGAAGCTGTTGCTGTTCCGTGGTGGCCGGGCGGAGGAACGGAAGCAGCACGCGGTTGATCCACCGCGGCGGGCGGATGCTTCCGTTGCCGACGATGCGCCGGCACGTCTCGGGCAGCAGCAGCAGCACCAGCGACAACACCACCGACGACGCCACCGCCAGGAACCAGAAGATTGCGTCCCACTTCCACCGGGCCATGAGCAGGCCGCTGATCATGGGCGCCACGCTCTGTCCCGTGTTGATGCTGTGTCGTGACGTGGTCAGTGTCCGTGGCCGTGGGGAAACGGGGGAGGGGGTGGGGGGCGGCCTTACAAGATGGACATGAAGCCAAGGTAGCCTCCGCGGTCGGCCGGGATGGTGACGTCGCCCATGGCGCCAAAGGCGATGGAAAAGGTGCCCGAGATGGCGGCGCTCTGAAACATGCGCAGAGTGATGAGGGCGGCAAAGGACCGCTGCAGGGCGAGGCCGACGTTGATGGCGGCGTAGATGCCGAGGGCGGCGATAAAGACGGGGCGGCGGCCGTACTCGTCGGCGGCATTGCCGAGCAGGGTCGGGAAGACGCCCGACGCGACTAGATACGACGTGACGGTCAGGTTGATTCTCTCGACGCTGACGCCCAGATCGCTGGCCAGGAAGGGGATGGCCGGGAAGTAGATGAAGCTGCTCGCGCCCGAGAACCAGCCAGACGCTGCGCCAATGAAGATGATCCACCGCTTCTGCTTGACGGTGAAGACGGAATAGGGGGGGCCGACGGGCTCGGCACCATGGTCGGCTGCAGCTTCCACATCTTTGGGATGTGCTGTGCTGCTGCTGCTGCTGCTGCTGCTGCTGCTGCCGCTGCTGCTGCCGCTGCTGACGTTGCCGCCAAGATCTCCTCGTCCTGGCTGTTGCTCGCTGTCGTCTGGTCTGTCCTGTTCTTGTCGCTCTGCCCCACCAGCCGGGACCACTGGGTCCAAAGGGGTCGCCATACTGCCTGCTTGGTCATTTTGGGACGGTTCGTGCGGCATTGGACGGTGAAGACGGGGACGGATGCGTGCCTAAGGGGTGGTGGCGTGGGGGTCTTATTTATTTATGTTTCCGGGCCGGCTCCAGGTGCCCCCTGAACCATCCAAAGTTCCCCAAAGGAAATAGCAAGCGAGCGCCAACACCCGACGCCATGGCATGGCGTTGCACGGCGGTCCAATTGAGTTGGCCGGAGTTTCTGGGAATTCATCATTGTTGCAGACAGGTTCGTTGGTGAGCATGGCGTGGTGCAGCGCCGCAGCGCAGTTGGCCTGAATGCTTCGCCCCGGGCGCCCCGATTTTTGTGGCTCCGGCCCGCCCTCCCAAAACAGGCCGGCAGCCAGGCCAACTCGGCGGCGCTGGCGTTTCGGGACCTGAACCCCCGTCGTGCCGATTTTAAAATCCAGCACCTCCCCCATCCGTCCCACAATTTTTGTCTTGTTTGTTTTGTGAGACTGACAAAGGCACTGTCGAGTGCCAATTGTCTGTCCTGCCATCGGCCATCCATCATGACCGACTCAGCATCAGCTCAGAGTTTAGACACAGCGATTGTCGCAGGTGATCATCCTTCCGAGTCTCCGAGCCAGGCCACTTCAAGCCTAGAAACTCCCAGTTTCTTTTCAATAGCTAATTGAAGCCTTCACTCTGCAGCTCTGCCCGAGGGCGCAAAAGTTGTTTCGGTGACGAGACATGGCAACACAAGGGTAAGTAAGCCCCGAGCAAAACTTGACCATGTCGGCTTCTCTCCCCAAGCTGACCACCACCTGAACCTTTGCAGTGGTCGACCGGAAAGCGGATCGATGTCGAGGTCGGCGGCGGAACCAAGAGCTATTTTGTCAAAGTGGGTGCCTCCTGCCCGGCGCTGCTCTACCGCGAACACGCCGCCTTCTTTGTTGGCGGCCACCAGAGGATGCGGGCTCACAACGCGTTGCGGTCGCCTGCGCAGATCATCGAGGTCAACGAGTACCTCGAGGCCGCCCGCGGCGAGTTCGAAGGCGCTAAGGCTATCGCCGCCGTGATCCCCGACAACACCATCGCGCCCATCGCCTGGGGCTACTTCGCTGGCGACCGCACCAAGACGTGGTACCTGACCGAGTTCCGCCACCTCAGCGAGGCTACGCCGCCGTTCGACCAGCTGCTGGCCATCGTGCTCAAGCTGCACCGCGGCTCGGCGTCGCCCAATGGCCGCTTCGGCTTCCACGTCACGCCCTTCCAAGGCGCCCCGCCCATGGTGGTCGACTGGTCCGACAACTGGGAGGAGTTCTGGACGCGCGACTTCCGCGCTGCCCTGGCCTATTTGGAGCGCGTGCACGGCGCCAACGCCGAGCTAGAGGAAGTAGCGGAGGAGTTCATCGGCACGGTCGTGCCGCGGCTGCTGCGACCGCTGCAGACGGGGGGACGCGACATCAAGCCCAGCCTGTGCCACGGCGACCTCTTCGACGGCAACATCCAAATCGACCTCGACTCGGGCAACCCCGTCATCTTCGACCCCTGCCCCTTCTACGGCCACGCCGAGATGGACCTGCAGTGTATGCGGCGCGCGCGCTACGCCGTCGGCTACGAGTTCGTCAAGTTGTACGGCAAGGCCGCCGCGTCCGAGCCCAAGGAGGACTTTGACGACCGCAACGCCCTGTACACCATCCGCAACGACATCCTCACGGCCGGCATGTTTCCGAACCGCACGTTTGTGCTCGACGAGTGAGTGATCTCCCCTGACCGAGTTCTGTGGCATGGCGTTCGTGCTGACTTGTGTGTGTTTCCTGTAGGGCCATCGAGGACATGCGCTGGCTGCTCGCCAAGTACCCGGACGGCATCGGTGGCTTTAAGGGCGATCTAACTCCCACTAGGACCGTCACGGGCGGCGGGCAGGTGCATGTGGATGGGCTGAAGGGGCTTGGTTTGTACTGAAGTGATGCATGTTCGGCGGACTGGAATTCACAATAGGTGTGCTAGAAGTTGTTTGACACGCACTGGGACTCTTGCTGGGGCTGCGAGGAACTGAGGTCATCCTTCTTTACCCTAAACTTGGTTAATAATTAGTTGCGAGATTGAAGGGTTTGGATGGGATGCAATGCGAGGAAAGATCTCTGTGCCACCCCTCTTCAGATTGAGTGTCAGCCATCAGACGAGTCACGCAGACGTCAACAAGGAAGCTAGGCGAGGTAGACTCGTTTGCGAATCTGGCTTGTCACAGAATTCAGAGTCCCAGAAAGCTTGCGTAATTGTGTTTCCTTCTTAGTCTAATTATATCTAGGCTATTGTAGGCTGAGTGAGTCCACGACCAAGTCCTCTCTTCCCATCATATCGATGTCATTTCGTTACGTACTTCTCATGAAATAGTACCAGATCCTATACTACCTAGTCAAGAGATATTATTAGAAAGGTGAGTCCTCTCATCTCAATAACGACACTTGCTGTTATCCAGGTGAACAGCCTACGATTAACTATAGCAAAGGGGTTATATAGAAAAGCCACAATTATGCCGTTGCTGTTAAAGCGGCGGAGATCTCGTATCCCGCAAAACCAGTGCAGATTTCTTCCAAAAAGCTAGAACGAAGAGAAAAGTAACGCCTCCCCGTTAGATCAGAGAGGGCAGGCCAGCCACGTGAAGCGGACTATCGGCATGTGACGCGCTGGTTGTTCCCTCCCTGTTGGACTTGTGCTTATGCTCTTGTCAGGGATTGGCGTGTTCTTTTTTTGTTTTAGAAGTAAACTATTTTTGGTGACCAATCTCAGTATGTATCGATGCGGTGTTTGCCTGAAAATAAAAAGAAAAACTAGATTATGATAGGTTAGGGGCGTATTTTCCCCCTTTGGGTTGTGTGTAAGCAACTCCTTTTCCTGGGCCATTTATCCCCTTGCTACGGTTCGTTTCCGCGACACGTACAGCCACTTGTCAGTATGCAGCAGCTCCTGCTGTGCTTTGCATGGTACAAAATCTTCTTCCCATTCTTCACCAAACTCCTCAGAAGTGGGCGCGGAGAGATCTTCAATCTTCTTTTTGAGAGCTTTTCAATATGTATGTCCTTCCTCTCGTCATTCTGCGCTTCCTGTTGATTTGTCTTTTTCTTCTTGAATAGCGGCTTGGCGATCTTAATATGTTCGGCTACCTCGTGTACAAAAGCTAGACTATTTACACTCCCGCCGGACGTAGCAGACGCGGCGATCAAATACGGACCCGAGCTGGCACAAAGGATCAAGGAAGCGCTCGAAAGCGTAGACCTATGGCATGGTACAGGCTATATCATAGTTAACGAGGAGAAACTTTGAGTTGGCAACTACTATTTATGGTCTAATAGTCCAGCATCCTTGGGTGATTCATAATCAAATCCTTACAACATGTTTATACCTGATTTACGATCAAGTCCTTACAATATGTCTATGCCTGCCTATTACAACAATGTCTATCACGACGTCTCTATGTCTAATCATTGCAAAATCTTCTCCGCACTCTCTGCTAGGATGATCAGCTGCCCTTTTAGCGGACAGATAATATTCTGCTTTTCGGCGCTGCACTTGTGCTCGGTTTCTGCGGGGCTAGGCTGGCCGAGTCGCTTCACGGTCTCGGCGGGCTAGCAGGCCGCAAAGGGCGCGACAGTAGGCCACAGCTTGTGCGTCTTGAGAATGTCAAAGTACGTGGTGACGCGGTGCTCGGAAGTGCAGAGACGTTTGATGAGTGTCGTGGAGTTGTGGCACGAATGGCAGTTCTTGGTGCCGTCGGGGTGTAGTTGCGTGCACTGCGGGCATAGCACTCCCGTCATGGGGAAGACGGCCGTCGTGCAATGTAGCGCCGTTTCGCGGCCCTCTATTAGCTCGCGGAGACTGTCCAGGGTTTCCTGTCTCTTTCTCGAGATGGTGTCTGTGTCCGTTGTTAACTAGTCTAGAAATCGAGTCGGAAGATCAAAACTCGGGTCAGCGTATTTACCTAGAATAGATATTGGTATATGTTTATCCAACAGTGGATCGCCCTGCCAGTTCTGGAGAGTGGCGGGCGTCATCTTTGATCCAACATTAGATAATATAGTTAAGAAGTTCGGCGGCTTGAGTTTGTGCGCCACGAGTACCGCGTATTTTAGGTCGATTTCTTCTGTGATGTCGGAGACGCGGATATTTTGGCACCAGATCAATATCCACGGCGCAAGGGCTGATTCGCAGGCATACTTGTCGCACTCGATGCCGAGCATAGCGAGGGTCTTCAGAGGTAAGGTGGTGGGGATATCGACGCTCCGGAAGTGCAAGATGTTTAGCAGCAGTTCCATGGCCTCGATATCATCGTCGCCGGCGAGATGCTTGGGCGGCCTCCGTCTTTAACCCGAGTAACGGTGCCTCTCGTAATTTGAGACTGAATTAAATGCTTGAAGGCCGTAGACGCCAATCCCATGACCTTGGACGACGCAACGAATTGTTTTGATCTAATAATACAGGAAAGAAGGCCTTTTATGCTTCCAAGAAAAGGACAAAGGAAACCTGGTTCAACAGCCTATTCAGTCATACTACGTAAGGGACTCAGCCGTAGCAAGGGAGAAAAAAGAGGGCATTCGGAAGTCCGGGAGCCCGAAAAAAGGAATCAGGGCTGAAAGCAACGAATGAAGGGATATGTAGGGATATGTAGGTATGTGAATTGACAATGTGGCTCAAAAGTGGCTCAAAAGTGGGCGACACGATATATAGATTAAAGTTGGTCACAGAAAAAAGCCAATACCTGGCGGAAGCACGAAGCACAAGTCCAACACGAAAGGTTCTCGGATCCGGTTACAACTGGCGCATCACATGCCGGCCGCTCCGCTCCACACACCCGAACTTTGAACGGCCCGGAGCCGTCAAAGGTTCGGCACAACCATGGATTTGCCGATGACACGTACACCGAGAAGACTCACGCCGTGCCGTGGTGTCAAACTCAATCAGCCGGCACGAGTCCAAATAGAACAAGAATGCTGTAATTGACGTTATCTCGTTTTATATACAGCTGGCTTGTTTCCGTCGTGGTAAGTCGACATTGATATTCGATCCACATCGTACCTTGTCAGCTACACCAGGCCTTGAGTTTTCCGAAAGTCCTTCCAATCACCAAGTGGGTACTGCATACCTTGCCCGTCATACCTTACCTATACAGCCTCCCAGCAACCAGCAACGCCACTTCTGTCAAGACTGGAAATCTTAGTCCACCATGCTCACCCCTGACGCCGCCAACCTTGCCAACTACTTTTACCCTTTCGGCAATACACCTACCGTGTGGATGTTCTCGCCAGGGAGCTACGGCAGGCGCTGAGTCTCCGGTGCCAAGTAGACTCAACCCGTCTCTCCCCATTTACCATTTTCGTATCTCTGGCCAATGTGATGCCTCCTCTCATCTTGCACTTTCCGATCCCCTCCCGGAAATGCAATGGAAGACGTACATTGCCCGAAAGTCTGCATACGTCGAGATTATTGTATACGTGGACCCTGGCGCGTGCTATGCCACGACATTGATGGTATACCCTCTGATCATTGATATCAATAACCGTGTTCCTGTGCCATGGAACGTGGCTCACCTCAGCATGCAGAAGCTGCCGGCACTCGATCTCAGCGAGGTCGGCCAGCCGGACAAACGTAGATGGCTAGACGATTTCAAGTGGCTGAGCCTCCACGTCTCATCCACGACCTCGGCCCGAGAAAATGTTCTCCGCCACAGCCCGATGGACGGTGGCGAGCATGCGCGCGCCCAATTGAAAGCGACCCTCTTGACAATCCTGAAGCATCATGCAGGGTTCGCGGACCGCAGGGCACACATCTTCGGCCTCGAAACCCCCTGTGGAGTTGGCCCGCAGGTTTTCTTTTCTCGTCTCGAAGCTGCGGCTGGATCTCTCCAACCGCACCGTAGTGCTTTACGCCGCGTGCCTGAAATTATATGACGCGCTGCCCAGGCCCAACGACTATCTGATCGCGCTCACGGAGAACAACGGGATGGAGGGCAATGCGGACAAGTCACTCGAAGACGGCCAGCAGGTGCTCTGCAATTGCGGCAACGGCGTCGTTCCGGACGGGTACATGCCCAGCATCCCAAATTTCAAGAGCTTTGTGGGCAAGCAGTGCGTGCGCGTCGCGCTGTCTCTGCTCTTTTACTTATAAGACAAAATACGAATGTCATATAAGCTTAGGCAGCTCGCAACTGCCTTTGACACTGTTCTAGATGCACACTTGTGCATGTTTCGACTAGATACTAGAACGGCAAATAGATGTACCGCGGTTACTGTCGTCTGTTCTCAAAATATCCGGGATGGTCGCGAAGACATGTTACTGGGGTCCCCTGCCTAGAGCTCTTCAACAGGTGTCGATCTGTTTGTACTCCTTGGGCAAGAGCAGCAAGTCTTACTTGCCCGGGAGCAAGTCTTTGGTGGTTCAATACCTTGCGCGCTAATGCTTCTAGTTCGGGACAAGTAATCCGGAAATACAGGATTTGCTTCTTCAAGCTTGACGTATCTACCTGCGAGCCGGATGCTGGCGGATAGATAATTTCTTCTCATCTGAAATTCCCCTAAAAAGTTTCTTGACTAGGGATTGGTTAGTTTAAAACTTTAAATTTTAAGTCTCTTATGGAAAGAACGGTTTTCGAGGGTAGCGAGAAGCCCGCCGCAGGCGCTCCCAGAGGGCCGCCGTAGGCAAGAGAGAAAGGAAAGGCTGTTCAGCTACGCCTTCCTGAGTGGTCAGATGGCGTAATATTTTTACGATGAAGTTTTTTTCGCTCTAAAGTGGGGCGCCATCGCTACGGGTAATGCCACTGTACGGATAGTCTGTAATTGCAATTGCTGCCTAATGCCTGACCTATAGGTAAGGTAGGTAACCTACGGTTCACTTGAGGTTGAGCAGTCACAGGAGGGGGAAAACCCCCTGCTTTGCAGGCACAGTGGATGAGAATAACATGACGTATTCCAGCTTGATCACTCTGCCTCTTCAAAGGGCCAGCCAGATAAGATTTGCAATCCGCTTCCAGTGACATATTTGAGAAAATACTCTTTCGTGAAAATAATCTTTCAGTTGCGTATCTGAGCGGCTGTTCAAGCACCTGAGCCAAGTACTCCCGTGCCCCTGTCCTTCTCAATGCCCTGAAACCCACGTGAGAATGATATCTCAAGATACAAAGGTCTGCGAGGCTGAACCATTTGATATACCTTGGGGTTAATTACTATTGTTTTATCGATGCAATTTTCTGTAACGTCGGCTTTATTTTCTACCTGCCGTTCATTATTCTTCGCTAGGTTGAGGCAACCGACAACAAACAGATATCAGTGAGTCCAAGATAAATCAGATTTAAACCTGCTTTGCAGCCGCGTTAATGCTTTCAGTCTCCCGGATAGGTAGGCGGGTATCTAAGAAACAAGTAGTTGCTAAGCGCTTAGCTTAGAAGAACGCTTTATTTGCCCTTTTTTCTCACGAGCCAAGCTCACTCAATGTCAATCTTTCTCATCCACGATTTAACGATATTGTCTGAGTGAGACCACACCATCTCTTCAGGTATCGATTGTAGATGGAAATTTGTCAACTTGGCCTCGTGCTTTTCCCGTCCCGTGTACTTGTATGTTGTCTCATTTAATTCTTCTGCCCTCTCCCATTATTTGACCACTCATTTTGGGAGAAGAGTCCGTGGCACGTCCAGAATCATATAGCTTATGCAGATTCGGCCTGTGATTTGACATCTAAGCACAAAGTTTTGCGTCAAGAAACGAGTACCTGCTTTGCGTCGTTGTAGCTCTCCCAAAACAGGGGATGTGAGCGGGGTGCACTGCCTGCAGAAGGAAAATATATCGCAAGACCAGCGCTAGGCTGAGACTAGGTCTAGTATGTCCAACACAAACTTGTATGCTAGGAAATTCGGAGAGGTTGGGTTAGTGTGGGGGTCAAGACAGGTGACGGGCACGGCTTGATGCATGTACGGACAAAATTGTCTGCTAGATAATCGAGGCCGAGATGAGGCGGTGGGATGCAAGACTCGACAGGTGAGCTGATCTCTATGCAAGCTAAGGCCAAGGCGCGCATGATAAGAACCTGGAAGCTATCGGCTCAGTTAAGGCGCAATATGCGCCAGAGTTGTGTCTCGATTTTGCGCCACTCGCCACCACATGTCCCGAGACAACTGTGAGGACGAATCCAGCCGAGACCCCATGGTGCAGGTCTGCCACGGTCCAGACCTGGGGGGTACATACTACAAGGGCAAACCCGAGGCTTTGGGAAGGAGCGGCCGAGTACGACCACCAAGCGAGCCGTGCTCGACACGGGTGTGAGATCCCTTGCGGAGCGTGAACCTTGTTGGATTTCCAGATGGATGGCCCCCCGTCACCTTGAAATGCAGGCCCCAGAGCGGACGACCACAAAGGTGTAATTACTGCCTAGATTTGCATAGGAACACCATTGGAGTCCATTTTGAGACCAAAGCATGCCATTGCATCGTCAAGCGAGTACGATAAGGAAAGCTCCAACTGCCTGCCGTAACTGGTCAATTCACGGCACAAAAAAAAGCCTAGCCGCCGGATTCCAAGTCCATGGGTGCGAGGAACCAACTATCGGCTTGGTATGGTGCGTTTCTACGGGCAAGATGCCCTCTGCAGACGGCTCGCCGCCGGGAAAGCTCTTCGTCGCTCTTTTTAGCGTGTAAGACGGTGTCGTGGACGCGAATAGCGCTAATCTGGGGCGCCTATGACGGTTTTGTCGTAGCGTTGGGGACTTGAAGCTAGGCTGGGTTGTCGACGAGCCCGGGATCCGTGTATTGTGTCATCACGCCATCGCACGTACTACGCGCCAGTGCCCGTGATAGGCCGCCAAGGCCTCGCTCCTCAGTCCGGCACATGTCCAAGGGGCGGATTTATCATCACTCGCCCGGGGTCGAGATCGCTCTAAAACCAGTGCTAGCATTCAACAGCGACTAGCGCAATGGCGTCGGCCTGGCCAGAGTCTTGCCGAAACGACTTCACCTCGATGTCGCCATGAGCTCCGCCGAAGACGACACAGATAGTCGAACCGACAAAAAAAGAAAATTCACAAATTCGCCGATGATAAGACTGATAGGCATCCGCCACCGACAGCTGGTGGAGATGGCAAGCTTCACAGCGTGAGCTCTGGCCTGAAAGTGAAACACCAGCAAACATGGCACAGCCCCAGGAAAAGAACGTCGTCGTCGTGGAAGAAAGGGGTGCCGACGCCCCGGTTGTGTCAAAGACTTCACACGACGAAGCAGCCGTCACTGCAGCAACGGGATATGTCGAGTCCAAGAGGACATGGAGGTCCTACATCTGGTCGTGTAAGTTTGACCACGCCGGCGTGTCGTTCAGAGGGGGAAAAAAGGAGAGCAAATTGCTTACCACAACAACGATCAGCGCTCGACGTCCCCAAGGCCGAAGCCCGCTTTCTCACCAAGCTCGACCTGACGCTCATCTCGGCATCCGCACTGGGTGTCATGTGCAGATACCTCGACCAGGTCAACATTACAAATGCTTTCAGTATGTGGCATTACTTGTTTCCCCGCGTGCCTGCGTGCTTGTCCACAGGCTTTCCCTTTGCATTTGATGCTAATCGAGTCCTTTGCACAGACAGCGGCATGAAAGAGGACCTTGAGATGTACGGAAACGAGCTCAACTACGCCAATGCGGTCTGGAGTGCGGCATACGTGTTTGGCCAGATCCCCTCCAACCTGCTTCTCACCAGAGTACGCTGCCGCCATATCCAATGATTATAAGCTCGGTGCTAACAGTTTCCCGCCACCAGGTCAACGCGCCTGTCTATATTGCCTTCATCGAGCTGGCCTGGACCATCTTCACCTTTGCCACCGCCGCGGTCAAGGACGTCAACATGCTCTACGTGTTCCGCTTCTTGTGCGTGTCTCTACCTTCTCTCGGAAATGTCATACGAATAGGCTAACATGGATACAGCGTTGGCTTGTTTGAGGCCGGCCATTTCCCCGCCGTTATGTACGTGTGCTCGAGCTACTACAAGCCGCACGAGCTGGCACGGCGCAACACCCTGATTCAAATCTTTGTGGCCGTCGGCCCGCTCTTCTCCGGTTTCTTAATGGCGGGCGTATTTGCCGGGCTGGACGGCGTGCGAGGGCTGCCTGGCTGGCGGTGGATGTACATGTGAGTTTACCTGACACCAAGCTTGAGAGCGGGACCAAAAACTAGGATCGAAACTGACAAAAAGCAGCGTCTGCGGCCTCATCTCTTTCCCGTGTGCAGTCTGGACGCTTTTCGCAATGCCCCAGCTTCCCGGACGAGCAAAGGCCAACTGGTTTGTCTTTCTCTCGCAGTCTTCGTGCCCAGTGCCGCAGTTGTTGATGGCAGAAATTTAGGATCTTCACCCAGGAGGAAGTCGACCTGGCCCGTGCGCGGATGCCTACCGAGGCCAAGCCACTCACCGGACTATTCAAGTGGAAAGACATTAAGCGCTGGCACTTGACGTGGCATGTCTATCTCTGTAAGCGGCCTCGACACTTTCCAGAAAAAAACCCCCCCCCGTGGATCCTAGATGCTGATCATTCCAATAACCAGTCCCCCTGTTCTTTGCCTTCATGTCTCAGTTCGGCCAGTCCGGAGGCTCTAGTAAGTCCCCTCGCCGCCCTTTGGGAGTGCCGTCAGTGCTGACCGCCGCAGTGATTTTCTGGGTCAAAAGCTACAATGTCAAGGGCCAGCCGGCACGCTTTACAGTTCCGCAGATCAACATCATTCCGCTCGGTGTAAGTGATCGCCGTCTACTAAAAAAAAAAAAAAAAACCAAGCTTACCTTAACAAGATCAACGTCATCACCATTGTCTGTACTCTCATAAACTCGTGGATCTCGGACAGTCTGCCCGGCTCGCCTAGGTGGCCCGGCATGGTCTTTGCTGCCACCATGGCCATCATCTTCCCAATCGCCCTCGCGGCAACGCCAGTTCATCCCCCGAACATTGCAACGCGCTGGGCTCTGTATTGTAAGCTTTGGCCCCGATAAAGTGGGACTTCTTAGCCAAAAGCTGACACTCCCACCAGATCTCACCGCCCTCGCCGGCACCTCTGCCGGCCTGTCGTGGACCTTTGTCAACGAGATTAACAGACACGACCCGGAGAAGCGGGCGTACGTCTCTGCCATGGTAAGTTGCCTTCGCCCGATCTCACAACATCCCCCCCCCCAAAACTACCAGGCCCCGGTGACGATAACCAGACTAATTGTTGATTAGATGAATGCCTTCGCCTATATCTGGAGTGCATGGGTCCCTATTTTCACCTTCCCGACCTACTTACAGCCGTTTATTACTACCGGTAACTATATTACGGCTGGGTTTGGCGCCGCTGCAGTTGTTACTATCCTGATCATCCGCTCGCTCTCTCTACACGACTTGAAGGGCCAGCACCCGCAGAGAGCAACCTCGCCGGCTGACAGCGAGTCGCTGAAGTAGAAAGCTGCGGATTTCAATGGTATGATGGAGTGCTGAGTTGTTGGCTGGAGGTGGTGAGAATGGAGAGTCGTTGTGTCGTGCACAGACTAACTATATGCTGCACGGCAGGATCAGCCACCCTCCATAATTAGAGTTCCCGCCTGCCGGCCGATAGTTTAAACTTCAGCTTCACCAACCTAGCAATCCACCACTTGGCGGTTTCCCTGCAAATGTGCTCTCCGCACAGTCGTACTAAGAGCGGTTTGGAATGTCCAAAGATTCCACTCGCTCGCAGACTTTCATTTCTAAAGGTTCCTAAGGATGCAACCGGGAAGCAGTAGGAGTCGAAATTTTGAGGTTCACAGGATCCATTTGGCATTTGCAGATCAGGATACAGATCAGATTCTTGTTTCGATACAGTGGTGTTTGTTCCAGAGATGGACAACTTCTCACAAGCTTTTGCTAGACTCGTTTACTAGTAAATGATAAAACGCTTTATTGGCCGTTTAATCGACTTCCAGATTATATTAACCTAGGCAGGTACCTTGAAAAACCACTAAAAGTAGGACTTGCAGTTTTCACATCAACTTCAATGCATGTGGCCCGCAGGCTCCAAAAGAGCAATGCCGCGCAGGAGGAGCGCCGGGGCGATGCACCAAAAACCTCTGCGCTCCCCCATACGTGGTAGCCAGAAGCGATAACCCTTTATCGTCGTCCGTCGCAACCTGTGATAGGAAGCGCAGCATCACTTCTGCCGCCTTTGGTTCTTTCTCGCGGTAGGCTTTCCGTGCCCGACCGGTGGCATTCTCGCCGATTTCATTCCGGTTGTGATCTTCAAGTGCGAGCATAAAGCTGCAAAAATCTCGAAGCGTTGGGGCAAACTGATGTAGATCCTTTTCTTTCGTCGCTTTGTGCCATTTTCACAATGTTGTGCGAAAGGAGCGGCTGAAAGCATTCTCCCGCGAAAGAAATGCCTTTTTTCCTGGGACAATATCTTCCCTAACGCCCCCCTATCTCCGAATACCCTCCCTGTCAAAATGGCGCTGTAATTAGATTTCACAGTCCACTGCGACATAAGGGTAGCAACGCTCCTCCGTCCTCTACCACACGACTTGGCCAAGAGGTAGCTAATTTATAGTCTACGCCCTGAACATTTATCAGCGGGGGACTTTAAGAAGATTCAGAGGGCCATAGACTTTGCGGCTCGACCTTGGGGCTTTTCACCGAGGGGGATAACAGGTATTATTCTAAAATCCCCATTCTAGAATTCTAGAGGTCTACTTCTTTCTACAAATACCTTTCAAGACCTTTCCTAGCCGGTGTGTTTACGATGATCTTCTCCTTCTTCACAAGCACCATCCCAATAAATATGCAGGGATTAGAGTGCAGGAAGTCACATGCCTAAGTCAAATTGATTTCCAAGCCGACGGTATATAGACAGAGCTATACCAGAAGCTCAAGTACAGCGTACGGCAGACAGCCAGCAGTGAAACCTGAAACAATGGTCATCATTGCCAGCGTGAGCAACGAGGCTGTGTTTCGCCAATGCACGACAGAGTGCGTGCCAAGCCGGGTGGAGTTGATGGATCGAAGAGTGGCCAGATTATTTCAACCCCGAGCTAAAAGTCTTTCGATTTAGGCGACTCTGGTCCTGGACGGAGGCTTTGCACCTCAGTTCATAACCAAAGTGCTGGTTAATGGGACCGGAGTACGGCGAGGGCGGACTACGCTGGATCATGGCCGCACGAACACCATCGGCATACAGCCGAGAAAGTAATGTACAATGATGGCATTTTTGTGCCCACTGCTCCCCAAACCGTGGGAATCCAGTTCTTTCATGTCCAGTATTGATCACAAATTCCTCCAATCGATATCGCTCACGAAATGGCGCGCTCTCTGCCCCCGTACACGTGGAAGAGCGGCTACGCTGTCCCTGCCGGCGAGGGGGCGACGGCGCCATGGGCCGACGAAAAGCATTTCGGCGACGAGACCGGCGAGAGGGCGCATTACCGGCTACCCGTGGAGGGGGAGAAGCTGACGTCGACAGTCGGGAATAGCTTCGGCATCGCACAGCTGCGCAGCTGGCCCGACGTGTACAATGGGACCGAAGCGGGGCAGGAGAAACCGGCGTGGTGGAAGCCCGAGACCGAGGTTGACGTTCTCATCTGCGGAGGTTAGTGATTCGCGCTCTCGACTGAGTCGATGTTTGGGAATCGATGGGCTAACAGGGAGACGATGGAACAGCTGGTCCGTTTGGGTTGGAGGTGGCCATGAACCTGGCGAGGCAGGGCATCAGCTTCAGGATTGTCGGTGAGTGGCCGAGCCCAGTACCTCCAGGGAGGTCGAGTGCTAACCTTAAACGTAGACAAGGCAGCTACACCGTGCCTGTCGGGCAGGGCAGACGGGCTGCAGCCTCGGGCAGTGGAGTACCTGCAGTCTTGGGGGGTTGGGCACGAGACAGCCGAGGTGGGCCCGCTGCTTGACTCAACGGTGCTGTACCGCAACGGCGTCAAGCTCTTCCACGACCACAGCTCGACGTGCGACTCGCGCTTCAAGGGCATCCACATCATCACCCAGGGCCAGATCGAGAAGATATACATCCGCGACCTGCTGCGCCACCGCGCCCTCGTCGAGCGCTGCACCACCGTCGACAGCTTCCAAGTCCATGATGAGCCTGCAACCAAGTCCCACCCCGTTACCGCGACCTTGAAGAATGTCCAAACCGGTACTACCGAAACCGTCCGCGCACGCTACCTCATCGGGGCCGATGGCGCGTCGAGCAAGATCCGCGAGAAGCTCGAGATCCCCTTCGATGGCCTCGCTACCGATTGCTTCTGGGCCATCATGGACTGCCAGTTCAAGACAGACTTTCCCTACATTCTGGGTTTCTGGTGGGGCATCCCCAACACCACTGGCGAGCACGTCTTGTTGCTGACAATCCGCAAGCATCCTCATCAGCCCGGAACACGGCGGCTGCATCGTAATTCCGCGAGAGGACGGCCACACTCGGTGAGCATCATATCTTTGGTCTTGACATTGGATTGAATCCTACTCACACTACCTGCACGGGCAGATTCTACGTCCAGATCACGGGCGAAACCGCCGCCAAGATTGCGGCGGCGCGGAAGAATCTGAAGAACGGAAATCGGTCGACAGTCGGTGAGACGCAGGTCCACAACCACACCGTCACGCCCGAAGAGGCGCTGCAGCACCTCAACAAGATCATTGCGCCTTGGACTGCCGAGTTTGCGTCTGCCATGAGCTGGTTTGCCGTGTGGCGAGGTACGCAAACCTAGGAGTTTCTTTTCATGATACCGCGGCAGTTGCAGCCATCATCTGGAGAGAAGGCCGACGGCTAACACTCGTGGATGAACAGTCAACGAACGCGTGGCGAGGTCCTACTCGACGCCCGACCAGCGCGTCCACATCGGCGGCGACGCAGCGTGAGCACTATCCGCACCACCCACACCCCGACACGCCCTCGCTAACATACTGGGTCATAGACACGTGCACAGCGTGCTGGGCGCGTTTGGGCTAAACTCGTCCATTTACGACGCCGCCAACCTGGGCTGGAAGCTGGGGCTGAGCATCAAGGGCCACGCAAGGGCGGCGGCGGTGCTGCCGACGTACGACTCGGAGCGGCGACTGTTCGCAAACCGCGTGATCCGCGTGTCGGGCGCGTACCTGCGCTTTATCTGCAACCTCAACCTGCCGCTGGCCGAGCTGCGTGGGCTCGACGCCAAGATCGAGGTCCACGACGAGAATATGCCGGCCCTCGACGGCTCCGCTGACGCCGATCTGCGCTTCCTATACTCGTTCTTCGGGCGCAACGCGAAATTCCTGCTCGGTGTCGAGGGGCCTATCGTCGCCTCCCCCATCTGCCCGCCTGACAATGTTGTGGCCACGGGCAAGGCCTCGACGACGACGACGACGATGACGACGGCTAGGCCGACAAGCTTGCTCAACGGCGTGCGCGCGCCGAGCCCGCGCGTGTGCTTCGGCGCGAGCTCGACGGGGTACCTGTACGACGGCATGACGGGCGTCGACCGGTTCCACATCCTCATGTTCGCGTCGGACCTGCAGGGCAGCGTGCGAGGGCGCGTGGCGCAGCTTGCACGAGCCGGGTTCGGCGCGGGCGGCTTCTACGAGCGCTTTGGCGGGCGCGACCGATTCAACGTGCTGCTCGTGGTCAAGGCGCTGCCGCACGAGGTGGTAGGAGAGGGGTCGTTGTTGGCGGCTGGGCCCGACGAGCCGGAGTTGGCGCGCCTGCTGGATGTCGCTACGTTTGTCTACGACGACCGTGCCCCTGACGAGGATGCGCATTACTGGTATGCTGTCAACCATGCTCGGGGCGCCGTCGTTGTCGTCCGCCCTGATCTCGTCGTCGGCATGAGCGCCTGGCCAGAGGACACGGCGGCCGTTGACAAGTATTTCTCGGGCTTTTTGGTCGAGACTCTGCCCAACTAGGTCGTTTCTTATCCAGGCGGCAGGCAGAGAGGTAACCAGTCAGTCGATCTGAGGAAGAGCAAGATAGGGACTCGGGCTGCTGGTTTCAAATTGGCCTGACCATTTTTGTTGAATAACTAAGCAATGCGATTTATGACACTCTTTTTTTCTGGTTCATGACTTGTTGGCAAAAAACATTAATCTTTTCCATGTTTAAATCTATCAGTTCTCTTTGAAACCCGCAGCGAACCCTACGCGGCAACAGCAATAATTAGCTGGGAGGGCTTGTTTGTTTTTTTCTCGTGCCCAAACACCCAACGTCAAGACCCGCCACCTACCGGGGCAAACTCTTTGATAGACCCCGCAGTGTACTCGCCAAGACTTTTAACCATTGGCCAATGACTGATTCGATTGGGTGTGCCTGAAACCCAGACGAGTCCAGCTCGGCCTCGCTGGGCTGAGCTGCCTGAGGAGGGAGGAGACTTGCATGTGGAACACGAGCTGTGCAGTGGAGATCTTGGCACTCGAGCAGACAGATGGCCAGGAACGGCGTCCAACGTTCCTAGTTGGGCCATTGACCAGATTTAGTTGCTAAGGGCCATGGTTCCACCGTCGTCGCCGTCCGGGGCTTGTCGCCAGTCGCCACACATTAAGCCTTTTTCTTCCCCGCAAACATTGATTGCTTCTCCAAAGCGGCTCAAACGTGGCGTGCCACGGCCGCCCGACGAGAGAGCTTGCTTGCTTGCTTGGACAAAGGGCAGATTGTCGGTGGAACCGCCGGCCTGTCTTGGAGCAGCCCCGACCGAGGTCGCCTCTATCAAGCTTTTGAGCGTTTACCGGTGGAGTCCCATCCCCAGGTTCCCCGCGATCCTTTGGCGAGTTAGAGAAGTGCTTGGACCGAGAGCTCCAGAGAGCATGCCCGGAGAGCCCATGTGATGGGTGGGCCCGGTGCGAACGCTGCTCCTCCGGGGACGCTACTATTGCCATCCGGGAATGGACTTGTGGGCTGGTGGCGACTGCCTCGCCAAAACCCGCTTCTCACTGTCATTGACATTCTGGAAGGGTGGGTTGGTGGAGTAAGGCGTGGTGTTGTTGTCCCCGACTGTTATTGTAGGCTGGCACATTATTCTCCACATGCCCGAGTCATCTTATAGTTTGATTAAACTCCCATGGAGATATTATGTCAGAAGTGTTGGTCTCTTAATGATAAAGATGATTTGGTTGAAGATCTTGTTCTAATTCTGACCTCTCTCTGGCCGATCCAGGGAGCCTATAATATAGTACAGTGGGTGGCGATAATAGGTGGCGGTAGTTGGTAAGCATGCTGACAAAATCCAGTCTAGTTCTTTCTACCCTTTTCCATCTGACATATCACCTTAATCGATAATTCCCATGGCAAATAAAGCTCTGTATCTGCCCTGCTTAGATGTCATAAACAGCCATACGGCGTGGCCGGGAATGTAAACACGTCCAGCTAAATTTCCGTTAGACCGCCGCCACACTCCTTACAGCTCACTCGCCAAGGCACAGGACGACTTCCCCGCGGCAAGCCTCTAGCCCGACGCAGCCCGAGTCAAGTCTAGCAGACCCCCAACGTTACCAGGAAGGATTCGGGGTCCGCCATATTGGCGCCCTGACTAGGCTCAGCTTGTGGTTAATGGCGTTTGAAGGCCATGGTTCCAAATAAAGCATTAAGAGTTTATTTTTAAAACAAGGCTAGTTGATTCAACCTAGTGAGTGTGCCAAGCACTATATCGACGCTGCATCACTCCAGGTCGGCTGCGTTGCAGCGACTTCGTATGCCAGTGCCTCAAGACTGACGATATTACCAACATCATTGCCAACGACGTGATTGACGACTGCGGCGGAATAAATGTTGGCATTGATATCTTGACTGCTGCTGTTGGAGAGTTCTGGACCTGCGTTTCGGAGAACGGAAACGACGAGGGCTGTGGCGGTGGGAGTGTTCCCTCCGCCGCCCGTCGACGGCCCCCTCGGTCGCGCCAACCACGACAACTATGCCAACCACGACTACTGCACCCCCCACGACAACCGCACCTCCTCGCGGCCATCGCTTCTTGCGCCAAGTAGGTCGGCTGTGTTGACGGCGACTGCGATTGCCAATGCAGCAAGTCGAGCGAGATCCAGGGTCTGATTGTGAACGATGTTGTTTCGGCCTGCGGCCTTGACGCCGGCCTGGGCGTGGATTCCGCAGTCAAGGACCTGTGCACATGCGTGGCGATGAACTCCAAGCCGACAGCTGGATCAAGCTCCTCTTGCAGTGGAAGTGGCTCGGGCTCTGGAAGTGGAACCGGCTCCGGCTCCGGCTCCGGCTCCGGGTCAGGCACCGGTACTGGCACCGGTTCCAGCTCCGACACTGGCATCGGGTCTGGCTCTGGATCAGCATCGCCCACTACATCCAAGCCGCCGGTTGCCACAGCTGGCACCGGCAAGCCGATTGCTGCCGGGCCCGCTTTGGCCATCGCCATTGCTGTTTTCAACGTAAGTGGGGGCCCCCTTCTCCCCTCTTTACTAGTGTGCGGCACGAATGCAAGATGGCATGAGGTTGATAATTACCGTTCGTCTTCTTAGGTTACCGGAGCGAATACCACCCGGCCCGTGGGGGACTGCGTCGGGCCAGCGGGGTACAACTTTGACTGTTCTGGACGCCTGCAGTGATTGCGGCAGTTAACAGGGAGGAGGCTACCTGTGTAACGACCAAAAGCGTTTGGATATGGAAGTCGCAACTTGAAACAGGGCAGGCATGCTAGCCGGCCAAGCCTATAAATGGAAAGAACCCCCCGCCAAGACGAACAACTGACGCGGGACGTTTATGATCTTTCCACATTTTTGGCCCCATACCCTAACCTACCACCTAGTTAATTTGAACAAGCTGAAAGCACGGCATGATAATATCTATCCATCCGTGTCTTTGCGGCGGATTCAATTACGTATGCAACCCCAGGGGCCAGCGTCCTGGTCCTTGGGGCTTGTGTCGCCGCCACCTTCAATTGCGGCGCTCGCGTTGTGACTAGCCAGCGACCAAGCCGTTGGACGCACACCCGACCCGGGACAGGCAGCCTGCGGGCCCCTCACAATAAATTAACATGATGTAAAGACAGACTAAAACATGTTGGTTGATTGACTAGGAGCTGACGCAGCGTTGCAAAGGGCTGCACCTACCTACGGAAGTGCTACCTTAATTAAGGTAAGGTATAATTGCCATATCCCACAGCCTGGTGCTAATTACCGTCCTCCGCGTTTGGAAAATTCTCCGATCATTTTCTCCTGTTTTCCTTTTCTTTCTTCTGGCATCGTGGCCGTTTCTTGGGGATTCAGATCACCCCCAGAGGAAGGATGTTCACTCCCGTGGTGGGAAACATGCCCCTCGACACGCCTGACAAGAACCAGGTGGTTGGCGGCTCTGTGGAGTCCATCGCGCCCGCCTTTCTGTCAGACAGCGGCGACATCCCGTCGACTCGTTCGGCACGCAAATGCACATTGGCTCGCCGTCGCTGAACCTCAAGGCTCCCTGTATTTTGGCGGCTACGACCAGTCACGCATCGTCGACTCTGTTTCGTCGCGTTAGTACGAGGCCGGCGCAGGCTACGGCATTATGCCCATCGACCTGGTAGACATCACTATAGGCGTAGCCGGCGGGCTCGACCTCTCCTCGTCGCCGTTCGGCGGGTGCATCAAGATAGGCCTCTTAGCTCGAGGGCAGCAGCAAGCAGTACCGCCTCGACCGCGCCTTTCTGCAGGCCGTCTTCCTCGGCGCCAACTAGATCGGCAGTGGCCGCGTCTTCTTTCTCGCCTAGGCCCCCGGTCCGCACCTCTCGCCTGTCGTCGTGTGCAGCATCTAGCCTGACGACAGCACCGTCGCTTCGTCTACCTCCTCGAACGAGACAGGCGGCGCCAGTGAGGATGCCTGGCTAACGACCTGGCAGGATGACCCCAGTACTATGGGCAGCGTCACTGATTCCTCAGATATTTCCGGTGGTGCTAGCACGGGCAGTAGTGGGGAACTAAACATTGGGCTGATTGGTGGGGTGAGTGCCGGCGATGGAGCGCTCCTCACGATTTTCAGGCTGCTGATATGACGGCGGCTGACGATGCGGCGGAGGGACAGGCTGGCAGCAGTAGGTCGGGCTAAGGGTGCTGCAGTTCTTGCCCCTGTTAGAAAACACGACTACAAGACGCCTAAGCCTGGGATGCATGAGATGCCCGCGGAGTCGGAGTCGCAGATGCTCGGCTCGAGAATGGTAAGAGAGTTCAACCTGCTGCGCTATGTTTCAAGCCCCGTCAAGATGGACGTGTCGCACTCGCAGGCGCCGATGATTGGGCGTGCGCATGATAATAGAATATGACGGTATGCATGGATGATGAGATGATTTAAGTGCCGTGGTTTCTTTGTTTATGTGTTGCCTGGTGGATTGGCTAGGGCTCTTGATAACTAGTAATTCTAGGGGCCAATTGATTAGTCAACAACGCAGTGCGTATAATCCAATCCTTAAATGTTAATTACCTAGTAACTTAATAATATCGAAGTGACCTTGATACCTTGCTTCTCGATAATACGGATCTGTAATAAAGACCTACGTGTGCGTCTAGTGGGAGCGACCATGAGCGTTGTTGTTACGTAATTAGTGCACGGATCAGGCACAGACCTACCGCATTCATTTAGGCCCTCGCAGGGCACCTTAGCTTCCTAGAGAATTAATCTTCCTTTTTTCTTTCATTCAGGATGGCATCAGCCACAACAGTTGTGGAGGACAGCATTCCGCTAGATCTCATCTTTTGCACCATGTTTCTCCCGCTACTGATGGCTGACATTACCGTCTTTGCCCTGGTCGTACCGTCACCAACGTTGCTGCACGGCAGTTCTTTATGACTAGGAACCTTGGCAAGTCTTTCACGCAACCCCCCAAGAAACTCGGCACCTGCTAGGAGTTATTATTCCTTGTGATGACTAGCTCATGAACTTCAAAGGTGCATTCGAAAAAGCAACGTTAACCTTGAAATCGTTGTTTTACAGAATTCGTGAATACCGAAAAGCCTTCAGTGATTTGGAGCACCAAACACAAGCATTATACGTTGGTTTAGCGCAGCTGATCTTGACTCATGCGAAACGATTGTTCCTGGAACTAGTGTGCTATAGCAAGTTGAGCGAATTCGGGCGTGCTTCCCGGGAAGCTGGGTGAGATTTGAGACGCCGTTATCACCTGAAATACATCGGGGGCCTGCATAAACCGCCTCCCCGCGATTACGTTTCTTCCCTTCAGGAAGCCATCAGATGCCACGGTAGCACGTCTAACACACCCAACGGATAAACTACACACTACTATCGAAGGGGAAAGTGCTCAGGGGAGACGGCCATCAATGAAAAGTCCCCCTACGCTTGCACCACTTGGATCATGTGGACGCTCCCAGGCCTATCCCTACAGAGTGCAGGATGTGACAAGTCCCGGTGCCCTCTATAGAAGGAACGTCGAATTTCTTTTACTGATAGGACATAGGGTGCCACAAAATAAACAAAGTTCCATTAATATTGCGCATATGGTAGTATCAATCCTCGTGAAATTGTCGTCATTACGCCAGGCCATCGCCACATCACAGAGTATGCACCATTTGCCCCAGAGTCCCAGACAGATAACACGGTGACTTGTCAATGACTTGGCACTCGAGTGGAATACTAACGAGAATACTCTAGAAGACGCGGTTAATTATTCTCTGCTCGTTGTTGTGGTAGTTCGGGACCAGAGTACGACGGTGGCGGGGGTGCCGAGCACGGCCTCGTCCGCGAGATAAGGATTGCTGACAAGGCACTCGGGACACTCCGGTGTAACATTGCGAGGGCAGGTCTAGACCAGAGTAACCGGGACTGTTAGCTGAATGTGTGTGTGGGGGGGGGGGGGGATGAGGCTGCAGTAAGAAGTAATTACGCAGATCCAGATGGGGCAAGACAAAACATGTAAGTCTAGAAATACCCTTTTCTCTGAGATAGAGGACAATTAACAACAAACGGTCTGATTTCACATGCTACTAGACTTACTATAGATTGTCTTTAAACGGCGAAGCTGTCCACTTTTGTCGAGGGTGTCCACTGTCTACACATCGAACACATCGAGACAACATTCAACTGTCTACTCCGGAAATCATGACCTCCCCGTCATTGGTCATCTTTGGGCCGCAGTCCAGCACGCCGTCAGCTGACAAGCTGGTGCAGCTGCGGTCCGCGCTCCACGCGAATCCCCGGCTCGGCGACTTTGCGTCAGCCGTGCTCGACCTCGGCAGCGCGTGGGGCGAGCTTGTCAGCTCGGATCCTGCACTCGGCCGAGTCCCGGGACAACAGCTCCTCGGCAGCCTCGCGGCGTGGTTCAGCAAAGCCAACACGAGCGCCGAGCCGCCAGCCGATTTTTCGCGCCTCAACATCCTGCACACGCCGCTGACGGTTATAATCCACGTTGTCGACTACTTCGACTACCTGCACACGACCGGACTTTCTCATGCCCAGCTGCTCGACAGCGCCACACACGGCAATGGTGGCTACCAGGGCTTTTGCACGGGGCTGCTCGCAGCCGTATCGCTGGCCGCGGTCAAGGACGAACAAGATGCCATCCAGGCGGCTACCGCCGCGCTGAGGCTGGCAGTGGCCCTCGGTGCCTACGTGGACCTCGACGGCCTCTTCGCCGACCCGCCAAGGGAATTCTCGTGTCTCGCCGCGCGCTGGAAGAACCCGGCGGACCAGGCACGGGCCATGAAGGAAGTCGATGACCTGCCAGATGTAAGTGCAAACCTTGCCTGGGACCTACCTGTTGAGCACAAAAACGCACCACAAGTCAGCAATTACTGACACCAATTCACACAATAGGCATATGTCTCGGCGGTATCAGACGTATCGACAGTCACGGTCACGCTACCGAGAGAATCCCAGGACAAGCTGGTCGAGAAGCTTGCTGGTCTTGGGGTCACCACACGTCCCATCCCGCTCGGCGGGCGCTTCCACACGACGGCGCACGAGCAGAGCCTCGCCAAGGCCGTGTCCTTGGGCAACTCCAACCCGAGGTTCCGGTTTGCCGCCGCAACCAACAGCCCGGCACTCCGTCTCGTCAAGACCGGGACGGGGTCCGTCATCGACATCAACGACGCCACCCAGCTCCATCAAGTCGTGGCCCGGTCCATGCTGGTCGACCGGTCCGAGTGGAGCACCTCCATCCGCGCAGCAGTGCAAGCCTGCACCACTTCTTCCTCTGCTGTGGTGCTGGGGCTCGCCGACTGCGTGCCGCGGTCTCTGGCCGCCGAGCACAGCCTGACCGTGAACCACCACGGGGCCGGCGCCAAGCAAGGCAAGCCGGCTTACACATACCCCTCTGACGCAGTGGCGATCGTGGGGCTGGCGTGCCGGTTCCCGGGGGCGGACTCACTGGACGAGTTCTGGCAGCTGCTGCTGTCGCGCACGTCGATGCTGGGCAAGCTGCCGGCAGAGCGGTTCCCGACCAAAGGGCTGCGGCGGACGCCCAAGGACGACATCCCGTTCCTGGGCAACTTTTTGCGCGACGGCTACGCCTTCGACAACAAGTTCTTCGGCAAGTCGCCGCGCGAGGCGGCCGCTATGGACCCACAGCACAAGCTGATCCTGCAGGTGGCGTACGAGGCGCTCGAGAGCGCGGGCTACTTCAACGGCGACGGCGAGAGGGCGACCGACGTGGGCGTGTACGCGGGCGTGGCGGCGTCCGACTACGAGGACAACGTGGCGTCGCATGCGCCGACGGCGTTCAGCGTGCTGGGCATGGTGCGGGCGTTTGTCAGCGGCAAGATTAGCCACTTCTTCGGGCTGAGCGGGCCGGCCATGGTGTTTGACACGGCGTGCTCGTCGTCGGCCGTGGCCATCCACACGGCGTGCCAGGCGCTGCGGGCGGGCGAGTGCTCCATGGCGCTGGCGGGCGGGGTAAATGTCATCACCAGCCCGATCCTACACCAGAACCTGGCGGCGGCCAAGTTCCTCAGCCCGACGGGAGCGTCCAAGGCGTTCGACGCGCGGGCCGACGGCTACTGCCGCGGTGAGGGCGCGGGGCTGGTGGTGCTGAAGCGGCTGTCGGCGGCCGTGGCCGACGGCGACCGCGTGTACGGCGTGCTGGCCGGGTCGGCGGTCAACCAGAACAGCAACTGCGCGCCCATCACGGTGCCCGTGTCCGAGTCGCAGACGGCCGTATACCGGCGTGTGCTCAGCATGGGCGGCCTGCCGGCCGAGCGCGTGTCGTTTGTCGAGGCGCACGGCACCGGCACCCCCAAGGGCGACCCCATCGAGTGCGCCAGCATCCGCGACGTCTTCGGCAACCGGCCCGCCCGCAAGCTAAACTTCGGGTCCGTAAAAGGGAACATCGGGCATACCGAGGCCGCTTCGGGAGTCGCCGGCCTTATCAAGGTGCTGCTGATGATGCAGCACCGCACCATCCCGCCGCAGGCCAGCTTTGAGTCGCTCAACCCGAGCATCCCGCCGCTCGGCCCGTCCAACATGGAGATAGCGCTTGCACCAACGCCGTGGACTGCCGAGTTCATGGCCGCGTGCGTCAACAACTACGGTGCCGCTGGCAGCAACGCCGCGCTGCTCGTGCTGCAGCCTCCAGGGCCGAGGGCCGCCGTCGACGGTGAAGCCAAGGCTCCGTCCGGGAAATATCCTATCATGATCACCGCCAAGTCGGCCGGGAGCCTGCAGGCGTACAGCCGGGCGCTGCTCGAGTTCATCAGCAGCCGCAGCGGCAAGGCCGAGGCCCAGCAGCAGCTCCTCGCCGACATGGCCTACGGGTTGGCCGTGCGCCGCAACCCAGACCTGCCGTTCACGTGGAAGACCACGGCCGACTCGCTGGCCAGCCTGACGCAGCAGCTGCAGACTCTTGCGGCCAACCCAGGAACATCCATTCAGGAGACCCCTTCTTCTGCCAAGGGCAGCTCCCCTGCCACCCGTCCCGTGGTCCTCGTCTTCTCGGGCCAGACAGGCCGCACCGTCAGCCTGTCGCGCGAGGCATACGAGAGCTCTGCGCTCCTCCAAAAACACCTTCACGCGTGCGATGCGGCGCTGACCTCCCTAAACCTCGGCGTCAGCATCTTTCCCGCCGTGTTCCAGCGGGACCCCATCGCCGACGTGGTGAACCTGCACTGCGCGCTGTTCGCGGTCCAGTACGCGGTGGCACGCGCGTGGGTCGACACGCTGGGGGTGAGCGTGGCCGCCGTCGTGGGCCACAGCTTCGGGCAGCTGACGGCGCTGTGCGTGGCGGGCGCCGTCTCGCTGGCCGACGGGCTGAAGCTGGTTGCCGGGCGGGCGCAGCTGATTCGCGACCTGTGGGGTGCGGAGGGCGGCGCCATGCTCGTGGTGAGCGGCGTGGCGGCGCAGCGGGCCGACGAGCTCGTTGCGGACGCGGTGCGGGACGACGGGCTGGCCGTCGAGGTCGCGTGCTACAATGCGCCGACGAGCCATGTCGTGGTGGGGCCAGCGGCGGACGTGGCGCGGTTCGAGCGGCGCGTGGCTGCAGGCGAGGGCGTCGAGGTCAAGCGGCTCGAGGTGACGCACGGCTTCCACTCGGCGCTTGTCGAGCCGATCCTGCAGCCGTTCCGGGATCTACTGGCGGAGGTTACGTTTTCAGAGCCGGCTATTCCGGTCGAGACGTGCTCGCCCGGCGCGTCGTGGGGTGCAGGTGTGACAGCCGAGCTGGTGGCGCGCCAGTCGCGCGAGCCCGTCCATTTCAGCGAGGCAGTTGCGCGCATCGAGCGGCGGCTTGGAGGTGGCTGCATATGGCTCGAGGCCGGGTCGGGGACCGCGGCCATGTCGCTGGCACGGCGTGCGCTGCAGGGCCAGCCGGGGGTTGATGTCTCTGCGCACTCGTTCCACTCGCTGAAGCTCGGCGGCGCGGATGCCGCTGCCGCGCTGGCTGACGCTACGCTTGGCCTATGGAGTGCCGGCGTGAGCATCGCGCAGTTCTGGCCGTTCCATCGCAGCCAGCAGCACAAGTATGCCGAGTCCGTGGCGCTGCATCTGCCGCCGTACCAGTTCGAGAAGCGCCACGACTGGCTCGAGTATGTTGACCGGCACGGGGGTGCAGACGGGGCCAACAGCGCCGAGGCGGTGGGTGCTGCGGCGGTGGTGCCAGAAAAGCCCACCGACATGGTGTCGTTCTCGCACTACGCCGACCCAGGCAAGCAGACGACGGCCGTGTTCGATATCAACCAAGGAACGGCCGAGTTCGAGGTGTCGATCGAGGGCCACCGCGTGCTGGGCCACCCCCTGTGCCCCGTGTCGCTGTACGTCGAGATGGCAACGCGCGCCGCGGCCCTGCTAACGCCGGGCTTTGCCACGGTCACGCACACACCCAGCGTCGACGCCCTCGACATCTTCACGCCGCTCGGCCTCGACACGTCGCGCCACGCCCAGGTTACGCTGCAACAGCTGCCTCAGACCAAACACGCCTGGGCATTTTCCGTGCACAGCTTCCCGCTTGGTAGCAACGGTGGAGCCAAAAAGACCAAGCACGCCACGGCCACGGTGCGCATTGTGCCGGCGGCAGCGCAAGACAAGGCGGCGACGGGCGTGTTTGCGCGGTTCGCAGGGCTCATCGGCTACGACCGTGCGGCGGCGCTGTTGGCCGATACGACAGCCTCGGCGGCGGCCATCCAGGGCCCTCTCGTGTACCGCATGTTCGACAAGGTGGTCAACTACTCGGGCGTGTACCGCGGCGTGCAGCGCATCTCGAGTAGGGGGGCTGAGGCCAGCGGGCTGGTGACGTTGCCGAGGCAACCAGGCCCACTGGACAACAAGGCCCTGTGCAACCCCCTAGCCGTCGACAACTTCACCCAGGTGGCCGGGCTGCAGGTCAACGGCCTCGAAGACTGTGGCAAGGACGACGTGTACATCTGCTCCCGCGTCGACGAGCTGCGTGCTGCCAAGAGCCTCAGGGCCGACGATGTGGAGGGCGGTGCCAGCGCTGGGCCTTGGCTGGTCTACTCTAACTTCACCCGCCACGGCGACCGCGAGCTGCTCAGCGATATCTACGTGTTTGACGCCGCCGACAGGGCACTGGTCATGACCATCCTGGGCGTCAAGTTCACCAAGACCAGCGTGAGCCTGCTGCAGAAGGTGCTGGCGCGGGCGAACACGGGCACGCAGCAGGGCCACGTTGCCGCCGTCCCTCCCAAGCCGCTGATCGGACATGTTACGGTCGCGGCTCCTCTAAAAGCGACCAGCCTCGAGGCGAGCAAAGTTAGACGGGCAGAGTCCACCGACAGCAAACGCCGCAAGCAAGAACAACAACAAAAAGACGCCGCAGCCAGCCGCCACGAGGTAGAGGCCGCAGTGCGTCAGCTGCTGCACGAGGTGGCCGACGTGCCGCCTGCCGACATCCGCGACGACACGCTCCTGGCCGACGTGGGTATCGACTCACTTATGGCGACCGAGGTCATGACAGCCATCAGCGACAAGTTCAGCGTGAACCTCTCGGCAGCCGAGTTCCAGGGCCTGCTCGACTTCAAGGCGCTGTGCGCGGCGGTGCAGCCACGCCTCGACACGCCAACGCACCACAGCAGTAGCCTCGCGTCGACAAGCGACGACTCGGCTGACGAAGACGACGGCGACGACCAGCTTCTGGCGTCGGGCCCGAGCATCGGCACGCCCGCGTCGAGCGTGGCGGGCGCGTACGAGGCACCGGAGCGCGACGAGCTGGTGGCCCGGCTGCAGAAGCTGGTGGCTCGGCACCTCGACGTCGACGAGACTATCGCGCCGGGGCTGCTCCTGGCCGACGCAGGTGTTGACTCGCTGCTGGGCATCGAGCTGGGTGCCGACATTGAGAAGGAGTTCGGCACCGCCATCGACATGATGCAGCTAACGGCCGGCAGTACGTTTGGCGACCTGACCAACATGGTCATTCCAGGGACGGCTACCTCTGCGTCTGCATCTGCGGCACCAGCCAAGGCCGAGATCCAGCCGGAAGTCGTAGCACCATCACCAACCCCAGCAGACCCCGAGAACAACCTGCTAGTCCATGCCGCCGACGACTTTCACCAGATCCGGTCTGACTACCAGCGCTTCGCCCGCGAGGCCGGCTGGGCGGGCTTCTACGAGCACGTGTACCCGCAGCAGCGGCAGCTCGTGCTGCACTACGTGCTCGAGGCCTTTGCCGAGCTCGGGTGCGATGTCGCCGGGCTACCGGCTGGCGCCACGCTCCCACCAGTGCCGCACGTTCCCAAGCACGCCAAGGTCATGGGGCAGTTCGCCAAGGTGCTGGCTGAGTCGTCGCTTGTGGAGCCCCTGCCCGAGGGGGACAACAAACCCCTGATCCGCACATCCGTCCGCGTCGACAAGTCAGTGAGGGCCGAGGCACTGTTCCAGCGCGCGGTGGCGGCGCATCCACAGCACGCGTCCGAGCTCAAGCTGCTGCGGTCGACGGGGTCGCAGCTGGCGGGTGTGCTGGCTGGCCGCATCGACCCGCTGCAGATCGTGTTCCGCACCAAGGCCGACCGCGACCTGCTCGAGGACGTCTACACCAACTCGCCCATGTTCTCGACAGGCACCAAACTGCTGTGCAACTTTTTCCGCGCCACGCTAGCCCGGCATGCCGCGCAGAACGGAGGCCGCCAAGGCGAGCCCCTGCGCATCCTCGAGCTCGGCGCCGGGACGGGCGGCACGACCAAGGCGCTCCTCGAGACGCTGGCAGCGCTGGGTGTCGACTTTGTGTACACGTTCACGGACCTGTCGCCGTCGCTGGTGGCGGCGGCCAAGCGCAAGTTTGGCCCGCGGTACGGGGCGCAGGTCGAGTTCGCCGTGCTGGACGTCGAGAAGGCGCCGCCGGCGCACCTGTTGGGCAAGTTCCACGTGGCGCTGGCGTCTAACTGTGTGCATGCCACAAAGAGCCTGCTCGTGTCGTCAGCCAACACCGGTGCGATGCTGCGGCCAGATGTCGGCGTGCTGGCTCTGCTCGAGCTGACGCGCAACCTGTACTGGCTAGACTGCGTGTTCGGGCTGCTCGAGGGCTGGTGGTTGTTTTCTGACGGCCGCAAGCATGTTCTGGCAGACGAGCTGCGCTGGAAGGACAATCTGCTGGCTGCTGGGTTCCGGCACGTCGACTGGAGCGACGACGGTAGCAAGGAGTCGGCGCAGTTCCGCCTGGTGGCCGGGTTCAAGGCCCCGCCGCTGCTCCATCTAACCCAGCAGCTGGCAGTCCAGAGGCTGCCGACCAAGGAGACGGTCGAGTTCCATCGCGCGGATGGAGTCCCGCTGATGGCGGATATCTACTACCCCGACCAGCCTGACCCGGCCGGGCGTAGGCGGCCCATTGGTGAGTCTCATCCCTGTGATGCACATCTCTGAGCATCGAAAACCAAACTCCCCGGCTAACCGCATTGCTCTCAGCTCTCATGATCCACGGCGGCGGACACATCATGCTATCGCGCAAGGATATCCGGCCGCGGCAGACGCGCCTGCTCCTCTCGCGCGGCTTCCTGCCAGTGAGCATCGACTACCGGCTTTGCCCGGAAGTGACGCTGCAATCGGGGCCCATGACCGACGTGAGCACAGCGCTCAGCTGGGCGCGCAACAGCAGCGGGCTCGCCCAAATCGTCTCGTCACACCGGCCCGACATCACCGCCGACAGCTCGCGCGTGGCGGCCGTGGGCTGGTCGACGGGCGGCACACTGGCCATGTCGCTGGCGTGGACGTCCGCCAACGCGCCCGACGCGATCCTAACCTTCTACAACCCATCGCACTACGAAGACGCGTTCTGGCGCTCGCCCAACTTCCCCGAGGGCACGACGCCCGCGCAGGCGGCCGCCGACGCCGCGGCCAACGACATCCTCGAGGGCGTGCACGACAAACCAATCACGGCGTACAACGTGCCGGCCGAGCGGCGCGCCGTGGGCGGGTGGCTGGACGCCGTCGACCCGCGCTCGCGCATCGCGCTGCACATGAACTGGCGCGGCCAGGCGCTCCCGGTGCTGCTCGACGGCCTGCCGACGCGCCAGGCGCTGGCTGGCGGTGGCGCGAGTGATGAGGATAAGAACAGAAACTGGCACCACCGCCCGCAGCCCGACGCGGCGCGCGTCGCCGAGGTCAGCCCGTACGCGCAGATCGTCAAGGGCGCGTACCGCACGCCGACGTTTGTCGTGCACGGCACGGCCGATGATCTCGTGCCGTGGCAGCATTCAGTGCAGATCAAGGAGGCGCTGACGGCCCGCGACGTGCCGGCTGGTGCGGCGATTGTGGAAGGCGCGGTGCATTTGTTCGATCTGTACCGCGACGGCGACGGCAAGGGCTGGGATGCCGTGTGCGAGGGCTACGAGTTTCTGTGTCGCCAGGTTGGGCTCTAGAGGGGCGTGAGTGTAGACTTTAGAGGGGGGGTTTTGCGCGTTTTTGGTTTGCATTGTTTGATGGCGTTCGTGGTGGGATTCAGATTGTAACTGTTGGATTTCGATGGCGTTCGTGGTGGGATTCAGATTGCAACTGTTGGATTTCATGTGACGGATGGCGTTTGGCGGTGGGTTCTTTGATATGCGCGCTTTCACTTTAGATCAAGTTGTTTCTTTCAATGTCTCACCGTGACTTCAAGCTCCCGTAGCCCCATTCTTCTGACCCCGAACTTGAACGTAAGCGCTTTGTTGGTTTGCCCACACCCTTTCTTGAAGTTGCTGGGGCAGGAGCGATAGGCACAGGGGCCCTGAAAACTTTTGGGACTTTGCTAGCCCAGTGGTGTGCATCTCAGGAAAGCTTATGTTGAAGTCTCCACAGCAGATTATGTGGTTGTGTGAGCGCGTGATACGATTGTGTAGAACGCTCCTTCTCATTGCCTCAAGATCACGGCTTTTGGAAGTCGTATAGACCCCGCCCCCAACTCGGATCCCCATCCCCCAATTCTTTTTGCTCCCTCTCACAGTGCTGGCTAACAACCACCGGCACTCAAGTATTCCTACCACCAGAGAGGTTCAAGTTGTGAGCATATGGCTGCCATTGACCAGTGATGAGGCGGCAAGCGTGTGTTTCATTCCCTGGTGCGGCAGAAATTAATTGGTGAATAAACCTTCTCTCATTACAAAATTACACTGCTACCGCGCAGCATAATTATAACCCTCGAATATGGTCAATCGCACATCGAGGCATCTGGCCCGGCCAGCAGAACCTCCGCCTTCATCCACACACGCTCAGTCTTGTAGTCGTTTCCATCACTGCTGCCAAGCCCCACGATGGCGGCGTGCACCACCATGTTGACAAGCCACCCGTCGCAGCTGGTGTCGCCATCGTAGAGGCAATGGATTGCATGGGCCTCCATCCTGGCAGAATTCTGAGAATCGCGTGCTCTGCAACGAGCGCAGGGATTGCACCTTCGGTGATGTCTTGCGAGACCGGAGCCGGATTGAGACCTCGGCTGAGAACTGCACGATCAAGTGGAGGCTCTCGATGGCCTGTGTGGCTTCATCGGGTGAATCAGAGGTCCTGATCAAGTCCTTGACTGGAGAAGTGAAGAATCTAAGGCTAAAATCGTGACAGAACGAAAGCCGCTGTGCCGTGTAGCTGTCCGCCGCGTCTGCTGAGGCACACCCAGCTGTATCTGCAGTGACGGGGCGGGCTGAAAGTCGATTCACCTTGGACCGCCAAATATTAGCTTCCTTTTCGTCCACTTGAATGGTTTGCATGTTAATTAGCTTAAGCGAATGCTGTTCAGTCTGGTCGCCACTCACCAGCACGAATATCGTCGTATATTTCTTGCAGCTTTTAGCTGGTACTGCCAAAAGCCAGGAAGGGGACAGCGATGATCTTGTTGTAGATGACGTGGGAGATTTGGAGGCATATGGTTGGTGACTTCTTGTTCATGCGTGGTGTTTTGAGGTGGTCCAGAAAGCCACGCTGAACTTGAGGCGGCAATCCAGCCTCGCCGAGACGCGAAATGGCGGAGAAGAGATTCAAGACAGCTGCATACTTGTCGTGATTAAGTTTGCCTACACTAGTCATGTCCTTGATGGCATGCTTTCGGGCTTAGTCCTTGATGCGGCCCTGTACATCTTCAATTTCCGAGCAAACCGTGCCGTCATCAGCAGACGTCTACGTGTCGCCATTCATATTCTCAAAGGCACGGACTTGAAAGGCGCAAATCTGAGCCTCAAGGCGTAGCTCATTGTGTCTCGTGCCATTCAGGCGCAATTGCAGTGACTAAACCTCATGTTGTTGCTGTTCGGTGATATTTTCAAGTCTGAATTTGCAGTTTGATAGCTGTGACTAGTGCTCGACCTGTTGCTTCTGACTCTGCTCCTCATGTTGTAAGATTTGACGCTCCAGTCGCCGGATCTTGACCTCCCGAGCTCGTAATTCAGTAGACTGGCTGTTGATGGTCTTGCTTTGCCGTCTAATGTTCTTCTGGTAGTCCAGCAGCATCTCGTCTTGTTGCTTGGTAGTTTTGGGTGGCGTCGCAGTTTCCCAGTGCTTCGCGCGACTTTGCATTACTGCCAAACATAACTCGAAAGGGCTGGAACCATTAGTTGTTTGCGTGGGAGCGCTCTCGGCCCACCATTTTCCTTATTTGGCCTTTCCAATTCTCGCGCGCGGTGGTCGTGTTATTTTGCTTTGTTAGATAGAAGCATAGGCCAGACGAGCCCTGGCAAAACGCGGAAAATAAAGTGAAAGTCGGTCACGATGGCAGATCTGTTGAGACCAACAAAAACAAAGGGAAGTCTAATTTCAGGAGCCAGATGCCGTCATAAGTATAGGCTTGGCGTCATACCTGATAATGCTTGGGTAAAGCTAATTTATAGATACCGCTAGGCTAGGTCAGAGTTTTCGCACCAAACCTCTCTACTGGGTGACGACATGTACAAAGTGCAGCTGGATGATTATCCGTCGCGTTGCAACAGAAACTGCATTGCTGCCTAAATTTCCCAGCCCCATCAAACAAACACACCCAGGCCCCTGTCGATGCATCGTTGTCGTGTCATACTATTAATTACACTACGTCGGGTTTGAAGGTGGCATCTCAGCTCGGCCCTCGCACTTAATCTTGTCTTCTGATAGCTTTCCACAGGAGCCCCACGCAGCTAGCCTTGAAACTCCGAGTCCGCCAGGATAATTGTGGACTTCCGGTTTAAGCATGGCGGCTACCACGGGCTCCAGTCGCCTGAAAATCAACCTCGGCGTTGACTACGGGACAACCTTGACTAGCGGGTGCTACAACTCCATTCTCTTCCCCAAAGACGACTCTTACTATCTCTACTAACCTCCACACCAGGCATCAGTTATGTTACATCAGAGAAGACGTCTATCAACGACATCGCTATCCTGCGAGTCTACCCCGGTATTGGCTGCCCTGTCGACGGCAAATGGAAAACACCAACCGTCATTGCCTACCAGAGTAAGAATCCATTTGCCCCCAGGTAAGACTACCCAGCAAGTTTGCCAGGACTATCTGGCACACGTGTATCGTTTTTTTGTCGACACCTCAGGATATCACAACCTACAACATCCGAGCGACTTATCCTATAATTATGTTTGATGAAATATGCGTAGGCGCCGGTGAGGTCCGGGAACATTGGCCCTAACACTTGACGACAAAGAGTCTAACCTCAGTGCGACTAAGGTGGAAAATGCGGCTCGACGTATATCGATCGAAACCTTCACAGTTTCCTGAGCGAAAGATTCGGGTACGCTTTGAGAAGCTCCCAGTCAACTACAAACGCCCCGGGAGTCTGTTCATACCGTACATTCCTCTTTTTAACCCCCCCCCCCCTTAAAGGGAAGATATGGAGCAATTCTTCGACCCGATCATCGAGGATATAATTCGTCTTGTAACCCAGAAAGTTGCTCAAGCCCTAGGAAAGAAGGGGAAGCATATCAAAGTGAGAGACCTCCCAGGGTTAGCTGCCACGTTTCTGAAAGAGGAAGCCTAATGAGTTTGGCAGTTGATCGTTCTTGTCGGAGGCTTTGGCAACTCGAATTACCTGAAGAAGGCCATCGATAAGTAAGCTCGACCTCACAGAATCGAATGCATACGTCCTAGCTTTTGGCGGGTACTCCTCTTCACGCATCAGGGTTCACAGTTCTCAGCTAGCTTAGCTAAAACGGTAGCCAGGCCGCAATTATCCGTGGCCCGGCTATCCGGGGACTTGAGGGAACCTCGCCATCCAAGCTCATCTACCGCCGCCATTACGGCTTCACATGGGCCAAGCCTTTCCGTGAAGGCATTAATGATGAGAAGAATGCCTACTAGAGTTTTGGGGAAAAGTTATGTCGTGGGTTTATGGAATGGATGATGGAAAAGGCCCCCCGCCATTCCCCGCCGCTTCGTGATGACTATATCGCTAATGATAAGATCGATAGGGTACCGAGATTGACGCTTCAACGCCTAGTGCCGTTGATGTTAGGGGGGTCTGGACTTCCGGTCGCTCCTACCACTTCCTTAAGACACACAACACCAAAAACAACAACAATAGCAGGATTAGGGCGACCGAGCCGTAGGCTCAGTAGGTAGGTGAGCTTCACAGAGTAAAGGCACTACCGCGTGCACTAGTCTAGGGATCTCAATTCATGGTAAAAGACACGACTTTCTTTCTAAAGATGAAGGCTCTGGGGAAGATCGATGCCCCCTCTGATCTGAGGGAGGGCGGGCTAACCACCTTATACGAGGTGGGTAGGCCAAGAAAAAAAAAAAAAGTACACTAGATTATATTAGGCAAGGGTGTAAACAACCCCCTTGTTGCCTGGCCCCTGAACCCCTGATCAATGTCCAAATTTTCGAAGCGCGAAACCACAAAGGGTACTGAATATTATGTCGGTTACCAGTTCAAGATTAATTTGCAAACCACTGACGGGGTGCTGAGATATTCATCAATGTCTGGACAGAAGACGATTGGGGTCACGACGATTGATTTCAGAGAGTAGACGGGTAATTTGCCGTAGGTCCTCAGAGATAGGGAGATGAGGAAGAGATCATGTGGAATGGGTATGCAGACAGGGGATACAGTTTCAGACGGATTGAAAGAAAAGAAATACCGTTACGAAGTCCTATCTGATTGATTACGATGTAGCTAGGTAATTAACCGCCGACACAAGGTCTGCGCATATCGGGGATCTCGATGCCGCGTTGGTAATTATACCCGCTTCCAGACAACACGGCGATGTAGAGTAGCATTTACACTTGCGGGTGGTCCGTCGTACCACGTATTCGCCTAATTATGCGCCGGCAATGATACCTGACATATATGTAGCCAAGTTAGGCATGCTCACAAATACACAAACGCGTATACATGAGTAAGTTCTCCACCTAATTACGCCGTCTTTCCGCTCGTTCTGGCAGTGCCAATTTGGCAGGTGAAGAGGCGTATTGCTTGCGTTGGCATGGAGCCCGAGAGCTCTGTGTACTTCTCCGCGGATTCAACGGTTTCCGGTTTTCGGCGGCCGGAAACCGGCTGGCGGTGATACAGATACGTAAGGGGGCAGAGTCTAGACCCGTAGATCCCCACAGGGCTGGACAGGCGGGGTTTATTGTCTGCGGTGATTTGTAGCACGGCTGCAGTATCTATGTGAGACAATGCAGGCGGTCCGGGCAGTACCTAAATACGGGCGATTACAAGGTTCTTGGCGGTGGCGAGGGTGGCAGTGATCGGGACGTTGCATAATTATCCAATGGCGTTCTGCCTCTGCTTTGTTTTTCCGCCGCTGTAACCGCCCCTGTTTTGCTCCTTGGGTTGGGGAAACCCGAAAGGAAAGCAGAATTGATAATTATTCGTCCCAATCTCTACCTGTGTTACGAACAGGTACCTCCTATGCGGGAAAGCCGCTTAAAGTGACCCAATGAAAATTCAATGTTATTTCCTAGTCGTACGCTTCATTGATATCACTTTGTCACTTCAATGTCAGGGGCAACACAATTCCAATCAAGGAGTTTCCGCACATAGGTACCTACCTTGGTTATTCAGCAACTACAAGACCTGGATCGAGTAGAAAATGGAAGCCCAAGTCTAAGATCATGAAATTGGAAGAAGCATAATCACTTTCAAGATCCCGAGGTCAATCAATACGCAGAAACACAACAGCAGGTTTCAGGGGTCATATGTACTAACCAATATTTAACTACAGCGGAAAGCAGAACCATTACAAGTAAATAAATTTCATTTTTTTCACTTCAACCCCTATCTAAAAAGAAATGAAAAAATTTGCTGCGTTGACAAAGTCTTCTCGGAAAGCCTTTCAACCAGCACAAGAATTGAAACAAACGGGTCTACTTCTACACAAAGAAACAAGACGGAAACAAGAGGGCGCACTATGGCATCCAGGTTGCCACAAGCAGCAGGGAAATCTAGTCCTGGCGGATGGTGTAAAAGATGGTAAAAGGCGCGACGTCAACTCCGGTATGCTTGCCAGCGGAGGCAATAACGGCCGAGGCGTTGCGGATGCCGTTCTCGTGGGACTGCGCGGCGGCTGTTGAGGGTATCAAGTCAGCGATGCCCTGCTCATTCTCATTGCAGTTACAGTTGCAGGCAGGGACTACTCACGGAAAGTCTCGCCAATCTCGCAGCGCCAGTTGCGCCAGGCCACGGCCGTCTCGTTGGCAATCAGCGTCTGCTCGCCAATGATCTGGCTCCACTGGCCCTTGTAGGTGCCGCCGCCGGGGATGGCCACGACGGGGTTTATCCCTGCCGAAACACGCGCCAGTCAGCCGCAGTTCGTCTGCCACGCGAGACATGTGTGTCCAGAATTTGTGCCGCGAGGTGATTAGGTGGGTACTCACGCTGATCCTGCTCATTGTTGGCGATGAACGACCCGTCGGGATATGTCTTGTACTTGTCCAGCTGCAGTCGCCTCGTGGTTAGCCCCATTTAGTGTCCACTGCGGCTAAAGCTCGACATATTTACGCACCACTTCGGTGATCTGGTAGTAGCCCCCGGCTGGCGCGCTAAAGTTGAAGGTGCGCGTGGCACCGACGACGCCCTCCGTCCCCGTGGTGGACGCAGGGATGAGACCGCCCTGGTATCGGATGTCGAGGACTAGATTAGGGCTTAGTTGCGTTTCACCTAATTATTGATCAACCGAGACAGTATGGGCGCCTCTCACATTTGCCCATGATATTCTGCACCTCAATTGCGGGCGCGCCGATGATACCAAATGACGTTAGGTTCTTGAAGGTCGAGCCGGCCGGGCAGCGGCATGCCCGGTACTGCGCGTCGCATGGCGGCAGCTTCTTCTTGTCGGCGGCGTTGTTGGGGAGGCCCAGCGCCAAGACCGGGGCGAGACAAGCGACGAGGAAGTTGGAGGCGTGCATTTTGACTTGAGTCTTGATTATCACAGAATTCGTCAATCGGGAGGTGGACTTTGCAGGCCTTTTGTCTTCTTTAAGTGCGAGGTCTTGTTATATTTGAGTAATCTCTACACCGAGAACCTCCCCAGCACTCGCTCGCCGCCTGACTGAGCGATACAAGTAGGGCGGCGATTACGCAGGTCCCAGGCTCCAGCCTCACAGCCCTACAGCCGCAGCACTCCCCCCTATCCCGACCTAGAGTCAAGACGCCGGTCCAAGCGCTATTTCAAGCCACCGAGATCCGTCTCGCTCGCAAGGGCGGCCGACGCCGTGCTGGCCAAGCCGTAATATTGGCCGGGTGGCGCCTTGGGGGTGTGGGTGGGCGAGCAAGGGTCGTGGAGAGCCGGGGACGCCCGAGAACCAGGGGAGGGGGAAAATAACGGTTGCCATGTAAGCCATCTCCGTCATCTGCGCCATGGAGGCGCAGACAGAATCGCGGAAATGTCTCCGAATTATTCCAGAACCAGGCTTGGAGCTTTCTAGACTCGTACCTAATATGTAAGCATGGATCATTGATGTGGGGGCACCACCGAGGAAGGATTGGGCGGGGGGGATCTAGATGGGGATATAAGATACCTAGGATGAAAGTGAAGTGTGTGCGAGGCAAAGGCAGAGGGTAGGGAAAGGGAGATGTAAATCCGAGTCGAGGCTGGGACGGGAACGGCTCGTTTGGGCGGCGCGCTCCTAATGGGACGCTGTATTATGTATGTTGTCGGGGGTGTGACGTACGAGGAGACAGTGAGGTCGACGCAGTCCTGCGGCTGGGTGCAATGGACAAGCGAGAAATTATACTGACCGCGGTCCGCCAAGGCCGCCAGTCCGCCACAACAGGGGGTGATAACAACAGGGGCCACTCGGCGGCTTCCGATTGGAGCGACCAAAGGGACAAGTCGGGTGGGGTTGCAGGCTCGATGCAGCGTTGCGGTAGCTGCTGTGCGTTGATTAGGACCCAAACCCTGACTAAGGTTCATTGCCCCCTTCGTTAGCGAGCACTTACGTATCTTGCAGAAATCTTTGTACGGAACCACAGTCTGCTTTTCCGTTCTTCTCTTCTGCTCGTAATTAGATAGGAAGACGTGCATGGAAGATTCGGAGTAAGCACGGCCGTCTTGTCTTGTTTAGGTAGGTAATACAAATAACTAGAACTTAGTACTCGTCAGGGCACCAGCTGCCAGGCTTGCTGGTTCGCCGAGTCTGGGAGGTCTCGGTACACAACGTTTTGTAATTTTGCAAGTCGATGCAGCCCGCTGGGAATTAATTACCTACACGCACATGTCGTTTTTGCACGTCAGCTACTTCCGCGTAATCATCTCACCCAAGGCACAGAAGGTAATTAAGGTAGTGAGACTTAGTGTCCTTACCGCATGCCCCTCTGTCTTCTCAGGTAGGAATCGTGTGTAATTGCCAATATCTCAGATCCTGTCAGACTCTTGCATCCTGATACGCCCACTGTCGCTCGGCTAGCAACGCCGCCTCGATGCCCGCTTACTGGCAGTATTTAACACCGTTTCCGCTCGGTTTTTAATTGCTAAATGTGAGACTGAGACATGTCTTCGTAAGAATCACGCTCCACCTCTGCAGCTGACATGTCTGTCCTCACTCCTCAGTCCTCTAAGACAGAAGTAATCGCAACCCAGACCCAATTCGGCGGTGTTCCGCCCGCCTGTCGTCCCTCTTGGCTAATAATCACCACAGTCACGTGGCTGCAGCTGCTTTGGATGAGAAGTCTTCGGGCGTTTTGGGACTGAGCAGTGAGGGCGAGACAGGGTCGCAGCCGCAGCCGCAGCACGCTGCGTCGTGGGCTCTTGGCATGGCCGTGTACTGTGCAAGGATAGGTTAGGTGCGAGGGGACCGGAATCGGCAAGCCTGGGGGTGCGAAGATGAGCCCGTTGTCGCCGCCGTTTTAGCTGTAATCGTATAACAGGAAGACGGGCTCTGGGTACGAACACATACTCGCCAGACGATGCTAGATTGAGCCATGGTCAGTGCAGGTACGTATATGGCTACATGTGCACAGGGCCTATTGCAATGCCAGCGCCGAGAGAAGCTGGTCGTAAATACGGTGGAGCAGGGTCGTATAGAGAAGCTTTTAGGAGTTATGGTATGCATGCACACCACCTAAGAGATACTCCGACGCAGATACCAAGAGCAGACAGCGAATAATCACAAGGAAATGTGGCACGGTGCCGACCTGGTAGGTACATACCTAGTGTGGGGGTGGAAGTGGCGGCTCCTCGTTCCTGGTCGAGCCACCCGCTTCACGCAGGCAGGCACGTCCAAGACCTCCCGTCCATTATTGGGCGCTGGCGGTCAAGCTTTACGTTAGCTCGCTGCACTGGCGGCGGAGGGGCCGTTTAAAAGCGCACATACTTAGAGCGGAGGTAAGGTAACTGCTCCGTACCTGGTAAGTTTTACCTGATCAGCAATCGAGCCTGCCTGCCTTGGCAATGTATCCATTGTAAGTAAGTGGAGGTAAGCCCGAACCATGGTGCGAACCTTATCTTGCAAGCCCGCGCCAAACGTCGATCCACTGCTGTAACCGCTCTGCATGAAGGCTTGAGCGTGCCACCCCGTCAGAAGCTTGCTACAAATAAGGTACCGGGCCCAGGGCTGAAGAAGGAAGAAGGACGAGACCCCGCACCCATCCTCTCTGGTCGCGTGTTTAATTGGACGTGCCTCCGACACCCCGTTTTCGGTCTCATGCCACATACCTATTGACCGCTCAGGGTGCTGCTGCAAGTGAGCGGTTCTTACTGCGTCTTTAATTGTTCAATGCAGAGTAATGATCGTCGCCATACCCTGATATTTTTCTCACTGCCACGAAGCTTCGGCTCACGTGCTGCCCGGGCCCAGATAACATCAACCAGACCGCCCGTCCCGTCTCGTGGAACTGCTAAGTCTAGCACCGATTGTCTCTGGTGTTTTTTCGGATCTACTCCAATTGTGCCCCCGCCCTCGCCATGCAGACGTCGCCCCCACATCCAGTGCCTCTCACACACGGGTAAGAACATGACAAACAAACGGCGATGGACACCCCAGGAAGACAAGCTCCTTCAAGAAGAGTTTCAAAAACAATTAATCAGTAGGCAAGATCCTTCCTAAGTCTCTCCCCTGTCTTCCCGCCCCTCCACCCCCAACCTCTACTTTTGTAACTTGTGGCTTCACACACTTGACTAGTGACCTTGTTCACTTCCCGATTCGACCAGATCCTACCGGCAAGGGCAACACTATCAACTGGAGCGAGGTTGCCAAGAAATTGTCCAGGCGCAGCAATAAAGACTGCCGGAAGAGATATCTTAACGAGATGGCAGGCACCCTCAAGAAGGTGCGCTCCCATTCGTCCCATCCCCCCAGTCTGCGCCGACATACGCTAACTCGTCGGTCGCCATGGCAGGGCCCCTGGTCGAGGGAGGAAGACGACAAGCTCAGGAAGCTTGTCGAAGAACACGGCCTGTCGTGGGTGGCCGTATCGCAATCCATGGCAACTCGGAGTGCCGACCGTGAGTGTCTTCGTTTCGACAACTTGCCCTCCTTTACATTTCTTCCTCCATGTCTTCATTCGGTTTGCGGCCCCCCAACGCAGTGAGGACCCCTTTAGCCCGATGACAGCTGACTTTTGGTCCCGCAGAATGCTCAAAAAGGTGGCACCATTCGCTAAATCCAGAGCTCGACCGCCAACCGTGGCGGGAACACGAAGTACGTACGTCTCGGGCCCCAGTCGACAAATCCTGCTACAGAGCTTTCGGTTTATTGACCTTTTCCTCGTTGAAGAACCAAAAACTTCTTAGGGCGTCAGCAACACATGGCAGCAGCTGGAAGGATGTCCAAGAGAAACACTTTCCGGCGCGGTCAGCAAACAACGTCAAAAACCAGTGAGTGCGCATGAGGCGTGAAAGAAAAACAGGCGCGCAATGCGAAACTAACCGCAGCTCACCAGATACACCATATTAATGCGGCGCGGAGTCAGACTGACAGAAGATGTCCCACCGTGTTGTCCACTAAGAACTGAGCGGCCGGTCGGTAGTTCGTCGTCGTCGTCTGTTCACACGCCGGCTGCAACAAGAAGCTCGTCGTTATCATCTCCCAGGATATCTCACCCCTCGCCAGCCCCCGTCTCGTCGTTGATGCAGCCACCGGCTACCCAAGACGCCGCAGAACTTACGGTAGCGGCGTGGGGTGACAGCGCGAGTGGGGACCGAGGGGATGGGGCCATGGACATTGACATGTTCGTGCCGAGTTTCTGGGACGATCCCGAGAACAACGGATACTTTCTGGCGTCGCCCATGGACGCGGTGGGCGGGGTGTACGACGGCCAGTTTGGGATGAAATACAGCGAGCAGTGCACGACGCCAATACCTGGCAGCATGGGTAGCGCCGAGTACCAGGACGTGTGCTCGCCACCGTCAGCGGCCGGATTCTCGAGCGTCGTGTCTGGGGGCGACGATGATAGGCACGGTAAGGACGGGCATCCCGTCGGATCGTACGATGGCGACAACGGACTGGGATGGCCGTTGGACCCGCTCCTCATCCCCGATATGAGTCGCAGCAGGAGCGACAGTAATATCAGCAACGGCGCTGCGGGAAGCGCCAGAACCCAGCAACAACCCGCACGGCACGGGAGCATAAGCGCGGGATCTGCGTTGTCAGCGCATGCAAGGACGGGGACTCCAACCCCGTCTCTCGCCTCTGTTGCCGCGGGGGGGTTCGGACTCGGGTCTCGCACTTCCCGCCCTTCTATCAATACCGAGGTGCATGCGTCGCACTATCAGCAGCCGTCATCCTCGGTCTCGGCTGGTGCCGGAAGCGGGGCGAATAGTCCGAGGTCCCGCATGACCATTGTCGTGGACGAGGCCAAGCCCGAAACGCTCGTCGAGGTGATGAAGGTGCTTATGGAGTCCCAGGCGAGGGTCGAATTTCGGCGCGGATGATGGGGCCAGATTGTCCGTGTGTTGTACATACAACGGGGGTGTCGTTTAAATTGTCTGCAAGCATTGCATAAGAGAACTTTTGCATAGAGGACGGAGTTGACAGGTTGGAACCGATATAAGACGATGCTGACGGAGCCATAGGATTTTGAGCAGGCTGCACTTTACAGGGCCAGATACGGGACAGGAGGAAGGGTAAGGCGTAGTGAGTTAACTGAATGCAAATTAACGCCGTAATAAAGAAAATCTATTGCTGTCTAACAGGCTAGACTCTAGTTATTTGCGTCCCTAATGTCCTAATCCCGGCTGAAAACCACCTAGCACCACGTCGTCACAACAGGAAATTCTTTAGATTGCGACCGCGGCAAGGGGAGATCTACAGTGAGAGCCGAGCAATGAAACAGCACATGAGCGGTTGGTTGATTGAGTTGGTTGCCTGGCTGGCGGGCGGGCCGTTAGATCGCTGGCGATTCCGAGTCGCGTCGTTGCCATGACAGCTCCTCGCGCCGCGCGGCTGCCCCCTGCGTCTACCCCAAGAGTAGCGCGCACGCGGCGCGCCCAAGGGCCCCAACTTCAAAGGTCCAACTGAGAATCTTGGCTGCCAAGCGCCGAGTTCGCGCGGCGGCCCGAAATGGAATACGATCGTCTCCGATGATTAATTGCCTATTCATAAGCACTCGTATTTCCGAAATCTGTTCCGATCGAAACGGCCGCCATGCTCGGTACATGTGTTTGTCTCACCCTCCAAAAATGTCACGGGCAGTAGGGGCGGGAGGGTGCCTGGTGCAAAATTCAGATGGGGCGTCGCTTGGCACTGCGCTGCGGGTTACACAGAGTGGCAATGGCGTCAAGCTTTCTCCACACTCCCTCCACAGTCCAGCATAAGGGGGGTGCGCCAACAACTGGGGGTGCACATTAGGTTCGCACGGAAGGAGCGAGAGACTTGTGCTGCTCGATGTTGGGCAGCAAAATGCCCAACTGCATCGTTATCCCTGCTGGAGATAGTGCGTTTTGGTCGGGGGGAAGCACACTTCTTGCGGCTGAACGGGACATGGCACCAGTGGGGACGCTGCCTTCCCTGTTTGGGGGTCAAAGATTGCAACAATGGGCAGAAACTGCACTGTGGATTGGTGACTGTGCAACTGTCAACACCCACCCCTCCACCCGCCCCGCTCTGATCACGTAACCTGTACTCCGGCCCATGGAGAGCTAGCAAAAGTCTCCGATGACTTCTCTGGTCGTCCCTTTGCTCCCACGTCTGCTGCACCTGTGAGGCACGTAATATGCAATACGGGTAGTGGTGCATCTGATAATCATCTGTCGGCTGCCGGCCGGCAGGAGCAGCCACATGCACGCACCTGCAACTGCCCGCGCTGTCGCGCTTTCGCGCCCGTCGCGGATTACAAATGCACCAAAGCTGGGGTGGTACGAATCTGGTCGATTCTCGGATCCGAGTTTGGGTAAGTGCGGGTGCGGGTATCGCGCCGCGATGGTGTCATGCCTCAGGCTGCAAACAGCACCTGAGTGCACCTTTGTTCCGCACCTTACACCTCCGCACATAACTTGAAGGAAGCCACGTACCTAATCTCACGCAGCCACCATCACCACCGCAGCCGCTTCGCTCAATCAAGAACACGGACAGGCGAGAATTTTTGCATCTCGGACCTAGCCAAGCCTGACTCACATAATTAGCATTGATAGCATCCACGTCCCTAATTGCCCACCATGCCTGCTGTCCTTATCCTCGGCGCGAGCGGCTATGCTGGCCTCGCGGTCGGCCAAGCCCTCTTGCGCTCGGGCAACTACACCGTCTACGGCACCTCGCGCAGCGCCGAGAAGGCCAAGACCCTCACCACCAATGAGATCACACCCGTCATCGGCGACGCTTCGAACTCGGCTTTCTTGGCGGCCGCCATCCATGACAACCACATCGACCTGGTCATCGACCTCACCCAGGCCTACGAGAACGCCGGCAACATTCTCAACACCATTGTCCAGGCCGCTCGCAAGCGCGCCGAGACCCTCGCCAAAGACAAGTCCGTTGGCCCCAAGCTCGGCTTCATCTACACGTCGGGCACCTGGGTCTATGGCTCTCCCAAGTACCGCGTCAGCGACCTGACCGTCCCCGGCACCTCTCTCTCCCCCGGCACGCCCGCCACGGCTGTCGGTTGGCGCCCTGCCCATGAGCAGGCCGTGCTCGCGGCGCGCGACGTGCTCGACGTGGCCGTCCTGCGCCCGTCGACCATTTACGGCCGCGCGTCGTGGGTCTTTGGCGTCTGGTGGGGCCCGCTCCTGGCAGCGGCGGCGAGCAGCGGCACTCAGGAGGTGCACATCTCGGCCGAGCCAGAGGCGCGCATGGGTCTCGTGCACGTCGACGACCTGGCCGACGCGTACGTGCGCGCGGCCGACCGCATCGACGGCCGCCTGGGCGCGTGGCCCGTCTTCGGTATCAGCGGCGAGACGCTCCCCGCCCCGCACATTATCGAGAGCGCCGCCGAGGCGCTCGGCGTCAAGTCCAAGATTGTCTACGACGGCGCCGGTGGCAACCCCTTCTTCGAGGCCCTCAGCCTCGTCAGCAATGCCGACACGTCGCGCGCCCGCACCGTGCTCGGCTGGGAGGCCAGCCACCGCGACTTTATCGCCAACATTGGCACCACGGTCGCGGCCTGGAAGGCTTCGCAGTAGTGAGGTGGCAGTTGGTAGACTTTGGTTGTTCTTTTTAGCGTTTTTCTCACGGGAAATGCAGCGGGCCATTCTGCATGCTTCGTCTCTTAACCCACTGCCGACTTCTAGTCTGAGAGTAATTACGGATAAGGCATAGGGCTGAGAGCGGAGCAGTGCTCTAGGATGAGGTTGGAAACCAAGCCAGTTTTAGCCTAGCCTGGCGATCCTCGGTTCGCGTAACCGAAATGCAAGAAAACTTTAATTGGTCCCCCCCTCCCAGCTATCATTCTCCAAGTAGAAATAAGGTCCAGAATGTGGCGCCTTCAGTGTCGGTGTCGGAACTCCGAAATAGTGGGGGGATGGCAACTCATCCCACGAAGAAGGCTTGGCGCGGAGCGCAGAGCGAGCGGTCTGGCCCGTACACTACAACGCGATGTTGAGCGAATCGACCAACGCCGTAGATCAAAGGGACGGGACGTTCCTAGCCTTGTCTGACTAAGAAGGAATAAAATTGCCGAGTGGTTCGGCTCCGTTTCGGAGAATTCACATGAGGCCTTGGAGATGTGAGTGGCTGGCGAGATGCTGCTAGGGGGCGAAAATGCCGGCAACTAGACCATGTGTGCCCCTGCTGACTGCACACGCACGCAGGACGTCGGCATAATTTGACAAGGGAAGTATGAGTGCGGGTAGTTTTTTTTTTAAAAAATTCCGGGCCGGAAATAGACAGCGGTCGCCCTGGATCTGGGGCGCAGCCAGAATAGAGAGAGCTAGGACAGGCGCTGCGTCGGCTTTTGGTAACTGGCCATCACCGTGGTCCTGGCTACCTTGTTTGCCTAAATGTAGTCATGGTCTTTTTTAAATTCGGTAGTTCAGGAATCGAGATGTCATTCCGCCCAATTAATCTGACACTCCACCACGTCTGGCGACCGTGTGGGCAGTCGCACGCGGCTTCCTTCTTTGTCCAGTTCTCAAGAAGCAAGCACTCTGGCTGACAAATACAACGTCTTCAAGTACGACTGGGTCTAAGGCTGCTATCTCACTGGCCGGTGACTGGCTTCCTGTTCTTCAACCGCACAATAAGTCCGTGCTGCATCACAAACCACCGGTTCTCAATGCGATAGTTCTGCGGCTCAACCAGCTCATACTGAGGTTTTGTCGCACGCGTCAGCTCGGGCTTTCCGCCGTGTCAACAGAGCGGACGGGAGATAACTTACGTCAAAATGCAGCAACAGCGTCGGCACCACCTTGTACATCTCAAGGTAGGCAATGTGCTTGCCCATACACGAGCGATGGCCAGCCCCGAACTGCACAACCAACCCACAAGTCAGCATTTGTGGCACCTGCAACCTTCGCGACGCGGCGATCATAGGGAGGTCAAATGCGTGTAAATTTTTAAAAGAACGAAAGAACTCACCGCTATCAGTCCGCCCTCCATGCGCCGCCTCTTCTCTTCGCCGACCTCGAGCCAGCGCTCGGGGCGCCACGAGTCGGCATCGTCGCCAAACAGCTCACGGTCGCGGCCGACGACGAACGCGCTCATACCGACGACCGTACCACCCGGTAGGAACTTACCGCAGACGGTGGCGCCCTCGGGCGGGACGACGCGCTCGTAGGGCAGGCCGAAGGGCGGGTGCAAGCGGCCGGCCTCCTTGATACAGGCATCGAGGTACGGCAGCTCGCGCGCCCGCCGCCACGGCGCGAGCGACTCGGGCATGTCGCCGGCGGCTGCCGCCGCATCCACCTCGGCCCGCAGCCGCGCCAACGTCGCCGGGTGCGTCAGCAGGTAGTGGAACATGGCCCGCAGGTAGATGCCCGTCGTGTCGGACCCGGCTGTGATGTTGGACGACGCCCATGCCGCCAGCGCGCTGTTGTGTTGTGGTAATGTCAGCGGAGACGGTCCGATTTGGTTGCGACACACGTACACAGACACACAAAGCTATCACGGGGAGGAATGGAAAACGTAGGAAGGGGGAAGGGGGGCTTACTATGGCGGCAGCGACGGGTCCTTGGCCTCAATCTCAAGGAAGCGCGACAGAAAGTCGCGCGTGTCGCGGTCCCAGTCGTTCTTGTCGGTAGTCTGCATAAGGGCGCGGCGCTCCTGGACGCGGGCCATGGCGAAGGCTGCGCCGGGGCTAATGCCCTTCCCGCGCAGGTGGCGGCGCACGGGGTTGTTGGTCCACACGGCGTCGAGCCAGGGCATTTGCGTGACGAGCGCCGTCTCCTGGAACATGTGCCATATGCTCGCCATCACACCGTTGACATCGGTGCCCGTCTCGAGGAAGCCCAGCCGCTTGGAAAAGGTCAGCTCGCCGATGACGTCAAACGCGAACATCTGCAGCCACTGGCCCAGGTCGCACTCTGGCTTGTTGTCTGGGTCGTTTTCCTCCGTCACGAAGCGCGCGCGCAGCTCGTCGCACAGCACGCGCATGGTGGTGTCAACGTAGGGCTCAAATGACACGAGCGTGGTCATGGCGTAGGCGCCCGACACGGGCTTCTTGAGGCGGCGGTGGATGTCCTCGTCCTGGGCGGCGAAGATACCGGGGATGGGCTTGCCGTTGGGCTTCATCATGAGCGCCGTGTAAAAGTCCGACTTGAGCCACGGCTTGGCGAAGCGGTACACGGTGCCGACCTCGGCCGGCGCCCCCACTGACACCATGTTGGGCCCGAAGCGCACCACGGGCCCGTACCGCCGGTGCAGCGTCACGTGCGCCTCGTGTGCTTTGTTGCTGAGCACCCACCCGAACCGCGGCGCGTTGGTGAGCCGCGCCAGGAACGGGCCCGGGATGTGCGCCAGCCGCCAGTAGGACCGCACCATCGACACGAGCAGCCACGACGCTGCCAAGGCCGCGACCGCTACGGCTAGCCAGGGTAGGTTGCGCTTCGACGTTCTAGCTGCTGTGTTGATGGCTTTCTCGCCATGTTGTTCGTCCATGGCGTCGTGATAGGCCTGGGGGAGGCGTATACAAGCCTCAAAACTATCGATCTCCTGCCTGTATGTATGTGTGCGTGCGCGCTAGGTAAGATTGTTCCGATGTGTGGTAATACAACCAGCTCAGCTCTCGGAGCAAAATGCCACAAAACGCGCGAGGCTGTTCACTGGCCAGGCTAGATATAAGGAGCCGCAGAGCGATTCATGCCCTGAGCAAGGATGAGACGGGCAGGTCTCGCCCTCGCCCTGCCCTTGGCGGTGTGTTTGCTTGTGTTTTGCGTTAGAGTTGAAAGCCATTGTTTGTACAGTGCTGACATGCAGTGCTACACTGCCCAGGGGGGTAAGCAGAGCGCGAGACACGGACATTCGCCGCTGGCATGTTGCTGAGGAATACTCCGGTCCGTAAACAGACGGGAATGCACCGGGTAGGATTTGGGCTTTTAAACTCGGATCTCGATCTCCGTCAAGTTTCTGGGGACTGCTACCGTGCCAATGCCCAGCAGCCCGACGGCCAGGTGGGTGATGTAAACTTTAGGCAACGCGCCAGCCGCAGCCACCGAAATTGCGGAGAATGTCTTGGCTGGGCAATAGTCCGCGTACTGCGCTACTCGACTTAATAATTCTCGGCCGACAGTGCCACAATAATAGCAGTAACTCGATTCGCTCGCAATCCCACCCCCATAAGTGTCACGTCGGCCAAGTAACGTTTCTTCGGGCATCATCGGAGGAAGCTATACAGCTTGATTGCTTCAACAGAGCCTTTCTTCTCGGTGTGACAAGTCAAAATTTCTGAATAGCGGGTGTAGTAAGCTACGACTGCACCAGCAGACAAAATAGATGCCTGTTGCTTTGGGTCTGCGCATCAGTACTTGTATTAGCTATAGACTGTGGCCGTAGGCTACCCCAGCGCCCAGGGTGTGTTTATGATGGTGAGCAGTCAGGAGTGATAGTCGGCACAGCCATCCCTGTCACGAACTCGTAGCTTAATTAGGCACGGAAAATCTGTGACGCAAAACAGAGCGGCGAAATGAAAGTTTGGAGATTCCTATGAAATGAGGAAATTCGGCGCCAGGAAGGCCAGGGAATACTACACGATGATAGAACGTAGCGAGGAACTCAAAGGACGTTCAGCCGGTCCTGTCCCGCCGCCTCAAGGGCTCCAACCCCCTGTGCCGAATCTTGAAATCGGTTCCTCCTTTACCTGGACAAGTACCTCGCCCTGGGCAAGGTAGTCGTAAAAGCCATAGCGATCAGCAACCCTAGGGTAGAGATCTTCTGTGCCAGACCTGTTCCCATTTCCATCAGCGTTGTTGTTCACGATGTTCTTGTCGTCGGGGCTGGCGTTTGTGGGGCTTGTCCTGTTGTATCTTCCCTCAATTTCTTCGATCTCCTCCCGCAGAACCCGTTGGTCGCTAGTGTGCAACAACTTAATCTTGGCCAAAGCAAATCTTTCGGCGTCTTCCGCTATCCTGATCATTTGCGCGTTGAAAGCGTCGTAGTTGATGTAGATTCTCATGTCGCGGCCGCGTATCAGATCTTCCCGCTCCTGTAATGGCTGTGTTGGCGATATTTGTGCAAAAGCCTGCTCCCAGGTGTTCTTGGCGCTTAATGACGACGCCATTAACGAGGCGAGCCTCTTCTCGTACTCCTCGTCAAAGAACTTGCACATCTCCTTAATAACTTCGCGTACGAGTGCAGTATTGTATCCGATTTGGTACTCGAGCTTGTTGATGTGAAGCCCAATCTGCATCGTCTGCTCGTTCTTCAGGTCGTTGATGCACGCGTCACACCTGACGGGGTAGCGCCATGTGTGCACGAATTTCGGTTCTTTGCATGGGAGATCTGGTATGTAGCCTTCTTCTGAAATGCAGTGGCAAGTGATGGATGGATGGCGCATGAGGTCGGTATCAAGCTTCGCCGTCCACTCGCACCGTGGGCATTGAATAAGGGCGTGACAGCACATGTCTATTGCTGTCAAGCGCGGGATTATTGCACGATGTGCTCTAGAATGGTAGCCTAGCCAAGTTTTAGCTCGGTGAGGTGTGATAGTTTTTGTGACGAACCTGTGGCCTTGAAACCAGAAATCACCGAGGGCGTACCTGGCGGTCTTTTTCAACTCCCTAAGTCTCGGCACAAGTCGTGGTGGGACGATCAAGATAAGGAGTATAGATTTAAACTATGTCTTATCAACAGAAGTCTGTATTGCAGAGTTTGAAAATTACTTTAGAAACTCAAAATATATGTTTGAATGGCCAACTGGGAGCAAAATCTGATCAATAACTTACAGTTCTGCCAGATGTCTCAGCTCGATGATATCATGAGTTCTCTTGGTCCAGGTAACGATCGATTTTAGCTATGTCGCTCTTGTTAAGGTTATGGATAGACACTAGACAGGCACTAGACAGGCACTTGCGTGAATCCTCAAGGCGCCGCTCTTTTACAGCATGGTGATTGATGATGGAAATATGACATAGCCACCTTCATTTTGTCTGCCTAGAACTCTTCTAGTTCATAAAGGAAGGAAATGCAGGATAGACGCATTGTGGCTACTGGGCCTTCGAAGTTCAAATATCATAACGACCAAACAGCCGGCTCTTTGATCGGAATAAAAGTTAGCAAAACCTGCCGACCCAAAGGCAAAAAGCTAATGGGCCACGGTACATTTGTCTTTTGGTATTAGTTTTGTACATTAACCGGATAAATTTTACTCTGTAAACCATCTCCATTAAGCCGAAATACTGAACTTTCCATAGTTCGGAACCATCAACTATGGAAGGCAACTGACTCACGGACTCCACTTGCCAGACAGGACAAGGAACACATCAAACTTGACCTGGGAATATTGTTGAGCTGGTAACTAAAACCAAAAGGGGAAATTTGAGTTAGTTGCATTTACAACTACCAAATTAGGTTGTAGGTGCTTTAGTATCCCTGATGAATTCGCCCTGTATAGTCGAACTTTGAAGTAAAGTAACTATCCGGATACATCAAAGCTCGGCACAAACAAAGCATTACCTCGGGCACATGGGCGGGAAATTTTTTTGGGCCATGAAAGTTCATACCGGACCGATTTGTCAAATCCAATCGGACGCAAGCCTGAAGGGGTGCGAGTACAATTATTACAGTCAAGGAACGGGTCTCTTACTCAACCACTTTGGCCACACAACCACACAATCATGGAAACACAGAGACACAGAAACACAGAAACACCAGAAACGCGCGCGACCCGAGTCGCAAACCCTACCATAAAGCACGTTGCAACACCGTCAGATTATGAAGTAAAAGCGTAATAATGGAAAAATCTAATACAACTAAGATCGCTTGACGACCATGGAGAGAATTTATGGACGTTTCACTCAAGACGAACTATATAGCAGCTGGACTGGAATTTGGGCCACATGGGGAGATTCATTGAAAGACGAGACACAAATTGGTACTAGCTAGGTAGGCAATTAAACTAATCTCGCAACAGCATACATGCTCACGCCATGCCGCCGTTGACACGGATGGTCTGGCCGGCGACCCAGCGGCTGTCGTCGCCGCACAGGAAGGCGACGGCATCGGCAATGTCGTCGGGCTCGCCGAGGCGGCCGCTGGGGGTTGCGCCGGCGGCCATCTTGAGCGACAGGTCCGTCTGGTTGGCGTGGAAGCCGCGCGAGCTGGTGGGGCCCGGGGCGACGCAGTTGACGCTGATGCCCTTCTTGCCCAGGTCCTTGGCCAGCACGCGCGTGGCCTGCTCGATGGCGCCCTTGCTGGCTACGTACAGCAGGTAGTGCGGCATCACCGTCGACGCGGCGCAGAGCGTCGTCGAGAAGAGGACAATGTGCGAGCCGGTGGGCATGTGCGGCGCCGCTTTCTGTGTTTTGGTGGTCAGGCCGGTTAGCTGGGTGTCTTTCCCGCTGGTCTCTTGGGGGCTAGGTGGTGTGGTTAGCTAGTTACCTGGCATAGGAGGAGCGGTGCTTTGACGTTGATGTTGAAGACATCGTCGAAGCTGTCCGACGTCAAGCCGGCCAGGGGCACCGTGGGCATGACGCCGGCGGCGGCGACGAGAATGTCTATCTTGCCAAACTTGGCAACTGCATCGCCGACCAGCCTCTCGAGGGATTCTGGGCTGCGAGAGTCTGCTTGGACGGCCAGGGCGCGGCCGCTGCCGATTTGGTCGACAACTTCCTTGGCGCCCGCGGCATCGCTGCCGTAGCTGGCGATAACAGCGGCGCCATCGGCGGCCAACCGCAGGGCCACGGCACGCCCGATGCCGGTGGACGCGCCAGTGACAAGAGCAACCTTGCCGCTGAGGAGCATGGCGTGCAGTGCAAGTGGAAAGGGGAATGTCGCTGGGTTCTGTGGGGGTGGCTTCGGTTTCGGGTTGCGGTGGGTTGCGGTGTCTAGGAAATTCGCTCGGTTAGGTTTGGTACTGACTGCACTTGGGCAAGGAATGGATCGAGAAGCAGCTGCTTTGGGCTTGTGCTGGCGAGAGGAAAATTGAAGGAACAGGGGGTGCCGCCGGGTGCGCTACGTCACAGGCACTGCACCGGAACGCACGGTCTAGCGCCCACTAGTAGGCGCGCCGCGGTTTCTTTGTACTCTGGGCCGCCGCGGATTTAGCGGAAATCCGAGCACCCACCGAGTTTGCACGAGTTCCTGATTAGGAAAGAGCGTTTCAAGATCGTTTGCTGCGCATTCGGACTGTGACACTACAGACGAGACCTGCGTGCCTTCCTGTCGGTAAGAGCGAAAGGCATTGCCGTTTGCACTGATTTGAAATCACCCAGGCAGGCTCGCGCTGCGTGACTCCCCCTTCAGCCTCTCCTTTTTTGCTTTTCGCGAGACAAAACAAAACTGGCTGTTAGTCTGAGATAGCGAGCAGACACGCTTTTGGCACAGCATTTGCTGCTGGTAGATGCACTTTTCACTCTAACCTCTAATTAGCCAATGCCACATTTTCCAAGAATGGCTGTCGACACGGACACAGATGCCGAAAAACACCTCAAGCCGCCGTCGGCAGGGTCTCCCTCGTCGTCGTCGGATCAACTGCCACCCGGCCCCGAACTCGGCCCCGCCACCACCGCGGTTTCGCCTCCCCCGGACGGCGGGTTTCGGGCGTGGTGCGCGGTGCTGGGCGCGTGGTGCTGCCTGTTCTGCAGCTTCGGGTGGATCAACTGCATCGGCATCTTCGAGGCCCAATACCAGCAGAACCAGCTGAGCGCCTACCCACCCGGCGTCGTCGCCTGGATCCCGTCCATCGAGGTCTTCGTCATGTACCTGACCATGCCCGTCCACGGCAAGCTCTACGACAACTACGGCCCCAAGCCCCTGCTCTACGCCGGCACCCTGTTTCACGTCTTCGGCCTCATGATGGCCTCGCTGTCCACCGAGTACTACCAGATCCTGCTGTCCCAGTCCATCTGCAGCGCCATCGGCGCCGCCGCCGTCTTTTCCGCTGCCATGGGCGCCGTCGGCGGCTGGTTCCTCCACCGCCGCGCCCTGGCCCTCGGGATCGTCGCCTCGGGCTCGTCTCTGAGTGCCTGCATCCTGCCGTAAGCCTTTCTCCTCCCCTCTATTCATGCCCCCTTTTCACCTTTCTTTTCTCACTTTTCCTTTTCCCCTTTTTGTGTTTGGCACTCTTGCTCTAGCTAACATGACACTTGTGCGGCAGAATCATGGTGACGCGCCTCGGCCCTTTGGTGGGCTTTGCGTGGGCGCTGCGCATCTGCGCCTTCATGTTCCTGTTTCTGCTCATCATCGCCTGTCTCGTCCTCGAATCGCGCCACCCGCCCAAGCCCACCCCTTGGGAGCTGATGGCCTTTTTCCGGCCGCTAGGCGAGAAAGCCTTTCTGCTCAACGCCGTCGGCCTGGCCTTTTTCTCGGGCGGCATGTTTGTCCCCTTCAACTTCCTTGTGCTCGAGGCTCAGTACCGCGGCATGGGCTCCGACTTGGCCAACTACCAGATCGCCATTCTCAATGGTGTCAGGTGAGGACTGCGGCTACTTCTGCTTCTGACACCTGAGCTGCGCTGACTACTGCGGTTGTGTTATAACAGCATCTTCGGCCGCATCATCCCCGGCTGGCTGGGCGACAAGGTAGGCCGGTTCAACGTCATGATCGTCACGACGGCGCTGTCTGCGGTGGCGGTGCTGGCGCTGTGGATCCCCGCCCCGACGAACAGCACGGCGGCCACGGTCGTTTTCGCGTCCGTCTTCGGCTTCACGTCGGGCACGTTTGTCGGCATGACGCCCGCGCTCGTGCTGCAGATGTCGCCCGAGGTGCGTGAGATGGGTATCCGCCTCGGTACCACGTTTGGCGTCATCAGCATCGCCGCCCTGACCAGCAACCCCATTGCCGGTGGCCTCGTCAGCAGGGACGACGGCGGCTACCTGTACCTCAAGATCTTTGCTGGGCTGGCTCTGGGGGTAGGTTCGGCCTTGATTCTGCTCAGCAGGTGCGTCCAGGCCGGGTGGAACTGGAAGCGCATATAAGGGGCAAGGGTTTGTATGTACATATATGTACTACTTGGATCCCGAGGTAAACCATGAAAACGTTTTCCCTGTTTTCTGAAACACTTCACACAGTTCATTTCTCCTCAAGACTACATGTGGTTAATATGGAGGCTGTATGCGGTGCATCTCACCATGCTGTCCAAAGTTGTTGACGACGAAACGAATTCGTAAATCACCTCAGTTCCCAAGACTGATCCCCGACAGGAACTACCGGCCGAACGGAGGCCCGTGTAACATTGCTACCAGTAGTTCGAGGGACCCCTCACAGAAAAATGCGGCATCAGTGGGCGGCATGGGGATGTGATTTGTGGATGCAGCACCGCGCAGCACGGCAGTTTAACCGCTGCAGTCGTGCATGCCACAGACACCGGAGGGACGGGACGCATGCCACTTGAAGTGAAGTAGAAAAACTCGCAAGACGTCGCACCGCCCTTGTGTCTTTAACCCATGGCATTGCACAAACAAGCTACGCTATTCCAACTCTTGACGCCGCAGCTAGAATGCGATGATGGCCTTGGCCTCCTCCGTCTTTGAAACCCTCGGCACCAAGCTTGGCTATGTCGCCTCCAGCGCGTTGTTTCTTCTCTTCGCGGCTGGGCTATGGTCGACAAAGCAGGCGTGGCATCTCGCCAGCAGGTACCCATTGCTCGGCGGCGAATACGGCGGCGCCGGCAAAAGGGGCAAGGCGTACCTGTCCCATGCGGCGGCCCTCTTCGATCAGGGATATCGCCAGTTCAAGACGGCCACCTACCGTCTCACAACTCCCGATGGTAAAAACCCTTAGTTCCATATGCTGGGAGTAACGTTTTTTTGCATAAGCATCCCATCGCTGACGTCGAGTTGTCGCGCAGGCGATCATCTCATTGTGCCCAACTGCTACCTCGACGAATTGCGACGCCGGCCAGACAACGAGCTGGATGTTCTGAAGGCCTTCGAGAAGGTTTGAGCCGTTTATCTTGGCCAGAGTTGTGGCAGTGGTTTTTCTAACCACTTCGCAATTAGACGTTTGAGAACAACCATGTCCGGCTGTTCCCGTCCAAAGAGAAGACCATCATCATCAACAACGTCGTCAAGGTCGACTTGACCAGGAACCTCGGTGAGCGCAGCGCCCCAAAATACCATACCGCTACCGTCATAGACAACATCTGACCTCCCCTTCAGGGCGAATCAACCCGCGCCTCTCGGACGAGGTCGCGCGCACGGTGGCGTCGGAGCTCGCGGGCTGCGATGGCGCCGAGTGGACACCCGTCGTGCTGAGCGGGGTGCTGCTGCGCATCGTGGCCGTCGTGTCGGGCAACATCTTCCTGGGGCCCGAGCTGTGCCGCGAGGCCGAGTACATGCACTGCGCGGTGCAGTTCACCGTCGACCTGGTAGCGGCGTCGGCCGCGCTCAAGCGCTGGCCCGCCTGGCTGCGGTCCGTCGCCGCCGCCACGCCCCTCGTGCCCCAGGTCGCCCGCGTGCACGAACACCGCAGGCGCATGAAGGCGTTTCTGCGACCCGTCATCGAGCAGCGGCGGATGGATATGGAAAGGAGGCGCAAGGCTGACGATGCAGATGCAGTGCCGCCGCCAGCGGACGATCTGTTCCAGTGGCTCATGGAGAAGTCGGCGGCGAGTGGCGTTACCGACGCCGGCGACCTGACTGACATGCTACTGCTTGTCCTGTTGGCTGCGATCCACACGACCTCGTTGGCCGTGACGAATCTGTGGGTTGCGTCCAAAACTGCTGCAGACTAGAGAGGCAGCAGTCACTAATCCGCACTCTAGTTTCTATGACCTTGCCATACGGCCTGAGGTGGTGGAGGAGCTGCGCGGCGAGATCAAGTCTGTCCTGGCCGACAGCGGCGGCGTCATGACGACACAGGCGCTTTACGACATGAAGCTGGTCGACAGTGTCATGCGCGAGTCTCAGAGACTGACCCCCCCGTTTATTGGTGAGTACCATCCACAGCTGAAGCCTGGGCCTCCTAGTACTCCTCCGAACCTGACCACGATGCTCTGCGGGGGAAGATGCCTTCCGGCGGTACGCAATGCAGCCCATCACGCTTCAGAACGGCGACCGCATTCCCAAGGGGACGTACATCGAGACGGCCAACACGGCCGTGCTGCGAGACCCGAGCCTTTATCCGAGCCCCGATGTAGGTCTAAGCTAATTTCGGGACGAAACTTGTTGTTCTTCACCCACCCTGTAGGGTAGCCCCTGACCTTGAGCCCCAAAACACAGGTCTTCAACCCCCGCCGCTTCTCGGCGCTCCGCGAACCCGACGTGCCGGACCCGCTAGGGTACAAGAACCGCGAACAGTACCAGTACATCAGCGTGACCAAGGAGAATATGAGCTTCGGCTTCGGGCGGCACGCGTGCCCGGGCCGCTACTTTGCGGCCAACGAGATCAAGATGATCCTGGCACAGCTACTGCTGCAGTACGACATCCGGATGCCCGACGGCGAGTCAGAGCGGTACCAGAGCATCTGGAGCGGTGTCGTCATTGCCCCGGACCCGACCAAGGCGCTTCTCTTCCGTCGCGTTGCGGCGTGAGGCACAGCTCGGGAAGCAGCCAAAAGGGCGGTTCTAGACAATGCAGGGGTTTTGAAAAGCAGAACAAACAAAGTTATAAGATAGCTAATAAGGGGGCAGATCTCAATCTTGCCGTTATAGTAACGGCAAGCCAAGAGTCTGTTGGAATAAAGCACATTACTAAAATAATCGCAAAGTAAACAAACGGCCTTGAGCATAATTCCCCTTTCGTGAAAAAGGCCAATTAAAACAAGTAGTTGTCAATTTCCACGTGCGAAAGCAATGCTTAGCAAATGGCTATCAGTTCAGAAGTGGCAGTAAACTGAATACGAGAAGCATGAACTATTCTATACTCATACTTACTATCCGCGATATCTCTGTAATAAAATACAGGTTTTTATTCAGCTCCAAAGTAATTAGCAACCGCAACCTTACGCAAATTCCAGGAGAACAAACGTGCAAACCACGCAAATTCCAGGAGAACACACGCTGCAAACCATTGTCAAAAAAATTACGCACAAATGCCCCACTCGTGTCCAATCATATGCCTGGAGACGAGAAGCTTTCACAACCCGGCCGAGTCCACCCAAGGTCCACAACACCGCAGGACAGCCCCATCCACATACTGTAATTACCCCCACGGAAATTCATCACAAGCAAGCAACAACCTAGCTTGAAACAGGCAACTTGGCCGAGCGGTTAAGGCGCTGTCTTCAGGAACCCCCGATATGCTATCGCATGGAAAGCTTCCTTGGCAGTTCGAAAGAGCGAGGGTTCGAATCCCTCAGTTGTCAAACCATTGTTTTTGCGTGCATGTGCGGAGAGATTTTTTTTACCCCCGAGCTATTTTATTTGCTCGGTTGGTTTTTGGTTTCGTTTGCCAGCAAGTCGTTGCACAAAACAATGCATCCGTGCCATTCCATTGCTTTGAAGTCGAGTCCGAGTTTGTGATTTAAAGGCCTGCCCGCGATGCAATTAATTTCTCGGACTTCGACACGGAAGGCAATAGCGACTCGGGCAAAGAGGGAAGGAGGACACGTTGTCGGGAAAGTACCTGGTCAAATTCCCAGAAACCATGGCGATGCCGGCGACGCGGGTAACCATTGCTAGTCCCAATAGAACATTCCAACTTTCGATATTAAAATTGGGCCACAGCATTGCATGGCAAGGCAACGAGGCAGCGTGCACCAACTGCATCTGTCCCAGCAGTTGGGACCGGAGTAACCAGCCCGGGCCCGTGACCCGGGAACCTCAACGCTGTGCCAACATGCAATATGACAGCTCGTTTCAGCTCCACGGACAATAGAAACAGGCCGCCGAGTCCCGCATAATACATTCCCCATCGAAGCAGAGACCTTGATGTGATAACCGAGACCCACCAAGGAAGACACCAAAGTTCGCACTACTCGTCGAAATGCCCGCACTCTCGACTGTAAACGGCAGCAACGGCAGTAACGGCTGGAGCAACGGCTGGAGCCACGGCAACCACCATGACTTCAAGCCGGCCACGATCGATCTGCACGAGTCGCCAGCTACCGACGGCGCGCGCATGCGGAGCATTCCCGAGCTGATCCAATACAATGCCGAGACCAACCCCAAGACCCTGTTCTGCTACCAGGCGACCAAGCCCGCCGAGGGCAGCGAGCCCGATGCACCACCGCCCGTGGCCGCCGTCACCATGCGGCAGCTACGGGACGCCGTGTGGCGCTGTGCGAGGAGACTGGAGGCGGAGCTGGGGTTGGCCGAAAGACCTGCCGAGAAGAGCGCGCCCGTTGCGCTCTTCATGGACAGCGACCTGGGCTTGTTGATCCACCTGTTCTCGCTGATGGCCCTGAGAGTGCCTGTAAGCCCAACCTCATAACCGCAATCACATGGTGCACGTGGAAGTGGAATAGAGAATAACGCGACGCAGGTAGCCTTGCTATCCGCACGGCTGAGCACGGTGGCCGTCGACCACTTGGTCAACACGATCCAGGCGCAGGCCATCGTCATGTCGCCGCGCATGGTCAATGTTCTAGGGCCACAACAGCCGACCAAGAACGGCGCACCCAGCACCCAGCAGTCTAGTGCAGCGACAGCGGCCTCGGAGACCGCCATTCACATAATAGCGCGACCGTTCCAGGACGACTTAAGAGGGGCTGGAGAAGAGATCAGCAACGGGCACGTTTCTCACGTGGAGCAGAAAATCACCGTGTGCCCCCCGGGACACTTCGACGAGCGCGGCCGCGATGCGCTGATCCTGCACTCGTCAGGCACCACGGGGCTGCCCAAGGCCATCTTCCAGTCGCACAAATATCTGCTGGGCTACGCGCACAGCCACATCCGCACCGACGAGGAGGATGTAGGGGCGTTGAACATGTCAACTCTCCCGTTATACCACGTGAGTGAATTTGCAGGATCCCTTTCCTCTGCTTAGAACATCACTTACCTGCCTTTAATTCGCAACAGGGATTTGGCCTGGTCGTGCCGTGCCTCGCGCTCGCCATTGGCAAGCCGTTCTTGCTACCGCCGGCGCATGCGGTTCCGACGGGACTGTCAACAGCACGAGCAATTGAGCAGTTCGGCGCCAAGTCGCTGATGACCGTCCCACACGTGCTCGACGAGATCTGCGCCCTGCCGTTCGATGAAGGCACCCGGGCCCTGCTGCCGCTACAGTTTGTTGCGTGTGGCGGGGGTCCGCTCAAGCTGGCCGTGGGCGAGAAGCTGGCCGCCGCGGGTGTGAAGGTGCTCGCGCACTTCGGGACGACCGAGATCGGGCCGCTAGCTCCCATCTTTGCCCCGCCTACTGACTACGACTGGCGGTACTGGAGACTGCGCGACGACGGCTTTGATATCAAGGTAGAGCCCATCTCGCAGGACGGCGCTGCTGCTGGGAGTGGTTCCCAGCAGTATTACCAGCTTACAGCTGTGCCGTTCAACTGGGATGGGCCCTTTGTCTTGCAGGACTGGCTGATCACGAGTGATAAATACCCAGGGCGTGACTTCCGAGCGGTGGGCCGCAAGGACGACCTGATCGTGCTTGTTACCGGGGAGAAAGTACTGCCGCGCATCCTTGAGTCGATGCTGTCCGAGAGCGAGCTGGTCAAGGCAGCGGCAGCGTTTGGCGATGGGCAGTTTGAGCTAGGTGTCATCGTGGAGCCCGCAGCGCAGAACGTGGTAGGCGCTGAGGATATCGAGGCGTTTAAAGCCGCCATCTGGCCTATCATTGTCGAAGCGGGACGCCAGATGGACAGCCATGCTCAACTTTCTTCCCTGGCTAGTATCGTTGTGGCGCCGCCTGACAAGCCACTCCCCCGCTCCGACAAGGGGTCGGTTCTCAGAAAAGAAGCTTACCGCAAGTTCGAGGCAGAGATACAAAAGGCCTACGACGACATGGACTCCAGCACCAGCGACAGTGGGCCGCCTCTCGACCCCGAAAGACTCGAAGCGAGCCTCAAGGGGCTTGTTCAGAATGAACTTGACAGCATAGGCGTCAAAGACGGTGTCTGGAGCTACAACGACGACTTGTTCGAGCTCGGGGTAAACTCGTTGCAGGCCGCACGCATCCGGAGGTCTGTAAAGCGAGCAGTGAGTCGTCAAGCAGCGACGTCCCATTTCCTGCCAGCCGAAGAAGTCAAGATGGACTTTGTCTACAAGAATCCTACCATCAACCGCATGGCAGAGGCGTTACGACCTGCTGAGCAACAGCAAGCAGCCAGCAGAATATCCGAGCAGGCCCTGATTGACGATTATGTCACGCGATACAGCATCCTGCCGAATCCTAGACGCCGCCATGTCATCCTACTGACGGGGAGCAGCGGCAGCTTGGGGTCGTATTTCCTTGCGCATCTGGCATCGCTCCCCGACGTGGAACAAGTAATCTGCCTGATTCGACATCGGGGAGGAGGAGTTGTGCCGAACATGGTCAATGGCGAGGCCAAGGAGATAGTCAACGCGCAGATCAAAAACGCGAGGTCCAAGGGTGCCATCATCTCGCCTGAGCACGAAGCCAAGATTGACGTCGTTCAGGCAGCGCCGTCTAGGCCTCGCCTGGGCCTTTACGATACGGCCTATGCCAGCCTCTGCAGGCGCGTCACTCACGTCCTACACTGCGCGTGGCCGGTCGACTTTCAGCGCACAATGCCGTCCTTTGAGAGCCAGTTCCTCTTCCTGCACCACTTAGTCCAGCTGGCCAGGGATTGCTCCGAGCAGCGCCCTTCGTCGAGGAGTGCAGTGCCAAGGCTGCTCTTTGTGTCGTCCATCGCCGTCGTTGGCCAGTATCACCGCTCACGGGGCTCATATATTGTGCCAGAGGAGGTCCTGGAGGACGTGAAGAGCACCAACGACTTTGGCTACGGAAAGGCCAAGCTGGTGTGTGAGCGGATCCTGACTAACGTGGCCGGGCAGCTGCGCGGGCAGGTCGAGGTGACGAGCGTGCGGTTGGGACAGATCTCGGGGGCACGCACGGGCGCTACTTGGAACCCGAAGGAGCATTTCCCTGCCCTGATAAAGCTGTCGCAGAGCAGCAGCATCTCAGCGCTGCCGGGTCTCAAAGGGGTAAGATACGCCCGAAGGCCACACAGAAATTCCATGTTGGCTTGTCCCAGTCGCACTGACAAACACAGACCCTCTCCTGGCTGCCGGTGGACACTGCGGCTACAGCCATGTCCGAGATCCTGCTGTCCCCAACCCCCGTCGATCTGATCTACCACGTCGAGAACCCCGTGCGGCAGGATTGGCACGGCGTCATGTCGACTATTGCGGGCGAGTTGGGCCTCGAGCTGCCGTCTGCACTCGTCAGCCTAGACGAGTGGCTGGCGAGGGCGGAAGCGGTGACAGGCAGCCGCGGGCAGCGGCCAGCGGATGGCAGCAGCGATATGTTGATAGACTTCTTCAAACACGACTTTGAGCGCATGGCGACGGGAGGGGTCGTGTTAGACACGTCCAAAGCACGGCGCGTCTCAGAGACGCTGCGCAGGGCCAACAGCGTCGAGCCAGCGCTGGTGGCTCGCTACGTGCAGGAATGGAAGCGGTGCGGCTTCTTCGACTAGCGGTCAATGTCGTGAGAAACGCGTACTGACTCGCTGGGCAATCCCTTCAACACCGGCAAACAAATCTTGGGTCGCATGGCGGGCATCAATTAATTCCGGGTTGGAGGGTGGTGTGTGCCGTGTGGGAACAAGCTGCGGTGCTGATTGGCGTGCGCACGGGGAGTGCGGTAGGAGCGGGGCACGCCCTTTGTGTCTTCCGAAGCGGTGATCCCTTCCCAGGTTAGAACCTTCGACTGTGTAATTAGAGGACTGTTGGCATAGGGAAGTTCTGGCTCACCAGTGGCTCGCTCAAGCCATTTATAGGTTGTCGACGCATGTGATGCTAAGAATGGCCTATACAGGTTCCAAAGGGATCCCACGCATCCGAACTCACCTCTGTTTGTGGTTGCAGCTTGCATACCCACGTGGAAAGCAAGAGGCGCGATCGTTCGGCATGTCTCAATTCCCGTGGGAATTCGGCAGTTTCGAAACAATCACGCTTGGCTGAGGTGCCTGGGAAAACCCCGCCTTGGCTCCTTCCAGCCAAGAAATGCTTGTGCAGTGGGGACGACATGAGCGGGGCATCGGTAACGGGATAGGTGGGGCACCGCAGGCTGTCAAATCAGCTTTCTCCACCAGGCACGCAACGACTTCCCATTTGCATCAATCCGTCCAACGTGGAGTGAGTCATTTGCAAGGATGCCAGCAATGTGGGGAACTTCTCTCTGTCGAGACGCCTCTCGTTCGTATACTAGCAGTGAAGCCTGCCGTTGCCATAACGCGGCGTTTCGGTGAGAGCGTACCGGATACGCGTAATACACTAGGCCGCGGTTGATCGGCGTCCCAAAAACGCGAAAAGGCGGGGCAAGCAAAGTTCGGTGTTCTTAAATGTTCGCGCGCCGACGTCCACCGACAAATGAACGGTGCTCCACTGAGTCCACTCGACGTGCGAATGCCCAAAACTGTGGAGCTGCTGAGCTGAGGTGATGTTTTCTCGACTAGGCCTACCACTGCACCGTACATGGAAGCTGTCGTCGGCGCGTTTGCCATTTCAAATTACAGGTAAGCCGGATTGCATGTACGCAGTACCGTGTATTTGGAATCAGAGGTGGCGGATACCTCGGAATCTAAGCAGAAGGAATCGTCGCAAGAGTGGGCTGTTGTTTGGTATGTCGCGGCCTGCGCAGAAAGCATGAAGGGCTGAACGCCATCCTGTGCCCAAAGACGAGTAATGCGACTTCAGGATGGCTCGACCTTTGGGCGTTTTTTAAATTTAGCGGAATGCAGCCACCTGCAGACCTCCAAGCCGCGTGGGTAAGGGGAACTCAGGCTGAGGTTGAATTATTAATACAAGTCTGGGCGTGGGCGGTCTTCAACAGTCTGGACTTCAAACCAGCCCCGACAGTCGTGTTAGATTAAACGATCAAGAGTTTTAATCAATACGGTATCGACCGCGGTGGGCAGTAATCTGGCTAGTAGTGGCGGGCTGCGTGACGGTTCAGCGAATGGAATTAAGTTTAACAGCGCTTATCTCCGTTTCGGCAATGACGGCAACAGCCCGGAAGATCAAGGCCTCTTGCGTGCTCGCCTCACACCCCTGTCCCGCCACGCGCAGAAGGTGCGACTAGCTCCTAGCCTCCTTGAGGGTCCAAGGTAACGTTATTCATTAGCGCGTCGAGTGGTGAGTGGCCAGAAGGAAAAGAACTTGAAAGGGTCAGTGCCGTTTCCATTTCCACCTTCCCAACCCCATCTTCCTGGCTTGGCCTTTTGTCTCATGGCTAGCTATTAGCCACGAACGATCTCTAATCAATAGGTACCCTGCCCACTGGCAACTGCCCACCATGGACGGCAAACAGGCTAATCGCGACCCAAACTTGGACGAGAAGACGCGCCGCAACTCTTCGTCGTCGTCAACTGCTGCCGACGAGAACCCACACCGAGCCGACTTGCGTGCCAAGGCCACCGACAACGGCGTCTACCAACAAAACCCCGAGATCAACAATGACAGCGAGATCGAAGTGGCCGTGTCGGGCCACGACCTCGACGTCGAATTGGGCCATGTAAGTCTTCTTCATTGATCTTCGTACCCCCAGAACTTCACCCGTGACTCACATCAGCAGATTGCCGATAACACGGAGGACAAAATCGAGGAACTGAAACGCGTTGAATCCCGCGCCAGCGTCAAGACCAAAATCTCAAAGGTCTTCAGCATCGTGAGCCGCAAGAAGACGCGCGAGAAGGAGCGCATCGCCTTCGCGCCCATCCCCACGTCGGACCTCGACCAGGGCATCGTCGGTTGGGACAGCCAGGAAGACCCAAACATGCCGCTCAACTACACGCAGGGCAAAAAATGGTTGATCGTCGGCCTCGTGTCCGCTGCCACCTTCCTCACGCCCTTTGCATCGTCCATTCTGGCTCCCGGCATCGGGTCTCTGAACGAGGAGTTTCACAACGACAACGAAATCGTCGGAACCCTGACCGTGAGCATCTACCTCCTTGGGTACTGCCTCGGGCCCCTTTTCCTGGCCCCCCTGAGCGAGATATACGGCCGGCGCCCCGTCCTGGCTGTTTCCAACATCTTCTTCTGCGCCTGGCAGATTGGCTGCGCCTTGGCGCCCTCGATCTCGTCGCTCATCGTCTTTCGATTTCTTACCGGAGTCGGAGGCTCGGGCTGTTTAGTAGGTCTCTCGAGGTCAATACGCGTCCTGGACTTGGTTACTGATAATGTCACGTCAGACTCTCGGAGCCGGGGTCATTGCCGACGTTTTCCGGACAGACGAGCGAGGATTCGCCATCGGCATTTACACACTCGGCCCCCTGATTGGTGAGTTCGCAACCAAACCCCCTCCAATTGTCATCCGTCATGAGATCGGCTCCCCACAACCGAAGGGCGTCAGATGCTGACTGTCACAATCCAGGCCCCACCCTTGGACCAGTTATTGGAGGATTTCTATCGCAGTCGATTGGGTGGCGCTGGGACTTTTGGATTGTCCTGATTGCCGGCTCAACCGTCACGGGCTTGATCGAGATCTTCAACTCGGAGACGAACCACCATGTCCTGATGCAGCGCAAGGTCAAGCGCCTGCAGCGGGAGCTTGGTCGCGACGACCTCCGCAGCTGCTACGAGGTAGGCACGGTGAAGAGGACCCACGCCGAGATTCTCCTGAACGGCCTGACCCGCCCGACCAAGATGCTCTTCCTGTCGCCAATTGTACTGGCAGTGTCGGTGTACATCGCCTTCACGTACGGCGTGCTGTATCTGCTCTTCACCACCATCCCTCCCGTGTTCATGGAGACGTACGGCTGGAGCCTAGGCGTCACGGGGCTCGTGTACATCAGCCTCGGTCTGGGGAACTTCTCGGGGTGGGGTGTGGTAACATTGACGTCAGACAAGGGCGTCGTGGAGCGGACCAAGGCCAACAACGGCGTTTTCGAGCCTGAGATGCGCCTGCCCATCTGCATCTACTTCAGCATTATCCTGCCCATCACCTTCTTCTGGTACGGCTGGTCGGCCGATAAAGCCACGCACTGGATCGTGCCCGTCATCGGCCTCTTTCCCTTCTCCTTTGGTCTCATCGGCATCTTCCTCCCGCTGCTGACGTACCTCGTCGACTGCTACCCGATGTACGCTGCCTCGGCCGTTGCCGCCAACACGGTGCTGAGGAGTTTGGTCGGCATGCTGCTCCCACTAGCTGGCCCGCAAATGTACGCCACCCTTGGACTTGGATGGGGCAATTCGCTGCTGGGATTCCTCTGCATCCTCATGATCCCCGTACCACTTTTCATCCACAGATACGGAGCAAGGCTGAGGAAGAGAGGGCTGCAGTTGTGATTGTGCTCTGCAGGGCTTGCGTCACCAACGTCTGGTTTTTATCCACTTTCCAGTGTATATTTCTTTTGCTGGACATACTTATTCAAGGGTCTGTATCCATTTTCCTAGACATCTAAGGGGCGTCCGTAGGCCATGGAAGTTGTCTGAGGGATGACACAGGGAAACGGCAAGGGAAGGAAGGGATTGGTCACACAGACCTGAACATAGAACGCGCTGTGCATCAATATGTGGATAATATTTGGACGATTTTGTTGCAGAAAGGTGGTATGCTGCCTGTTTGTAATTGGTTTATGTCAACACTCCAGGGAGTTAGTGACAGTTCATTGTTATTAATAGGGATCTTTACATAGCCATCATTACATATTTGTTTTGTCTACTCGAGGAGCGACCTATCACCGAAGTGAAATGAGTCATACCCATCTTCATCTACTAACATTAAAGGTAATATGGAATGACAATCACAACACATACCAAATCTAGTATCTTCTCAACGCAATAAAAATCCATTTAGGTTTTCACATTTGGATGGATTGCGAACCTAGTATCTTCTTGACGCAGTAAAAATCCATTTAGGTTTTCATATTTGGATAGATTGCAAACCTAGTATCTTCTTGACGTAATAAAATCCATTCAGGTTTTCACATTCGGATAGATTGTAAACCTAGTATCTTCTTGACGCAATAAAATCCATTCAGGTTTTCACATTCGGATAGATTGCAAACCTAGTATCTTCTTGACGTAATAAAAATCCTTTCAGGTTTTCATATTCGGATAGATTGCAAACCTAGTATCTTCTTGACGCAAGAAGAATCCTTTCAGGTTTTCATATTTAGATACATTGGATGGCTTCAATCCCAAAAAGCCTCAATGGCGCCGAGTCCCAAATATCCGTGTTGCCGACAGATCCCAGAGTGAAACTCACGGAGTAGGCCTAAAAGCTTCTGCCACGGGGCCCACGAGCCCACCCGCATTTCATTCATGCTACGCCGAATTCAAAAGAGTGGAAGACTCCAATGTTTAATTTTCCCGAAAAAGAATTAAAAATTGTGCCTGTGGCGCAACATGTGATAAAGTACGTATATTTAACAATAGGTTGGTACGTCGTCGCTTTGGTTGTCCTTTCTCTTCCATCCATTCCCTCATGAGGATACTGTCAGCCAGAAATCAGCCTTATAACCCTTACTAGCGGTGTCTACTAGGAGGGTCCTCTTCATACCTCACATACTATGCCTTTGGGTAGCCGATACATACCAATCATCTTGCCTTGGGTGCAGAACTTGATAAAGCGCCTACCTTGGTAGCGCCATCACCACTCTTCGTTAGTACGTGGTCACATACGCTCGTACAATGATTGGCAATGATTGGTATCAAATTTGGCTAATTCAGGGGAAACTCTACAGGCCTTACTCCAAAGACTCGTCTACGTGCTCTATACAAGTTCACTAGACCTGATACGACAGATGGCACCCGGAGGTAGCTCTATCCAGGTCACAAAACTCGACTGGCAGCCGCCGAGAGGCAGCCCTATCGCCGACCTTATCTTACCAGAAGCTAGTCTGATCGCCCAAGGATTAGATCCCTTGGTGGCTGCTTCTTACTACAACCTGACATCAAGCCCGCTATGTCGACTGCCGGACGAGCTGCTACTAGATATTATGGGCCGCGTCGATTGGGTAGGCCTACAGTGTCTGCGAAGAAGCTCGCGCGTTTTCATGCGACTTTTTGGCGCCCACGAGTTCAGATCGTAATGCGTTAAACCCTTACCACCTCTATTCAGAGGCGATCCTTAGTCGACTGCAACCCCCAAAGCACACAACCACCTAGAAGCGAAGCAGCTCGTCTCGCTCCTCCTTAGAGATCGATATTGTTCTCAGTGCCGCCATGTACGTCAGCTAGGGCTAAAGTACGAAAAGTACCGGGCCTTGATAGCCGAGCAAGTATACTGCGCCGGTTGTAAGCAGAATCATCCTAGAGCGTTATTTTCGGCTGCGCAAAGACTCGGTTGCGCCGGCGAGCTAGCTAGTAGTAGCAGTAACCGCGTCTGTATCGCACACGAAGGCTACATTCGTGCCTGCCGACATGTCGTCATCCGCTGGAGCAACATCAGAAGCTGGGCGGACCAGTATGACTTCAAGGACAAGGGCATACACGAATTCGTTTTCTCTCCGCCGATAGCAATCTGCTCGGCTCATCACCAGACCTTCCCGTGCAACCTGCTACCCCAAGCTCTTAGCGAGGTCAGCTTGAGCATTACGAAGAGGCCAAAGAATCTTTTGCATTTATGCCTCTCCTGGAACCCCTACCTGTCCGCTCGGTCGATAAGATTAGGAGCGTACACAGCCAACGATTTACGCAGAGACCTTGAAGAAACTTACCAGGATGTTGGCCAATTTCTTATCTCCGATCTCAAGGCCGGTCGATGCGCCATCACGGGATGCGTTGATCCCAATCAATGTTCTTGTATACGATACGTCGGCTCTGACAAACTCGATTGGCATTCCTTCGTTATTATCATCGTCATCGTCATCATCATCGTCGTCGTCTTCCTCATTCTCTTCACTGTCCTCGCCTTGTCCTTGTCCTCGTCCTCTTCCTGAGGCCCGGAGGCCCCTCGCAACTGTTGGGCCGGTGGCCCGGGAGGGACCGGCGGCCGGGGAACCCACCAGCCCCTCTAGCTTCTCCAACCTCTGCTTTAGCTCCGCTACCTCATCTCGGAGCGCCTTCACGTCGGCGTCGGTGGCTTTGGCTGTGGTGGTGGCGGCGTCGGCGGCCTTGGTGGCGGCGGCGGCGTTATTGGTGGCGGCTTCGGCGGCATTGGTGGCGGCTTTGGTGGTGGAGGTGATGGTATCACGGCCGCAAAGCCACAGGCCAAACTTGACTGCCATACTCAGGGCCGCCGTCGCAAATACTCCCCAGGCGGCGGCGGCGGCGGACGCTTCTGCTGAGAGGCCCATTTTGCTGCTGTTGCTGTTGCTGCTGTTGCTGCTGCTACTAGTGCTGGTGCTGGTATTGCTGCTTCTGCTGGTGGTGGTGGTGGTGCTTCTGCTACTGCTTCTGCTGCAGGTGCTTGTGTTTGTGCTGGTGCTGGTGCTGGTTCTGGTATTGGTGCTGGTGCTGGTTCTGGTTCTGGTGCTTCTGCTTCTGCTTCTGTTGCTTCTGCTGTTGCTGAAGATCGAAGGGTGGGAAACGAGGTTGGGTTCTGGCCGCGGGGGTTCGCTCCTTTTGCAGTCTTTGATTTTCCGACTTCGATCAAAAATCGATGTTTTCAGTGCTTGGCGTCATACAGAGTAGAGCCAGGATATCTCAAGTGAGGGAACGAGTGCTTGACTGAACAAGGGGGAACAGAGACATGGAGCCCCAATTGCTAAAAGAGGATTCTACTCTGTCAGCTAGTCGACCATGGCATGGAATGTACCGTAGATGGTGGACAGGGGTTTAGGGGTTGGGTAATAAGGGGTTTATTTACACCCTAATTCATCAAAGTAATCTAGTACAATCCTTCCTTCTCTTCTTGGCCCCTGATTAGAAGTTAACTTCGCTCTTTACCTTCTTTTCGAGTCCTTCTTTAGGATCCACGTGTTTTTACTATGAATTGAGACCCCCTAGACCAGTGCACGCAGTACTGCCATTTTCCTTGTTATATTGACTACATGGCCATGGATTCCTGTACCAGTACTGTGTGAGGCTCACGGCAAGCATCAGTGTCTGTTCTTGTGGTTGATGTGCTATGGTGCCTCTTCACCGCTTGAATGGAAGAGATCTGGACACCAAATACCGCTGGACTCCGCACCATGTACGCTCGGAATACATAAATATCAGGTGTGCAAGCCGGTTGTCGAACAACCCGTAATAATGACCGGAACTTGTAATCCGATTTTTGGGATAATTAATTGATGTTCAAGAAAGGTCGGCAAATTACTAGTAAAGTGGCATATGTTGTTGCGCAGCTAATTAACCGGCGTGAGAGTCGAACGGACAGTGTTTCAAGACGCCTAATACAGAATACGTACCTAATTAGGTATCTAATTGCTCCCACGCCGTGCACTAAGGGTGAAACACTGCGATCCTAGGCCTGTTTTAGAGTGGTGCTTACAAAGGTTGGCGTATCGGCCTCCGGACCGGAAATTTCGGGTGGCGCCGTTTGGGGATCGGTGAGCAAACATGCCGCTACTGGAGGTGCCCATGGTGACGTGATGATTTATGAGGATTTAGGTAAAGAATTTGGTGAACTTCAGTCTCGCCTACCTTTTTAATGGAGATACGGATACTGTTACCTTAGACAAAGATGGGCTTCAAGACCCCTAAAGCAAACTCGCTGCTTAGGCCTTTTAGGCGGTACGGGCCGCTGGGGCTGTGCGTCGATACGAGGCCTGGGCGGCAGGAACAACCATCGACAAGCGCCTGCCGGCCAGCGTTCCATCCGGGCTAGGTGTCGTTGGCGGTTAAAGGAAGTTGGAACCAACTGAATAATTACAGGGCTTCCATCCCCCAACCATCACCCGCCGCTGGTCAAAGAATGTTCGCATGTCTCCAGGTGGTTACGAGTGCCTTCGCCGATTGCAGCCAGCAACACCGAAACAAACACAATGCACGCGCTGCAGATATTCTTTGACCACATTCCCGACATGTCGGTTGCCGTCGCCGACCAACATGCTATTCTGCTTGCCGTAGTCGCGATTGGCCTAATTCTAGCGGCGCATCTCGCCCGCCTCAATTCGGTCTTGGGAGGAACTCCAAGCGCGATCCGAAAGATAGCAGACAACAGCTGGAGCAGAACACTACTCCTGGCCACATACGAGAGGATCCAGGCCAACCCCATCACAACCAAAACTTACGCCGGCCGCATCCCCCCGAAACTCAATCGGCGCTACATCGTCACGGGCGGCTCGGGTGAGTTCATGCGCTAGAATAACATCTAGAGCTGTGCTGACGGAATGACACGCCAGGTCTGGTCGGCGACTATATAGTCCAGCAGCTCCTCCAGCGCGGCCAGCGCCCGGACTCAGTCCGCATCGTCGACTACCGAGCGCCTAGACGGGGCAAGCAACCGCATGTTGGTGATCTGGCTGCCAGGGTTGGCTTTGTCCAGGCCGATATCTCGTCTGCAGATTCCACCGACCTTGCTTTTTCTAAGCCGTGGGATCCGCCCGTTGCCAGTCTTCCCCTTACCGTCTTCCACACGGCCGCTGTCATCGTGCCATCAGACAGGTCCAAGCTCACATATGCCTTCTGCGAGGCCGTCAACGTCAAGGGGACACAGCACGTGCTGGACGCTGCTCGGCGGGCGGGCGCCGATGTCTTGGTCTCCACCACTTCGGCCAGCATAAGCATCCGTCCTGTCGAGTTCTGGGGCGCACCGTGGAAGATCTGGTCGCGCTCAGAGTCACGATGGCCGGCCCACTACTGGCAAACACTCGACGAGCGAGATTTCTTCGCGCCTCTACGCGCCCACGATGGCTACTATTCCAACTACGCAGTCTCCAAGGCCGCAGCCGAGCGCATCGTCTGTGGAGCCAATAGTCCTGGGCTCCGTACTGGGTGCATCCGCCCCGCGAACGGCATCTACGGCTGCTCAAACTTCTCTGACAATACTGTCGGGGGCCCTCTCAACATAGAGCTCTTGCCCGAGTATGTGTGCCACTCCCCTGCTTCTGCCAGACAGAGATATCCTGCTAACCCTTGACCAGATGGTCAAGCCACTCTGTGCAGTCGTTTGTCCACGGGTCCAACGCCGCCATCGCTCATCTCGACCTCGAGGCAGTTCTGGCAAACCCGGATTCATCCGCGGCGCCACAAGCAGGCAGGCCGTTTGTAGTCACCGACCCAAACCCGCCGATCCCCTATGGTAGCCTGTACCGCCTAGTTGGGACCCTCGCCGACACGCCGTTCCAGACCGTGCACGTGCCACCTATTCTAATGCTCCTAGTCTGTCACGCTGTCGAGTGGTATATCCTCCTCCACGCTCGCTTCCCACTCGCCAGGAAAGTCTTGCCCCCTATCACGGGCGACGTCAAGCACGTTCAGCCGGCACTGTCATCCATCTGCACCCACCTCGTCGCGTCTAACGCGGTGGCCGGTCAGCCCGTTGCCGCCGGCGGGCTCGGATACTCGGGAGTCGTCACTACGCTCGAGGGCATGGCGCAAGAGATGGTGTGGTGGAACCACGCACATGCCAGCGCTCGCGCTGCCGGCGAGACCAAGGTCTACCAGAGCAGCGTGTCGCTGGCTGAAGAGATCCAGAGGGCCGCTGGCGTGGGTGCCAATGCCAGTTAAGTCAGGTGGGGGACTTTTGGAACACCCCTGCCTATGGAACAGCCCCTGAATCGGACCCCGCACAACACCACAAACTTCAATTGCCAACAACTTTGTCAATTAATTAGCTACAATGATGAAGTCTTCAGTATCGGATTCTCCTGATTCTTCTCTTTTAGAATAACTAAGGTCCTCTCTGCCAGCCTCTCTCTGTGAGGCACGAACCTCCTCAATTCCAGCGAACTGCGTATTAGGGTCGACTTGGACCTTCCTTCTCTTTCGGCCTCTTGTGCGTTCTAGGCTTTTTTCTGTAGCCTCCAATTGATGCGCCGTATTGGCTAGTTGGAAAACCACGTAATCGAAGGCTTTTGCGGCCTTGCGTATGAAAAGTCGGTCGTTGGCAGTCCGTTTCTGGCCGGCTAGAAAAACCTGCCCCTGAATACGGAAATCCTTCGGCTTTTTAGGGGTAAACCATATAGGCCGGCCCTCCGAATTCTTATTTAGAATGGGGTTATGGACCTCTTGAAGGTCTATAGAAACCGTAGAGGTCAGTTGACCAACGTCGCCGTTAGAATTCTTAATAACAAGGCCGTTGCTTAGGGGCTTCCTGAGGCTGACCGGCTAGAGGCCTGTAGCTTTCCAGCCGGCTTTGATATTAGATTCAGTCATTCCATAGACCCTGGCTTGCCGGTAGCATTCTAGGAAGGCCCTCTTTTCAGCAACAGTGCCTTCGTCGAAGCCGGAAACAACCTCATTATGCTTGGCTCTGTACCGGGCTTTTAGAGGGCCGAAAACCGATAAATCCAGGGGCTGGAGAACGTGGGAGGTGTGGGCTGGTAGAAATAACAATTGTACGTTATTAGAAAAGGCTAGCCACATGAATTCTTCGGTGGTATGACTACCGTGGCCATCTAAAATAAGGAGGCGCTTCTCCGAGGGGGTAGCTGGCCGAGTCTCTGGAAGAAAGATATTGCGGAGCCATGCGACGGCAGTATCATCGTCAGACCAGCCGTTTTCAGTGGGTTTCCACTTCCAGCCCTTAAATGGCTGTAAATCGCGTGGATACCATTGTTGTTGAAGGCTTCCACCTTTGAAAATGACGACCGGGTTCAAATACCGGCCGTCAGCGGAAATACATTCGATAATCGAGGTCCAAATTCGGTCTCCTTTCTTCTTTTTCTGGAATTTCTTTCTTTCCTTAGATCCAACAACCAGGCCGTTATCTCCAATGCCAGAAGCAATGCCAGTTTCATCCATATTATACCTATGCTTGGCTGGAATAGCCTCCACGCCTGGAGGCTTCAAATAGTCAAACCAAGACCGGATAACGGCCTCAGAGGCTCGATCAGCACGGTTTGCATGGATTCTCCGAGGCCTAATTGTAGAAATAGATGGATTTCTAGCCAAAAACCGGCTAGTCCAGCGTTTTCCGAGGGTCTCGTTATCTTCGAGCATTCTTCTAGCTAGTTTCCGAATTTGGGCGTGGGTTGGAGGGTGACCGAGCGACCCTTGGAATAGAATCCATTCGGTTAAGCGTTCTTCCATAGCCGGAGAAAGCTTTTGATTAAGAATTTGGGCCTTGGAGGCTGGCTCGGAACCACGAACCCGATTAAAGAGAGTAGTAGGGGGGATGCCGTGATTTTCAGCAGAGCTACGGAGTAAGCCGGTTTCTGCATACTCTGCCAGCGCATTCTGCAAATCCAACTGAGTATATCGCTTCATCTTTCATTTCTCAATTGAATGGAGAAAAGAAGATAAGTATTGAAGCAGAATTGGTCGAGTTGCAAGCGATTGAAATAGGTGAGTTGAGTGGCGAGCGGCAAGTCCTTGATGACAAACCTTGTTCCAAATCCAGGGGTGTTCCATAAGCAGACCACCTGACTTAGTGGGTGCCAATGCCAGGTAGAGGCTGGATATTGCCGCCGACAGCCGGTCTTGAACACACCCGAGACTGAAGGGGTGGTGTCGGTTGGATTCAAGACAAGGGGGGGAAACACAAGGCGAGAATGTTGAGGTTCTACAGAGAAGAGTATTGGCCGAAGGGCCCGAGAGATCGTGCCCATCTTGTCGCTTGGATTTGCCGATCATTACATCCTTGCGCCCTCCCGCAGGTAGACATGGTCAGCTGCCGTGCGATACCTTGGACTAGCCAATAACTCCCTCAGTGGCGGCGTCGCACTTCTTTCGTCGGCAAATCTGGAGGAATTCCCAATTTGGGGCACTCCCAAATTGACTGAGACGTTCACGAGGCCTGACAACATGTGGGATATTTTTACCTTGTTCGTTTAAACCACTGTAGTAACAACTGTCAGATTGAAAGGGGTAGAAAGAACTAGACAGGATTTTGTCAGCATGCTTACCAACTACCGCCACCTATTATCGCCACCCAATGTACTAGTCTATATTATAGGCACCCTAGATCAGCCAGAGAGGACAGAATTGAACAAGATCTAAAACCAAATCATCTTTATTATTAGAAGTGCAATACTTCTGACATCTCCCAAGTTGGTTGCCTACCGCAGATTAGACCGCTAGGGGCGAGGCTCATCTCGTAGCGGCGACCAATGAGAACTACTATCAAAAGCAGCAAGCATTACACACCGAGCAATGGTGTGCTTAACTTCTCGGGTCGCACCTGCCCTCCATGTCTTATTTGGGAAGTGCCTCCTCAGGGCAGACTAGCGCTTAAAAACCCCCCTTGTTCTATGGAAATTCCTCCCCCCTGCCTCGGAATCCGCCGAGACATACTTGTCTGACAAGGCAGGCTCCTAGCTTTCAGTATTTAGTTTCAGATAATTACCTACCGGTAGAAGCGGGAATGCCCCAAAGCACGGATGCCCGACCTAAAAACTTATCACCAACCACTCGTCGCCACTCTAAGCGCTCGCTCGATCCCGTCACAGTCATGCCCCCCATTTTCTCGGAGCCTGATGCCATTGACCCTAAAAGCCGCATCGCTGCGGAGCAGGATAGCACCTCGCAAGTGCAGTCCATTCACAGCAAATTCATCAAGAGTGAGGCTGTACTTTACAGGTTCCTACAAGAAAGATGTGGCGATCGGAAATTCGACATCCAGATGCGCCACAATGTCTACCACATCAAGGGATGCGATGCGCTCGATATGGTTAGCAGAACTCCTTCTAACTTCTAGAACCATAGTGGTCGAAGAAGTAATTGATGTTACTTTTGGTGCGCGCAGGACACGGATGAGATGCGTAGCATATTTTGGTCTAGCTCAAGAGTTTCCTCATGCACCGGTCCGAAGACGCTCGGCATAGGACGGTAGACCGCAACGATGCGCGGAGAAGCCGAGGAAAGAGGTACGATGTGCTCAATATCGCATCGGGTTGGAGAAATTTAAGCAATATGTCACATACCTGCAACGTCAAGTTCAAGGATTGGTAATCAACTAGATCGATATCCTCTGCATATATGTCCATCGTGCTCTCTGCTTCACCTTGTGATAGAACCTTGGCTCGCTTTATCGGCTAACAGGGCTGTATTACTGGTGCACCTGCGTTGCCGAAAGTGTTGTTTTGCGTCGGTGACCTCGGATGCGGCAGCCTGGGCTTGCATTAGCCGCTGGCGTCCACCCTACTATCTACTAGCTACCTCCGATTTGCTGTAGCTTTCGGTCAGGTAGACGAAGCCTTCCCAGCACCACACCGCGCGAGATCATGACTAGATATCTCGTCTTGGCTTGCCCCAAATAAGAGCAGACGTTGGTTTTGAGATCCAGTCGCCTCCGTTTCGGCTGGTTGTCCCATAGTACTACCGATCATGGAAGAGAATCCCCCCGTGCCTGCTTTCCAGCTCGGTGACGGGGCGATCCTGAATAGAGTGCCAACTACGCTTATCCAAGACCCTTCCGGGAACCCTCCAATCGAAAATTGGCCATATAATCCTACACTTCCCAAGCTCGAAGCTCTCGTTCTAGTTAAGGGCAATATCACGAAATGTTCAGGTTTGCCCAGCGCAATGGACAAGCGACTTCGCGACCACGCATTACACCATCCTAATGTCAAAAACGAGTCGGATATGTTCTGGCCACGGAAATTGCTCAACCACCTGCTCTCGGACTCGGATATTGAATACGTCGTGAACGAACTAATTGAGACGTGCATGCCCAGCCCCGCCAGTGATCAGTCATCGTCCAATGCACCGCGGCGTTGTGACTATAGAGAGACAGTCTGTCAAGATTACCGACGTATACTGACTCGTCTTATTTTCATGGGATAGGAGAAACGCCTATTCGAATTTATTGAAGCTCAAATTTCCGACTCTTAGCTTCCACTTAGAATAGCTGACGAAAGACTCCAAAGGATCTTCACATCCCGTGAGGGTCGTCGATCCCTCGATTCATGGGGATATTACCAACTGCGGCTCGTTGTACAATCCTTTCAACCGAACTATGCTGAGGTATATGAAATCAAATCGGAGCATGGTTCATATCCTCTATGGTACGACATGCCTCAGTATCCGGACGAGTCCCACACCAATCAAGCCAGGGAGCGGGGGTATGGGGAAGTACGAAAGGTCACAATCCACCCATGGTAGAACAAATTTAGCTCAATTCTTGAATCGGTCAGTTCCCCTTGGCTGGGTATAAACCCAGTGGTATTCACTGGGCTTTGATGCTTATAGACTTCATCTAGTTCTCGGCAAAGCCCAACCTATTCGCGTTGAAGACGCCGAAGGCTGAGAACACTAGAAGCCTGTTTTTCAACGAAGCAGACATGCTCAGAAAATTTAGCAAGGATGGAAAGCAAAACGTCAGGCTTCTGGCTAGCATTATCGAAAACCCCGAAGAAGCGGGAGTCAAGTATTTATTTCTCTTCCCGTGGGCAGAGTGTGATCTTCGTGAGCACTGGGAAAAGTCAGGAATTAAAGATACAGCAGAGATTCTCTGGGTTTCAGAGCAGTGCTACGGTCTCTCCGATGCACTCAGCTTTATTCATAACCCTGTCTGCTCAACGACAACAAAAACCCCATCTATGGACGGCACGGCGATATCAAACCAGAAAACATACTATGGTTCCGTATCGATAGGGACCAAATGTTGGCGTTCTCAGACATGGGTCTGGCCGAAGTCCATAGAGATTCAAGCCGATCTATAACATCCCCGGGGAAGGCATCCCCCACACGCCCACATACCGACCTCCGGAGTGCGACATTGCAGGAGAAGAAGGTTATATCTCGCGGTCATTTGATATCTGGACACTTGGCTGCGTCTTCCTTGAGTTTGTGGTTTGGATCCTGAACGGTCCCAAAGGCATCGCTGGTTTCCGAGAGGATCGTCTTACAGAGTATGCCGGCCCTTTTTACAGAACATCAATATTCTTTTCCTTGCATTGCCTTGAGGGGTTAGATCAGGAGTTCGCTTTCGACGTGCAGAAAGGAATGGTCGATGTAAGACCGAGCTGCCCCCTCTACCAACCTACTCTGCTCCAATACCTCTTCAGATAGGCCCGTACTGACCAACTCTCTAGTGCTTCCGGGAGCTCCATGCGCATAAGGACTGTACTGCATACCCCCACGACTTCCTAGACTTGATTCAGGAACGGATGATCATTGTTGAGTCAAAAGACAAGGATCCGACAAAATCGATCTTGAGAATTCGCTCGCAGGGCCTCCGAACCAAGTTGATGAAGCTGCGAGACCAATGCCGAGAAGACAAGAGTTATTACATGGCACCCACTTCGAGAGTGCCTGCTTTTCAGCCTCTTGCAGCTGTTAAAGCAGCACTCAATAAGAAAGCACTTGAGAAAGTCAGAGCCATACCTCCGATAGAAAAGATGAAGTATCTTCGCTTTCACACGGGGGAGACGCGGACCACGATTCGGAGGAAATCGGGTGGAGACGACCAAGCTTCCTAATATGGGGTTGATCGGGGTATTCTTTATCAATGACTTCCATTCCATTTGTCGTCCCACTAGGCTGCCTTAATAGTCAGTTATTCATTTAGATTTCCATTTTCATTGCGGAAACACGGGAGTCATTGAGCTTGCCCCTTCACACTAGTGGTCCCCCCCCCCTCTCAGAAGCCAAAAGCATGCAAAAGCAGTCAAAAAGGAGGTTATTCCAGGTTTATATCGTGTTGTGTTGTGTTGTAAGGAAGAAAAGAGCCTGCATCTACAGGTCCGGGGACCAGTGTTGACCTTATGAAAAGGCGGTCTAAATAGGTGGCCTGAACGGGCCCTACCCGGGCACCTCAGACTATGCCGAAAGTAGGAAGGTCTTTCTGACACCCCCTGTCACTTGAGCCCCCACAGCCCAACTCTCGTCCAACTTGAACTCCGTTGATAGCGATCAGGCCGTGTTGTCTTGCGCATAATGGTCCTGCCTTATTGCTTCCACCAAGGCATCGTACTGGCTCTATGAAGCGGAAAGTTAGTTTCAGCTTCAGATGGCAGTGCTGAGTGATACGAGAAGAAAAACTGGGCCCGTCGGAAAGAAGCCAAACAAGACCCTCAGTATGAACGGCCTCGTCGGTGTACCGTCCGTGCACGACTGTGGTGGGCATTTTCAGTGCCGGGATGGTAGAAAGATTTGTTTCGGGATGTCAGGATGGTTTCCCACAGCCTTGTGGCTGCTTTAAACCGAACTGAAAAATTGAAGTGGAGGGTGGTGTGACCCCTGTTATTCTAGTCGGGCCACATCCCGCCACCCCACCGCGCTAATTTTTGTAACACGTAACACGCTGACATTACATGGCCATGTGCATACCTAACCGATATGCAGGTGCCCTGTAGAAATACTGAACAGTAGTCATTTGTTTGCTTTTCATGCATTATTTGGATCTGGCCGAAACCCCTGAAGCGAACGAGTTACTTCGCAAAACTGGACGCCTTACCAGAGATCGTCTTAAAACGATCATTGACGAATTAGAAGAGATGATTGATGACTGCTCCATGAGGGTCGACGGCATGACGATTGCCACGCAATGGGTAAGAAACCAGAACATCTGAGCTGGGAAAACACATGAAGTGTTTCTGACTGGAACAGTCCCAAGGCGACACCACGGTTGAGATAGCCTCAGCTGCCGGACGAGACTCTAGTCAGATGCGCTCGATTTCTCTTGTCACGATGATCTTCCTGCCCGGCACATTCCTTGCGATGAGCTTTTATTCTTCATTTTTTTTTCTTTTTCATTTTCTTGTCTTTTACATTAATGCTCACCAGCGCAGACGGTCTTCTCAATGACATTCTTCCGGTGGGACTCCGAAGACGGCAACGTGGTACCCTCGAATATCTGGATCTACGTCTTCATTGTGGCTGCCTTCACTGCTGTGACTGTCTTTCTATGGTGGTACTTCCTCGTATACCGCGCTTCCAAGAGCCCTGGCACTTGGACAGACCCATTCAAGGAACTTGGTGGTAGGGTAATGGTGTTAGAAAGGATAATATGTGGTCGACCGCGCAGCAAGATGGGGTCGGAGTTGGAAGAGGCCTGAGCTACCATGCCCACCAACCCCTGAAAACGTGGGAGACTCGGCTGGAGAGCACTACTGAAGCACAGATATTATCGTAGGGGTAATCAGCATGTTTGCGTCAGCACTTTTATCCTACACTAGGGCTCCTTACAACGTGGTTCGGTCGAAGGGTTTAACCTCCTCCAACTTACACAGACACGACCCCGCCCGGAATAATACAACACATCATGATACGCAAGCGCCTTCCCATATAAGGGAACGGTTAATTAACTTTCCCAACAAATAGATCGATATAGTGCCGGCAAACCTTCGCCGCCACCTTCGTCGCACGTTGCATAGTTGAGCGATATCTTGCTAGACTCAATGTCAGCCAATACGATGTCGAGAATACCCATAGCAGTTTTGCCTGGGGAAAAGGAAGAGCTTATATCAGTGAGTGGGTCGTGAGTGCTGGGGAAGAGAATATTGTAACAGTCATGTTGAAGCTGCAATTCGGTCAGATCGCATCCTTTTTATCTTTGCAGGACAGGAACCCTCAGGCTCAAGGGTAGGTGAAAACCCATGCGTACCATTACGTCATGATTACCCGCGCCGTATTTCCCGTCGAGGTAATGCAGTAAGCGCCGCTCGTTGCTGTTTCGTTTTCGATATATCCATGGTAAACAAACTGGACCCAATAGTTCTTATCCACACAAGAAAAAGGGGATTCAAACCAAAATATCTAAAAGAAAAAAATTAAAGAGGGCAATTTGGGGCAATTATTTTAGTATATATTATTTCCACCACGCCTCGGCTTGGCTTCTGGGTGGCGTGGCGAAATGGGCTGTATTCTGCCCAGAGCACACACACATCCATGACGCCGATTACCACCGTCTTATAACGAGTCCACTACCAAGCACAACTGCTGCACCTCCGTCATCACGGATCTACTTGTGCAAATCACTCATCCTATAGGGCTTGGAACGAATTCCGATCTCGGGACTCGGGATCCCCGACGAGTAGCCCGATGCAGCGGACCCCCTCCCTTGACTCAGCCTCACGGCCTAAGTTGAACCTGCATACAGAGAGCGCCGCCAACCACATCGACGCTCAATGATGCCCTACTTGTAAGAAGATTCTTCAGCTGGAAACCCGCATTACTTTTGTATCAGGGAAATCCACAGACCCATTCGATTTGGCCTGGCGCGTAAATGTGTTAGACATCGTGTCTCATCTGGGGGTTTCATGATCGTCAGAACCTACCAACGCGGATTGGAGGCGTCGGAACGAACCTCAATCGTATAGGTGCCCGAATCGTAGTTTTCAGATAGGAGATTGACGAGGAGCTGCGGACTTGAGACGAATTGCACATGCACTTTCTGGACCTGAAGGGTCTGGGGATTTGGTGTGGTGGCCATGATAATATATGTTTGCTTTCGGCTTTTGATGTCTTTGGGGGAAAGTAGAACTAGGAGGTCACTACTGTGTCCAAGTTTTGTGCACTAATGTTCATTTCTCTCCTTCGATTGAGAATCCCTGACTGTTTTAAGGGAGAACTCCTAGTGGTGCCCCTCAAACCTTTGATGCTGAGACATGTGTGTGTTTTGCACTTTTGCCGAGCCGTGCAGGGGCTTAAAAAGAATGAAGCGCTCGCCCGGCCACGCCCCAGACCCCGGGAGGAGGTATCTTGGTGCCTGATTGTCTTTCCTGCCCAATCTGCAGGACTCTTAACACAAATACTTATTCGCATGGGTAATGGTTGCACCGGATGCGCCGCCATGTGGACGAATAGGGGCTACGACCATGATTCAACTGCTAACCACAAGTGTAATAGGGTGAGCCGCGTGGCCCCAATCCCAGCCGCGGCCTGTTTACACGGCCCAGCGATGATGCCCGATGGCTTTCTGCGGGTGACTAACGCGTGTGTAACCGTCCCCTCCCAACACCGCCCCTTGAATTCCTTCTCGCCGACCACCAGTGAGCCCTCGTGGCACCCCCTGCGAGCCCTCGTGGCACCCCCTGCGACATCCAAAGCCCAAAAGGCGACTTGAGCTGGTGGATTCTAACCACGGACTACTCGGGCTATGAAGTCGTAGCCTTTGGTGATATACGATAGGAGGCTGCGAGGTTGGAGGCAGGATGGGCGGAGGTTGAATAGCTAATGGTGCTAGTGGACTCATGTTACAGTAAAACTAGTCTTCTCCTACCTATTACCGACAATTATACCCTAGGCGGCCGCCGTGACGGCGGTTAAAAGCAACTAGGAAAAGGATCGCTAATATAGCTATGTGTAAGAAAAGAACCCCAACCCACACACACAACCAGCAGGCCAAGACCTCGCTCCTTTGTCATGACCTCTCACCCACTGGCCCAAGCACCCCGTCATGTATATAAGCAGTGGCCCTCGCCCCCTTCCTTTGCGAGGGCCAGGTTGAAGTCTCACACCAATACCAGCCATTGCTCGCCCCACTCATTGCCCACATCGTGACCACCTTGATAAGGCGCACCTGCCCTCACTTACAATACTTTTATATTTTTAGATCAACATCGTAGTCTGCGCTCGAAACCACCCCCGAGCCCGTGCCGTCCCCAAAGGAAACAAGCAACAGATCGGCTGTGCGGTGTCCGCTTGAACACACACGGCAGAGTCGGCCGAGTACACCTACACGCACAAGTGCGACTCCTATATCGGCATCACAACGCCCCCCAACATCACCTAGATCCGCGAGAAGCTGTACATTGGCGACCTGGCCACCGTCATGTCGACCGCGACCACCCGAAAACACGGCATCACGTCGATCCACGGATCAGTTACTACGGGAGCGAGCAGGGTGGGCGGCGATATATTCGATACCCCTGTACAAATATTCGGCGAATATGATGCACTAAAACTTAGCGAGATGAGGACTGCTGTTGTGGGCACCATGGGGGCGAAGCTGGCAGCAAAACGTAAAGGGAAAATAGCCGCTGTAGCTTAGCGCCAGCCCGCGAAGTTACAGTGTTCATCTCACTAATTTTTAGCGTTTACCCCACTAGAACTTCTCTCGATTTCAGCGTATCATATTCGCCAAATATTCGTATAGGGGTATCGAATATGTCGCCGCCCACCCTGGGAGCAAGAGGCTAGGGGTCGTCAGGATCGTTGGGAGGACGGGTGGCGGGAGGCGCAGGTGCAACAGACCTATGCGCCTCCCGAATGTTGCCCTTAGTAATTACCATAGGCAGGTATGGCCCTGAGCCGCCGCTGCTTTACCCTGAGTTGTGGTGAGCGAGGTGTGTGACACGCCTCTGGGCAAGTGACGTTCTTTCAGCTTATTTCTGGTGAGCGATGAGTGATGTTACTATAAATATATTTCTGATATCTTTGCTCAAATGAAGGGTCTGGGAGAAACGTTTGCTTTATAGTATTAAGATTTTGCCACTTACGTGAACGTTACAAATATGCCTTTGCCATTCTCCGGGGCCAGACGATTTGTGAAAGTGATTTGCTGGGGCTGCACACCTACCGAGCCCCCGTGATCGACGATCTACGCCCCTACTCTGACCCAGCAGTGTTAGAAGATATTGTGACGATCTGCAGGCCACCTGGAGGGCCGGGACGGACCAAAGTATCTCCGCAGTCGTCACGGTACGAAGCCGTATATAAACACTATATCGGCACTATATGATCTCTGCGATCACCCCAAAAGACGAGTAATCACGATGAGCGTGCCTGAGAGGACGCTCACCCTAATCACTCTGCTCTCAGGATAAGCACAGCGAGCACAGAGATCACAATACAAGTTACCTACAGTAACCCCAGTATAGATAGCCATCATCGTAGCCACGATGAGCGAGAAGAACTTCTGGTTCTTCACGCAAGTATTCGCTTTGTCAATTGAACCCCTTCAATTATGCCCTAATTACATACGACCGATTGACATCGTAAACCCCCGTCTAAGAGGACTTGCTCCAACAATCTATCTTCCATATCCCCAGCCCCAGGGTGTTGCCTTTCGTCCCTCCGGACGTCACTCAACCCCGCGACCCTGTCAAGGTTCTCCGGAACACAGGTCGTAACAGATATCTTCCGGATGGCCACTTTCGGCTGACAGTTTATTTTATACCGCATTGTTGCATCATCCATGCACGTGCGAGGTATACTCCAGCGCGTGCGAGATCGCACCGTGTAGGCTGTTAGATGCATAAAAGGCCCGTGCACTCAAATGATGTGAGAGAGAAAAGCGGAAGGCGATTTCGCTAGCGACTGTAAGGAATTGAGATTTACACGTTTTGTTCTCTTCGAGACCTAGTTCTTGCTCCATGCGCCAAATTTTGGTCCCGAAATCCGGAACAAGTTCGGCCTCTGTATGTTGCAGCAGCTCCGGCCTCCATTTGGTCTTCCTCCTTGCCGTCGATCTGATCTAGGCCAGGCTAAGGCATTGGCGCGAAATGACTCTTTGGGACCAAAACTTGGCTGGCGCTAGGAACGGGAACCGGGCCTATATGTGGGGCGGTCAGTCGAGGCAGGACGGCTGGCATGTTTGCGGAAACTGCCGCCCGCGCGTGAATTCGAGGTGCGGCTCGATTCGGTGGCCTGGGGACTGACTTCGTGCGGGCAATTGAGTCTCTTCGCATCGATAACTTCGCTTCGCTCGGCGGCGGGCTTGCGGTAGTAGGAGTGTTGCAGATCTTGACGACGAGATTTTCGGCTGTGCCAATTACATCCACAACGAAAAGGTCCGATTGTGACTCTCTAAAGCTCACCTTGGCGGTCCCGGGGTCGTCACGGTACGAGCCAACTGCGGCCACTACGCTTACGACCCGGATGGGAGTGGCTAGGCCTGCTAATTTGGCGTGGTACTGCTGGGGGTATTGCAGCCGTGAGAATGCATGCCATTTAACACAGAACAGGCGTCGGTTGGACCAAAAGAGCCGCAAAGTGGGGTCCGCGGGGTGGGCAAAAGAGAATGCAGCGGAGGACTCAGTGGGCTGAAAGCGGGGTATTGGTTGTCTGGGAAAGTGCAATCGGCGTTGTGCATCCAGCACAACAATGTCCAGCGCAGGCGACACGTTCAATTCGACAAAGATGACGAGGACGCCGCAAACGGCAGTGCGGCAGCTGCAGCAAGAGGACGGAAACACCTCCCCAACCAATTGAAGCTTGGGACGGCTGGTGGGAAGATGAGCGCGGATGCAGGTGGAGCGCCGAGCCTGGGGGAGACACAAACTCTACATAGAGACATACTGCCGGTATACGGAGAGATATCGACGACGCTGCTAATCTCTTCCTCCTCGTACCGACCCCCTCCCGGCCGTTGGTCAGAGCTTCCTCCTCCGCGGCAGGGGTGGCATACTGCGGAGAGCTAGTCGTGATCCCTGTCAAGTCCCGATCGCAACCCTAAAATAACTGCTGGGCGGAGAGAAGCTGGTGATGCGATGCGACCCATATGACGGAAACGGCGTAGGCCGAATTGGGACACCAGACGCCATGAATACCTTTCAGGCAGCAGGCATCATTGCAAGGCAGAGAAGGCTTGTTTCCAGTTGGACCAGGCAGTGCAGCATTTCAGTTTCTTTCTTCCCTCACGCCCGTTTGACCGTCAAAGACCAGTGTATAAATGATGGGGCATATTCGTGTATCTAGTCTCGTACTTATTCTATCGTACACGTCATACAGGACAAAGCAAAGAAGGAAATGTCGATGGCCAGCCCCCTGAGTCCTCCCCGATCCGTCCGTTTCTCCTCTACCCACGACATCCCACCCACAGCCTCCTAGTTCCTTGCCGGCATCACCGTCAAAGGCCCTCTTTCTATGTAGTATGTAGTCAATTCTCCCGGAACCTGCGAATGCAACGGCGGCGCCGCCCTCCTCCGCAGCACAAACGAGAGCACGGCAAACCCCGCCGCAGACAACACCACCCCCAGGGCCACACAGCCAATAGCCAGGCCGACCGACGCCCCAGGCCCTAGGCCAGCATAGCCCGGCCCGTCTCCGGCGGCCGGAGCGGTGCTGATGCCGGTGCTGGAGGCCGGGCCGGTTGTTGCTGACGCGAGGGAGCTGCTGCTGCTGACGAGGGAGCTGCTGCTGCTGACGAGGGAGCTGCTGCTGCTGACGAGGGAGCTGCTGCTGCTGACGACGGTGCTCGAGGTGGTGGAGGACGTTCCAGTGGACGTATAGAGGAGTAGCATTCCGAGGGCGCCGCAGATGGCATCGCTACTGCCACTGCACTCTTGACTACACGATACGTCCGGCGCGCGCGTTGCCCCTGCGTTCAGTGTGTTTCCGCAGTAACACTCGGCGCCATTCTCGAGACCGAACATGGAGTAGCCCTTAGGAGCGCAGCTAGGAGAAGAGAAACGGCCAATATTAGCGTCTTCTGTGTAGCTAGTGGCTCTTTGTCTGCGAGACAAGTCAGCAATGAGACTGGGCTTACTAGGTCAGGCACACCGATGGCTGACCAGCCGCGCCTGTGAAAGCCGCGGACAGCACCCGGGTGGTGATGACCCCCCCGAGGTCCGAGTAACAGCCCACGGCCGAGTAGCCGTCCACAGACGCCGTGGTCGCCGCTCGGACAGCAAGGCGGTGGCTGGCAGTGGCCTGTGGTGCTGTCGTTGGCTGCATGTTTCGGCGGAGGAGATCGCGTTGCTGTATGCCTTGGACAAGGCTGCGCTGAGCAAGCGGGTCACCCACCAACACCGAGCTCGAGGGAGCCCCGAAAGCTACAAAGGACCTGCTTTTGCAAGTCTGACGAACGGGAGGGATAGTCTGACGAACGGGAGGATAGTCTGACAGTGACGGCGCCGGTGGTGTACTGCGAACGGGCGAGAAGCTTGATTGAACTCGGCAGTGTGGTCTCGGAAATTAGCTCATCGTCCCCGCACCTGGAGGCTGAGAGTGCCCTCGCCATTGGCCTCCTGATGACCAGCAGGTTCCGGCGGCGCAGGGGGGTTGGGAACTCGGGGCCCCCCGTCGAGTGCTGCGCGTGCTAGGCCACGACTGGCTTGGCCGACGCCACAGCAGCAAGATAGCCTGCGCCGCGGCAATGGACGTTTGCCGCTCGTTCAGCTCAGCCCAACCCATGCGACTAGCGGCATGCGTTGTGGTCGCTCCGGGCGATGGCAATGAGGTATCCGGGATGTGATTCATGGCGCTGTTGGACAACGACCACTGCCGCTTCCAGCTTTTCTTCTTGACGTCGACATTTTGTTTTCTATTTCCTCCTCCGCTTGTATTGTTACTATCGCCTCCAAAGCAATAGTTTCAAACCTTGCAGCCGGCGCATTTCACGGCCAATGTTGACGGGCTGCTGGGCACGGGGCCGTCGATCCCGAGGTTGCTGCGGGATTCAATGCGAGTGGGACCTCGTAGTGAAACCAGCAGGATCACGACGGGACGATATGCTCTTGCTGAGAGCCCGGGCTCGAGCACAGCAAAGTCACGGCCACCACGATGCCGAACTCGGCCGCGTAGTGCTGCGCCGTGTTGCTCTCAATGTCCACGATAGTAGCTCGTCCAAGTTGCCTCTCGCCAGGCTCTTTGAAGCCGACCAAGGCGTGCTCCTTGGCGGGCTGGTGCCTAATCGCCGACAGCAGGCGCTGATGGACGTAGCTAGGCGCCGCCGCCACGTCGGCCGGCGGCTGCACGGCCGTGGGGACCTTGGAGCAGCAGCTGTCGACGAGGAACTTGCTGATGTCCTTGTGGAGGGCTTGGCCAGCGGTGGCGGCCGGGTCGCGGCGCTACGATGGAAGACGCGCGGGATCTTGGTCGTGGCCGGCGTCTTGGAGGGCGTGGCCTTGAGGTCTGCGAGGCACTCGTCGGTGCTCATCTTACTGAGCGAGTCGTCCACGGCGGTGGTGCGTTTAGGGGAGACCATGGTGGCGGTGCCCGAGTTGGACGACGAGCTGGAGCGCGTCAGGCTGTAGATGTCGGACTAGATGGACGAGTAGAAGGGCAGCCGTGCGTAGGCCGCGGCTGGGACATCTGTATATACAGGTACGACAGGATCGCCCTGAACACCAGTCAGCTCCGCCATCTTCTTTCGCTGAGAAGTCTTCCTGACACCGCGACCTAGTGAGGAGCACTGTAAGCTGCCCAAGACCACTTTCTATCCCAGGACCATCTGTCGTGAGTCTGGCATCTCCAGCCCGACCCGCCGCGCCAAAAGCGGCCGAAACGGGGACAGCAGACATCCGGATTTGCCTGTCACCTTCCCCGCCTACGCATCCTCCTAGGCAGCCTCCGAGTCATGTCTTCTGCTGAACCGACTCCGTCCCGCGCCACCGTCGTACGACGAATGAATTATACCAGCTCTTGAAACGTCATGGTGAAGCTTTCCCCTCGCCAATGTGGATGCAGTCGAGGCAATATTCCTCCTGGAGAACGAGGAATGCACTGAGCTCATCGTCTCGGACCTGACAAACAGGTTCAATTTGACCACAGTGGCAAAGTGGGCTCCTTGCCGTTGGGTTCGGCAGCTGCTAGGTACAGGTGATCCCAATATGGCACTGAAAATAGGGTTAGCTGGAGACACAGTTTGGCACCACGCTGTCTACTGGCATAATTCTGACATGATTCGCGCCTTGGTCGAGACAGAGTCTTGCCACAGTCTCATTAATACCTCACTACTCGCAAATCCAGTTGAATGGAACGTTCATCTCTGGAGTCACGACAAGCGGGAATTCGCAACTCTATTGGTCTTGGCTCTACAGTGGCCCATCCACCAAGGCAAGCTGCTGGTTGCAATACATTCATCACTTCTCCTCCAAACAGGAAATATCCCACTTTCAGACTTACCGTATTCTCCTCTGACATGCAGCGGATGGATCCTTCACGCCAACTTAGTTATTAATTTGGGCAGCGCTGAAGTCCTCTTGGCCATGGTAACAAGTGGCTTCTCGATTGCACCAAAGTTCTACGACAATAAAAGGTCAAGTTGCCATTGTAACAGGACTGCTGATTAATTTACTCGCTCCTTTTATACTATCGCAGCCACACAAACTCATAGATTTGTTGTGGGTCGATGTTGATGCAGCAAAGCTGCTTCTTAAAGCTGAGGCAGAACTGACGCTGGATCAACTAGGAGACGGCGTCGACGTTGTTTTTCTGAGATTCGTCGAAATCCTATGGACACGGAGCTTCTGACCTTTATGCTATTACCAAGATTTCTTAGCACCAAGTCCTTGATTTATTCGATATACTCTGAGAAGCTTGAACTCGTATCTGCAACTCTTTCTTTGTACCTGGTCGACCCGATAGCGCTAGATGAATAGGGAATCTCTCCAATAGACGTCGCAACCAGGGTGGATCGTCAAGACATCATAAACCTGATTCTCACCAGTCGGAATGCTCTCCAATATGGGGTTAACTTGTATCAAGTCCAGTTAACATCGGCAGTGAGGTCTGGAGTAGGACAATCCACAATCGAGGCAGGATTGGGGGGATCTCGCCACTTCAAGATGTCGAGCGGAATGCAGCTAATCACGATGAAGTCGCCTTAGAGGACGTTATATGGAGTAGGGGGAATTTGCGTTCGGGCGAAATAGATTAGGACGGTATTTATGAAAATGGGGGAATCTAGGATGGTTGGAGATCATGAGTATCAAATATACGATAGGACTTTGGAGTGGAAATGAATAAGAATGTGTTTAGTAGATGCCGGGTGGTATGGAAATGGCTACCAGTAGTAATGACTTTGCACCATTGCAACCCTTTTTTTCATCACCGCAACACTCCTCTCCAAAACCCCTCCCAGCCCAAAGATTAGCACTCGCTATGAAAACAAACGTTGCTCCCTCTTAGCCTCGGGGCTTTTGATTCTCTATCTTAGGATCATCTTTAGAACTGACAAATAGTATATGCGGCGTATATCCTACCAACAATTCGAAGTTCATTCAACCATCCAGTCATAAAAGTCACTTAAAAATAAAACCGAGTTTTTCCCAACAAGAAGGCTTGTATTTTTATAGTAATAATTATATCCATGTCATGTATCCTCTTTTCTACGCCCCCTTTAAAATTTTAGTACAAGTGCCCAACTTGCCGATGCCGAGCTAAATCACGAACCAGTCGCTACACGGCCATACACATTACAATTCCCATCTCCCTTCAGCCAGCTGAAGGCCGCAGCCTCCACCGCCAATCTACTAAAGCCATCTAGATCTTCTCAACCGGTGTGTTATGTCCCTCAGCAGTTTCGCAGATGGGCGTAGGAACGGTGTTGGTCTTGGGCGCGACGATGAAGCATCCAGCCGGGATCTCGATGCAAGAATCACCACCGCCGGGGCTCAAGCCCTGGCAGAACGTCCTAGGTCCGAAGATGACATCCTTAGAGCTGTTATGAAAAAAGAGTTGCGTTAGAGATACGATATCGCGTGCATTTGAACCAGGTGCAACCTACCTGACCTGGCGGGCGACGACGTCAGCCTCATCGTCAGCGGTAAGGGTTTCGCTCCGGATGAGTGCGCGGGCGGTGTCGAGGTAGCTGAAGGAGGGCTTGTTTAGCTTTGGGGCGCGGGCGGCAAAGCGCGAGACGGGGTCAGTGCCGTTCACGGGCGCGCGGACGGCGAGGGAAGAGCCTAGGGCGCCGAAGAGGCCGAGAGCGAGGGTGAGCTGTGAGTATATGATAGATGAGATGTTATTTGTAGTGCTTGGAGCTTGATGTGAGAGTGTTGGATGTAGACTTGAAAATGATAGTACCGGACCAAGTGTTGTTGGTTTTCAAGTTGCTGTTACTGAAATGTTGGGTCGGAACTTAGTTTAGAATCTTCGTCGATAGCACCCAATGGACTGAGTTCACCTCAATGCCTTGCCCTGGTCGTGACAGTGGCGAGGTCTATGATCCTAGTTCCTTCTAGAACCCCCTTTTTTCTGACAGGCCACTTGCCCGCGCACGGGTTCTCGCCCGCATATTTAGTATGGGGAATTCCCCCTCCTAGAGTTAGCTTTCCAATGCACTTTCTACATTGTCACCTACACACAAAGGGCGTCGATCTAGATGTACTCCATGTCGAGACAGCGCGTAACCTATACGGTCTGTCGGAGAGTCAGGGGTAAGTCCGAGATGGGGAAACCTGCCGTCGTGGTAGCATATGTCGCCGAGGTGGTCTGGAGACTCGGCCGGCCTTTAAGCTCGTTTTCGTTGCCCTAGCAGTAGCTTAAGGCCGTGTAGTGTCTCACCATTGTTAGTGCATCAAAGTCGACCAGCTTGATAGTCTTCAGAAACTCGCAGTATTCTGCTTAGCCAGCTGTGGGCCCCAACGTCGCTTCGAGGCTCGCAGCTATGGATTGAGTTTTTCCGGCAGTTCTCAAGCCGTTTTCGAGCAAACCAGATATAATGTAATGGCAAGTCGAATTCAAGGTCGGCCACCAAACAGGGGGTGCTACCAATGGACGTTTCTTGGTGTCGTCAGCGTAACACTTTTGGCACGATACCCACCGTTCCTCAGGGAGATGGTGCAAAGCTCATATCCAATGACTGGAGCACCTCCGGACCCCAGGAAAACCTCCGATATGCACATGTCGGATGGCCCCAAGATTTTGAGCGATATTAAATTCGTTTCATGATGGCGAGAGCTGTACTCGAAATAGACAAGCGCCTGGAAAACGGACTTGCAGAGCGGACAGCCTTCTTGCCTAGATTTGTACGCCTTCCGCACACTGTTGTAACTGAGAGCCTCGAGGCCGACGAACCCAAGCGTGGTAGCCCAACCGGAACCAGGCGTGATTGCGAGCAGAGAACACGTCTTACACAAGCGGCCAAGACGCTGGAATAACGCTCAGGTTGCTTCCCAGTCTGGTGGAAACTTCAGGAGATGACGCTGTAGCTCACCGACGCGCTCTTCATCGGACTACCAGAAATTTTCCATGTGCCTAGAAAACCTCCATTCAGACTCGGGCACAGACAGGACCCACTCGGATTCAGGATCGGATCCAGATTCGGATCCAGATTCGAATCCAGGTTCGAATCCAGGTTCGGATCCAGGTTCGGATCCAGGTTCGGATCCAGGTTCGGATCCAGGTTCAGGGTCAAACTTGGACGGACTGGAGTTCATCTTGGCGATATGAGGTTGAAACTTGAGCTCCGAAGGTAAGGTAGGTAGGTATGCAGATTGTTTGAGGTTGGTGTGACGCCCAGCTTCACGCCCAACGTGTTTGCCAATATTCGTTTCCCCGCACGCAGCTATAATCACTTTCCCAAACACGTGCATCCATATATTCCAAGGGCACCTGCGGCGGCTATTAGCGGCTGATCCAACGGCTGAACAACCACTCTGCCGCAAAAAAAGCGCCCCGCCTCAGTAACATCAGAAAGGAGTTCGAAGCTCAGCTGATTCCAACACCCAGCTGATTCCAGTGCTGGGTTCCTAGGCATAGTATCGACATCCTTCTCCTCCCCTTAAGCTTTGTGTGGCAGTATATTAGTACCGATAGCTAGCAACATTTCCAACCACATGTGAAAACGACAAGGATGCCAGTAGATAAACTCTGTAGCAGCCACTCCGTGTAACAAACTCTACCAGGGCGGGTAGCGTAGTGTTCCTAAGCTATTCAGCCTTGCTTTTTTTCAGCGCTTAACGAAAGACCTGGGTTCAAATCCCAGCCCGCCCAAGCACTCATCCTTTGGGTGGATTCTTCTTTTTTGCCCGCGGCACGAGTTCCAGGCACATACGTACAAACCAATTTGTAAACCGGCGGAACGGATCAGCTGTGTTATTCTAGATAGATTTCGAGTAGATGTCTAACTAGGGCAGCAGTGCTTGCTTCAATTGTGCGTTGTACCCTGACTCAAACTCCAAGTCACGGGTGCGCGGGTATCCCTTCTGCAGCGCCAGAACATCAAATGTATGATCACATACCGGTGTATTAGCGGTGTATGACAAAGGTGAACATTACCCGTAACATTTTCTTTTATATATTAATATATTACGTGGAAGCTGAGCACAACAGAACTTTTTAACCACCAAGCACCGTCCCTTCCCATAGCCGAATCTTTTCCCAGACGGAACAAATTCCTAGCCAACCCCAATCTAAGAAGAAAAAACAAGCGCCGCGTTTTCACCGGTACCCTATAAAAACATGTCCTCGGGCAAGTACCATGATGGTTCCAACTCAATCAGCCGACCCATTCAACTCAAACCACTCCTCCTCCTCCTCGGCCTGCACCACAATCCTCAACCTCGGATGCCGCATCGCAGCCTCGATGAGCTCCCGGTCTTGCTTGTACGTCGCATGTACCTCGACCACACACCGCTCGGTGACACTTGCGTCCACATACCGCAAAATCGCAAGAATCTTCTCCGCCCACTCCTCCGGCAGACGCGCCAAGCTAACCTTGATCGTAATCGATGCCAGTCCAGAAAGCAAACGGTCCCAGATATCCTTGTTGAGATCGAGATCATTGATCAAGTCAAAGTTCAACTCCTGACTCGGTTCCTGACCTGGTCTCGCATTCCTTACAACCACCGCCCCACTCCCGCCACACCGCGACGTCGATACCGGCACCGCAGGTACATGCCTCGGATTGACATCAACTTCCAAATGCCGAATCGCCTGCCCCTTCTTGCAAAAATCCATACACACCGCCTCCAACTCCCGCGCTGGCCGCCCCGTACTCCCCAGCTCAAAGATATTTGGAATCAAAATCCGAAACCGGTTCAGAACCTCGGCGAGAACCTCGTCGTAGATTTGGCGCGAGACAAGCAACAAGTTGCGCACAAAGTGGTACGGGCTTTTGATGCGAGCCGACCACTTGCCGGCGTGGCTGCGGTAGAGGTAGCCCTTGGCGAGATCCCGGGCCAGCCGGTCGAGGGTTTGTGTTGTTTTTTGGGAGGTGGAGCGGCGGGAGGGGAGGTAGTTTGCGTAGATCATGGTTCGGATTTCGTAGGGGAGGTCGAGGAAGCTTGTTTGTTTAGGGGCGGGCTTTGGCGGGGGTGATTTGGAGAGGGCTAGGGATGCCAGGGAATTGGTGGACTTGGATCTGGGCCATGGTGTGCCGAGGCGGGCTGGGGAGATGGAGACTGCCATGATGGGCGGTTATGCGAACGAGATGCCTGTGTTTGAGGATGAGAACGATGATTGAGATGAGAATTGATGATTGTGATGCGAATCATAAAAACAGAACCATCTTCCTTCTTCCGTTCTTTCGCCCTCTATATAAATACTTGTTACGTAATAAATGACCTGGATGACACAAAGAATTCCCCTGCGTCTCGGCAGCAGGGTTGCGGTTTTGTTTGTCATGCCAAGCCTTCCGCTCCAAAACGTGGACTGGATCGTTGGCCAACAAATTGCGGGGAAGCGGGTCGCTAACGTAAGTTTAAACCGAAGCCGGCGGGCCACAGCGGGTCCTAAGACTCTCAGGGCCCTAAAAATATTCTCCACCGCGGTTCCGAAGCCTAGGCCGCCTGGGTGAATTTTTTTGCGTCACCTGACGTCTCGTCATCGTCTGACCGGCCAGCTCGTGTCGATTGAGATTCCTAGACATTAACTTGGACATTATTGGTTGCGTGCAGGATCCGAGGTTTTACTCGTGACATTTTCTCTGAGTTTGGTTTACCGCCCTGTGCAAAGCGACGAATGAGATGTCGCCACTCGGTTTATTGGTCGTGAGGCGATATGAAAATTCTGGGTACTTGGCGACTTTGCTGCCACTGCGATGCTACCGAAGGCTGGTGTTGGATGATGGAACTTTGAAGAACGCCTCGAAAGGTTTTTTTTCTGTTGTTGGCATTCTTCTCGATTTTTCTGCCTGCGATTGGCGAAGATTCGCCTCGGAATTGCACCAGTTTTTCCGTCACGATGGACATGGGTCACGTGCGATCCAAGACGTTACCCCCTGCAACTATCGCATCGAAATAGGAGCAAGACAAAGCCCGATTTGATGAAGCGAAGATAGGGGCCCCAGGTAGTCGGATGCGCGCCAAGAAAGGTTGTCGCTTTTCATACTTGTAGCAAAGCCCGAGGTCGGCAGACGGCAACGGCTCGTGCCGACATCCTCCCAGCAGGCTGTTCCGGTGCGTCTATTTACCCCGCAACGCAAATGTCAATTTAACACAATGTCGGGACGCTGTCACGTCTAATGCGACAGGGCGGCAAAATTGCCGACATGGATGCGGTATCTTCCCCAGAATCACGACCTATCATGAGACTTTGGCCCCGGGATATGGAACGGTGTCCAACAAAGGAGGGTACTTCAACTCGCCGCATACCCTTCAAAATCACCAAAATACGTGTCGGTGTGAGAAATAACCGATACCACTTTGCGATGACCAAGACCTTACCCCATTGTAGTTGAGAAAAATAAATATATGAAATATTACCATCCCCAAATACTTGTACCAGAAATTTTAGAGTCCTACAGTTCCCAACCTAATTCCCCCCTAGATTCGGATCCATATTCATTACAAGTAACTCCTCCACCCCAAACGGCGAGAAATCCAACGGATCCGTCGGATAAAAGTTCTAACCCGCCATCGGAAATTGCGGCGTGAAATCCCCAAAGTCCTAGAAAGACGTCCACCTCTAATCCGTCCATCCGTTTATCCCGACGCTGGACATACCTATCAGCGGCTGCTACGTCCCGGCCACAGCTCCGCTTGGAGGTAATATCTTTGGGTCTACCGGAATATCCAGCCCAGTTGCCCGAGACCTATCCACCGCGCCGCTTTTCGGGGATATTTTGTCGCCTTGGTTATTCCCTCCCCTGCTTAACCCGACGTCATTAAACTCTGCAAGCCGGTCTCTATCCTTGATAGCCTCCCCTTAAGACTCCCCATACCGCCCCAGAAGGAGATATACCGATCGGTAGTTAACTTTAACAGGTCTAGATTCGACGTAACTAGCCTCTTAGTGAGCGATGCGGGCCTAGATACATTACACGCACACTGTGCCGCCGAGGCAAACCATAGAGTATTGGCGAGAAATAGGTTGACATACTTATAGTAATTACGGGAATTGTTCTGGACTATAGCGACGATCTCATTTGAAGCGGACATATAGTTTGACTATTCCAAGGTTACGGTGGCTGAAGCTTGCTCCGGGCGGATATCGTTGGGCATGGGGATTAGCTTTCTTTTCAGACTGCAGCCAAGGAGCCTACGCGTAGATGTTACGATCCCGGTTCAAAAGTGCAGGAGGCGCTCTCTCTCGCTCCATGATTGGGTAACGAGGTGGGGACGGGCAGTCCCCGCTCCGCGTGGGATGCGGCCAATCAGGAAGCGCCCCGTCCGCCTAGCTGCCAAGGCCAACAGGGCGGACGGGGCAGGTGCCCCGTGGGGCTCCTGCGCCCTGTGAGCAGGGCGCCCTGGACCCGCAGGGCGTAGACACTGAGGATCCTGATTGGCCCACTTTAGATAGATATATACGACGACCGTAGCCACGGTCTTAGATAGTTCTTGCTTGGTTCTTCAAGCAAGCAATACACATTCGCTGCACTCATACATTTTGAGTGGCATTCCGATTTGACTGTATTACCCGTGCGATAGGAGCTTGCCCTTTGTTCTATCTTCATAATTACCAACCCCAGCATTCTGTGGAGCCCGTGCTCCCTTACAGACAGACGACCCTAACAGTCGAGTGGTTTGTAATATAGGTCTGTTAACGGTAGTTGCTTATATGGGCGAGAGCAAACGGTAGGTCTGGCGGTGGACTAGTGTCCCAAAATTAGGTCGGTAACTGTTGGGTTCACCAGGGTACCGGTACTGGACTCAACAGGGCGTGGCTGCACGCCGAAAACTGGTGGTTCAAGTGATGGATTGTAGATGTCTGTTCTTCTCTCTAGCTTTCTGGCAGCGCCAGAAAGCCCGTTCTTATACTACTATTGTGGTGGCGAAGTTGGTGGCGAAGTCTCTATCTAGAACCTTCGAGGCCCTTCTGCTTGACAAATTCCAACAGTCTGACTTATCGGACGAGTCCGTCACTACTACTTCACGGAACTTATACAAGACGGCGGTTGTCGATACGATTGTAGCCGAGGTACAGGGCACAACTAGTGAAGACCGTTGTGTGCTTTTGCTGGGTTATAAGGACAGGATGGAGGCTATGTTCCAAAGCGTTAATGCCGCCCTAGGCCGAAGATTCCCGCTATCATCCGCCTTTGACTTCCAAGATTATTCAAGCGACGAACTACGGCAGATCCTGAACTTGAGACTGGCCGAGTCAGGATTCACCGCGTCGGAGAGCGCGAAAGAGATCGCGATGAGGGTGCTCGAGCAAACGCGAAACCATCGCAACTACGGCAATGCAGGGGAGGTGGATATACTGTTGGATCGAGCCAAGATACAGCAGCGAAAGAGGCTATCTGCGCTGGCCATCGACGGAAAAGCCAATCTGCAATTCGAGCCGGGAGACTTCGATCCGGAATTCGACAGGACGGATTGGGTAGAGACCAGCATCCACCAGGTCTTTGCGGATTTTGTCGGGGCGGAGGCCTTGATAGACAAGTTCGAGGGCTATCAGCGCATTGTACGCAATGCCGAAGCTCTCGGCATTGACCCCCGATCGCAAATACCCTTCACCTTCCTTTTTCGAGGGCCGCCAGGCAAGTAACTCGGATGCAATCCAGATGAGAGATCCTGCTAATCTAGTCTTAGGTACGGGCAAGACTACGACAGCTCGTCGCATAGGCGAAGTCTTTTACAACATGGGCTTTCTCGCCACGAAGGACGTGGTCAACTGCTCTGCAACTGACCTCATTGGTGAATTCGTTGGTCATACAGGTCCCAAGACGCAGAGAGTCTTTCAGAAGGCTCTTGGAAAAGTACTTTTTGTCGATGAAGCGTACCATCTGTCGGATAATCGGTTCGGACAAGAGGCTGTGGCTGAGATGATGAATCTCTTGACTCAAGATAAGTACAGGAACAAGATCATCGTGATTCTGGCGGGTTACGACAAGGATATTAACCGGCTGCTTTCAGTCAACCCTGGCTTTGGCAGCCGCTTCTCTGAAGTTCTCAAGTTTGACCATCTCCCACCTGAACAGTGTTCCCGACTTCTCGTTCGCTGCTTGCAGGAACAAAAGCTTGACACGAGCACACTGACGGACACCAAGTTGCTCGGACTCTTTCAAGACTTAACTATCCTTCTGGGATGGGGTAATGCCCGAGACGTTAAGACAATTGCCCGATCGGTCTTCGGCTCCATCATGCAGTCAAGGACCCAGCCGCCAAGTCTTGTCGTGACAGACGAAATCATCCAGAGTGAGATAGAGCAGATGCGGAGCGAGCGGATGGGAAGGGCCAAGGACGCGCAAACCCTTCCTCAAAACCACGACAGCAGACTACATCCCGCGGCCGCCAATTCGCCGGACGCAGAACAACCGAAGGAAATGCCGACCACCGGTGCGCCGGAGGTAGAGCAACGGAAGAAAAAGTTGATGACGCATATGGCAGAGGCCGTACAACGCAAGGAAGTCACGCCCGTAGCTCTGTCCAAAAGAATCGACGCGCAACGCAACAACTACCGCGCAGACGTTGACAAGTTGCAATTGACTGGCGAGGGAATCAACATGACGTCCACCGAAGCCTTCAGAACCCTTACCGACGCTCCTGACACCACCCCTCGAGATAACTGTGTCTCGGACGCAACCTGGGCTCAACTTCAGGGGGCCAAGACGCAGAAGAAGAGGAAGAGACAGGAGATGGACGACTGCCGCGCCAAATTCGCGGGCCTGGAAAGCGATATCGCACGCATTGAAGCTGCCAACGGAGACTTGTCGCAAACCAGACGTCAACTCACAGATGCGCGGAAGTCTTTCAGGCAAATGAAGGCCGCAGCAGACACAGAGACTATGATCATAAGTCGGCTAATGGAGTCTGGGCTTTGTCCTCTTGGATACGTGTGGATCAAGGAGGGCGATGGCTACCGATGCGCGGGAGGTACACACTTTAAGTCCAACGAGGAAATTCGCTACGAGTACAACCCCTAGCGAAGATGCAAAGACTTGCAAGCAGCGCAAACTCTCTCTGAAATCTTTGTTTCGATTATGAGTAACTTATGTTGTTGCTCTGCCGCATAGAAACCATCTTTATTGATACTACTCACTATACTTGAATGTCTAACTTCATTTTTCAAGGAAGTGATACTTATTATTAATACCGACCGGGTACCGAATCTTGGTCACTTCCCATTTTCGGGCCTCCATTCAATGGAACACAAGGTTGGCCCTGAATAGCTACACTACGCGTATTTGTCAAGACCACTGTGCCACATGAGCGCCTTGCAAGTCAATGGTACTTGCACGTTTTACCGCCTGCCTGATTTGTCCACGCTCACGCCAATTTATTGATCGCGCCCCGTGCAACGCGTGCCAGTTCTATACCACCTTCGCCCACCTACTTACCCATTTATTCATAACTAATGTCTATCTATTAATGAGACGGGATTCTATCTCACAATCATTGGAGGCTAATTCTTAAAATAGATGGTGCCTATATAACTGGACGAGATAGAAATAGCGACGATTGAAGGAATTTAATCCGGTAGCTCTACAATGTGCTGCCACGATGGATGATAATTATCACCGATTTTAATAGCTTAGTAATTTACTCTATATACATTTTCTCGAATTCAAGACCCCAGATTAATCCTCCCATACGCACTCTCGAATTCCTTCCTACGCGCATGACTTATAGTTCCTTCACTCACCCAAGAATTTTCGGTTTCCGGACGACCCTTCCATCTCACGAGATACTTAACCCGTCCGCTGCATATCTTTTTTTTAAGCAATTCCACTCCCGAACACGTGTTGGATTCGTCCCCAAAGCCTTTCCACTTGACCAGGAGCCAAACTCCCCGGCCCCGCCCCCATTTAGCAAGCAATACCTCAGCCTCCCATATGTCTTTTTTCTCGTCAATTGCGGTGGGCGGGAGGATCCCCCTGCTATCGCCAACCCCTTCTCCGACTGAACATAACTCTGTCACAGCGTCATTCGTTTGCTCAGTAGGGACCGTGTCGGTCAGCAGCTCCGGATCAATTAAGTTCACAGGAACAATGGATGATAATGATGTAGATCGTGAGCTTGCGCTTGCCCATTGTTCTTGAAATGTCGTCTGGTCGCCCTGCGCCATAAGGTTGTCTGTCTGATCGGTAAGATCGAGGATCCGAGATGGGAGCGACCGAGTATTAGACACAATTCCATCGCTACATTCCTCGACGTTCATTCGAGACATGTCGTGGTAAGCGGGAGGTAGCTCTACCTCTCTAATCCGAGACACTTGCCCTTCACCCAATCCCTTCAGTTCAGGGTCTGTAGTTGATGGTGAAATGCAGGCCCCGAAATCGGCATGCTCGCTGACACCAAGGCTCTCGTCATCAAGGCTCTCGTCATCAACAAAGCTGGGAGATGGCCTCGAGCTCGAATTAACTGATGGGCAAACTTCTTGAAGAGAATTGACATCGAAGACGGAAGAGAGGGCAATAGTGCTGAAAGGAGACGTGCTGGTTTCCGAATAACTGCCGTAGGAGATAGAAAAGTTTGATATCAATCCATGGGATTCCGCCGCCGGGTTGGCGTCTGTTGCTGATGCCAGCTTGGCGTTGGCAGCCTCTTCTATAGTATAATCTCGGCGCCGTTTTCTTCGGGAGGGGGAACATCCTCCATCTACAAAGACTTCCCTCTTCTTTTGCGTCTTCTCCTTACTATTTCTGGAAGGATAGCTATGGGCGCCTTGTAGATGGTACCAGAGCTGCTGGTCTGACTCGTACGCTATAGAGCATTCGGGGTCAGGACACGGTAATTATTGCGTCCGTCATTCTCGAAGTCTTCGCGTAAATAGTGAAGCACTCATTGACATGCCTTTCCCAGCCAACTTGCTTCCTAAATCCGAACAGTCGTCGGGTTGCAGGTAGTTGTTCGTTATGCATACATGTGTTGCACATCCCGGCGTAGGCAATGGCTCGGCGAAACTTGACAAAATTGCAGCGCAGCGGCAGTTCGCGTCTGTCGATATGCCCCCGGTAGTGGACTTCCAATGCTTTCCTACCCGCTACGGGGTTGTGGCATATGAAGCAGAAATCAACGACTCTCTGCTCCCCTTTGTAGTGTGCTAAGGAGCATTCAAAGACATATTGCCACCGGTGGTCAATAGGTATCCTAAAAATATGTCAGCTTTAGGAACTAGTGTAAAGGTCTAAAATTCACTTTACCGTTCAACTTCTACATCACAGTATGGGCACATGTCCACGCCGCAGTGCTGCGCTTGGCATCTCCCCGCGGCGTGATACGGCATTGCGCATTGTGTTCGTAGTGGCCGAAGCGACGGTTCGTAGGCGACTCGGCAGTTATTCTTCACGAGCGATATAAGGTCCTCAATAGCCGATTCTCCCTCCGGGCCTCGCATGGGAGCAACGCAGAAGAGCGTAACTGAAAGCCTTTCGCGCTCCGGCATCATGTGACGAAGGCGATCGAATCGAGAACGGTGTTGGTCCACGTAAACCTTTTCCTTGCGCTCTGAAGGATGTATTCGTTCTTGGTCCCCGCGGATTCTGTTCGACTCCTCCTCCTCGAGCACGCGCCTTTGCTCGTATAGTTGGCCCCGCTCCGACTTCAGATCCCGAGCAGCTGCCCCTTTTTGGGCACAGCTTATCTCAAGGGTCAGGTCATCGATTTTCTTTGTGATGGCAACACAATCCTCTCTCTGCCTTAATTGGTCGTGCGTCTTCGCAGGCAGTGATTGCAAAAGCTCGGGATTTCGGTTAACCGTCATGGACCGGAAGTCTTCCGCTTGATCGCTTCGAAGAGGTAGCTTAAGAAAACCGGCCAGACCATCCACAACGGTTATAGAACTCAAATAGTCTCTTGTGAGCGTCATTTTGTTGGTATGTGCGGCAAATTTCATCAATTCCCTGTCCGAATAACCATTTGCTAAACTTTAAATTAGCTAGGCGAAGAATAAAACGGCAGGCGAATATCATACCTGTAGCCAAGATGAGAGCCTCCCTCCGCATGCTGTGTACCGTGACGGGACTTATCCCTGCTCGAATTGAGAGGGCTTTGAGCTGCGTGTTGAAAGAGTTGCCCGTTTGGATCTTGTTGGTCGCCCCGTCTACTGATACTTCTGGAAATACCGGCAGGTCCAGCACGTGAGACGACCATTCGAGGACCCAATACCTTTGGTTTGCCGGCGGCCTAACGTCCAAAACCTCTTTGAGAGTCTTGTAGTTTTTGAATGCTCCTGCCGCAAGACAGATAGCAAGCAGAAAGAGCATTGGATTGACGACAAGAGGCTGGCCGGGAAGATGTTCATAGAGTAGGTGCGTCGGTCTATTCCAGTCAATCATTAGTATCGAAGCCACATGCACATGAGACTTTGCTGACCTTTGCTGTTCCTTGTCATGCATTGCCTTCGCAAATTCTCTCTTTAGGCTGAACCTTAATTCAGGCTCGCCGTCCTTCCAAGCGACCAGAATCACCGTTTCCTAAGCGATTAGCCCGCGATCATGAACATGAGTGATAATAGCTACCTTGTAACGCAATCCTTTTCCGGTACCCCTCCTAGTTGAGCCCTCACTGATCTCACCTAGTCTAGCTGGCGTGAATACGTGACACTTCAATTTTCCGCTAATAAAAACTCGGTACGCTTCGTGTACGTAGTCATATCCATCGTTCTGCCAGAGCTGCTTCTCCAAGTACATATAGTTTTCAAGTGTAAGGTATTTCTTTGGTCGTGTGGCTGTTGATAAACCGAGCTCCTTCCTCAGTGGGCCTTTGATATACTCTTTCGAAGTTAGCGTTTGGATGGAACGATACTGGAGAGCACGGAGGCCTACATTGGTGATGGAGTCTGTGAAGCCTCTCGAGATCAAACACGTTGGATTGTCTAGATTCCAGCCAGAGGCAAAACACCGGAAGTAATTCCGAACGGTTTGAACGGTCGGCTTTCCCTCCGGGTCCAGAACACCTTTGGCGGACTTTGCTATAAACTTGGCAAAATGCTTCAGGGTTTTCAATTGATGAGGTGTAGCTTCGGGGTGTGTTGTTCTGTACCTTAACGGTCTATTAGTTTTCCCATCAATCACTCTTCGTATGATCTACTTACTCGATCTAAAGGTCTATCTGGTCTTTGTACCTCTCTTTGGTGTAGTCCAAGGCCTCACGTGGGACAGGTTCGTCATCAACATCCGTGTCGTCGTCATTGAATCCGTTCTCTTCTGCGCATCTTCTCCTCTCATCTGCTGTCCTTTTCCTGACCATCTTCGGCAGCTGTCTTTAGCGGCATGAGAAAAATATAAAATCGATTTGAAATTTCCCCGATATGATAGATGACGTGTTGATATCAGTGGATCTAGCTAACTAGAGAGCTGAGAGCTAATGCGGCGATCTGCTCAAGATAGACGGAAATGATAGAGTAAAATCTTGAAAATGTCAAGAAGCCGATAGTAGAGATGGCCATAAACTAGGCCCTACGAGCAGATTCTCAAGGTGGGAGGGCAAGTACTTATGTGCTCCTCGGCGGTCCCAGTTTTGGGCCCAGCCATGGTACAAGCACTTCCCTCGCGAAAAGTTGCCAATTATCATCTTCTGGGCTCAGGACACTGCCCATCGAGTCTAAACCTATTTCAGTCACTTCCCTGATTGTTTCGCGGGTGGTCGCCTGAGCAAAAGCGGCGAGGGGTGTTGTGGTCTGCAAGGGTTGAGGAGGGCAAGATTCGGGAGGCGCAACAGAAGAATGCGCCTCCCGAATGTTGCCCTCAGTAATTACCATACGCAGGCATGGCCCTGAGCCGCCGCTGCTTTACCCTGAGTTGTGGTGAGCGAGGTGTGTGTACTGCACAGCCCCTGTGCCGCGTTTCTGGCCACCCCGGCTAAAGTTGCCATTTACCAAAATAAAAAAAAAAGACTTCCTGTTTCCTGTAGACCTAGATCTGGGTACACACGATCGGTCAACCATGCAGAGACTGTTCGTTGAAAACCTTTCAAAGGCTATAGTATCGGCATAGTGGATGTTTATAAAGAGGCATTACCATTGTTTATAATACAGCCTCTTTACTCAACACTTCCAGAGCAAATGACAATTTCCTGCGTTGCCATTATAGTGTGGGCACAGGGAATAGGTCATCGGTCTATGGCTTGGGAGTTTAAGGGAAGAAGATAGTCCGGACTAGCGGAGTCGCAGTCGTTTTTGCCTGGATGTGCATGAGGCCGAAGGGACAGATAGGGTGGTCTCACACTTTGACAACGAACATAGAACCAGGTAGAAGATTCCACTAATATACGTTGCCTTGCCCAGGCAGGTGATCACCTTGTTCATCCTTCATGGCACCGGCACGTAAGGGTGACGATGAATGACCTGGTAAGCATGCAACGTGCACGAAGGCTGCCTCCTTTACGTTTTGCACACTGTCCCTTGCTGAAGTTGCCTCTCAGTGGAGCCTCTCTCCTCCTCCGAGTTACCCTAGCCATTCTTCCTTCCGCCACTTTCGCCTTCACCGAGGTCTGATACCTACCTAGTCTGCATTCCCACATCTGTGGTGGCAATATTGAAATTTCTGCCTCGTCATTACCCTACTATGACTCACCCCTTCCTGCTTCTCCTGACTCTGCCCCGTCGGCACCAGACTTTATGAAAGATGCATTACCAAGACTGTGTATGAGCCCCAGATGAGTCTTAGTACCTTACCGAGCTGAAGAAAAGACCATGGGAATTAGTCAAAGCTGTGATTGAGAACGATTCTTATTTGAATGCTTAAAAAATCTAGGAGAATATATTCTGTCGAACTCCCGAGTGCTTGACGCGCTATTATAACGTCAGCCTACCGTTATTATCCCGCTTTCTAGATTATACCCCATTTCTCGTTGACGATCACCGTTTGTAACGTAGCACGTGACTTTTCTCACCGTTCTTGGCAAGTTCCCGTTTTCTGCTGGAAGTACGTAGCTTTTCTGCCGGCATAATCGATTAGGTACGTACCTTTTCTGCCGGCAGAATCTGATCCGCTACGTATCTTTTCTGCCAGCGTAAGGCATGTCCTTTCTGTGGTTACTACCTGGAAGTTGGATAATCCAATTTAGGGTCACGGCAGGCGACCCAATTTAGTTCTCTCGAACTTAATTGTTGTTCTCATAGTGACAAGTGGATTTTCTGCTAGGCTACCTTTCGCCGACCACTAGCCCTTATTTAGGCCCGATTTTAGTCCATTTCTCACACGCCGCAAAACTGGTCACGGAGGACAAAAATTTAGCGCCAACAAGCAAGTTTTCTGCTGACATAAATAGTACGTACCTAGCGAGACCAAACCCAGGCCCAGGGACGAGAATTGGGCCGCTGGGATGCTGTACATTTTCTGCCGGCAGAAAAGGTACGTACCGAACGGCAGAAAGAATTCGAACCCAAAACGGCTGTGCTAGGCTTGATATGTATCTATTTCGCCAGCAGAAAATTGACAGTCTTTCTAATCTCAACCTTAGGACAGTTGTACGGGGTCTGAATCCGTTTGATTGGGGAGAATTTGAAGAAAGCGCCATGACGGCCACTGCACCAACCATCCAAGCTCCCAGTCGACCTTTAGTGCCAACCACTGCAAGATTGCTTGCCTAACTATATGCATGCATCCCATCCGCAGCAAATTCTTAGAGTGCCTTGACAGTTCCAGAGTTCAAGAGACTCCGCTACCTTTCTTGATCGGCGCAGCCTATAGGGGAATGTGACTCAGAAGTGGCGTATCATTACAAGGAATATCCTGCATTAAAAGGCCAATAGAGCACGGAAATAAGCACTACGCCGAACTTGCGAGAAGTATACGGGACTAGAGGCAAGGGGAGCTCGGCTGAGAAAGCCTACAGGCACCGCTAGTTTCAGAAAGTCTAATACTAGGGTGGTTTGGTCACACGCCACCAGAGGAGGCAGGTGACCCCAATAAAGGACACAGCCGAGTACCAGGCGGACGCTAAATGATAACCAGAGTTAGTTATTCTCGAGCTGAAGCTATTGGCGGTTGATACTTAAGTCCTAAGTTAACCGTCAATTTGTCCCATTCTTCATACTTTAGAACACCCTTATCCTTACTCAAATTTCACCTCAGGTTATCATCGGTAGCATAGACAAGAACAATTTCCTGATCATGTCGACAACTTTTCCACTAGCTTCTGAGGATCAATCTGGGACCTCGGCCGCATCTCCGGAGATTGAACGGTCCACTAAGGTTTGAGCATGCGAACTCAGTATTAACGAATTGTTAACTCAAACTTTATTAGCAGGCACAAGCTGGATGCCTTAAGCCAGATGAAGTATCGATCTTAGAGGATCAAGAGAACCATGGGCCGGCCCTCAAGGATTTCCGTGGTACTCGATGCATCTTAACGGTACGCTGGGGTGACGGGAAGTTCGAATACATCAAAAAATTGGACGACAATTCAAGAAACGGGCGTATAGAAGTCTCCTCCACTCCGAATCCTCAGACTGGACGGATAACCCTCATATTTGACATGTGCTTTGTCGAATATTATCCGCGACAAACTACACAACCGCACGAGAATGATCGCTCTTTGCAATATGGAAACCTCAATAAGGCTTTCTACGGGCAGCTGCCTGAAGGTACGCCGGCTTTTGGGGACATGCGTGCGGAGTCTCCGGAGGATTATCCGTCAAATCTCTCCACCATCCCCAACTCTCCGGGCAGAGGGGATCAACTGTCAGCCGTACAGGATGGTGCGGTTGACCAGCAGTACCAAACGTCGGTAGATGGCGGTAAAGGACTCAAACGGTCAAGTAATCTGGAGGATGTGTCTGTAGCAGGTGTGAAAAGACAGAGGCTATCGGACCCGGAAAATCCCGCACATAAACAGGCTGGATCGCGAGATCTAGACGATTAGTCAAGTAGCAATTTTGCGGCCATAGACTGAATTCGAATACGAGGATGCGGGCCTCCAGGAGCTTGGATAGGAGGAAGCCTTAGGCCGTTGCAGGGCGGTCCCGTCGCGAATTGAGTCGCCAGGAAGCAGGATTACGTTCTTAGTATTTTCCCTAATATATCTGCCTTGAAGAAAAGCACCTCAAGTCCCGCTGCAGCACGTGGAGGGAAAAACAGGGAATAGATCAATTGGTCTATGGCTTGGGAGCCTAAGAGAAGGAGATAGTACGGACTAGCGGAGTTGGAGTCGTTTTTTGCCTGGATGTGCATGAGGCTGAAGAAACAGACAGGGTAGTTTCACACTTTGACATCGAACATAGTCCTCTTTTCTCTTATGTACGTAGTAGCCATGCTAACCATCCTGTTCAAACCCCCCGATAGCTCGTTTCACCGAACGGAGAATTTCTTCCAGTGAGCGCACTTTCAAACGTATGAAGCCAGACAGAATACATATCATTAGCCGGGACAACTGAGAAGGAAACGCAACGATTCAATTATGCGCCAGAAGACTCAAATGTATTGTCCGCCCGAGCCCCTAGTTATCCGACACAAAACCCTCCCACTCGTCGTCGTCGGTATAAGGTTCCTCTCCATCATCCTCTTGGTACACATCGCCATCCGATTCATTATCTTCTTCCTCCTGGTTATCGTTACCATTATCATCGTCGTCATTGTCGCCGTCTTCCTCGTCAGCCCATCCATCAGGTCGTATACACTCGCAACCATTCAAGATGCAAGTAGGGCATGCACCCCCATGAAAGCTGGGGACGGGTGTGCGGGTGCACCAGGTGATCGGCTTGCGCTCGGAGTTGGCACAGGTCTGACAAGCCTTGCGCACGGTAATCTCTCGGGAGGCGGCCAAGAGGGCATCGGCGACATGTGAGTCGACTTCCCGGCCCACCATGATCTTGGCGAGCACCTCTTTGTAGAATTCCGGCGTCGTGAAAATCGCGTAGGCCCATTCGCACCGGAAGAGTGCCGACACCGCCCCATCCTCGGACTAGAAAGAGCATTAGCAAAGAAGCGTGACAGGACACGCAAGCACTCACGTTTCTGTAGCGACGATCGAGCCAGTCCCGGAGGACGTGCTCGTGGCCCGGGCCGCTTTCATCGCACGCGGGCATGAGGCAAACCATAAATGGCTTGTAGACGTCGCATTCGTCCGCCGTATTATTCAAGATGCAGTTCGCGCACCCGACAAAATCATCACCCAAAGCCGCAATACATTTGCCGAAGAATAGCTCTTCAGGTGAATCCATCCTGCAACTGGAGCAGTATCCAATGTCACGGAAGGCTCCGGTCACAGCGACGACGAGGGCGTTGAGATATCGCCCGGGTAGGCGGTTCCGTGGCATGTTCCACCAGGAATTATCACTCTCCACGTCCGCAAAAAACGGGATGCCCACCTTGATGCCCCTGTACTGGTTGGGATTGGCGAGCGCTTCTCGCTGACGGGGCTGAGGGTGAGTTAGCCCGGCATCAGGGTTGAAATCTAGAGAACCTACCGAAAGGTATGCTGCTTCAAGCCAACGGCGGAAGTCCTGATTCCGGCCGTCGAGGTATCCGCGGGTTCCTTGTCTCACAGCGTCTTCAGTCTGGAGAAACTCCGGCGCGGCCAGATAAAGGTCGCGGAAGGTAGCGGTGCTATAATCCTCGATCTTCTCCATGGTGGCGGCCTGACTATTTTGTTGATGACCACTAAACTATAGCAGAAATGTCGATATGCTATTCACGGTAGGAGAAAAGGGCAACTCGTAGAAGGATGCGAGGATGGAGAAGGGTGGTGAGGTAAGGAAGTAGAAGGAGAAGGTTTGGAGGGGTTATAGAGTTTTCTTAACCAGGCAAAGGCGTACGCATCTTTCTATGGCCTTCCATGGAGTAGAGGAACAAGACAATAGCAGCACGTTCAAGTATGGAACAATAGAAGCACATACGGGCAGGAAGCAATAGAGGCTCATACGGGCAAGACACAATAAAAACATCTGCGAGAGGGTGACAATCAAAAGACAATAGCATACGTAACAAGAATCCACAGATAAGTAATTTCATCCAGAGTTTGTATTGAATAATTTCATCTAAAGGTTGTATTGATACCTTTTGAGAGCAAATACTAAATACTACAGGTGTGAGGAATGTCTCACAAGTTTATCACCATGGGTTGAGCTCCAGATTTATCTCCGGGATAACCCACCGCGCCTCCTCGCCGTGCTCATTGTCTTCATCCACCTTCAGACTCTAAGAACACCACCTCCGTAATAATTTAAGTTCGAGGCATGTATGTGGCTCTCACCATGTATCGCACTGCTCAAACAGGACTACCAGCGCCCATCTGCGTAACCTTCAGACACAACCCACCGCAGAACTAGTTCCGCTATCCAAAATTTGCTCGCTACTGTTCGCATACAAAGTACCACAAGGCAGGCATCAAGGCAAGCGTATTCTTAACGGCAGACGAGGGCGTGCGAAAGCCGCACATTGTCATCTCTCTGACCATAAGCCGTGAACGGGATATCCCTTTTGGATATAGGTTGTGAGCGCCTTCCTCCCTTCCGCTCCCAACTTTAAAACCAGGCACTTTGGACCAGGTGGTGACAAATCCGCTCCTGCACCGCTTGTCTCGAGTCTCTTCTGCAGACCAAAGCACGTCCTTCCCTTGTCCGCAGCGCTTCCTCTTTGATCGTTTCTCCTCTCCTTTAGAACAGATGCACTCTAATTGCTGGTTCTCTCGGTCACTGACGTCTTCTTGCAACAGGTGCTCAATTAAGCTTCATTTCAATATAAGGTACCTAGGGTCTATGGACTCGCCCGCGTTACAGCTAGGCTAGCTTCGGGTAGGTAAAAAGCGTGTTACAACTCGGCCACCTTCGGATCCTCTTGGGCCTCCTGGAGGATCTGCCGCATCCGAACATATAGCCCTCCGTCCTCCCTCTCCCACCTCCCACCATTTGGGAACACAGCTTTGCGTAGCCGGTTAACCCAAGGTATTAATGGCTGATAATAAGGAGTGAAATTATTCTTAGCGGACTTGATGAAGTCCCCCTCATGAGATACTTCTCCTTTTTTCTCCTTCACCAGCCCCCCAATGTCCATATAGTTCCACTTGTCGAATTCTTTGACAACTCTGGTCTCGGCTGGCCCTTCACAATGAATGCATATCCAAAAGAGCACCCAGAAGAATGACTCGAGATCGTGCATGAAAGAGTGTTGTTCGCCCAAAAGCGCCCCGATTGCCATAAACGCTCTTGTACCGGTCTTCCCTTTGGATCCCGACGCACCTTCTCGATCCTCTTTGATGGCGAGATCTAGGTCAATTAGAAACGAACGACTGGAGGGATTGTTCGTATCCTCGTTGATCAAGAGGTTGTTGATGGAGATGTCTCTGTGGAGGACGCCAGCCTTGCGCAGAGACTCATGCCCTTCGATACAGCCGCTAAGCGCGGCAAGTAGAGACGTTCGGGAGCTGACCTTGTAGATTGGCTTTCCATAGTCGCGAAGAATCACACGCCGATGTACCCGATTGGATAGATCGCCACCAGCTTTTACTGGAGATGCTGAACAAGTCCGCTTGCTGTGTGGGAGAGAGGCGCCGGTTTGGCTAGACGATCGTTTCGAGCCAGCAATGGCGCTGCTTCTGCGACCTCTTCCCGAAACCTCCGACGCTGACATGGCCGGTTGGAGGGCCGACCGTTCCGGCCGATAGTTCGTAGCAAGGGTGATGTCTAATCCTCCGCGAACATTATTTCGGACGTCGTCATCCGCTCCATGTATCTGAACCGTTTCGTGGTGATAGTGTCTAGCCATGTTGATGACGCCTTTGCGAGTCACCTCGCATAATAGCTCGCCTTCCTCATCGCGCTCTAGGTATTGCCATGAGTCTTTGATGATGAGCGGCATCTGTGGCATGCCTTCGCGATGAGCTCTCCAGCATGTTGTGGCCCGACCAGCGACGCAACGTGCTCGCTGCATTACCTCGTCAATGATGAGGCGTTCCTTCGAGCCATTCCGCTCGATCTCGATGAAGCGCTGGCCGTTAGCCGCTGTAAATGTTGGGTCGAAGCCAAGTTCCTCCTCACTCATCCAGAGAAACCCGAGGACCGTAAACACAAGCCGGGACCCATCCTCGTTGATGTCGAACCGCTCAGATGCGAGACCCCCGAGTCGATCAAATTCCCAAACTCTCATAAGAGATCCACATATGGTGAAGCCCAAAACAAATCGGCGAGTGTCTTGAGCGGCGAGGACTTCCCTCGCGTACGTGCCGATGTCGAGCCAGGCCTTGGCCGCTGTACCGGCCGCAGGATTACTCTTCAACTCGCCTGGTACGAGGATGTGTGACCAGTGGCATCTCGAGTCTTTCCCGGCCTTGGGGTCGTCCACGAAGCCAACATCGAGCTTGCGTTCGGCGGTTGAGCCCTGGATGGCTTTGTTGGGCTGTGCCAATGGCCGTCGTCGATGTGTCGGGATAGACCTGTAGTCTTCTGCAAACGTCGCTAGCTTCTCGCTCAACTCCGAAAACCAGCTCAAGACATGGTCCTGATTCGCGTCTTCTGGCCATCCGCTCCACCCACCACTAAAGAGTGGTTCGCTACCTTCCTTGCATTTCTCGAAGACAGCCTCGGATGCTGTCCTGAGATCTGCCACTCGTCCGAAGTATGTCTCGTAGAATTGAGGGAGCCCGACGTACATAACGCCTAACTCATCTCTGAGGACTCTGTCCACATCTTTGCGGTACTCGGAGGAGTTTGCGAAACTTCCCGTATTGTGAAGCCACGGAGTTTGCTGAAGAGAGGAGGCTATCGTCTGGGGATGCGGGGTAGGTTCGGTAACCGCTTTGTAGACTTGCTTCCAGATGAGGACATCGTTATCGTCGGTAATTGCTGACTTGAGGAGAGGTATGATGCGGTCGAAGTCGAAGTCGTCGGAGCTGACGGCGGAATCGAGTCTTGAGAGATCGCTGAAGAGGCTCTCGCTACGGCCGCTGGAACGGAGCAGGCGAGATGCAGGAAGGATTCGTAGATTTGAAAGAAGGACAAGGGTGAGGTTCTGGAGGTCTGTACCATGTCAGAGTCAGAGGGTCATGTCGGGACGAAGCTGATCATCTTTCTTACTCTCGTGGCTAAGTCGCTCGACCGCGTCTGGAGTGCGGGATATGCTTGCGCTTTCACAGATGGCGCCGAACGAGGCGCGGAAGGCACCAAGGCCTTTCCCAATAGGGTTTTCCGCAATTATCTTCGAGAACTGGTGTGTCATGGCGGAATGCGCTTGAGGGGGAGGAGGGACCGCGAGAAGTCGCGGTGCGCGGTCCATGGGCTCGCGCCCAACCGCCGGCAGAATTTCGGGATTAGTCAGCCAAAGTTGCAGCGCCGCCCGGCTCCATACTCTGCAGCGGTTGCTGCCATTCTAGGGCCTCACAAAGTCATCAGTGTGGTTAATTATCGTAGCTCAATATTGGGACTTATTGCTCTCTTGATAGGATCGTTGCTGCCGGGCTCGACGTCAACGCTTCCTTCCCTCAATCTGATCACGTATCTACAGCCTTGAACCCGCCGCCATGTAACAACTTCTTCCCGTTCGCCTCCCGTTCGAAGTCCCCCGTTCTACACCCCCCAAGCCCTCTCCGCAGTTGTCAGTGCAGGTGTCGAAGCACTGTGTGCCGGCGATTTGGGGGGGGGAGAGCAAGGGTATGGGATGAGTGGGACATGTTCTGTAGCTGACCCGGCCGCGCGCTGACGCTCGGCCAGTTTGATCTGGCAGTTTGCATTGGACGTCGATGAGGCACTGACTTTCCCCCCTCTTCTCAAAACAGCACCAACGCCTTTGAGGACTAGGGATTGGTTCTCGGAGCGCCGAGGGCGATGCTGGGGGAGCCAGGAATTAGGGTTTGCACCCAGCTCGCCACATGGCCTGGTTCTCGTCCTTAGTGCCAAATTTTAGACCCTAGAGGCATCAGTCGACAGTGTGCGACAGAAAGCACATGCCCTGGCTAGGCCTAGTGACCATGACCGCGGCGTCCACCTTCGCAGCTCCTTGAGATCAAAACCTTGAGCAAGGACAGGAACTGCGAGACCAGTAGGTGGGGCAAAGCGCCAACGAAAAATATTTTGTTAGCTCGCTTTGAGACCCCATTTTCCAGGGCGCGAGCCGGAAGCAGCTCGCAAAATTATTCATGAAGCGTATTAAAATCTGCTAAAGCCCACTTTGAATGATGGCGGGCGGGCATCCTAGGTGCCTCTTCAGCTAGTCCCTTGGGGCACTTCGATTATTCTTTTACGTATGGTCTCGACCGTGCGGGCCGGCAGCTGACCAGGGGAGCTACGAGACATGGCTAACCTTGTGCATTGGTTATGGGGTTGGTAAACTGTAGGGGCGCCTGAGCATGACGGGAAACATTTTAAGGTCGCTCTGTGGACCCATGCCAGAGCTTGTCTGAGAACCCCGCTCCCGACATTCTGGAGACGAGATGAAGTGCACTAGGGTGATTGGAAGGTCGAATTGCCTCCCTTGGAACCAACAGAGTTCCAATATTCTCTTAGGAACTGGATAAAAAGATGAGGCAGCCCAAATAATGGCATCCTTCTGCCTTCCCAGTTTCAAGCATCCGCTTCTGCGCCGAATTTTTGTACTTTCTATGCTCGATCCGAATGTGTTTCTTCGACCAGACCCGTTGGGCCTGCGGCTTCTGGCGTTGGGGAAACCTCCGCCAACAATGCACTAAGGAGTACCGGATTGGCGAAACCTGTAGGCTCAAGCTCGTTTTCGAGACAAGCCATCGACCCGATCACTGCAAGACGTGCGAGCAAATCGTCCGCAAACAATGCCGGATCGCGAAGATGAAGAAGGATATTGCGAGATGGACACGAGAAGGGAGCCTAATGGCGACGATTGAAAAGACAGAGAGAGATATAGTCAAACTTCAACGCTCAATCTCAACACTTTCAGAACAACATGGTAAACGGCTGCCGGATCCGGTCGTCGTCACAACATCCACAGCATCAGGAACTTGGGTCGGGCTCCCACCTATTTCCGGCAACCTTCTGCAGGCAGCGCGGGCCAACCCGCAGCAATTACTGCATTGAGCAGCGGCATATGGGCATTGGAAAATCGACGAGAAAGTTATCTCGCCCGAAGATATGGTAGCCACAGGGCGAGTGTAAGCACCATGCAAGCGTCGTCAATACTCGTATCGTTGGGGTATTAGTGTAGAGTTGAGAATCTTGTATTTAGCTCTTAGGCGTCCTCCCCCCATCAAAACTCTTCAGACACGCGACGAGTACGAGTGAAAACCATCAGTTCTCGGCGACCACCCTAATCCCACTCTGGTACGTGCTTGGAGGTTGCTGCTCCGCGTTGCTGATTCCCTTGCCAAACATGCCTCGCTGGATCCCTGTTCTGGAGCATAACCATGATGTTGGTGGACGAGCCCCACTCTTGCTGCTCTATCACTGTCTGGCCAAGCACTCTCTGTACTGAAACCACCAGCCCGCAATCCCCTGATCACTACAGTTCCAGCTCATACCCTTTGCACCCACTTTTCGTCTACGCTAATAGAATCAGAAATACAATTATTGGAGCTACTAGTTCAGGTATTGCGTAGTTAGAGGCGAGCGAGCTGCCGACCGACCGCGGGGAACGCTAGGATGGCAGTTGTCATTGTTCGCAATTCATGGCTGCATGCCCCGTTTTGGTCTCCCACCACTTCACATCCATGCACTTGAGGCACGCCCATGACAACTACTTGCCGAACAGCGCATCGCACCAACGGAGGCGAAAGATAACCCGTGCTTGCAACTATTCAAGATAGCTACAAATTGGACTCCATGATTCTGGCATTTGTCGGGGAGCGGCTCCAGTGATGGCTCGGCGGGGTTTTCATCGTCGTTGTTGTCGGGCTTTTTGGGAGAAGGGGATAACGCTTTGGTGGCAATGGCTTGATGTATGGGGATCGAAGGGGGCGAGCTACTGGACGATGACAGCCTTGTCGGCGGGCGAGAGCAAATCGAAAAGTTGATGACAATTCAACAAAATGACTCGGACGCCGTAAACGGCGCAGACCCGATCGCAGGCGCTGTGGGCACCGCAATTACGACCCGGAAAGTCAAGTGCAGAGTTGAACGTTAACACCAGCTACGCCCATGTTGTCACTGCCGGAACCCCGCTTTCGCAGCCCACCGAGTCCTCACTTGCATTCTCTTCTGCCTACCCCGCGCTACTGAGCCGCATTTGCGATGCGCCTTGACCAAACCGCGCCGAGTTCAGGCGATGCTGGCAGTGGCATCAGACCGGGGGCCCGCATCACCACCAACACCACCGCTAACTGGATTAGCAATGGCTGAGAAGCGGTAGACGTCGAGGCTGCGCGGCTTGTCCTCGAGTTCAATCATGTGTTCCTCGTCGTCTCTCTCGACAGTGTTATTCGGGCCCCTTGCCTCGTCGTCCAAATCCAGCCACTCGCCAAGCTCGAGCGTAAAGACGAGCACGTCGACGTTCTTGAACTGGGTCGTCTGAATTGGGTTGAGCGACTTGTAGCTGGAATTTAAGGCATCAAGGCCTGGTTGCGATTTCCAGTTCTCCTTGGTGATGCCTTGGTGAGCCACAACGAACGGTTGCACCTTGGGCACTTGTGGCTTCTGGGCGTCTCGGGACGCTTGGGCCCAATCCTCAGCGCTCCAGGGGCTGCGCGAGGCCGGCTTTGGTTTATGTGTGAGGGCTTGGCGATGCGACGGACTGCTTGCCATGATGGCGCGACTGCGCTGCTGCTGCGACGTCGTGCTTGCTCATAGGCCCCGCCAGGAGAGCCTCTTCGGTTGCTTCTTCGAAACAGCGCGCCACGGGGCCTAGCTTGTCGGTTAGGCTTTTGGATAATGAAGGGGGAGGGAGATGCCGGGACAGATGGCTGTGTGAGCCCGTCTCCTGCAATCCTGATTTCGTCCACCGCAGAGACATTCTCAAGCATCTTTAGCGGCGCGGCGGCGTGAAAATGGTGTAACAGATGGAGAGCGATTGAGTAGTGTCGAGCTCCAGCTACCTTTGAGGAATACCTTCCGGTAAGCCCTTGTCACACTTGCTCTACAATGGTGTTAATGTTTCGCAGGCACGGAAAAGCTGGTGTGTTTGTTTGTTTGTTTGTTTACTTTTAACGTCTCCGCGAAGGGAAGGGGCCTGAACACCTTCCCCCCTATAAGCTCTAGACTTGTCGGGACGCGCTATGAGGGGACCTATGTACAAAGACTGCCTGTATAGCGACTCATGTGTGGCTATTGACGGAGTGAGACCGTGCTTCCAGGCCGCTACCCTCACCTCCGGTTGCGAGGGCCTGCGACTGTGTCTTTTGGGCGAGTGCCCGGGGGGCATTGTAGCTGGTATAGTGCCCTGCGTCGTGCCTATCAGGCTGGCCCATTGGCGCCTGTGCCAAGGCTTTTGCCTCGTTGGCCCTGTCTAAACAAAGGAAATGAAGTGAATGTATCGAAGAGGTATGTTTTTGTTGTTTTCTCTCCCCCCTGTTTTTCCCCCCTCCCCGTAGCATTAGATAGTAATAGGCTTAACCCCCTGCACTCTCTCGCTCCTTCTCCTTCACTTCTATGACGTCACGAGCCTCCAGGGCCAGCTCTCTTGGCGATGTGACGTCCACCGCCGTAAGTTGTATGCAGCCTTCCACGTAACCCCAACCCACCCCCAGTAGAACCAGTCCACCGATGACGAGGAGGGGTCGGCGGCAGTCGGCTTAGTGCAAGGGTCTAAGTTCAGGCACATACTGAGTTGCGTTCCCACTAGGCGCGGTGGCCTGTATATCCGAGTTGTGCGCTCGCGTCTTGGGGGTTACTGCTTCTGGGGCGGCAGCGTGAATCTGGCATGCCGTCGGCACCGGTGATCTGTTTGGCCTGAGGTGGACATAGACAGCTTCTGCGTTACGGTTCGTCATCGTTGGCCGGGGGGGTGTTATGGAAGAACCCTGTCGCTAGCAGGAAGTCTTGGAACGCGCTAGGGTCTTCCATGAGCTCGCCTAGGTATATCATCTTCTCTCTCACCGTATACGGCTTCCTACGGGCTCTCATCTTGTTGGGCCATGGCCACTTCGTGAACTGACTAAGTGTTTTAGGGCAGAAGACTAGGTGGTCGGGGGTTTTATCCTCCTCACACCATTGGCAGACCATTTCGCAGGTCTCTTCGTCGTGTTGGAACTTCCTGTGGTACCATGTGAAGTCGCCGTGACCTGTCCTTAGTGCTAAGAAGCGGTGAAGGGTTCGCCGTGGCAGAGTATCGAGTTCCGGGGGGCAGCGGAGGCGGTACCCGAGCCTGAACGACCGGTACCGCTCCGAGAGCCGGGGGAGGATGGAGTTCCACGTGGCCTCCGTAAACTTCCTCAGCCTCTTACGCAGGGCCATCTTAACCCCTGCTAGCGTGGGTCGGGTGTCTTCGTCCACGTCCGACGTCGTGCCTCGCTTAGCCTGAACGTCCGCTATTTCGTTGCCGGGGATTCCCGTATGGCCCGGTACCCACTTGATCGAGACACCTCCGGGGTGAGCTTCGGCTTGCTTGTGGAATGCCAAGAAGTGTCTCTGTGACGTCTTCGAGGCATTCCCCCGTAGGCACCAGATACAAGCGGTGTTGTCTAGGCAGACCCAGATTCTGCTTGGTTCTGGCGCAGTGCGAAGTGCGAGCTCGAGACCCCTGCGCGCTCCGACCGCCTCGGCGTCGAAGACCACCGCGCAGGGGTCGATAGAGGCCCGGTAGACCGCCGTAGGTCGGGCCGAGCGGGCCCTGAAAAGGGCACCCCCGTAGCCGAGCGAGCCTTCCAGTTGGGACCCGTCTGAAAAGACGACCCAGTCTTCCTCTGGGAGTGTGTCGTACCATTCGACGAAGGCCTTGGCGGCGTCCTGCTTGCTGAGGCCGCCCGTCGGGTCAATGTTGCTGCCAGGGGTGAACCGGTAGGGTTGGAGGGTCGGGCGTTCGAACGATTCGAATTCGCTTCCAGCCTTCTGGAGGACTGTTCGGATCCGAGACACCCGGCCCGCATACGGCCCCCGCCCCGCTGTGGGGAGCCGTATACGGCGGACTAGTGGGTGTGCTTTGTCGATGGTGTGCAGTCGAAATGCGAACCTAAGCCGATTTTCTTCGAGGGCCACTTCCGCTGTCTGGACCGGAAAAGCTGGTGTGGAGCTGCCACGTAACTTGATTTACGCATCTCGGGGTCAAAGAACATTAGCAACCGATTTTTCTTATTCTTTTCCTTTTTTTGCGTCTAGGGCGGGGTTAGGTTTCCTAACAAGATCTGCATTCTCTCGCGGAACTCCTGGTTTTCCCGCTCGAGGCTCTCGCGACGGTCAGACTGCTGTCGGAGCACCTCAACAACTGCTGACCTCAGCTCCGACACAGCCGATGATTGCGGGATGCCGATGGTCACGGGCCTGGTGTTCCGGCTGCACGGCTGGGTGGCAATCTTCTCATGAACCATGGCGCACAGCTGGCGGAACTGAGGGCGCAGGCTCACGGACTGTGCAAGGCCGACGCCCCAGAGGGGATAGCAGTGCCCGTGGTGCCCGCGCAGCTTTATCTGGAGCGCCAGTACCGAGAGTAGGGCGTGGCAGAGAAAGCAGGCCCTCTTGCTGCAGCCGATATAGGGCAGCGACGGCGCCAACGAGGGGTCGGCTTCATACCGCAGCAGCAGCTGGGCGTCACAGTGGACTGGGAAGGCGCGGGCGCAGTCTTTACGGAACCGGGACTGTTTGCGGGACAAGGACCCGGGGAGCCGGCTAGACTTGGGTAGGCCGAGCCGTTCCCACGCGTCTGCAAAGCTGGGCATCTGCTCGCGGCTGAGCCGTATTCTGGCCGGCGGCGTGACTTGGATGAAGGTGACTGCGCGGAAGCTCGGAAGGAGCTGGGCGATGCGGGCGAGCGTGCGTAGGTTGGCGTCGGGTCTCGCCATCAGACGGCAGAGCCTGACAGCTTTACTGCCGTTCATCAAGGGGGCAAGCCGCTTCAGGCCGGCCGAAGCCGCATCAGGCGATTGGGCGATTCGGGCGGCCAGCCGGACAATGCTCAGCCTGTCGGCTGCTTTTAACTTCCTGGTTCGCGTAACCTGGACCCGGAGTGCGAGCTCGCGCACCACCACATCTAGAATCGCCGGCAGCTGGTCATCTTGACAGAGGTCGAGCGGAGACGCTCCGTCAATAGGCGGTATTGCCGCGGCTGGCAGCATCAACGTGCCGCCAACGAGCTTCGCAAACTCCTTTATCCACCCGTCCACCCGACTGGCACTGCGGGCTACGGTCACCTCGAGGAGGGGGCGGCAGCAGGAATCCTGCAGATTGGAGAGGGTACTATGCGCCGGCGCCTCTTCGTGTACACCGGCATCTCGGCCGCTTCTGCCGCTGCTGCCGCCGCCGCACTTGGCGAGAAATTGGGACAGAGATGCGAGTTACCCAGCATCGCTGGGTTGGAATGGGCTATTGCTTGTAACGTCGATCTCTACCGAACTCTCCTTCTCTCGTAGTGCCGGGGCCGCAACGTATCTTCCGCCCTTTGTGTGGTCAAGTAGCTCAGCGATGCAGTTTAGGAATTTCCGGCGGATCGATTCGTCGTTCGTTGTCAGGAGATCCGGTGCCACGCCCGTGCCGGGTATTAGGTCGGGGTCGAGATGGACTCCACCCAAATTGTCCTCGTCATCACCATGATCATCATCTTGCGGTAAACTGCTAGGCAATCGACTGGTCCATAGTGGTGGGCGGTCTGCTTTGGAGCATGTATATGGATTTAGATACGATAAGATATGAGATGCCTAGACTACCTGGGCGTATTCGTCGGCGCAGTTAGACTGTCGCACGGCAAGCGCCATGATTGCTGAAAAAGGATGATGGAAGGGGGAAATGGAGGGAGGAGAAATTGGGCGGCCGACGACCGCAGCACCAACAGCTGGCATTGTGTCACGAGCGTTGTAGGCCTTACTGCATGCTATCACAACACTTCCTTCCGAGGCAAAGATGTGGGCCGCACGAATGAATTACGGTTCGAGCTTTCTCGGCTCGAAGAGGCAGCGGAGCACAGTACTCGATGCAAAAGGAATATGTTTGCTTTCCGATGGATCCCGGTTACGGTGTTAGTTGGAAGTTACCTGGAAGCTGACTACTTTATTAAGATTAACCAGACTGAAAGTACGCCTGTTGGAGCGGGTGGCTGACGCGCAATTCTGGAGTGAGCATATGGCCACCTTCGCCCAAGCTGGGATAACAACGGATTCAAGACGGTACCAGGTGGCCAACTCTGTTCCCTAAATGGATTTCACGGGCGTCGTGCCTCAGGACAGCGGCGCTGACATTAAGAGGAGGATGTGTGACGTCCGTGCGATGTTTGCGGTGGTGGAGAGTGGGGGAGCGGGAGCACGTGAATGAGCATTCCTTTGTGGAAAATTTCAGCGCTTGGGGACGCCAGAACCCGCTCGCCACTGCACCAGGCGTCGGTCAAAGCTGGAGCCAGATGATGTCCGCGCCCCGCGGTCCCCAACAGCTGAAGGACCGGATCGTCCAGTCTCGAGTTCACCGCGAGCGCGACCAGTTCATTGCGTCAATCCCCAGAGCACCAAGTCCTAACGCTCGCGTCGTCCTACCGCAATGCGGCGCCCTGCGATTTCTTCGACAAGCTCAAGCACGGCAGTTACAACATCTGCTACTTTGTGCAGTTCCCCGACGGCGTGAAATGGGTCGTGCGTGTGCCTCTGGCGCCTTATTTAGCATTTGGTGGGAGGAGAAAACTTGAGAGCGAGGTCGCGGCGATGCAGTAAATGCTTTCCTATACTTTTTAGGCGTGAGTTCATACGTAGAGTTATCACCTCAAGAACAACTATCCCAATCCCTCGACTGATAGCGTACGCGGCGAGCGATAGCCCCGAGCCGTTATCGTCGTTCCTTATCCTGGAGTTCGTCAAGGGCCAGAAGCTCGATCTCAGCAAGCTCAAGAACCTCCCCGAGCGGCAGCAAGCCAACCTGTACACCTCGCTAGCCGACATCTATTCGATATCTTCTCGTCCACGGAGATCACCTTCCAGTTTACGCTCTAGCCATCAGGACGTAGACAGCCGCATCACCATTCCACCTTAAGCAACTGCTTCGTGAATACACTGGTTTGAACGGATCCTTGGTCGCGGCACACCAGTCCGTTTCTACACCTTGCGTACCATCCGATTGTCTCAGCAAGATGTCAAATGGTAACCAGTGCCAGCCTATGGGCAGCGCGTCTCCGGCCAACACGCCTTCAGCCAATATGTCTTCGAGCAATCTGCATCCAGGCAGTTCCCCTCTGGTCAATTCCGCTCCAGCCTCTGTCAGGAGCATTGGAACTGTCGGAGTTGATCCGGGCACGGATGAAACATCGGAGCCAGTGAATGCACCAATAAGCAGGATACAGTTACAACTTCAACTACGGAAGCCGAACTCCTAGCCCTATCACAAGCAGCCAAAGAAGCCCTATTTGTGGGACGACTATTGGCTGACCTATCTATACGGCTAGACGACCACCGCATTCGAATTCAATGTGACAATAAACAGACTATACGGCTAGTTATGGCCGAGGTGGCTACGCTACAGACGAAACTATGGCATGTGGATATCTACAACTATTGGCTACGCCAGGAAGTCAGCCAACAGAAGATCAGGGTAGAATACACCCCATCGGCCAATATGATGGCCGACGGTCTAACTAAGGCCCTCAACCACTCACTCCACCAGGCATTCCTACGACAGATTGGATTATCAGAGCCTATAAGGTAGTCAGATCCAAGGCCCTATAGGGACTTGAATCTGAGGGGGTGTGTCAGATGGAAAGGTCTAAGCCAGGCTGTGTAAGGTCTAAGCCAGGCTGTGTAAAGATCTAAGCCAGGCTGTGGCCAGGCTGTGTAAGATTTCTTACCAACTATCGTCACCCACTGTTCTATAAGACAGGCTCCCTAGGTTAGCCAGAGAGGGAGAGAGGGAAGAATCAATCAAGCAACAATAAATCCACAATTACTCAATTGAACCACATAAAATCCAGATACAACATATCTGACATTCCCCTTACTTTTGGCCCGAGCCTTGGTATCAAGTTTAGTCTCCAAAGACATGGTCCTTCATCACAACCGAGACTCAAGGGTTACCAAGACCTATGTTCCGAGGTCGGTGTACCCCCGGGTAAGTCTATTACAGAATGCCAGGCGCGACTGAAGAACACATACATCAACATTGTGGATCTGCTTAACGCACGACGGATGGGTACCAAGCCCAAGGTATTTGATAATATTGAGGCGCTCCGCGACTACACGTTCCGATATGGGCACATAATTGACCGGAACGAGGCAAAGAAGGATGGAGGTTTCCTGGCATCTCTGCTGCAGCACCTCTGCAACCCGCGGAGAAAGGGAAGAAGAGGGGAGAGGATGAATGACACCTAGATACTTCCTGAAGTTTGTGAATCCTATGGCTCACAGCCTCCTACTGTGTCCATCGGCATGTTGGGCGCCTCGGCCCGGTGGGATTCATCGATTATTGCGCCGGAGTCGACTACGGAAGGCCGGCCGTCTGCCGGGTCCGTGTGAGCTTGAGGTGTGCCTGTAAAACCTGAGGTTAGGCCAGGATCTACTCTCTGGACCCCTCTTTTACAAGAGGATATCTCGGTTTAGGGCCTGATCGGCTCGCCGTTGCGGTGTCGTTGCGGTTGAGAAAAGATACGAGCCATGTGCATAATTAAAGTGGAGACACAGCCAATGTACCCCGAAACCCCCTGTAACTAGGCTTTTCCTAATTAATCATAGTCCCGTGTGACTTCCGCCCTGTCTTCCCGCAATTTTTTGACCAAAATACAGCCACGACAGCAACCCACCTATCGTCAAGATGCCCAGAAGACCCCGCATCAGGGCAACCGCAGTAGAGTCTCCTGCTCCTGAGGCCTCTATTGTTGTTCAAGCCGATGACCTACCCTCTGACGGCGGCCTGCAAGCCTCCGATGACGGCCCTACTTCCGAGCCGACACCTGATGCGCCTTCGTCGACCCCGCGTACGAGGCGGAGGAAAATCATCTACACAACCGAAATGCAGGCGAAGATTATCGAGTTATTCCGAGACGAGGCTATCGCTGGAGCGTTCCGTATCAACAAGTTGACCGAGACGCGGCCGGCATTCTAGAGGATCTCTGTTACAATGGAGGAATCCTTTCCAGACTTCCACTGGTCAGCAGAGAAGATCAGGGACAAGTACGATAATGAGAAGAAGCGATTCCGAACGATCAAGACCTTTCTTAACAAGTCAGGTGCGAAATATAACGAAGAAGAGAGGATGGTGGAAGGCTCTGTGGAAGTCTGGAATAACTTCCTTTTGCAATATAAGGATGCTGGATGGCTTCGGACTGCTCGGTTTACTCTGTCAGACTATGAGACGATATACGCCAACCAGTCTGGTCATGGCCGTAACATTATCCGCGCGAGTAATGCCTTTCGCCCCTCTACTACGACGCCTGACGACGAGGGCGAGGGCGAGGGCGATACCGAGGATGCCATGGTCCTGAGTACGAGCTCAGCTACTGATGCTAACTCTCGCCAACCCTCTGTGGCGCCGTCGTACCAGAGGGTTCGGAAAGCCAATACAAATCCAGAGGTATTAGCACTGGCCCAGAGCCTCGATAAGCAAGCTGAGGCCTCTATGAAGCAAGCTGAAGCTATGGTTAAGCAGGCTGAGGCCATGCTTCGCCTGAAAGGGCAGGATGAGATCCAGCTTGCGATCAAGGACTTTATACACAACTTCTCTATCCAGTTAAGCCCCGCAGAGCGTGTAACGTGTATCATGCAGCTAAAAGAGCACTCAAATGCTGTTGTATGGAACACTGTAGACCGGGATATTAAAGAGGCTCTGACCGAGTCATGGAAGACTAGCTAGAAATCCCGCTCCCTCCATAGAACCTCTGCAATAGCATCCCGGATATCCTTACTATACCGACTCCTAATTATCTGCTCAGCATACCGACAAGCCTCTTGTGTAGCCTCAATTACTAGCTCTTCATCGCTGGTGTCAAGAAGGAAGTTATGGATACCAGTGACTGCGTACACAATCTGGACCTGGTTTCGTATCGAGTACTCTGGCGCAGTAGCTTGGATAATCTTCCACTTCCTCTTTAGAATACCGAATACCTTCTCAACGATAACCCGAAGGCGTGCGTGCCGGATGTTATATAGTTCTTTTGCTGTGGTCGGCGGGTTTTTGGCATTCCTCCAATCCTCGAGGTGATATCTGACACCATTATAAGGTGTAAGAATCCCTACATGCCTACCAAATGCAGCGTCTGCAAGGTAGAACCGGCCCGAGGGGACCGCAAAGTCATTCGCAGTAGCGATGCTAAGGAGCGTAGAATCGTGTGTTGAGCCCTCAGCACCAGCGAGTACGTACGAGAACGCACCATCAAATCGGACTGCGGCGAAGACGTTCTGTGCGATAAAGCCTTTCCGGGTTCGCCACTGGTGTTGCTGAGGCTCTGGACTGAAGGCGTGGATATATGTACCATCAATGGCCCCGATACAACCGTAGAATGCATCGTCGATAGACGGGTCGAGCCAGTCATCGTCTTTTGGCTTGACGAATGCGCAGTGTAGCTGTACGAGCTTGTCCAGTAGATCCGTCATAACAGAGCTCACAGTAGACTGGCTGACTCGGAACCGGTGGGCAGCATTACGCTGGCTCTCGTCGTGGGCGAATATCCATAGCACGATCATAAGCTTTAGCTCGGCTGTCAGATATCTGGACCCCTTAAGCCCGGTATGCTCTTGTAGCCATGTAACCAATCGATGGAAAGCGGCCTTTGGCATACGAAAAAGATCAACGAATTGGGTATCCGAGCTACTGAGAATCGACTCAGCAAGATGGCAGGCCCCCGAGGGCTCCTCTGGGTGGATAATATCGCAGTCGCGTGGCCCTAGTAGTCGACGGCGATCAACATACTGTAGGGCTTCATCCACTACAGCTTTCGTGATGACGGCGTTGAGCAGAGGGTTATTAATGGAAGCCATTGGCAGCAGTACGTAGGATCTCGACGGTACGGCAACCCTTCTCGAAGAAGGGTTGCCGTACTGTTGGGAAAAAGCCAACCATACTAGATTTGGCTGTGCACTATACCATATGAAGGGCGTTGACCAGGGTGTCACGAAGAGCCCCGCGAAGATACATTGCATAAATCGAGACGGATCGTTCCGGGCGCTCGGCCTCAAATTTAGTCGATAAATGTGGGAAATTACCACTCGATTGGGGTTAGTGGCCTTGCAAGGCCCCCTGCGATTTTTTTTGTGCAGGTTTTCCCAACCGCAACGACACCGCAACGGCGAGCCGATCAGGCCCTTAGCTGTGGATTGTGTAGGGTGGCCAAGTACTAGCGAAGTAATGTGTCTCTGTTTTTTTTAGTAACTGTCACCGGATGGCCAGCGGCTCGCTCGATGACCAGTTTCCTGCAGCAGGGCTAGCCGTAAAGGAGCAGCTTTGCCGATCGATACTAGATCTTGGAACCCTTTCAGCAGCCAAGTTCGTAGGGGCAGCAAACCAATCAGTCTCCCTCAAGGCCAGCACAGGACCAAGCGCACCGAACGCGGACGCAATCGCCACCTTCTTCTATAGTATTTCTTGACATTTTCCACCGCCGGAGAATGTGGAAGATAATTATAACAAGTTTCTGGTAGTACGTTTTGCCCCTTTTCTCGCCCGCTCGATCCTCTTTTTCATTCAATATACAATCTGAGCAATGCCATTTCCCGGTGCCCGTACATGCACAGGCGGCGGTTGGGCCGCCTTATTGACAATCAACGGCTCAATGTCGGTGCCCGTGTCCGTCCCGTCCTCTCCGACTGCCGGCGTCGCTAGATCGTCCGCAACGCCTCAACCTTCTGACCCTCTGACATGGTGCAGACCTCCAGAATCTCACCATTGACCTTCTTCTGGCAAAGCCTTCCGACCTCTCGTCTGCTGACTGATCAGTCCTTTCGTGTAACCTGGAGCGTTACTGTGTCAAAAATGAGAAGGGGCGATCTGGGTGTCGAGTTTAAGCAGGCTTATTACTGGGCGCCGTTTGTCTTGCAAGGACTATGGTACTTTCAAGCGCAACGAGGCCTCCACAACCAAGCTTTATTCAGCCTTGGGTGGGGGGTAGGTAGAAGTTGGAGCACCGGCGTTTAAAGGGATCGGGGTTAAAGTTTTCTATAGGTCAGTTCGATGGAGACAGGAGCGAAGATTATGTACATTTCTCTTGGCGTATCCTTGCAGGTTGCGAAGGAATTAACTAGGTTTTTGGTAAAGGAGTTGTCGTACAGCGGCCCCGAAAAGAAGCTGCGTACCTGACTGTGTTACCATCAACGGCGCTTAGGTTCTAATAGATAGTGGTCTCCGCATCGGGCTAGAATAAACTTCTTACACCCGCATTAGACCCGGGTTTACCAGCAGACCGGTTATGTGGTGATCAATTTCAAAAAAATAAAAGCCGCCAGGCCACCGGGTGTAACGGCCAATGACGATGGTTACAGCCTGGTTATCTGAGACGAATCTGGGCACACGAAATTTCCTTTTTCGTTCGCAATCCTGAGCTGAGGTGAGCTGGGGTGAGCTGTGGCTGATTTGTCCTGAGCTCTCCCTGATTTTTCCCTGAGCTGGGGTAATCCTATACGCCGCCGCCGTACAGCCTCAAAGGCCCCTTTTTCAATCTCCCCTAGCTAAAGTTTCCTATCGATAAAAGCAGATGACGTGTAATCTATAAGGATAGCTCCCAAGTAACAATTCCAATTACAACGTACACGCGTACTGGGTGTGTGTACGACTCGTAACGCACAAGCCATATGGGCTCGATTGGCAGGCGTGCACGCACTGGGTGCTTGCACTGACAGATCTTTTGGTCGTTGGGGGTTCCTGCCCCGCTTGTGTTACATGGCATGACTTGCATAGGACGGGAAGAGGTACCATTCAGCGCAGATCTCTAAGTACCTAGAATCATTTTATTATCATTATCAGTGTCCCGCATCGTTCTGGAACGCGGCCGACTTTGGGCAAGAAACGTAGGTCGTGAACAGTTGTCGAAACTTCACTGGCCTCGGTGTTCTGGACTCCATCGAATCAGCGATAGAGGATGGGTAGTGTGGGTTGCACCGCATGGTTGCCTGATTTAGGAGTCCGGCAAGGCAAATCATCTGTTGCAAGGCGTCCACGGCGTCTTGTCTCAACGGCCCCGATCAATATAATTACCATTAGCCGTCCGTGTCTCGCTGCCGCAACGAAACCAACAGGCCCTAACAATGCAACAACAAGTCAACAAAACTATTAGACTCGTGCTTGGTCTCTATCAGCCCTCATCTTGAGCCGCCATAGCAATGAGCAACTTCCAGTACCAAGCTCTAGACAAGGGTGTCTTCGCCATTCGGCTAGCTTCCATACTCCCTGGTGATGAAGAGGATCCCATGGTCCTAGAAATTAACCACGCAACCATATCGGAGGAGTCTCCAATCACCTATCTCGCCCTTTCGTATGTATGGGGCACCGCAACCGAGAGGGTCCCTGTATCCGTCGTCCGGTATAACGGAAACACCGTTCAAACCACTCTCCACATCACGCCAAATCTGTTCCAGGCCCTCCGGCACCTGCGAGGCATTATACAGCTGTCCATTCCCATCTGGATCGATGCCATCTGCATCAATCAGGGAGACAATGGTGAAAAGGCATTGCAGATTCCCAGAATGGGCGACATATACCGCCTAGCAAACCGAGTCATTGTCTGGTTGGGGGGGGATGGGACCGACAGGGGCGAATATGCGCTCCAGCTGCTCAGGAACCACATCGAGGCTGTCAATTCCATCGTGCGGTTTGTCGACCTCGAGGAGGATCCGGAGGACCCCGACAACATCGACCCTGCGTATTTCTGCGCGATCCACTACGAGGCTCTGCACGCGCTGTTGCAACGCCCGTGGTTTGACAGGCTCTGGATCCGGCAAGAGGTGGCGCTCGCAAACGAGCAGGCGGTGGTGATGTGCGGCCACCGGTATATGCTGTGGGCCGACTTTGTCAGCGCGTGTACTTCCTTGCGCGGGAAGAATACTGACGTGAGCAAGTCGGCAGAGGTACAGGATCGATGCGTCTTGGTCATCGAGCTCGGTACCCAGACCAGACAGGGCGGCAATCTGGAGTACCTGCTGGTAGTCGCCCGAAAGGCTCGGTGTTTTGACCCGCGGGACAAGGTGTATGGGCTGCTGGGCCTCACCACGGAATACTACCGGCAGAGAATCACGATGAACTATGACGCACCCGTCCTGGACGTCTATCGCCAGGTTGTCGAGGCGGAAGTGGGACGCGGCAGACTCTCGATCCTTTCTCACTGCGATCTTTCGACGTGGCCCTCTACTCTTCCGGGCTGGCCGACATGGGTGCCGGACTGGTCGAACGGGGCATCCACCAGCCATTTGACCACGGTCATCAGCAATGGAGGACTTCCAGCACACGTTCAATACCCGAATCCGCATACCTTGCGGGCCACGGGCCTCTATGTTGATGAAATCCAGACCGTGTATGAGATGTGCATCAACCCGGTCGACGCACCGTTCAACTCGGAGATGTACCGTCTAGCAAGGGCCGTCATTCCCGTGTCCGATGACCCCGACGTCCAAGACAAGATGGTGGATATATTCTGCCAGACGATTTGTGTTGACACGTACACAGTCTCCGGAAAGGGCTGGAGATCGTTTCACGACGAGGCAACCAGGCACGTCAAGCTCCTCCTCGCAACGGCCGGCAAGCCGGAGAGCGCACTAAACCATGACAACTTCATCCGCCGTGCCCGTTACAGCTGCAACCGCAGGTCGCTCATTGTCACGAAGCATGGAAAACTAGGCCTTGCACCCGCGGCAGCCCGGTCCGGGGATGCGGTTTGTGTCCTGATCGGCTGCCCCGTACCGCTTGTCCTGCGCCCCATCGCGACCGGCGAGCGAAAAGAAGTCGGAGGGGTAGGAGAGAAAAAGTACCAGGTTGTCGGGCAGTGCCATCTACACGGTTGCGCGGACGACGAGGCCGTATTGGGCGAGCTGCCAGAATCCGTCGGGACGCGGCCGACGAGTGCGTTCGGCAGCACGGTTCTCCACGAGTACTTTGATCGGGCTTCTGGGGAGGCCTTGCCGGAGGATCCGAGGCTTCCCGGGTTTCGAGCGAGGACGCGGCACCTCCTGCGGGACTCGGACATTGGTGGCAACTACAAGGCTTGGCGGTTCGAGTGGTTGGGAGATGTTACGCTACAGATGCTTCGGGACGCGGGAATAGGTGTAGATAGCTTCGATTTGGTTTAGGGGGATGGTACGGGAAAGGGGCAGGAGAGAACGGAAAGGAGCAAGGTAAACATGACGTCAACATTTCCACGCCTCTCTCGTGCTTCTCGGCCGTTTCTTGGAGGATGCCACGTCGTCGTTTCGGGCATCAAAAGTCCCAAGTTAACAAACAAGGCGTGTATTTACTGCGGGGATTACCAGGAGGTGCTGTATCTACATGTGTTGTCTGTCCAAATCAAAGTTTCCGCAAGAGATATCCTGAAACCACAAATAACGAGATAAAGTTTCCACGGCAAGTCAACCTCAGCTCTCTATCTCTTACAGTTCTGTTGCTTGTCCGGATCGCATGTCATAAACAGATATCGCAGACACCCGGCCTCAACAAAGCCACCCACACCACCGTTGTCACCTGTAAACACGCATCAGCATCCGTTCTATCATCAACCGTCATGGTATCGCAAACTTGCAAATCTCAAAATTCCTAATCAGGATACTCTGGCAGGTATCGCTCGCCCCCGGCAGCCGCGCGACATTCCCACGCCGTTGGAAATGGTGTCAAATCCGAGGGGAAAGTTGCGGGGCCTCATGACGACGTTGACGGCCGGCATGGTCTCGGTGCTGCACGCAAAGATGGCAAAATACCTCTAGAGCTGCGGGTCGATGTCGCCGTGGTTGGGGAAGTCGGACTCGGGGAAGCACATCTTTTTGTTTATCGCCAGGGGCGTGTGTGTTGGCGCGCTCGGGTTGCGCGTTGTTGGTGGGGGTGGTGCTGTCGTCGCTGTGCCGACCCAGGAGTTGCAGGTTGATGTGGGCACGCAGATGGAACCGGTGCCGCCGCCCACAGCTCCTGAAGGCGGGCCGAGCTAAAGCAGTGCGTATTTAGTAGGTTGGCGTTATCTATACGGCACCCTTCATGCACATAGTCGTAGTGATCCCTAAACCACAACTGCTCTTGTAAGATGACATAGTTCTCGATGGTTAAGAAGGCCTGATCCTGGCGGAGGTTTTTTAAGCCGAGCTCTTGAGCTAGTGGCCTTTGGATATACTATATTGGTTAGCATATTGCCCTCCTTATGATAGTAATATAGTTCTACGTACCGGCGCTACCGACCTTTTAACATTGAAGGGTATCTCCAGATTGTAATGTCTTTCCCACGTATTATAAAATCGGCGCATTATAACTCTTAAGCTGTAGGGAGTTAGTAGTTTGTCCTTTTTATTAAGCTCGCCTTTTATGCCGAACGCCATAGTTTTGGCAAAATGCTTCATCACCTACATCTCCCGAGGATCGGAAGGCCCATATTTCTTTATATATTTGAAGAACGTTAGATCTCAGTATTAAATACGTGCGCGTTATTTACTTACGAATGCCACACTTCAAGTACTTGTGAATACTGGTTCTTGCTTTTAGGCCTCAGATTATTGCGAACTGTATAAGGGCAGATCTTAGAGCGGTCCCCTGTAAGGCCTCTCCTTTCAACCCGCCCGATAAGGGCATTTGCTGAATTGGACGTCTTTGATTCTAATTCCATTCTGTATCTTGGCGTTTTATCAAGGACGATAATAAATTCAGGGTGTTGAATAACGGAAGTAGGAGTGCTCTGAACAAGGTAAAGTTGTGAGTAGGGCAGAGGCTAAGTCCACAGGGGTCAGGTAGGCAACACGAAAAAATACAAGAGGTAAAGGTGAGGCTATTCATTTTCAAAATAAGGACTAATTTTGGCCATCTTTATATATGGGACCAATTCTGGGCCCACTCGGCTAGAGTTGAAGCAGTTCAGCATGCTGCGGCGCAGCGTACCGAAAATAGTACTTAGCCTGGGCAACGGTGAGCAAGCCTGAGCAAATCCTGAGCAAAGACTGAGCCGGCCCTGAGCCGGCCCTGAGCAACGGTGAGCAGTGTCACGTGGGCGAGGTACAAAAAAGGAAATTCTGTGTGCCCAGATTCGTCTCATATAACAACATAATGCGCCTCCCGAATGTTGCCCTCAGTAATTACCATACGCAGGCATGGCCCTGAGCCGCCGCTGCTTTACCCTGAGTTGTGGTGAGCGAGGTGTGTGTACTGCACAGCCCCTGTGCCGCGTTTCTGGCCACCCCGGCTAAAGTTGCCATTTACCAAAATAAAAAAAAAAGACTTCCTGTTTCCTGTAGACCTAGATCTGGGTACACACGATCGGTCAACCATGCAGAGACTGTTCGTTGAAAACCTTTCAAAGGCTATAGTATCGGCATAGTGGATGTTTATAAAGAGGCATTACCATTGTTTATAATACAGCCTCTTTACTCAACACTTCCAGAGCAAATGACAATTTCCTGCGTTGCCATTATAGTGTGGGCACAGGGAATAGGTCATCGGTCTATGGCTTGGGAGTTTAAGGGAAGAAGATAGTCCGGACTAGCGGAGTCGCAGTCGTTTTTGCCTGGATATACATGAGGCCGAAGGAACAGATAGGGTAGTCTCACACTTTAACAACGAACATAGAACCAGGTAGAAGATTCCACTAATATACGTTGCCTTACCCAGGCAGGTGATCACCTTGTTCATCCTTCATGGCACCGGCAGGCAAGGGTAACGATGAATGACCTGGTAAGCATGCAACGTACACGAAGGCTGCCTCCTTTACGTTTTGCACATTGTCCCTTGCTGAAGTTGCCTCTCAGTGGAGCCTCTCTCCTTCTCCGAGTTACCCTAGCCATTCTTCCTTCCGCCACTTTCGCCTTCACCGAGGTCTGATACCTAGTCTACATTCCCACATCGGTGGTGGCAATATTGGAATTTCTGCCTCGTCGTTACCCCTACTATGACTCACTCCTTCCTGCTTCTCCTGACTCTACCCCGTCGGCACCAGACTTTATAAAAGATACATTACCAAGACTACGTATGAGCCCCAGATGAGTTTTAGTACCTTACCGAGCTGAAGAAAAGACTATAGGAATTAGTCAAAGCTGTAATTGAGAACGATTCTTATTTAAATGCTTAAAAAATCTAGGAGAATATATTCTATCGAACTCCCGAGCTTGACGCGCTATTATAACGTCAGCCTACCGTTATTATCCCGCTTTCTAGATTATACCCCATTTTTCGTTAACGCTCACCGTTTGTAACGTAGCACGTGACTTTTCTCACCGTTCTTGGCAAGTTCCCGTTTTCTGTTGGAAGTACGTAGCTTTTCTGCCGGCATAATCGATTAGGTACGTACCTTTTCTGTCGGCAGAATCTGATCCGCTACGTATCTTTTCTGCCAGCGTAAGGCATGTCCTTTCTGTGGTTACTACCTGGAAGTTGGATAATCCAATTTAGGGTCACGGCAGGCGACCCAATTTAGTTCTCTCGAACTTAATTGTTGTTCTCATAGTGATAAGTGGATTTTCTGCTAGGCTACCTTTCGCCGACTACTAGCTCTTATTTAGGCCCGATTTTAGTCTATTTCTCATACGCCGCAAAACTGGTCACGGAGGACAAAAATTTAGCGCCAACAAGCAAGTTATCTGCTGATATAAATGGTACGTACCTAGCGAGACCAAACCCAGGCCCAGGGACGAGAATTGGGCCGCTGGGATGCTGTACATTTTCTGCCGGCAGAAAAGGTACGTACCGAACGGCAGAAAGAATTCGAACCCAAAACGGCTGTGCTAGGCTTGGTATGTATCTATTTCGCCAGCAGAAAATTGACAGTCTTTCTAATCTCAACCTTGGGACAGTTGTACGGGGTCTAGATCCGTTTGATTGGGGAGAATTTGAAGAAAGCGCCATGACGGCCACTGCACCAACCATCCAAGCTCCCAGTCGACCTTTAGTGCCAACCACTGCAAGATTGCTTGCCTAACTATATGCATGCATCCCATCCGCAGCAAATTCTTAGAGTGCCTTGACAGTTCCAGAGTTCAAGAGACTCCGCTACCTTTCTTGATCGGCGCAGCCTATAGGGGAATGTGACTCAGAAGTGGCGTATCATTACAAGGAATATCCTGCATTAAAAGGCCAATAGAGCACGGAAATAAGCACTACGCCGAACTTGCGAGAAGTATACGGGACTAGAGGCAAGGGGAGCTCGGCTGAGAAAGCCTATAGGCACCGCTAGTTTCAGAAAGTCTAATACTAGGGTGGTTTGGTCACACGCCACCAGAGGAGGTAGGTGACCCTAATAAAGGATATAGCCGAGTACCAGGCGGACGCTAAATGATAACCAGAGTTAGTTATTCTCGAGCTGAAGCTATTGGCGGTTGATACTTAAGTCCTAAGTTAACCGTTAATTTGTCCTATTCTTTATACTTTAGAATACCCTTATCCTTACTTAAATTTCACCTCAGGTTATTATCGGTAGTATAGATAAGAACAATTTCCTGATTATGTCGATAACTTTTCCACTAGCTTCTGAGGATCAGTCTGGGACTTCGGCCGCATCTCCGGAGATTGAACGGTCTACTAAGGTTTGAGCATGCGAACTCAGTATTAACGAATTGTTAACTCAAACTTTATTAGTAGGCACAAGCTGGATGCCTTAAGCCAGATGAAGTATCGATCTTAGAGGATTAGGAGAACCGTGGGCCGGCCCTTAAGGATTTCCATGGTACTCGATGTATCTTAACGGTACGCTGGGGTGACGGGAAGTTCGAATACATTAAAAAATTGGACGATAATTTAAGAAACGGGCGGATAGAAGTCTCCTTCACTCCGAATCCTCAGACTGGACGGATAACCCTTATATTTGATATGTGCTTTGTCGAAGATTATCCGCGATAAACTACACAACCGCACGAGAATGATCGCTCTTTGTAATATGGAAACCTCAATAAGGCTTTCTACGGGCAGCTGCCTGAAGGTACGCCGGCTTTTGGGGACATGCGTGCGGAGTCTCCGGAGGATTATCCGTCAAATCTCTCCACCATCCCCAACTCTCCGGGCAGAGGGGATCAACTGTCAGCCGTACAGGATGGTGCGGTTGACCAGCAGTACCAAACGTCGGTAGATGGCGGTAAAGGACTCAAACGGTCAAGTAATCTGGAGGATGTGTCTGTAGCAGGTGTGAAAAGACAGAGGCCATCGGACCCGGAAAATCCCGCACATAAACAGGCTGGATCGCGAGATTTAGACGATTAATTTTGCGGCCATAGACTGAATTCGAATACGAGGATGCGGGCCTCCAGGAGCTTGGATAGGAGGAAGCCTTAGGCCGTTGCAGGGCGGTCCCGTCGCGAATTGAGTCGCCAGGAAGCAGGATTACGTTCTTAGTATTTTCCCTAATATATCTGCCTTGAAGAAAAGATCTGCCACGAATCCCATGTCCTAATCCATCCTGACCATGAAGTCGCGACTGCGGATAAAGTATAAGTCGATCAGATCTTTCCCCTTGTTCTTCAAGACGATCGCCGAGTTCTTCCGAATGAATGGGTGTGTTGGACGAGCCCACCTCAAGTCCCGCTGCAGCACGTGGAGGGAAAAACAGGGAATAGATCAATCGACCTCCCACTCGTCGTCGTCGGTATAAGGTTCGTCTCCATCATCCTCTTGGTACACATCGCCATCCGATTCATTATCTTCCATTATCATCGTCATCATTGTCGCCGTCTTCCTCGTCAGCCCATCCATCAGGTCGTATACACTCGCAACCATTCAAGATGCAAGTAGGGCATGCACTGTGACGGCGCCAGCCTGCAGCACTCACTACCACTGCGCTAGAACCCCCAAAAGGATGCCAGAATTGCAAGTTGACAACTTGCAACCTGTAGTAAGGTATATAGTACTGCTACGGCCATTGCGCGCCGTGACATGCACCCCCATGAAAGCTGGGGACGGGTGTGCGGGTGTACCAGGTGATCGGCTTGCGCTCGGAGTTGGCACAGGTCTGACAAGCCTTGCGTACGGTAATCTCTCGGGAGGCGGCCAAGAGGGCATCGGCGACATGTGAGTCGACTTCCCGGCCCACCATGACCTTGGCGAGCACCTCTTTGTAGAATTCCGGCGTCGTGAAAATCGCGTAGGCCCATTCGCACCGGAAGAGTGCCGACACCGCCCCATCCTCGGACTAGAAAGAGCATTAACAAAGAAGTGTGACAGGACACGCAAGCACTCACGTTTCTGTAGCGACGATCGAGCCAGTCCCGGAGGACGTGCTCGTGGCCCGGGCCGCTTTCATCGCACGCGGGCATGAGGCAAACCATAAATGGCTTGTAGACGTCGCATTCGTCCACCGTATTATTCAAGATGCAGTTCGCGCACCCGACAAAATCATCACCCAAAGCCGCAATGCATTTGCCGAAGAATAGCTCTTCAGGTGAATCCATCCTGCAACTGGAGCAGTATCCAATGTCACGGAAGGCTCCGGTCACAGCGACGACGAGGGCGTTGAGATATCGCCCGGGTAGGCGGTTCCGTGGCATGTTCCACCAGGAATTATCACTCTCCACGTCCGCAAAAAACGGGATGCCCACCTTGATGCCCCTGTACTGGTTGGGATTGGCGAGCGCTTCTCGCTGACGGGGCTGAGGGTGAGTTAGCCCGGCATCAGGGTTGAAATCTAGAGAACCTACCGAAAGGTATGCTGCTTCAAGCCAACGGCGGAAGTCCTGATTCCGGCCGTCGAGGTATCCGCGGGTTTCCCCTTGTCTCACAGCGTCTTCAGTCTGGAGAAACTCCGGCGCGGCCAGATACAGGTCGCGGAAGGTAGCGGTGCTATAATCCTCGATCTTCTCCATGGTTGCGGCCTGACTATTTTGTTGATGACCACTAAACTATAGCAGAAAGTCGATATGCTATTCACGGTAGGAGAAAAGGGCAACTCGTAGAAGGATGCGAGGATGGAGAAGGGTGGTGAGGTAAGGAAGTAGAATAGAAGGAGAAGATTCGGAGGGGTTATAGAGTTTTCTTAACCAGGCAAAGGCGTACGCATCTTTCTATGGCCTTCCATGGAGTAGAGGAACAAGACAATAGCAGCACATTCAAGTATGGAACAATAGAATAGGAAGCAATAGAGGCTCATACGGGCAAGACACAATAAAAACATCTGCGAGAGGGTGACAATCAAAAGACAATAGCATACGTAACAAGAATCCACAGATAAGTAATTTCATCCAGAGTTTGTATTGAATAATTTCATCTAAAGGTCATATTGATACGTTTCGAGAGCAAATACTAAATACTACAGGTGTGAGGAATGTCTCACAAGTTTATCACCATGGGTTGAGCTCCAGATTTATCTCCGGGATAACCCACCGCGCCTCCTCGCCGTGCTCATTGTCTTCATCCACCTTCAGACTCTAAGAACACCACCTCCGTAATAATTTAAGTTCGAGGCATGTATGTGGCTCTCACCATGTATCGCACTGCTCAAACAGGACTACCAGCGCCCATCTGCGTAACCTTCAGACACAACCCACCGCAGAACTAGTTCCGCTATCCAAAATTTGCTCGCTACTGTTCGCATACAAAGTACCACAAGGCAGGCATCAAGGCAAGCGTATTCTTAACGGCAGACGAGGGCGTGCGAAAGCCGCACACTGTCATCTCTCTGACCATAAGCCGTGAACGGGATATCCCTTTTGAAGATAAGTTGTGAGCGCCTTCCTCCCTTCCACTCCCAACTTTTAAACCAGGCACTTTGGACCAGGTGGTGACGAATCCGCTCCTGCACACCGCTTGTCTCGAGTCTCTTTTGCAGACCAAAGCACGTCCTTCCCTTGTCCGCAGCGCTTCCTCTTTGATCGTTTCTCCTCTCCTTTAGAAACAGATGCACTCTAATTGCTGGTTCTCTCGGTCACTGACGTCTTCTTGCAACAGGTGCTCAATTGTTTCTCTAGCGACCACGGAACGGAAGGTACGTAGTTGCGAAAGAATAGCCAAGACTCGATTCATCCTCAACTTTGCTGCCACCGCGGATCCGAGATACCACGACAAAATCTCTTCTGCCCATATTCTTCAACTTCTGTGTCATCTCCTTCGGAGCCCGGTACGCCTGGTCCAGAGACAGCAGGGAAATCCGAACCGAAGAAGGCAGTCGCTCGGTTCCAGCCTCTGTATAATGATTAATTATCTGCTGCCAAAATACAATTGACTCAGATTGACTGATACTTTGTCCAGAGAGAGCACTAAGTGAAGGAGCAAACATGTCTTCCCACCGCTTTGGCGGTGGACGCTGACATGCTCGGGACTCGCGCTTCCATCCACCGCCAGAATACATATGCGAGTTAGTGAATGATTCTCACTCACATTTCTCGCTCTTTGCACCCCTGTCTTCGTAATCAGCCGTAGCCAGATGAGCGTGAGCAATCAGTGGCAGGTTGTTGTTCTTCATGTATAACACGAAGAAGGCTTTCAGGCTATCGGCCGTGGGACCGTTTCTTTCCTCGATTGGAGGCGGCGGAGTATAGTTCATAGGAGGGTTGCACCACTGGGACGTAGGAACGAGCTTCTCGTCCTAGATGACAAAGAAGTCGTCTGTCCGTTCAGTGTTGCAGAAGAAAACCGGGAGCATCTGATTATTTCCAGGCCACTGAACTCGGCATTAAATTTTTCTTGCGACGGACGGATAAGGATGTCGAACTTCTTCACGTCTGGCCAAGCAATCAGCACATCTTTGGAGCCTCCCAAGCGAAACTGGTAAGCCCAAGGAGGTGGATCAAGCTTCCATTCGTCGGCGATGATCGTGGCCACCAAATTAGATATCTTTCCCACCCCATCTGTGAAGCGCCCTTCTCTCTCGGTATCTGCCAGCGGAATTTTCACAAGCTTCGGGATTCCAGAGACGCGTCGAGTCGACGAGAAACACTGTCCGATCCTGGCCGCGTACTTGGCGACCACGGTAATGTGGTTGAACCGACCCATCCACTTGAGGATCGTTTCGCAGGTCACGACGTTGTCAAGATCTCCATCTGGCTGGCAAAAAAGAAGGCCCATACACCTGGTCATCCCTATCACTCATGCATCCGTTGATACGGCCTTCTAGAGCCTCGTCTGTGAACTGGATCCGCATGAATCTGTCACGGTAGTCGCTGTAATGGCGAACCACCCGGTTTGTTGTCTCCACCGTTGGAGTGTTGAAGTATATTCTGGTCGGCGTGATGATTGCGTTGCGATTAAGGGCACAATGATCTGGTATATTCATGGTGGCGGGGTAGTAACTCATCGCCGCAATATCTTCAAAGAGTTCCATGGGGTTGTATATCCGTTTACTCTCTGGTCGGCAGCATACTCGAGAAGCAGGCGGGCTCAGTCCGGTGTCAGGCTGTCAGGGTCTGAGAGCGACCAACTTGTCAACGAAGTCTTGTCCCACATTTTATTCACTCAGACTACCATGTGAAAGGCAGACCTCTAGCTGATAGCGTACGTCAAAGGGAAGCTGGGCGTGTGGGCCGGAATCAAGGAAAGCGAGGCTAGCTCTATATCCTCCTTTTTTAAAGGTAAATATATTTTTAATAATATAGTAAATACTATATACTATAAATTATTAGTTAGCTAGGTAGTAATTTAAGCTATAACTTCCTTAAAAATAGTACTACTACTTTTAAAGTCTAAGAAGCTAATAGGCTCCTCCCCCTAATTTAAAGAGACTTAGTTATTACAAACCGCTTGACTGTAAAGGTCACACGTTTGTATCGTGCATTGGCACTGAAAAGGGTGAGGGGTAAGGTGAGAAGAGGCTCGGATTGAACAAAGGGCAAGCTACTATTGCACGCCGGATACAGTCACTGTTTGCTACTCAAAATGTATGAGTACAAAGAATGTGTATTGCTTGCTTGAGGAACCAAGCAAGCTCTATCTAGGACCGTGGCTACGATCATTGTATATATGTCTACTATTGGACTAATAACAACGGGTCCCGTTGGCCCGTAGTCCCGGCCCCAGATGTCCCGGGACGCTGGCCACGCGGGACACTGTCCCGCGTGTCCGAGCCCCAAACGGTCCCGAACCCCGGGCCCCGGGGACGCTCCTAATTGGCCCTTCTCACGGGACGCTCCTGATTGGTCTCCCTCAACCAAAGCGTGCCCCACTACTGTGCATTTCCACAGGGATTCGTCACACGTGGCTAGCGGTTCCGAATTTTAGGGCCCAGAATATACCAGTACATGCCTTGAGATGATACATAACGTCCCAGCTTGGAATTCGGGATGGTACATAATGTGATGGCCCGGAATTAACCAGTACATAATGCGATATCCCAGAATATACCAGTATATGCCCAGGAATGGTATACGATATCCCGGTTCAGAATTTAGGATAGTATATAATATTACATACATCTCTTGTATACCCTTTCCGCCGCTCTAGATAATGAGGGCTGCCTACTGCAAAATTAAACTGAGGCGGCCAGCTTAAACCCCTTTCGATAGGCCACACAGTTATTCTAATTGAATCAAAGCCCGAAGGTTGTCCGTCCACTAAGCTTCTAGTAAGGAATGGTCACACAATGCAAGTTAGTGAGAGTGGTTTGCCGTCACGCTTTCATCAACGGCATGGAGCCTCTTGCTGCTGTCAGCTTACTAGCAATATTCTCCAACTCGCAGATACGACAAGGAAGACGATCAGCAATGCGCGTGAGTTGTCGCGGCTAGACACTAAGGAGGAACATACCGAGCTGATGGCTGCTGCGGCGGAGGTGCAGAGCCTCTTTGCCCGCATTACGCCGACCAGCCCACACAAAGACTCCCGATGAATCTCCCCCATAAGGAGATCTGTTTTCTTTTGCAGGAAAAGTCTCTGCATTGTGACCCCTCCCTGACTCCCTAACGGTTGAGTCTCGGTGTTTGAGAGGTAACGCGCCAAGAACTCTGCCGACTCTCCTCGAGGCTCGGACGACACCACCAACGATGTCCCAACAGAGAAGGAAGACCCCTCCTAGGTCAGATAAAGATGTACAGGATGGTGAGTTTCAGCCCATTGCACGCGCAATTCATCCGTCAACGGGTATATGCTTACGAACCAAAGCTTCCTGCAGGCCGGACTGTGTCACTGGGATCAAGCCTACTTAAGAAGGGGCGGATGGAAAACTCAGGAAAGGGGGCATATTCATTACTAGTGGAGTAGAGGAGATGTTTAGTAGTTTGGCTGTCAAGAATTTAACGTCATTTTGCTCTCTCCTTTCTCTATCTATAATTTTGCGACCGCTTGATCAAGGCAGAACTCAAACTGAGCTCAGGTGGGTGAGGAAAAACTCCGAAGTGGTTCCATTTGGCAGGTCTCGAACTCAGCGCTTCTTTTAAGTTTTATTTTCTTCCACCACCATGGCTACACGGAAATGATACACCGCCTTTCCTTCCCCAGAACGAGTGTGCTGACAGTCTCTCATGGCCCTGCTGTCAACGGCGGCTGCCTAACTATACCTATACACTCCGCGCTCTTCTTATGGTGTCTGCAATTAATCCTCTTTCAGTGTAGGATCAGCTTGCCAAGCTCGCAAGCATGTCGTTAGCCACTGTAAGTAGTTTCTTGGTCTGCTCCCAGTCTTCGAGCCTTGTTGCGCAGCTGCCACAATCAAGAAGTAACGTCATCCAATCCGCCTCAGCCCCAAGAACTGCTGGGTCTAATTCGGCGTACTTTGTCGCCAACGAGACAGCGTGGGCCAAAGTCTCTTTGACCTGGAGAAGATCCTCCTTCTTAGAAGCCCTGATATCGACAGGGCTGGGTAGTGCTGCTCGCACAAAGTCTGATGCGCGTTGGAAGGCTAATCGTCCTGTGCCCGTTGTGACTGCGGTTGTTTGCTTGAATTGGTTTAAAAGGAAATCTTGAACAAATCGATGCATACGAATACTTGCGCTGACACCTTGAGGTCCCGGTGTACGGGCAATCATGCTGCTGGATAACAGCTCATTCAGAGCCTCTCTTCTGCAATACGAAGACATCTATCAGCAGGCGAGGAAAAAAAATAATTGACCAACAGGGGGGGGGGGTGGCTTGGGTTATGACCTACATCTCCAAATCATCCAAAATCCCAAAGCTTGTATTCGTGTCGGGAGAGGAACCAGTCGGGCGTTTGATCCTCTCAGAAAGTAGGATGTCTTGATCTACACCATCGGGGTCGAGAAATACCAGCATCTGTAGGAGAGCCAACGCTGGCCCACCGAGACGGGCAAGTGCGAGGGAGAGAGAATCGCTGAGCGTCTTTGAATATGCCTCACTAGCATACAAATCAACAGTACCGGCTTGGGCTTCAAAGTTGCTGTAACGTCGGAGAAACTCAGAGACCGGAGCCCCAGTTTCTATTATTTGACCTGCCACCATGGGAAGGGCGAGCGGGAGTCCGCTGAACCTGTCCACAATTTTATCCAATGCGCTATGGGCGGTCTCAGGTACCAGTGCCCGAGGACCGGCTTTGAGTAGTTGCAGGAGGAAGTCTACGCCCTCATCGTGAGTGAATGTTGGTATTTGAATATTGTTCTGCCCAGGGATGACAACTGGATCCCGTGTTGTAATTATGATCGCAGACCCCCTAGCTTTTGGTGGTTTAGGGAAGAAATCTGATAGGTCGGTTGGGTTTTCGACATTATCGAACACCAGCAGCCAAGGCGACGCTACTGAAAGATTAGACGCGGTACAAAACTTAGGTTTTAAGATAGCGGCTAAGAAACAAAGGAGTTTTACACGATAATTCCAGCCACCTCTTCACATGTCGAATGTGACTGGCCGGCTCATTCGTTGCTGTCAAGTTGAGACGGTTGTTGATGAGTGAGAATGACATCGCAATGGAGATCCGAGACTCTCCATTGATCCACCAGACCGAATCGTAGATACTCTGTTGGAAGGATGCAACTGCATATTCCTGGGCGACATATGATTTCCCGACCCCTCCAAGCCCGCTGAGGGAGCATATCGGTACTTCTGCGTCTGTTTCCCCTTTATCGAAGTAGTTCTTGATAGCGCTGAGGATGTCTCGTCGACCGTAAAAATTGGAAGGCGGGTCGAACGGAACATTGAAATATCGTTCACTTGGGACTTTCGATTCCGAAGGATCCGCTGAAAGTGGAGAAGATGATTCCTCGGGCGCGTTGACGACTTCAGCGCCGTCCTCAGGAAAAGCAGATATCCTTCGGGGCCCATCAACTCTGGCATTGGTATCGTTTCTGGCCTGAGGTTCGTCCTCTGCGGCAGAGTTCGAATCCGAGCTGTCAGTCTCGGCCGAGGGGGCAGCTCGTGCGAACGTTGAGGCTCGTTGGTAAACTGACGAGGAGGCCAGAATTACGTCAAAGGCAAACCGTACAGTGTTTTCGACATCCGGGTCGGCATCTTTCTTGCTCGACAAACTTCGGCGAGTTAAAGACATCGACTTCGCGTCCTCCCAAACTTGGCGCACAGCATCGGGTTGTCGGTCCAATGATCTATGATGAGGCTCGGTAGGTCAATATTTGCGGCCATTTTAAGAGTCAGGCTGCCAGCTGCCCAACAGTTGTTACCTACAGTTTCGTGGCAGCGAGCAATAGATGCAATGCGCTGGACAAATACTGGAGGTTCTCCAGGTGCTGCTGCATGGTGTCCTGGCTCCACACTACCTTCGCCCTCTGGCTGCGGTCTAAGAGTGATCCTGACCCCCAATTCTCCGAACCGACAATCTTGTCAAGGTCGTCTTGGAGATCCTGCACCGCTTCGACATACCCAACAAGGATGTCTTTCCAATCGGCCAAGCCCGTGATCTGGTCCGCAGCTCCAGACGACAGCCAATCTTGAATGTTTCCGGCGGCGAGCTCAACCGCCTTGCAGAAGTACTTAATGTTCCTGATTGTTTTACCGGCTTCGTTGTATTTCTGCTTGATATCGCTTAGCGCCTTTGGAACGGATATACACAAGCGAGCCAGCTGCAGGGCCACGCCTGCAACGCTCAGTGCCGAGACGGGTTCCATGGCGAATGGCCTGTATTAAGGGAAATTCTGAGGACTGCTTGGAAAAGATGCCAGCGTTGAAAAAGCTCAAGAGGACTATGATCAGCGACACGAGAAGAAGAAGCGGGGTAACTGGGTGAACTCGGGCGCCCACTAAGCGCGCACTGCTGTGCGCTTACGTAAACCAAAATGACTTATGTAATCCAGAAAATGCATCTAACGCAGCATTGCCCCGCACCACAAAGACTTGCAACATCAACACCAAGATCAATACTACAAGCACTGAAATTTAGTTAATCTGTTGTAAGAGAAGGCAGGTACGCCTGATCAAGGTGGTCAAAATGCAGGTAAGGAGGTGGGTGAGCAATGAGTGGTATTGGTGTAAGACTTCAACCTGGCCCTCGCAAAGGAAAGGGGCGAGGGCCTCTGCTTATATACATAACAGGATATAGGGCGGGCCTGTGACAAAGGAGTGAAGTCTAGGCCCGCTTCAAAGGAGTGAGTGGGTGTTGGGGTTCCTTTCTTACATTTGGGCCCAGCCATGGTACAAGCACTTCCCTCGCGAAAAGTTGCTAATTATCATCTTCTGGGCTCAGGACACTGCCCGTCGAGTCTAAACCTATTTCAGTCACTTCCCTAATTGTTTCGCGGGTGGTCGCCTGAGCAAAAGCGGCGAGGGGTGGTGTAGTCTGCAAGGGTTGAGGAGGGCAAGATTCGGGAGGCGCAACAGACTAAGGACTAGCTAAGACCAATATCTTTTTCTCATTTTCTTTGGGAGCGGGGGGCAAGGGGGCAGATTCTGGGTGAGGTGAGGGGGATTCGGTTATTTGGGTAGGGTAGGTAGAGAGGAAGTACTCAACGGCAGGCAATGCCTTCCCCTTGCTCCCAGTTGGCTAGGTACTATTCTCGCGGACATGTCGGCCAGCGTGATACTGTCCCTCCACTCACCGAGAACCAACAAAGGAAGTGCCGTGCCAGGCCGTGAGTGTTGGTTGTTGGTCGATGAATTAAGAAATAATTGGCAAGCGGCCACGCAGATTTGGTAGTTTCCTGCGTACTGTATAGTACCTGTAAATCTGCCGTTGGAGGTGTTTGAGCGCAGCTGCACAGAGTATCAGTAAGGGTACCCCAGACGTGTGCTTGATGACGTGATCGAACGACCGACGAGGACGAGTTAAAGTCCTCAAAGTACTTGGATGCCTGGCGGCCCGGGGTGAACGGATTAGGTAAATGCCCGGGGTTAAAAACTACGCCCTACCGAGACTCGCTTGCGAGACGGTACGCCGCAGCACGGCCGTTTAGCGTCACGCTGATAGTAAAAACTGAAACGTCGGGTGCATTCAATTTTTGTAAGATAATTATCGTATTGGTAATTTACCCATACAGACATGACCTGTCTTAGCGAGACATCAAGATGCCTGCCTCCCTTTGGTTGGCCGAAGAGAATATTGGGGTTCAGGTTCAACATGTACCTTAAGTAAGGTAGGTGAGGTATGTACATTACACATTAGGCAGGTCTTGCCCCGCAGAAGCAAGTAATTTTTCGCCAGCGACATCCATATTCCCGATTTTCTTTGTTCTCCTCAATCTGCTAACGTGTGTGATAAGCGAGATGAACAGACAAGCGAGTTGAACACTTTTGACGCGACGCGCCTCCTCTCTACAAAACACCAAATTCCTCAACAAACTCAAATGTCTCTTCCTTCATACGAAGCTAGGGTAAATTTGGCCCTCAGGGCTATTCAAAACGACCCAAAACTCAGTATTCGAGCTGCAGCAACAACATATCAAGTCACGGTAAATACTATACGCAACCGACGCGACGGCAAACCTGCACGACGTGATACTCCAGCCAATTCGCGTAAGCTTACGGATTTGGAAGAGAAAACGATTGTTCAGTACATCATTGAGCTATGTGCGCGCGCATTTCATCCCCGGCTTTCGTACGTAGAAGATATGGCCAATCGATTGCTACGCGAACGCGACGCGCCCTCTGTCGGTACACGCTGGGCTCACAACTTCGTCAAGCGCCAGCCAGAACTTCGGACGCGTTTTACGCGTAAATACGACTACCAGAGGGCCAAATGCGAAGATCCAAAAGTTATTCGCGAGTGGTTTGCGCTTGTGCACAACACGAAGGCCAAGTACGGTATCCTTGACGAAGATTTGTACAATTTCGACGAGACCGGCTTTATGATGGGCATTATCATCCCCGCTATGGTAGTTACTACCTCTGATGGCCGTGGTAGGGCTAAGCAAGCCCAGCCTGGTAATCGAGAGTGGGCTACAGTCATCCAAGGAGTGAATGCTCTAGGCTGGACTATCCCACCATTCATTATCTTAGCTGGGCAATATCACCTTGCTAACTGGTATCAAGAGTGCAACCTTCCGGGTACCTGGCGTATCGCAACAACCGACAATGGCTGGACTACTAATGAGAAAGGCATGGATTGGATTCGGCACTTCGATTTCCACACAGCATCTCGTACGAAGGGAATATACCGACTGTTAATTCTCGACGGCCACGATAGCCACCACTCCGAAGAATTCGAGACTTACTGCCGGGAGCACAACATCATCACACTCTGTATGCCTCCGCACTCTTCACACCTACTTCAGCCATTGGATGTTGGTTGCTTTGGGCCGTTGAAGAAGGCGTACGGCTGTCAGATTGAGCAGCTGATGCGGATGAACATCACACATATTAGCAAGCTGGAGTTTCTTTGTGGGTTTAGAGAGGCGTTTTTTGCTTCGGTTACGGAAAGGAATATCCAGGGGGGGTTTGCTGGAGCCGGCCTTGTGCCGTACGATCCAGAGAGGGTGATATCCAAGCTGGATGTGCGTATTCGGACTCCAACACCCCCAGCTACAAGCCCAACTACATCGCTACCTTGGGTCTCCCAAACGCCACAAAACCCGAGAGAGGCTGCCTCACAGTCAGCGTTCATCAAAACTCGAATTTCCAACCATCAGGGCAGCTCTCCAACACCAATGCTGACTGCTGTGGATCGATTAGCTAAAGGTACGATGGCTATGATGCACGAGGTGGCTCTTTTGCGTACAGAGGTCTCAGCACTTCGGAAGGCCAATGAGGGGCTTAGTAAGCGACGGAGAGCCAAGAAAACACGTGTTCGGCTTGGAGGATCACTTACTGTACAAGAGGCACAGGATCTACTGGATCAGAAGGCTGTGGGTGGGCAGTTGGTCCAGGAAACACGACAAAATGGTGGTGGTGCAGGGGGGTCTCGTACGAAGATTCGATGCTGTGGCGTATGCGGCAAGCCTGGCCATAATGCACGTACGTGCAAGGAGGCTGCAGAATCGTCTGATTCATCTGTTTCCGATTCAGTTATTGTTATTTCCTAGTGTTGTGGTTGTGTAATTGAGGGTAGTTGTGGTGAGGTTGTGGAAATTGTTCAACTCGCTTGTCTGTTCATCTCGCTTATCACACACGTTACCTTTGTGACTTTGTGTTCTCCAATCCAAGACTCATCCACGCACCGCACCCTCACGCACTTTCAACCACCACGATCAGTTTTTTTTCCGGGTATTACCTGCGTGAAGGTTTTCCTTGACCATAGCCCATTGTGTCCTCTTCCTGTAAGCCCTCGCTCCGTCTTCCGTGGTGCTCCCGGCCACTAATTAATTTGCTCATGGTGCCAAATTATCCTGTGAACTAATGTTCCCATTTCTCCAGCCCTCAAATCGACACAGCCACTTTCCAGTGCCCTGAAAGACTTCAAAGGAGATTGGTGCGACGCGAATGTGCTTAATACTGGGTTCAAGGAAGTGAATCTTGCTTGGGAATCGGAAGACGAGTCGAAGATCAAGATCCATTAGCGCAACAGTTGGCCCGTAAACTATGTGCCCGACGCTGCGCCAAAGAAGGAGGGCAGCCCGTCCACATCCTTCGGCTACAGTGGCGTATGGTACAAGATATCATCCAGCACAATGAGCGGTCCCGGTTCCTCAGCAAGTAGTATCAAATCATCGTCGGGCTCGGATTCGGAAAAATCCTCTGGGAAATCTAGTGATAAATCAGATTCTCTTGGAGGAAATCCCACCCAGGTATACACCGCCACTTCGGCTGGTTCCACCGAACACGAGCTGCCTTACTTTGGTCAGATGGTTGCTCCAGTTGGCCAGATATATATTGGCAACCACACATCTGAATACTGGCTTGTGATTGAGGAGCACCGTAGACTCGGATTGGTATGGCTCAAGGATGCGGGAGAAGACAACGCTTCGCTTGAAGAGCTCGTTTTTGACTTGGGGGAGAAGAACATCACCATGGTTGGCCTACTGGGCCCAAACCTAGAGGCTATTTACAAGTGGGTACATGTGGACAACTGCAAAACGATGGAATGGACGCAGTTCTTCGACGCCTTTTCCAAGGGACTCAAAAACAGAAAAGTTCACTTTCACGAGGTTTTCATCGATGAAGTCGGGAAAATCAAGACCAGGGCCAAAGAGAACCACGATTCGAAAAGGGCGCTGCCGGCCTAAGGCGTTGATTGGTGGCGGCTTGAGTTGATGACACCCCGTGTTTTGCTCCAACCTGCTCTCATATCGACCTCAGAACATAGCAGGCCGTGTCCGAAAGAATGGGTAGGAATACCCAAGAGAGCACAGGTTTCGGTGCCTATTTTGTATTGACGAGAACTTTTTTTTTCGGCTTTATGCTAATTGTTTAATGCGTGTTTTGCTTTTAGAAAAAGATGGACTTGGTTTCTTTAGCTAAGTATACTGTGCCCTGTCAAGCGTAGCTCCCTATAACTTATAAACCGTGATGACGTACGTAATAGTAACGGGGAACTGACGGCGAGAGTAGGCCGCACTACCGCTCTGGAAGTCCCGCAAGGACTGGAAGATCGGTACCATATTTCTCGGAATAGCCTCATCGTTAGGGAAGTAAGCCGGGCCGTTATACTTGTCCGTCTTGATAAGTAGAATAAAGGGAACCTCGCGGCGAGGGTCTTCCATATCGGCAGCCCAAGCGATGTCATAAAACTTCGGAAGTAAGGACTCTGCCCAGCTAAACTTCAGAATAACGGATTTATAGCTATTCTAGCCCCTTAATACTATAACAAATTCTCATGATAATTCGATGTTTCGATGTTCATGGCCTAATTATTGGATTTCTAGGGGGCTTGCCCCCTAGGACCCCTATTGCCTGCGACGCTCTTGGCCTGCGGCGCTTGGAGCCTGCGGCACTTTCCTTCAACAGCTTACGCGTTATATCTACTAATTGGGAAATTGCTCCTTCCTGACACACACCCACGACACAGTGAAGCGGCATTTCACGGCTTAAGCTGTCCGAGGTTCATCCGATCGACCAGTCCCTCGAGTCCATTTCGACACGGACGAAACTGGCCAATCGCTGTAAGAGAAACTTTCGGCACCCTCACGGTAATATAGAATACAGCCTCTCTACGCCACCTCCGGCTCGCAAGCTCGCCTACGGTGGCTCCGTTCAGCTGAATTAGTCCAATTTCGTAATCATCACTCGGACTGTCAGCTAAACACGCAAGTGCTTCTGCTGCACATTGCTAGCTGGTCTGGAGACGTCATCTGTTGCCTAACTGCCACCAAGTCCATATCGACAATTTGTTACGTAACTAGGCCTAATTAGGCCACATGTTCTCTAAGCGAGGATCTACGCCCACACAGGCCTAGTGCTTGCATGTTAGAAAGGAGCATTATTTCCTATAGGAAGTAGGGCCTTTCGCTCTGCTTCCTTCCTTCCACAATCCATCAATTGAATGCACCTATTTGACTGCTTGTGTGCAACAACAAGTACTTCTTGTCACGGTCGCCACAGGGCTCATGTGACAGGATTGATTCTATTGGCTGCATTGTGCTTAGGGTGTGGCCTGTGCGCACTGAGCACCACTACCTAACGTGCCAATGCCTTGTGCACCTAGATGCTAGTTTACACAACAGGCACATCATCCTTAAAACTACGTCAGCTCACGGGTCACAGAATTTTCGACGCCAGCTAGCACACGCCGGACTTCAACTTAGCTGTGGCGCAACAAGTGGGTGGAGTGCGAAACTTGTTTAGGTTTCAGGTTTCCGTCGGTGAGTACAGGAACGCAAAGCAATGGTCCAGTCCAGCCTTGCCAGACGCGGCGCAGCCCGAGCCCAAGAGCCAGCCGGGTGTGGTATTTTCTCATTACTGTACTGGATGGGTGTGTTATGGTTTAATGCGGTACGGTAATCATGATAATCATTCGGGCATTTCCCATTTAACGTCGCCGTCGCCGCCGCCGCCGCCACGACTGCCATGGATGGCTGAAGCCCGTTGATCTCTGGTCCAAGGAGTCGCGGGTAGAGCGGACCCGCCACGTACCAATGTTGGGCGTCAACGCCGCGGCCATCACCCAGCTGGCAGAGGTGACATGCAAAGCCGTTGGGGTACTCGTCAGAATGAGGAAGAGAGAAGGCGAATTCAGGAGGATGACCCCAGCACAAAAGGCAGACGACATTGCGAGAATCAGAAAAGAGAGCGGTGTGGAGTTCCGGGCCGCGACCCCGACCTACTTTAACTACAGCAACGAGGTTGCCGTGGCCCTCGCTTGCCCGTCGTTCGAGTACATTTCGCGCTGTGCGCGCTGCTTCTACGTCGCCAACTACAAGATCACGGGGGACCCAGGCCAGGCCACTGCAGAGGAGGCGTACCTGCGCGAAAACGAATGGAACTTCAACTACGGCCCGTGGGACTGTGCCGAGAGCTTCGAGCACTGCCACTGCACGTATAACAGAACGGTTACTGGCGGTGTTGTTCGACACCTTCTACCTTGCGTGAGCAGACCGGGACAAGGGAGTTTGTGCCTAAGATTACCTGCCAACAGCATGAAAGAATGATCATCACAAAGACCTTGGATAGTTATAGCAGCCACAATAAAAGCAGTGAATCTAAGATGAAGTCGGCTCTTTATCATTATCCCTTACCTAAGCGCTTGTCATATTGCGTTTGAAGCGAAACTTGCCATTTTTCTCTTGCCCCTTGTCAATGCTCCAATTATACTTGCTGCCCCCCCCCCCCCCCCCCTGCGCCCTTCTCGTCACTCTCCCTGTATTTCTTGCCTTTATCTTTTGGTATTTGTATTGCTGCTATTGTCGACATTGTCACTTGTTCCGAACGGGTTTGGCTGTTTTTTTGGTTCACCTTGCCCTTGCTTCCCAGACTTTGCCTTCTCGCCATTTCCCCCACTCCCTGGTCTTGGCGGGCTGGCATTTCCAGGTTGGTTTCGCGTATTCGGGCTGGGATTCTGGTTCTGCTTTTGGCGTTGGTCTTGATTTCGACCGGACTTCTGGTTCTGATCCTGCCTTTGAGATTTTTCTCCACTTTTGTTCTTCTTCTTTTCGTACTTGGGTTCAACAACCGACTGCTTCTCTTGAACATCTGATTTTGGCTTCCATTGGGTACTCTCGGCCCAACCCTCATCCAAATCCGTATCATCCTGGTCGTTCGTCATTCCATTATTGGATTTTGGGAATTTCTCGGGCGTGGGCATGATGAATGGAACAACTGCCTGTGGGTTGTGCCCGAGAAGTGAACCGGCAGCATAATATCCGGAGAAATCCATGGCATCGAACTTTGATAATGCCAATTTTTTTGTCTTGTTGTGAAGCCAAGAGTTTGAGGGGATCTCTGGGCGCAGAAACCACAGGCATTTCTCCATAGAATAGCGCGTCGAGGGGTTTTGGTCGAGCATTCCAGACACCATGATACAGAACGTGTCAGGTATTTGAGTCTGGTTGTTGGGATTCAGGCCAAAAGTCTCGCCGAGTTTCATCACAAAGTCCCCATCGTCTGCTGGAATCGAGCCTGCCAGCGCCATACTGGCAAGTGTCCATCCAAGCGACCACACGTCGCACTTATCGGCAAGTGACACATCTGTGGGGATATCGCAGTCGTCTCGCAACTCGGGAGGTATATATCTTCGTTCAGCACGAACCTTCAGGCCCTTGAACTTGAAGTTTGACTTTCGTACGGCACGGCTAAAATTGGCCAGCTTGCAGGTAAGACGCGGAGCTAAGCTTGTGACGAGGATGTTTTCGGGGTGCACGTCGAAATGGGCTATCCCACCCTGGTGGTGCAGAAATGTGAGCGCATCAACCATCTGGAAGCTCAGCGCCAGCAAGTCTTCTCTGAGATTATGTTGGGTCCGTCTGATATGGTCGCTACTAAGGTGGCGGTATTGGCACCATTCCAATATCATGTAGCCCTCACTGAGGCAGATATCTTGGAAGGCGACAATGTGGTCGTGTTTTAACTTGGACAAGATCCTAGCTTCGTTTTCCTGGACATCAAATCTGAATTGGGCCGTTTGCGCTACATTATCAGGTCTTGGAAGCTTTTTGCAGGCAAAAACTTTGCCTTTGCTGTTGAAAGCAACGGTTACACCACTCATTTCCCCAAATTCGTCGCGAAGTACGTCTCCCGGGGAGCAGCTTACCTGGTAAGAGTCCTCGACCCCATGACAGTATTCCACTTGAATACCCATGGTTCTTTTGCCAGGTGAATTCGTGATATTGTGGGAGTATCGGTGTACAAAGGGTTTCCATTTGCAAGCGTCGTTTTTTGCTGTCGCAATGAAGATTGTGGGAAGCAAACCCTTATAAGGAGTCGAGTTGTAAAGAACAATAGAACATTGTCCTATTTATATAGGACAGTGGGCAAGAAAGCTTATAAAGAAAACTTACTTTTTATTATTAGCATAACTGGGCACTGCTCTTTCCGGCTTTGTCTGCAACAAAGGGTGCTAGAATGGGAGATTGATCACAAGAAATCATAAATGTAATAGGTACGGGGATTTTGGCGTCCCGCCTTCCAAGTGGAAGGTTAGTGCGGGGTAAGCCGTCCTCTGACACGGTAAGCGCTAATTGCTAACCTAGATCTTGGGGAAGCCTCCAACAAGCTAACCTACATCTTGGGGAAGCCTCCAACAAACTAGGCATGTCACTGTTGATGTGTATTCCTACGCGGGGGAGTTGTAATCCTGTAGTTTGAAAGGGTTCTCTACCATAAGGATTTTTGCCATACCGTGGTTTCAACCTGGGCCCTGGATAGCTACGGCTTTAGCTAGCTAGAGCTATAGATGGCAATTATGAGGCCGCCTCTTACGAGGCGGGATAATACCCCTAGCAGAACGGGCTCACAACGATGTGCGATATAGGTATTTTTTTTTCCCCTTTCGTCTGTTCGATGAGGCTCTGTTCATGGAGGGACATGCACAGTTAGATTTATCACAAAATTGAAACGGCTCATACCCATCATCAGGTACACATAATGCACGAAGTACACCTCTACTAGAGCGGGGCCGTAGTATAACTTCATAAATATAGAACAGCAACACGACGGGACGTGTCCCATCCAAGCGAGACAATATAGCTAGCATAGGCCGAATTGTCAAATGTTGTGGTAAAGAAAGTATCCAATTGCCTAGCCCCTAGATCACGTCCAGAAGAATTAGGTGGACAGACGTGGGCAGACAAGGTGGTCAGATAAGGTAGGCAGACAAAGTGGGCAGATAAGTTGAACTGGAATCACCATCTGACGGCGGGCTTCTGATATCATGGCAGTGATTGGCCTGACGACCCCGCCCTCAGCCCTATCCATGTAGCTGCTCCACTCGCTCGTTGCAACCATCCTCTCGGACTCAGGAAAGTCTTGTTTTCCTACCTACAAAGTTGTCAGGCGGTACTAATACAAGCTCGAGAGGACGGCTTTGCCCTGCCGCTACCTTAGCCTCTGATCTGTCTCTCCTACCTTCCGTCCTCGAACAGTGTTCAGGAGACCGATAACGAGATTCGTCTAGTGCTCAATTCTACCGACTATAGCCTCGTGGTGGTTACGGAAACGCCGTCACCCGCTAAATAGGGCATTCCGACGACGTCCACGGCTAGCTGAAAAGTAGCTTGAACTTTGAAGAGAGCTGTGCCGGAGCTGATGGGCATCTGCAAGCTTTCGGTCGGCCATTCAAAGCTGCCGAGATGCTTCTCTATTACGGGATGAGATGTGGTCGACATATCTCCCCACTGTCTATAAAGGGGCTCTCCTCGTCGGTTAAAAACAATACCAGAACAGTATCACAACAAGCACCTCGCCTAGACTTGATTCTTTGCTAAACTACTTGCCCAGGTACCTATCTGCCGGTACCTATCTGCCCGTCTCACATTCATCACATTTTGCATGCCACTTCATTTTTAAGGGTTGCCTCCAAACCACGACACAGCCACCATGCCTGCCGACACGCGCACCCTCAACTGGTACGAGAACCGTGATGATACGGCGGCCATCAAGGCCAACAACTGGAGAATTCAGATAGCCAAGCTCGTGGCGATATCGCCCAGCAGTACTCCGACATACAACATCGTCTGGCAGTCGAAAGGGGTTGCGCCGTCGACGGCTATCTCGTGGAAGGTGCAGTACGCGCTGGGCTGGACAGTGGACCCCCCTGATACCGGCATGACGGTTCAAATCACCGGAGAGTGGCAGCCGTGCAACCTGGACGAGTCCTACAACGTCGACGAGAATGGCTTCTGGGTCGTGAGTGACCGGACCAAGCACCCGAAACAGGAGCTGGCACCCCTGCCGGACTGGCTCAACGTCGGCTACATCGACTACATGTCGGCTACATCGGCTACTCGTACCCCGAAATCCAAGGCATCCACATTGTCGTCGGCGTGTAGAATATCCGAACGGCCAGCTACGAGCCCATCTTCATTGACCCGACCACCTTGCCGCTGGGTGCGGCGGGGCAGTACAAGCCCCATGAGATGACGAGCTGGTGGCTCGGGGCAGGCGACCTGACGGGCCAGGTCATCTACAACACCCAGTCCTTGTCGATGACTTGGGACTTTGGCATCCCCAGCGACCCCCTTACTCAGACGTATGATTACTCGACCTCGTACCTCACGACGACCACAGCCCAGCAGTGGGTCATCTCCAAGGGAAAACCTCCTGCCTACGTCAAGGCACCACCTCCCTCGGCTCGGCTGGCGGCTCTGACCCTCGGTGGCAGCCCGCCCCTCCTTGTCGAGATCGACCCCGAGACGTGGAACGTGATCTTCAAGAATTTCCTGGCGCCCGCCGCCCTGGCTGTGGTCGCTTCCGCCCTCGCGAGCATGCTCAAGTTCCAACTCCAGGACGCCAAGGTCACGTTCAAAGAAATCACGGGAACAAGCACCCTCACGATCAAATACAAGGCCAAAAAGGATTTCTACCTGCTCAGCGAGACTTCCAACCCCAAAGACGTGATCAACAGCGACCTCCTGGAACTCCAGGGCCAGAACACCATCCACACCGACGAGTCGTGGACCATCCAGTCCAGCTTGAGAGCATTGTCAGCGGCGGCGCATCATCGGGTGATGATCCGGCTACGACCCCTGCCAAACACCATCATCCCCACGCCGGACAGAACGGCTACGGGGCTGACGCCGGGCGTGAGCAGCTGGCCGTGTTCGGCAAGGAGGCCTCTGTTCAGAACGTCCAGAGCGGAGTTGCTGCCTGAGTGGTGTTACTCTCGCTACATTGAGGGCAGCATGGCAACGGCCCTGCGTTGTGTCAAGATGGTGCAGATGGTGCATTTCTTTTCCCTTTTTCTTTTTCTTTCACCGGCAAACGCTCGTTCCCTCCTGGTATGGTAACTTCCTTGACGTTTTTTCTTACTTCAAAAGTCTTTCGTTCAAGCTTCCTCACCCGTGTTTCGTTGTTCTGGCTCGTATTTTGATGTATTCCTTTGTTCGTGTGCGTGTGCCAAATAGGACAGTTGTTGCGGGGCTTAGCCCCAGCTGGTAGGTGCATGGGCTGCAGGCCCGTGCATGGGTTCTCGCCCACACATTTAGTACGGGGATTTTCCCCTCCTAGAATTAGCTACCCAATGCACATCACACATTGTCAACCCAACAACAGTGCCGAAGTAGTCCAAATTGCTGGGCAAGGGATGGTTATGTCTTGCAAGTTCATCACACAGTCGTTCCCGTAATTAACTAGCTCCTGAGTAATCTAACAGATCACATGTCCATTGCATCACGTATGTCGGTCCAAGGTAATTATGCAACCATCGGCCTTTGGGACTAGGGCAACATTGCTTTCATTTCACCATACTGCTAATTACCTACCTATCCAAGAGGTAATCGACTTGACCCTTGACGAAACTTGAACTTGTAAGCTGCACTTGGTCCTATATGGAATTCGTCGCAAAACGAGGGGGGGGTAGCGGCGGCCGGGAAATTCCACAGCGGCTAGAGGCCTTTAACAGTTCTGGATCTATGTCTATGGTATCTATATCTTTAACTAAATCAGTCTACGACTCAACGCGGAGTTCCGGTTCTAGGACCAGTAGATTCAATAGATAATTATTACGCCAGGGACGGTTTCAAAGCTATCTCCGCAGTATTGCAAGCTACGTGTGCGAGGCAAGAAGCTTGCCTTAATACAATCTTATTAGGGAAGTCTTAACAGTAGGAGTTGTTATAATTGGTCACAGGGCGTTTTCAGGCTCGACAAGTGATTACCTCGGCTGATCTGCCGAGCGGTTGTAAGAGCTCCTATAGTACGGGTACGAGGTACATAACGCAACGCCGCACCAACCCTAGCCCCCGCAGAGGTTCCGAACGCCTTCGACTCCAATGTCATCGCCCCTGTCGCCAGACGCCGTTGTTGCCATTGCCATTGGCGTTCCGTCGTGGCCATCCTGTTGCTGTGAGTGGCGTACCTGACTTTCGTCATACCATGTGCCCGCAGCAGTCTCGCCGAGCCCGGCAAGACAGTCGCCTGTAGCCGGCTGCGGTTGACCCAGCTTGGCACTCGCTACCGGACCGGCCGACAGGACCGCATACCGTCAGGCTGCGGTCTCCCGGGTCAACTCTCACCACTGGCTGTTGCCATGGCTGACTGCAAATATTTTTCTTCATGGTATATCTCTCTCAAGAACCACGTCGTCGGTTGCCACTGTGCGTTGCTGACTTGCCAAAGCTGTTTCCATTCCGACGAACAGTATCCACGTGTGCTTTCAACGGACGTGTTTTTCAATGCACGTGTTTTTCAATGGACCTGTTTTTCAATGGGCGTGTTTTTTAATGGACGTGTTTTTTCAATGCACGTGTTTTTTCAGTGGACGTGTTTTTTTCAGTGGACGTGTTTGGGCGGGCCTGAGCGTCGGTGCAATACTGCTTTTGGGATCCATTTTGTGTCGGACTCTTGGACTCGCGGTTGGTGGACAGAAGCGGTGATTTTAACGGCGAGATATTTTTGCTTGCGTTTCAAATCTAATTACAGGTCATTGGTGACGCAATCTCACAAGTCTCCTCGACCGACAGTCGGGAATTGTGTCTTGAAAATGCAAACCACAGAAACAACTTTCGGCGTGCCTCCGACAAATATAACCCGGTCCCTCGTACATGTGCCTCATTTTCCCCTTTGGCCCAACAACATCGCCCACAGCCAAAACACTAGTAATTATCGGCCGGGCACCTGGGTCAGTACACCGCCGTCAACAACCAAGATCTCGCCATTAACATAGCGGTTCTTGGCCAGGAACAGGCACGCCTGGGCCATCTCCTCGTCGCTGCCGGCGCGGGCGGCGGGGATGGGGTGGCCCTTGCCCTGCACGATATCGTCGGACAAGTAGCTCTTGCCGCGGGCGTCGCTGTCCGACATGGTCATCTCACTGGGGAAGTATCCGGGCGCGATCGAGTTGACGCGGATGCCCGTCTTGTCGAACTCGGTGGCCATGAGCTTGGTCAGGTGCACCGTGGCGCCCTTGGCCGCGTTGTACGAAAAGTGGCCCTGCGACCCGCGCATCAGCCCGCTCATGGAGGAGATCACGATGACGTTGGCCCCCATCCACAGGTGGCGCGGGGATCCGCTTGCAGTCGCGTGCTGCTGCTGCTGGGCGGGCCGCGTCGACGCCGCCTGCAGCAGCGGCAGGAACGCGACCGTCGTGAAGTAAACAGAGGTCACGTTGGTCCGGAACACGCCGTCCCACTCGCTCGGCTCCTCCTTCTCCCACAGCCGCGCCCGCAGCTGCGTCGCGTCAGAGAGGTCTGGCACTGCTTTCGGCCCGGATATCCCGGCGTTGCACACCAGCACGTTGAGATGGTCCTCCCGCGATTCCAGCTCCTTGCACAGCTTCTCGAGGTCCGCCTTGGAAGTGACGTCGCATGGGCCAATGCTTTGCTCTGTTAGACTCAATACTCGTTTGCATGGTGAATAGAGGGGGCAGCTTACGGGATGATCTGGCCCGGTCCGTCGTGGGGAGAGTGGGCGACGGCAGCGCTGTCAAGAACGTGCTTTCTTCGGCCCGCGATATATACCCTGGCCCCTATGTCTGGCTTTCAGCGTCTATGACGGACGTCGAGATCAACGAGTCGGGTAGGCACTCACCGTTGGCAGCCAGCGCCTGAGCGCACATCAGGCCAATCCCCGTGCCGCCTCCCGTGACGAGGCAGACCCAGCCCTCAACCGAGAAGATGCGTTCGGCTTTGAGCAGCTGTGTGTCAACATTTTGGGCCATCTTACTGGGGTGAGTGTGGTGGGTCAGATCTTGGATTATCGAGCCGTTGGACGTGGAGTTTGACAACATAAAGGGCTTCCAAGGGCTGTTTTGTCTGGGGCCTGGGCTGACTTAGATAGGCGAAGCCGAATTATACTTTCGGAAGTCCGCAACCGTTTCGTCATCGAACGCCACCGAGTCGCGAAATCGAGAGCAATGCAAGCGTGGGGACTACGTTGAATTAGGTTCCAGCTAATAAACGGTTGTCCAAGCCGACCAGTCTCTATCCATGAATATGTCCGTCGTGAGCAACTACGCTCCCTCCCCCTACTATACAACATGATCGAACAGCAACCCATCTTTCTTATCGTCTTGAGCACATACATCGCGTGGTATGGTATTGTCTGCCGCCTTGGATTCTAGCAGCCCGTTCCACAAAATGCACGTGTTGCATCAAGGAAGAACCTTGCAGTTGGCTTGTGAGAGTTGTCCAGATTGATCGGGGCAGAGAGTCGTCCAGATTAGTCGGGGCAGGCATGGCAGAGACGGTTGTCCGATTTATCCGGTGCGCCGGAATGTCTGGTGCAACCCGATCATCTCGCCGAGTCTTTGCAACGGCCCGTGCTGGTACTTGCCGCGGCCATGCTAATTGGGGCTGGAGGGGAAAAACGCATGTGCCGCTGCCGTCCTGGTCCGCATCTCTGGCCTTGCGGGGAATAGGCTATTCAATTCCGAGGTTCAAAGCCTGATGCTATATATATCTCCTCCCTTCTCCTTACTTTTAATCAGTCAAATGACGCGTTCTGCCTCCTTCAATTGCCTAGATCCGTCAAGCCATCGAGTTTCAGCCAACAAAACATATCAACATCTCCAACCATGGCCGACTCCAAGTCAACTCCCGAGGATCCTCCCCCCGCTCCCCACCGCTACACCACGACGCACGATGCCGTCTCGGGCAAGTCCATCTTCTCGCCATCACTCCCAGAGACAGTGGGAGGATACGGGTCGATCGGCATGCAGGTGTTCGACAGCTACAAGACCTTCTCATCGCCGCTCGACATGTCAGACGACGCCGACATCGCAGCCCTGAAATCTGACGTCGCGCGGGCGTCAGACGTCGCGCCGAGCTCCGTGTGGTTCCCCGCGCCCGGTGAGTCGCTGCTGCGGTACTGCGACTGGGCCCCTGGCGCCACCCTCGACCTGCACCGCACCGAGACGATCGACTTCGGCGTCGTCCTGCAGGGCGCCATGGAGCTGACGCTCGACTCGGGCGAGGTCCGTGTCCTCCGCGTCGGCGACACCATCGTCCAGCGTGGCACCCTGCATTCCTGGCGCAATCCGAGCGACACCGTTTGGGCCCGTGTCATCTTCTTTCTGCTGGGGACTCCGCCGGTGAGGGTAGATGGCGAGGAGAAGACTGAACATCTTCCTTGGAAGAATTGACCAGCTTGAGGTAAATTGATTGTTGCACTGCTCGGGAAGCTTGGCTATTGTCTCGGTGTGAAGCTTGCTCCGGTCCGTTGGGCTTGATCAGCTCAACAAGAGTGGTCAAACTTCGCACAATAGGGACCCATATCATCCGTCTCAGTATCTTCGACCCTGAATTCGTCCTGCTGGCTGTTCCCGTCGATCAGCTCCAAAATTCGGTCCTTCCTTTTGTAGCCGTCATGAAACCACTCGCTGACCCACTGTCGGAGTGTGAAATGTTTGTCCTGCCACCGAAAATCTGCGGCAGATAAAGTTTGGCCCCTCGCGGACAGCTTGCGCCGCTCCTTTCCGAGTGCCATATTTAAAACGCAAACATCATTAGATGTAAAATAGACGTAGAAATAGGGATCAGCTCCAAAGTTCAAAAAGGTTTCCAAATCGGCGCCCGCATGATTCATCACCGCAACTCCGACTTCGGCCGACCTAATCATAACCAGAATAAGGAATTGGTGCCATATTGTTTGGTATTAACGCGTGGAGGGAAGGGTGTAGATGACCAGGGGTTGAGTCATTGCCGAAGAAAACGGCAAATTAATTGGACAACGGGTGTGCAGCATAATTAGAGAGGGCTTCGCGATAAAGAACGTCACTACCCAAACTAAGCAACAAATTCTATTTCAACTAGAATATTTGGATGCTGAGATTTTCCAATAACAAATTGCCGTATACAATATGCTCTGTCACCATCGAAAACTCGTCCGACGCGTGTTTCCCGTGGAAAACATTGAGTCCGCGGGTCTTCAGAGTGACAAGAGACTCTTCTTTTTCCGCACAGTGGGAAAATCGTGAGGCGAAACGTCGTACAGTCTCTGGGAGCTAGCCCGCCGACTGTCCATCGATCAAGGAGAGCAGCTGCCCTATGTTCTGAGGCTGGATGTCCCGAACAAACCCTTCTATGGTTCTGAAGTGCGTGATTGGTGGTTCTCCCGGCCTGTCGTGTCCGTCTTGGCGGGTTCTCGGGCGCATAATGAACGCACAGTTATTAGCGTCGATCTTGTCCGAGTCCAGAAGTATCTCCAATATATCGAAAGGCACGACTGAGTGTCGGAATCTTGCCATCATGGATCCTGCTGCAGCAAGCCAAACAGGGATGAGCTGACGGCCGCCTCGTTGAACCCTGATGGAGTCTGTCGGAGATGCTCCTTTTTTTATCAGCTCCAAAAACTAGACCCTTGTGGTGCCCGAGAGCCGCGGCGAGGAGTAGGTGCATATTCCCGTCGCCCTTGAGAAGTTCTGGCCGCTCCGCAACTTTGTGCAGGACATATTCGTCTTGGCCAAAGAAGGCCGCCATGTGAACAAACGATAGTCGCTCCTTAAGAGGACAAGAATAACCGCCGAGTTCAATCCTGAGGCCATGACAAACCTTGTCGTCGTCTTCACTACCCTCAAGCACGCAGCGAAAGCCTTCGAGGAGAGTGAGCGGGATCGTGGGCCAATTCCATGTAATGACGGCTGTTTGCCACCGCCCGATCGTCTTTTCACCCATCATACGAGATTTAAAGCAATAGGCGCGGAAGCGTTCTAATTAATTAAAGGCTGGTGCCCTGGATTTTCGACATTCGTATCGTCCATAGTCTAACGACCGTAATAAGGCACAGATTCTAAGCCGGCATTGTTGAGCTACGCCGCCCATGATCTCTTAAACAAATACAAACCCAACAAGGCCGAGAAAGAGAATGCGCGCCAAGCTGAAATTTTTGGCGGATCTTCCCCTGTACGATGAGAAGAAGCCGTCCACACTGTACGGATTTCCCGATCATATCCAACCAATTTCCAATTGCGAGTACGAGGTCCATGATGGCTTGATGATCCAGGACACGAGAGGCCACGAGCAGGAGTACCATCTAGATGAACACGGGTTCGAGTTCCACCACTGGCCGTCGAAATGCGACCTAAGTGCTGCGGTCTTTGAGTCTAATGGAAACAGGGAGGAGGTCTGGAGATACCTGAAAGAAACCATCACTCTCACTGAGTTGGTGCTACAGGCTCCGAAAGCTATGTGCTTCGACTGGGGGGTACGCCTTCTTCCCGTCTGCAGAGAAAGCCCACTTCGAGATACTGGCAACTAATGAACTTCAACAGCTTCGCAGGACCAACGCAGATTGTGAAATTAGAGGTCAGTTGGATAACCTGGGAGACGCGCGATACAGGGCGCTGCCTCCCACCAACCTCATGCACTGCGGTACGTGTAGGGTAATTCCTAGGCTTTATTCAAGTCTCGTTTTCTCGTTTAGTAACCGTTTGTTAGACTACTCGTACGATGGGGGACTCGAAACACTGAAAATCCATCTCTCGCCTTATGAGATTTCGGAAGGGAGGTGCAAGGCTAAGATCATTAAGTAAGGGTGTGGTTTGCCCCGTAATGCCGCCTCGAAGCGTGCAGAGCTCTAACTCGATGAATCCCAGCGTCTGGAGGCCCATGCAAACTGTTTGCTGCTCTCCTTTGGTGCTGTGCGACCGACGAACAGTCCATCCAAAGGCCAACGACATCGTCGACGTTGACCAAGTTGCCCCAACAAAGGCCGAACAAAGCATAACACTCACATACAGACCGACCCAGGGGTACCATTGGCTCTCTAACCAGCAGCCTGAAGAAGTCACTATTTTCACATCCTGGACCTCGGACCAGGATGACGAAATTGCCAGTGCGGTCCCCATTTTCTCCTGATATGACTAGGTGGAAGACAGTGTCGCCACGGTGCTGACTTGATTTAACACATAGGCCATACACCGCACGGTGCCAACATTGAAGAGTATTCCGGCGGTCCTTGGCAGATAAGGGAGAGCGTTGAGGTTCGCCTAATTGTGCTTTGGCCCGTGGCGGACGTGAGGGATGCACGGGAATAAATGAGATGATTACGGACTGTCTGCCTTGCGTAGGTATTACCTATCAAACTTGCATCTGCCTGTCAGGTTTGTGTCACTTGTGCCAGTTTAGATGAAGAACTAATTTTATTGGAAAAACAAGGAACACCACGCCCCAGGCAATCCCGATTCCATCCCGTTGACATCCGCGCGGTAGCTGACAGCTCCAGACTTGACCTAGCATCAACTGCCGTAGACGCATTGTTCTTATTAAGTGGTCAACCGTGGAAGGAAGGACGGGGAGTTCTAGTCCGGGTCAACCCTTGAGGTCAGCTATGCCCGCCAGTCTGATGGAGCCGTGCATGTCGATCTGATCTTGCAGGCGGATGTTGAACTCTCCGTAGACTGTTTATGTTAGCTGTCAGCTTGGTACTGCTAAGGTTCGCCAGATCGCAGCTAATGAAATGGGAATGGGAAAGCAACTCTTTGCGATGTCTTCTTCCGAGACTTCCTGATCCGGAACGTTCCGTTCATGTTCCTCGCACGTGGGGAGAGTTAGTTGTCCATGAATGGTGAGGATATCCATCCAGGGCCGCTTCTTGGGACTGCGATGCTTAGTTTCTTCGAACATGGCTAGCGGTTGCAACTGAGGAATAGCAGGCTAGAGAAATGGCGCGTTTCTGGCCCGAGAAAGGGTGGAGGCCCGACCAGGGGAGTATGGGTTTGGGGAGCCGCCAAATAAGAAATAGGGAACGGGATAGAGGGCAGGTTATGTGCTACGATTGCAACACGTTCCTCTCTCCTCGGAGACCGGGGGCTCGGGGGATTTGCCCCTAAGCGTGGTCGTCTGAAGCCGTGATGTAGACGAACTCGGCACTATTGGCTTACGATTTAAGCCGACTCGCGGCCTTCTGCAGAAGGCGCGGGGGCTAGCGGCCATCTCCACGAATTAAGTGTGCAGTGCGATTCAAAAACCCACAATATGTCGATAAACAGTGTATCTGTCTCAGGGTGTTGCGTATTGTCGCATATGGGGAATTACGGATAAAGCCAATGAAGCACACCCTCGAGTCGGCGTGCCCGTTGAGCTTGGACGCTTTTTGGCTTCCCGCCACTCTTACCAACCACCCCTGAAGCTTATTGGATCATTTCTCACCGAGGAACACGCACGAATCCCAATAGCAATAGTGCACCAATCCGCCCAACAAGCGCCGTTCTGTTCCATCAACTTTTTTTTTTCAGCCTCATCGTTGCTGCTCACATTCAAGATGCAACTTCGCCTACTTGATCAGCGGCGTCGAAACACCAGGCCGACCAAAATCAACGAGATTATCTGCAAGTTTCGGCCCGACGTTGTGCATTAGGAAGCTGTCTACAAAGATATTCATCGGAATCCCGAGCTCTCCTGCCAGGAGGAACGCACAGCGCAAATCGCCACAGGCAGCCTAAGGGCGCTGGGCTTTTCAGTCCATGACGGTATTGGGGGAACCGGCGTTGCCGGCATCCTCGACAATGGACTTGGCTGTACTGTCCTCCTTCGGGCTGAGCTCGACGCCCTGCCCATTCCCGAGAAAACAAACCTCCCCTACCGCAGCACCACGCGCATGGTCGACACAGATGGGGAAGAGAAGCCTGTCATGCATGCCTGCGGCCATGATCTCCATATAGCTGCTCTTTTGGCCGCCGCGGAGCTGCTTGCCGCCGCAAAGCATTAAGTCAGGTGACCAGCTTTTAGACCAACCCCCTTTTAGACCACAAGGTTCTAGAAGGATGACTAACCCTTGCCACCAAACTCTTCTATTTCAATCGCCCACAACTTCACGAATTTAATTCCAATCCGTTTCCTTTTTTTCAATGGCTTGAGGATTTTCAAATGAAGCCATATACCGAGTTCGATTTGCAGAACGCCCTTGCCGAGTATGCTAAAACTGGCAAACTCCGCGATGCGGCCAAAAACCACGGCATCCCCCACAACACTTTATATTATCGATCCAAAGGCAGCAATCCAGCCACCTACTCCCAAATAATCAATCAGAAGCTTTCTCCGGCACTGGAAGAACGTCTCGCAGAATAGGTTCTCTTCCAGGGGGTCATTGGCAACCCCCCAGCCCACAGGCAAATCCGGAAATTGGGTACCAGAATACTCGCCGCCTCTGGAGAGCCAACCCACCTTGGAAAGCACTGGTGCCGCCGCTTTTTGAACCGAAATCCTTCCATTTCTACCAAGAGACCACGGTGAATCCACGCAAACCGTGCTGACCGAGCCTGCGAGGCCGTTATTCGGCCCTGGTTTTGTAGGCTCCAAATCTAGAAAGCTTTTACAAAGGAGGAAGTCTAGAGACCGAATTTAGACGACCATTCTAGAGTGTGTTTCGGCCGACGGCCGGTTTTTGAACCCACTGGTTATTTTCAAGGGTGGGAGCCTCCAGCAACAGTGGTACCCACGCGATTTGACTCCATTCGAAGGTTGGGCCTTCAAACCAACCAAAAACGGGTGGACTGACGATGACACTGCCGTCGAATGGCTCCGCGAAGTCTTTCTTCCGGCCACTCAGCCGGCCAACCCTAAGGAGAAACGCCTCCTTATTTTGGATGGCCACGGCAGTCATACCACTGAGGAATTTATGTGGCTGGCTTTTACCAACAACGTACAGTTATTATTTCTGCCAGCCCACACCTCTCACGCTCTCCAGCCCGTGGATGTAGCCGTTTTCGGCCCGCTGAAGGCTAAGTATAGGGCACAGCTGAATGACTTGCTTTCTGGCCTAACCAGCGACTCTGTGGCTGCAAAACGAGCCTTTTTAGAATTCTATAGGCGCGCCAGAATCTACGGAATGACCGAGTCAAATATCAAGGCTGGTTGGAAGGCCTCAGGGTTGTGGCCAGTCTCCCTAAGGAAGCCCCTAAGCAACAGCCTCGTTATTAAGAATTCCAATGGCTGCATTAGTACGGTAGCCCCCACACCTTCTGCAGGCCTTGAGTCGTTCAATAACCCCATTCTGGGCAAGAATTCGGAGGGCCGGCCTTTGTGGTTTACCCCTAAAAAGGCCGAAGATTTCTCGGCTCAGGGGGAGCGTTTTCTACGTGGTACTAAACGTACTGCCAGCGAACGGATTTTTATGCGGAAAGCCTACAAAGAATTCGATAACATGGCCTTCCAATTGGCTACCATTCAACAACAATTGCAAGCGGCCCAGGAAGACCTCGAACGTGCGAGAGGCCGGAAGAGAAGGAGGGTGGAAATCGACCCCAATAAGGCCTTTGCTGGTATTGAGGAGATCCGCCGCGCACAAAGATTAGCTGCTGGGTAGGATGTTATAGATTCTAAAATTTCAGAAGAATAGGAATCTGACACTGCAAGCTGTATTAACGTAGCTATCTAATTGACGAAGCTGTGAGCAATTGAATTTTATGATGTGGTGGGGTGGCGATTTTAGTGCGTGGTCTAAAAGGGGGTTGGTCTAAAAGCTGGTCACCTGACTTACTGGCGCGGTCGCATAATTATCGTCTTCCAGCCCAACGAAGAACGCGGTGGTGGTGCGAGGGCCATGGTGGAAGACGGCCTCTACGAAAAGGTCCATCGACCCGACATCGTCCTGGGCCAGCACATAGTCAACGACAAAGCCGGCACCTTCCAGATTGGATCTAGCTACGCTCTAGCCGGGAAGAGAACGTTTCGCATCATCGTCCACGGTAGGGGAGGGCATTCGAGCGCCCCGCAAGGATGCGTCGACCCAGTCATCATTGCCTACTCAGTCGTGCTCAAGCTTCAAACCATTGTCAGCCGCGAGGTTGACCCACGCGAGACTGTTGTCGTCACGTGTTCGAGCATTCATGCAGGGAACTCGCCGAATGCTATCCCAGATACGGCAGAGCTTACTGTCGATGTCAGAGCCTACTCTGTGGAAGTGTTTGACAAGATCGTCGAATCGGTCAAGAGGATCGTCAAGGCAGAGTCTGAGGCATCGGGCGTCTTGGAGGAGCCTACGATTGACGAAATCGAGCATGTCCCGCCTCTCCAAAACAGCCCAAAAACTCGTGGGCCCGATTGAAGAACAGTTCAAGGCCATCTTTGGTAGCGATGCGTTAGAAGCCATGGTACCGGATATGGCCAGCGACGACTTCTCCATCCTTGCTCCCGAAGGTACCCCCTACGCTTACTGGACACTCGGAAGTACATGCCCAGATATGTGGGACCGCTACCAAAAGGAGGGGAGGTTGAACGAACTCCCCGCCAACCACTCGCCGCTTTTCGCGCCGGCTATCCAGCCGACTCTAAGTTTGGGAATCGATTCGCTAGCCATCGCAGCACTGACCTTTTTGCTTTCTAGCCACAGAGACATTAGCTGAACTGTTGTATCTCGGTTATTATACGTGAAGATAGGCTGAAAAACATCCCTGCCATTGCAGAGACGCAGCCTGTTGTTTCTGAGTCGTTGATCACAAGGACGGTGTCGAGCTTCCTTTCTTGTCGTACTAATTCCCGGCTTTGCCCTTGGGGCTGCATGTCTATGGGGAGAGTGTTGAGTCTTCGTTCCATTTGTAATAATCATTAAGTGCAATGCCATAATTACTATGCCACGGTCGATGGACTACCTAGCAATTTCCGTCATGCTAGCCTTCAAGGAAAGACGTGTGTCGCTTCTGATCCACAAGATGACTTGGTATTTGTCTTGCCTGGTGTGGGCATAGTTCATGGCAGTCTGCGACTTTCCAACGCCGCCCATTCCATGGAGAAGGACCGAGTGCAGTGTCGGCGTTGTCGAGTCTGGCTGATCGAGGATGAATTATATTTCCGACAGAATATCCCGGCCGTAGAAGGCGGCATTGTTGACCGCCTGTGGCAAAAGGACAACTGAGAGCTGCGCCACGTCTTCCTCCAAATCAGGACTGGAGAACATATTATCCTGCGGGGCAAAACGAGCGTCTCTTAGAGTCATCTTTGACATGCTATCAGGCTGGGCCAGGTCTTTCAGGTGCTGGATAGAAGACTCGACTCGGTTCATGGATCTGGCAAAGTCGCTTTCGACGCCAACTGCGAGCTCTGCAGGCTTTGCATTAGCTGAAACCCTCACTCGAACGGCAAGCAGCACTCTAAATGGTATCATCGCACCGTTCTGATTCTTGTGCATCCACTCAATAGCGTTGGACCAGAAACTAATTAGGGAGTCGAATACGTTGAAGGTGGCAGTGTTTATTTCCTCAGTCAAGTAGATGAGACCCCAAAACATTTCAAGCTCGGGTTGGTGAGGAGCCATTGCGGCGATGAAAGTCCCGGCTGTCACGTTTGCAGTCTCTTGTACGTGATCGAAGTTTACCGCGCATTGAATTGTCTGGCCAAATAGATCGAAGAGTTTAGAAAAGAACGCTTCATTATACTTGTTGAGAGAAGGCAAGGGAAGTTTTATAATCAGCGCGAAATGAGGGCATTCCGAGGCCAAGAATGAAGGAAAAATAAAGAATGAAGGAAGCACAGAGGCATGCTAACCAGGGTCTGGAAAATGTGGTTCAATTCCATGAAAAGTGGGTTAATTCTAGGCGACGGTATGTTCACAAGCTTGATTTGCGATGCACCTGCTCAATTCCTCTATCAGTCCGTCTGACCACGCAGAAAATTCCATCCCATATCATCTTTCTTTCACAAAGCACCACCACTCTTCCAACTAACAATCCCTGAAATACATACCGCAGGCGCCATTTGTGGTTATAGTGACACCCTCGCCCCGGGCCAAAGAAGATTTGTTGATAGAGCTGTATAACGAGATATCAATTTCCTCGAGGAGCGTTTTCTCTCTTGCTCGCAAAAGCCTCTCCCTCGTCGACTAGTCTGACGTCAAAGCCGGGGTCAGATCTTTGCAAAACAGAAGCCGTTGCGCTGGCAAAGACAGCGAACAGGATACCCCACTTCATCGTAATGACGGCGCTAGGCTGCAACAGCGCGGATGAAATTTAATTGACAAGCTGCGTGATTAATGCCGTAATTCAATTGCTGGCTTGTCGGCTGAAAAGACAAGCCGGGGCTTTTATGTGTTTGAGGCGTGGAAGAAGAGGAGGTGCTGCATTCAAAGGGAGGGATAGAACTACCTAGGAAGCGACGAACCTTATTATTGGGATCACCAGGTACCGGTACTGGAATCAACAGGCGCGCTGCGCGCCGTATACTGGTGGTTCAAGTGTAGGATTTCGTTTGTGTTTTTATGTGTGTACCTAAGAAGGAAGGTGGAAGTGGCCTACGGCCACTTATTTAGGTTCGGTAGCCTGCGCCCCTGCGCCTCCACAGCCACCTGTGGCTGCTTGCGCCTCCACCGCCACATCTGTGGCTGACTAGCGCGTTGTTCCAACACTTATATGTGCCGTCAATACTCTCAACACAGGATCCCACTGTGGGCCATGGGAGATTTCAATTAAGCCAGTGTAGTTGTGATTTGTCTTCTTTTGATCATTTTTGGCATCACTTCCTTGGGTGGGCATCCCTTGACGGCCTTGGCTGTCACTATCTCGGCTGTGGGAAGAATCCTCTCCCTTGCGGCCGACAGCCCGCACCCCAACCCCCAGTGAGGTTAATGGCCATTCACTTGATGAACGTTATCGTAGCTTCAACTAGCGTTTTAATATTATCCCACTTCTGACGGCTTGTTTGATAGTTGTCAGGCTTGCTTCAGCACCTACTCCACACACCAACAAACATGGTCGAAACAACATTTCCTCCACTGCCCTGGTCGGTATTTTCACCACGCAAACCGAGGTCAGGCGCTGACAGTGAGCACACTAATCACTTGCTCTTTCAACAGACCACACCACCAATTTGAGATGAATCAGATTACTGATCTTCACTCCTCAAACGCTTTGGAACCCACCAGAGTAACCAAGAGCCGAGTATCGCGACAAGTGCGGCTTACCAGGCAGGACCAGAGTTGTTCAGTGCCGAGTCAAACTCAATTTATCGACTCAAGTGTGGCGAGATTCTATCGAGGTTGTTGTCTCATGACCAACTAATCTGCTCCCAAGCCCGTGCTACGGCCTGAAAATTAACCTCGTGCTATATACAATAATTAGGATGCGAATCTAAAGTCTAGCCTCTTATTTCCAGAGTCATTAGTCGTAGACAGATATTGAAAGCGTTCGTGCTCCGACATTTTACTCCACTTCTCCTCCCTAGACCTGTTCCGGAGCGTGTAGTACAACTTTGTGGACAGATAAAGCACAATGTTGAATCCCACGACGGAGAGCAACACGCTGTTTCCGCGGTTATACTGGGGGGCGTCGTCCTCGCGGTAGATATTGGATGAGATGATGCCGCCGCTGTGGATCGCTGGGGTGAGCTTGACCGCCCAAGAGATAACAACCGGGGGGGGGAGGGAGGGGGTTGGGGATAAAACCTTACCCCTGAACACACATGTTGTACATCGCCGAGCCAACTGCCCGACTACGAACTGTGTTGGAGTTACGTGACACCCAGCCAACTTGGATGGGATGTGCTGCGGGCCAAGGTCAGCTTTCATTCGCGGCAAGCTGGGTCACTGCAAAGTGGGGCAGCCTACCGTATGGATTCCCCAGGAAGATCGTCATGACCAGCCAGACTGTCCACCTCGACACGGTCGATGTGTCGACAAACCTCAACCAAAGCAGAAATGGAAGCGACCAGATCTGAGGGATTACGGCAACGAGGGCTAGCTGGCTGACCATTTCGCTGACATATGTGATGATGATCATGTTCACCACTGGAGATGTCAGCTCAAATCCCGACCTGTTCAGGCCAGTTAGGAGGCAGTGTAAACTCACCATGAAGGAGCTGCGACGGGATGACCAGCAAATTTGTCTCAAAGGTTGTGAAGCCCATGCCTTTCAGGGTCAGCGTAAGGTACGTGCTCGGCGTGGCAAACGGGATGTGGTTCGTAATGCCAATCAAATAGAGAGGCCACAGATCGTAATCACACAGACTCTTCCACAAGAGGCGGAATGTCAGCGGCTCGCGGTTGTGCATCCCTCCTTTGGAGGGGTCATCGCGGATAACCCGGTTGACGATGATTATCTCCTCCCTAACAAGTCCATGTTAGCAACTGGCATTGAGCGCTGAAGTAGGTAAATCGGCCATCATACCTGGGGGTGAACCAGCCCTTCTTGCCCCTGAACCAGCTCGCAGTCTGTGTCGGGCCAGCCGGCATCAGACCAAATGCGAGTAAGCCAAAGATCAATGTGATCAATCCCTGGGAATAACGTCAGCAGAGGGGGCAAATAATTCCCAACGTGACCGACCCACCTCGACGAGAAACAGCCACCTCCAACCAGAATACCCCAAAACGCCCCGCATGTGCAGCAACGCAAACGCCGAGATGGCCGCAAAGATGTCCGCAAACACCATGGCGGTCCAGAAAAACCCTAGGCGGATAGAGAGCTCGTGCGACTTGTAGAAATACGAGAGGTAGAGCACCACGGTCGGGATGAAGCCGCCCTGCAGGACGCCCAGGAAGACCCTAGATGTCAGGAACCCGGCTCTCGAGCTCAGCATAAACTGGCTCGACGCGACCATAGACCAAAGAACCATCTGGATGGGGATCCAGCGGTCGGGGCCGAGCCACTTGCTCACGAGCTGTGATGGGACCTCGGCGAGAAGGAACGAGAGGGCGAACAGCGAGTTACCGATGTTGTAATCTGGAGGAGCAAGGTTAGCGCCATCTTTCGTCAGTGACAGGTCGGGACGCGCAGACCGTTGGTGGTGAGACCGAGCTCGGGCAGGAGATCGTCGGTCACGGCCTGCTTGATGTTTGCGCGGTCCATCTCGAGGGCGCAAAACATCAGACAGGTCCACAGCATGATGCGGAAGTCGATCTTGCGGACCAGGGCGCGCTCTTCCCTCCAGGTCCATCGCGCGTTGGGGTCGAAACGGTGCATGTTCTCCCTAGGAAGAATGTCAAATCCCGTGGCCAACAGTCAAAGGGTTCGGGACGGACGTACCAGTCGGGCTGCGGGAGGTACTGCCCTGCAAGGTCCGGGTCGTCAAACACGCTGGGCTGTTTCTTGGGTCAACGGTGCGCCCCAGCTGCTGTCCGGACGGTCTCGAACCGTACCTGGGTGGCGATGGAGTCAAGATCCTGGGCCTCTCCCTTGCCGTCCGAGGACGACCAGAACCCCCTCCTAACTTCGGGCTCGCCTAGCTCTCCGCCAACTTCGATGAGGGCGGTCGTAACATCTGCGTCCTCCTTGCTGATGTCGGACCTGGTATCATGTTCGCCATCCTTCCATTCCTCGAGCCTTTCGTCCTCAAATGTCAGCCGTACTGCGGTTCTCGCGTTGCGTGGGGTCGAAGCGGAGCCAAAGGTGGCGTAAAGAGAAGTGAGTGCCCGGGGCATGGTGGCCGTATTCGACGTTTCCGTCACATGCCACTCGACCGACAACACGGAAGAGAATGGCCGGGAAAAGGGGTGGGGGTGGGGAGAATAGGATGGAATAGGCGGGAGCCAGGGACAATATACAAGGGCACAAGCGCACCTTATAGCAGTGCCGCCTGCGTCGTCGGCGGCGGCAGCGTCGTCCAAGCCCCAGTCATCATCCCAATCGCTGTCGTCCTGGATCGCGCCACTGTTTGTGCCGCGCGATGGAGCTGAGCTCATCGCACCCGGCGCAAGACGCAATCTGTAGGAGCGGCGGCGGGGGATAGGGGGTGCGTCATCTGCATTGGCCAGATGATGGACGCAGGCGGCGCGGTGAGACACTGGCACCCCACCCCGTGGGCCTCTCAGGGGGGTTGGCGCGTGGTCGCGGAGGCGCCAGCGCGGGGGGCAGCACCAGTGTGTATGTACTCCGTACACCGGGGCGCGACTAGGCGGGCTAGCTATTTATCCAACAGCTTTGTAGGTATCGTATCCAAGATGGGAAATAGACGGCAGAGCAGGGCCGCTTGACTCCGTTTCTGTCGAGAGATCGAAACAACAATTAGAGTCGACTACGCCCAAGATTCAGCTAATGACAGCTAGACAGGACGGCAATCGCGCAGCGCCAGCCCAACCATGCAACTCGATAATTGCGTGCTGACGGTGAAGCAAGGCGCGGGCGTCCAGCGACAGCCTGGACAGCTCAAAACGCGTGTTTCGCGGTGGATGGCGTGCTTTTAGACCCTATGGCGAAGCAGCCAATCGGGCGAGCCAGCGAGCGTCGAGCGAGGGCGATGCAACCCTGGAAGGCAATGCACGATTGCACAGGGAAAATGCCCTTCAAACCGATCAAAACAAAGGACGACAGCAAGATGCGAAGCCACTAGCGTCGGCAGTGCGCAATGTGATTTCCAATTCCCATGTTTGCATGATTGGTGGTGTCGTGCATGTCACGCGAACGAAGTTTTAGTTGGGAGAAAAATGGCCAGTCTTCCGATCCGCGGAGACGCCGGCCCAAGGGGCAGCTGAGATTATTTGTGGGTCAGGTGTCAAATTGAAACCGACCAGGGTTAGGGTTTAGGCGTAATGCTTACTGTGACCAATCCCAGTGTGTTTAACATCCTATCTTAGACTAGTTCTAGTCTAGACTACAGTCTACCCTAAAGTTTTACTTTGGTCGGAAAGCCGAGTTCACTATACCGATGTGGGTGGTTAGTCGCTGGGATAATAAAATGCAAAGTCCAGTCATCAGGCCCGAAACTCACCATCACCGCCCAGCAATATCCGGCCGACTTCAATGGGTCTTGAGACGATGTTCACACCATCTTCTGCCACACTGACAAACTGTGCAATGTGTCTTTTTGTTTGTGGCTCCATGTCGTTGGCCAGTCTGTCAAGAAACTCGTCCGTGACTTGGACGGCGCATCAAGGTCAGCCATGTGTCACACAGACTCAAGTTAGTTTCTTGTTTCTTGAGGAAAAGGAGTGATGACTGACGCTCAAAACAGACAGAGCCCACCCGGTCCCTCCGAACAACAATCAGCCTGTACTTGCTGCTGGAGAGATCGCGGACGACCCTCAGCTGGGCATCGGCAAGGACCAGGTGCCCTATCACAATGCCGCCCATCTCTCTAGAAGCAAGTGATGTTAGCGTATCAATACTCGGTGATTGAGGTACTCTGACACCTTTCTGTAGCCGGTCGAGTTTCTCAAGGGTCCCCCCCGTTCCTTGAACCTACCTCTCATAAACAAGGCAATCCCCGTGTCTGACGCCCTGCAGGTATTGCACAGGCAAGGCTTTCTTTGCCTGTGAGATTGTTGCGCAGAATTCGCGAGCAACTGGTGATATCACCTGTCAGTCCTCCCCTCTTCCAATCAAAAGTTGAATTCGCAGCTATGTCAGCATACCTGAAGAGTCCGAGAACTCAAACTCGACTTCGTCGCATTTGATCGACTGTGTATCCGTCCCTGCGCCCTTGTCGTGGACACATGTGGCCGTGCGAATCGTGACGAATCGCGGCCCGCTTCCGTCAGACACTGTGCAATCGTGCGTCACTGTAAATGATCGGGATTTAATAGCGGCCAACGCAAATATGGGGTGTGTCACTGACCATGGATCGAGTATCGCTCAATCTGTGCTCCAAACGACTTTGGCCTGCATGCGAACGAAATCTGGTATGACTGCTGGCTCACGAAATGGGCGCTCACGCCCTGTTCAGCAAGAACCACGTCCAACGGCTCTGCCTCGGATGATACTCCGCTAACTGAGGGCAGAGAGGTTGACGCGTACTGTAGGACTTGCATCGCCCCAACATGTTCGACGGCCAGGCGGACTCCCTTGGCTGTTAAGCAAATTGTCAGGAGTTTGGCCGAGAGGTGGTGGACGTGGCTGGGTATTGGTTGGCAGCTCCGGGTAGTTTACTGGACTGCCATACTTGCAAAAAGATGGAGGCACACGCCCTGGACGCTAGGATGGATATCTCATGTGGAGAATGCTGCACCAAGAAGCCGGGCAATTCGTCTGCTTCGGAATGGTGAGTCGCTTGGAAGGTGCCAATCTGTGCCGCAACGCTTGCTATTTCCGGGATGTCTGATCCGCGACAGTTTAGATAAGATGAACTCCTTGGATTCTTCTGTTGAGACAACTTACCTGCTGGAAGTATCGGAGTGACGACTATGGACACCGAACTGGAGAGGGCCGAGCCGACGTAGAGTTGCCAGTTGTTGGAGGACTGGTCGGTCAACCTTATCAGGAGGCTGGTAGGCAGCACTATTGTACAATCACAGTCAGCCCAAACCAAACAGGGTTTCCAGAGAAGTCAATTAGAACTTACGGTAGAACTGGAGTCTAGCTGCGTGGTCCTCTACGTTGCCACTCAGCCTGGACTTGGTGCAGTGACAACAGAACAGTGGAGTCAGCGACGACAAGTCACTGGGTAATTTTTCCCCAAGCAAGACCGGGTTGAAGGTTGCTTGTGGGCAAATAAGACCCATATCCCTTGCCAAGTTCCCGGGCACCTTTTGGTGGTACAACGAAAGTCGCGGAGTTGGACCAGCAGGTTCCTCTGCTTTCTTGGGTGTCGATGCCGAAGTGGGACTCTCGCCTGCGTCCTTCTTCAGGTTGGCTAAGAACCATTCGTATATCTCGTCCAGTTTTTGTGTACAATGAGTGTCTGTTCAAGCTTGGAGATTTCCTCTCCCTCTTTGGTCCACATGACCTTTTTCCAGTTTCTCTTTAGATCACCCCTCAAGCTCCGAGTTCCTAGTCCTTCCTTAGTAGCGGTAGGGTCAATGATGGCGTACTTGTCAACAAATCTTTCGAGGTGGCCAAGTACGTCTCGGCAGTTGATGAGAATGTTGGCAAGCTCCGGCTGCTTCTCAATCCACAATTCTTTGGGCGCTTGCGCCTCCTTCTCGGCTCCCTCGCATTTCCTGAGCGCTAATAGTCCCGTGTTCCTAGTGGATAAGGATTTACGTACATTCAGCTGGGAGTCTCAGCTGTCTCCGTTGTAGTGATTCTAACAGTCTCTAACATGGCCATACCTAATTTCCTGTGAAGGGCTTCCTTTTCACATTGAGCAGACCCCCCGTCCCTCACCGAATTCCAAAACCCAGCATTGTCGACAACCTCTGCCACCCTCCAACAATCTATCCTTAGGCCCCCCTTTTGAGCACTGATTGGCAGCCGCAATTTTACAGAATGGCGGACCGGATCCCTTCGGGGGTATTCTTTACCGATTATGGCCTTGGTTTGACGACAGATATCCCGCCCGAGACCATCTTTTCGATTTTCCCCACTGCTTGACCGAATTTTGATCACCGCTTTAGTAATGGACCGACCAACGGCGCTGGACGCGGGTCAACTAGACGCGGGTCAACCATCCATCATGCCTCGCTCCCCATTCACGCCGACCCATCGACACAAGCTCAATAGCAGTGGCCCCCCGACACTGAACCCGAGCAACCAAGACAAGTCCGCTGTCTCCCGCTCCTAGACGTTGCAATTGACGTTCGCGTTGACTGCGCCGTTGCAACGTCAAGATTCATACAGCGGTTTACCAACATATCCGACGTGGCCATCCCCGAGGCGCACTATACATTTCCCCTCTACGATGGCGCAGTCGTGACAGGCATGCGACTCCACATTGGGGACTTGGACGTGCTCACCGGCAGGGTACTGTCCGACGAGGAGTCCAAGATTGAATACCTGCGCGCCATCGAGGGCCTCGAGTCGGCCGCGTCCTCGAAGAGAAGACGCCCGAGGTGTTCTAGACCATGATCGGCAACATACCCCCGAAGACGTCGGTCGAGGTAGACATCACCTACATCAATGCGCTCAAGCTCGACTCTGGCGGACAGGGACATTTAATCACCATTCCCACCTCGCTAGCTCCACGATACGGAACGCCACCTAGAGGTCTGTTTACCAACTCGGGTGACAACGCCCGGTCTGAGGCTCTCGTATCGCCTGCCAATGGACACGGCCACTCAGCTCTAATAATAACCATCCAACCAAGCGAGCTCTTCCGCAACTGCGGACCCGACATGGACTTCAAAGGCGAGGTTATCTTTGTTGCTGATCGTTCAGGGTCTATGGGCGGCGAGAAGATTGCCGGGCTTCGGAATGCGCTGCACGTCTTTCTCAAAAGCTTGCCCAAAAGTGCACCTTCAATCTTTACTCTTTTGGAACGTCGTTTCCGTCATTGTGGGAGTCCTCGAAGCCGTACAGTCAGGCCACTCTGGACGAGGCCGTCTCACACGTGTCGAGCTTCGCGGCCGACATAGGCGGGACGGAACTGCTGCCTGCGCTACAGAACACGCTGCTGAGAAGAGCGACCACTGGACATTCCACCCAGGTCATTGCCCTCACAGATGGATAGGTCTGGAACGCCAACCAGACGATCGACTTTGTCAAGAGCATGCGGACAAAGCTCGAGCACGACTTCCGGCTCTTCGCGCTCGGCATTGGCAACAACGTGTCGCACCGCCTGATTGAGGGCATCGCCGGTGCCGGCGGGGGATTCGGCGAGGTGGTTGGCCTAGCAACGCCAGACAAATGGCAGCACCGAGTGATCCGGATGCTCAAAGGCGCCCTCGTGCCGCCGACGTGGAGCTGCCAGGTCGACCTCGGCCCCCAGTTCACCCGTCGGAACTTGTACGACGACAGCTTCGCCCTCCTCTCGGACACTAATACGGACAGCAAGCAGCCCGCGCCAGTCTCGTTGGAGTACATCCAATCTCCGGAATTGCCCCTGATGCACCACTTCAAGCAGACCTCTGTTTTCCTCCTTATCAAGACCGGTCCGGCGGCTCTGCCATCCGAGGTTACAATCACAGCCACTGCGGGCGGCGCCAGTCAGGAGGAGGTTGTTAAAACAACCTTGCCTGCCGTATCCACCACGACCACCCAGAGTCGCTTACAGCATCTCGCCGTCAAAGCTGCCCTGGTCGATCTGGGCCTCAGAGCGGACCAGGAGCAGAGCGTAAAGGAAAGCCCCAGTGATTCGGCGGCCAGCCGCAATGCTATCCGCCTGTGAAAGTTGTACTGTGACGAGCAGATGGACGAGTTTCGTCGCAACAAACCAGGACGGCTCGGTGGCCCACGCCGTTGATTCGTACAACGCCGCTCTTTCTGAAAACTTGGCCAGTCCACCAAATATGATGCTCTACACTCATCAGGATTCATATCTATTGTCGTTTTCTGTACCACGGTCGGTTTCTACATCCCCGTCGGTTTCTGCATACTCGTCGATTTTTTCACCACCCGTCGTTCTAAGATTTAGAATGCCCCCGCGAGAGTGTATAGAATTGAGTGCGTCGAGAGCATACACCGAGCTCCATGGTGATGTCAGAAAAATAACACGTACCACAAGTCTTTTTAAGGATCAAAGAGAGACAAGGCCTCCGATACGAGTCCGCGACATTGTTGCATCGCAGACAGCCTCTGGCCGCTTCTAGATAACCGACGACGTGCGACGCGAGCTCTCATCGAACCTGCCGGCCGGCACGCGGGAGGCTATTATCGAGAGCAAGGCGGATGCGCAGAACGAGCAGCCCGACGAGGAGGCAGTCGACACCATCATGGTGTCCAAGTACCTTGAGACCCACATGGATGACCAGAAAGATCTCTTAGACCTGGTCGTCATGAAGGCGAACAGGTCGGTTGAGCAGTCCGGGTTGGACAGGTCAAGGGGTGCAAAGGTGCCAGGCGAGAAAGACGACAGCGATTATGAGGGAGAATACGTGACTGTCGATCATGCGGGTCGGGCCGGGGGTCGTTAAGAACCATGGCAGCACTTCCTTCCGGGAGCGAGGTAATTACTTGTCTTAATCTCATTGACCTTGGACAGCCTTTTCTAGACCACAATGGTGCCAAGCGAGTTCCACAGGCTGAGCACGAGGACCATGCCTCGAGCCGGCGCCTGGCCCATGGCTGGCAGACCACCCCGGCGCACAGAGTTGGACGCGTTGTTGCGCGCCTCGCAGAAGTCTTGCTTGACCGCCCCGCGGTAGCCGCCCGTCAGCGCCGCTACGGCCGCGTTGGCCGTCGTAACCGAGTTGGGGATGACGGCACCGTCCTGGACGTAGAAGCGCCAAATCTCGGCCAGCTCGCTCGTCGTCGTGTTATCGGCCGCGGTCTTGACTTCATGTAGGTTATGGGACGACCTTGACTCGGCGGTTTGGTTTGATGTGTTAGGCCGCATGTGCACTTGTACTAGCTCCTTTGTAAATGTGATAAGTTTGAGGGTGGATATGAGACTGTGAAGGGCCCAGGTCTCAGGAGCCTTGACACACGTGCACTGGCAACTGTTTGTGTCTAAATTTGGAATTGAGCTTAAATGTGTCGCGCTTCCTTGGTTCGGGGAATTTGGACGGCTGCTAGCACGAAATTGTCGTCGCGGTGTTTGGTGAGAACCTCGTTGTGCACAAGAGGCGGTGAGAACTATGTGAGGTACGTGAGGGTCAAAGGAGGTATACGGACCCAAGTATTTGGTAGCGCCCAAGCAGAAGATGGCGGATCATGCCATAACATAGTATAAATAGGATGAAGAAGCCTGATATTGCATGTTTGAAGGTTGTGCAGCAGACATCCGTTTTTGTGGGCGGTTTTTTGGGCGGTTTTTTGGGGTGTTTGTTTTCTCGCTCCTTTGTTCCATATCCCAACCACCCCTAAGTTCGTAATCTAAAACATCAAATCTCCACCGTGGCGTGCATATTTTGCGGGGTCTGACGCCTTCACACATCCCAAACATGACCACGTCAGGCACAGTCAGCAGAATGCCTCCGCATCTCAAAGTCCTTTCCGAAACGGGCGGTCCAGAAAACAACCTTAATCAGCACTAGTGTAGCGTAGTGTTGTGGAGTCTAACGGCAAATCCTTCGCTCGTATTACCAAACTCGGCGCGGGCTGACGCAAGCGGGCCGAACATGAAATCATTCGCGGCCCACTATATGGTCTTTTCGTGGGATAAGCTTATCGCTGGTAAGCACAACAACCAACACAGTCGCCGGATCTTAATACCACGCCAGCGGCCTTCTCATCGCCGGGCAGGTACTTCCTAGCATCTACTTGCCCTTGTCCCCCGAAACAGAACGTAGAGTCGACGAGCCGAGACCATGGGACAAGGCCAACAACTGAGACTGTAATAAACGGGGACGTATTATGGCCCTCTCGCGTCTTGAGAATGGAGTCCGAACCCGTCTTCATATGGAAGCATAAATGTGCCCAGCCTCCTCCTCAGAGAACAAGGATCAACAGGCACAACAACACCGACAGCGGCTCTATCCAAAGCAAACACGATCACCAAATAGCCTCACGCTACCACTTCGACTTCGGACTCGGTCTCTTCCCATAGTCAATATGCGCACCACCGCCGCCCTCGTCTTGATTGGCAGCCTCGCGAGCACCGCCTTCGGCGCCGCCACCAAGATGTTCGACGACGACAACTGGTATGTGACAATACATCCAGTCTTGATTCGCTTCCTTTTCTCAACGCCTTTCGCCACATGTCGCACGATTATGAATGTGCAGTGCAGTGCGTGCTAATCTCCAGCCCTATTAAAGTTCCAACCAGGTCAATTCGGTCGTCTTCAACGGCTTCAGCGACGGTGATGCCCCCATTCCCGCCAATGTCAAGACCATCAAGACCGACTCCATCTCCGACGTCTGGTTCGCCTATCAGAGAAACGATGGAAGCGGCTGCAAGGGCGACCTCATCAGGCAGGTTACCAATGGCCAGTGCATCAAGGTGGCTGATCTCGGAATTGGCTGCACGCGTCTCTGCTCCACAGGCATCAACGCGAACTTCTGCTCGGTTAAAACCATCCCCTGAGCGCGGTTTGTGCGTGTGCGCGTGTGCGCGTGTGCGCGTGTGCGCGTGTGCGCGTGTGCGGCAGCTGACGCCAATGCTGCCTTGACGACGGTCCCTCTTCAGCTGTCCCGGTCCAGACTTTTTGTGTACCCATACCATTTGAGAAATTGTCACTAGACGACGAGCGCGGAATAGAGATCTCAGCCAATGGGCGACTCAGCCTTCGCGGCTCGCAACTCTCATCTCACAGAGAGGCTGTATTGTATCTAGGAGAGATAAAATACCCTGATACGAACAAGAGCTCTCGATAATTTTAGAACACGTGCAACACTCTTGTAAACATATATGATGCAGTCCCAATAAGATATTTTGCCTCCACGCAAGCCCACCCGCCTCGCAAGGCGCGCCGTCCGCGCCGCCCAGCCGCTCCTCGGCCGGGCACAATCCACATCCGCACAGCCGCTCCTCGGCAGGGCGCAATCAACATCCGCACAGTTCCCCACCATCCCCGTCGCCGTGCACGGGACCGGGCGGGGTACTTTCCAGACCGTCCCGGTGCAGGACAAGCCATACACGATCCCGTCGGACACGTACACGGCGCTCGGCGGTGGTGACTCGGCGCCGTCGCCCGTGGCGTACTCGCTGGCGAGCCTGGGCGCGTGCAGCCAGGTGACGGGCAGCGTGGTGGCGCGCGACCAAGGGGTTGCGCTGGGGGTTTGGAGCGTGACGGTGCGCGGCGCGCTGCCGAAGGCCGTGCTGGTCGGCGGCGCGGCAGAGGGGAATCCCAATTGGGAGGGCGTCGCTGTGGAGGTGAAGGTGCAGACGGATATTCCCGGGGGCAGCGAGGCGGCGGGGTTTAGACATTTTGTGAGTGAGACGGAGCGCCGCTGTCCGATTACGCAGCTGTTTAAGCTGAGCGGGGTCAAGTTTGAGAGTGAGTGGGTGAATGAGGTTCTGCCGAAGGGGTAGTGAGTTTGTTCGTATGTGTTTGTGTTTGTGTGTATAATTATGTAGTGGTGCGAATGATAAAAGAGTCTGCAATTTTGGGCACAACAGCAGGGGTGAAAAGGTTCAATCAGTTTTGGCTCTTCTTGAATTCAATTTCAGTTTCTGAAAAGCCCTGGGAATGACGCTCTGTGCCATTGACATGGCAGACGAAACTCAAGCAGACCAAGGTATAGCCAGCTGGCATCCTTCGCTTTTGTATAAAACACAACAGGCCCGAATATAAACCCAAACACCACGCTCCTAGTCACAAAGGGGGGAGTCTACCCCGACCAAGCCGTCACTAAACAGCCATCCTCCTCCGCCCAACCGCCCTCCGCACCCCAGCCCCAGCCCCAGCAGCAATCTCCGTAACCTCAGCAACGTTCGCACCCGTCCCAGCAACGTTCGCACCCGTCCCAGCCCCGTAGAAACAGTCCCTTCCATCAACCACGGCGCGCATGCGCTCCAGCTGCGCCGTGAGCCCGCGGTTGCGCCTCTCGAGCCCGAGCACGGCCTCGCGCGCGAGCTGCAGCACGGCGGCCTTGCCGAGCGTCTTGGTGCTGCTGCCGTCGCCGAGGCTAGCGCCATCAGCATAGGTGTCGCTCTCCCCATCCCCATTGTCGGCCTGTGCCGCCATCGTCGCCGCCGTCTCGTGCAGCGCGGCCAGCAGCAGCTCGAACTGGTGGTTGAGCCGGTTGCGGTATTTCTTCTCGACCAGGTTGTGGCAGCTGCGGCGGCGCTTGTCGTCACCGCCGTGGCTGCTTGCCAGGCTTCTGATGCTACTGCCCTTGCTGTTCGTCGTCTTGCCCACGCCGCGCATGCGGCTGGCGCGGAGCTTGGGCGCAGGTGCTGTCTGGGGGCTTGCAGCCCGCGTCGGTTTAGTGGCCGTGGGCGGGTTGGGGGTCGAGCTAGAACCCATGTCGTCCTCGCCGTGGCTGTCGTTCCAGGGGCTGAGCGCGTCGAGCGGCGAGCCAAGGTCGAAGTCGAGCCCGTCGGCGGCGCCGAGCCGGATACTGCTGCTCAGAGAGAGGCTGGCGGGCTGGAGCGCGGGCGACCACGGGTAGGATGACGAAGACGAAGACGACGGGCTTTGAGAGAATTCGTCCGCGGGCGAGCTGTACGCGCTAGACGCGAACGCGCGGTCGGTCTCGGGCGAGACGAGATTGGCGGGCTGGCAGGAGGCAGAGTCGTTGGGTGCTTCCGAGCCGAGAGTTGTCAGCGGCTCCCAGAATAGATTGTCGTCGTCAAACTGAGTTGCCGTGTTAGCATTGTAATTATTATCTTGTTGAACGAGGAGACGAGAACTCGCCATGAGTGCCGTGTCGTTATACCACGGTGTCGAGAGGTTGATGGTATCGAATTGGGGGTCCATGCCGGATGATGTGGTTGACTTTGGTATGTCCGATTGGAGACAAGGCTGTGAGTGGCAGAAAACTTGGTCCTGTTCGTGTGGTGCTTGGTGATCCTTGCGAGGCTCGTCATGACTTGGATGACTCGGGGACTTTCGACTTTCTATATGCAGGGCGCGGAGTCTCAACGGACGACGCTAGCACGGGACGCTAGCACGGGACGCTAGCACGGGACGCTAGCACGGGACGCTAGCACGGGACGCTAGCACGGGCGGGACGAAGCACTCGCTAAGCACTACTACCACAGTGCGGGAGGCTCGGTGCAGGACCGAGGGCCGCCGACCCAATGGGACGACAGCAAACTGCGACCGCCCGCCCCGAGCCTGCCGAGACCACCGAGGCCACCGAGCCCGCCGAGATCGCCGAGCCCGCCGAAACTTCCACCTCGGCACACTAATTCGAGGTCTAGACGACTTAGGTAACCGCGACGAGATAACAATAGCCGCATCATTGCAGCAAGTGGGCAGATGGCGCTTAGTCGCGGTAGCGGCAGTGAGTAAGAAACGGCACCGGGCGGCATCCCTTAAAAACCCCCAGGCCCGGCCATCGCCTGGTTGACGTGAAATTATAGAATTAAACCCGAATGCTACAGGAGCTCGTCCGCAACGCCGTCGCTGCCCCACGTCGTAGACAGCCGCAGGTCCGCGCCCCAGAGAATGCGCTCCATCTGGGCGTAGGGAGACGAGCCCTGCGAGGCCTGCGAGCCGTCGTCCCCTCCCGCGGCTCCGTCCTGGATGTTGAAGCGCTGCAGGGCCTCGACGGCGCGGGTGACGGGGCCGGGCATCTCGGAGGCGTCGGCGTACTCGAAGCTGAGCATGACGGCGACGAGCTGGTCGAGCATGAGGCGCACGCGCTCGCTGCGCGCCGGCTCGCCCAGGATTCCCAGCAGCAGCGCCGAGCCGAGCGAGCGGTGGACAGCCGCCCAGGAAGTTCGTGCAAAGGCCGTCAGGTTCTGCAGCTTGGCGAAGGCGTCGACCGTGTCGACTAGAGCATCGATGCAGACGCGCCGCAGGGTGGCGACGACGACGTCGCTGTTACCGTGGCCGTGGCCGTGGCTGTGGTGGTGGTGGTGTTCGCGCTGCTTGGCCAGCATGGGTCGGCACAGCTCCGAGACGACGTACGAACGGTGCAGCCGCCAGTTCCAGTGCTCCAGGTGGTCCTTCATCAGGGCGCACGCCGACGGCTCGCGCAGGTGCGCCTGCGCCTGCTGCGATATCGCCTCGACCTCGCGCCGGCGCTCTTCGATGCGCTGCAGCTCGCGCTGGAAGCTCGTCCGCTGGGTGCGGCTGCCGACGACGTCCAGGGCGATGGTGCACAGCTGGAGCATGCACTCTGTGTACGAAAAGCCGTCACCGGGCGGTGCCAGGTGCGGCGTGTCCCACCGTGTCAGGTTTGCCGTGGGAGTCGCTCGGTCGTAGGATATGGACAGCAAGCTGTCCTGCCAGATGATGCGAGACCTGTTCCTCGGCATGATCAGCTCAAGTTTCCAGCTTGTCGGGTTCGCGGGAAGAGACTAACCAGATCTCGTGCCGCAGGATCCTCTCCTCGCTCGGCAGATCCCGCGAAAGAGGTTCATGGTGCAGCCCCATACCCTGTGCCAGCCGGATTGTCAAACCTTTGCAAAGTCAGCTCTTATCACGACGGCACCAAAGCAGCAAGATGTCGGCGCACCCAGCAGCGCCCAGGCTATGCCGGCGTTCATCGAGTTCGATATCACATTCCCGAGCACGAGGAGGTTCTGGATGTCGTCGAGTTGACTGCACGACAGATAGTTGACGATGCGCAGGCATTCGTACGCGCAGCAGACTGTGGAGGCTGAAGAGTCAGCAAGTCACCAAGACGCCTGGGAAGGAGGGTGAGCAAGGCGCGCACCGTAGACTTGAGAGGTGAGCTGGCGCTCCCGGCGCGACAGGTTTGAGCACTGGTAGCCCGAGGCCAGGCAGGCGAACAAGAGGCCGAGCCAGTGTACGGTCTTGCCGTAGACGTTTTGCTCGGTCAGGGGCAGGGGGGCCGGGTCGGCGGTCTGGGTGGTGCGGGTGACGAGGAACCTGGTGACCTCGGACTCGAACTGGTGCATGTTGACGATGGCTGGAAAGAGGACGTGGGCCGTGTCGCGGTACTGGCGGACGTGCTGCAGGCACTCGGAGTCGGAGGGCAGCATGGCGCACAGCTTCTCGATGCGCACGGGCGAGGCGTGGGGCAGCCCCCAGAGGTCGACAAAGGGGTACGTGGTGCTGTCGTTGTCGAGGGTGAAGATGGGCAGCACGCTCTTGTCGAGCAGGTCGCGCACCATGGACACGGACGCCGACGGCTCGTTTTCGGGCTGCTGCTGGCTCAGGGCCAGGGCCATGGCCATGGCCGGCACCGAGTGCGCCCCGAGGAACACGTGCTCGCCCGTCACGGGATGCACCGAGTGCACCGCGTCCTGCGTGGTGCCGGTGCCAGTGCCGACGCCAGTGCCGGTGCCAGTGCCGGTGCCAGTGCCGGCGCCGACGCCAGTGCCGGCGCCGTCCGGGTGCGAGACCGAGTCGGGGTCGGCTCCATTGGCGTCATTGGACGAGAGAGAGTCTTGGCTGGCGGCGGGGTTGTACTCGTGTGTCGCCACCGCGGGCCAGCGGGCCAGCTCGTCGCGCACTGCCCGCACCCCTTGCTCCAAATTGTCGATCTTGGCCACCAGCTGGTCCCAGTCGCTTCTGGAAGGCGTCCATGTTGGCTGTCCCGGGGCCGGTGTTGGCGGTCCCGGCGTCACCGAGTAGGCAGATGAGACGGGAGATGCGAGCTGGACACTGTGGGCAGCGAAAGCTGCATTCACAGTCGCAGTCGCAGTCGCAGTCGCAATCGCGGCTGCGGGCCTCGCCAGGAGGACGCGCTTCACTGGGGCATCATAGATACACAATTGCGGGTGCTGTCGGTCGCTGCAAGTCTGGCAGGGCAGTTCGTAGCTGCACCGGACCTTGCGGATCCGGCACGGTCCGCATGCCCTCTGTCCCTGCGCAATCGCTCTACGCTTCCGCCGCTCGCCCTCGTTGTCGTCGGAAGCCGTCCGTCGTGGCTGGAAATCCATTCTAGTGGTTGCGTCGGGCGGTTGCGTCGGGTGGTTGCCGTTGAGATGCCGATAATCGAAGGTCGGCTGCCGTCATTGGGCGTTCACGGCCCTGAACACCCCCTAATGATCAGCCCTGCCAGCGTCCAATCAGCGGTGCACGAGCAGCCTAACCTTGCACCACGGTGCGGAATTTATCCGCGCCAAGCAAGAGAGCCGAGGATAACGGCCAGCCGTCTGTCACTCACCTCGCTCGCTCGGCCAGGTCGATGCAGAATAACAAATGAAAGAGAGGTCCATCCGGTGAGGACCCTTACGACTTCAAAAGGTTTCTTGGAATGGAGCCAAGACGGCACCCATGGAGCCGGCCGGATAGTGAGGCTAAGCTGGGACGAAAAAGTCCAAGAAAGCACCCAACGGCCAGAGATTCTGGTCGAGACACTAGTTGAGGGTAAAAACGTGAAAATGGCTTTCGTTGACACGACGTCCTAGGTGAATAATTAGCAATTCAAACTCCAACCGAATAATAATTATTGCCGCAACCCATGATCGACGCAGCCGCCATCCGCCATCCGCCATCCGCCATCACACCTCGGTCTCGATGCCCTGCCCCTTGTCGCTGTGGTGAAAGGCATCGACCGCCTTGCCCTTGCCCTCATTGACCTTGTCGGCCATCCAGTCCAGCGTCCTAGCCGCCTTCCACTGCATCACGCCCTTGTGCTGCCGGTGCAGCTGCTTGTGGTGGCGCTTGTAGTCCTGCATCTGCGACACGACCCCCCTCGTCCCGTCGTCGTCGCTGCCGCCCTTCCAGTTGAGCAGCGGTGACGTCTGCTGCTTGAGCTTAGCCGGCAGCTTCTTGACCGGCTTGGCGAGCGATTTGCTCCTCCCGCTGCCGCCGCCCTCAGGATCCGACTCTCCACCAGATGAAGACGACGACGACGAGCTGTCGCCGGCTTTGCGGAGCATCTTGCGCTTTTCGGCCTCCTCGCGCGACTCTTGCTTCTTCCCTAGTCCGTCGCCGTCTTCGTCAGACTCGGATGACGACGAGTCAGTGTCCGAGCCCGAGTCGCTATCAAACCCCAGGCCCGAAAACGAGTCGTCTTTGCTCGCCCCCACCTCGCCGTGGCTGTCCTTGGCACCCTGATCATCGACCTCGGCCTCGCCCTCGCCCTCGGCCATCTTCTCATCATTGACCGTGTCTAGCACCTCCATGACGCCCCTAACATCCGCGTTCCTAGACCGGTGAGAGTACGCCTTGTGGAACCCGCTCAGCCCGCGCCAGAATCTGACCGTGAGCTCCATCTCGCCGAGGGGCTTCTCGCCGTCGTCGAGCCCGTTGTAGTTGGCACACGCGCGCGCTCGCTGCAGCTGCTTCTTGCCACCCTTCCACACCTGCAGCGTCACCGTCCACTCTTCCTCGTCCGGAATCGACCCCAGCCACAGCACGGCCAGCCCTGGCGACCCGTCCGCCAGGACCGACTTATGGCGGAACTCGATGACGAGCGGCGCCGCGTAGCGCTTGATAACGCCCAGGAACACGCCCTCCTCGGTCTGCTTCTTGGGCCTCCACGCCCCGCCGCCGCTGCTGCCGCCGTCGTCTTGGACGGTGTGCATCTTGGCCTTGTTAATCTTGGTCTTGAATTTCAGCTTGCACTGCCGGAGCTGCTCCGGAAAGTCGGCGCTGGTGATCTTGACGGGAGCCTTGACCTCGATGGTGCCGTAGTCCCAGCCCATGAGCTCACGGGGCATCTTGAGCTCGACGCTGCGCCAGACCATGCTGACGCGTGCGCGGCCGTACCCGATGCCGCCGGCAAGGGGGTAAGTAGCCATAGTCTGGCTGCGCTTCTTGAACACGCGCCGCAGCGGCAGGTACACGATGCCGAGGAGCGGGTCGTTCTCACCCTCGCGGCTGTCGCGGACTGACACGATGACCTCGGCGGTTCGCCAGTCCTTGACGAAGCGCTCCGTGCCGGCGTTGAAGAAGGGCTTGGCGTTCTTGGGCTTGGTCCGCGTGCGGTAGACCTTGGTGTGGTTCAGGATGATGGTGCAGTAGCTGTCGGGCAGGTCGTCCGACTGTTCGGCCTCGTCTTCTCTGTCCTCGCCGTCCCCGGCGCCGTTTGTCCTGCTCCGGTTCGGCTTAGCCACCTCAAGCCCCGTCATGTTGTGAATCTGGATGCTCAGGATCCCGCTCGGCAGATCGTCCAAGGGCGGCGCCGAAATGATCATGGCATCTTCCATCTCCTTGCAGTCTTGCACCTCTTGCTGGTGCAGCTCCTTGGACGTGTCTTTGGAATCGAGCGCCTCCCGTAGCTTGGACCTTGCCGTTTCCGACACTTGCTTTTTGAGTGTGTCTAGACTGCGAATGCTGGGGTCGACCGTCTGCTGATCAAGCTGGGTCTGCTGGATATGCGCCTTGGCAAAGTAGCCGACAGACCACATTATCTTGCCGGGCATCTTCTCGTCTGGATCTTCCGCCCTCAGCTCGTCTTCCCGGTCGCACATCTGGTTTTTTGTCTTTGAATCGTGCATAATCTCCTTGAGGCGGAGCTCAACACGTCCCAAGTCGTCGTCGGCCGTGTGCTTGTCCGAATCCCAGATCTGCAGCCGCAGCGTCTCGTCGGCGTTGATCTCGTCGGGGGACACGAGAATAGACGCCCACTCGTCCCAGTTTGGCTTCTGATCGTCGACAATGATGCGGGTACACGCCTGCGGTTTCCCAAATTTCCCCCACGAGGCGGTGACGTACGAGTCGCTCGATCCCTTCATTGGCCCGAAGCCGCCGTCGCCGTCTTTGAAATCGCGCGCCCGCTTGATGTGGACAAGCACGACGCCGCGCGCCACCGTGTCCTTCTTGAAGTCGTCGCCGACGAGCATCTCCTTGAGCGCCAGCGTGAGCGACTTTGGCGCCACGTATTCGGCCAGGGCCGCGTCGATGGATGACTGCACAAACGTTGAGATGAGCGGCACGTCCATGAGATTCAAGCTGTGCTTGGACAGCGGAACACACGAGATGTCGGCTCGTGGCTGGCCGAGAAACGTCAGTGTGCAAAGGTCGATGAACGGCGGGTCAGGAGTCAGCTGGAGGCGAAGACGCATAATCCCGACGATGCCTCGCAGCTCAACCCAGACGGGCACGGCAATACCGCCGGGCAGGTAGAACTTGAGGTAGAGGTGCGCGTTTTTCGCCTTGCTCTTCATAGACTTGCCTGACGATCTCGCCCGATACGAGAAGGCGAGTTCCATGTTGACAAAGTCTCCCTCCTCGGCCTCCATGCCTTCGCGGATCGCCTCTGCATCCTGGGACCGGTCCTTGCCGTCCCCCTCGCCCTCGTCACCGCCATCCCCTTTTTGTTGCTTGCCGTCATCGCCGTTGTCGATTTCTCCTTCGCCAGGCGCAGCTCGGTCGTTCGACTTGCTCGACTTGCTCGCCTTGCGGTTGCCTTGCGAATCGACCGACTGGCCCGCAGCACCGGTAGGGAGCCACTTCACGCCCAGGATACGGATGGCCTCGCTACCCTGGCCGAGATCATCGACGCTCACCATGCGCACAACCTTTGGCAGGGACGCCTGCATGACATCCTCGAGCGTGTCGACCAGGGACGCAAACAGGTCGGGGTTGATCAGTGGCCACATGGACATCAGCATGCTGTTCAGCCAGGCCGCCGACTCTGGCAGCTCGGTGCCCGAGCCGTTCCGTTCCGTCTCGCGCATCCTCGCGGCATCCCATATTTCGTCCTCGAAGACGTCCTCGACTCTTTTGTCCAGCCAGCCAGAAATGGCGACGACAATGCCGAACGAGCCAGCACCCGCCAATCCGAGCACCGCCAAAACAGATGGCCACAACCACCAGCTCCGGTATCCCTCGCCGGGGCGGTGGAGCCACGAATTCCCACCCACGCCAGCTGAGTGGTGGCTGGAGCTTGACTGGAGAAGCGTGATGAAACCGATGGCGAGCAGAGCCAGCGAGCTAACAGACGCCAGGCCAGCGACAAGAGCCGTGCGGTAAGTACTGGCCATCTCGCGCTTCGTGTCTTCAAACTCGGGCGGCGGGAACATCATGCGCATGCCTTGGTGACCACTGTCGATACCCGCCTTCTCTTTTCCCAGCTGCTGCTGCGACTTTGAGGCGCCGCCGAGGCCAGTCAGGGTGTGCGGCGTCTCTCCCACAGTCGCTTCGTTCTCGGGCACTGCGCCGAGATCCTTGTTGGTCATGTCGTGGATCACCATGGGCAGGTGGGTGACGGGGTCGGTGACTTCCCTGCCGCCCCCGCCCCTTTTGGTCTTCTTCATAGCCTTGCGCTTCTCCTTTGGGTCGATTGAGGCGGCGACGGTTTCGGTCGCCGACTTGTCCTTCGAATCCGGCTGGTCGCGACTGCCATCGTTGTCTGACTCTGAGCCCTCGACGTCCTCCTGCCTCGGGTCATGGCCGCCTTGGACGGCGCCACTCTCCGAGTCGTCTCCCGGCGGACCTGAAATTTGGTTCCGGTTTGCGGTCGGATAGGGATCGTGGACGGCCGCCTGGCGATCCTTGTTTTTGGCGATGGCCTTGACCGACTCATATGCGCGTTTGGCCCTCGAGTCACCGGCATCGCCGGCTGCAGCCCGCTGTCCTGCAGCATCATCCTGGTCCTGCTGGTTCTGGAGGTCCTCGGTCTCCTGTTGGCGCTCCTTGAGCTCGGCGCGGTGCTCGCGGTAGCCCTGGACGGTGGGCACGGGGTGTTTGGACGTGTAAGGGCCGCCGTGGGCCTTCCGGGGGCCCCGCTCTTCCACGTCATCCATTCTATCGTGTTCCTGAGCGTAGAAGTACGTTGTAGATCTGGATCAAACAGAACTACCTAGGGTGTTCGTAGGCGCAAATAGGAAAAAAAAATAGGTAAGCAAACGTGCGGCCTAGGCTCGTTTCAACTGTTAATCGCTCATGAACCACCCATCGCGGCACTCCGAAAAGAACGAAGAAAGCGCGTCTCCGTCTTTTCTTGCATGTGTTTCATCCCAACCTGCTCCTGCCCCGATTCATGCAGATGACGCTTGTTTGGGTCACGGTTCAGGCAGGCGTTGGGGAGTGCCCCAGCGGATGACGCGCCTGACGTCACTGTGGGCAGCCCTGGCCCTTGGTGAGCCGCTAACCGTTGACAAGCGTTACAGTGGCTCCACATGCCAAGCCTGCCAAGCTTCATCCAAGACCCTAACCCTAACCGTACGTACTGACAGTTGGTGGGCAACGACAACGACATTGGAACATCGCCAAGATAGGGAATCGCTGCGAGATTCAAGAAAAGCATTTATTTATCATCCCATTGCACTCTCGTTACTCTGCCGTTGCAATACAGTTGCTTCGAAAATGAGTTAAACAGACTTGCGACCTTACCTAGAATATCACCTCCTAATAAGAGCACATTAAGAAAACGAGGAAAAGTCACTTCCAGGACTACCACCACGTAGCTCGACAATTATCGCTTGATCCACGAGCTATTTATATACGCAACAAATACATCGCCCCAGCTTGAGTTTCTCGTGTCAGTGCTAGGTGCCTCATCATTGGTTCCAGCTAGAATGTCATCGATGTCATAATTACTCATAGTCACAAATTAACCCGGTACCTAACTGCCCGGCTGAGGTTATGAGACTGAAGAACGCTAATATCATCTGGAAGTCTCTCTTATAATGTGATTACTACGACATTCGAGCAGTAGCTCACTAACCGTCTCATACTCCTTGTGGTACACTGTTTCTAGCCCGGCTTGAGTCAAAGAAGCATCTCGTGATCAAACACGAAACCCAGCCACTGCAACGGCGCCGCCGACCTTTTTGCTTGTTTTGTTTGCTCCGCATTATCTGCCAAAGCATTGGTATATGCTGCTTTGTGGTTTTTGTTTGTTTACCCAACTAGCCTCATTACGCTCAACTTTGTCTCATCAAGAAGAGTCATTTGGGTCTCACTGGAATCGGCCCGTTGTGGCGCAAAACCACCACCCCCCCGGTCAAGCGTGCGCATATTGCATACGAACCAGTAGGGCGTTATACCTAAACCACCTTCCCCTCATCTCAACTTGGGTACCATAACTGTTCCACTGTTCCAGAAATAAACTTCTTGAACCGTCGGCTAGTGTCTAGCGGTCATTCAGCCCTATTCTTGCTCTTCTCTTTTCCAAAATACAGGCGGGTAAATTGCCGTCGTACGGTTTTGAAAAGACTACAAACGCCCGGCCCCCCTCTATGTAACTTGGGCTGCCTAGTCTTCCCGGACACGTCCCCGGCGAGCGAGTCCCGAGCCCGAACTTGTCAACGTCGGTTCAGCCTCCTCTTTCTTCCCGCAAACACACCAAAATTAGCAAGGCACACCCCGCACATCACACACACTTCTTTCACCACAACAACCTCATCTCAACAACGTCACATCGGAAATGGAGTCTCTCGAGCATGATGATGTCGCCTCAGGCGCCGTGCCCGCCCCCCCGCCCCCCCCGCCGCCGTCGCAGCTTTTGCATCGTGATGGCGTACCTTCCTGTTCCCTCACCCGCGGGGGTGGGAGGTGCAGAGGGCGAGTCCGACAAGACCGTCGCCGGCGGTAAGACCACAAACATGACCATATTAACCCCCACGTCATCGCCACATCTGTGCGCTAACACAGTATTCGCCCCATTCTCAGACGAGGAAGAAGCCACGCCCGCCACATCCGTCACCGCCGGGCTGGCAGCCGCGCTCGACCGCGGCGCGGCACGATACTGGGCGGCGCAGGAGCAAGCGACGCTGGCCAAGCTGGAGGGTCAGATGGCCGCGGCCGAGGTGCAGATCGCCGCCTGGAAGCTGCAGCCAGACGCGGGAAACGCGCGGCAGGGAGCCCAGAGGCGGTGGGCGTGTGAGCTGCGCGATCACAAGCGCGCCACGCTCAAAGCGCTGCGAGAACTTCGGCAGCAGCAGCAGACGTCGACATCCGCGACGCAGGACGCATGGCTCGAGGAGCAGCTGCAGGCGGTGCAGCTGCAGGAACGAACGGTCAACATCCAGCGCAATTACGGGGCCAACGAGCTGCGCGCGGTTGTCCATGGGCCGTACCACAAGCACTGCGAGCGGCTGTGCGCGCTGAAGCGTGAGTACAGGGCCACGCAGCGGCGGTTCGGGGCTCTGCTGGGCCGGCCAGGCACCAGCCGCACGGGAAGCGAGGCGGGTGCGGCCGGATCGCCAGCACTGTCGCAGGCGGCAACGGCGACGAGCAGCAGCAGAGACAGTAAGATATCAGCGGGCCACAGTTCTAGCACGGACAGGGAGTCGGCTGCGAGGCTAACAGCAACACAACTCTAGACACTGACAGCGAGGATGGTGACGGTACCAGCGGCAGCGGCGGCAGCGGCGCCTTCTCGCGGCAGACTGCCCACATCAACTGGCTGCTGGCCATGAACAGACCTGCGCGTACCTCCTGGTGGGCGGAGACTGACAAGATGCCGGTGGCGCTGCGAGACCTGTGGCGTGAGCGACTCAAAGCTTCGGAGGATGGCAAGAGCGCAACCGCCGGAGATGACTCGGCCGACGAGGAGACGGCACTTGACACCAACGACAAGGAGAAAAGTGCGGAGGCTGGCGACGAGGAGACGGATGTGGAGGCCGACGACAAGCTTTGATTGCTCGATCGACTACCTTCGGCATGGCACCTCCTAGCTGGCAAATTCCGCAGGGAATGTCGCGGCCGGAAATTTTGCTGCGTTGTGTTGTGAGATATCGATTACTCTGCTTTATTAGAGCGATGACAGAATCACTACTACCAGAAACTCATGGACGCCGCCGCTCCCTGTACGAAGAGAGACATGGTAGGATCCATGGTTTTCTATATCAGAGTCCGTCACGGAATTATTTGCTTCTCGTCGGTTTGGAAGGGCCATACTGAACACGTCTCGTTGGGACATAGACGCAAGGATAAGGAATAGCGACTGGCCGGGTTGGACTTGCGTTGAGCTGCTTGCGTTGAGCTGGGGACAGAGTCTGGCAATAGGGAATAATTGGAACTTGGAGGGCTGCAAGGAGAAGACGGATGGCACCACAAGAGGCACCGGCAGAGAAAGGCCAACCAAGCATTAGCTTTCCGGTTCACAAACAGCATGTACGAGTAACCACAATGAATTTGTCAGATTTCGCCCATCGGAGTGTACTATGGTGTTATGGGTAAGAAAAATAGGCCTGGCACGGACCACCCTACTAATGCAAGAAAGACACCCTGAGATGCAGAGCTGTCCTAAAATACAGACCTCGCATTGTAGAACTCAAACAGGCTACAAATACTATACAAAATCAATATTTTATATGTATTCCATTCGCATCAATGACGGCCTGGCATCTTTCCGGTTGAGGCGAGTAATTCGGCCAGGTACGACTCCGGCAGTGCATCCCAGGCCTCCTTAACGTACCTCCTGAGTTTATCGTAAGAAGGATTCTCTTCTAGGCCCTAATTATCCTCGATATAATCCTTCATCCAGTTCCAATATATCTCAATAGGATTCAGGTTAGGCGAATATACTGGCCAGGATACGATTCTTATTCCCCGGGCCTCTAATTCAGCTTTTGTATCCGTAGTAGTATGACCAGGAGCCCCATCCTATATTTGAATAAGCTCCTCGCCGGAATGTTGCTTCCGAAAGCGAATCCAGCCGTCAATAATAGGCACGATTCGCTTGTAATAGCTCTCCTTATTGATTTTGCCCCATTCTTTCTCCCAGAATAACCCAGGGCCTTTAACTAAGCCGTAGAAATAACCCCAAAACATCTAGCCTCGCTTCTGCTAGTGCCTTTCTACTATATAGGTCGGATCCTATTCCTCTCCTGGCCGGCGTATAACGTATTGTGTTGGAATAGCGATACTGGTGACCGCACACTAGCAGGGAGGAAGCAGAGATCGCGCGAGTACGCACGTGCAAGTAGGCACGTGCGGCGCGCGGACCTCACACCACACACAAAAACCCCGGTCGCACGCAGAACCTACCTTAGTTCCGCAGAGAGAGGGAGGGAGGAGAGAAGACACAACATTACCCCCGGTAGATCTACCAACCCTTCGACCTGTAGGATCCCTACGTAGTTTGAGTACCACGAACATATTGCCTTCGGTAATGGCCTCCTTTTACTCACGTTTCATCTGTCTAAAGAATCTTCTTCCATTACTCTGGAGTCCAGGAGATATGTTCTCTGGCCTACTCTAGGCGCGCTTGACGATTCTTTTTAGATAGTAGAGGCTTCTGACGAGCGATACGACGACGAAAACCGAGGCGGTAGAGGGCTTCTTTAATTACCCAGACTCCGAAGATTGCTGAAAAAGAATAGTTGAGAGCTCGAGGAAGGTTATCCTTCGATTTTTCTTACTTGAGTAAATAAATTCGACTAATTCTTCTCTTGCTCTAGCGAAAGAACTCTGGGGCGGCTAGGTCTCTTTTTCGGCTCTTTTTCTCGAATCGCTTACCGGATTTGCGCTTTTGTAAAAGAGGGGAGCCGGCTTTGGATTTCGGTCTTAGAGAGGCCTCTATCGAAGTATAGCGTACGGATGCGAGTATGGTCGGCGAGGGTCAGTTGCTTAATTCCAGAGGTCCCTTTTGGGCGAGCCATTGCGAAGATGACGATTTGAAATGCAGAATGGTGGAATTTAGGGGTGAAACGTCGGATTTTAGCATTCTGGTAAATAGAAGGTCGTAGAAAGAACCTGATGGGTGGAAGTGGGGCGCCCCACAGGTACATGACAAGGAGTATTTTCTTTTGGCTCGTAACCATAGTATGACCAAATAACTGCCCGTGCGAAAATGGTCGAGCACAGGGGTTCCTGCGTAGAATAGGGGGTAATGAGAACTCCGTCGCCAGAAATGGACGCGGCCTCTGTCGCCGGCGCGAGCACCCAGCCAGAATGGTCTGCCAGGATTGGGAATGGAGGTGAGGTCGTCAGCGATAAAACCGGTGGCTGGGTCTGTGGCGACCCGGGGGAGTAACCCAACGGCAGCTCCATGCCGTTTCGAGAATGCCATTGCCTTCTGATCGGATTTCCACCAGTCCAAGAGGCGACCGAGCAGTGAGTCACATGGTGGATGGTGGCGATGGGGGAGAAACTGCACCGGCCCAGTTGGGCAAAAAGACAAGCCTGCGAAATCCCGGCAAGGCAGGTGAATTGTTTGAGGCGGATGTCGTTGTTCGTCTACTCCATAATAAGCCCACTTAAACACCGGACAAGCAAATGCACCAGGTACAGTACTACGAGTGGGTACGCTAGTGACGGTCCAGGGAATATGTCAGTTGCATCAGCCCCAATGGGGAGGCCGAGCATCTTGCTTTTTCTTTTCTTGCTCTCGTATCCAAACCATTGGTTCCCAGGGCATTGCTTGACGCGCGTGGTCCGAGGTGAGCATCATAGCTAGTTTAAACCTCGACATCTCATGCAGATCTCGAAAGGACTGGTGTTGTGGCGAGAAGGGCTGCGTCATCTTGGCATGCATATGCCGGACAGGGGCCCATTCAAGGCAGACCTTGGATGATATCCGAGTGGGAAAAAGGGAAGCCGTGGCTTGACCAATAGCCCACGGGACCCACTCAAAAAAGTTGTGCACCAGCTGTGGCAAACGTTCGTGGCGGTGCACTGGGTTGGCCATACAGGACCAATCGGGATCGAAACTGCTTTCGCCAGGGGTTGCACGTCAAGGGCCGCTGAAGTTCTAGAACAAATCCCGGAAACACCTCGACACAGGTCAACTTTCGTCCCTTGTTCAGGGCTGTCACTGGAGGAAAGCCGATCAACCCCTGTCAAGCTGATCTCTAGCATGTGACGTTTCTCCCTTTTGATTCCCTTTTTTGTATTAAAAAGGGAATAAAAAGGTGATAACGGGGAGAGAGGGTAAGAGTTTCCCCGCTGGCCTAGGAAAGTCGGGACAGGGCGACTCCGGCAAAGAGCTGAATGAACTAAGTACAGGGCAAGGCGTGGCATCTATCCACCAAGGGCACACCACTGCATGTCCACCTATCCCGCTAGCATCAGTAGACGCGGAACTCCCCGAGACAATGTGCTACCGGTCAGTACATGCATCACAGTAGTACCCTGTAATATACAATGCTGATTGGGATGCTGTTCGCTCAATGTTTGCCATGCGGCTCACGTCGGCCATTCACGTGTGTACGCAGTAATACATACAAGGCAAGATGTCTCTATCGTTCCCAGAGCCTTGCCATATGAATTGGAGACACACACGTCCCCAACCCCAGCCGTTTTGGTTAATCATGGTGGGGTAATTGCTCTCCTTGCTGATTGGCATCTATTTGGCACTTGTTTCTCGTGGGAATATAGTATTGATGGGCGGGGGGAAGCTCGGCGTTGATCAGTAACATAATCGAGAAGCTTGCCGCAGCAAAGCCGTAATAGACAGGCCGAGACATGCTTCCTTCGGTAAGTCCGGTTTATGGCTAATACCGATTGCTTTATTTTAGTGAATTCTCATTTTCTGTGTGGTATTTAGACGCGCCGCTCTGGCTTCATGTAGCGAGCACGAGCGACGAGGAGTCGTCAGGATGGATTACTTGCAGATGAGGACAGTGCGGCGGCGGATTTGCAGGCAGCTTTCGAGGGGTACCGCCAAGTTGGGGAGCGGGGAAGGAGGGGGGAGAAGAAGCTCTTCTTGGGACTAGCTGGCCCACCCAAGGTAAGGAGGAGTCTGAGCTCGAAATCTTGCATGGTCGGGGGCGAAAGTGAATTTGCCTCTGATAAATCGGCATCTGGTGCAAAGCGCATTCAGAGCTTGGTCTGCAGGGGTTGGCGACCCGGGCCTGGATGGAGCAACCTTTAGAACTAACTCAATCTCCACCGACCAGCTCGCCGGTTCCACTGACGATGGGTGTCCTCGGACGAAGCTTGGCCCTAGCCTGATATTGTTTTGGAGTCCACCCCGTCGTGTCGGGAAGCGAAGCGCAGCGCGGGGAGAGCGATACACCAGACATAGATAGGAACAAGCAAAGTATTATCCGTTCGGGTCGCGAAACGCGCGCGCGGACGGGCGGTCGTTATCTGACACGAGCCAGAGCCGAGCCGAGCTGAGCAGCCTGAGCCGGGGGCCGTACAGATGCCTGGCTTCTATTCCTTAGGCTTCGTGTTGATGCCCTCCAACCTGCAGGACGAGAAAGCGACGGGAGAAAGAAGCTGGGCTAGGAAAAGCTCCCCACCTTGACCTCCAGCAGTGCATGCACGCGGCTGTGGCCCAACGGCTGTGGCGTCCACACCCAGACATTGTCTTCCAGGTTGACAGGGGTCAAGACTCACAGGCTGCGGCAGAGCCAGGGCCCAGGCTGGCCTTATGAGCCCGTCCACGCACGCCATCGTCGGGAACCTGTGCTGTTGATGCCGTCGAGACCGGCTTCGACCATGCCCCGTCTGCAGAAGGGCGTATTTGCCATCGCGTTTTACCTTGTGATCGGTGTGTGTTACCTGGCAATATCCTCGCCGCGCAATTGTGGCACTCGCGACTTGGTAAACGTTTCGAGAGGCATTCGAGGCAGGAAAGCTCTCTAGGGTGTTTACAATTTATGCGGGGTTGGTATGCTGTATGTGTGGATACGGAGGCGGTTTGCATGGTTTGCAATCCGATTCTTCCCACTCTCTTGGGAGTTGGGATGATGGGCCCTTCTTTCTCAACCCCCGCCTCCCCCCATCCCATGTTCAGGCCAGGGACTGCCTGGCTCCAACTTGAGGCCCAGTACCATGAAGTGCCGACAGTCAACGGTTTTTCTTTTTTCCCGCAATTGTTTGTTTGTGGGGCAGAGCTGCGCTGCCGACAAGGCACCAAGGAACTGCTCGCAATCGTAACTGTAAATTTGGAATCTGAATGGGAAGGAGCCCTAGAGCATAATGACCTCGAAGGGCGGCGGCCACCCCACCATCTATCTCCCCTTGACACTAGCGCAAGGAAGGCGCCGCCTTCCAGGCTGGTGGTTGCGTCCCTCAGGGCAGGGCGGGGTGCGAAATCAAGTCAGCTGAGATTGGGAAGAATGGCTCGCAAGTTCCAGGCTGCTTCCTCCATTTGCATCCAAGACCCAAAATCGGTGGATCTCTCAAGCTTTTCTGTCCGATTCCACGGGCTTGCTCCCTCTACGGCAGCGTGGGAGGGGCCTTTTTTTTTTTTTTTTTTTTTTTTCCTTTTTTCTGCCTTGTCCATGAAGCCATCGCCGCGATAGCTCAAGCTCTCAGCAGAATGCAGGCGCAGAACCGCCTAGATATCCCAAGACGACCCTCGCAACGAACGAACCGGCATGGACCTCCCGAGGGCGTGCGGCGGGGCGGCTTCGGCTCGCCAGTGGAGAGAATAAGCTGGAAACAGCCATCCATGACCTTGGAGCCATCCATGGATTCTACCCGAAACGGAGCCAGCGCAGAGGGCAGCAGGCCGGCCCCCGGGGGGGGGGAGCAGGATCTGGCAGGCCGCAGTTCCAGGTCTAGAACACGCTGAGAGCAAATGTTCTTTTAGCGGGCAGCTTGTAAGCGCAGCGTGCCGCGCTGGCCAATCAAGCGCGCGACGGAGCGTTTGCTCCGGACAGCCTGCCTTTCGCCAGGTACGTACCACCCGTGGGTACTGCGGTGGCTCAACAGACTCAGGTAAGTGAGGTACGTACAGCACACAGAATGGAGGGGAAACTTCGAGGGAAAAGGAAAGCCTGCGGGTGCACAGATACTGGTATCCATGTGTTGACCGCCTATCACTCAAAGTGGGCTGCTGCGTTTCGGGCCAAGTACCCAAGTAGCCAGCAATCTTTTCCCTTCGGGACCGCTCCTTACGTGTCACAGTGGCTCACCTTTGCCACGATATCTTTTGCGGACGGTCTGCCCAAGTGGAAAGCCAGTGCCGTGGGGTTCCCGGTGGCAAGACGCAGCTGGCTGTAGCGGCCCTCTGTTGGCAGGGAGCGCCAGCTCATGTCCGGCTCGGATCCCTAGCCTCCCGCTGCCCTCCACCCCCCCTAAATGGTTAACGAAAACAACAACGAGGCTCACAACCGGGCAGCCACATCTCTACCCAAAGGATATATCAAGCCACACCAAAGCGAGAGCAGCCCCCAGGAGCAGTCAATGTCGCCCAAGGCTTCGGACACCGTCGGCCCCTCCCAATCATCATCAAACGTTGCGAGAGAATCCTCGATCGCTGGTTTTAATGTGTATTGAGCACATCACCAGTGAGTGCCCAGCCTGCGGGAAAAGTTACTTGGTCTATGTCGAGTTCTGCAAGGATTTCCACCCCCCTCTGGTGCGCTGCCCCAACGGCACTATTGTCCGCCGACTTGACATGGAAGAGGGAGGATGCCCGAGCCTGGTCTGCCCAAACAGCCGCAACGGCGGCTGTGCAGTGATGTAGCCATGCCAGAGATACGAAAGGAGGAAGTATGGAGGGAGGAGGAAGTCAAAAGGGGGCGGAGTTCTAACCATCACGTCGACGACAACTTCGGACAGCCCGGGCCGTCCGTCTTGCTCAAAGCTTGTGTCCTTCGGGCCCGACCTCGACAACCTGATCGATTCCCTCGTACTCCGGAACATCGAAATCATACTTTTTTGCGATAGCGTGCGTGACAAACCTGAGCGAGGAGATTAGCGAACTCAAGTCGGCGTTTGCCAGGGCGGGCACCCAGTACGTACCGACCGCCGATGAAATGACGACCACTGAAGAACTTGACAAGAGGTTTCGGCGCCGTCAAACTGACAAGGACATCAGGGTGGAACGAGCTGCCAGTTCCGGACTTGGGTGGCCCCTCCTCAATATTCCACGACGACGGGGCGTCGACCGAGGTCACCGGCACCTTGGTGTTGGCCATGGCCTGGATGACGGCGGGGAACGGCTCTCGGACCTCGCCAGAGAAGCTGAAGCCTGGATGCATTTAGCTGGGAGTTTAATCACAAGGCGGAGTGCGAGGTTGGTAGGTCTGGGGGAAGAAACCAACCGAAGATGGCATCGACCACATGGTCAGTCGACTCCAGGGCAGCTGGGAAGTCTTCGACAAAGGGAACATCGAGGTCTTCCAACTGCTTGACCAGGCGCTGCGGACACGAATAAGCGACTCGTCGACAGAGGAGCAGCAGGACCGAGAAGGGGGGAGGTTCACGGCAGCACAATACACGTATGCTACTGATGAAGCCTCTGCAGTGCAGAAGCATCTCTTTCGGAAGCAAGACAGGGCTCGGGAAGCTGGGTTAATATAAACAATAACAAAATTTGGCTCAAAGACCTAATCAGCAACTCGCCAGCATGCACTTGCTAGTTCGGGGCCGTGGGCAGTGATATGGTGGAAAAGGGTCCTGCTTTACCTGGTATAGATCGTTCTTGCTCCGTTTCGGGTAATAAACGGTGGGTAGAAAGCCGTAATGGCGGAGGTGGCGGGCTGCAACGAGGCCATCCCCTCCTGCAAGGCTGGTAAGCGCACTAGCCACCCCCTGAAACACATCAACAGTGGCTAACCGTTGTTTCCAGGGCCAACGGCAACAAGAACCCTGCTTCCCTGAGTGACGGGATGAACACGGTAAACTAGACCAACGGGTCAATAGAAGCCATAAATATGCCTGATGGGACTATAGGGAAAAGGAGAGGTCGGAATCCACTTGGGTGCCATTTTCCGGGAACGAGTCCGAGGGGGAGGAAAGGGGGGAGAAGGAAAAAAAGGAGGAGGAAGGAGTGAAATAAGGCAATAACAGACCGGCTTGGGAAACCGAAAGACCAGCCAGCTCCATCAGCTGGTCAATCGAGAAGGCGCCGGTGCTCATAAGGTCTCTATCGAGAGCTGCCGCAGCCTTTGCCGAGAGAGTCTAGACCCCCGGAGATAGTCAGACGAGAGCCTAGAACCGGACCATGCAATGCAACAATCCCAGCCAGCATATTTGTAGATTCGGCTAGCCAGCAAGTATAAGGGGCGAAAACAAACCCCACGCAACCGGTATGTGTTGTACACAAGTACAACAAAAGCCCGTGAGGGGTCTTGGACTAACACACCTTGAGCGCCATGATGGTACAAAAATCTGCTGCTGCCAGCTTGGTTAGGTAGGGCGGGTACGCAAGGCAAGGTCACGGAAGCCGAAGCCGTTCATAAGGCATGCGCACCGTGTGGCTGGAGCTGAGCTGAGCTGGTCAAAAGGCGACGCTGCAGAATGTACGAGTTGAACGAGAAATTTGGTAGAAAATGGAAGCGAGGAGAGAAACTAACGCCTGGAAGAATCTGCGCCTGTTTTGTCTACCTGTATCCGTCAAATTGCGCACTTAGCATTGAGAGAGGAAGTGGTGACGTTACTAGCACTTCTTTTGGTAGATGGATGGGATGGAAGGTGTGACCCGACTGAACCTACGACCTACACAGCATCTGATTGGCCAGCGGAACTGGGGTTTGTGGCTTTGCCTTCTGGGGTGATTTCTGCCACAGTCCGCCTCCGCGCGCCCGCCAATCAGTTCCGGCCCCTGAAACCACCGCCCACGCCTGAGCTTTCCAAACCTTCAAATTTCTGCAACCATCGGAGCAGCGGGCGATTCCCCGACATCACCAACCCACCGCCGCCAAACGAGACGATCCCGGCACTCGACTCCCGCCGCCATGGTCGTCAAGATGCGTCTTGCGCGCTTCGGCCGCCGTAACCAGCCCTTTTACAACATCGTGGTGACCCAGGCACGGTATGTGCATCCGATCTCTCTCGAACAGGCACGGGCGCGCACAGCTCCAGCGATGCACGCAGCTGCGAATTTTCTAGGACGAACCACACAACCGCGGCGCGTTCCTTGGAGGGCTTGATTCCTGACTCGGGCTGACTCAAATTCCCCTCCCCTCTAGAACCGCACGCGACAGCCGACCTCTCGAGGTCATTGGCACCTACGACCCGATCCCCAAGGGCGATTCGTACGACACGTCCGGCAAGCTGCACAAGGACATCAAGCTAGACAAGAGGAGAGCACAGTACTGGGTCGGCGTGGGCGCGCAACCGACCGAGACGGTCTGGCGGTTATTGTCAATGGTAAGACGACCGACACAAACCTCACTGAGACTCCGCTCGACCAAAGCAAAGCGCCTTGGTTAGAACGCCTTGACCGGGTATTGACGATATCTTCTTCCGTGTAGATCGGGATACTGCAGCCGAAAGTCAATCCGCCTCTCCCGAAGCAACGAGCTGTCCCCAAGTGGACAGGCTTGTTCGACACGAAAAAGGCCCCGGCGTCCAAGAAGCCGAACGCACCCCCGCCGCAACCGAACTGACCGGGACGAGGGGAGAGGATGCGGCAACTAGTTTTGTCGCTCTATTCGATATCAACCGCATGTACACAAAACAACAAGTCATCTGGGCACATTTTAGAAGGCGTTTTGGGGAGTGGCCTACACAACACTGTACTATACAACATGCAATTACCGATGACAGGAGGGAAGAAAGGGGGAAAATACACAATATACCCGATTATTGGTTCTCTGTGGTGAGAGGGAAATGGACCACCAGTGGTGCTTCCTGGGGCTGCGCTGCCTCGGGCGAATTCTGGATCTCGAGAAAGCATAACCGCCACCTGTTGACACAGGAGGCAGAGGGCTTATGCTAACAAATCTAGCCAACGGCGCACAGGGGATGATATCAACAAGAACAACCTTGCGTGGCCTACCTCTGCGGAACGACAATGCCTCAGCCTCTCGAGAGACGGAGAGAAAGACGTAGCCTCCAGGCGGACGGAGAGCACCCTGACGGAGAGGATGCACTAGGTCGTTCCAAACGTCAATTGATACTATCGGAGTTTTGTCAGTCTGTCGAGGAAGGCAGTCATTAGTCTCGTTTCCCCCTAAACCGATCAATGTGCCAATTAGCATAAGCTCTACAACAGGAGACGGGAAGGAGGGAGAAATTCAGGTATGCAATCGACAGCCACAATGACGAGGCCATGGGCAGCGTTTTCCCAAGACTACCAAAGTCGCTGAAATCTGAGCACCAAGTTTCTTTGCAAATCTTAGATTAGTGATATATATAACGACGCTGTAACTTCATTTCATTTGACTCCCTGAAACTACTAGAAAACAAAAAAGGGAAATCTGACATGCAAAATATCAGTATAACGTCTCTTGGGTGACAAAAAGTAACATTTTCGGGTTCCATATATACAACAATGCATCCATCCATGCCAACAACCCCCCACCTCGCTAATGCGTGTAAAAAGCAAACCCCAAGATTCTCCAGAAAACGCCAGCCGGGAATGGTCTTGGAGCGCACGACGGACCAGGCTACCTGTTCCCACGCGTAGTACACTAACCATATACAATGCAATATCCTACCTTAGTGATGCAAGGTATTTCAATCTTTTCTGCCCTTTTCAGAAACTGGATAGGACTACTTCTTCGAGTGTGATAAGAACGCATTCATGGACAAGCACACAATCATGACGCAGAACCCGTATATCGACAGAAGCAGGGCAAGCTTTCGCAGCAGCACTGTCTCGATGTGCTCCATATCCCAGCGCCACTTGCGCCGCCACCGCCAGCGGGATAGCCCACCGGCTCCTCCACCAGCTATGGAGTGAATGCTGGCGACGCTGTCCACTATGCCAGAGCCGGACGCCTCGGGGATGGAATCGTCCGAGGCGGCCTCGGAGAAGTCGGCGTCGTCGTCTTCCTTGGTGAGGCGCTGGTGGTAGATGCTGTCGGGGTCGCTGATCTTGTAGTAAAACATGCCAGGCAGGATGAACGAGATGGCCGTAGACCCTGTGCTGCCGACATATGCCAGAACCCGGTCAAGGCTTGACACGTTCAGAGCAGTGATGTAGCTCAAAACAAGAATTCCGCTGGTAATCAGCGCAAATCGTAGCTCTGACATGGCAGTCGCTGGCGCTCCGTGGCTGTCGAGAGGGCCTGAAGAATTAACCGAAGGCAGAAGAGGCTGGCTCCCTGGAAGAGATCCTTGGCTGCCGCCGTTGGCCGGTAACCTCTTTCCGGGCCGCCACCTCAAGACGGCGTCAACCGAGGCACGGCATGGGTGGACCTGCAACGGCACGCTGAATGTTACCAGGATGACGATAGCAGCTTTGGCGATTGTAGAGGGTATCGAGGCGGAATCTAGAGCGATGCCTGTTAGCGAGGGTGGTTTCGGGAAGAGAGGCATGGCAAGATTCCTTACACATTGAAACAATGTTTCCGTCCACGCCGCTGCCGAAAGTGAGGTAACCAGTAATGGCAACAAGAACGTAGACAGAAGCAGCAGAGCCAATGCTAGAGGCTATGACGCCAACAATGCTCCCGGGAGAATTATCTTTAATCTCATTCAAAATAGAAAACATCTGGCAAGGCGTTAGCAGTGAAACAAGGATCGACGGTTAACTATAGCACATACATTTTGGTGGCATGTATATGCAAAGATAATAACTGGCAAACTACTCAGCGCCGCAACTGGCCCTTCCCAGGTAATGAAGCGTATCTCTCCGCGGTCGGAGTGGTCGTCGGCTGCAAAATGATAGACAACCAGGATGATCAAGTAGCCAATCGAAACGAGGGCAACCAGACTTGTGTACTTGAGCGAGTCCAGCTTCTTAGGGAAGCTCAGGGGGATGATGAACACTAGGAAGAAGACAGTTATCCAGAACTTGCGGTCAGCAAGAAACGGCAGTCCCTCGGCGCCGGTACCAAACGCCTTGACGACGCCGGGCATCAGGTTACCAATAATGATCATGTACGACACGCCAACACCGAAGCACTTGATAGCAATGGCGGCATCAAAGACTACCGCCGCATTCGGGTACGTCATCTGCGACAGAGCGAAGAAGGACGACGATCCCCTGTCGATATATCGTGAACAGCGTCCTTGGAGGTAGAGACCAAAGGCTGATGTGAGTCCGCACCACACGATGAGGATGACTCCCAGCATGACGCCAAAATGGGACATGGCCAAGGGCATTGCAAGTGTTCCCGCACCAATGACTGCAAGCATTTTGTTAGAAATCGCAGCCCCTAGTCCGTCCACCAAAGAAGTGAGTAAAACGCACTTGTATTAACGAGATTGATGTTGCTGCTCATCATGGAGGCACTGCCGCCGCCCACCTTCGAAATGCGACCTCTTCGTTGTCTAGCCCATCCACAGAAGTTAGAACCGTCGTTGATTAACTCCTAAAAACACGGGCTTGTACTCACGGCGCCATGATTCCTGCGCCCGTTCCTCCCGAATCGCTGAGATCTGCGATTGTCGAATAGCCAGTCATAACCAATAGGCCTACCAGGGTCCGTCTTTATTCCCGTTGAATCGCTAAGAGATTGTCGTGTATTTCCCGTCGACGGCTTGCCGAAATCCCAAGAGCTTACTCGAAGTAGCGGTCGAGTTTGCGCTGGCTGGCTACGCCGTCGTCGCCGCTGTCGTCACCCTCAAAAGCGGTAATTTACCGTGCCCAAGGCGATGCTGGCAGAATTGCGAGAACCATCCGATGATGGTTGTAGGTGTGCCGAAACGTTGCTCGGAGAGAAGTTTCTAGGTATTATCCTAGTAAGGATTGTCGGGGTTCGTGAGGCGTTGCGGGTGCTATGCGAATGTCGCTACCGTCTTTTGGTGCCGTTTGCTCTTGTGGCCGTTCAGGAGTTCAGCGGATGCTAAAGACATCGTGGCAGGCACCGTTGTCGCCTCTCGTCCAGGGGTGTAAGCCAATCAGCACGCCACCCCAGATTAGCCTAGAAAATTAGACGGGCGCACAAGCCACGCTAGGTTGCTCAGCCTTACAGGCTTCGCCAGCACCAGCTGCAGTGTCATCGTCCATGCTTTTCTGGGGGAGCTGGAACCCGGGGAAGGTGCGGATATCCGACGACGTCTTCCGAGCCATTCCTGTTCACGAACCCAGCACACCCCGCAAGATCAGGAGGTCAAGATCACGGCTGCTGTTGTTCTGAAATCATTTTTTCTCCTGCGCCAATTGAGCAAGAATTGCACCAATCTGTAGTCCTTGGAGGAACTGCTTCGACGCTAGGGACAGATTACAGATTCTACCTCGACACCAGCAGCATCGACGTCATGGACGACACACTGGACAGGACAACGCTGGCTACGATCTCGCTGCTCGAGTCACGCCTTCTTCGAATCGAGCAAATTCTCTACGGGCCATCCTCGCCCCCGTCAGTGGCACTCACCGAACCGGCTACCAGCTCCCTGGCGGACCTGGAGGAGCGGTTCGCGTCACTCCTTCGTCGTTTTCGCGTCTACTTCGAGCTGGTTGAGATCTGTACGTGGTGCATGGCCTCACACATTTTCCCAATTGCAATAAACTTGTTTTGCTAACGGGACGACCTAGACAAACTCTATCCTTCCTTCTTCCAGCCCTATACCCGCACTCCTCACACGACGCTGCCACCGCCGGTCGAGCTCTCCCCAGAAAACACCCGCGCCACGGTTTTGGCGTACGCGTCTGCGTTCCCCTCGACCGCCTCGGCCCTCACGACGGTGACCTCGGAGACACCCGTGCCGGACCCCAAGCTCAGCGCCGAACTGGCGTCGCTGATCCCGCGGATGAAGGGTGTCGAGGCGATGCAGCTGGCGCAGGAGGCTGAGATGGCGGAGCTGCGGGCGCGCAGCGAGCGGGTCATGCGGGCCTGGTACGAGGACCGGGTGCTCCAGTACGGGCAGTTCGTGGCGAGCGCGGAAGGACGGGTTGAGAAGGTCGAAGTGAGCATCAGGAGAGCTGAAAGGGTCAGGGAGATGGACGCCGCCATCTGAGACTGTTGCCGCCAACACAAGCCTGTCTCCTGCGAGAAAAACATGCGACGGACTCGATACCTCTCCATTCTTGGTCGAAGCGACCAGCGTCACTGGTGGAGATAGGGGCCTACCGCCGAAACCGCAATGTCATTCACCACACTCCCCTGGCGAGCCGGAGATCGCAGGGGCTCAGCTCCCCCGGAATCTAATTGTAATAGCCCCAACCACGGCCTGATACCCGGTCTCTTCAACAAACTATATCAGCCTAACTCCTAACAGTTTTGACGGCATCTCATCGCCACCTCCCTTTCGAATTCGAACGAGGAGGCCCTCCTTGTGCCCTCCTTGTGCCCTCGTGAGCTGAAACATTTGTTCTGGAACGTTTTGTTTCGACATCTTTGCCCGCTGCAAGGGGAAGCTATTGTCTACAGCTTAGTTCAAGATAGGATGAAACGGAAGTCGGCTATACCCCCCTCTCGCACGCAACGCGGGAACGACTGCCGACGCCTATTATGCGGGAGGGAGTGGGGACCCCACGACCGGGGAAGCTAAGCTCCATCTCCCGCCCTCTCTCGCTCTCTCTCAATTGTGTCGAGGGTTGATTGCCGTCTCGGTGCCGACGTCGTGTATGATGAGACGCACATCGACACTGGAAGCAGCGAAGCGACTAATTCAGGCAAGGACCTTGTTGGTCCCAAGGAAAGTCCACCGGCAAGCAGGGAAGAGGGCTCAAGCTAAGTGAGTGACATGGGCAAAGATAGTCCTGGTTGTCAAGCCGAGCTAGGATACGTCAATTAGAGCAATTAATGGCATAGCAAAGTGCTGCTAGTTCAGAGGGTGTCAACGCATGGCCATCGCCGTCATCACACATGCTGAACTGCATTTGGAGCTCGTCACGTACGTCGCACACGAATAAGAAAATACCATAATCATCTGTGTCTGCTCTCGGTCATGGAAGCGCGTGCATCTCACTCAAGGGGGCCAAATTAAGCCGGCTTGCGGGTGCTATGTGACGAGCTCCGGGACTTGCGTCTCCGCGTTTCAAGGCCAATTTATCCTACATCATGCCAAATGCGCGGACGATCTCCTTCCTTTTCTTTTCCATTTTTTTCGTCTTTCGCTTTTCCGTTTGTGCGTTGCCTTCCCTCGCCCTCTTTGCCTGGGTTTGGTGGCCTGGTCCAGCCGAGTCTTTTTTTTATCACTTGTTGGCCCTTTGTTGTAGTGTAGAGGGCCAACAGCCTACGCAAACCCGGCCAGCCAGCCAGCCAGTCAGCCAGCTAGCCAGCCAGCCCGTGTCCAAGCCAGTCCAATTCAGATCAGACCGGATCAGAGTGTAAGCCGCTTTGCCGGCCCCAATCTGATGATTTGAGGTTTGACAGGCCCTGGCCGTCGGTACGGCACGTCATGTGATATATAAACCACTCAATATGCAACAAAGCGCTGGGAATAGGATTGAGGCGTCTGTATGCAACATAGAGTGCACATGCCCGAAAGCATCTGGCAGCAGTCGTGGCCTTGTAAGACTCCAAAGAGAGGCTCCGAGTGGGGGCCAGCTAGTTGGTCAGAATGAGGCTGGGGGGGCTTCTCTCTGTGTAGCAGACTCCTTCGGGGATGAAGGATTCACCAAGAATTCTAGATTATCTATTTGCCTGTTAGACCGGATGAGAACCGTTGGGGTCCAGCCCCGAAGAGACCCACGGGACTCGTGGCCAGAGCCTAGCGACCCGATGAAGGCCACCGCCGCATCGACGTTGCCTTCGTGCGGCGGGTAGGACAGAAAATAGAACCCACACTTCCCACGTCACCCGCTCACTGAAGGAAATGCGGCGATGCTGCAGTTTCGGGCGGGCTGGGAGGCGCTGCTGCTTGCTAAACGAACTCACGAACAGGAACGGGGGACCCGAGCTTCATTGATGGAGTGGTGCTCGAGTCCGAGTCTAGCGCGCTGATTCAGCACGGAGAGGCATAGCAACAGGCGCCCGCTCCTGAGGCACAGAGACGTCGAGTCCTGCCCAGCACTGTTATTGAGGAGGTTTTTTTTGCAAACAAAGTGCCCTGGTGCTGAAGAGAGGCAAAGGCGGCGGCGTTAGAGTGGACAGCTCTCTGCCCAACGGCGGGCAACGGTAGAATGCAACGCACCTGTCGACTACTACCGTGCTGTGCAAGTTGAAACCGCATGTCGACATGTTCCAGGTGACTGGTGGTCGAGAAAAAAAGCAGAAGATCTCGCACTAGAGAATTAGGATCTGCAAGTTGCATCACTGGACCGATTGCGTTGCATTGCATTGGCCGAAATCAAGATACTACTGGTATATCGAGGTACGTTGTTTGTCGAATGCTACGCCAAGAAATGGGGATGTCAGGTCGAATGCTTCCCTAGAAATAGCCCTCTGTCTGAGACATGAAAGGGAAAGGGCGTGTCCCTGGCGACTCTCAGCCACAAGCACGCACATCCAGGTTGAACACCGCCACATATGGCGGCTGATTGTTCCCCTCTCTAGCTTCCAGCCCTCTCCAGCCCTCCCGCTCGCTGTACTGACTGAGGTGACTGTCCCGTGAAATCGGCGAGTTCTGCACGCCGTCTAGAAGAGGCAAGTCGGGGGTTTGCTCGCAGATTACTATTATTGAATGCAACGGCATATACTTCGCCATTATTCCACGACACTCGTCCCATCTGGTTGGAGGCCAGGTAGGCACAGCACCACCACCTTGAGCTCGAGGCAGGGTTCAGCCACGTCCCGTCGCTTTGTTCTCTCTTTGGGAACATCTTCGGAACAGCCTTAGCGGCTGGCTTTGGCAAGTGTCCGAATCCATAAAATACGCTCCCCTCCGCGACACATGATCTGTTATTAACCATGCCGAGTTACCTAATCGACGCGTGTTAAAGTATTGGTCCTCGTCCTCAATGAGAAGAAGGCTGGCCAGCGAAAGCGGCAGACAATTCCCCTGAGAGCGGGGAAGAGCTGCAGTGGTTCAGTGAACGCCGAGTCCCTGTGTCGCGACGGGTCATTCCCAAAGCTGCTGCTGACAACTCCCCTTTCGAGTCTCGACGGCAACAAAGCCTCCCTTGTATGCCCCTCTTCGGAGATGGCCATGCGAGTTATGGAGCGTCTTGGCCTTTCGCATTTGCTTTTTTGGGCCTTGTTTGGACTGGATTCGCTCTGTCGCCAGTGACGGCTGTTCTTGTTTTGGGTACAGATAGCTGCCCATGTCGCACATGTTCTCCTGCGCCATGCTTGAAACCACGATGTTCATCCCTGCATGGATAGTCGGGAAAGCTTGAGCCTGTGACACCGCAACCCTTTCTCAATCTTTTTTTTGCGGGCACGTGTCCCGGGCTCTGGCTTCTCCGTATGTGCTGGAGGCCCAAAGCACGGGGAAAAGCAGCCTGATCCACGACCAGGACTCTGTAAACGCAGGCCTATCAGCACGCGTCGGTCTTGTCATCGCTTGCCCCGTCTGTGAGCGAATCGAATCCCAGCCAGATCTCAAACAGTCAATCGGACTCGACAAGAGGCGCACCTGTACGCGACCGTTGATTGGCCCACAGTCCTCGAACTCTGTAGACTCGAAGTTGTAAAACACGCACACACTGACCCCGCTAAGTCTTATCAAACACCTACCTTCCACTCATCCAGATCGTTACCATCCAGGCCTTACAGGGGCTTTCCCTAGGCTGCAAACTGCCCGTCTGGACTCTGGACTGCTAAGAGAACTGGCGACTCCCGCAATGATCCAGGAGAAGCGGAAGAACACAGCACCCTTGAAACAACGCACCAGATGTGCCTTATCTGTTGGTCTCCACTGGGTGATAGAAACTACACGGAAGAGGGGCTACAGAAGGCGGATGGCGCGCTGTAGGCGAGTTATTCTGACAGGCAGTAGGAGCGAGAGTTGAGAGCGCTACCCTTCTAGCGTTAGCTCAGGGCAGCAACCCGCTGTGCCATGCCAACTTACGAGCGGGAGCTTTGAATAGCCTGGGTGCCAAGTGCGGCTCTAGAAGACACCGTCCATGAGCCATACCAATGACTGGCGCGCACGCTTGCCCGCACGGAACTCGTACGGTGAGTAGTTTGCAGCAACGGCCAAGGTGACTGGCTGTTCTACAGTGACTCCATAAGGAGGGCCTTAAGTTGATGGTTTGTGAATTGTGGAGTGCAGATTGAGACGCGGGTAGACACGAGGAAAGAGCCAACTGATTTTCGTGGTGCCTGCCCCGATGGAAGCCAAGCCAGGGTGCACGCTCCACCCCTCCTTACGCCTCGCCCACCCACCCGTTGCCATTTCCAGCCTGGCTTAACTTAGGTCAGTCCATCCGACAATCCCGGCCACTCCCAGTCCCGCTCGCTCCTCCCTCCTCCAGTCACATCCACCCCCCGCCCTTCCCATACTGCAGCCCCAGCTTGCAGCGCCTCCTTCCACTCTCCCACACCACCCAAACCGCATTAACCACTCGCTCCCCCGTTTCCCTCCTTCCCCCCTTTCTCACGATTTCGGCCTTCAATTCTCTCCGGCGGTTTACTCTTCGCACCCTCGACTGTCGATTTCCGCCCTTTCGTGTCCCGTCTCGACGACACGATCTTTGACGACATTTTGGCCACCCAAGCAGGCCGACATTGCGATTTCGAACATCGGGCAGGACGCGACCGAAAAAAGACCATACGGGCTTCAGAACGCTAGGGATCGGTTGGGGACGGGGCTGAGGAGTGATTTTTCGCCATTATCCCACTGCCTCTCGTCGCTGTCGATTCAATTCGGTTCGTCTCGAGCGCCATCGCAAGCCGAGTCCGTTTTTCACTTCAAGAACGCGGGTCAATTTGATTAATTCGGTCATCGTCACGATCGTACCGTTCCTTCACCTTCTTTCGGCTTCTCTAGGCTCCAGCAAATAGCCCTCCGCTGCAGGACATCGTTCTTTTCTCCCTTCACTACTGCGTGCGTCGTGACGATTTCGACCGCACCTTTATTCGGAGCGCCGCCTTTGACTTTTCACGCGCATTTCCCGACGCTCGTCTGAAGCACTTCAATTTATTGCTCGTCACTCACTCATTTGTTGCTGCAGCCATCCCCGACCACCGACCGGCATATTTTACCACGGCACAGCCCCCCAATTCACGCCAGTTGTCTCATGCTTTCCCCGTCGACCTGCGTCAATTGAATCGCCACCTCGAACCTTCAGCCCAACCGACTATTTAAGCATCCTCTCCTGGCACACTCGCCCTTATGCCCTCCTACGGATCGCTTCATTCTCCGTCATTGAGGAAAATGGAAAACTCCAGGGCCCAGTACAGCCGCAGGCGCTTCAGCCTCGGAAATATCCTTGGCGACCCATTTGCACTGGCGACCATCTCGATCGCAGCAGTAAGCACACCGCCCAGCCTTCGCCGCCTTTCGCTGCGATGCATCCTTGCTCCATTCTTTCTTTGCTGAATGCTAACTTCGTTTTGTACAGCTGGCCTGGGTCATTTCCTTCTTCGGCTCAATCTTCGCCCACATTCAGACTCGCAGCAACTTTCCACTGTTCACATGGTGGTCGGTCGTCTTCTACTTCTTCCTCATTCTCGGCGTATTCGTTGTGATTGCCTCCGATAGTACTCAGACCTACCATGTTGCGATTGTGGGGTATCTCGGGTGCGGTCTCATTCTATCGACATCGTCCGTCAATGGTTTAATCTACACCAATAACGGTGCTAGGGAAGCAGCAGCCGCCGGCTTCATTCTGTTGTCAATGGTTACGGTATGTGTCATCCGTGGGATTTGCCTTATCCTAGATTTCTCTAACATTTTGTCTCAGATCGTCTGGATATTCTACTTCGGCTCGGCTCCATCGGCAGTTCCTCGTGCTTATATCGACTCGTTCGCTCTTGCCAAGGAGTCGCCCCCCAACCGCCAGACCATGAACGGCGCTTACGGTGTGGGCCGGCCTGAGACCTCGACCTCAGTACAACCTCCGCAGATGTACACGGCTCAGCTTAATGGGCTGGAGAACCCGTCACCTGTCGGTGGCATGAACGGCATGCCTTCTACGATGCGAAACTCGACGGTGGCTCCTGCATTCTCCGCAACGCCGGCCCAGAAGACTACAGTCACGGCGCCACAAAGTGCCGACGGAGAGATTGTGCCTCCCACCGAATATCCTTATCGGGCGAAGGCCATCTACAGCTACGAGGCCAACCCTGACGACGCGAACGAGATTTCGTTTTCTAAACACGAGATTCTTGAGGTCAGCGATGTCAGCGGGAGATGGTGGCAAGCACGGAAGGAGAACGGCGAGACGGGCATTGCTCCCAGCAACTACCTCATTCTGTTATAGGGATCCCGCCACAACGAGGCAGAGGGGTCTAAAGAAGTGCCCGAAAAGTTTCCGGCATAAGTGCGAACAACGAAAAAACGGCGCATGATACTATGTGGATAATTCTTGGCTCGCCGGAGGTCGTTCTTTATACCCTAACCCGAACGAATCTATCCGGCGCGCATGGCGGAATCACGAGGCCCGCGACCCGAACCGGCGCCCGCCTTCGCCCACATATTTGGAAAGCCGCAAGAAGGGCACATGCTACAGACCATGTGTTCCCTTCGCGTTTCCTGGTCTAGAGACTCTGGCATGCAACTGCCTTTTCGCTTTGGATGTGTTGGAGTAAAAATGTCATGGTCGTATGGGCGGATCTTCCAATGGGTTAGGCATGGTGTTTCTTCCCACCCTTTTTTTCCACGCGCGTCAGTCTCCCTTTGAGCTTACTATTCTACTTCGTATTATTGTTTTTGTACCATTTGTGTATGTGAACCCGTTATTTACCTTTTACCAGCCCCACGTCGCTTCCTTTGTTCCTGTTATTCTTTCTACTTTTTATGCTGTCAGGCTACTTGTTAGGTTTCTTCCTATGTCCTGAATCGGAATCATGACAATCATGGCAAACGGAGATGGTTCAGTCGAACAAGCTCAGGGGTGGATTTAAATAGTCCAGCCGTCTTGATATACTGAATTGAAACGACATTGTGAAAGAAATAGGCTGCCCATAATATGCACGTGATGTCGTTCAAAGGTTTGCCACATGTTCAAATGTAATTTCTCGGCCTTCAATCAAAACAAGTCCATTGGTTCGTTCAACAGGGACTTCTCGATAGTACCAGGTCGTTCTGGACAGTCCGCCAGCATACACGCTGAGATGTTTTCCTGCCCCTTTGTACAAACACATGACAAGGCAACGTAAAACAGCCCTCGGCCCAAGTTCCCAAAGACCCTAGTGGTCAAGACTGACGAGTCAAGCCGACCAAAACCCCATACACAGGTCTACTGTACGGGCTCGTCCGCCGCCTTAGCCCGTAATCTCTAACTCTAAGAGAGGATACCCGACCGGAATCGCTGAATGCCAGTCTGTGGGCGTGCGAGTAATCGGCGGTAGTGTCGGAGGAGTCGGGATGATAGGTGTGCCGACTCCCACACGAGGTTCAAGAAGTACCCGTCGGTCCCATCACCGGTCTCAGCCTCGCAGCGGGCAAGCAATAACACGGGCTACCCTCCGTGACTGAGACCGATGTATCATGTCTTCTCCTCCCAGCCGTGAAGGAGGGAATCCGCTTGGGTATAGCATGTAGGAGATGCGACGGGGCGGCGGATGGGTGAACGCCATGTTGTGACAGACACAGACTCTCCCACGTTCTCGCATGTCGAGTTATGTTTTTTCACGCATTCTTCTTCATTCACGCCTTCTCCAGCTGCTGCCGCAGCTCCCGCTCCTTCTGCAGCACCTCCAGCTCCAGCCGCTCCACGCTGTACTTGAGCGCCTCGCGGCGCTGCCGCACGACCTTGGCGCGCAGGGCCGCCCCGCCGTCGAGAGGCTTGCCTTTGCCTTTGTTGGTCTGCCGGGCTCGCGAGCCGTCGGCGTCACCAACGCCGTCGCCGCCCGGCCGGTAGTGCGACAGCCGCCCCGCGTTCAGGTCGGTCCGAGCCTTCAGCGTCTCGATCCGGCGCGCCTGCCGCTCCAGCTGCTTGTCGGCGCGGTCCAGCAACAGCGCCACGAACGGGCCGATCTCGTCGCGCAGCGAGGCTTCGGCGGCCGCGAGCGTCGGTTGCGGGATCAGTTCGTAGTGCTAGGGGCGCATGTTAGTGTCTTTTTTGCAAAGAAAGAGAAGCGAAAGTATCGTACCCGCACCGTCTTGAGAACGCCGCTCAGCCGCGGAAAGTCCTGCACCCCGTTGCCCAGCGTCGCGACCGACGACTCGAGAAAGGACAGAGATGTGCGCAGCGACGTCACGCAGTCGCCGTATGTTGACGCCGTGCCGCCATGTGTTGATGTCATTGCCGCGGCCGTCGGTGGCTGGGCACGCCGCGCTGTGTTTCTGATTTCAGGGTCCGTCTGATTCCTACGACGTGCTGCTGCTCCAACGTGCCGTGCCGTCCCTCCCTGTATGTGTTACGTGCCAAAAAGAAGTCGGTAGGGCCCGGTTTGGCTGTTGGCTTTACGTTGTCGGCACTCGCTCGTTATCGGAATCAGCTCCCTCGAATTGTTGATCAACACCCGTTCAGGCCGCGTTCTCCCCCGCGCGTTATCCGAGATCCAATCTGCATCCAATCGGTCAAAGGTGGGGAAGCAGAGCGCTGATCTGTGCTGGCCCGTGCGCGGTCCCGTCGTTGACCGCTTCGCTGGGCTACCCTTCCCCTGCGCACGACCCACAATGGAACTCCCCCCCTCCCGCCCTGAAAATGGAAAAAAAGTGGAAGAACAAAAAGGGCTAGGGGGCAGCGTCAGTAAACCCCACCCCCCAAGAAGCCTCGCCTCACGCCTACGTTAGTTTGTTCAATTTATTGTCTTAGCTACATGGTGCTAGTACTGCCCGGCGCGGGCACAGGCGGCGCAACGTCGATATGGTGGCCGCGTTGGGCGCAAACTCTGTTCGTTGGCTGCATCTTCCGCCGAAATATGCCCCGGAGTTGGTTGATGAGCCGGCCCTCGACTTTCGGCTAGCGGGCCTTGTTTTTTTGTTGTGTGGCGGGGAGGGAGCCCCCCCGGTGGGGTGGTTGCTTTTCGCTGCCCGGACTCATCTTGGGTTTGCAGCGCCTCAAGCCTACACGACTAGTTGGGTCGGGCGTCTATCGTCTCTGCTTCTTGGGAATCTCCTTTGCTCACCCCGACAGTTTACCTGCCCGTATTTGCTCCCATGTAAGCACAAGTTCTTGCGTCGCCCTTTTCACTGCATGTCAGCTGCATCTTACATAGGTATTTATTGGGTGTGCGACCTATTTATTGCTTTACCCCTAGCTGGTTGTCATATAAACTTGCCGCGATGACGTGAGACAGCCCCCCACGAGCCAAATGGTGTCAGGCACAGCAGGCAATCCCGGAAATTACCAGACTTTGACAGCCGATAATCATCTTGGGGATATGCTATGACACACAAACACGTGGTTCGAGAAGGGGGGCGGCATACTAGTACCAGGAAGGTGAGCTGTGAACGCATTGTGAATCTGAATACAAACATCGTGCTTTGTCATGAGCTTCCATGTCGCTGTGTGTGAAGAGAATGTGGAAAGTCACAACAACCCCAACGCCTCTTCGAGATGGCGTCAAACTATGCGAGTTTTGGAAGCAAAGCAAACAGCTCATTGGCAGGTTAAAACCGCGTTTTCTGAGGTCCTTCTAACATCTGCAAGTGAGGATGAGGGTGTGAGTGGGCTAGGTCATCACATACTTCTCGGTACTCAAGTGCTCATATGAATCCGACACGTAGCTTCAGATAACAATACAATAGCAAATTGAAACATCACCGAAGTCATGGCAAAGGACAATCTGGGCCTCAAATTAATGTATGCAAAAATAACCAACCAGTGACTACTGCTCAGCGTAAAGCGAATAAACGGTCTGATCATCCTTGTGCTGCGAAAAGAGTCAATGATCGGGGGGTTTGGGGGAAGAGGTTTTCTTTTTGCAGGGGTGTGGTTCAATTGAAGAGAAGTATTTGTGATCCTCTCAACGGAGCAACGGACACGCGATTCTTGTCGTCTTGCTTCAAGAAAAAGGCATTAACGTACAAGTCACGGAACGCGAGATGCTTCAACACGATAGTTCCATTTCAGTGGGGGCATGATATGATACGAAGTCTAACGAGAAGACTGGAGTCAAGTCTTGCTGGTCATGACATCTAGGGCCCCGAGCGACTCCTAGGAGACAGTAAAACTAATATTTCCATAACTCTGTATAATGGCTATGACTAAGGTAGACATTGCAACAACCAACGCGGGTGCTTGACTTTGTTTACGAATTTAAAGCATCGTAAGTACCATCTACTAAAACAGACAATCCCTGAAATCGACACAAACTTTCCTCACATAGTTGATTAGTTAAACGACAAATAGGTAGGCAAGTAGTCTAGATGTAGTAAAAGCAAAGGTCGGGCTCATCCACGGCAGGGACTGCCGAGTAGAATGTGGATCATGAAAATTATGCAACGCGGCCAGAAGAAAATATCCCAAACAAGGCCAAGACAGTAATTAAATTGGTATATTAAATAAAAAGTGGTGTTCTAACTAGTCTATCTTGGACGACGTCGTAGACTCCCTCCAGGAATTACTCGCTGCACCCCAGAGCTAAATTATGTCCTTTGTCGAACAGAAAAGTAGGCTCATACAGCCGCCTTCCAATGAGACCAAGCTCAAAGTTTCTCAGTTCAAGAAAGAAGCTGCAGATAGACACGGTTTACACAATTCTCTAGGTTGTGGAGACAACCTGAAGTCCTTATGTTCCGGTTCACTTCCTGAAGCTTTGCTAGGCGCTCCACCGATCACATTTATCAGTTAGGAGGTCTCGTTTCTGGGGTTTCTATACGTTCAAGTGCGAGGGGAGTAGGTAGAACAGACGAGATGAGATTATCAGATCAATCACCCTTGGAAATTTTATGTCAAAGCCAATGATATTCTACTGGTTCTGAGAAGCCAAATATATTAAGCTGGTACAAGGTTGCAACTCCGCTTGAGTTTAGAAACATGTCAAAGTTTGCGAACCAACCCGAGCACAATTAACCCCAAATTTGATCCGGGGTGGTAATTAAATGATCAAAAAATAAAGGAGAGAAGGAAAAAGGGCAAACAAATAAAAAACGAAACTACAAGAATTATACAATGCGAGCAAAAATATTAGGAGTCGACGGGAATTGAGCCCGACGTGGGGGTCGAACCCACAACCTTGAGATATCCGATAAGAGTCTCACGCTCTACCGATTGAGCTAGCCGGGCTGGCGAGTCAATCAGGTCCTAATTGTTGGGAGCGATACGGGTATGCAGGCTGTTCAACTCCTCCCTACTTGTGGATGCGAGTTGAAAACCTTGCTTGTGTGGAGTGGGTTTGCTCGCGTCTGGGTTTGGGTTTGCCGAAGTCCTGGTCCTGGCCATCCTTGGCAGAAAGCTCGACTGGGATGGCTGGTGCGGCTGCTCCCATCGTGAAACATACTGTCTTTAACGAACTCCACAAGCCGAACAAGGTTGACAGGTCTAAAAGTCTTTACCGGTGTTAGAGGGGTTAAAGTCACCGGGCCGAGATCCACCAACCATGCCTCGTTGCGGTATTTGTTGTGCCTATGCCTCTCACAGGTGAATCCATAGGAACTCTTAGCCAAGCAACCTGTCTAGAACGGCACAGAAACCACAGCCAGTCAGAGGGTATCTATCGTGTTTTGAATCATCTGCCTAAAGCTAAAAAAGTGAGAGAGCCCACTCGCATAAAAGCTAAATGGGACGAGACGACTGCCAAGTCCCAAACGGAAAGAAAGAAAAGGACATCCATCATATCATTTAGATATTGTACAGGAGGCCAGCACACGGCCAACACGGCCCTTCTATACAGGGGCATAAGCCCCGAAAGGTCGCGATATCGCTTCGCTAGAGAGGCAAGTTCGTCACTCAAAGGGTCGTAAGAAATCCACCGCTAGAAAGCATCACCCTTCATCCAGGTTCCATCCTCACCGGTAGCCGCCATAGCCTCCATTGCCACTATAACCTGCGTTGCCTCCGTTGCCGCCATAGTTTGCGTTGCTTCCGTTGCCTGCATTGCCACCGTTGCCCCAGTAGCCCGCGTTGCCGCCGTTACCACCATTCCCGTAGGCACCAGCTGGCGGCGAGCGCGCGCTAGGTGCGCCGTAACCGCCTGCTGTATAACTCCTCTGGGGCTGTGGCTGTGCCATTGGTGCCGGGCTGGTCATCCTTGGCAAGCCAGGCTGCTGGGGGCCCGGGTAGCCACCTCGCATCTGGGCGTTCGGGCTCGAGAAACTGCGATTTACGGGTGGCGGGAATGGCTGCGAAGGGCTCGCCACACTGGGCTGCGGGAATGATGGCGCAGGGCCGGTCATGCCAGGCCCCGGGGGGCGAATGTTGCCCAATGGCGCAGGCGACCGAGAGCCCTCGTGGGGGTTGAAGTTGGACGCGGGCGACTGGTTGTTTGCGGCACGGTCGGAGTACGGAGCATTAAAAGGGCTTCGGTCAGACGAGGGGCTTGCCATGCCCGGCGACCGTGCGCCGTTCTGGAGCAAAGGCATGGGACTGCGCATCGCGCCAGCAGCAGCGGCGGCTCCAGCTCCAGCACCGGCCCCGATAGCCGCGGCCTTTTCCCACTTCTCGTTGACGGGCGTTGCGGCGCCAGGCGTGACCGGTACGCTATAGCTGTTATTGTCCGAGAGTCCATCGCGACGCATGTCTTTGGCGTTGTACTCAGTTGCCGAGTCGACAAAGCTGTCGGGATCAACACCCGCCTTCTTGAACCGTTCAAGCTCAAGACGTTCCTCCTCGGCCTTGGCTGCCGCAATGCGTTCTTCACGAGCGCCACGGCGGCGTTGACGAATGCAATAGAACAAAGCAAATGCAAACAAGGCGGTGCCGAGACCGGCTGCGCTCGCATAGATAGCAATCTTGGCTGTGGGTGACAGTGCGTTGAACTTTTCGGAGACACTCGGGGCCGGTTGCTCCGGAGGCGCCGTGATCTTTTCTTTGGCGGTTGAGTTGCCCCTGTGCTTCTTGTTAGAAACTGGTAGAGTGGAGGAGAAAGCGGTATGCAGAAACACTAGATCCAACTTACTGGGCAATTCTGATGCTTTGCCACGAGCCTGTCTTGTCGCCATACGTGTACTCTTTGCCGCTGCTGTAGTCTGTGATGTGGGCGCTCTTGACAAACATGGTGAAAGGGCCTTTCGAGTAGTCGGTATCACCACCAGCCCACTCGCGCGTCCCCTTCGGGAGGGTTGGGTCTCCGCCGGCCCAGATGCCAATGGACATGCGCATTGGGGTTTGGGGATAGTAATATGTGTTGTTCGCATCCTTGGGGAGCAGTGTGCGAACTTTGGCGCCGTCAATGTAAAAGTCCAGCGCATCCTTGGTCCACACTTGGGTGTAGTTGTGATAGTCGTTCTGCACTCCACCGATGACACTATGGAGACCAGCGTTGTGGAAGTCGGAGTTGTTCTTGCCGAAATAGTTGCTTTGGACCTGACCATTATTCCCGCCAAAAAACTCCCAGTCGATTTCGTCGAGGTTGTCGCTCAGAAGCATAACGGAGCTGATGACACCGGTACCACTGGCTGCCTTCATCCAGATCTCAGTGCGGCCAAAGAAGAAGTAAAACGAGGAACGAATGGTCGGCGAGTCGCCCTGCTTGTTGATGGTGAAGGCGGCGCCCGTCTTGGCATCGTACTTCACGGGGCCGACTGTGGTGTCCCAGGTGCCGGCCTTGGGCGTCTGGTTGAAGTTGAAGTTGAAGTCCATGCCCAAGGCTGGGTCGGCCGGGCACTCCTTCTTCATGGGGAAGCAGTCGGTCGTAACTTGGGCGGCGACATTTTGGACCAGGCTTGACGAGGCCAGCAGCGCAATCGCCGACGAGAGGAAAGACCGTGGAGGCAACATCTTGCGCGCTTATTGCAGCCGGAAAGAGAACGGGCTTGGAAAGATTCGGAATACGGCAGATCCAGTCGCCCGTCAGTGGAGAGATAGTTAAGGAGTGGTCGAGGCGTGCGGAGCGCGCCGTCGTTCGTTTCTTGGGTCGCGGGTTCAGAGCTGCATAGTGCGTATCTAGAAGTGCCAAATGGTGTCGCTGGCGCAGTCAGATTGAAAGAAAATTGGGTATTTGAGAAAAAGAAGCAGGTCAAGATCAATTGACGCGTGCTTGAAGAATCGAATTACAGCAGAGAGCTGCGGTAGCTGTGCTCCGTTGAGCGCAAAAGAATGACGAAGGACAATGGAGTATCACAGGGCCCGACTGCGGGAAGCAAGACAGGGCGCGTCTGGACAAAAGGTAGGGTGGAAAAGGAATGACAGTATTCCGTAAAAGAGTGGATTCGAAGTTGACCGAGCTTGAAGCGCGCTCGATCAAATTCGAGGTTGACGACGGCGGGAGCGACTGGCCTTGGGAAGGAGCGACTGGACGAGGGCTGCAAGTGCAAGTAAGCGGAGAAGGGGATGAAGCGCGTGAAATGGAAAAGGGGGTAGGCAGAGGCGGGAGGGCCCTGAAATTAGGCCAAAAGCGGGATAGCCCGTCCAGCGCACGAGCCAATTTCCGGGGAGAGCGTTCACTCTGCGACAAGAGGCGTTTCCGAGCTATTCTTATCGTGGCTTAGCGCTCGCTGCCCGGCGAATCAGAGATGGCAATTCGGGATCCGCCAGACCCACGCTTATCTGCCCAGGTACCCGTGGAATTTCGAGCTGCAGGCACGATCTGGGATTTTCAGGAACCGTACCCAAGGTTCTCCAGAGATTTTTAGGTTTGGGCGATGAATGGGGGTTTCCAGGTTTCGAGTGACCTGAAGCCCCTCCAATCCTTTCGCCTTGTTCAATCATTGCCAGATCGCAGAACGAAGATTGTCGACACCTTGCCGACTTAGGTTGCCGCTAACGAACTCGGGGTTTACTGGAGGGTGCTTGCTACCCGCTCTTGCACGAATGTACTTCTCCCGTCGTCTTTGAGGTGGTCAGGCTTGGTCCACCTGTCATCACCCGTTCGTCCGCTGTCGAGTCAAGTTCGCTCGCTAGTGCAGACACGAAACAGAAGCCAAGAAACGAAACACGCAAAGCTTCCGCAAAGCTCGCAATAATTCTGTGCGGGGGATGCCTACTGACTTTCGTTGATCGCTGTATGACATTAGCCGGCCCGAGTTGGCGGTCCTGTTCAATGCGGTTGCAGTGCGCTGATTGACGCCGCCTAGCGGGCATTCCCTCAACTCACCCGCAAAGCCACACCAAATTTGAGGGCGACATGCGCCCCAACTCCCAAGATTGGAGGCGGTTCTTGCAAACCTGCTGTGCTTATACCCACCAAGCTCAGGAAAAGAGAAGGTTGCCCATCGAGTGAGATATCTATTTGCTTGCGATAGACCTTTGCTTGCAATATCCTGTCTATGGATCATGGATCATCGTCCAGACGTCCTTGCTGTTTACGGATCGAATTCCGTGTCTCCTATTGTTGGCCATTAGGCTAAAATCCGGACTTCGCCAATCCAAGCGCGCGGGCAATTGCGAGCGACGCCTTCAGTCCACCTGAGGCGTTCGCAGTGGGATACCAAAGACGGAGAGCAACCTGGAAGACCTGTTGGATCTCAAATTGAGCCGAACTCGGAACTCGTGCCATTTTGGCGAGTCCAGTCTGCGCTGCGCTGCCACCTGCATGCGGATACCTTAACGAATTCGACCACATTAGTTGCATGGCGTCGTTCCTTGGGCGGGCTGCTGGCCAAGTGGCCTAGCCTTGTCGTGTATATGTACGTGACACGAGGTGCTGCGGCGGCAGTGTGGTTGTTAAATCTGAGGTTCCGAGTGCCAGCGGACATCAATAAACCCCCACCGAAGAGGGCCCTGGCGGCGGTTCTGCATCCCAAAATGGCTTCTTGTTGGCCCGCTATGCTTGCTCAACTAGTGCGAGCCTGCCTTATCTTCACATCCCATCGACAGGAACAGTTACGGGTGCGAATACGGATACTGCGCTCCCTCTGCTACATTCCAGAGCCCGCCTCGCTCTAAGCGTCATTTCCTTCTTCTTTCTTAGATCTGCTTCTTTCTGGCTTCTGGCGGAGAGTCCGAGCACTCGTCCTGCAAGCTTCTTAGGGTCTAGCTCGCAGGCGGGGGGTTGGTGTTGGGCTCTGCCCGCCATGCCACCACCCAAGCTTGGAGTCGGCCAAGCTCACCACCCTCCCAGGTCTTTCTGAGCAGCTGGGCTGTGGTTCCCAGAAACGCACCCTAACATGTCCTCATTGAGCCGAGCGATTCCCCAAGTGCAGCTCAAAGGCCTCCCTACCTTTTGTGCTGTTGGCTACCTATTGAAGACGAAGGAGAGTAGGAACACAACTGTGAAGGGCGGCGCACAGGCAGGTCAGGCTGTCATTGTGGCTTGACGTGACGCTGGCGCATCAATAGTGACGACTTTGCAGCTGTTTGCTGCTCTGGCAGCCCGCCCATTCGCTGAAGCTACGTCTGTGGACACTCACCAGTCCAGTTTGGTCACCACGATTTAGCTCATTGCGTCTGGCACCACGCCCGCCTGCCAATACGAGCCTGCTTCCAGCAGCATGGTTCCTCTATCTCAGAGCGTTCGCGCCGTTCGTGGTCCCTAACTTTTTTTCTCAACAGACTCAGCATGTTGTCGGTCTTAGCCCCGTGGCTCTTTTCCTTCTTGCCTCGCTGCCATGGGGGCCTCGCAATCGTCATCTGCGGCAGTTTACTCTGGCGCGCAGTTTGTTAGCGGCGGTGTGCCAATCTTTCGCTCGTACCAGCCTTGCCATGTCTTTGGCGACGCCAGTCTCTACAGCATCGGCACGCGGATCGGCTTCTACCTCCAGTACTCGGCGGCCGTTCTGTCTATTCTGTTCCTCCATGGTCAGGACTTGAAGGCATGGTTTGTTTGCCACTTACCGCTGGCCGCGGCCAGCTTCGTTGTACTCGTAATCCACGCGGGTACCGGCAACGGGTTGGTCGTTATAGACTGGGCCGTCATGTTCGGTCTGGTGCTGTGGTCCATTCTATTTTTGACCAGGCCTATCTTCGTCTGGAGCCGCATCGGCCTTGCCTCTGGCATTTCCAAGGATGCGACGCAGCTGCAACAGGAACTGACCAGCGAGGGCGGCAGGATGGTCAGTGACCAGGAAGCGGAGTGGAACTTGCGGTACATCGCTGTACTGAAAGTTATTGGGACGAGGGAAGAGATCCAAGACGAGCACCGGAACAGCCAGAATGGCGATTCCAGGCTCGTGCGAGACGAGTTGGCGAGGGCGTTACAGCAGTATGTGGACGCTTTTGCCCCAGCTCGTGGATCCCCCGCTGCCGCCGACGCTGCAAGTTACATTGCAACTCTGTACGAGAGCGGGCGGCGGATCAACGATATCGTGGCCAGAATGATGATCGACAACCGACAAGTCGCCGCTTTTCGTGACGCACATGCTGAGGCTCTCCGACAAGCCAACATCCCCTTTAACCAGGCGCAAGCGACAACACAAACCCTGGCGCGGATGGCGAAGGAGGATCTGAGATCCAGAGAGACCGGGCCTGTTTCACGCTCAGCGTGGGGAATGGTCAAGGAACTTGGGGCCTGGACTGGTACTACAGGGGCGGTAGGATGCGGCCTGGGCTTGATCCTCTACGCGGGTTACCTGACATTTATGGTCTGGCTTGTCTTCCGAGGAATAGACCACGGGGCCAAGAGTGGATGTGATATCCAGATCATCCTTCTTGTCGTCCCGGTCAGCGTCTACAACCCTGCAGCCATCACGGCATTGCGTGTCCTGGCCTGCATCTGCTTCGCCGTAATGGGTGTGCCGGCTCTACTCGCGGGAACCGCTATCATCGCTGTTGCACTTCACCAGTGGTGGCTCGGGATATCGCCGCAAGGTGAAAGAGGAGCGGGGGCGAGAAAGGACGTCTTAGGTTTCGTGGGCATACCGTACGACTTTGGGAAGGGAGAAGGATATACCCAAGAAGCCGCCACACACTTGACGGGCATGCTTCGTCACGCGCACTCGGCCAGCATCCCCCGTGCCTCGAGGGCTAGTGACCTGGTATCGGATGCCTCGCTTCACCGTCAGCCGTCGACGTCGTTTGCGCTTGACCCGAGAGGTAGCGACTTTTACTTCGACCCCACGTTCAAAGAAACAGCCGCCTCCGATGCCGAGGTTGGAATACGTGGAGGTCTAGCGAGTAGCAGCAGCATCTCAGGACTGAGTGGAATGTGGAAGCTTCTGCTGTCAAAGCGATTGCTCTGGGAGCCCTTGGCATTTGTTGTGGCAGTCATCCACACCATTGTGGTGGTCGAGATGACGATCCGCGTCAACAAGCTTGACATGCGCCAACCACCGATGACGTCGATGGGTGAGCTGGTGGCCTTCTTCCTGGGCGTGTTCCTTTTTGTCAGAGTCGCTGCGAAATGTTTGCTTGCAGGGTCAAATCGGCTGCGAGGTCGACAGGCCGCTGCTTGGTTCGACGACAGATGGAAGATTCTTTCCGACCCGCCAAATCGTTGGCAAGACCGGTCTGATGTCGATGCTGCGGCGAGGGGCGGTAGTAGCGCTGCGCTGAGAACATTCTCAAGGCATATACGGGAGAGCAGCATTCAACACAGGATCTATCTCCAGCCCGAGGGTAGGAGCGTGAGCAGCATGGGAAAGTTCAAGGAGCTTATGAGTGATGCATGAGACGCCTAGAACACCCCATCCTGGTTTCGTTGGAACAGCCATGACTACGGCCGCTTACGACTTGAACTAGACGGCGGTATGGACAAAAATACTTAGAGGTAGTCCGCTAATATAATTACACACCTCCAGATCGCAGGTCACATCACGGGTCGAGGGATGTCCTTGCCATGCACATGTTCCGCCCCGTCTCGTATCTCTGCTTGGCGTGGCACGATTGCAACGGCTGCTTCTCCCGTACCAACAACCAACAAGCCAACGCCGAGATGTGATGTTCTCAACAGCCGCCTCCAAGACCCAGCCCCGCATCGCCCAACAGCCTTTGTGTATGCCCAAGGAGGGCGAATGCCTCCATATAGAGAGGGCGCAGCGCAGATAGCCAAAAGCCAATGCAGGCCGGCAATTGAGCCGCGAATGTTCGGTGCAGCCCGCAGGCCGCTGATCAATATGTCTCCAATTCGCGCTTAATCTGGCTATTTTAATGAACCAAGCTGCACTGTTCCTGAAGGATAATTCCGAGGACGCGGAGCTTTGCGTCTTCCACCAGCACAGCTGCTAGCTCTAGGGCTACGTAGTATCAGGGCAAGAGGTATATCTGGGAGCTTCTTCGGTTTCTAGAAACCACAATGCCGGAGCTGCTGATTGCCACTACTTCAGCCTGTCCTGTTCTTTTGGGGCCCAGTCCAGCTCATCAACCACTCTACCACAGCTCCTACCTTGGTGCAGAGGGCTTGCCACTATTCTAGCCAGCTTGTCTGAGCCATTCCGAGCACAATGTTGGCAGGCTTCTATCTGCTGGCGGCGTCGGCAGCCGTGCTGGTGTTGGCGCAAGCTCCGGCGCGGGGACAAGTGATTCCTGGGTGCACAACCATCTCGTTCCAGATCCCGAGCTGGTTTGTCGGCGACCTCCTGTTCATCGGCGCCCGCGGCCACGTGAGCAACGTCTCGTTCAACGTCCTCAACCGCGCCGCCAACTACACGGCGGACCTGGCGTGTGCGCTGGGCCAGAGCGGCTGGAACGAGTGTGACGTCCAGGGCACGAACACGTCAGGGCTCCAGGCCTCGGTCTACATCAACGGGCCGCTTGCGAGTGTCTCGCTGAACCAGACGTGGACGTGCAACGACCGAAACGGGACTGATCCGTACGTTCAAGCGTTAGATGTGGGCTAGTTTGACACCGAGCTGACAAAAGGCGAACAGCTTCCCGTTCACGGCTGCTGGAAATGGCTCGGTGGCGCTGAACTGCGGCGGCATGGACGGGATGGGCCAGGTCTGCAAGGCGGTCAACTCGCCGTTCCTCGTCAAGGCCGCCCTCCTCACCCCCGTAGCCATCACGCCCGTCTACGCCGACGGGCCGACAGGCCACAACACGCCCGGCTGCGCGGCCGCGGCCACGAGCCCCTCGTGGAGCCTGTCGGACATCCACTATGTCAACCAGACGGGCGACGGGATCCATTCCACAAACCAGGAGAGCTTCAACGTCATCGTCTACAACGCGGCAATCGGGTACACGGCGAGCTGCATGCCCGGGGTCGGCAATGCCATGGTGTGCGCCGGCGACGAGTTCGGCTCCATCGGGAGAGACCGGTACTCGCTCTCGACAGACGCCACGTTTGACCCCCAGACCTTTCGCTTCAGCATCAACCAGACGTGGTACTGCGACGACGCCGACCCTGGAAAGCCGTAAGCCAAGATCCCTTCTCCACCGACGTGTTCCGCAGGCGCGTGTAAGCAAACTTGATGGCTGACGGTGCCTGCAGTGTCGCCATCAAGGCGTCGGCAAGCCAGGTCCTCCCGCTGAAGTGCTCGAGCGCCGCCATCGAGGGCGTGCCCAACGGCGAGAAGAAGACGTGTGTGACGGACGACACGACGCTCAAGGGCGCGCTCGTGTCGCAGCAGTCACTGGCGCCGTATTCGATCGAGGACCCGACCATCATGCCGGACGGCTGCACCATAGAGTCGGTGCTAGGCCCGCAGTGGACGTTCAGCTCGTTCGAGGTCGACACGCCCGACTCCGGCAGCAGCGGCCCGCCGTCGGTCAGCTTCAACGTGATCCTGCAGACGCAGAACCGCGGCTTCCAGTTCCCTCTCAGCATCTACCAGGGCGCACCCATCGCCAACAGCAGCGCGTGGTACGAGTGCGACCTCGGTGGCGGCGGCAACACGGGCCAGCCCCTGTGGCCCATCGCCTGCAGCTTCCAGTACACGCCGGCCACGCAGGCCCTCGTCCTCAAGGCCGACTGGAGCTGCAGCGAGTTTGATCCCGTCCACCCGTGAGTTGTTGTTTCCTGTCACTGGTCGTCGTTCATGCTGACTGACGACTCCCAACCTGTTTGTAGCATTATCTTCAGCGGCATCACCACCACGACTATCAAGAGCCCCATGTCCTGCAGCACCGCCGAGGGCATCTCGCAGTGCATCGCCACCGACCTCTCCTACTCGTGGACGGCTGACATCCACAACGTCACATGGTATACGGGGACACGGTGAAAACCCTAGGGGGGATTTAATTGGAGTTGTCCGATAATTAGGTAGTTGTCTTCCGACGGATGGACGTCTGATAAACGAGTGACAATTACACACGAGGTGTGAAGCGAAGCTTATTGAAAATCGGCAACAGGCTTTGTTCCCTGATTTCAGTTTATTCCTCCAAGGTGGAGTTACCTATCCGTGGTGATACTGTTCAGAGACAATTTCAATGACAAAACACATGTCGAAGGCCATCTCTTCTGCAGCGAGAGAGGTGGAACTACGAAAGCTCCCCCTTGATCAAAACATAGCAAGCTGCTAGAAGGGTCTTTATTACTACCTTAGAACCAGGTTCACATGTCACATGTGTTGACGAAAACAACACCGTAATAAATATCACAAAGGAAGATGACGCAGGAAACACCACCCCCTGAACCCCATTTTCCACACCGAGCAGTCTTAGCAAGGTGAGATTACCGCGGCCACGAAAGCAACCACGCGACCAACACATCGACTCGGCGGCTTGACCTGAAGCCACCAGCAATAAACCAGAGAATCACACCGACTCTATTCCCAGCCATTTCTGCACCACAGCCTTGTCATCCGGCAGACCCGCAGCCGCCTGGCCATCGACGAACCAGTCCGCCACGACCTGCGGCGGAACAAACTGGCAGCAATGGAACGCGTCGCTGCTATCGACCCACCCGCGCCTGTGCAGCGCGGGCCGGAGGACGAAACCTACCGGCTCTTCCCCGACTACCACCGGTAGTCCTATTTCGTCGCTGCCATCCATCGACCGCGGGTCAAGCTCTACGACAAGCGTGCTGTTGCAGCACTCGACAACGACGCCGTCATCCAGTAGGGTGTTGGCGCTAGGCAGCGCGACGGAGACGTCGGCCTTGTGCGCCTCGATGGCGAGGTCCAGCTAGATGGCGCGCGTGATCAGGTCGCTGAGTGTGGTGGACCGATATGCAGTTCACTAGGGTAGGCTGTTGTCGACTTGCATGTCAGCCGTTTATGAGATAATTACGTAGGTGGGCACGTTGACTGAGGTAAGGTAGGTATCTGTTCATACGAACCTACCACTCATATTCAGATTGCTGTTTGATTTGATAAATGCATTAAAGAGCTGTTGCTTGAAGGCTGATGACTCACGGCCAGGGGCAGAACGAGCACCATCAGGCCATTACTAGTTCGCTAATAATTAATCACAGAGCTAACCACGGCCCTTTGACTGCCACGGATTTGATGTGTGTCTAAGATAGTAATTACCATTGCTGTTGATTGTCAAGTTGTTAGCGCCGAACAAGTGCCACGCTAATTACCTTATTACTTTACTTGGTGCTCATGATAATAGCTAAGTTCTAAAAGATCCAAGTCTACCTTTTGTCAATTGGATTTGACGGAGATTAACAACCTAATTCCGCTTTGAGCGGTTGATTGGTTGTCGCTTCCACATTTGCATCACGGATTCATAAACTTATCCGTTGTCCGACACAAGCCTTCGGTACCCGAGTACTTCGTAGCGTTGGCCAATGGTCGACGTTGAATTGGGCGGCACGAGCCGGATGTTGGCGCTAGGAAGTCGTTTTTCATCTCGGCCTGATGATTCATTTGCTGCATTCACCCCAGGCGTGGACGCAATGGCTGCTTCAGCCAATAGCGGACCGACTTCACCTGTGGGTTGGCACCAGCATGCCGCGCTGGTGGGGCTGTGCTGGGCCGAATTTCAGGCATTTAAGGCGTGGAAGTTCCCCGCCATCTGACCACACCACCCTTTCCCTCATCACCCCAACGAGGAAACTCGGGTTTCCTACAAACAACTTCATCGCCTCGCCGGCCTCGCAAAAGAGGCCTTCTCACTCTGCAAGAATGGCTGCCGCAGCAAGTTCCGCTGCCGCGTGCATCCTCGTCGCCGCTACCCCTGGGTCGTGCCGACGATTCGCCAGCCCAATCCCACAATGCCTTTAATCACAGCTACTTGGATCTCGACTTTAACTCTAATAACTCCCTTGTCCCTGACTTTGCTACCTGGAACGCCAGCCCTGCCCTTGACTTTAACCTCAACCTCGACCTCGACCTCTCTTGCACTCCAGAAGGCTGGTTGAGCCCTGATTGTGGGGCTGACCCCGCAAACTTCATCACGCCTGCGCTTGCTCTCTCCGCGGCGTCACCCAATCCCACCACCGCCACAGACCTTACCGGTTGGCCCTCAAGCCTCACTGTGCCCATGCAGGTCGGCCAGTTCAACTTTGACACCGACTTTTCTCCCGCGCCCACGGACCTCTTGTCGTCGGACCTGACATGCGTTAACTCGCCGTCGCTGCTGGACCAACCCACCGGTTGTGCCAACCTCACGAGTCTCGCCATCTCTGGCGAGACATCGTTGTCTTCCCCTACTGGCAGCACCAGCGGCAGCAGCCTGCACTCGGGCCTCGCGCTTCCCAAGGCTGTCAGCCAGCCCAAGAAGCGCGGCCGTCCGCCTGCGTCTCCGGCCCCTGAAGGCGACGGCGACGACCTGGTCGCCAAGCGCCAGCGCAACAACGTCGCCGCTAAGAAGTATCGGCAGAAGAAGCTCGACCGCATCCAGGAGCTCGAGGAGGAGGTGGACGAGGTGAAGCGCGAGCGCGACGAGCTACGCATCAGCCTGGCGCGCAAGGAGGCCGAGACGGCCGCCTTGCGCGAGATGCTGAAGATGGCAACGGCGAATAATGCCAAGGACAGTCCGTGACTTGGTAGTAGCAGTTAGCATCAATTACAATGGATCATCATGACCCAAAGGAACCAAATCTGTAACCGTGCAGAAGGTGCCGTCTATTCTCAGACGATGTCGGCTCTAATGACTGTATTGTGCATCTTTCCTCAAAGCAACCCCTGTTTGGGAAGTGACTCGGATTAGGGAACGCGGTTTTTGTCATCATACAGGCACCAGATACTCTCAAGAAAGGGGCGCCACAGCCCTTTCCGCTGTAAGGCACTCTTCACGTACCTGTTGATGCCAGTGGCCTCCACTTCCACGCCGTATTGTTCGAGAAGATGTCACTGAAAGGGGCAAAAATGAAGATATCAAAACAAGACTGCATCCCTCTAGCAAAAGTCACAGTTGTCGCTCAAAGACACGCTTCGATTGCAAATATCGCTACCTTATTATAAACACTGCCTCGCCTTTTCAAGGCCAACTATAGAGCTATTTCTTGTAGAGGACATCATGAAACCATTTCCTCGCAGACTGAATCATTCTTTCTCACCAGCCCGGATTCGCTCGCCGGCGTCTCAAAGCGGTAGACCGTGATCCCTTGTCCTGGGTATCGTGGAGCGGCTAAATTGGACCGCGTCTCCAAAGGATTTGAGTCGCGATGATTCAAGAGTGAGTCGTGATGATTCATTCTTGCTCATCAACGCAACTCACCAGCCACTGGCCAAGTTCCTGTCATTAGGTAATACGTACTTGGTCCATCTCAATCTGGGATACCGTTGCCCAGAGTCGCTTCCCTGGGTTTCATGCAATTGGCTCTACGCATGGTACGTATCTGGCGTAGGATGTAAGAATGATTTGGAATGATTCGCAATGATTCATTATCTCTCATCAGTGCGGACAGAGCGTTCTAGTTATTTAAGTGCCAAGCTATCCTCCCCGAGAGGCTGTTTTGGCAGCCGACTACGGGAGCCGGCTGAGCCCGGGGTTCTTTAGTTTTTCGCGATGCCAAAACTTGCGGACCGGCCCGGCGCAGGGACCTGCCCCTGGTGTTTCTCATGAAGCTATCTTGTCATTTCACTTTCGTCTTCTCCACTTTCCTGTTTTACTCTGTTTTGTTCTTTTTTCCTGCTCCACTCCCTCTCCCTCTCCCTCTCCCTCTCCCTCTTCCTCTCTCTCTCCCTCTCCCCTCTCTTTCTCACCCCGATTCTTATCTCAATTATTGATGTTTTCCCTCCCGGATAATGCCGGAATCCAGGCACCCCGGAAAAATCCTCACGAGGAGCGACGAATGGGGTCTAATTGCTCCGCCGAGGAGCAGAAAACTCACCGAGAAACCAGAAATGGCCAAAGCGATTACAACGGGCAAGACCGAATCACACCGCACGTCTGCTGTGCAACATGACAGTTATGTGCGTGACTGTCATGGCTGCACAGGGCATGCCATTTTCATGTTTGTTTTGTTTCGAGTGTCAGCTGGATGAATAAGACCCAGTGGGGGGTTCTACTTCTCCACGAACGAGGTTTCGCCGAAGAGTTGACAATTGGCTTGGCAGTGAGACGCGATTGTGTGACGTGTGAAAAGGCCTTGTCGCATTTTGTTGCCTAGAAATTCGGGGATTATGCAAGGCCCCCCGGGGCTAATACTTCCGCAATTTAACGGCAAGACTAACCCCGTGCGGTGCGAGGTGGTGAATGAACAAGAATGACCAAGAATGATTCATTTCATTGGTGCACCCCACCCGTGTATCTGCGGATAGCTAAGTCTCGCACAATCGCACTCGCATTTTGTTGGCCTGTGCTTTTGGAATTGGGACCAGCTTGACAGGACTTATCCGACTCCGTACGAAACCGGGAAGTATGTGCAGTCAATAGAAGCCCGCTGCCCGGCGGAGCTCGGCTGCAGATCGGCGTGAATTGAAGAAAAATGAGCCGGATGGGACGGGAGTTGGTTGAACGGGTTTGTTAGGCTTTGTATACGTGGAATTGTCCGGAAACGTCGCGCCAACAGGTTGCTTGGCAGACGATGATGGACGATGATGCAATTTTTGGCGGCGGCACATCGCCAAGAGCTCCACGAGTTTCAGTGGCCCTGCACGGACCATATTGCGCGTCCCCCCACATCTTGGACGAGATGCTGATCAATCCGAACTAGAACGGCACCGACAACACACTTTAAAAATGGGTTAAATTGGAGATGCCATTATTCAGCTCCCTATTATTAATCTCGCGCGACGAGACGTTGAGATCGCCAAGCATGGCCATTGGTGGGGTTACCAGGATTCTAGGCCCAACTGGACTTGAACGGAACGGGATAAGAGTGGATATTTTGCCTACCTTGGAACTTTGCGATTCGAGCAGCTCACCATTCACCAACCTGCCCGTTACCAGACAACATGCGAGGCCAAGGAAGAGGAACAAACCTGACTCTGTTGTAGAGTTTGGAGGGATCGCGAGGTGACAGGACTGCGTTGTTCCGAATTGCCCAACCACGAAAAGGCATTGGGGCGGCTGCCCATGATGTCAGTGGGCTGAGTGGAGTAGAACTCTGTCAATGGAGCGGCCAAGAGCCGCCTTAAGTACGGCACATCGGCGCAATACGCCCTAACAACCACACATGTAATTTGAAGTGTCGATTTCCAGAGGGTCCACCCACGGTGTGCGCACTAGGGTAGGGGAGGAGATTACCGCTCTAAATCCGCGTTTGGTCTAAATCCGAGGATCGTGCAGACGGCATTTGTCAGGGGTGTCTCGTTAATTCCGCCCATTTCGATTGCGGGGTGCGACGAGTCCGGACAGAAAGGTGGGATTCTTCCTTTGTCCGTTGACGGCGGTCGGCGATAACTCACGTCAGCATCAGCATATTGTGGAAGGGAAAGAAATGGCGACCGCAAGTAGCCAAGTCTTCGGCGAGTGACTCAGAAAGCAGTGGACACTGTATGTTGAATACAGCCATGGCAAGGGGACTCGCTCCACCGCCCTACGTCGCAGCTTTTTACATCACTGGATGGTACATGTACGGAAAGCGCGGCCCGCCTTATCTTTCGGGGGGGCCTGGTTCACATGCCGCAGTGCCGCGCTGGCTGGGTGCTTACCGTGCAGGCATCCATTGCATCCTAACCCTGTCCGTGGGCTCTAGCGTGGCGTCCAGCAAAAAGCCCCTGCCGGCGTGCATGTGGCAACGCTAAATGCAGCACGGTCTTCTGTTAGCGTGGAACTCGACGCTCCCGTTCTGGAAATGATAAAGGCCGTCCTAGATCCTGCTCGTAGTTTGTTTGTTTCGTCTTTTTTTTCTCTCCAAGGGCTAAGGGTTGCTTTTCCTCTCCTCTTCTCTACCGCTTCCTGCGGCGCCTTCACCGCACGGCAAATTGCAGTGTGCAGTTGAATTTGAAGCGTGTCGTTTGACAGGACGTACCTTCCTGCTCTACCTTGGTTCCATCTCGGTGACCGCACCTTGGAGTTGCACGGACGCGCCCAAGTCCCGGTGATGCAATATTACCTCACACCTGTAGTAATTACTTGCACTGCCTGAGATCTATTCTCCTAATCAAGAGAGAGCCTCTGGAGCCAGAACTCCAAAGTCTAGGCGCAACTCACACCACCCGCCGAGATGTTTGGCCAAACACCAGAAGAGGCGTTTCGTCGGAGGGCAGCAGAGGCCTATCCGGACGATCTACACCGTCGAGATGAAAATCAGATTGCGCACAATAACCGGGACGACAATGGCCATGACCAGGGCAAAGAAGATGACGTGGAACAGTCGGGCGACACGACGCAGATTCCCAGCCCCGAGGTCGAGTCCATCGCCGACGGCACCTGGGGCGAGCGCGACATCGGAGGCCCCGTTAGCCAACGATTGGCCATGCAAGACTTTGACCAGCTCACCACCAGACTGAGCATCACCCAATCCCGAGCATCGCGTGCTACTGGCACGACGCAGAAATCCAATGCCAGGCGCGGATCCTTTTTTCACCGCATGGCCTCGCGCGTGAGCGGCAAATCCGAAAGGCGGCCCGGAACAAGCGGGCCACCCGACGGCGACGAAGACGACGAAGACGCCGAAGAGCAAGCAGATGATCAGGCGTCTTCTGCACACGAGCAGGACGACTTCCACCTCGAGAACTTCATGCGAGATGGTCACCTCGAACCGCGCACTGCGTCGGGCGAGTCGACCAAGAAGGTCGGCGTCGTCTTCAAAAACCTCTCAGTCAAGGGCGTCGCTAGCGGCACCAGCTTCGTCCGCTCCCTGCCCGAGGCCGTGCTCGGCACATTTGGTCCCGACCTCTACAGGCTTCTCTCCAACTGGTTCCCCGTGTTGCGTTTTGGCCACCAAACGGCTGAGCTTCGGACCCTCATCAACGACTTCACAGGCGTTGTGCGCCACGGCGAGATGATGCTCGTGCTCGGGCGGCCAGGTAGCGGCTGCAGCACCTTCCTCAGGGTCATTGCCAACAACCGCGGCTCGTACGCCGCTGTCGAAGGCGAGGTGTCTTACAGTGGCATATCAGCCGAGGAAGCTGATAAGCACTACCGCGGCGAGGTTGTCTACAACGGCGAGGATGACCAGCACATGCCGACTTTGACTGTTGGCCAGACGCTAAAGTTCTCGCTCCTCAACAAGACAAAAAAGCACCTTCGGGACGACCTCGGGCTCATTTCCGATGCCCTGCTCCGCATGTTCGCAATCAAGCACACCGAGAATACCCTCGTGGGGAGCGCATATGTCCGCGGCGTGTCGGGCGGAGAGCGCAAGCGCGTCAGCATCGCCGAGACCCTAGCCACCAAGAGCACGGTGGCCTGCTGGGACAACTCGACTCGGGGCTTGGATGCCTCGACCGCGCTCGACTATGCGAGGTCCCTGCGCATCATGACCGATGTCTCGGACCGGACAACTATTACCACGCTGTACCAAGCGGGCGAGGGCATCTACGAGCTAATGGACAAGGTATTGGTGATCGACGAAGGACGCATGCTCTACCAGGGCCCGGCCAAGGAGGCGCGGCAGTATTTCGAGGATCTTGGATTCTTCGCCCCCACACGGCAGACTACGGCCGACTTTTTGACGTCCATCTGCGATCCCTCCATCCGCCAGTTCCGGGAAGGCTACAAAGACCGCTGTCCCAAAACAGCTGCCGAGATCGAAAAGGCGTTCCGCGAGAGTCCCGCTTACCAGAAGCTGCTTGCCGACGTCAAGGACTTTGAGCAGCACCTCGAAAAAACCGGCCATGCTGACGCGAAGACATTCCAGGCGACGGTTCAGGAGCAGAAGTCGCGCCGTGTGGCGACACGGTCCAACTACACTGTGAGCTTCTGGAAGCAAGTCCTAGCGTGTACTCGTCGCGAGTTCTGGCTTCTCTGGGGAAACAAGACGGAGCTCTACACCAAGTACTTTATCGTCATCAGCATGGGCTTTGTTGTCAGCTCGCTTTTCTACAACACGCCCGAAACCACAGCCGGGGCTTTTCTTCGAGGCGGTGTGGCCTTCTTCTCCATCATCTTTCTCGGGTGGCTCCAGCTTGCCGAGCTCATGAAGGCCGTGTCAGGCCGCGTCATCGTGGCCCGCCATAAGGAATACGCCTTCTACCGACCCAGCGCTGTCAATCTCGCCCGAGCACTCACAGATATACCGGTCCTCATGGCCCAGGTCATCATATTCGGCGTCATCATGTACTTTATGACCAATCTTGCCCTCGAGCCTGGCAAGTTCTTCATCTACCTGCTCTTTATCTACGTGACGACCTTCTGTTTTACGGCACTCTACCGGATGTTCGCCGCATTGTCTCCGACCATCGACGATGCCGTGCGCTTCTCCGGTGTCGCGCTGAATCTGCTCATCATCTACACTGGCTACGTGGTTGCCAAACCTGTACTGCTGTCGCAGAAGATCTGGTTTGGGTGGATCTTCTACATCAACCCGGCTGCCTACGCTTTCGAGGCGGTGCTCACCAACGAGTTCCACGGCCGCATCATGCAGTGCGCTCCCGAGCAGCTCGTGCCCCAGGGGCCAGGCATTTTGCCCGAAAACCAAGGATGCGCCCTGCCCGGCTCGCAGCCAGGTCGCAACAGCATCTCGGGAGATGACTATCTCGGTGTGCAGTATGACTACACCCGGGCCCACCTGTGGCGAAACTTTGGTGTTGTGGTTGCCTTCTCCGTCCTGTACCTGCTGGTCACGGTAATTGCCACCGAGATGTTTTCATTTGTCGGCTCCGGTGCGGGGGCGCTTGTCTTCAAAAAGTCCAAGAAGTCCAAGAAACTCATCAAGGTTGCTGGCAAGCCCGACGAGGAGAAGGGAGCGAGCTCGGGTGAATCATCAGCCGGGGCACTCAGTGCCCAGCGGACTCAGGATGAAGTTCTCGGGTCATTAGCCAAGAGCGAGAAGGTCTTTACGTGGGAGAATGTCTCGTACACTGTCCCAACACCGCAAGGGCCAAAGCAGCTGCTCAACAAGATCAATGGCTATGCCAAGCCTGGAGTCATGGTTGCGCTCATGGGCGCGAGTGGCGCTGGCAAGACGACGCTGCTCAACACGCTCTCGCAGCGGCAGACCGTTGGAGTTGTCAGCGGCGACATGCTTGTTGACGGCAAAGTCCTCGGCAACGAGTTCCAACGCAGTACCGGGTTCGTCGAGCAGATGGACCTGCACGACGAGACGGCTACGATTCGGGAGGCCCTGGAATTTTCGGCGCTGCTTCGCCAGAGCCGTGAGACTCCACGCCATGAAAAGCTGGAGTACGTCGACAAGATCATCGACCTGCTCGAGCTGCAGGATATCCAGGATGCCATCATTGCCTCGCTGGGCGTCGAGCAAAAGAAGCGACTGACAATTGGAGTCGAATTGGCTGCCAAGCCTTCTCTGCTTCTCTTTCTCGACGAGCCCACCAGCGGTTTGGATTCGCAGTCGGCATTCTCCATCGTGAGGTTCCTCCGGAAGCTCTGCGCGGCTGGCCAGGCTGTTGTCTGCACCATCCACCAACCGTCGTCGGATCTGATCCAAGAGTTTGACAAGATCCTGGCGCTCAACCCGGGAGGCAACGTCTTCTACTTTGGCCCTGTGGGCAACAACGGAAGCGCTGTGATTGATTACTTTGCGGAGCGCGGCGTCCACTGCCCGCCGGGCAAGAACGTGGCCGAGTTTATTCTCGAGACGGCCGCAAAGGGGGGGCGCCGGCCGGATGGCACGCGCATCAACTGGAATAGGGAGTGGCGCAATTCGGCACAGAACAAGGAACTGGTCGACGAGATTCAGCGCATCAAGGCCGAGCGCGGCAAGTTGCAAGACTCGGCTGAGACCATCGCCGGGCAGCACGAGTTCGCCGCCCCGGTGACAGCCCAGATCACCCACCTCACCAAGCGCATGTTCATCCACCAGTGGCGTGACCCCTCGTACATGTATAGCAGGTTGTTTGTGTCGGTCATTGTCGGCATCTTCAACGGGTTTACCTTTTGGAAGCTGGGCAACAGCGTGGCCGATATGCAGAACCGCATGTTCACGCTGTTCCTCATCATCATGATCCCGGCCACGGTCCTCAACTCGGTCGTGCCAAAGTTTTACATTAACCGCGCGCTGTGGGAGGCGCGCGAGCACCCGTCGCGCATCTACGGCTGGGTCGCGTTCTGCACCGCCGAGATTCTGTCCGAGATTCCCGGATCCATCGTCGCCGGCACCGTGTACTGGCTGCTTTGGTATCTGCCCACGGGCCTGCCGACGGACGCACCGGCCGCCGGCTATGTCTACCTCATGACCTTGCTCTTCTACCTGTTCCAGGCGAGCTGGGGCCAATGGATCACGGCGTGGTCGCCTAACTTCACCGTCATCAGCAACGTGCTGCCGTTCTTCCTCGTCATCTTTTCCCTCTTCAACGGCGTCGTCGTGCCGTACAACCAGTTCAACGTGTTTTGGAAATACTGGGTAAGCTCGTCCACATCCAAAATCCTATTGTCTTCCATGCTAACGCTCGTTTCTTGCAGCTCTACTACCTCAATCCGAGCACATACTACATCGCGGGCGTTCTGTCCGCGACGCTGATTAGCCAGCCCGTCGTGTGCGCCGACAGTGAGGCTGCCTACTTCAACCCGCCGTCGGGCCAGACGTGCCTAGACTTTGCGGGCGCTTTTGTGCGGCAGGTCGGCCAGGGCTATTTGATCGACCCTAACTCGACGACCAACTGCGGCTACTGCCCCTACGGAAGCGGCAATGAGTATCTGACGGCGCTGAACGTCAAGCCGTCCGATAAGTGGCGCAACTTTGGAATCTTCCTGGCCTTTTGCGTGTCCAACTGGGCGTAAGTTTCTCTCACTCGTGCTTTCTGAATAGCTAGCTAACGACGTGTTTGTAATAGGCTTGTGTACTTCTTCATCTACACTGTGCGCATCAAGGGCTGGACATTTGGGTTCGGGTGGGTCTTAGGCGCCGTTGAGAAGGGGATAAACGGGATCAAGGGTCTGTTTATCAGGAAGGAAAAGGCCAAGGAGGTCGAGGCGTAAATGGATGACACGTGGATGTGTTTAGTGCGGGCCCGGAGTTTGAGGATAATTACTTGATACCTGATAGATTTGATCTGGAAATAATAGACGCTGTTTGATGGTGCACACACCTGTTTCCCACTTGCCTGTTCATGCTTTTGCTTGGTGTTCCCATGCAAAGACGCACGACCCTTTTCATCTCCAAGTCTAGACGAGAGCCTACTCTGGGCTTGGCAGGCCCACCGCACATACAGACAGACAGACAGACAGACAGACAGACAGACAGGCGGCCACCTGAGCTCACAACGGCAACCCACAAAGCATATCCATATCGTACGGAGCCGGATCCGTAGCCATGTGACTTGTGGAGTTTCCGTCCCGCCGAAAAAGCCTTTTCTAGAGAAGATTACCCAATCTTGCAACCCAAAAACACAAGCTCACTGGCTCATTCCAGCGGCCCAATGGTCTAGTGGTATGATTCGCGCTTCGGGTGGTCAACTTGGTTTCTGACAGTCCCCATTGCCTAGGCAACAGGCAATGGGCAACTGATATGTGCGAGGTCTTGGGTCGAATCCTGATTGGGCTACTGCTTTCTTTTTTTTTTTTGCAATTTGAATTTGCTTATTTTGTCCTCTTTAACTTTGTTCGGGGCTCGTGTCATTACTGTTGGAATGACAAGGTCATTCGTTCCATAGTCACTGCAGTAACCGATGCGAATGGGGTGGTTGTGATGGTTGTATTCTGGTCTGCTCTATGTCTAAAAGGTCACGAACTACGGGTACAGGATGCGCGTTGGAATTGGCGATGTCGGAGGTCACGTGAGGGGTGCGCCTCGCGCACGTGCCGCAAAGCGGCCCGCGCGCTCGTCAGCCACTGAGGCTGTGCAGCCTGTTGAACAATCACGTGCGACTGCATCCTCTGATTGACTGGTAGTTCCCACAATTACTTTTCTCCCCCCTTTTTCCTTTTTTCTTTACGGCTTTAGGATAAAGTATAATTCTTTTCTCTTTTGTTAATTTTTTTTTTTTTTTAGTTAGAGACTGATACTACGTGTTTCAATTACTTTCAATTATTTGGCACTTCTGCATCATGGATTGTAAAGGTCAACAGCGCGGTCACGGGGCGTGTGGATGCTGCTTCTGTCTAGAGCTGGATGCAACTTGGGCCTGAAAAGTCTGCTCTATGTTCCAGCAAACCATGGCCTCCTACGCAAGCTCAATGTGCCGCATGGAGAAACCGGGTCGGTCAAATGCCTCGCCCCGCATGATGCCGTGGACATACGCCTCGCCCACGAGCACAAACCGCCCGTCAGCTAGCGGTCGCAGCACAATGGGTGTGGCGGCGCCGGTCAGCACCCACACCTGGTCGCCCGGCACCACGCTCCGGGGGCCGTTACCTAAGTAGTTCTCCTCTGTCCGGAAAATGGCGCGCCCCGTCGAGACTGCCTCGTGCCGCGCTGTCAAGGCCGCAGCCATCTCCTCTCTGTCTTCTGCGTCAGCTGCAACAATGACACTAACAACACTGCTATCCTCCTTATCCTGACCCTCAAATCCGTCGTCAAACTCAGGCGTCTCCGGCCGCTCCAGCGACCAGTTGCCTCCAGATGCGTCACGTAGAAGGCCGTGTACTGCCACGGCCAGCTTGTCCTTCTCGGGTGAAAGGTCTATCATGAAGTCGGTATCTAGTTCCGTGATGCCGTTGCCAATGCGCACGAACCGACCTTGCACCTTGCCCGCCCCGTCCCCAGTGGCTATTCCCTGCTGCTGCTTCCGCAGCGCCCGCTCTAGCCCCGGGTCTGCCGCCGCCCGCTCTGCTAGCGCCTCGAGCTCCGTCTGTAGAGCCACCAGCTGCGCCGCGTGTGCGCGGGCCTCGGCAGCGTCCCCGTCAGTGTCTACCGCTAGCAGCTGCAGGGCCTTGCTGAGCAGGGCTTGATCTGCGGTGTAGTCAGGATCGTAGCTGTTGCGGAATTAAGAAGACCGGGGATAGAAGAAATTTCTTGGTCTCGCCCTTCTACGTCGCGATCGTGCTGTAGGCTGGCCATGATGGCGGCAAGCATTTCGTCAAAAACGCGGTCTGTCTGCGAGCGCTTGGCGTCGGGCCGCGGCGCGTACGCCCACATGCCGTACTTATCGCTGCCGCCGTCGGCTTCGTTGGCGTCGGGCGGTAGCGTGTGCTTGGTGCGGGCCACGCCGCGGCTGGCGGCGAGCAGCTCGGCGTAGCCTTCGGTGCGGCCGGGGCCAGACGAGAGGTTTGGCCGCTCTTTTTGGTTTTCGGAGGCGGAGCTGTCGAACTCGGCCACGGCGTCGTCCACCTCGTCCGGGAACAGCGGCTCCCAGCTCTCGAACACGCGCTGCCACTCGGTGTGTTTCTTGGCGTCGCGCAGCCCATGGTCAGAGTTCATGTCGCGGCACGCCCGCCGTGCTGTCCGCTGCCACGCCGCGTGGAACACGCTGTGGTACGCGGCCGGGGCTGGACCGGTGGTGCCGTCGATCGTGTCGGCTGCCATGGTCCGCCACAGGACCTCACCGGGCGTCTGGTCCGGGGAGGAGCTGTCCTGCGGCGGCCAGGGGTAGCGCGGGGGAAGCTCTGCGGCCACGACGGCGGACTTTGTCAGCGAAAAGCCGAAGCTGCCCGACGCGTCGGTGAGCACGGCAAATTCTGTTGGGGAAAACTTGAACCCGTCCAACGTGTCGGTTACGGCGGCGACCGAGTCGACCAGCGCGCCGTGGACCGCGAGGAAGGGCTGGTGCATCTTGGCGGGCTCGGGAGGCACCCAACACAGGCCGCGCGAGGCAGCCCATTTGGCGGCGGCTGGGCTGACCAGGCGCCTGACCTGCGGGCCGGTGCTCCAGTCTGGCACCCACGACGCAATATCAATGACGCGGGACGGCGGGTCGTCATTATGCGGCAGGCTCTGCCGGCTGAGAAGTTCGAGCGAGTTGGCCGTGGTCAGCAGAGTGTGCCAGGCGGTCTGGAGAAATGCCTCTGCTGCTGTGAGGTGGTAGTCAGCACGGAGGGGACGCAGAGACTCGTGCGCTGCAGCCGGCGTGCGCGGCGGGCTCTGGGAGATACCCAGAAAGGCGAATATCTTGTCGCGGGGATCACTCGCATCGTAGCCGCGGCAGTCGTCCAGCAGCTGCAACAGCGGGACAGGTTGGGCCTCCTGTCCTTCCTCTTCCTCTTGCACTGTCGCTGGCGGGCGCCGCGGGCCCACGCTGGTGGGGTTATAGCTGCGCTTCTTGATGTGTTCTAGGGTGATCAAGGCCAGGTAGCTGGGCCGACGGCGTTCAAGGGTGGTGAAGAGGTTGCGGTTGTCGTCCGGGCGGGGTGAGTGAACGATGATGGGGTTAAGCTCGTCGTCCCACAGTGGCGTGCTCAGACGGGGGCCGTTGACCTCGAACCAGGCCCACATGTCGACGGCCTCGCCCAGTCCCGTCTCGGTCAGGTTGATGCAGGCGTTGGACAGCGCCTCCCAGGGGAAGGTGAGGGTGCCGCACTGCATCTGGGCCTTGGGGGCAAGAGCCAGCTCCTGGATGACCCAACTGCGACGGAACCAGGCACGTTGCAGGAAGGCGAACACGGGCCACCAGTGGCTCGAGTCCCAAGCAGGGAGCCCCAGCGCGGTGCACCTTGCCGGCAGGCGATGCTGGGTCCGCGCCGCCCTGGCCGTGGCGCGCGGCGTTGTGGCCAGCTTGAAAAGCAACTCGAGGGCGGGGCGGGTGAAGACGTCCTCGTGGCCCAGCCACACGGTGATTTTGGTGGTCTGGCGGTAGATGCGGCCCATCAGGGCGACTTGGACGCCCTTCTCGTCGGCATCGTGCTGGTTGATGCTCAGGGCGTCGATCCACATCTCGGTGGGCAGACGGAGGGAGGTGGTGGCCATCTTGGCAGCGATGTGCGGGGGCGGGTTGGCCATGACTTGGCAGATGTGCCGCCATTCGAGCAAGTAGCGGTACAGGTTGAGCGTTATGGGCAGCACCTTGCCGTCGCACAGCACATCGCCTTCCCAGGCGCCGTCGTCGTCGCGCGCCTTGAGCGAAGGGAATACGGTGACGGGGCGGCCCCACGTGTACGAAAGGGCTTCGTAGGTGATGGGTTGGTCCTCGAGGTCGACGACGCGCATCGAGAGCTCGATGGGGCCACCATCCCTGACACTCTCAGGCTGTCCCTGGCCCTGCCCCTGGCCCCGCAGTGTCTTGAGCTTGAGGCTGACGAGGCGGATCGACGTGGGCGTTGGGAGCGGCTCGTACGTGTAGCGACGGTCGGGTGGAATGTCGTGCAGACGACCCATTGCGGTGCGGCCTTTCGTCTTGTCATTGCAGGTTATCCGTATGATCTAGGTCGGCCTGGAATTTGGAAATGGTTGAATGGATTGGTGGGGAAGCGTCTGACCCGACTGAGAATGGGCCTCCCGCTCGAATTAATTACCTCATCTCGTGGCGGAGCTAATTCCAGGCAACCACGACCACCGCTTATTCTTCGGCTTCCTGAAACGACCAAACTCAACTGTGGTGCGAGCATTGACTTTGCTGTAATCAATACGCAGTGAGAAAAGTAAGGTATGGACCTGGTATGGCGTTCTTAGCGCTTGTGCCCCGTCTTTCCATCAATGGAACCCACTCTCCGCGCTTGTTGGCTGATGAAGTGGTGTCATTCAAGAAACAGATCAATTGGAGAGCAATCAAAAACTAATGGGACAGCTCGTCATAAATTTCAGCAGTCACGCATTTCATCAGCCGCATTTCATCAGCCAAGCCATTTCATCACTCAACATCTCCGGTGGCATAACAAACGTTCTCAAGCATGACTGACGATTAACCCCGAACCAGGACCCCAAGCGAATCATGCTGATCGTCAACCTAGTCTAGAGCTGACGAGTGTCAGAGAGGTCATACTAAATCGGGTATGGTTCAGGACAGGACCGCTGGAATTCCATCACCTTTTCCACACAAACAACATGTGTCGTGGTCTGGACTGCTGTTTTTGGCGGGCGTGTGGCCTCAAGGTTCAGTAGTCTAGGCCGCCTCAATAAGGACATGCCGGGTGGGGCACATGTCCTCTCGGTGTTCACAGTACCCGCACAGTACTAAACCCCTGGCACACACGCAAGCGCTGCACACCTCAGCAGGTTGGCAGGAAGCCGAACTTGTGGCGGTTCATCCTTACGGCGATGAAGGCTACGAGCCTGGCTTAAAAGCTACCATGCCGGCACCCTCTGGCGTTATCGACTGGGACGCCTTGCACATCGATGCCTCTAGGATGGATATAGACAGCATCGTGGAGAAGTTGTCCCAAACCAAGATCCGCGAACTCCCGAATCTAGACCAAGAAGGCCGTCGATGAGAAGTTGGGCTATCCGGCCTACGTTCTCTCCCTCACCCTCCAAAACGAGGACCTGAACTCGTTCGGTTACTTTGACGGAACAGACTATCCTTACAGCGGGAGCACGGAGGCCGGCTCGTGGCTTCCGCCGCTGAATATGTCGCTAGACGCGCTGATCCCCCAGGTTAACGCGTAGTTTCGATCGGCGCGCTTCGCCGGAGATCCGGGGTACGTCGTGGGCGAGAAGGGACTCGTCCGCGGGCTCGTATGGGAGATGGAAGCGTACGATACCGAGCGATTTTCCGAGCTGCGCGACGTGCTGCCCGGGATCTTGGAGCTCGCTTGTAGCGACTCCATGGAGGAGAGCGCGCTGTGGAGGCACATGCTCCTCCTGACTCTCGTCCGCCAGCGCAAGTCTGCCGGTTACTGGGAGTTGGTGGAGCTGGTCGTCCTCTGCGCGCTCCCGCGGCAGCTGAAGGACCCCGGCGAGATGTGTAGCCTGCTCTCGGGCCTGGAATCGTGGATTCGTGGCGAGGGCGACGACTGCTGGCCGGAGTTACTTAGCACGAGCACATGGATATCACAGCCACCTCCCGGGGAGCCGGTGGATAGCCGGCGCAACGCGCAAGGGCGCACCTGCCTCCCTTTGGCCGTCGAAGCACCTCTTTTGCACTGGGTCTGTGAATGCATCGGATCGGGCCGGCCGTTACCGATAGGCAAGCCGTCGTCAAGAATGAGACGGCGACTCTCGGACGCTTATCGGCCTCTTTACCGCGGATCCGGCCAAGCACCGCAAAGTATTCACCCTACTAGACGGCATCGAATACAACTTTGGAAACTGGCTTGTGCTTCCGCAGCGCTCGATGCGCTTCGAATGCGTGGAGGAGTTGGAAGGGTCCTGTCCATTGGGCGAGGATGTTCGGCAAGCCGCAGACTTTCTCGGCGGGGATAGGAGAGTCCTGCCCGATTATAAGTTATAACGCGTCTAGAAAGTTGACAGACGCATGGCCGTATGGTCGCACCGGCTTTCGGAAAACGGTATCCTGGAGAAGGGCCATGATGGTTGGATAACCGTACCCCTTGGCCAAGGTATGTTGATATTATCTCCCGGAATTGTCGGATCGAGGGAAAGGGCTAATAATTAGACAGAGGCGCGATATAAGTGGTTTCTTTAGCAGAAATTGGCAAGCTGGAGAATTTAGCGGCGGTTCTTCAGTCATGGCCCTGGAGCATTGTGTCGGGTGCTCGCTGTATGCTGCGTCAATGCTCTAGTTTTTGAGTGCTGGACGAATTCACACCTTTCGCCGGGCCGACATCCAGCTTGCCTCTGGTCGATGGGCATCAGAAATAGAGGAAGCAATCTCCACTAACCTGGGCTTAACAAATTGCTACTTAGCCAGTCTAATATTGGCAAGGATCGTGCCTGAGCTGGTGACATGTGTTCTATTCGAATTATGGATGGTTCCAGGGCGCACGCAGCCGCGATGAAGCAGATGGATGCTAGGAACTCGCCGTACGGTCATGGAACGAAAGAGATGGTTCAAGGGATTCATAACTCGTACCCGACCAAGAGCCAGCCAATTGACCCGGGAAATAGAAATAAAACTAGAACTACTCGGAAAGGGGGTCGGACCGATTCGGGCCGCGACGCACCACCTGCCTATCGATGTACTTGGCCAGTTCGACGCCACGCGGATCGTTCGCATTACCCGCCATGCCTCTCAGCATCCCCGTCAGCTGTATCACTTCCTCCCGATACGACGCACTATCAGCCAGCGCGGCCTCCAAGTCTTCGGCTGCCTTCTTGTCCTTCTTCTTCGCCACGCGCGTCTGCCACCAGCAACTGCCAATAGCAAAATAAACGAGGCGGCCCCACGCCCGTGGCAATCCTAGGTAGCAATGGCGACGTGGTCCATCGTCGTAGTTCTGGTAGTCGTGTTTGCCTGGGAAAAAAGGATTAGTCAGCGTACACGCGTGTGTGGTGCCCAACCTCCCAACTCTTCTCGCGAGCGGCCGTGGGGGAGTGCAGGTCTTTATGGTGTTCATCTGGAGCCTTCATTCCTGCCTTCTCTGATTTTGAGACGCAGTAACTTTGAAACGAATAGGAAGGCGCAAACATCCCACACCAAGACGTGACGTCGTGTCGTACTTTTTCCAAAATAAACGGAATGCACGATTCTTCCCCTGGTTTCTATATTAAGAACACCTAGATATCGCATTCGATAGATGCAAGTATAGCATCCAAAACCGCTGGGTTGAAGCCCCTGAACGGAGAGCATTGGTACTGTGTTTACTGGGGGCGCTGCACTGTGAAAGGCCTATCCGCATCGTACCAAATAAGCCCGAAGTTGGTTAGAGGCTAGCTAGCCTCTTACTTTTTGCAATAAAAAATTAGCTTCTTCCTGGAACGGTTGGGCCATCAATCTAGTTCGGCGGTCGGTGGAATAGACCCCGCCATTGCGGCCTTTCGTCTTGTCACCTACTAATTACCGAGGCATTAACTCACTGCAAGCTACGCCTGGGAATGGCTTGGCTGAATTTGAATAAATTGTTGGGGAAGCTGGTTTCTGACCCGACTGATTTGAGAAAGGGCGCCTGGACTACAATAATTAATGGGCCTATCTCGTGGCGTAGGTCACTTGTCGATTTGAATACAAATTACTTGCTATTTTGAAACCCTTGCGCAGCTGATTATCAGGGAAAGCAAAATAGTGTTTTGTTTTTCCGGTAATCACTAAGAACCACACAGCTAACTCAACTTATTTTGTCCGAATTCATGGCGTCGCAATCCAAACCTCTTGGTGTTACCCTTACCAGTGATGAAGCGGTGGAAGCTCCGCCTCGCACAAAAAGACAAGGAAACAACAGAACAAACACAAGGCGAGCCGTAGGCGAGCCGAAAAGGTCGGAAAAGGTCGGAAAAGGTCACATCGGGCAGTTAAATATATCAAAGGAAGGCATAGGCTCGTACGTGGGCTCGGGAGGCCTAGGTCATGACGAAAACAAGTAGATTTCTTCTAAAAAGCTAGGAAAACAAAAAAAAGGGTCTCCCTAGTTAGATGAGAGACGGCAAGCCGGCCGCCTTATATAAGGTGGTCGGTAAAAGAAGAAAGAAAAAGGACACTAGATTACAATAGGCTTAGGGGTATATTCCCTTTTGGCTGTGTGTAAACAATCCCCCTTTTTCCAGGGCCACTTATCTCGACGTCAGTGAAGAAGTCTCCTTACACATACCTTCAACCCTTTATCAAAACCGAATGACGTAGGGGCACGGGGCATCCCTGCCAGACCAACCCTTGAAGTTGTCCTCGCGAACCTTGGCGCCCCTCTTGAGGGCGTTCCAAATGCGCGTGCCCGAGTCGAGCATGAGGGCGACGTGGTGCACATCCCTGCCCGGGCATCTGCACTTGTTGGGCCCAAAGAAGACGGCGTCGCCGGCGCGCCGCTGGGAAAATGGAATCTTCCTAATGAGGCGACAAGACCGGAGTCAGCAGATATTCAATGGTTGATTAGATTGCCTTATTGAATGGGATTAGGCCTGAATTCTCTCGGGGCCTCGGGTAACTGGATTTCGACGCTCGAGGCAGGCGAGAAAGCCGACAGAGTCTCGGCTTTGACAAGAACAGCACAACATACTTGTATTTCGACTTGGACTCGGGTGCGCAGTACAGTTTGTAAGTCTCGCGCAAGTTTTCGTCGAACAGGCTCCGGTGCGTGACCTGACAAACGGCCCAGCTGACAAGACCGGAACAGTCGAATGACTTGGGGTTTCCGGTGGGACCGGAGCAGGATCCGCTATCGAACCTGTCTATTTGTATCATGCCCGTTAGCCACAGTCTCCTCACGCCAATCTGCTAGAGAGGATACGCAGAGGGCGACTCACAAGGCACGCCCACTGCCTCCTTCGCCTTGGCAAGGATGGCCAAGCCAGGGTCTTTCGTCGGGGGCTTGGGGTCTGGATCCGTCTTCGTCGGCAGACAGCACTTGAAGTCGACGGGGCCCGGGCAGAGGCCCGACTGCGTGTTTCTCGACGCACACTGCGAAGTAAAGCGACAGTTGCCACCGGCACTACCGCACGACGTCTTGGTGCAGCATTTAACTTCATCGGGGGTTCCAGGGCAGGCGTTGTTGATGAACTTGGCGCCGGAGCCGCACGCATCCTTGTGGATGCAGACACCTGGAGCCCCATCAGCGCCAGTGCATGCGCCGTTCAGGACTGATCGCTCTGTGATGTTGCTGGCCGCTGCAAAGCCGGCGGAGAGCAGCGAGAGGATGAGGAAGACGGGCTTCATGGTGACGAGATGCAATTCTTATGGCTTGGATAGGGAGCGAAAAGGCTGCAAAGCTGATAAGCGAGAATTGTGTGTGAATGTGAGGTTGTGCAGAGGTCAGTTGCAACATGGAACCGCAACTCTTCCCAGACTCTATATACTCTCCCACACAGAATTCTTTAGCCGGTCTCCCTAGGTACTTGACCGAACTTGGGCGCACAGAACTCATTTCGGCGAGGAATCCATCTTTCTCAAGGCCATAGGTGAGACGAGATTCGAGTTGTGTGCGGTTTTCCCTGCCCAGTGTTTCATGAGGGAGGCTGTGCCCTACTGTCGCTTGAGCTGAACCTACCTCACGTCGTAAGCTGGGCAGACTCGGTGAAGAATCGCGCCGAGTCTCTACATGGCACTAAATATGCTCGCAATAAAATCCATGGTGGCAAATAATTCTCACGTTGTTGGCTGCTAAGGTGTATGACGGAAAAAGAGGCCAGCTCATCCTCTGCTAGTGTGTCGAGGCTAAGTTGAGGGAAATAGATCGAAGCTAACGATGGAGATGATGGAACCGACACGTCCATCGCAGACCTCTCACGACTCAAAAATGAGCGCTGCACAGGCCACACTCCAAGTCAAAGCCCAGGTTCTCGCGCTTGTGCGACGAATATCGTCAAAAATTTGATTCCTTTGGCGTCTCTTTCGAAATCTGGCCGGGAGCCTTGCCGAGTCCAAGAGCTGACCAGATGCATAGTACTAATTCTACTTTTGTAGTGGCGCCCTCTCATGCTTGCGCGTTGGCCTTGGGATTGCGGCCTGGCTTGCCGCCCAGGGCCTCGGACCTGAGCGACATCATTCTGCCATTCCTAATTGGCTAGATAATCTCGGCATTGACAAGGCTATTCACACCCAACACGGCAGATTAAATCAGCAAATGTTCGAGGAGGCGACCAACCGAGACGAAGAGCAATTCGTGCGAGGGAGAAATAATTAGCAACTCCAGGTTCCTCATGTTTCTTGGATCCCATCAGCCGAATAATGAAGTGCAGCTGTACAGAGTAGTTACTCTTGGTTGTCTGCGTCGCGAGACTCCGCAGCTCAAGTCTCTGATGATGTACAGCTGAAGCTCTTTCCGAAGCGGTTGCCTTCCTGACTTGAGAGCGTGCTGTTATCTTCCTGCGCTCCCGCCTCCGCCATTACTAGGCCAAAGGGCCCACTCATACCCCTCTTTTTGTGAAACATCAAGTGGTTATCATCCTAAGGCCTGACTGGAGGCTCTTTTTCCAGCCGAAGTCCGTCATGTCGTCGCGGCTGCCAATGAGGCTTTCCAGCTTTGACTGACGGCGAACAAGCTTTTGCAGTGTGGAGCCCGGCGGCTTGCCCCGTTTAAGCGGTAACAAGGCCGCCCAATATTGAGCCTCGAGTGATGTGTATTCGGCATGCGCTGAGCCTGACTGCGTCGGTGAACCCTTCTCGGGATCGAGGTTGAGGGAATTCTTGGCTGTTTGCCCCCCGGAAGAGCATGACAACAAAGTCGCGAAGACCCCCAGCGGCAAACGACAAAAACTAAACCTCGTGTTTTGGCATTGTGCTGTGGCACAATCTCCAAGTCTTTCAAGATAGTGGTGCTCTCTGTCTGAGTGACGGTGCTTATTCTGGAGGGGTGTACCCCCACAAGTCTGATCGGCTTTGTCGAGTGCACAACGCGGTAAAATGCGAAGCCAAATTGGCGCGCTACTAACCCCCGTGGAGTGATGCAGGACTTGCTTTGATGTTTAGTCTGAGACGCCTCAATCGGGAATGGTATCGGCGCTGAGCCAACGCTTCGGCATGCTGAAGGCTCTTGAGGTTCAAAGACGAGAGGCAATGCGAGGTGATGGCGGTGGGGGTCATGCTTCAGCCAGCAGAAGAGGGGCATCAAGAAGATTCCGGGCTTGCCTGAACTGATGGTGGTGAGAGGTTTCTCAAGTAGTGGTCCTCTGTTAGTCAGCGAGTGGTGTTCAGTTTGGTATGGCGGCAGATCCGGATGGCCGCTGATGACAGAACCAGACCCAAAGTCTACAGGAGATTTGGCAAACAGTCTGTCGCCCACAAGTCTACGTTTCGAAAGACCCCAGCAAAAGAGAGGCTCGTCGCTAGAGGCTCACATGATTGATCTCCTGCTGTAGCCGAAGGAAGGCCCTGTCCCCTTCGCCGTAGAGGAAGGGTATGTGGACGTCAAAGATGCCAATCAGTGAGTAGACGAGGTCTTCACTGCGGGTGGTGTTTCCCTTTGAGGCCCACAACATCCTCCGCGCGATGCTGGCATATTTCAACTCGGACGTGCCAGCAAGATAGCTTTTGAGTATGTTGGACACGTCGGATAATAGCTGTAAGAAGTCTGGATCGGGCTCGTTCGTGTATGAAACCTTTTTGCCAATAAGACACCATTCGTTGTCAGAGAACTAGACAGCAGGAGGGGCGAGCAGATCCTAGAGTGTCCACCCGCGTGTAAACCACCGACTCTTGTGAAATGCCGACGTCGGTGGCAGAGGTTCTTGACCGTGCGGGACGTCTTCTAGATAGGCGTAGCACACATGTGCATCGCGGTACTATGCAAACATACAATTAATGGTCTCAGAGAGCTCCGCGCTGCTGCTGCTCTTGTCAATGCAGATGGTGTCGATCTAGACATAGTCCAAGGTCTATTTCGAGAGCTTTGGCACAGCAGCCATCGATTTTGGCGTTTGAAGGCAACGAGGGGAGGCCGTCGATATCCTTGAACATGACCTCGTTGGCGCCCCAGGTGTGCGACAAGCAAGCATATCGCGGGACGTTGGAGCTGTGGAACTCCTCGAGCCTTTGGTCTGCGTATTGAGGAGACGCATCTAGGGAGCTGGGCATACCTGTAGTTACGGTCGGTGCGTTTTCATGACTCTGGGGTGGGCCAAGGTGAGGATGGTGAGGAAGGTGGGGCTTCTGATTCTCTGGGAATGGCGAGGTGAGGGCGCCAATGCTTGGCCGTTTGCCAATTCCCCTCTCCCCTCTTGAATCCGTCTAGTTGCATTGCCCGCAGCGGGCCAATCAGGGCAGCCAACGCTTGGTTTCTCGGACGAGCTGACCTGACGTTGCGTTCGGAGACCCTGGTCGGTCTTGAGAAGGACCGAGCTGCCGAACTTGGGATGCCTGGGAGCGTAACATGCAACCAATCATCACTTTTCCGGCATATTTTCAGCTCGCCCATGAAAGTCATCTCAGAGGCAAACAAGCCGCCCCTGTGTCAAGTCGTGGACGCAATCGATGGGTTCCTTCCCAAGCAAGAGTTCCGACGCCGTTTCGATGCAGTAGAAAGTGCGTATTTGCGGGCGTGGAAAGAGCGCCCCGCGAACTGGAAACCACAAACGGCGGAATTGGAGGTTTCTGCAGGGAGTTCGGTTTGTCACTTCCAATTCGGCTGATCTAATCACAGGGTTTGAGCGGTTGCTCCTTCCTCATTGCTGGGCTGTTGTTATTGCTCACACCGCTTTTCACACATTTAGTATTCGCACATGCATGGTCGTGTCGAACTGAGCTTGAAACTAGAATAGCTTTTACAGCTGGATCCCCACTCCCGAAGTCTATGTACAAATGTGTGGGCAATATTTTCAGGAAATCCGGCCCGTAATCTCGGCAACCCCCCCGAGACGTCTAAGTGCAGCCCACGCGGGTAGAGCTGACGGCAATGTCGTCGTACCAAAAGGTGTTTGTGTCGCCGCCGTAAGACTCCCAGCCAAAGTAGATGGCTGTGACCTTGGGCTTGACGCTGCTGCGCTGCCACTGGGCGGCGTTGGCGTTGGAGACGCCGGCCTTTGCGGTCAGGCCGGCGATGGCGTTGCTGTTGAGCCACGTCTCGACGGTGCCGTCGGGCCCCAGGTGGTACTCGAAGCACTGCCAGCTGCCCGTCGGCAGCTTGGTCGACGCCGCAATGCCGTTGGGCGACAGGTCCGGCAGCGTCGCGTCGTCCGACTCGCGGTTGTACATGAGGATGTTGCTCTGCCCGCCGATGCGCAGGTGCTTCTTGCTGCCCTGCGCCGAGTCGGGCATGGTGATGAAGGACACGTGCGAGCTCGTCAGCGCCTTGGACGCTTTGCTGCAAGAGGAGAGCCGTTAGCAATGGTTTCGGGCCGGCCAGGTCGAATTATCAAGAGCTAATTACTCACATCCAGGCCCGGACATAGACGTCGCCGCTGGGGATTTTTGATGTTCCGAAGAAGATGTGTCCGCAATAGCCTCCCGCACCATCGACGCGCATCGAGTTCTTGCCACTATGGGCTGTGCTGCTGTCGAGCGTCACCTTGCCACCCTGGCTGCAATCCTGCGCGTACGTGGGCCATGCCGTCTGGTCCCATCCGCTTTCGAAATCCTCAGAGACCTGGCCCAGGGTGAAGGGGAGTACGGCAAGCGCCAAGAGAGCAGTTTTGCCAAACATTTTTGCGGATGGAATGCCGTCACGTGGTATTGATGGGAGCTGATGCGCGTGGATGGACGGACAGCTAGCATATTGCAATGGCAGAACGGCTAAGGCGATATTTATGTTGCCCAAATTTGCCTTCGTAAGGTAAGCTATTCGGGCTGGGGTCGCGCATTTGCGGCTAAAAGAGGCAGAGCTGCATCCCCCGCAAAGCCGGCCAGGGGTCTTTTGAGATATAATACATTTCCCGGAGGCTTAGGCAGCGTTTACCAGATTCAGACCACCCGAGGCGCGGAAATCCCGGCCGCCCCCAGTGGCCCCAGGACCTTCGAGATTGAACCCGAACCGAGCCTTTCCCACCCGCCCCAATCCCGCCCAAATTCACGACCCGGCTCAACGACGCCAGTTTATAGTGGCAATGCAGAAAGTTGCTCCGACGATAGATTGGGTCGGCCCGTCTGCTGCCGCTCTTGCGGCCTACACTTTTGCCTTGCATCCTTTGGGGAATGGGGATTTGACTAGTTCGCCGTGTATTGTCCCACTATATTCCTCACGCGGTTCAGGGGATATTCCATGCAATGCCATGTTTGAATTCCAGGCGCATGCCAGCCTTCATCAAGTTGCATGGTTGGAAACTTGCACCAATTATATTCAAGATCTATCAGTGCTGTCACCAAGTGCGATTTTGAAGAACACTCGTTAGTTATACCATTTCATACGTAGTTATATGAAGCCTCATCTTTGTAACTCTGTAGCCTGCCTAAACAGAAAGATCTCGATAGAATGAGAGTCGCATAGCAGTTATTATGCTGGAAATACGGACTCCTATAATAACAAAGACATTGCTTTATGGCCAAGGTAGGGCAGCCTTTGAGATCTAGTGCGGCGAACAACAAAGGCCATGCCTTTTTACTTGTGTGAATCTGATAGTTACTTAGAATTTGTAGTATGGGTTTCGACCAGAAAGCTAGCTGTTGTTGCCCAGAGTAACTATAGCCAAGGCATCGGTCGCTGAGTTTAAAGGTGGGCGCAAGGGAAAGTGGCAAAGTGAGGCTCCGTGTTGCTGCAGCTACGTTCGTTGCACGTATTGACTTAGGAGAAAACCCGGACCTGGAACTTGAGATAGTTGTGGGACATAGATAGCCCCTGGCTGGAGGACGCCAGCTATTATGAAAACTTGGTATTAATAATACCAGTAACGCCACTGGCCTACCAGGAAAGCGCCAAACCTCTGGCATCATGGTAAGATGGTTATAGATGCCTAAGGCATCCCGGCGCGTCCGTCGAGGATGTGTATCCAAGTCACGCCCCTGCCTTGAGCATCAGATGACTCGTCTGAACGGTATAGCGGAGAGGGGAAACCGGTCCTGACCAATGCAGCTGCTTTTTTCTGTTGCTTCTCTTACAACTAAGCGCGTCCGTCGTTCTTTTGTGAGCAGCTCTTGCGCCTCCCCACAGCACCACGACTTAGGCTCTCTCGGCGAGAGGCATCCAACCACCCATTCATCGTCTACATCCTTGCGCCAATATTTTGCCGCTCACAAATTGACAGCTTGTCGGAAACGCAGGCACACGAGCCATGGACGACGGTGCTGGTGGCCGCCGGCTGCACATTCATTACTTGGAACTAGAGCCTCGAGAAGGCCTCGAGCATCCATTCCAAGAGTTAAACGATGCCATTATTGATGATATAAGCCAGAGATACGACTAGATGACCCAATACAGGCGTAACGAGCCTCTTGAACCCTCAAATGTCATCGAGGCAGTGGTATTAGCGGGGTCAGAAGGCTTCAATAGTATGCGCTACGCCTGGAATACTCTCCATCTTTTTATTGTCGACGAAACGTTCTTCATGACCCACTTGGAGTTCTCGCCACAGGAGATTGCCCAAAATATCATGCGCAAACGAGTCAACCTGTACCACGATCTTCGCAATAAGTTCGTCGACTGGCGCAGAACTCGTCGTCAGGGCCTGCTCACCAGTAAGTAATCAAACCTCAACCAATCACTATTCCTATGCATCCTCCCCAGGGGTCTTACCAAGCTCGCAGTCCTAACTGATCGAGACTAATAGCTACCCAAGCTCGAATGGAGGCCATGGACAAGATCTGTTTCCAGCACATACGCTCCGAGACGTTTAAGCCAGTCGGAAAACTCCTCAAGCCCACGCAAGATGTCGTCTCGGGCCTACGAGCCCGCCGTTGGGCAGTGTGGCGCAATGCAATTTCGTTGTATGTATGAACCATGGCCACCAATCTATCAGTCTACCACTGTCCTTTTCCTGTGTTCTAGACGTCACTGACGGCCCGGTGCGGCGAACACAGGTCAATCTCCGCCCACCTCCACCTCGGAGAAATCATGGGTGTGAAGTGGTTTATCTTATGGTGGTTCTCCTCGCCAAACGAACCTAAGTCAGATTCTCTAGTGGTCTGGGCGGTAGGGACGTCAGGGATGATTCTTTGGTGCTTCCTCCTGTTCTGGGTCGGATATGTGGATCCATTGGAAAAGGCGCTGGGCTTCGAGAAGTTCCTGTTCACCCTAATGCGGTAGAAGAAGAACCTGGAGGCTCTGGACGCGGAGCTGAAGGCTGGAGCCAAACTCGACCATGCTGCCAAGTGCTTCTTGTACGGCGCTACCTTGTATGAACAGTGGGACCACTTGGTAATACCGGGCAATGACTACTTCTTTTACTAGGTCAGGGTCTCTAGCTAGGTACTTAGTCCAAGGACTTCCTAGGTCTAGTCAAGCACCGGGAATAAGCGGCGGTGGATAAGAGGTAAATGTCCTCCAGCAGCGCTTTCATGTCTAGACTAGAGTCGTAAGAACAAAGCAATCGCGGTCTAGATGGCGGAGTTTAGGTCGGCAAATATCACGGTACTTTACCCAAAAACAACGGAAATGGTAAATTTATCGCGACTGAACTGCCAAAGGCTTGAAACAAGGCCGCGCTGTGATTTCTCTTGTCCAGAAATAGGGGCAGATATGAAATTTAGGTGTCAAGATATTCTCCCCATTTCTAGCTTCCGATGAGAAACACAAGACCGCTCCCTCCAGAAAACGAAGACCTCAAACCCTCAATCATGCACCATTATTCAAATCTACCGCACCTTACAACAGCCATCACCGCCAGACGCCCTACCTTCTCCTCCCGCCGTCAGGCGACAGAGGCATGTTGGACACGGGCGGCACGCATTCGCAACAGTCGCGAGCCGTGACCGTAGGGCGCATGGCCTCGGATCTGAATTCAATGAGCGGGTCGTAGTCCGATGTCGGCATCGGCGTTGGCGTTGACGTCAGCGTCGGCGTTGGCTTGGGCCACGGAACGGGCGGGAAAAACCGTGTCGTGGTCGGCAAGTCTGAGGCCGGGAGGGAGCTCTCACTGGGAAACGGGTCGCCGCTGTCGAGGCCCGATGATGTCGAAGTTGCAGTCTCTGTCGAGGCAGGAGCCGTGCTTGCCGCGGGTGTGTTGCCGTTGAAGTTGCGCCCGGGTCTGCTAGGGATGGTCAGCAAAAACAGTTTTCTCGTTCCGGAAATAATCGTCTATTCATTTCTGAGGCAGTTGTCTAGGGACTCACCCGTTACCCTGGATGATCTGGCCGATGGCAATGCCGAAGCCCATGGCCGCGATCACCAACAGCACCACAAGCGCCAGCGCGCGGGCAAACTGCCGGCTCGGAATACCGTAGACCAGCTTCGGCGGCGGCTCCTCGACCTGGGGGGCTCGGAGTCGGGGTGCGTTCAAGGACTCGAAACTCACCCTCTCGGATACATACTCCGAGCGGCTATCGTTGATATTATTGTCTCCGGTGGCTGCAAAAGCCGGCGCGGACACGGCGGGGTGGACCGGCTCCTGCTCACGGTAGACACGTGGCCGGGCCCCCGGTTCGGGGCCGAAATAGAGGCCTCTTCCCAAGGATCCCAGAGATCTCCCGCCTGTCCTTAGTGGGGTTGGCATAGCTGGCATAGCTGGCATGGAAAGTGTCTCTTGGGCAGCATTGTCAACGGGAATATTCTCGTCTGGTGGTGGCGGCTCCGCGGGCATCTCGACATGCTCGCCCGCTTCGAGCCGCCGCATCTCAACTTCGTCTGGCATGAGAAGCTATTTCTCGGGGTGGTATACAGAATAACAACAGTGCAAGGCCTCGTGAGCTGCTTAGCAAGGGTCGGGTCTGGAGATATCGGTCAGCAGAGGAAGGAAATCACGACATTGGTAGTGAACCAGAAGAATAACAAATTGTTTTGGAGCTAATTACAAAGAAATGTTATTCATGTCTGAAGAGTCAGCTATTGTGAGGCTCTAGCAAATAATCATTCAAGTACATAGTCAACTGTATGATTACCTAGTGAGAAACACATAGCTGCTTTCATCCGCTGCGACAACCTACCACAAGTGTGTTCTCATTCTGTGCTGCACTGCTTCAAGCTGTGCTACAGAAGCTATATGAAGTAGCGACTAGTTGCGACATGGCTCCCAGTTTCTCCGCTGGCCTGTTAATAGGTTTCCCGTCGTCAATTGTTTTTGGTAGTTAGCAGAGCCACCCACTGCAGAGCCTACGTCGCGCACCACACAAACCTAATTTTGTATTCCTTACTGCTCCAGTTGGTGAGACCAAACATTTTGGAGGGTTTCTGTTTTCATCAAGATGTTATCTGTACTTGGGTTAAAAGCTTGATTGTATGCAAAATGTTCCTGAGTCATTGATTTGGTGAAAATTGAATATGATCGTGCTACCTGAGATACGTTACTCACGGTCTCACCTTGGCTCACCGCGGCCACGAAGTCACCCATTACCTATTCATGGGTAACAGGGGCTGACAAACAAACAAACAAACAATGCCGAAAAATCTAAACCGCAGGTAGTCAGTCGCCTAAAAACGAGTCCTCGCGTGTCTGTGTGTGTGTGTGTGGGTAACGTGTCTAGGTGGCTATTGTTCGTGTCAGATGGAACATGCTGGAATGTGGGCTGTGAAGGAGCTAGGCAAAGGATTCGCGGCCTACTTCGCCACTCATTTTGCCACCTATTTTGCCACCACAATAGTAGTATAAGAAGGAGGCTTTCTGGCACTGCCAGAAAGCCAGGAAGATAGAAAAGACAATCAATTGAAGCCAGTAAAAATCCTGAAGTGCAGTAATCCAACAATTCGCAGTCAGATTCGCTATAACACCAAAGCACCACAGGATTACGCACTTATACACCTGTTCAACGTGAACCGATACAACAAACACGGCAAAATGGCGGCAAAATTCACCACACAGACTCCAATCTACAAAGCTCCCAAGGACTGGCACATCTGGGCCAACACCCTCAAGGCGAAGGCTCGCCAGGTCAACTTATGGCAATACTTCGAAGGAAAGCCGTGGCCTAAGGAGCCTAGATACCCAGAGCCAAAGGACTTCAACGAAGAGGAAGGTGCTGATTCAGAGACATTCACAGAGGATGGAGGCGATGACAACGAAGAGATCCAACGCCTACAGGCAGAAGTTGACAAACTGCCGCCTCCACCAGCTGATGGAATCCTCGATCGGAACAACGCCGACTACCCCAATCTCCACGGAGCAGCCCTCCAGAGGCGCCGTACACGCGATCAACGCCTCCGCGAAGAACTCGCTGAAGTCGCCCGAAATCGGCTAGTGGAGATCCGAAACGAAGAGACTGTACTCTCCGCGCACGGCAAGGAACGATACAACATAGCCGTGGCTCGATACAACAGCATGAGGAAGGACTACGATCGGATACAACGCGATGCCGCAGTAATATTGGACTGGACCGACGCATCAGTCTCCCATCAATACTACCACCTATTCGAAGATAAGGAGCTTGTGGAGAGATATCTCGCACTAGAAACCTATTCTCTCCCCTTCGCGGAAGAGGTGATTAGGGAGACTCGTCGCGATTACAGAGACCATATGACTGCGTTCAAGAGATCGGAAAAGAAGATAGGCGAGTGGATCACAAAATGGATGCACTTTATGGCTGAGGCCCAGAGATATAAGCTGTGGGAGATCACAACACCTGAAGTATGGTGTGAGCACTTGATGGAGAGGCTCAACGAGACTCAACTAGGCCGAGCCTGGCTGCTGGGCGAATTCGCCGCTATGGAGCCCCAGATCAAGAACGGCCAGATAGACTATATCAAGGTGGCCGCCAAGATGCAACTCCGCCTAGCTATGGAAACGCCAACCGAAAAGACAGCAGAGAAGAGGCGCTACCAAGGAGCGTTCCCAGCCTATAACGGCACCAACAACAACGGTACCAACAACAATAATGAGGTTACCAATTCCGAAGCCGTAGAACGCGGAGGCCACAGAGTCAAGAGGGAGAGAAGCACGCCCAGCCGCAGCCAGTCAGCAAGAGGCCGTGGACAGAGCCACGCCTTTAGTGGGCGATCCTTACAAGGTCGTAAGACCCAGGGCGTGGAAGAATGCGAGTTATGCTCGAAGAACGGCCACAATCTAGAAGATTGCTACCACACCTACCCAGACGACCATCCAGACCTTCCAGCGTGGTGGATTCGAAGATGCGGCCCTCTAGAAAAGAAGACGGTAGCCAGGCTGCTAAAGGCAGACGCCAGCCTCGCTGAGAGGGTTCGCCAGATTAAGAAAAACCGCACTATGAGTTGACTCACCGCCATCTTCGCTACAGAAGAGACGTTTTACGCGTTTATGACTACGCCAATCCGATACCACGTAGCGCCAGAAGAGAGACTGCTCATATACGCTGCGTTCAGCCTAACCACCTACCCTCTCGCCAAATCCACACTCCTCGACTCCGGCGCAAGCCTGCATATCTTCAACGACCGCCGAAGATTCCACAACTACAGGTTAGCCAGCTTTGGAGAGGAGATCTTCGCCGGCGACTCGCGAGTGCCAATCCTTGGCTGGGGATCCGTAACGATCCTTATCACCACTCCCACAGGCAGCAAGCGGAGGCTTCAGCTTAACGAGGTAGCCCATTGTGAAAGCTTCAATACCAACCTAGTCTCTCTGAGGAGACTCAACCATCTCGGCTACTACTTCCACAATAAGGACGACACCCTCCGGCAATACAAGAACGATCGAGCAATTGGCAAAGTCCTCAACCACTACAATCAATTTGTTCTAGAGTTCGTTCCCCTCGCGGAAGGCCTCCATCTAAGGAAAATTAGCAAGCAAGGCGCGTTCCCCATACATAACTACACATCCTGGACTGGCCGGAAGCCGAGTTGCGAGACTGGACTGCTCTGGCATGGTAGGCTCGGACACCCAGGCGCAGAGGCGATCGTGCACCTCCCCGTAGCTACCGAAGGCGCTAAGATTCGCGGTCCGACCGGATACACATGCCCAAACTGTGGCCAAGCTAAGGCCAGGCGTCAGGTACGGCGCGAGCTACGTGAACCACCACAAGGAGTGGGCGAAACGATCGCCATCGACTTTCTTGACCTCGAGCCAGATCCAAAGGGGGTGTGCTCGGTGATGCTATTCACGTGCCGCAAAACGGCCTACGTATTCGACGCCTATCTGATCGATCGCAAGATACCCAGCCTTCAGAGCATAATCACCAGATTCCTTACGATAATCGAGAAGCAACACGGCCTTATGGTAAAGAGGATCCAAACCGATAACGAGCTAGCGAGATCCAAAGCTCTAAGGAGATTCTTCGCCAATCGTGGCATTGTGGTTGAGCCCTCGGCACCGGATACTCAAGCTCAGAACGGTGGCGCCGAGCGCTCAGGGGGTGTGGTGAAATTGAAGGCCAGAGCCATGAGGATCGCTGCACGATTTCCACACTTCCTGTGGGTAGAAATCTACAAGGCCGCAGTGTATCTTCACAACAGAACACCAAGAAAGGGTCTCGGCTGGAAAACACCCTACGAAGAGTTCCACACCGCCATCGCGCGCGCCTCTGGCAACAAGACAGCCATACGGAAGCCTAAGATTCACCATCTTCGCAATTACGGCTGTAGAGCTTACGCTATGACTGCTGAAGCTCTCAAGAGGACGAATCGTCTAATGAAGATGAAGCCAAACGCCTGGATAGGCTACTTGATCGGCTATGAGAGTACTAATATCTATAGGATCTGGAATCCGAAGACTAACCGCGTGATTAGAACGCGAGACGTGACCTTCGACGAAGATAACCTCTTTGATGGAGATATTAATAAGTTTAAGGACGATCTTCTCGCAGTCACGCTCCCACAGATGATCAAGATCTTAGAGGAGTGCGAGATCCACGAAGAAGAACCTGACTCAATCTCACCTATACATCTACAACACGATTTCCAGACGCAAGAAGAAGATGACTTCACGGAGCTCATACTTGACGAAATCGTCGTCCAATCACACACAAATGAGAGCCAAGATCAACAGGAAATAGGCGAAGTTGAGCACGCAGGCTCTGGAACCGTGACATACGCGGAGGAGCACCATCTATCTGTAACCTCTGAAACCGAGGCAGATACCTCTGATCTTCTAGAAACGGAGACAGGGACCACCGACGATGTGGAGATGGAACGCGAACTCGAGTATGAGACTGGCCCCCTCTACTCGGCGTACTGCGCAAGCCAACACCTACCCCCTGGATTGAATCAACCTCACGCGATGGATCTGGTAGAGGCAGCGTTCACAACGTTAGATCTTACAGACCGAGAGACTCAAATGAGTGGCGTAGATACGCCTACTACAACCCACAACGAGATGTGGTGGAAAGCTGCGTTCTCCGCAGGAAGAGCGAAAGCCACCGCGGGCATTCGCGAGGGCGAGCCCATAAACCGGTGGCAGCTTAACAAGGAATTAAACCACTTACGACTGAGCCCACGAAGGCGAAGGCAACTAGTCAAATACGAAGCAGCTAGAACTGCCGAGAATAACGATAAGAGCCTCCCTACCGCAATTAAGCCGAGAGCTAATGGAAAATATCACAGGCAAGATCTACTTCAAGCACCAATAAACTACGCTCGTATGTGTGCACACCCTCTCGAGATCTGGTTCCGTGCGGCTATGGCCGACCATATGAAGAGCCATCGCGAAATGGGGTCATTTACGGAAGTCCACACCTCTACCGCAAAAGGATCGCAGATCTTGGATTGCAAGTGGGTATTCACCTACAAGTTCGATAAGCACGGGTATCTCCTCAAGGTGAAGGCAAGACTCGTTGTACGGGGAGATCAACAAGCGAAGGCCGACGTGGAGAACACATACGCCTCAACCTTAGCCGGCCGATCGTTCCGGACCCTTATGGCCATTGCAGCGAGATTCGACCTCGAGTTACTACAACACGACGTAGTCAACGCGTTTGTCCACGCCAAAATGCCATACGACGTGTTCATGCGGATGCCGCGTGGATTCGAGCAGCAAGACCGAGTCCTGAAGCTCAACAAGGCGCTCTATGGCTTGAGGGAATCACCACTCCTGTGGCAGAAGCTATTCAATCAGGTACTTCGAGAAGCCAATTGCGAGCCAGTCAAGCACGAGCCGTGCTGTTGGACTCGGAATGGGGTCATCATCTTCTACTACGTGGACGATATCGTGGTTGCATTTAGAGAGAAAAAAAGAGCCGAAGCCGCCAATCTAGTGAATTATCTCAGCACCAGATTCGCACTCCAGGGCGGGGAAGAAGCCCAGTGGTTCCTTGGAATGGCGATAGTACGAGACAGAGCCAAAAAGACGATCTACCTCTCACAGGCTGATTACATACGCAAGATGGAGAGATTCCTTGCCAACAGAGCTAATCGGCGGACTTGGAAGACTCCAATGGCCGCAGAAGAACTATACGCCTACACCGGAGTGGCCACAAAGTCGGAGATTCAACGCTATCAGCGTATAGTTGGAACGGTGCTGTACGCCGCAGTGATCTCCAGACCAGACGTGGCGTTTGCAGCCTCTCGCCTCTCCAGATTCAACCTCAATCCCAGCCCACAACACCTCAAGGCGGCGGAAAGAGTGGTCGAATACCTCGTAGCAACAGCCAACTTCGCTCTCAAGATCGGGGGTGGCGACAACTTCAACACCTGGACCGACGCCTCGTTCGCAGATAACAGCGCAGATCGCCGCAGTTCACAAGGATACGTGATGGTGCTCTTCGGAGGAGCGATTGGCTGGAAGGCCAACAAGCAAGATACGGTTACAACCTCAACAACGGAGGCAGAGCTACTCGCACTATCACAAGGCACCAAGGAGGCATTGTATTCACTGCGATTGATCCAAGAGATCGGAGTCCAACTAGACGAACGGCACGTCCAGATCTGGTGCGATAACACCCAGACAATCCGCCTTGTAACCGAAGATGTGGCGATTCTGAACACCAAGCTACGACATGTGGATATTCACAACCACTGGCTGCGGGAGAGGATTGAGAGGCGTGAGATACACGTAGATTACGTGCCAACAAAAGAACAAGTGGCTGATGGCCTTACGAAGGCCCTGCAAGAGCAGGATTTCAGAAGGTTCAGAGACCTGATTGGAGTGATGGATATCTCTAGTTTGCTAGAAGAAAGACATGCACGACTAGAGGAGATCACGGACGAAGATCTGGAGGCTTTGGAGGATCTGATCGAAGGAGGAGAGGCAGAGCTACCTAGTCTGGAAGTCTGAATAGCCTCGATTCGGTTCAGCCAACACCCCGGGCAGGCTGCTGGCTGAGGGGGTGTGTCAGATGGAACATGCTGGAATGTGGGCTGTGAAGGAGCTAGGCAAAGGATTCGCGGCCTACTTCGCCACTCATTTTGCCACCTATTTTGCCACCACAATAGTAGTATAAGAAGGAGGCTTTCTGGCACTGCCAGAAAGCCAGGAAGATAGAAAAGACAATCAATTGAAGCCAGTAAAAATCCTGAAGTGCAGTAATCCAACAGTTCGGGCCGCGCCTCGCCAAGATGACTTCGTGACCAATTACGCCCCCGCACAACCTCCAAAGGTGTTGCTGTTATTTCCAGAGGCGGCCGCTCCTTTGTACAAGCCAATGAGTACTCGAACAGTACTGGTCAAAAATGCTTTGGCGCCCGGCCACGTCAACTTGGTCCTGGAGCTCGTGTAGGAGATCCTGAGATCAGACAAAGGCCACTATGGCTGTCTTGGTCCGTTCCTGAGCTTCTATACACTCCGACCTGTGGCTCTCGGGAATGATCTTGAATAGTTCATGTGTAGTCCGTTGGGGGCGGTTTCTCGGGTTCCGGATCTTGATTGCTGTTGCTGTGAGCTTGTCGACGCGTTCGGCTAGACTTCTGTCGGATTAGTCACGTGAATACTTGACGCAGCTCGTGCGCGAATTAATCAAGGTGCTGAATGCTCCTTCCTCACGACATCCAAGAGCGGCGCGGGGCTGTGTGTCGCACTCGGTCCTTCCTTCCATCTTCGCCGCGGCAATCTCGAATTCGCTCCGACAAATGTCTGGGTTCGAGATTGCGGGGGTTCTCCTGGGATCGATTCTCATGGTCATCTCGGCCTTGGCAAACTAAAGGCAGGAAAGGGCGCCATGGCAACCATGTTCAAGTTCCGCGGCCTGCTGGACGACCTGATCCACCTGCTCAAGTCGCAGCGCTTGTTTTTCTACATGAACATTCTGCAGCTGCTGCAGGAAGCCCGTGTGGCTGGCATGATTGGCGAGGTCGACCAGACAGAAGAGGTTTGCATCCGTATCATCCGAGACACCCGCACTGGGCACGAGATCCACGATTATCTCGGCCACCTCTACACGCCCTTTCTCCAAATACTCGAGCGTTACGAAATATGCCTTAAGCGCATCGCAGCAACTCTGGGACACCTCCGTCCGGCAAATTCGCGTATCTAATTAATACTGTCAAGGGTCAATACGGGCCGCTGAGTGCTCTATCTAATCACCTATCAAGGTAGTTACGCTGCTAAAGATGACTTAGCCGACATCATCCAAGCAAACTCCGACCTCAATATGACCCTGTCGATCAAAGGCCGCCTCGAGTTCACCATCAAGCACAAGCACCTACTAGCTATTCTCGACGAGCTTCGGACTGAGCGTCTATTCTTGAAAACCATCATCAAGGGCATGAAGACACAGAGGCTCTTCGAAACTCGACATCCATTTTATGCTTCACGGGCACTATCTAACATTTTTGAAGACGTCCACACGTCAGCGCAGAGAGCGAAAAACGACGTCATCTTCAATCGCTTTCTGTTCGTTGACAATGGTGTTTTTCAGGAAACCACCATCGATGCCACGGCAAACGGATGGCCAACCGGCAATGACTCGGAGCTATTTTTGGCTCCAACGACGACCGACATAGACAGCGGGCTACCACAAGGAAGGTCCGGATTCAACCCCCAACCATTACCATTTTAAAGATAACTACCTAAACTCTCCCGCTGCCGTTTCAACGCGACGTCGTAAATATATGCGGCTCTGCGCGACAGGCCCAAAGCGAGGGGCAGGTTCTCGCGCTTCACCTCGCAGCAAACACCGGCTTCGAGCTGATGGACGGCGCTGCGAAAGCTCGCCGAATCTTTGCCAGAGCCATAACTCTAGCCGACTTCCTCAAAGAATAGCGCAAGACGAGGACGTCAGGATGACGCCGAAACAACAGGCCCTTCTGGCCTTGGATGTCGCCTCTTCGGTTCTCCAGCTCCAGCAGACCCTGTGGTGCTCCATTCCGTGGAACAGCACGGCCATCAAGTTTTTCCTGCAAAAGGAGAGAGACTGCAGCTCAGTAGCCTGCACCCCCTACGCGGAGCAGACGACCCCCCCAATCCCATGCCTCCGTCGCCCATTCACAGCCAGATCTCGACGTGAAGGAGACTCTGCTCGAGCTGGCCATCCTGCTACTCGAGATCTGGCACCATGTTCCTCTCGAAGCGTGGGCGCAGAGGAAAGGCTTGGAAGTCGGCTCGTCTCTCGAGTAGCACACGATTACGGCGATCAAGTGGCTAGAAACAACGTCGGAGAGGCTGCCGCTGCATCACCTCGTGGCTATCGGACAGTGTATGGCGTTTTACAGTAGAAGGCGTCGCCTGTGGGACGATGCCGACTTCCGGCGGCTGTACTGTGAAAATATCATCAAGTTACTGCAAGAGAACTGTAGGACTTAATGAACTGGATATTTGCTGCCAAATTAAATTTCATATTCAATGGTTACGATTTTCGTGTCGAGGATGGGCCGGTTGAACATTTCCCGCACGGCTTATAATACTTATAGAGCATGTCCGAAGTCAGTTCATCTACATCGAATCTGGGCAAGATGAGTGCCCGATAGTTTTTGAAGAACGTGGACTACACGGGGAATATACCCGGCTGTCACGAAAGCAATCATTTAGTTGTGGCTTGTATCATGTGTGCGCTATTTACCTCATCTACAGCAAACTAACAGCAACCGCCTATCTAACCCGTTGCGAAAGACCTCTAGTGAAACCCTCATACATGCAACAGAACCTGAACACGCCTCCAGTTTCGGGCCTATCTCATAGCTTGACGTCTCTGCGCTTCCTCTCGTACAGCTTAATCTCGACGCCCTTCGCCTCGGGGCCGCCGCTCTTCAACAGGCGCCGTAAGATTTTCCCGCTCGGGCTCTTTGGGATCTGGTCGACGAACACGACGCCGCCCACGAGCCACTTGTACTTTGTTGTGCGCTCCTCGACGAGCTTCTTTACCTCCTGGGCAAGCTGCGCCAGGGCCTGCTGCCTGTCGGGCTTACTCAGGACAGCGGCCGAGGGCACGACAAACGCGCGCGGCCACTCGGTGGCCTCGGACTCGTCGTAAATCCCGATGACGCCGGCGTCGGCGACCGACTCGCTGCTACACAGCACGGCTTCAAGCTCGGCGGGCGCCACCTGGTACGCGCGCACCTTGATGAGCTCCTTGAGGCGGTCCGTTATGCGCAGCCTGCCGTCGGCCGACAACGCGCCGACGTCGCCCGTGCGGAACCAGCCGTCGGGTGTCAGCGCCTCGGTTGTCGCCGACATGTCCAGCTGGTGGTTCTTGTGGTTGGCGCTTGCCATGAACCCGATAGGCAGATATGCTGACATCAGCATGGGGCCTCGCACAAGCACCTCGCCCTCGTGATCTATGGCGGCGCCCACCGCTTTCCCGTCCGCTTCTGTGCCGCCGGCAATCATGATATCAACTCCCCAGTGCGGCCGCCCAGTGTCGCCGGCGTGGGCGTGCATCTCGGCCTCGCCAAGACCGCGCTGCAGGGCGGTGCAGCACGTCTCGGATAGCCCGTAACCGAGACGCACGCGGAAGCCGCAGCGCTGGTAGAGCTGAACCACAACCTCATGGCCGAGCGGAGCGCCGCCCGTGACAGCCCCCACAACCGAGCTGAAACCGTTGCGGCCGCTGGCGTCGCGCTTCGTATAAGGCTCGACCTTGGGCGATTTTGCGAGCATGACAGCCACGGGCGGCGCCATGTGCAGGTACGTAATCTTGCGAGAGGGAATGGCGGCCAACACGGCGTCGAGGTTGAACGACGACATCGTGTACGTGGTCGAGCCTGTGCAAATCGCCAACAGTAGGACATTGCAGAGGCCAAAGACGTGGTAAAATGGCACGTAACCCAGCCAGCGCTGGCGCTGACCTTGGTAGAACTCGGAGTCCTGCCAGAGAGAGGCTGTGGCAACGTTTAGTGCGTGGTGGGATAAGAGCACGCCCTTCGAGCGCCCAGATGTGCCCGACGACCACAGAATCACCGCCGTCCGCGTCGCTGCAGTGTTGGCGGGGAAAATGGGAGCATCTAGCCGCGGTGACGGATTGGCGGCTAAAAGCTCGCGCCAATCTTTCTCTCCGATAACGCTCTTGGGTGCCGGCCCCTTCGGGAGAGCTTGGGGGTATGGGTCATCGGCACCGTCGACGGCGAAGATGGGGACGGTTTTGAAGAAAGCTTGGTCCTGCTGCTTTTGCAGGGCGGCGCGCATTGCAGGCAGACAGGTTTTGGCCGTGACGATGACGCGCGGGCGGGAATTTTGCAGGATCCAGGCAATCTCGTCGCCCGTGAGGGCGGGGGATGCTAACGTGGCAGTCAGGCCCGCCGCCACCGTGCCTAAAATTACCGGAGCAAAGGCGAGGCAATTTGGCAGCTGGATTAGCACGACCTGTGCGATCTCGGGGCCCTGGGGGCATGTCGGCGTCGGCGGAAGCTTATGCAGGTCCCTAGGTTCCAAGCCCAGATTCAGAAGCCCCGACGCCACAGCGCGCGCATCCTTGAATGTTTGGCCAAAGGTGAGTGTGCGATCTGGAATTATGTTAGTACTGTGGATGCAGTTGGTGTCTCTTGCCTGGGTACTCCTGGGCTATCTTGGAGCGGGGTCGCACAACAGCTGCACAGCAGTTGTCGATCAACGATCAATGAATAGCAGCAAGATTGACCTTACCTGACTTGTTCTCGACAAAGATGGGCCGGCTGTCTTCTATCGGCGAAAGTCGCTGCGAGGGGGGCGTGAAGTCATTTTCGGTTTGGAAGGGTTGGCTGAGGCAAAAGTCGACGACATTAGCAAGGGGAACGTGGCCAGTTGACCCCGTCGCGTAGGCTGGCGGCCCACCACCACGGCTGCTGCTCTCGATGGGGGCGGGCATTTGGGCGGCGCGACTCGAGGGGCTTTCGACGCAAAATAAAAGAAAAGAAAGTATATACAAGAGTTCGTTCAAAATCGAAGTATGGGAGACGCCAGCTTTCGGCGAGAAAGTTAAAAGGCAAAGCCGACGCCAGCTGCCGGAAAGTCCGAAGGAATCAATCCTCGCATTGAGAGAAGAGGCCGGCTGTCACTTTTAGGTTGGCTCTCGTTTTCCGGCTTCGTGATTCGGCAGGCAAAGCCCCAGACCAACCCCAGTGCAACGGTTGGGGTAGACAGGGGTCTCGGCTGGACATCGCCAGCGCCCCCTTCGGCAGTTGAATTGGTCCCTATCTGGCCTAGCGAGAGGTCCTCCACGGCTGGAGTAATTAACCTCAGGTAGCTCCTCCCAACCCCCAAGCGGATACGCATTAGCCTCTCTCGGACATCCAAGGCAGGAAGAGCCGGGTTGCAGTTCGTTCCCGTTTCCAAAGAGCGAGACAGCTTGAGGATTGTACTAATTATTGCTGATGAAGGTGACAGTACTAAGTTCCACATTGAGAATCGCCCTACTATTCTAGAGGTCTTTACACACCTGCCTGGGCTAGGTTTATGGAACAGAGCCCGCAAATAATGGCCCCGGTTGTGATTACCCCTTCGCGCCTTCCGTCGTAAGACCATTGCATCAATATGGCCTGTGACGAGTCCAAGTCCTATGAACTTCGGAAGCGGGTTTCTAAACTGGGAAGGCGTCAAGGACACCGCCAGGTTCAGGCTGTCCTCGCCTCGTTCTGGCGTCAGGCAGGCATGTGATGAAAGACTTCTGGCCAGGTCCCCGGGACAGCTCAATTCGTGTCCTCTCCGCAAACATCTCTCTTTTAATTAATTTCCACCAAATCCAATTACCTACCTCCCTAACTATAACGTCCTCCGCCATGCCCAAGCTCCTCCTCGTCGGGAACCATTCCGATCTGGATCTCCTTCGGATAGCGCTATGGGAGGCGCGCAGTTTTTATTAAGCGGAAAGTATTGCCGTGGCAGGCAGATAGCGCATAGAGGTACGAGGTGCATAGAGGTACGAGGTAAAGATACAACGCAGAAATACATGCCTTTTTACAGATGGAAAATGCCTGATGGTTTCCTTACTGCAAGCGCTAGTGATATGCGTTTCACTTCAAGAATCAGCCAGAGCTGTGCTAAGTTCCCTTTCATGCTCACGAGCAGGAACGTTCAAGAAGTTTGTGTCACGGTGGCATTAGTTGTACGACGATGCCTCGTACGACCGGGCAATCTCACATTCACTGTGTAACCTGCATCAGTATCTTGCAGGCTCTTGGCTTGCAGTACTGTAGGAATAAGAGACCGCGGGACTGTCCGGTCAATCGTTACGAGAAAGGGGTAGTCTTTAGACAAGAACAGACCCTTGCATGTGTTATCGGGACCTGCATATCAAATGGCACTGGTTATGGGGTAAATTTGGAGCATTCATGGAGGCTATCATATTGGAGGTCATTGACCTGGTAACGCGCGCAAAACTAAAAATCAAACAATTGCCGCCCCCTCGACTGCGATGCTGGGGTATCCAAAAGGACAGGTATCCGCCGTGTGCCATATTTTTGTTTGATCATCAGGTAAGGACAGAAATGGCAGTTGTGCTTTTTCCATGTCGGGCTGCCTGGGGGTCTGTTCACACTAGGAAAAGCGCGCGATCCCCGTCTCGTTTCCGACTGCCGTACGCCATTCCTCGACACTATAATTGTGTAAGCGTGTTAGTAGAAAGCTTAACGCTGGGTGTGGCCATCGGGGCTTCATACACAAGTCCAGAAAGGCGAGGCAGTCCGAGGCGCTCGGCATCCGAGTCCTCCAGCTCGATGACCATTTCTGCGTTTCTATCAGTCACAGGAGCAAACTGAAATATCTTCCGGGATGGGTTAATGGGCAGGGACAACCTTTTTTGATCATGAGTTTGTCGTACAGCTGGTCATAGAGGGCCAAGTTGATGCCGAGGACACTGCTGACCTTGTTGTTGACACTGAGGAGGCGATCGCGTGCAACACGAAATCCGTCTCGGGCGCTCCCGGAGATCCCGACGCGGATCATGATGATGGACTCGGTCAGAGCAGTCCTTGCGCTGCGGAGCTGGCCGAGCATGGTGGCGAGGTGGATATACTCGGGGTCGCCGGCATGAAGCTCGCGCGGCTCGCCGAGACGCCGGTTCTCGGCACCGATGATCATCATGGAGGCGTTAAGGCGAGCGGCAAGGTCCATGATGTCGTATGCCTGCTGGCCGATGCCTGCCGGCTGGAGGCTCGCAACATCCTTGACCAGGATCAGGGAGCTAATTAAGCGATTCGCCTCATCGCTGATGCCCTGGAGCGGGCCAAGGGCGCCGAAAATCAACTTGCGTGCCTCCTTCACCGAATTGAGATTCTTCACGGCCCGGTCAACCACCTTCGGGATCCCATCGGCAAGCGTTACGACAGCACCTGGCTGTGGCGGAAGATGGTGAAAGCAATTATCAGCAACGGATTTATCGCCTAAACCGGGCTAAAGTGGGGCTACAGATATACAAAAAGGAGAAAGAGACCAAGACGAGGCCAAGGCGGAAATATGGCGAGAAAAAAGGGGAAAATTCGACTAACCATTTTGGTTGACTTGGCACAAACAGCAAGAGCGATGAGAAACTGCGGGACGTTTCGATGACGCCGCGATGGTTGGAAAAAGGAAAGGGCTGGTGAGAGCCAAAACAGGATCGTCCAAGGACCTGGTGACCAAAACTGGCAGCACCGGGGCCGTCCCGGGACAGGCGCCAAAAATGCACCGCAGATGCAGGGCAGGCACCCTTGGCGTGGCAGATGGCGGGCGTTGGTGCCAGTCCCAAGTCGCAGAAGGTGCAGCAAGCCCGCCTGCAAATGCCAGCAATCGCAGCTGCCGCCAGACGTGCGTGCGGGCAGTCTCGTGACCGGGAGGCAGGCACACCTCGGGTGTTACTGCCACCTCAGTGTGCAAGTCGCGGTTCACACTCGAGAGAGGGTTTGCCCTTGTTGGCCACACACTGACGTACCTCCATACACTACGCTGACCTCGCACCCACCACCATTTTCGCGCCTTGGTGACCCCGGAGGCGTTTCAGCCCCTTTCCGAGACAGACGAGACTGGCTCCGTTGGCAGAACACAAATTACGAAATGATTACGGGGAAGATATCCGACTTGACTCCTGCCTCACATCTGCAGATACCCCATTACACAGCTACTAGTACACCACCAAAACGGCAAGGTATGTACTGTACCTTGCTTGTGCTGCCGTCGCAGGCTGGCTGCAGACCTTCTCCGTCCGTAATGTCTCGGTCCGCGACCCGACCCGTTCGTCACCCGGCAGCAGGCAGCTAGCTCCACTAACCCGTTCCCATCTTGGTGTCGCGCCTCTGCCAATCGATCCCATTGGCGTCATTCCGCCGCCACCTCCCGCGTTAGCCCAGCTGAAAATCAAATCGGGAAAGGTGATTGCGACACTGTCGAACTCGTCTGACCACATGGCCAACGCCAAACATCTCTCCGTCGCTGCCGCATCAGTTATGATGTTTGCCGACAAGTAACGCAGTCCGTCCAACCCATCAATTCGGCGCACCAGCTAGATGCCTGCTGTCGCAAAGCACATGAAGCCGCTGGCGCATACGCTATCCCCGGAGCGTTAACGGACCCGAACCCTCGCGCCACGAGAGATTGAACCGGGTACCATGACATGCTAGACGAGACCAGCCGTTTTTGAGGAGATGGCTGCGCAGCTTTACGGAAGCAAGCAGCTATGCGAACTATGCACACCCAGTGCAGTCCGGCGCACAAGATGACAGCCGCCGCAACCCGCCCCTCCCCCCCTTCCCGCCGCGGCTGCGGCGCGACCGTACAGTCCGGGAGACCGCTTTCCGACAAGCTTCACGGGCGTCAATCCAAGAGACGGGGTCCGCCAACAATCTCCGTTACTCGGCTCAAAACCGAATCGATGGAGGCCCCACACCATTCCTCGAAGTTGACGAACCAATCCACGCCTTCCAACCTACAGGAGGTTGACACGTCTCCGACCCCCTCCTCTTCCACTTCCGCGTTCGGCGGTCCACCGACAAACAATATGGCACCTATTTGCAAGCATCCTGGGCGTAACTCAGGTTGGGTTCCGTTATTGATAAGACTGGATGGCGTACAGCCCAGCAGATGTCAAAGGCCATATCGAGCACTGTGGGCTCTGGAAACAATCAGGCTTACTGGAGGATGCAACAGTCAAAAACCTCCGACAGATCCCACACCACGCGTCAGTTGGATCTCCTATGAGAGTCGCGTCCTTACTTGTCGCTTCATTCGCCTTTTCGCGGGAAGCGCGACGTTAGCGATAACAGACAGACGAGGCAGGTGTGCCCACCAATCACCCACGGGCTTACTATTCATCTGTGTCTCTCTTACACAAGGTACAACCCGGCCTCTACGGAACAAGTTCCTCCAATAACAGCCCCGGCCCTGGGAGGATTCGGTACGGCCTCATTGGAGCCGCTAGCGCCTTTCCCGCACGGGTGACGGAGGGGATACTTACCTAGCCCAACACCCGCCGTGCACACACCGCTGTGCCGCTAACAACCGAGACGTCCTTTTTTTGACGACACGCTCCTCCCCCACAGTAAACCGGTTGGCGCCGCACTGTCTGTGATACGGCGTCAAAGCCCGACGGCGGACGAGACGAGAAAGACTTCCCGTAAGTCCGACTACCTATCTAGGCGTTGCAGCGGCCGTAGGGAGTGGAGGGTCACACCTGCAACCTTTTTCTCTCTTGCCAGAAAAGGTATTGATAGTTGTCCGAGTGCGTTCTTGAGTTGTCTGATACGAGCGCGCAACAAGCTCTAGCTGTGTCCGTGCTTGTCCCCAATGTGATGAACTCCTCGACGGTACTCTTGTTAGTGTTGGTTGCATCTGATCTTATTCAGACGACTAGCTCTCGAGAGTCTGTACTAACAAGGCGCTATCGTCTTCTGGTTCAAGTACATACATGGTAGGTTTGTCTCTCTTCCAACCCCACTCGTGCTTAATTCGAAGCTCCCTCGAGGACTCTAGGTAATATAGATGGTGGCTCAACTGCCACTAAGAACAATCAACCCGCCCCCTCGTTTCTTTCTCGTTAACCACAGCGTGCCGCGCGAGAATTTCCGTGCTTTGCGTACAGTCACCAGCTTGAGCCTCTAGACCTAAAATTACAGGATCCACGTCTCCTCTGGGAAGCAAGCTGATGCCTAGTCCTCCATCAAACCACTACCAGAGCGAGAGATAGCCCCCAACGTGCAATGTTGTCGACTTACAAGGCCGGCGCCACGATGCTTCGTAGTTTATATTTACGCCATACAAACTAAGTCAGCGAGGCGGGCTGCGAAAATACAAGCACTGCACAGTCATCACAGACATAGTCTGCACTGATTTACCAGGAGACATAATTTAAAAGCAGGGTAGTGTAATTATTCAGTCTAGGTTTAAGATGGAGGATAGCATACTACAGGGTATCGCGCACCAGCCTATGCGGCTCTTGCTTGGCTGCTCGCTCGCTAATGATAATGATGAAAACGACAATGATGCCAGCTTCCCGTCTTAGAAACAAAAAGAAACAAGGTTCGAACAAGTCTTCTAAAAAGCCATGATTAAGCTTGACGCCGCCCCCGTGAGATTAATTAACGAGAATGACTCCTGCGCTCCTAGACAGCCATTCAGAGTGACAGATGGCTCAAAAATAGATACCAAGCGATATATTCCAAGAAGATGCCCAACCAACGCCGCAGCCCAAGATCCGAAACCAGTCTATGTACACACACGCAAACAAGATAAACACACACGGAAATGCCACACAAATAGAAGAAAGAAATCGCATCATTCGTCAACTCGTCTCTTTCTTTCTCTCTGCCTTCCTTCAGCCGGCTAGTTCAGTAATTATGGCACTTGCCCCGCTTACGGCTTCGCAACCTGCTCCTTGCGGAAGAACTTAAAGAAGCCGATGGGCAGGATGAGCTGCAGGACCAGGGCGACCCAGAAGAAGGGCTTTGCGATGCCGGGCATGACGCCCTCGGAGAAGTCGGGGAAGACAGGGTCGGGGAGGACTTTGTGGGGCGCGGTGAGGCGGGCGAGGATGGTGAAGCCGGCGCCAAGGATCTGGGCGCCGATGAGGGTGGCGGCGACGTGCTGGCGGGTCAGGGTGAGGAGGAGCACCATGCCCAGGCCGACGCCCTGGATGGCGTCGAGCGTGCCGAGCCACAGCCACAGGCAGCGCGCCAGGACGGCCGAGCCGACGGCGCCGCCGGCCCACGGCAGGTACAGGCCGATGCCGCTGACGCCCCACAGCATCTGGGCCCAGCGCGGGGCGCCGAGGCCGATGCCGAACAGCGGCACGATCCACGGGTGCGTCTTGGAGAAGAAGGAGAAGACCCACAGCAAGATGGCCCAAAGCCCGACGAAGAAGCCCAGGGCCAGGAGCAGGACGCCGTAGCCCGGGATGTACTTGGTGTCGAACAAGAACTCCCAGTTGCGGCCGTAGGGCGTCGAGAGCCAGTAGTTCTGGATGATGACGGTCAGGAAGAACCACGGCACGATGTGGCGCCGCACCAGCGACATATAGAAGCTGGGGATCTTGTCGGGCGACTGGCGGTAGTAGTCGGGGAGGCCGATGAAGGAGATGACGCCGAGGGCCCAGAAGATTAGCGCAATCGGCACCGTGATGACCAAGACCACGGGCACCTTGTTGCCGATGGTGGCGCCGTTGAGCAGGCCCGTGGGCGTCTGCCCCGTGATCAGGTTGCCCCAATACCATAGGGCGACCAGGTAGACCTGCTGGATTCCCTGAATGATAGCGGCGCGGAATATCCATGTCATGATTGTCGCGCCGCCTGGAAAACCTGTTAGCATCTGCCATCTATCTCATGTATACACACACACAGGACACATACCTTCGTCGCCAAAGTTGAGGGCAAAGAACAGGGCGCCGCTGGACGCGCCGACAGCGTACAGGGCCGTGGCCGTGTTCTGGATGGTTGCGCGCGAGCCGACCGGCAGGAAGGGGGTGACGCCCAGGAGAATGAAGGCGAGGCCGTAGAAGAACCAGGGCAGAGAGAGCGAGTAGAGCGACTTGAAGCGGCGGAACATGAGCCACCACAGGGCCGACGACACGGCGTAGGTGCCAGACACAACGTACAGCTGGTTGGCCGTCTGGCCCGACTCGCCCGCCAGCAGCACTACCTGGTAAGAGTTGGCCGAGATGATCTGACCTAAAGCGAGGATGAACGAGTAGACGGGCCAGTCGCCAATGCGGATCGACAGGAGCTTCTTGAATCCCTTGGGCGGCTTGTACCCGGTGCCCAACAGGAACTCGTCGTCGCGTTCATCCTCTTGTTGGTGGCCGTCATGGTCCATGTCATCTTCGTCTGACGGCGCGATGCTATTGACGCTGACCACGCTGGCTCGGGGGTCACCGCCTCTGGTCTTCTTGACCATAAGCGCCGGGCCAGGGCTTCTAGTCCGGCTCGGGCTGCGGCTCCGGCCGAGCTTTGCTTCGCGGAAGTCCTTGAACCACGTCTTCTCGCTCTCCTTGAGGTAGTCCTCGATGCACAAATCAGTCTCCGAGTTCTTGGCATCCAGGCCCGCCAATTTCTGCTCATACGCCTTGTAGTACTCGCCGGTGCTGTCGGTGAAGAACGGGTCGACGTTCTGGAGCTTGAAGTCATGACGGCCGCCCACAACATCGATGACCGACAGACGAGAGCTGTTGCGGTGTTGGTAGATCTGTGACGCGTTCGGTCGCGCTTGGGGGTTGTAGAGACCAAAGGCCTGAGGCTGCGTCTCGGAACTGTCAGGCGACATCATGCGCATAGCAAAAGTGTCGACGCTGAGGCGCGATCCAGCATAGTTCGGGTCGTTGGCCACGACAGTCGCCAGACTCGACACAGACGACCGTGCCGACTGGTTGGCGAACATGGGGTTTGGCGGGATGAATGGCTCGTCTGCGCCGTCTTCCCGCGGAGGGTGGCCGGGCGAACCTAGAGGCGGAGTCGACGAGGCGCTGGGGTGGTCCAAAAAGGGGTTCGACACAGACCGTCGGCCCTGCTCCTCGTCGTGGTCTGTCTCGGTGATGTATGGGATTGACATGCTCGAAGCGCGCGAGTTGCGGTTCGAGTACGTGCCCATGTCGCCATCGTCGTCGAAATATGGCCGGTTACCGCCGCGGCCGGAGAGATCGAGGTTGGAGGGCACTGTAAGCATCGAGCCGCCGCTAGTAATCCTCCTGCTCTTCTTGAGCTCCTTCTTGTGAAGGCGAATGGCCTCGGTCTGGAGCTTGTCGAGGTCCTCGACCCACTGGGCGACTGGGAAGCGCTGCTTGGCGCTCCACGCCCTCATCTTGGCTCGAGACTTTTGCTTCGTCTCCAAGGCGCTGACAATAGCCTCCCGGAACTGATGGAGGAGATGCTGGGGCGCCGTCGATTCGATCGTATACCAGAATCCCGGCATCTGGCCCAAACCACCAACTCTCGCTCCGACGCCCAGGGCGCCCTTACGGCCGAATTCGACGGCAACCAGCCCGAACGGCTCGTCGCGAGACGGGATCAAAGCAAACTCGGCACCGGTGAAAATATAGGGCGGCAAGGCCGTAAACTCAGGCTTGCTGTACACGCGCTTCGGGTACCGCTCCATGAGTTTCGCGAGCTTGAGGGCTGCGAACTTGCCGTAGAGATCGATGACGGGGCCGACGCAGATCAGCTGCGTGTTCGGGTACTTTTCAAGAATGGACGGGAAGATATCGGCAATCAAATCCACGCCCTTCTGAAGGGACCATCTACCGACGAAGACGAACAGCTCGGCATTCGGATTGATCTCGAGACCGGCCCATTCCTGGGCCTGCTTCCTGGCGTCGCCGCGCTTGGATTCGAGCTCGACGTCGACGACCACGTCCCTCTCCTTGACCTCCTCGTCTCTAGTCCACTCGGCCGTGTCGCTAGGGTCGGGATTTGGCAGCTGGCCGATCTTGGACAGGCCCCAGAAAATAGGATACCGCGCGTACGAGCGGTCGCCATACTTCTTGGAGACACCAACGGCGCCGAATCCCTTCTGGTGTACGCGAAGGTAGCTGGCGCCGGCATGCAAGAGGTTGAAGACCGAGCCAAATTGGACGTAGTCCTTCACGATCTCGGGGTCTAGGTTGAACACTTCGCAGACTTCCTTGGACTCCTCGGGCGTGCGCATGGGCCACATGCCCTGGAATTCGGCGTTGTGGAGAGACAGAGCACAGGGGATCGTGCGCTCCGGAAGCAGGTACAGGGGTGCAGCGGCTCCGTGGTAGTCGTTGATGTGGTACAGATCGGGGTCGAACCGGCGGATCGCCTCGGCGATGCAGTAGTTCCAGGCCGAGTAGTAGATTGCCGAGTCAATATCGTCCATTCGCGGTGGGTACGGGTCAGACTTTGACTGCTGACGGAAAATGGGGGCGTCAAGCAGCACGTATGTGATATTCTGGACCTGGTGGTATTGCACTTCGATCTCATACTCCTTGCCCATGATGGGGGCGTACATGGGCTCGGCACGCTGGTCGACGGGGTACTCGATGCCACCGACACAGGGCACGACCCAGATGAGGTCCTGGTGCTCGAGGGCTTTGCCCATGAGCTGAGCCATAACGCCCAGACCGCCAATTTTGATCTTGATGTTCCAGTCGTCGATATTATACTCGATGGTGGCGATTATAACCTTCCTCCGCTTGCCCGGAACCGCGGCCAGCTCCATGCCCTCTTCGTCCTTGTGCAGGTTGTCAAAGGAGATGCTGCTCAGACGGTTACCCAGCTTGCGGAAGGGGGACCGGCCGCGGCGCTTGAAGCCGATCTTGTTGATTTTGACCTTGTAGAAGGAGCCCATAAAAATCCACACGGCGGTGAGGCCGCCGACAATGGGGAGAACAGCCAGCAGGATGAACAGCAAGATTTGCGTCCAGATATTTCCAATCGGATCCACGCGGAAGCCGAGCGTCGCGTCGTCGAACGTCAACCGGTACGACAGTGCCGGCATCTTGGGTGGCCCTGTAAGGTTAAGCGCGTTGACGGCCAGGGAAGAGGGGGGCATGCGGTCGAGAATGCCGTCGCCGTCCACATCGCCGTACACGAAGCTGGCATCGGGCTGTCCGTCGGGGTTCATGCCCCAGATGTTCAGCTGGAACGTGGTCGGCCACTCGTCCATCAGGTGTGCCTGCCACTGCCCGTCAGAAGCAAGCGAAAACTGGTTCTTGACTCCAGCGTCGAAGCCAAACTTATTGAAGGTCCCGTGGGCAAAAATGTGCGGGAACCGACGAGCGTTCTGGGGCGTACTATCGCCGGACTGCATGAAGGAGCTGCTGCCCAGCTTCTTGGACCAGTACTGCACCATGACATGATCCCCATCCCAAGCCTGGAGACTGGTTCCCGACCAAGGAAGGTTCGTGATCTTGTCCTTGCCCCCTTTGTAGTCAGTCCAGTTGCTCCACGACGAGGCCCAGTTGGTCGAGTATCGCCACTTATCAGCGCCAGCGGCGGCGTGATTGACAAAGAGATCGTTCCCCTCCTTCGTCACCAGGGTTTTCGAATAGTTGGCCGAGCTAGGGTAGGCGATCGGGTTATTGGGCGCGCCAACCCGGAGGAAGAAGTGGTCAGTGATGCCCGTCGAGTTGCCCCCATCCGCTTTCGCGTCCTTGATGATGATCTCGTGGATGCCATCCTTGACGTCAGTCAGAGTAGCAGAAAATCTCCACCGCGACGGTATAGACCCGACCAGGGACGACACTGGCGAGTCTTGAATAATATCGCAACGCGGCGAAGACAGTTTCGCGTCTCCTCCCGACTCGACCGTGGACGAGATTGTGATTGCTGTCGACATTGCCTCGCAGTTCATTTGCTCGGAAAACTCGAGAGCAAAAGAGACAGTGCCCCTGGCGTTATCCGAGTTGACAGTCGAGTCATGGCCCGGGGTGAATTTTGTGACCATAGGCCGCGGCCCTACCCACCTAGCTTCGTCGACGTAGACGCGGTACTCGAAGGGCTTCAGGGTAATCTTGTCGATGCACCCGCTCTTTTGCTCGGAGCCCGCGAAACCGAGCACCTTGGGCGACTCCAAGAGCGTGATATTGTCCCACGGGTAAAAGAGATTCCGCACTACCGAGTTGGCATTGAAGGGGGAGTAAAAGGCCGTGTCATTTCCCTTACAATCCAGATTGTATGTCGTCGTCTCGTTTTTGTTGTGATATATGAACCAGACAGGGTCGTCCGGGAATTGGGCCTGGACGAAATCGGGCTGCATGGCTCGCGCGACAGACCAAATCCCGACCTCTGTCTGTATGTCACCGCTGCCGGGCAGCGAGACGAAGCTTGTCTGATTGGCCAGGGGCTGCAGAAGCCAGCCTTCTTTCAACGACCTGATATTGTCCCGCATGTTGTACATTGACTTCATGATGTTGCGCACCGGGTGCGACGGATCTCGATGGTCAAGGGCGACCTTGTCATCGTTGCAAACGGTCCTGGCGGAATCTATGGGCCAGCCGACATACTGGGTGCTGTTGCCAGCGTGACAGCCATGCATCTTCCAGGCTTGTGTGGCTGTGAAGGCCTGGCGACCAAAGATGTAATTATCAGCCGTATTGTCTAGCGCATCGAGAGCCTGCTCTTCGCCGTAGTACACGAGCGGGATTCCGGGCAGGTGCAGCGTCATAATGAACTGGCCCAGCATCATTCGTTCCGTGCCTTGTGTGATGGCGGGCCAGCGGAACACGTCTTGGTTGGTGGTGCCGTACATGTGCCGCGGGTCGAAAACGCCCGTGTTGGGGTTGACCAAGTCGTTGGTGAGTATCATCTCGTTCCACATCAGCACCCAGTCGCGGGGCAGGTCGAAGCCCGCCTCCAGATTCCCGCTCATGCCCACAAATCTCGTCAGGAAGCGGTATGCCGAGTAATGGAAAGCAGCCGAGTCGAGGGCGTTCTTGCCTGGGTCGCGTATTGTCAGGTTGCCAGCCTTGTTGAGTGAGTCAGTGGTCATGTTCATGGCCTTGCTCGTATCGACGGTGAACTTCTGGTCCGACTGGCGGCCCCTGCCAATATAGATGGAGCCATAATCGTTGCCTCCAGTGATTTCGCCAGGCAGAAAGAAGTTCTTCTTGCCGACTTTCTCGGCGCACTTGCGGACCGCGTCCGAGTGGTCGCCGAGCGCATCGACCGTAACCTGGGTGGCTTTGTCAAAGCGGAAACCGTCGACATCGAGCATGATGATAGAGATGCAGGAAAACAGTTCAATCTTGTTGCGCACTTCGGGAATCCACTCTCGCAGACGATCTTGCACGCTTGCGAACTTTGCCAGGGAACGCTGCCAGTCGGGATGAACACCAAAGGCTTCAATGTCGCCATACTGATCGAAATCGCTGTCAAAACAGCCATTGAGCTGACTCGTAACGTCAGTCCCAACAGGCAAGCCCGTCTCGAGCCAGAACCTTGGATAATCGCATTTGTCCTTGTAGTTGTTGGAAGGCGCAAAGTCGAGGTACTGGCGACTGCCCTTGTACATCACCTTGTGTTCCGTTATTGTGAAGGTAGCTGTCACATTCTCAAAGCCTTGGAAAGAGAGCAAATCACTCATCCTGAAGAAACAGCGCACTATTAGCGGCTGCGAATGGCAGGAACTCCTCTCATTTCCCCTTCTGGGTGGGGGCTCAACTCACGTCGACATTGTGTGGTCCAAAATGACATACATGCCCCTCTTGTGCACCTCGTCAACCATGTCCTGCCACTCTTTGATGTCGCCATAATGGAAATCGAGCAGTGTTAGATCGATGGGCTGTGATGAAGTCAGCGAAACACGGCGGCCAGTGTCATGCAGGTAGCCTGGAGCTTACAGAGTACGAATCAACACCCCACGGCAGGTTGATAAATGGAGAACCGGCAATGTAGACGCCCTGTGAAAGTATCAGCTACCACCTTTCCTGAGACCCGCGAAGCTTGAGCCGGAATCGGTCGCGCCAAACCTTTATGCCCATCCCCTGTATGTAATCCAAGCTGTCGACTAGACCCTGAATATCACCACCATGTCGCAGCTGGTTACTCGTAATATCCTGCTCGTAGACAGTGCCGTTGATGTCATCGTTTGTGGGGTCCCCATTGGCAAATCTGTCGAGGAAGAGGGTATAAAACGGAAAGCGCCAGTTGTCCGGCGACGGTGTGTAAGTGAAGCCTGGACGTTCAGCCCAGTAGTCTAACGGGTTCGTGGCCGTCTTGTTCTGGTTGAGGTTGTAATCCTCAAATGCCGGGTCAAACCGAAGCCCAAGAGCAAAAGGCACGAGGGCCAAGCTCAGCAACAGGCGGGCGGCCATGGTGGAGTATCGCGCCCAGAGGGCGGATTAAGAAGAGGCGGACAATACAGGGCAGAGATCGGCGGCAGAAGATTATCGTGGAGAAGTTACAAACGGACGACGACACTACCAAATACCGAGAACAGGAACGAGGGGAAAATGGGAAAGAAAAAAACGAAAAGAAAGGAAACGTCTGGTGGCTTGACCCTGCGTCAAGTGCTCCCAGGAAGGAATGGCGCGAGTGGCGGAAGATAAGTGATGGGAGTGATCAGTAAAGAGAGCAGACGCGAACTAGACCAAGGTTCAGCTCCAGCAGCTCAAGCTCTAGAGTATATTTATTCCACCGAACGGGCAGAATTTAACTGGGGCGGGTGGTGGGTAGGGTAGTGGAGGTGGTCGCAGTAAAGCAAAGCAAAGCAAAGCCACAAGTAGCTTGCCCGAGCAAGAGGCCTGTGGATTCCTGCGCAGCAAGCCAGCCCTGGGATGAGATGACAAGGGGCAAATTAGTAGAACTGAAGCTGCGGTCAACGCGATAGCAGCGGGGGATAGAGAGTACCGTGTATCTACTAGCCCAGACTAGGAAATATGGCGAAGGAAGACCGGACATACTGTACTATGCATGTACTGTACCACCAGCATGAGCGCCACCATGTTGAGGATGGGAGGTCACTGGCTGAGCTAGACTCCGACGAGACTTGGCTGCAGAGGCTGGATGCAAAGCTAGCTGCCCAGCGTTGGGATGGCCCACGCTATCTGAGCACGCACGGGTAGCAGAACCACCGTCCTCGGTCCCCACCGTCACCAAAGCACAGCCCGGGTTTCTGCCTTATGTACTGATGGCCCGCGGCCATACTAGCAAAGGGACCAAATCGGTTCATGGGACGGACAGAATCTCTTCCGCTGACTACGGGGCCCGACCTGCAACGGGACTGTTCGCAGGTGGCACTACCACGGGTGGCGGACGGAGCGCACGCTGGTGACTGCCACCGTAAATTGGGGATCGCGAAATACCTTACATAGGTGGTGGTAGTAATGAAACGGACAGACCTCAGCCCTGAGAAGCAGCTCCTGTGACTGGATCGATCTCTTGACGTGGCTCTGCGCTAGAGGCCCCGCGGGGGTTGCTGCTTTCGGGAACCCACCATTGAGGGGTTGCATGAGAGCGCCTTGAGTGCCTTGGAGTCGGTACGGCTAGCTTGCTAGCGAGCAAGGAAAACGCTCAAGTCTGGGCAGTGCGGCACAGGAGAAACCTCGGTACGGAGCCCAAAAAAGTACCTCTCCTCCATGCCCACTGCCTCAAAGATCGACACTCAGGCAGTCCGGTGAACGACGGGAGCTAGGAACTCAAATTTGGCCAACGGGGTTCACTGAGCTGGGGTTGCGCAAAATGAACAAACGGGAACGAACTTGTTGGCGTCCAAGTTCCAACCGCATCTGCCAAGGACTTCCTTCGAGGGGCCCCAGGCTGAACCAACCCCCGCGTATATCGCTAGGCGACAAGCGAACAGCTTGGAGGTTGGAACTGGCTTGGAACTGGAGCTAGTTATTCGCAGGCGTCTGGATTTTGGGGGCCTGGAACTGGCACATTAGGCTTGGGAGACCATTGCGACCAGCCGGTCAGCCAGGCTGTTCCGATGCCTGCCACAGGGATGCAAGCTTTCGGAGAAGCGGCGGCACCACCGCCAGCGCCGCGACCTGGGCCCACGACCGAGACCAACCAGACGCGATGAGCCACGGTCTAGCCACGCCAATTTTAAGGTGTGGCCCAGGCCTTTTTTTCCTTTTTCCCTCCCTTTTCTTGCTCTCAGCCTGATTAGGATTTGGTGGCTGTTTGTGAAACGTCAACTCCTCCACCAGCCACTAGCCGGAAATATCATTATCAGCTCATCCGTCATGTCAGCGGCCTCTTCTGGGCGGTGAAAATGCGGGCGAACAAACAACTGCCAGCATGCAAGGGTAAGAATGATAATAAGCGGAATATCACCAAACTTTTGCTTCATACCGCCGTATGTCGCTGACGTTTGTTGAGCGCACCGCTGGCGGCTGGTTAGCTCGTCAGCGACGAGAGTTATTTGCATTTGTTGCGCTTCAAGCTTCAAATGGCATATCATCTGAGCCAGTGTAACCGCAGCTCTGGGATCTATTACCATTTACCTGATTAGTGAAGAAGCGACAGCACACCCCGTTCGATTTAGCATTCATTAGATGCATCTCAGGTACCCACCTTATAAGGCTGAAGGCGTACGGTAATCGTTTCAGCACAGGATGTCAGCAACAGGACGTTTTTAGACAGTTTTCGGAAGCCAGCCATCCGGCTCGTTCGTACTGAACTGCCCGAAACTTCAGGGCCATCCGTTGGCTGAGCCGGAGGGCGACGCAGTGAGTCTCGTCCTGCCATGCCTTCAGCCACCCCACCGATAACTCTCGTCTGGGAGATGGTAGGCCGCCACCGGGCGCAACTCCGCATCCCATCCAAGGTGCGAAAGAGTCAACGACCCTTTGCTTTCGACAACAGCAACACAACTCGGTCTGGAATCCGTCGCCAATCCAATACAGCAGCCAGGTTACAGCTGACGACGATGCACCATGCAGAAACAACCAGAAGGTTAACATCGCACTGTAAACTGGCGGGGGTTTTGTCGCCATCTTGCTTGCTGTGTGGGGAGATTGCAGCGTTTGGGGTGACCGATCCATGTCGATTGTTATCCGCAGCCCAGTCACAGTGGCGGTGCCAGCTGTTCAAAGCTTGCTAGTCCGGTCCGGTCCGGAATTCCTCGTCCGCTCCAAACGGAGGTTGGCTTGCCGAAGAATGAATGTTTGTTTCTAGCGTTTGGCGATTGACGTCGCAGTCGTGTAATCTCTGGGCGACGCTGAGAATGAAGAACCTCAGAGATCGTCCATCTGGGTTCCACTTCCATGGAAACTTGGGAGGCAAGCACAGGGCAGGGCATTCATTGGTGGATGCTCCAGTTCCAGTCCACTGGGAGAGGAAGGAACCACTGAAGAGGTGCTGCTGCCACTGCCGCGCTCCGAGAATGCCCTTGAACTATAGCTTACCTCACCCACGGAACCTTCGCAAAATACATCCGGTACGCAAAAAAAGCCTGATGCTTTTGTTTCTACCAATAATAAAGAGCAACAACTAAGATCACGCCAACGGCGATCTATGTTGGCCGAGGATTTGCTCTTTCGTTCTTGTCCTCTACCGTTTACGACTCCCAAACTCGACCATGCGGTGGATCCTGGTCGACTTCCAAGTTGCCAGTCTCTCGTTCTGACCCGACATGAAGCTGCATGTCAGACTCGACTCTGGCCCAGGGCTTTCGGTCCTGGATCTTTAATTCGAGGATGGCTGACTGGCACGGTGCATCCCAGCCGTTCCCTCGCGAATGTTTAAACTTGACCCAACACAGGCAAATCGACGAAAGGGGGCCGGCGGATCTTGCCCTAAGAGGACCGACCGTCAGCACATTTCCGCCTGGCGACTTGCAATCCGCCGGGAATCTTTAGCAGAGTATCCACCATGTCCCTTGCTCATACATGGCCGTGGCGTAAGAAGCGGCCGACAATGATGACATTAACGGATAAAAATAATATCTGCTGCTTGCCTGCCTGCCCGCCACATAACATGCGCGTCTTCTGTTTTGCCTTCGCAATTGCGAACATCGCTGACCACCACACTCTGCAGCTTCTCTGGATATAAACTCAATACATCAGCCGTCACATGGTTACAGCGCGAGTATAGTATTTGTCTTGGTTGGCGGGCCTGCACGAGACGTCCATTAGAGAGCGCAACCCTAGGGTGCGACCTTTGCGATGATGGACCGGCAATTCTTGTTGTGGTGCGCGTAATTAACCCCAAAGAGCAAATGTCCGCACCGCCAGTCGTTGATCTCGTCACGGCAGAAAGGTTGCATTAATCTGTTCACGCGTGCTCATCGTTCCTGCACTGCACCGCACTGCACCGCTATTGCCGACCACAGTGATTCCTCACATTCCTGGCCCTCGTTCCATGCATTTGATGCAACCCTCTCACATGCAGCCACCCACGGCCTCGACTCCGAGCCAACCCTCTTCACCGGTCGCTTCCTCTGGGGAGGCCTGGCTGCTGCCCAACGTGCTTTCGACGTCTAACTGTGCCCGTGCCGACGCCACAAACGGTGCTGCTGCGGCACAAGCTCGCACTGCTGCGGCACAAGCTCGCACTGCTTGGCGACGGCACGACACGGGCGGCGGCTGTGTCGCTCTTTTAAACTAAACCCCGCTGTCCCATCCACCCGCGCTCTTCATTGTGTCCAGCGTCCACCCACCACCCCTGTCTTCCCCCACTGAAGAGTCGGATGCCAAGCGGAAGGAGTCCCGGATGGACCCAACCCGGGCCGGGGCGCGGCCCCCCAGCCTCAACCTCGCCGTGGTCGACAGTGCACAGTTGATAGCGGAACTGTCGCGCCGAGTTTTCCTCCGTGACAAGAAATCTTCCGCCGTCCGTCACAACCACACCCGCTATTACAAGTGTACTCGGATTTGTTGTAGGTCAGCTGAGGACGGGCTTTCGTGTTCGTTGAGCGACGAAGGACGGGACCCGTATTGATCTCCGGAGCGATCGCACGAACCGCGCGTCTAGATGACACGTACAACTCACAAGCGATTCGACGAGGCTACTCAAGTGCTCCGAGTCTAGAGGCTTAGTGGCAATTCGAAAAGGAAGAAAGAGAAGGCGGAAAATAGGAGAAACGCGCCCGAAAATAGGGGGTTATCTTCTGTTGTTGTCAGTCATGCCCATTTCCCCCACTTCAAGTCCGTTCTCGTTCCGCGTGGTTGCAAGCCTCGACCTCCGAGTCAGCTTCGGACAGCAGCGGCGGCTGTTTAGCCACGTTGGCCATGAGCAAAGTGGAAGTTGTCAGTGGGAAAGTAGCCCACAGCTCACACTTCCCCTCATGTCAGATATCGTTGGTATAAACTTCACCCACAGCCTTCTTCTGGGCGCGGCTCGGCGGGACTCTGCAGGAACCAGTGCGAAAAAAAGCAAGCAAGATGAGATGGGATGCGGATCCTAACTGTGAGACGCGCGCGTATAAAAAGCATGCCCTTGCACTTTTTCTCGCGACCGTACTCGGTTCAGACTTTTTGCAGACTCGCAGATTCGCGTATTAGCGATACCTTGCCCCTCACTGCTGTCTACCTACCCTTACCCTTATACCCACGCGCTCATCCGCCCCGTTGGGAACAAGCCATACTGCCGTGAAGACCAAGCCGCGGGAGCGCAAGTCTAGGACCGAGTCAGGTTGAGTGAAGAGAAATAGCGAAGGGAGGGGGTTTGGGTTCAGGCCAGTCCAGGGAGGGGGTTCAACAAGAGGGAAAGAAAAGCATCCTAAAATGCCAAACCTGACGGGCATTGTCATACCTGTAGCCAAACGGGAAATATTAAGCATTTACCACATAGCTAGGTAAACAAACGCAAAACAAAACAAAACAAAACAAAATAGGCACGCCCAAAAAGAAACAAGGTCATAACTCAGAAGGAGAGACAGAAACCCGCGTCTGCCAAAACCCAAAGCTGCTCCGCCGCAGATGATAGCAGGGTGGATTCGATCCTCTTCTCCCACCTCCCACTCTCTCTCCGTCTCTTGACCTGACGAGATCCACAAAGCCGGCGTGGCGCAATTAGTTAGCGTGTTAGACTTTTAACTAACATCCTGTGGGGAAGTAAAAAAACAACAACAGGGGAGGTCTAGAATATCTGAATGTTGCGAGTCTGAGCTTCGCCGTTGGCGGCTTTTCTTTTCTTTTTCTTTTTTTTGTTTACTATTCATATTACCAGCTTTGCGGGTTGTTTCACTCTATAGGTATTTTTCATATTTTTTTTCTCGTTACATTTGTGCTTTGCGTATAGATCCGGCAAGATAGAACAGGTAAAGTTGCTGTAGGTCTGTGTTGGTGGACAACAATAATTGTGAACCACCCCCTTTTCTCACGTAGGTGCTATGATAGTCTGTGGTGCGAGCTCGTGTTATTTTCCGCCTGGCCATGAATCACGCACACGTGGTGGCCAACAACGGATACGGAACTAGATCAGAAAACCAATTACCAAAAGGTTCCAGCTGGCCTAGCTATCTATCTGTTGCTGTTCTTATTCTCAGATTATACAGGTATGATCCGACACGTGGTGGCTCCAAGCCATACCCGTGGCTACAAGCTCAGCTAGCTTCGTACTCATGCTCCACTAGCACATGTCAACTATGCGTACGTGGTTGCTTGTAGGAGGAAATATATTATTTAGATAAAAAACACAGAATCTCCGTCATCTAACAACATGACACACATGGTAATTACAAGTCCGGTGGGGGAATTACACTGATGGGAAGTCGCAGGATGGGTATTGCCAGAAGATGACGCAGAAACGGCGGTAGCTCAACAAGCCCGCGAAGAGCAAGTCTAAAATAGCAAACTGTCTATGTTGCCGGAAACGCCACTGCAAAACGCAAATATAGAAAACCACCCCCGCAGCCCAGAAATACTCGTCAAGGTTCCAAAAACGTCATGGGACCAAGGGGACACTAGGAGATTGCGACTGGGTCAGAGGCGTTTTTGGTAGCCCTGACGTCAATGAGTGGAGATCACACCGTCTCGATATACCTCCTCACCTCCCTGTTACAGAGACGCGTTAGCAGCTGTAATGTGCAGTATCATAGGCAAAAGTCACTTACCAATCCGTCACGGCTTCATCCCACTGGCGCACTTCGTGTTCGCGGGTGCCGCCGTAGTGGTCGACAAACTCGTCACCAAACACCTCCCTGGCAATGCTGCCCAGGCGCATGAACCGGTCCGTGGCTTCGCGGAGCGTCTTGGAGAGGGGAATGCCCATGTCCGTCTTGCCGCCAACCTCCTCGCCCTTGCCCAGGGGCGGGCAGGGGATCTCTAGCTTGCGCTCCACGCCGCGCCAGCCAAGCGCCAAAATCGCCGAGAGAACGTAGTACGGGTTCGCGTCTGCGCCAGGGACGCGGACTTCGAAGCGCGTGGCGCCGGGTTTGGCAGTTGGCGGCGCAATCAGCCGGATCGACGCCGCGCGGTGTTCGAGGCCCCACGACACCGTGACGGGTGCCCAGAAGTTCTCGACTAGTCGCTTGTAGCTGTTGACGGTCGGCGCTACAATGGGCATGATATCGGGAAGACCGTCTAGGAGGCCAGCTAGGAAGTGCCTGCCCAGATCGGAAAGGTTTTCGATGTCCGAGTATCGCGCATGCGGGTCGGGAGTATCACGGAAGAAGAGGTTCTTGCCGTCCTTGTCAACAATGGAGAGATGCATGTGACCGCTGTTGCCCGGGAGGCCTTGCCGGGGCTTGGCCATGAAGCACGGCGTGATGCCATATTTGGTCGCAACTGACTTGACGACGTACCTAGCTCAAGTTAGCCACCAGAGCGCTTGATTGACGAAGAGAGACCCTCGCTCAGCAAACTTACTTGAACAAGCTTGCTCGGTCCGCCATCTGCCTGACCTCGCCGAACTCCAAGGCAGCCTCAAAGACGCCTGGCCCGCTTTCTGTGTGCCATCCTTCTATGTTGCATCTGAATGCGTCGCAAGTGTTGAAGATGTCGTAGTAATAGTCTTGGTTGTGGACGGGACGAGTCAGGCTATATCCGAACATGCCTTCGGTCAACGATGGGAGGGTGTGGGGGACATTGTCTCTGAGGAAGGCAGCGGCGGACGAAGTGCTAGAGCCCTCGGAAGCCGGTAGGACAGGTGCTCGGAATTGGAAGAACTCGTATTCAGCTGATGTAGAGGATTTTTTTAAGCAAAAGCCGCCCTATCCGACGCTGCAAAGGTTTCGGGAACACTTACCCCCGGCCATAGCACCGTACTGCTTAGTCGCCAGCTTCTCGAGCTGCGTCTTGAGAAGGCCCCTCGGGCAGGCGGACAAGGGCTCGTTCGTGTCTGGGTCATGGAAGCTAACCAAGAAGAAGGGGATGTTGTTCTCCCAAGGAATGCGCCGGAAGGTGTCGAGGTCTGGGTAGGCAATGATGTCACGGTAGCCGTTTTCCTTGTTGCTGATCTTGAGCTCCCGGAAGTACGTCAGGTCGTGCATGTCCCAGCCGAAGATGACAGAGCAGAAACCAAAGCCACTCTCGGCTATCGAGAGGAACTTTTTCTTGGAGACGAGCTTGCCGCGGAGCATGCCGTCGACGTCGATGCCGGCGAGCTTGACCGAGGTGTCATCGCGAAGTAGCTCCGGGAGCTGGTCAGCCGTGATCTTGGACGCCATGGCTAGAATGTTTGCAATGAATGTTGCGATTGCACGACTAATTGTAAATTGGGAGCTCGATGGTTGGATGAAGGTTGCGACGCTTGTCGAGTTTTGTGTAGGCAGAAGAGGTACAGCGCGGCCTACACTGCACTGGCAGTGCTCTCGCCCAGGTGATAAGCAGTTGGCGAGGGGTTGGGATGGAGGGGCAGCGCTTCAACGGGACAGTCGAGGCTGGTAAGCGATAATTCCGCCTGTGGATTGAGAAAAATGTGGTAGTAATTCGTCTGGCGCGAACAGCTAGCTACACGAGTGAGATGGTATGCAAATTCTTACGGACTTTAAAGAAAGGCTAACTGAGGACGTACGTAAGGGGGAAAGTTCCCCTGCCGATAAGAGGTAAGAAACAAGCTCAGGCGATCTCTAAGATGCGCGGCGTCGTCGCTCACGCTTACGTCAGCCGTGCCCCCATGTCATTTTGGAGCTTGCCCCTCCAATGCGGGGCAGCTCCAGGAGCGGCGTGAGAGCGGGCGGGGTCGTGGTTGTGTTAGTGCAGTTCCGGTTCTTGAGCCTCCAAATGCACAACTGCTAAACAACCTAGACTGACAGATTGTTAGTGAGTAAAAGTGCAGAGGAGCAGCTAGCTTGATGGCACCTAGAATGTCTTGAACTATTTATCAAGTGGCAGAGACTTTGTGATTGTTCTCATAACGGCGGTGCCCAATGGCTCCTACGCAACCCCGCATTCTAACGGAACCGCCTTTAGTGACAAGGGAGACTTTTGGGAGACCTTGAGTCATGGGACGTTACACAAATGCTAGAATACCCATCCTTGCTATCTTCCGTTGGGTATTCGAGACACGGTTCTATTCCTGACGTAACAGCAGTTGACGGGATTGGCAAATGGATTGTGAGCTGGAAGCTGAGGGCCACGTGAGCGGTATCCGTAGCTACAGTAGTCTGCTTGGCAGGCAACGCCCTAATCACTTGCCTTCCGGACCCTAGGTCCGCGACCGGCTGATAAGAACAACAAGAGTGCGGACGCTTATCAGAGCAGCCAGCAGTCTAATATCGTGTCTTGCTCTAGTGGAACCAGCGGAAAGGCGAGTTACAGACGCGTGGCGGTTGGATTCGGGGCGTTTTCGGATCTCTAGGGGGCGGACACACCCGAGGGCCTCTCGCAACTTCCTGGTTGAGCTGGCTCATGCTTTCTTTTTGTACCATACATCAGACGACCGGGCATCCCCTCATCTACCTCAGCTTTAGCCCTTTTTCTTGTCCAAACCATCCTGCTGTCCTTTCTCCATTCAAAATTGCAACCGGGTTTGCGGCAATTACCATTTTTCGCGGTCTTGGGGAGCACGCGCTCAGCTGCACACCTCGTAGCTACTTACCCCACCACTGGTCAACGGCGACGCTTCCTAGAACGACGGTCCAGAAAATTAATCCAACTGTGATACCACGTTAGCATGTCTGTCGAAGCTCGCGGCCGTTTGGCCGGCAAGAACGCCATCATCACCGGCGCTGCCGGGTAAGTTGCGCAATCTGGCCTGCTCGAGCTTGGAGGTTGCTTGCCCCCATCGATATACTGGCGCATCAAAATGTCCCCACTCACTAGATATCGGGAAGACACAAGCAAGGCGACTGACATGGCGCCTACCAAACAGTGGCATTGGTCTTGAGACGTCAATTCTCTTCGCTAAAGAAGGCGCTAGTATCCTAATGGCCGACATCTCGGCGCCGGCACTCGAGCGGGCCAAGGCCAAGATCGAGCAGCTGGTTCCCAACGCAAAGCGAGTCGAGACAATGGTACGAAACCCCTGTTATATCATCCCCCATTGTCGTCAACAACAGCCAAAGACCCAAACCAACATCTTCCCGCTACTACCCACCCCCGGCCTCCCAAAACAAGGAATAAGGAAAGAAGTGAAAGAGACAAATGGCTACCCCTGAAACTAACTCCTGCACTGCAACTAGACCTGTGACGTCTCCAAAGAGCCCCAGGTGCAGGCCATGGTCGAGTCGGTCGACTCGTGGGGCGGAGTGGACGTCATCTTCAACAACGCGGGTATCATGCACGCGAAGGACGACGACGCGATCGGGACGCCCGAGGAGATCTGGGACCTGACGCAGGCCATCAACGTCAAGGGGGTTTGGTTCGGCTGCAAGCACGCGGTGCTGTCGCTGCGCCGGCACGCCAAGGCCAAGGGTAGCATCATCAACACGTCGTCGGTGGTGGCGCTGGTGGGCTCGGCAACGCCGCAGCTCGCCTACACGGCCAGCAAGGGCGCCGTGCTGGCGCTGACGCGTGAGCTGGCCATTGTGCACGCGCGCGAGGGCTTCCGCTTCAACAACTTGTGCCCGGCCCCGCTCAACACGCCGCTGCTGCAGGACTGGCTGGGCGACGACCAGGCCAAGCGCCAGCGCCGCGAGATCCACTTCCCCGCTGGTCGCTTCGGCGAGGCCATCGAGCAGGCCCAGGCCGTGCTGTTCCTGGCTAGCGACGAGAGTAGCTTCGTCAACGGCCACGACTTTGTCGTCGACGGCGGCATGACCAAGGCCTACGTGACGGCCGAGGGCCCCGCCCCGGCCGCTCCTCAGAACAATGCCCTCAAGAGCAGCCTCGACTAGGTATCGCCAAAGTGAGAGGCGCTAAATGGCAAGATTTGGTAGGGGAATGGGGCTTTTAACCCATGGAAGGAGAATGGGAGAGACGTGGCTCCAAGGAGTCGGAGTTACCTGGTATTCCTGGGCAATTGGCGACCGTTTGTGTTCTACGTCAGTCAGCCCCGAAGAGGTAGCTAGTTCCTCTACCAACTCAAGTCTCTACCACATTCTACCTTGGCAAATTCGTGCGTGTCTTCTATAACGATTGTCAACGTTTGAAATTGAAGTGATATGTAGATCCTGTTTCAAGACAACGAAAAAAAGACTGCTTGCCTGCCCTGGAAATGCTCCGAAATATCCAGCTCCAACTTTCATGCAAATCCAACAAAGCCCTTGACTAAGTAAATAGAAAAATAGAACGCCGCTCCCATGCTACATGACCCAGTAACTCACACGCGTCTATTCTTCCTTCAGTCAAACTGGCCCTCGGTGTTGCCCTCGCCCATGCTCTTGCTCCCGGAGCTGCCGCTCTGGATGGCGCCGAGGATGGCGTCGACATAGCCGGCGCCGCTCCAGCGCTGGTGGGTGAGCACGTCGACGCCGAGCGCCTTCTCGCGCTTCTGGACGAGGTCGACGTAGGCGGCCATGCCGTCCGTCTTGAAGCTCTTGGCGAGCTCGTTGGTGATGGTGGCGGTGCTGTGCAGGCCCGCCAGGCTGACGAGCTGGACGACGAAGCCCTCACGTGCCAGGTCCCAGATGAAGCTGCGCAGCGTGGCGGGCGTGAAGCCGTGCGCCATCCAGTTGAACGACGGCGACAGGTTGTACACGAGGCCCTTGCCCGGATGCACCGCGCGGACCGCGCGCCCGAGCTCCGTCGCCACCTTGACTGACGGGTCGCCCGTCTCGACCCACAGCAGGTCCGCGTACGGCCCGAACGCGAGCGCGCGCTTGGTAGCGGCTGCCATGCCCGCGCGGAAGTGGTAGAAGCCCTCGCGCGTGCGAGGTACGTCCCAGTCCCAGAACACTGGGCTGTCTGGGGTGATGGAGCTGGCCAGCTTCCGCCGCGCCGTGATGCCGATGTCGCGGTGGGCGGCGACCTTGCGCTGGTACTCGGCGATCTTGGACTGGTCGACGCCCTTGGCGGTGAAATGGGCGACAGCAGCCTCGTCGAAGGTAACGAGCTTCGTGTTCTTGACCCAGTCTGCCTCGAAAATGTCGATCTCGGTGCCGGATGCACCCTTGGCCTCCATGGCGGCAAGTGTCTCGGCTAGGTTCTCGATGGCCGGGTCGGCGACACCTAGGATGAACTCGTGGTCGCGCACGTCGATGGATGACGACAGGAGCTTACCGCTCTCCGAGTCGGTGCGGGCGATGAGCACGTTCTCGGTGCCCATGATATCCCATTGGAAGCGCGCCGCCTTGAGGCGGTTGATGTGTTCGCCGGTCGGCACCAGCACCTTGCCGGCCAAGTGACCGCACTTCTTTCCGCCATGCATCTGGTCTTCAAAATGCACACCGGCGGCGCCGTTCTCGGCAAAGAGCTTGGCCAGCTTCATGACAGCCGTCAAGCCGCCGTGGCCTGTGTCGCCGTCGGCGACGATGGGCCGAAAGTAATCCACGTATGGAGTCTTGGCGCGCTCTTCTGGCGACAGTTGCGATCGGGTGAACCACTGCTTGCGGTCGTGCATGCTCTGGGCCTTGAACATGCGGTCTACCTGGTTAGGGACTGTGTTGTAGGGGTAGTCGCCGAAGTCAGGCGACACCTCGTTGGTCGAGGTCAAGGTCGACGAGCAGGCCCAGCCTGAGAGGTACAGGATCTCCTGGTGCGGCGCCTGCTGCGTCATTTGGACGGGGTCGATGGCGCCGAGGGTGTGGATGGGCTGCCCGGTGGCCTGGCGCTCGCTCACCAAGTCCCAGAGCTTCCGCGCCATTGTCGAGCTCGGGTACGACCGATGCAGAGACCCACGCTTTGTCACGACGTCGGCAGCCGTCCAGTCGCGTTTGATGCCCGCGAAACGGGGCGACGCGAACCAGGCCTCGACCTGTTCCACGGATTCCCGATATAATGCATCCTCTGCCGCGCCGCTCTTTTGCGCCTCGGGGAGCAGTTGGAAAGTCGTAGAGGGTGTGTTGGGCTCCGCAACAACCTTCGCGTGTGATGGGGATGCCATTTTGGGTGCGGCTGTGGTCGAAAGGAACTGACGGTTGTTCGGCCTCGCTGGACGACAACGTAGGGCAATCGTCGCCCATGTGGGCCCGGCCCGGCGAGGGACTCCAGGAAGTGCTGTGCGCAGCATTGAGAGGATAGGAAAAGTTCGTCCTGGGGCAAGTCGCGTGCGTCTCCGGTGTGGCCGAGGTAGTCGAGTAATAGCAGGCGCCGGCGGCCTTGCAAGTGGGTTTCGCGGGATTTGGTGTTTGGGAGCCTTCGGTCCGAAAAGGAGGGACTAAAAAGGTGATGTGAGACAATAAATAGAGGAACACTAACTCCTCACATAACGAGTAGAGCACAGTAATACTAGCATAGGAAAGAAGGGTGCAGGTATGGTATCAAGTTGTTCCACACTGCTGACTCAAGCAACTGTGTTGGAGCGAGCGTCGCCCCGAAAGCCGAGGAAAGATGGCTGGCCCATGATTGGCCAATGGCTTGGCCCAGCAGCCCCAGTCATCCTTTGGGGCGCCCCGAGACTTGAACCGCTCGTCCGGGGAATGGATGGCGGGGCACGTCAGACCCGCGGCTTTCCTCGGTTCAACTGGGGAAGACCTTGTGAAAGCGATGCGGGACCAGCCAATCAGCACACTTACACGAGCTTGGAAGAGGCCGACGACGAAGGATTTACAGCGCAAGGTCGCTGGGATTAATTATCTTGCGCGGTATTCCCAGTATTCGGCGCGTTGTTGCAGCCGCCCTGTATATATTTGCATTACAATGCTCTGAAGTTTCATAATCGACAATAGACACATAAACGCATTCATTCTAAACCTAACGTTGGTGCGTGCCGCCAGTTCTGTCTATGGTGAACCGTTATGCCCGCCCCCTAAGGTGGCCCATCCCTCCGTGTCTACCCCGCACTAACCGACTCTTGCTATAGCTCCAACGAAACCTCGGCCTAGAGCTCAGAGCCTAGAGCTCGGAACCGTGCACAAGCTCGCCGACAACCAACCCTCCGAAGCCTCGCAACGTGGTCAGACACTCCCAACACCTTGCTATCTGCGTCTGGACAGTTTTGGAGTATTGAGACGGCATTTCGGGTATCTCACGTCCTCCAATCACTTAACAATGGCAATGAAAATGAGGCTTGGGTCGCGTGCCCTCCTTGCAGGCGCGGTTCGGGCAAGTTACTCCCTTTTCTCCCTCTGGTGGAGACATTGGCATTGGAAACCACCCCGTTATCACTATCCGCTTGGATATAATGCTGATACTTTGATGTCATGTCTGTGTAGCCAGCTGCAGCCGCCGCAGCTCTTACCAGCCGTTCCGCCTTCTCGCTGAGATCGTATGCCACTGCCGAGCCCGACCTAAAGGCGACACTGAAAGAGGTGATTCCGGCCAAGAGGGAGCTGTTTAAGAAGGTCAAGGCCCATGGATCCAAGGTCATTGGCGAGGTCAAGGTCGAGAACACGATTGGGGGCATGCGCGGGCTCAAGGCCATGATCTGGGAGGGCTCCGTGCTCGATGCCAACGAGGGCATCCGCTTCCACGGCCGCACCATCAAGGACTGCCAGAAGGAGCTGCCCAAGGGCAAGACGGGTACCGAGATGCTGCCCGAGGCCATGTTCTGGCTACTCCTGACGGGCCGCGTACCCTCGGTCAACCAGGTCCGCGACTTCTCGCGCGAGCTGGCCGAGCAGGCCCAGCTGCCCGACTTTGTCAACAAGATGCTCGACAACTTTCCCACCGACCTGCACCCCATGACCCAGTTCGCCATTGCTGTCTCGGCCCTCAACTACACATCCAAGTTCGCCAAGGCCTATGCTGACGGCCTGAACAAGGCCGACTACTGGGAACCCACATTTGACGACTGTATCTCGCTGCTAGCCAAGCTCCCTACCATCGCCGCCAAGATCTACCAGAACTCGTACCGCGGCGGTGGTGCCCTGCCGGCAGATGTCGACCTAGAGCAGGATTGGTCTTACAATTTTGCTGCCATGCTCGGCAAGGGCGGGAAGGAGAACGAGAACTTCCAGGACCTGTTGAGGCTGTACTTGGCCCTTCACGGCGACCACGAGGGCGGTAATGTCTCGGCCCATGCAACCCACCTTGTCGGGAGCGCACTGAGCGACCCCTTCCTCAGCTACAGTGCCGGCCTCCAGGGCCTCGCTGGACCACTGCACGGGTAAGCTGCATGCGAGACAATGACTAGTTTCAGTGACCAAAAGAAGCAAAAGACACTAACACCCCGTCTTCCGTTTAGTCTCGCGGCGCAGGAAGTGCTCCGCTGGATCATCCAGATGAAGGACAACATCCCGGCCTCGTACACGGACGCCGACGTCAAGGACTACCTGTGGACGACGCTCAAGTCGGGGCGCGTGGTGCCGGGGTACGGGCACGCGGTGCTGCGTAAGCCGGACCCGCGGTTTGAGGCGCTGATGGACTACGCCGCGGCGCGGCCCGAGATTGCGCGGGACCCCGTGTTCCAGCTGGTGCAGAAGAACAGCCGCATCGCGCCCGACGTGCTCAAGGAGCACGGCAAGACCAAGAACCCGTACCCCAACGTCGACAGCAGCTCGGGCGTCCTGTTCCACCACTACGGCTTCCACGAGACGCTGTATTACACCGCCACGTTCGGCGTCTCGCGCGGCCTCGGGCCCCTCGCCCAGCTCATCTGGGACCGCGCCCTCGGCCTGCCCATTGAGCGGCCCAAGAGCATCAACCTCGAGGGCCTGCTGAAGCAGGTCGAGGCTTGAGGTGACGGCGAAAACAAAAAAGAATCAGTTGAGAGATAACAGAGAGAGAGAGGAAATGTCCATTGTTTAGAGCCGGGAATATTTTGTGCTTGTCGCCTGAAAAGCCTGAACGGTCATTTGTTTAGCCTTTGGGTATGGTGGGAGACAAGGACTTGCTACTGCTTGGATTTTCCCAACCCCCTTTTTTGGCCACAACGCATTTTCGAGTGAGTATTTAGAGCCTTTTTTGTTCGTTTGGCATGTACTTAGATCATGAAAAAAGATTGGATACCATGACTAACGGGTATTCTCCGAATCTGATATTTTTGCCTCTTCTTGGTTGGCTGTTTTTGGTGACTACCACCTTTGTTAGAGCACCCCAAGTTATTGCTGTACAGAATGTGACATACCTAGGTTTGCTATAATAAATACTTTTCTCCAACTTGTCCTTCATCCCATCTCTTGCGTTTGAGGATGGGACGAAGAAGTTTGTAGAAAAATGACTCGGGGACGGAGACAGAGATGGAGACGGAGACGGGGGACAAAATTGAGTTGGCCAAGGAGATGTTACCAGATGAGTGTCTTGCACGATGCAGTGAGGTGAGAAAATAAGTGCAACGAGAAGAGGACAAGACAAGGCAAGGCAATGTATTCTGGTCGTAAACATGTCTGCATACAAATGTTCCGCAGCTGGCCTTGAGCACATAGACCTGACAGTATTATAATACGATATGGTTTGGGGGGACCTGTGCTGAGGTCTACAGCCTTGCTCACAGTTGAGCAATACACTTCTCCACACCCTATAGTGCGCCTCCCCACGTTGCATAGGTATCTACAGTCAAGTGTGGACGTTGGAATATGGAGATAGATGGATCTGGCTTGGTATGGATGCGTTGTTGACAACGCCGGCTCCATTCTCCACTCTGCCCATACTTTGGTAGAGCAAGCTTGGTGGTATTTTTGGAAACCAGCTCGCTCAGACGACAAAGTAACTAAGTGGGCCATTGCCTCCGCGGTCGCAGGGCGAATAAAGAAGCGAGAAGATGTTGACGACCTACATTCATTGGTACAGATAATTCGTCGGCTGGTCGACCACTCTCTGGTGGTTTCCACTGCTCGGTTAAACCATTGCGAGCAGCGGCGTGGTTCCGTCAGGTCCTTGCCCGCTCTCCGCGTTCCAGTTCCAGGGGTTCTCAGGAACAGCAAGGATGCTAACCACTGGTTCTCGCCAATACACGGAGACTTGTAGTATGACCACGGCGTTTAGCCTCTGACTCGCCTCCGAAGACCTGGTACGACCCTGCAACTTTTCTGTGCGGGCGTTGCTATAAGCCTGTCGTGCCGTACCTGGGACAGGACGTCGAGAGCCGGCTGTTTCCGGATAACTCATATATAATGTTGCTATTCTTGTCTTAGGGCTCTGGTAGGGCCGGGAGGTAAGGGCGGGGTACGGGAGCGCGAGATACTATGTACGTACCTAACTAACACTACCGGTGATTCGGCATCACCGCTCTGTCTCTAATGTGATGCTATTCCTGACATGGAAGAACTCTTCTATTAAATAGAAGTCATCAGCGCACTCCTTAGAATCAAGCTGCTCCTTATTCGTGAAGAAGAGAAAAGAGACTGGTAGTCTTGTCGACTCTCCCTCCTGCTGCGGGTGCGGCTAGCATGCAGATGGCGACGGCACGGGAGACGCAACTGCAACTGCAAATGCAACCTGGAGGAAAGGCTAGCCAGGGATTGGAGAGGGTGGAGGGTACGGTGGTGGCCCTTGGTGCAGTGGCCGAGGCTGGGGCGAACCCGAGTTCCTGGCTGCAGTGAGATTGTGGGGCCCCCATTTCGTGAACAGATGCTTGATGTTGGTTGGTCGCACAAATGTCCATCAAGGACCCTCTAAGACTAGGTTGTATTTTGCTTCTGAGTTTCCTTCGCCGGGAGCAGTTCGTCCGTAGGCTCTCATCTCATGGCATGCTGATATGTCTTGACCGGGGGTAGTCGGTACGCAGGAGTTGCTCATATTCAAGGATGGTAGGTGAAGAAGCCTCGCGAGTTCCTTCGGGTTTCAGTGCTGAACTTTCGGAAATAAAGGAAACCAGACCTTGCCACTCTTGGGAACCCGTTCTTCACGCCAACAAGAATAGACCGAGGCCAATTCCCGGGTTCTTGGCATGGGAACTACTTCTGGCCGGTGTCAGCCACGGAAAGGGGTAAGATTGGCCAGATCGGGGCGCTTTTTGCCTCTCCGCAATATGCAGCTCGAAGAGCCTCGTGTGTTGAGCCAATCACAGACGGCGACAGTTCACCTCCAGGCTGCCCTGGGTAGGCGTCCAAGAGTATTCGTTCAGAAACAGACCCGACAGGGTCAGCTTTGGACACGGCACGGGTAATGAACAAGTCCCCGTCGAGCTTGGCCGGCGGGTGGTGTCGATGGCTTTAGTCCAAGACAACATATGGATTGATGCCGTTGCCTTCTGCCGTCCTAGGCGTCAAGAAAGCTGTCTTCCGAGAGAGCTTCACCGCAACCACGAGGAGTGGCCCCGCCATAGAATAGAATTAGAGTCCACGGCCTCATGCAAAGACCGATGCAAGGCCGTCAGGTGGCAATGTTTTCCCTGGCCGCTACATCGCCATCGCCGAGATGCCATGTCACCACGCCACTGGCCTGGTTCCAAGATGCGGTCCTCCGGGGAACACAAGGTGGGCCATCAATTAAGCTTAATCTACGGCCCCTGACTTTGCCACAAAAATAGCAGCGTAGACAGGGCGCCGCGCCCAGCCGTGTGGTGAAGCCGAAGGTTGCCTTCGGCCGCTGGCCTGGTTATTCCGCGGGGATCAGCCCAGGATGTGGGGTGGATGGTGTCGAGGGGAACCATCCATGTGCGAGAAAGTCGCCTCCGTCGCTGTCTGGGGTTTAGCTTCAGGAGAAGCAGCGCCACTCTATGTGGACAAACGTCCAGCGCTCCCCAAATGTCAGCCGGAGACCTAGCAATTGGACCTGGGACCATAACGCGGCGTGCCATTGAGACGCATCGCCAATAAGGCCCAATATCGAGGCCGACGGCCTCGATCCGATCTCCAAGGAGCTAGGCGTCGAGATAGGTAAACAAAAATTGGAGGCGGGCTTCTAAAAAAAGAATTATAGTTAGTGCGGCCCCCCAAAGCGAGGCCTAGATAGATGGAGGCGGCGACAACATAGTGGAAAAGACGGACTGGGTCTCGGTACGGCCACCGTCGGGGGGTGATTTGCCTTGTTGAGGCGACTCCATAAGAGCTTGATGTCCCGCGTTAATATGCGTTTCATTTATCCTCACTTCATCCGCAAATTTGGTTGCTGTGACTATGGAGGCTGAGACCATGGACACCAGCCAACCTCGACCGTTCTCCACTATCGACCGCGACCAAAGTCAATATTTTCCAACGGCCGCCAAGCGATAGGTAATTCGGAGCTCGACAAGATGGAAAGGGCGAGGTGCTACGGGCATGGCCGTGGTCCAATCTGGGGAGCAAATTAACAACTCCAGACCAGGCGACGCCAAGAGAGTCTCTCTCGGTGCACTTTGCCTCCGCAGCCGAAGATATGCGGCCTCGGCCCTGGCGAGGATGAAGTCATCGCGAAATGGCCGGGAGCTCGAAGGACAGAAACGGGTATAAAGACGGATGCCGCCCGCGATGAGAAGATCTTTTCTTTTCTGCATCCAACAGCATTCCCGCCATCCAACCATCCAGGTCAGCAATCCTCAACATCCTCTGATCTCTCTTCACCTCGTCGATCTTCATCAACAAAATTTTTAACCACACTTGAAAATGCGTTGCGCCGCCTTCCTCCTTCCCGCGCTTGCCGCCGCCAGCCCTTTGGGCGCTGCCACCCCCGATGGCTGGGCCGATGCTCCGGACCCGGCGCAGATCCAGGTTCTGAGCGCCACCTTCTCTGGCAATGGCTGCCCGCAAGGCACCGTATCGACGAGCATCTCGCCCGACAAGACTGTAGGTTGAGGCAATCGCTTGAGACGAAATCACAGCTGCGCTGACTCGGTTATACCCACAGGTCATTACATTCGGCTTTGACAAGTTCCAAACCTACATCGGGCCTGGCTTCAACCCAACTGAGAAGACCAAGAACTGCCAGCTTCATCTGAACCTCAAGGTATGCTTGCTCCGTTCACCAGCAACGGAGCGCGGCGCTGACAATCCATCTTGCAGTACCCCGGCGGGTTCCAGTTCTCCGTTGTCGAGAGCACGTACCACGGCTACGCCCAGCTTGATAAGGGCGTCACCGGAACCTTCTATAGCACGTACTACTTCAGCCAGGACGCTTCGGCGACCACGACCACGCAGACGTCCATCACGGGCGGCGGCATCTGGGCGCAAGGCCAGGTGTACACCAAGTCGGACAAGATCCCCACTGCGAGCTACATCTTCTCGCCCTGCGGCGCCAACGGCATTCTCAACATCAACAACCGCATTGCGCTCACCAGCTCCAACAGCACCGCCACCGGCGAGGTCACCGACGACGATGCCACCGTTGCTTTCACCCAGCAGATCAACATCAACTGGAGAACCTGCAAGAAGTAAGCGGCTCCGAAGGCTAAAAGGGCGGCACAGGGCTGAGCGGGGGGGCACTGGCGGCGGATGGGGGCTAAGAGATTGGGTGGCGGCGGAGAGGCGACCGAAACGTCGCTACTCCACATTCCCCCATCCAGAGCTCGGGCTTCATCGTTGGCATCTCTCATTGCGATCCGACTGCATTGGGCCAGGGGTTTAGGCGGCTGTTTATTCTTTTCTTTCCTCCAGGTGCGGATTGGGTTTGCGGAGGCGGCGGACATGGACCAAAAACGGATTGCTAGTCTGTGCCGCGGTTGCTTGGCACCGTGGGCGAGGCGGGACGCTTGAGCGCCTCGACCCGGAGCCGGGTGCTGTGATGGAGACTCCTTCCAATTTCCTTTTTTCTTCTTCCATTTTTCCTTCTCTCAACTCTCACATGGAGCAGTTTCTTTCGTTACTAGCATAAGTCAATCAAGCCTTGTTCCACTGAACTGTTGCAGTTTCCAATGTCTCGGGATGAGCGGTGCAGCTGAGCTTGAGCTTGGTGTCTAAAGGCTTGGCGCTTCTAGTTTTGTTCCGTGCTGTCTTGCACCCCCATCCATGCTTGAACCTGCCATTTGCTGATTCATGCCGCAGACTAGGAATCCCATTTGCCCGCCATTCCGCGTTTGCGACCGGAGCTTCAGAAAGTGGTGCGGACTGTGCGGCAAAAGCCGAGGCTGGGTCGGGCTTTGCTGGTGGGCGGGCGCCGAAGGTCTAGACAGTGGCTTGACGAGCATTCCCGGTCATGGATTGATGGGATCTGTCTGGTGCCTTCATCAATCTCCGATATTGCACTGGTAGGACGAGCCTCGATCTGGACACGAGGAAACCTTGCTGTCTGGCCCTGTATTCTGCCGGAGCGGCAAAACAGCCACGGAGGTGCCTAAGCCGTCTAAAAATAGGATCTAGGAACCGGGCCATTGCAACGTCCATACGTGGTGCAAAGAGAAAGGTATGTGATGTGAAGGAATCAGTGGATTATCCGGTATATTGCTAAACTATCGTCAAGGAATTGTCGTCGGTGCGAATCGCTTGGCCTGGCTGCCCAAGGATTGGCCAGTTCGCGCCTGCGCTTTGTCAGACAAAAATCGGGCGCCATGCAGCACGAACCGCAGCCGCGTTCTTGGGAGGGTAGTGCGTCGACAAACATGCGAAGCGTGTTGGGAGTGGACGGTAAAGTGCTGTTGTGGGCAGAGACATCAGGGAAGAACGGTCGTTGAGATTGACGAAAAGCGGTCGCCCGCTAGTGATGGGCTAAGAAGGCCTAAGACGCGCCGCGATGCAACGCCATTCGTGGCATTATGCAAGGTACGGTACAGTGCTGTACGTGCTGTACGTGCCTAACGCCAAGGGGTATTGGGACGCGGAGAATGGCGGGAAGTTAGGGCGCGGTGGTGCTAAAGCTACAATTGGTGACTCCAAAGACTGGTTCCAGCTGTTTCGTCGAGGTGTATTCGGATGCGGGTATCGGATATGGAGAGATGATCAAGTGTTGGCGTCTGCGGCAATGGGCGCCTGCGAGCAATGGGCGCCTGCGAGCAACTGCCGACGGCAAGCCCGCCGCACTTCTTTCAGTTTCGACTTTTGAGGCGGGGGTGGCTTCCGTCGTTGCCCGACGGGTTGCATAACGTGATGGCACAAGCGACGCCGTCTCGCTCGCTCGGGAAGCAAGCAGGGCAGGGCGGAGGATCTTTTTGCTCGGCTTGGGTTTTCGCTCTTCATGGAATCCAAGTTGCTGCGATTGTTGACAGCAAATCTGGGAGCGGTGAAGGGCGTGAATGGTTGCTTTTGGGACGTTGATTTAAGGTTCTCGTTGTGCACCCTAACACGGAATGTGCTTGGTGCTCAGTGCTTTCCCTCCACCAGCACCTGGGCATCGACACAATGTGCCCCAGACCTATCTGCCGGGTCTCCGCTCAGGCCACCCGCACCGTCCAGATCCATCCATTGGCGTAACTGCAACCTTTCAGGCCCGACACTGGCGGTGTTTTCCTCAAGGTTTCCGTTCCGCTTCTTTGCAAACCGGGAAGGCGCAGATGGCGCGCACTAGTGATGCGTCTAGCGTCCGATGGCGATTTCTTGCGTATAAACTTAAGTTGTCGGATTTTTGCAGTTCAACGGCCTGTAACATTTTCTGCTCAATTAAACCTTTGGTTCTCCATCAGATTTTCTCCCTGTGAATTTTGCGAATAATTACGGCGCACCTTTGACCACTAAGCCCATCCTCAGCAATTCGAGTTTTACTCACGCCGGCGAGATCGTTCCCAGTTCTTTCTCGCCCTCTTTCGGAGTGCCGAGTGCCCGGCAATATGGAGCGATGAGCGAGACACCTCGCCTTTCCATTTTGCTGTACTCGTATGAGATCCGTGTCTTGGCGCTTCATGACAGGCCCGTGTCTCTGGTTGACGGTATATGTGTACATACACGTGTGTCGTGTATCGACTTGCGGACTCGTGGACAAGGCCTGCCAACGGAGATCCCGCAGAATTGGACCAAGTTCAACAAAAACGGGGCTTTCTAGCCCCCGGGGCTGGCCCTGTCGCTGCATTCTCATTGCCCCTTCCCGGCTCCTGTTGAGAGCCTACTAGCCCAGGAAATACTCGTGGAAATACGCAGCTAGTCATGTGTGTCGTCTCTCGCCCCTTGGTTTGAAGTTGCACATAAACCACTTCCCATTGAGAATTTCACTTCATTGAAAGTTGGAAAACAGAACGAGTTTACCATTCATGTGAGCGGTGTTAACGTGCTACCGATGAAGTCTTACCAACCGAGCCTTAACCTCGAGTCTTCTAGGCCCCCAGCTTGGTAGATCCCGTTCGATTAAGATCTCCCTAGATCGGCGATCTAACAGAGAATCCAGTCTGTGCGCTGGCGAATAACGGTACCGCTCCCGGCGATTGAATCGTTGCCGCTCAAGCGCAGATGCGGTGGCGGCGGCAGACAAGTCACGCATTGGCACGCTGCTTGCTTGGCTTGAGCATGGGGAGCCTGTTACATCCCGAGTGGCCCGACGCTCTTTTCTGCATGCTGCACGCCTACAAATACGAACACCTTTGTCTTGAACCTGCAGTTCAGCTTTTCCTCGTTCTTGCGATCCGCCGAGTCCCAACAACCCTCCATTTCAAACGAGACTGTTCATTGGAGAGGACTCGAGAAACCCTTGGCTCGTGAAGCGCGGCAGGGTTCTCAACAGAGAACCCCACAGCTTTGCTTACGACGTAATACTGCATTCGAGATCTGATAAGTGACGAGACCTTACCCGTCGTGCTCAAAAAGCCGACCAACTATCTCCGGCACGAGACCCCTGCTGAACTTGCGGCGGAATGGGTGTGGTTTGCGAACAACTATGAGGGCGGAACGGGGGTACGAAATCGAGATCGAGAAAATCGCTTTCCCCGGAGCATAAAGGAGAAGCGCAAATTCCTACGCATTCCGCTTTGCTCAACCTAGCGTTCCCGAGAGACTCTGGGATCACAGTGTTCACTTTATGCAGGAAAGAAATACTCCCCCGCCAGTAGTCATTGGCAGATCACGAGTCGTTGCTACCTGTTAGGCCCTATTTCGCTTCTACTTCTACTTCTCCCGCGAGAGTCTCAGTTCTCTTAAGCACCTTACCCTTTCCCTCTGGAGAAGAATTCCAGCGGACGAAACGGTTTGGGCTACGACATTGGAGAGAGTAGGTGATAGGACATGGGGAGGCTTTTTCTCCTCACGCGTACAGCACGTCAGCGACGCCACCACGAATCCCATAGCTTTTCCGAGATGTCTGACGCAAACAATGTGGCCCGGAATACATCGATGTGAGTGGGCCAGGGTGGTTAGTGGTTGGCAGTTTTCGGGGGTAATTCCCCAGTTCCACCAAGACGGGCAATTTTCGAACTTGGCCATGTTGGAGTTGCAAGTGGAGAGTTTTAGCGAGGAAAAAGAAACGAAAGAGCCACCACCCGCACCAAACCAACCATGTGCGATTTTACTCAGGTCTGTGGCACGCAGCGGCCGATCCCTTTCCCTTTTTCAACCCCTCCTCTACACTACGTCATGCCAGCCAGCTTTGTAGCTATTTGTCGCGTTCTATTTGCTGCTCTCGAGGGGGGATGTATATTCCATCCAGCTAACAAACCAAGCAAGCAACACACATTCACTGCACGCATACACTTTGAGTGGCACTCCATTTTGACTCTGTTTACCGTGCGATTAGGAGCTTGCCCTTTGTTCAGTCTTCATTATTACCAACCCAGCACCCTTTTCTGTGGAGCCCCTGCTCCCTTACAGACAGAAGACTCTTAACAGTCGAGTGGTTTGTAATAATGCCCCCTTATTATACCAACTTGCACTGACCCAATTGAACGGAACTCGGCTCTGTTCAACAGTCCGGCTGACAGTTGTTGGCCGTATTTGAAGGCCCGGTTGGCCTGTTGGCCTACGTCCTCGCTGTGCCGACCCGGTTGGCCGTAACTGACGGTCCGATTGACCGTATTTGGCGGCCCGAACAGCGGCCAGGCGGTTGAACTGTGGCCATGTTGCGAGGCAGTTGGATCGATTCCAACAACTGTACATGCAGGGCATTGTGTGGTTCTGGATTTTATTCCACTTTATATTACGTTGTGCAATTGCATATTTAATCCAAGGGCTTACATAAGGACTCACTTGTAAGAGAAGGCAGGTACGCCAGATCAAGGTGGTCACAATGCAGGTAAGAAGGCGGGCGAGCAATGAGTAGTATTGGTGTGAGACTTCAACCTGGCCCTCGCAAAGGAAGGTGGGAGAGGGCCACGTTTATATACATGCTCAGGGGCTCAGGCCCGGGGCGCCATGGCGTGGCGTAATGGCTTGTGCCAACTGGCAGTGTTCTGGCCAGTTGGTAACAGGTGGTGAGCGCGCACCCTGTGCGCGCGGCTGGTGTTTGGGGTGTCCTTTCCTTACACTACTCTTCTGGTACTTGTACCTATATCCTTCCACATATAGAGTCCTAGACTCTCTCATAATACTGCCTTTTAGGCACTTTTCATCATCTACACATCACGTAGGCGTGTTTTGCACCCCGAGGTGGGAAGATTGGTCGGAGCCGGCATTCCACCAGAAAGAGCCTGGCCAGGTGCAGTTTATTACCCCGTGTAAGGAAAGAACCCCCAACCCACACACACGACCAACTCGCACGCGTACCGACGGGCCAAGACCTCATTCCTTTTTCAATGCCTCGCCTTGCACTCTGTCATGTATATAAGCAGCGGCCCTCGCCCCTTCCTTTGCGAGGGCCAGGTTGAAGTCTCTTACCAATACCAGTCATTGCTCGCTCTCTTCAGTACCTTCATTGTAACCACCTTGATCAGGCGTACCTTCCTTCACTTACACCCCGGGAGAGGCGTATTTATGTGGTCAAAGGCAGGCCCGACAGAGCGTAAACCAATTAGGGGCGCATGCAACCCCACCACTTACGTCATACCAGCCAGACCCGCGGCCGACAGTAGGCGAGGAGGGACGCCACTTCCACCGCGAAGCCCAACCTTTTAATGGTTTTCTACCGCCTTTGAGATTCCACGACGGTCGTTCGCCTCTGCTTCTTCCTGCACCGGCACTCCAACCCCGCCACGGCTGTCAGCAGGATCGCGCGACTGCCATCGTCCTGGTCGCAAGCACGCCAGTACTGGCCGCCAACACTCGCCCGAGATCGTTTAGTTCGATTGATGCACAAGAGGTATCGTCTAGCCGCCCGTGTCAGCGCTTCCAAGAGAATGCCTGCCAATTCGCCCCCGCCCATTAGGGTCGAGTACGTCGGCAATAAATCCCTCGAGTGGGAGCCCGTGCTGCCATCGTCGCCCGGTAGCACCGAGCCCTCGACTACTGCAGCTTCTACCCCGGCTCCGACACCAGACCTGCCGGATTCGCAGGGCTCGAGGACACTGGCAGATAACTTGGAATCGCTGTCGTCGTAAGCGTCCCAGCTTCCCGAGACGGACGAGGAACTTAAGCAGCAATTGGCCCGGTACGCCCGAGATGAGCTTTCCGACATCCTATCCGAGTACGCCCCCACCGACGCTGCCAAGCTGGACAAGGCGGATCGGGCAAAGCTGCAATATTGCATGCTGGCTGTGCTCAACGACCCGACATCGGAGCTTTACATGATTGACATAGAGACTATGAAGCTTAAGACAAAGCAGAAGGGCGACTCGTCGGCCTTTATGACCTATCTGAAGTTCGTATATTCGATATATATACCCAAGATCTGGTTTATACTCGATACCTGGACGAATCAGGCGAAGAACTCGAAACGCAAGAGGTCGGACACGTCTGGACATACTACGCCGACGGTTGAGGATCTTCCCACCGGAGACAACAGAGACAGGGCCGGCCGTTCCAACGTAGACAAGATCGCCTAGGCCAAAGTGCTAGAGTAGTACAGCAAAAGCTGTGTTCTCTCTGGCGGCACACTGGTCGACGGGCCACATATTGTGGACGTGAGGGCCTCGGGGATGAATGCCCTCCATTTCTGGGAGACGCTGGGTATGTTTTGGCTTCTTTAAGGATGTCGATAAGCTCGATATCAAAGGCCAGGAGGTACGGAACATCCTCCCCCTCGACCGGGGCGTCCATATCTTCTGGGATCGGCATAGATTCGCGCTCCGTCCCGTCGAGCACCCGACAGACCCTGAGCACAGGATCTACTTTCAGGTGGTGTGGCTCAAGGATCTAGACAAGTCTGGTGGCCTTATCAAAGGTGCCTGGGACCATTGCGGGTCCGGCTCCATCGTGGACTTCCGGCGTGGGAGCGACGATGAGCGCATGTTCTCGTGCCTCGAGCATGGCGACGTCTACGAGCTATCTACGGCCGATCCAGTCAGGTGCCAGCTACCCAGTATCCAATTTCTGCAGATTCGCTACGCCGTCCAGAAGATCATTGCGGGCCCGATGGCCGCCAGCGCGCTTAAGGACATCTTTAGTGGTGAGCCGCCCGAGGACGGGCTGGGCCCTGCCCGCCACGAGGAACCCTTAGCCGGCGATTGGGAGGTCTCCTCGAAGCGGCCGTGGAAGCCGAAGTCCTGACCAGGGACGCGGCGGGGCGGTGGGCCAGATCGTTTCAGGACGCGGCCTACGATAAGGCCGTACGAAGAGCCAGGGTTCTTGCCGAGTTTCTTGCCAAGGAAGAGGAACTGGCTTCGTCAGAGCAAGAGGCGGGCGGAATGGGATCGGGTAGATAGGCTCCGCCTCCTCCAGATATCGACTAGCACGATCTCCTTCTACGCGACGACTGTACCAATCTACCCTCCCGGCCCGCTACGGGGAGACACGGGGGATATATGCCCGCAAGTCGTACCCGGCGTGGGTGGCATGTAACGGCTGAGCCCCATCAATAGCTTTACGTCGTGCTGGTTCTTTTTCCGGGGGGTTTTTTTATTCGTGTTTTGCTTTGGTATTGTTTGGGCATTGGTTTTTGTTCAAGTTTTGTTGAGTTCTTTTTCTTTTTTTTCGAGTTTGCTTAAGTGTTGCTTGGGTGTTGCTTTGCCCTGTCGGTGTTACAGCCCCTAATTCGCATTTGAGGAATAATGATGACAAGGTCTTCTAGAGCTATCAAAATAGTTCCGTGCACTGTGGTTTGCTATGTAGCTCTGGCCCTCACGGTCCCCTCGGCGGTCGAGGTTGTTACGGTTGGTTACTAGGCTCGGCATCGTCACTGCATAGCGTGGATCGGGGGTTGCTCTTTTTTCCTCTTCCATCTGAGTCCTAGAACGGGGGGCTTGAAATTTCGGGGGTTGTCCCTTTCTCTTTCTCTCTCTTGGTCGACCAGGTGTGAGTGCGTAATCTTTCACTGCATGCTCTAGGTTCTTAGTTTCAATGTTTAAACTCTTTGCCCCCCCCCTCACCTCTTCGTCGGAATGGATGGTCACTGTGAGCTTGTTGGCTGGTGCGTCCCCCCTCCCTGTTTCCTGTTTTCGGGAAACACGCGATGACACACGTACATCTCTGCATGTCCAGTACGTAATTGGATAACTAACAGCAATGAAGCAGATTAGGTAGTTTGCCAGTCAAGCTCTGCACAGCCTGTTGTCTGTTGTCTATTTCGCCCAGTGCTAGTCCTGGCGCCGGTGCCGACGCCGGAACTCGGTAAGGTAAGATAGTTACCGGCACTACCCAATCAGGCAGGGCATGCGCGCATATGCAAAGTCAACAGACCATGGTGGTGGTAGTGAGGTGAGGGCCCAGAGGAAAGGGACGAAAGGTGAGACTGGGACAGGAGAGATAACGTATGAACCACCCACCCTGCGCCAAGACATGATCGGTGTGGAGACATGTGTGTTGGTGGCTGGCTGGCTGGCTGGCTGGATGGATGGATGGATAGGGGGTTGGCTGGCTGGCCGAAGAACTGGGCAAAGCAAAGATAATAATAATAGGGGGCAGGCAGGGTGGCCCAGTGGGTGTGCTCTGATCGTTGACGCCGAGACAAGCTTGACGCCACCCGGGGAAATCCTGTGGCCCGGACAGACACAAGCACCCCAGCACTCTTGGCTAGCCGCAGCAGCGACTACGTGACTCCCTGGACAACCGCAGACGCTCAAAAGGCCACGCTGACGTGCTCTACTCACCGGCTTGACAGCAATACGCGCGACCAACGAGTGGCTCCTGACTCCCACGGTCTGCCTTGGGTTTCTAGCCTCAACAGTTCGTGTAACGGTCCGGTGCAGACGTCGGTCTTTTCCCTTTTGCCCACTGGCCACGGACAGACAACTCATACATGTGAGGCAGCTACCCGTGTGCAAGACTGTTTCGGTAGAAAGGGGAGCTATGTCTCTGTTCTCATTTGCTGATGGTCTGAAACTGAGTCAAGGGGCGCTATCAGATGACTCTTGAAACTACACGCGGATCGACACAGTAGTCCGCACGTACCGCCACGTGCATGCTTAAAACATGGCCCCTAGCCGGTGTGGCAAAGCTGAGAGAGCGATGAGAGAGAAAGTGAAGTTTCTGTTGGAATAACATACTGGAATGACGCGCTGATCCAAGGAATGCGGCTCCGCATTCCTGGCCACAGCAACGTCTGTGGAGGAGCGGGCCTGACAGATGCATATATATTGGCCTACGCCCACCTGTTCAGATAGATAAAAAGACAGACACAAACGAATCCATCACTTGAACCACCACCTTACGGCGCGCAGCGCGCCATGCTGTTTCCAGTACCGGTACCCTGGTGATTCCTACAGTTTCTTTCAAATCCCCCCTTTCAGCCCTTGTCTCACCTCAGTCGCTGGCTATCCACTAAAATGGTCCACACTCATATATCAGAAACTGTTCTGTGTGCCAGCTTTGCCTCTGCAAGTTCGTTGGATTGTGCGAAATGTCGATGAGTGGTGAAGATTATGCGGTTTCTCCAAAAACAAAAAAGAGAGGCTATCCTGCCACTTCGGTAACTTGGACCAATAAAGCGCTTTACCAAAAACATGCAGAATACATGCAGAATACATTCGCTACTAGTTCCCTCACAGGCCCACTGCTGCAACCCCGGTAATGCCCATCGTCCCGCCTGCCTGTCGGATTCCGTGGTTTTGTGAGTTTGCTGCTTAAATGGTAACAGTTGGCCATCTGAATGCCCCCACTAGTTGCTTCACCAATCACCAGGGCCCACCAAGATATCGCCAGGGAGGTATTTTCATATCAGGCTCGATATAATCGGCCGATCCAACATTAATGTCTGCGTATCTGCCTGGACTTTCTGGGGGTGACTGTAAAACGGCAGGCGACTGTGACCGAGCCGGCGCCTCGGAATGAGGTGTCCGCGAGCCGGCAGGCGCAGGTGGATCAGCAGGTACCTGTGAACCATCGGGCGACTCTGAACCACCGGGGACTTGTGATCTGGGAGGTGATCGTGGGCCTATGGCCGTCTGTGCATGAGTAGGTGCTTCTGAATCAGCAGGTGCCGGTGAAGCATCCAGCGTTTCTGAGCCACCAGGTGCAGATAAACTAGTAGTTCCGGGTGGGTTGGTAGATGCCTCTAAATTAGGAGGTACCAGTGCATCAGCAGGCGCCGAGAAATCATCAGTAGGCGCCGAGAAATCATCAGGCGCCGGGGACGGCGGGGTAACAACAATCATCGATAAATTGCCCAGCGTTTCCGAACTACCAGGCGCTTGCGAATTGGCAGGCTCTTGTGAGCCAGCCTGGGCCTGCGAGCCAACAACCTCAGCGGGCAAAGCTAGCAAAGGTAGAGGTGGAGACGTTGAATTAGTGGCAATCCAAGGATCCGGCCTCGTCCCCTCCAAGGCGATGTTATCGTAATCTGCCAAGAACTGCAAGTTTGCTTTTCTCAGTGATAAAGCATCCACGTTTCGGCCGCAGCATCTGAAAGGCCGACGCCGACGCCCCGAAATAGAATCGGCAATTCCTCTCATGAAGCATACCGCACACCTTTGATGTCGACAGGAACTCGTCATCTTGAACATTTCACCAGTTCGTAAACGGCGAGAACAATGTGGGCATATTGTCCCGGACGGTGGAACTTGCTCCGGGGGGTGCAACGGGGTGGCGGGCGTAAAAGCAAGAGTTGGAACCCCCGAAGAGCCATGACCGAACCTATTCAACAATCCATTCAACCCGGCGGGGTGCAAGGGGATGGGTATTGGAGCATCGATAGGAACAGAGGTAGAAGGACCAGAAAAGTCATGACCTAACCCATTCATCCTTGGGGGCGGCGATGAGGCAGACGTGATCTCAAGCATAGGAGCGGAACTAGGAAGCTCATTAGGATCCTGACTAAATTGACGTATCCCGAGGGCCGGTGGCAGTCCTGGGGGTGGCCGCCGCCCATATAAGATTCCATCGGAAATGTGGGGTCTAGAAGAACTGTAAGTGTATCCAATGATCCTGGGGGATGGTGATGGAATCAATTCCGAAGCCTGGGGCGAGGTAGAGGTCGAGGGTTGAGACGAGGCACGGGAAATTCCAATCATCGGCATTATTGGGAGAGGTGGCGGCCCAGGTGAGACCACAGCCGAGGTGGAAAGCCAAGAAGAGCTATTGCCGAATCCATTTACCCCGTTGGCCGACAAAGAGAGGGGTGTCGCTTGATTGACAAGTATGGGAATAAAGGGCGTCGTGGAGCCGGAAGGCCCAGAAGAGCGACGAAGGCGATTTGCCCGCAGCAGCTCGGACGTAAGAGAATTGTGAAAACGAGTAGAGCTGCCAGCCGATGAAATTTGAGATTCAAGAAGAGGATGTGGCGGCTGAGACTCTTCGCTCATGGGCGTCGGGGCTGGTTCATCGTTGGTGCTGTTGGTGCCGTTGGTGCCGTTGTTGCTGTTTGAGGCCATGTCTAACGTATACTATCAACAGTAGGGTTGGCAGATGGACGTCTATCGACACCGAGCGCAATTGGGGACTGGTTATGTAGACCCGGCAGAGCCAAGCCTATTTGAATTTTAGGGGAGCAATCCAAAAGAATGACGATACTGGTCAATGAATGTGTAAGCTGTCGCCTGGTGACAGGGCTAGGACTGCAGTTGGCGCGGGCGACCTTGGAATGCCGATGAGGTTGAAGCCGTCTCGTGCGAACCTGCGAAGCCCGCGCAACCGCGAGAGACAGCCAAATTCTGTGGGCTATGGCGAGCTGGGACTGGCAGATGCGCGTTTGGAAGGGGTGCAGATCCGAAGACAAGGACAGCAGGAGCAAAAGACCAAGGCTGCGTAGGCATAACATTGCGGTTGTGGCTTTGCATCAAATATACAACAACGGGAAAGAGCATGAAGATTGTGATGGTGAGGAGAGAGGAGACTTCGAATCATTTTTCCCAGGCAATGTTTTTGCCATTTTATCGCGGGAATAGTTGTGAGCTTGGGTGGTAACGACCAAGTTGCGACAGTTCGCGGCTACCTTGACTGCTCAGATTGCAGCACGAATAACCACCTTCCCTTTTGTCAAGTTAGGTTGCATGAACGAAGGGAAAGTACAGCCCACCCAGTTCATCTGCTTCTGCCAACTTGGGCTAATCTCAGGCAGGGGCAGATGACATCACGAAACAGTCAGCCTCCACATCGCACCATGTCCCCGGGGAAACCCCAGGGCATGCGGTCACAGAAGATAGGAAGTCGCTACTTGACCGACGGCCCGATCCCAGCTTTGATTGGACGTTTAGTCCCTTGGCTCGTTCGCTCCCACTAAATTCGCCCGTGGTGTCAAAACTGCAGGCCGCAATGCGGTTGCTGATCCGATTGTAGCGCCATCGCTGCAAGGCATAGCCGTTGGAGACAGCCTAGTTATCTGAGGCGAATCTTGGCTCACAAATTTTCCTTTTTCGTTCGTAGTCCTGCGCTGGGGTAAGCTGTGGCTGATTTGTTCTGAGCTTTGCCTGACTACAGCTGTACAGCCTTGGAGGCCCATTTTCAGCCCCCAGCTAAAGTTTCTTTTCGATGTCCCCCGCGGTGTCCACATTCCGAGCATATACTGGTACACGTTGTAGGATAGTACGTGGCATCCTAGTCTACTTCCTAGGGCAGTACTTAGTATCCTGGTACCAGAACTGGGATGATATTCAGTATACCAGTATATTATATAGGTATGGTGCGCAATGGACTAGCACCTAGAATATACCAGCCTACAACATGACCCGTGGGCCCGATTCTCGGCCCCATGGTAGCTTAACTTCGTGGCCCAGAACTGGGCAGATGTCACGGAACCTGACACCGTGAGCAGTATATAACACATAATCCAGAATTCAAGGTCGACTTGGAATTCTCGCAGATCCTTTTTAGATGTAAGTCAAGTGGGGTGTTTGTTCGCTTGCGCTTTCGTCACAGCCATCCTAGTTTCCGTTTTCGCCCTTTCGAGACGAGGGAGGACTTTGCACGACTCCGCTCATTTGCCGAGAACCCAGCACCGTGGACTCTGTAGCACATATACTACGCAAAGATTGGGGGTATTCGTCATTCAAGTGATTCCAAATACCGACAATCTCAGTAATTACCCTGCATTAACCCCTACTGTCTTACCACGTCTGAGGTTATTGTACTTAAAGGAAAGGGATACCTTGGGAAGCTTCACGACATCCCTACCAAGGAACTCTCCGATAAATCCAAGGGCGGCCCTCTGATTAAGGCCGTTCTTATTAAACTACCTGGTCCATCATAGCGACGTCGCCCGTGCGTCAGAACCTTACCGTCTCTCTGTTGGAGCTTTGTGTGCTGGTCTTCGCTCTCACGGCAACCATCACCTACGGCATTTACGAGAACAAGCTCAAGGGCTTCCAGATAGCTAAAGTGGGTATGATTTAATAGACCTTTTCCTGCGCCCTACAGGACTCAGGCAGAGGAATCTCGGATCCTAAATGGGGCGTCCCACTCTAACTTTTGACCTAAATATAAACTTCCAGTTCCCCTGTTTGGGAAGATTTTCTTAGCTGGATGGAACTTTGAGTTCTCGTCAATACCCGAAAGGGCCCTTTGGAGATGTGCTAGTTTGTACATGACAGATTTTAAAGCAGGCATGATGTCGGCTTGGCCTTCCTAGCAGGTCTAGATTGGGGGGTTTTTTTATCGATTCTTGGGTTTCGATGTGGATTTGACAGACGTTACTACGGTCGTTGTTTCCTCGCCGACAGATCTTCATAACGTCTCAAGGTTGATTATTTTGGTGAAAATGTTTCGGAAAATGTTTTATCTCCCGCCTAACGCGTTTGTGGTGACTTGGGCCATGAATATTCCACATTTGGGTGAGAGAGAGCGTGCGATGAGGAGGGAGATGGCTCGCCATCTGCTGTATACTTGAGAACAAATGACTCTACATCGACATGAACCTCTTTAATATCTCGCCAACCTCCATGTGCCCGTGTTTAATAGCCAAGTCGTACGCCGTATCCCCGTCGTCACCACCAATCGGCTTGGTCTTCTTGAATAAGCCACAGTCTCTTCGAGCTCCGAGGGCTCCTGCAATTTCCAACTTGCCGTCACGAGCCGCCAGTGCAGAGGCGTCAAACCGATACCACTCACCATTCCTGCATCAGTATTCGGATGAGGAAGGAAAAGCTGGACCATTCTCAAGTCTCCCTGCGACAAAGCTTCAAAGAGGGTACACCAACAGCACTCCCCGTCCCCGTCCCCGTCCCCCTCGACGTTTACTTCATGTTCCAAATCATGCTAGCAAGCTTTTTGCTGCTACCCATCACGGCTAGGTGCAAGGCCGTACCCTCCTTCATCACCTTGGAAACGTTGCGTTTCCAGTCCATACGGGATATTATCACTAGCGCCGCTTCCTCAAGGCCGTATTTCAAGGGCCTGTATAGGGGACAGCCGAATTCATGGTATGTAATGGCCGTATCAGGTTTGACCCAGTCAAGAGGCAGCTGAATCGTTGCCATCCGCTCGTGGCCAGCTGCGTATACCAACGGCGTTCCTCCAGCAATGTCTTGGGAATTTAAATCAGCACCTGATTCGAGGAGAAGCTTGCAAATCTCCGAATTCCCGAGTGACGCTGCGTAATGGAGAGGCGTGTGGCCATACATGGCCCTTAGGGTGGGGTCTGCACGATATATTGACACGGGCTGTCTGAACCTCTTTAGTGCTAAATTTTTCTATACGACATCGCCGTCTAAGCCAGCATGGTGTTGACAACAAACATCAACAAACATCAAAAAAAACACCATTCTTCGACAGCTACGATATCAAAGACAAGCTTTTATAGATTTTTGTGCAAGAACTGTGCTTCTCTTTATTTTTTTCATGAAATACTTTGTCAACTCGCCAGTGTTTAACGAGCTACGGACAAAACCACCAGCCCCCTTAAATACCCTAAATCTCAAAGTGCCAAATCCCATCCCACATCACGACATGCGTGCTGCTATTTGCGACTCTTGTACCGGCTCGCCTGGCTAGGAACGCAGATATCCGCCGCCAACCTAGACTGGCACTGTGTTCCCGGGACGGGCGAGGTGGCTGAGACGTACTACGAGGTCTGGGGACGGCTGGATGCTCGTGATGAACGGCGCTAGAAAGTTCGCCGTCACGAGCAGCCTGTGCACCTGATCTATTGTGCATAACCTGCTAAAGATCACCGAGGCCACCGTTCCCGGTGGCATCCTTATCATCGACGGCCACTTCGACGAGGCCTAGGACGCCTGCGTGCTGCCCTAATTCACCCAGACCCCCGCCCGGGTGAAGCGGGTTCAGTTTGCCCTCAGCTCGCACATGCCCCAGCTCGAGGAGACGGAGAAGTTTGTGAGGACCCTGGGTAGCTTTTTAGTAACCCATTGCTGAGTGCCAGTGGGACACATGCCCCTCGTTGACAACAATTTAGCCGAAGGAATGGCCATCCTTCAGGTCATTTTGACCATTCGAAAAGAGCTACGAAACTGCAATGCTCGCGCCCTTTGCCTCGGACACGAACTCGCATCGGCCAAGGTCACCGTGTTTTCGGATTTGACAGTGAATGAGATTTCTGAGTTGCCCCCTCTGACCCACCCTGCATGGAATTTCCTCTTTCTATTGTTATCCTATTCTGCGAGTAAAACGAGGAGTACTAGTGCTGACATGGTCGCAACGGCCACAGTTGAGATAGACAATAGACAGAAGAATAGTAGAGGGAGTCTGGCCGCGAAAGATGCAGTGCATTCATGTTTATGCCCCGCCTCCAGGCCCGACTGCCAGGCCCTACCACGTAAAGGTAGCTAGCTATTGTGACTGCATGATCAGACCAAATTACAGAGTTTACGTTACTGTTTACCGGTTTGCCTGAGGAAAGCTAGGCGGTATGCCAAGACCGCGTACTGCTGCTGTAATACGAGGCGAATGCTTCTCACGTTGGTCCATAAATATTCGTCCCGGGCTTCCCTCTGAGAAAATTTTCTTTCCATAAGCACTGAGATCATAAAGCTGTTTCTCAAGGTACGTCGTCACGCCCTTCGCCGCCTCGCCGGCGCCGTTCTTCGATATGCATTACGCATTACGCCAGTAACATCATGAACATCACGCACTTCACCAGTCGATGTCCTATGCTTCCTTTTCCTTCATGTTTTGGCCGCTTGATTCCCTGATCTAGCGCCTTGGACCGAGCATCTCCCCTCTCTTGTTCAAATTTTCAGAAATCCTTTCACCTCACGCCCCACGACGAGATACTCTTTTAGCCTGTCTCTCTCCATTTCTCAGCTGTGAGCTGGGTCTGCGTCCCGAGCGCGTGCTTGTGGCTTCCTGGCCTCAAGGCATCGTTCGGGAATGCAGCTCCAGTGCTCGATCACGAAAACACCATGGCCTCTGTACCGTGGCATCGTGGATTCTCCGCATCTGGGCTTCAAATCTTACGACCACTTCTCCTGCCCAAAACTACTCCCATCTTCAACAAATACCCGTTCATGGAAAATCGTCACTGAACCTTTTCTCCGAGTGCACCTCGCCCTACACCCCACCACAAAACTGGTCGGCCTACCTTGAAACCGGATTTATACTCTGGGTCCTACAAAATGCCCCCCCCCCCCCCCCCTGGTCGAGAATGGTTATTAACACTACTGGGTTTATTAATTAGTCATTTCGCGCTTGGTTTTCCCTCCCTCACAGCAAGGTGAGAATTCGCGCCCGGCCCCCCCCTCCCGGGGCAAATTCATGCTATTCAAAAACAAAGCGGTTCAAAACAATGTTAGCTAGCAGATAACTAACTTGCCGTTTGGTGATAGAGCTACTAGTCTACAGCCCTCCCAACTTCTCGGATACCGCACTTTTGCGGTTGCAACAAGTGTTTGGCTCTATCATAAGTATGAGTCTGCCCCAAGTCATACATACCCTCTCCCGGCGTTTACCCAAGTTTTCGGGCCTCGCCGCGTAAGCATCGTCCCGAAGAACCGTCTCAACTTTTGTCACCACCGGGCCAAACAACACCTCCCTTCACCGAAACCACCTCACTGGCACCCGGCCAACTGCCTGCAAAAAAACGGGGTGTGCAAGCAAGCTGTTAAACAAGCTGGAATAGTGGCTGGAACTTCACACGCCATCAAAAAAGGGGTGTGCAAGCAAGCTGTTAAACAGGCCGTAAGACTGGCTGGAATTGCACACTCTTTTTTTTTTGCTGGCAGTTGCTGGCAGTTGCTGGCGTAGCAACCGCCGCCGCCGCCGCCGCCGCCTACCAGCCGCCACAGCAACATGTCTATCAACAGGCACAACGACAGTCGCATACGTGTCAGCACAGCTAACTAGTTTGTTTTGTTGGTTTAGAAAATGTCGACGGGCAAGAAAGGGTTCGCGTCGGCCGCTGCCGCGCTTGTTGATATGCAGGCCGGCTTTGACGAGCTGGAGAGGAAGGTCGCCGCCCTGGAAGGGGCAAGACAGCGCAGGCGGCGGCCGGCGCGGGCCTGGCCAAGGCCCAGAACCAGCTGGAGAAACTGGAGAAGGCCCAGAAGAAGCAGGGCGAGGAGCAGGAGAAGTTCGGCAACGAGCAGAGCCTCCTGACCAAGGAGCACTTCCAGCTAGAAGTGCGGCACGAGGGTCTGCGCAAGGAGCAGAAGAAGCTAGAAGCAGTCGTGGCAGAGCTGCGCGAGCAGCACCAGAACCTGTACCTCCGCGTGAATACGCTGAGGGATGCCGAGATCAGGCAGCGCTCGAGAAGGCCCGCGGTGAGCACGAGACGCACATGGCGTCGCTCGAGCGCCACCGCGTCAAGCAGTGGCAGATGATCGAGGAGCTAGTCGAAGCTCGCAACATGGACCACTTCCTCTTGAAGGAGCTCATCGGCCGCATCGGCAAGCTCGAGCGGAGCCGGCCCAAGCAGGGCGGCGAAGACGACGATGACGACATGCCTCGCAAGAGGCAGAAGATGACCGCGACCGGCAACGGCAAAGCCCCCACCGCTGCTTCTGCTGCTGCCACCACCACCAACCCCGTCGGCGGCCTCTCTAGAGCTGCGGCTCCTTCCTCGACCGCTGCTCCCCCGGTCGTTGCCTCTGCCTCCTCTTCCGCCTCCGCCTCCGCCTGATTAAAATCAAGGGCATCGTGCAAGATATCTGTTTCGACGTCGAGCCTGAGTCAGGCCATCTAACATGTCTCCGCCATCATCTGAAAGGAATGTTTTCTGAATCTGCAGATTCTATGCGTCGGACGTTTTCAACCAGACAATCGGTCCAGCTCGACGCTTCGTGAGACGGCACTTCTCCACTGTCTGCCCGCACATTTCGCTGCTTGCTCCTTGGCCGTAAATACCACGGAGAACGTAGAGACATGAAGGAAATCCTCGGGCCCCTAATTCCTGGCAAACAATCGGCATTGATTGGATACCTTGTTCTCGAGGCTGCCGGGGACGGACCAGTGCAGTGTTACCGCCGAATTGGATGGGCTAAGGTGGTGTAAATGGACTAGGGTGCGCTGCTGCGAACAAAAAGGACTACAGTCTAGATTGTGTAACCTGGTAGGAGCTTGACAAGTCTCTGTCACTAGCTCACCAACTGAGGCATGGCGGCCCGATGCTCTCGTTGTCGGCACTATTTCTGACGCCGGCCGCACTCGCCCTCGGACTCGCCACCACCGCTTCGCAAATCCACTTGCATCTAATAATTAGATTTGCGTTCTGGGCCATTCTGCATGTCCCGAAGACCTGGATACCTGTGCCAGCCACCGCTTACCTCCAAGGTGGAGGAATGGCACAAACGCCAGTGCCCAGGCCTCCTCGATGCTTAAGCTATGCAGCGCATGCAGCGCCCGATCCCCAGTCTGGATAGGTCGAGCCAAAAAAACAAAGAGACTATGCCACGCGACTGGTGCCAAGATCCGGGGTTAGCCCTTCTTTGCATGACACGCGCGCCACTAGCAATGGTTGGCGCTGTCTTGTCTCGGGAGAAGTTAACCACGCCCCCAGCTCGTGATGTGCCAACCAAGGGAGGATGGGTGGGCCGCACTTCGGCAAAGTGGTATCGGCACTCCTTTCAGCCTTTAATCACTACCGCTCCAGGGTTTGTTCGCTGGCTGGATGAAGTCGGCCGCCAACAGCCGCCTTTTTCCCCCGCTTTTGGCTGGGCCTAGCAATTCGCGTGCCTGCCCCCAATAGGCTGAATCACACCACAGGCGAGTCTTGGCCTTCCAGAGCTAGTCCACCACAGTAGAGGCAGGTAGGCGGCTTCCCCTTTCTCCGCATGGGAACGTTGTTCGCCAAGACCGCCTCCAGTTTGTTTCCTGCGCTATTCGGCCGGCATTTGGGAGGAAGAAATAGATAGACGACATTAACCAAGCCAAACCGAGCTGATCAATGTCGTTCTGACCCGCAGCCCACGTGCAGATACAGTTGTTAAAGGGCCATGGACCCCGGACGGACGCGGTTGCAATTACTCGAGAAGTATCCCATCCGGCCAATTCCTCGTTTGCATCTCAACCCCGTAGAAGCACGCAGACCTAAGCGGTACCTGGGGCACCAACCGCTGCCCAGTGGATTTAACGACACGCCGAAAGAGAGCCCACGGCCACACTCGCGATGGCAAACGGCGAGAAATGGACTGACCACTGGCGGTGTTTTGTGGCCTGTGGCATACTAGTCCTGTCTCCCTTCCAGTATGGCGTGGATTTCGGTCTCATTGGCGGCTTGCAGGCCATGGTGGGCTTTCTCAAGGTACGTAAACATGTCAACAAGGCTCACGAGAGAAGGAAAACACAGCAGTGGTGCTGATTACCCTTTTCAATTTGCGTTCAGATCTTTGGCTACCAAGCCCCAAATACGGCTCTCGGCTGGAATCTCGACACGATGCGGCAGCAGCTCATATCGTCGCTCATGACGCTCGGCGCCTTCATTAGCTCGGGGACAGCCGGCTTCGCCGCCATCAAGCTCGGCCGCAAGGGGTGTCTTTGGGTCGCCTGCGGGCTCTGTGTCGTTTCCAACGTCATCATGATGGCCACGGAGAATATAGGGGCCCTGTATGCCGGCCGCTTCCTCATCGGGCTCGCCAACGGCTACTTCATGACCTTTTCGCAGCTGTACATCCAAGAGAGCAGCCCAGCCAGGTATCGCGGCCTGTTCCTCACGGCTTTCCAGTTCTTTACCTCGTTTGTGAGTTTACCCCCGCCCAGGCTCGGTGGAAACGCGGGTGGCGATGGCTGACAGTATGCGGCTTCCAGGGCACCCTCATCGGTACCATAATCGACTGGGCAACGGCCAAGCGGCCCGATAAGTCGGCGTATCTGATCCCGCTCGGCATGATCTACATCATCCCCGTGTTCCTGTCGGTTGCCATGATGTTCATTCCCGAGTCGCCGCGCTGGCTCATCAACAAGGGCCGGTACGAGGAGGGCCGCAAGGCGCTGGAATGGCTGCGACCTAAAGGTGCACTCGTCAACGACGAGGCCGCCGAGATACAGGCGGCCATTGAGACAGAGAAGGAGCTCGGTAGCAGCGTCACGGCGCTCGATATGTTTAGGAACCCCAGCGACAGGCGACGCACTCTTCTGGCTGTCTGCGCCGTCACACTGCAGGCCGCGTCGGGTTCCATGTTCATCATCGGTAGGTTGCTTTCCAGCACCCAATGCCGACTGGTCCTGACACAAGCGAAACAGCATACAAGGCATACTTCCTGGGCATGTCCAAGGTGCAGGACCCGTTCGCCATGAGCAACGTGCTGAGCACCATGGGCATCCTGGCCATCTTCCTCAACTCGCTGATCGTCGTTCGCTACGGTCGCCGCCGCGTCATCCTCATGATAGGCCTTGGCGTGTGCGGCATCCTGCAGCTGATCATCGCCGTCACGTACGACAAGCGGCCGGGCGAGACGTCGACAGGCACCGTCCTCGTCGCCCTGACCTGTCTGTACATGATGAGCTACAACGTGAGAGGCACCCCGACCGACTTGACGCGGTGATTTCAATGCTGACATGAGATGTTGACAGGGCATGATCTCGACCTACGCGTGGCTGGCCGGCGGCGAGATGCCGTCGCAGCGCCTGCGCAGCTACACGTTTGGTCTGGCCGCCGCCGCCGGCTTCTTCTTTGCTTGGCTGACCACGTTCACGGCGCCCTACTTCATCAACCCGCAGTCGCTCAACTGGGGCCCGCGCTACGGGTACATTTGGTTCCCGTCGTGCATCGTGGCCGGCGTCTGGGTCTTCTTCTTCCTCCCCGAGACCAAGGGCCGGACGCTCGAGGAGATTGACGAGATGGTGCGTTATTTCCCTCCTCGGACTAGTGGCGCGACTTTTTGTCGCCAAGTCGAACCCGGTGCCATGGCTAACTGAAATCGTTTTTCGTAATCTAGTTCGAGGCCAAGCTATCCGCGCGCAAGTTCCGGAAACACATCTGCGTCGGCCACGTCCCCGTCGACCCCAAGATCCTCAACGAGGACCTGCGAGTGTCGTCCGAGCACGAAAAGGTATGCGTGAACCCTCCCAGCTCCGAGTTGCTTTTGGGCCATGGGCCATGTATTGAAGGCTGACTTGGATCTGTGGCAGTCTCGCGCCGACGTCCAGCATGCCGAGCTTGAAGCCAAGGCTTAATTCACGACGAGAGTGGAATGGACGGTGCAATGTATACCATACCGTTGATAGATTGCTGCTGGTTCCGCGCGATGGTATACTTCGACTATCAAAGCATGTATAATCACAACCAAAATATGATGTTTAAGTTTATTTAATTTAGATCTCTTAGGTGGGCGCGAGCTCGGCATCTTTCGCCGTTCAATATCCCTCACTTCGAAGAGGCATTACACTATTACAGAGCGACAACAGGCCTCGACACGGGCGATCCTGCTCCTCCCGATGACTCTGCCGTCCAAGGCGGTCCAGTAGAGGATACCGGAGCAATTTATAGCGTCAGGATTGGGATCCGGCACTTCTCGAATGGGCGACTGAGGTAGAACACCACGTGGTACTACGTAGTGCTTTATGTAAACCTGAGAACTAATTAGTCCAGGAACGAAGAGAGGGGGAGGTGATTTGAAGCCGTAGTATAGAGTTAGTTCGTAATAATTGCATCGACGATTTTCTTGCCGGGGTTCCAAAAGCCCGCCCCTGGCTCATCCCTGAGCACCTCATGGCCCTTGCTTACTACGCATGTATCGTAGGGGTCGCAGAACCTTCAACCAGGCGCTCTGATTCCGCAGAGGGCCCATCATATATGAACAGTATTTGTCAGATAGCCTATCCATTATATCAAGCGGCAAGTCACGGATTACTTCCGCTTGAATAGCATCATGGAGGCAGCCACGGACAGCGGGATAGCATCCGTCACCCATGACACGCTCGAACGAGAGAGCCATCCGCTCCCACGCAGCTTACTCGCTCAGGCCAGCCGAACCGCGTAGAAACTAGTCGAAATCAAGTAAATATAAACCATACGTAGGACCTAAACACTTATCAGCGCCCAAGCGGAGAATTTAGCTACGCCAGAGCAGAGCCGTGACAACCAAGACCTTGAGCTCCGAGCTCCGTGACTCGAGCATCATTCTCGCTAGAGTGTGTTGGGAGAAACTCTCGCCCTCCCGTAAGACCAGCCAGCTACGTAGCCCCGGCAGACCAAGAGAAAGGTCCGCGCCGTTTCGGAGCGAGTCGGGAGACACAGCACCTACGCCTCTGAAAAAGGGTTGGAAACCCCCGGCCTTAAGAGCCCCGGCAGGCCGTTGTATGAGGCCATCTACTTGCGCTCCAGGTGGACATGGCGGATACGGCAAACAAGCTTGGTCGCTCAGCTCTATTCTCTCCGAGCCGCTCTCTGGAGTGAAAAGGTTTCCAACCCCAACCAAGCTGCGGGGGATACTTCACGAGTTTGAGAGGCCAAAAAGCGCCGCGGCGGCTGGATTCGATTCCTCAGGCTTCTCGTTTTCTCACTTCCCCATCTGAGCATGTCGTTGTGATAACTAATCATTAAGCTTCAAGCCCACTCCCTCCGAGGAACCGCAGCGTCATTTCTGCTCGCTGCCGAGAAGCTCACGAAGATGGGTGACTGACTTGTAGATGCTCGCCTTGGGCTAAGCATATCGTTGGTGGAACCTGGTTTCAAAAGTGAAATAGCTTGGCATCTGACTCTGGCGCTTCGAACCCCGACAGAGAGAATTGCAATGTCATCTGGCTCTGCTCACCAGGCAGCGGGGAAAATAGCAGGCCCATGTGCCTACGTTTGACGAGTCCGGCCTGGATTTAGCCGAGCAAGATCTGGGGCTGCTTTACATCCGCGTCCCTATCGTGATGATTAGGGCAAAGCAGGACGAGAATGGGGCTCAGACGCCGTTCAAGGCCCCTGATAGGTTTCCTCGTGCTTGGTTACTTGTAGTCTATTTGTGAAATTGGATGCGGGACAGCTGCGCCATGGAGCTAGTACCGGCATGCTGCTGTTTGTGGATAATCATGCTCAGTTGTAATACCAATAGCCGAAGCTCGTTGACGACTTATAGCAAATCACGGAGTTAGTGGCTTCATGATAATTGTGATCCAAGAAATTGCGATCCAAGAAATTGCGATCCAAGATATGAAGGCAATCACAAAGTTAACCCGTTCTACAGCCACATTAGGATTCTAATTAGGTCTGTGGCTGTTAATTATAACTGAAGCAGTTGCCATAAAGCTCTAGCTATCTTGCTCTGCGTGTGTTAGAAACAGCTCACAGATGTGGTTTCGAGCAGTTCTCCCATTAAAGCAGAACCCTGTCTATCCATCAAGGTCTCCCGTCAAACCCCAGACCACCTTGCTGTACACCAATGAATACCGTAGATCTGTCTATTGGCAGGCTCTTTTGAACCCTCCCAATAGCCACCCTCGAGTTTCAAGACCTGTTGATGGTCAAAGATACGTTGCGGAAAAGGTGTTCAAAATACAGACTTATCACCAACAAGGCGTGGCTTTACAGCCCTACTCACTCATAGCCACTACCGAGTTCAAGAGTTCAAGGCAAGGTACGAACTCAGTTCCCTTGTTTAGTGATTAGCCCCTAGGCATGGTTGCAACGTGACCAACCGCAAGGAGGGAACAGCTGTGTCCGCACCTGCGGGCAACCCTGGCAACGAGACAGGCAAGGCAACACAAGCCAATAATTACCGAGCCGGGAGGGAAGGGAAGGGAAGGGTGGGGACCCTGCAGTGCTGATCCGGGCGGTATCATCCGAAATCAAGGCCAGGTCCAAATCAAGTCCCATCTTCCGGGCGACAGAGTCACAGCATAGCAGAATATCGAGATAGCCGCCATCTGTTCGTACAGCATGTGCAGATACGTACAGTACACTGCCGGCACCGGGATGTCGCGTCGAGGGAGATCCCCGGCACGAACGCAACAAGGCTGCATCCCACCCAGTCCTAGGCGAGTGCGTCTGTCTCCGATGTGAGGCAGCGAGAGCCTGAACCTCAACAATTGGGCCACAGGCTAGCTGGCCGCTGCTGGTCTCGCCGACGCCGATATCATCGCTCATTATTGATGCCACGCGCGCGGGAAGAAGAGGTCCATGCCCCGACGCCGCAGATAATATAATAATATTGCCGTGTGGGCTGACGGCGAGCAAGATTTCAAGTCAACAACAAAAGGAAAGCACGAAAAGCAAACCACGTTCATAATTTACACGGTAACAAGGCACAGCGATAAGGCATGAATTTCGTTGTCGTGCTCGCCGCTCGGCTCAGCGACATTGGGCGTGGCTGGCTGTGCGCCACGCAAGTCACGCCAGCTGTTCCGCAGGCGGTGGGCGAATATCTGTGATCGAATAGCAGCAGCATAGATATAGATAGTGCATAGATTCCCTACCAAAACCCAATCAGCACCGCCTTGTCTCTAACCGACGGAGTTGTTGCTCCGAGTCTTGAGACATTTATCAGCGGAACCAGAAAAGACTGCCGAGCAGAGGCTACGATTAGCGACGGCCGGTTTTCTAGTCAGTCTGACATCAAGTCTAGCCCGCCCGTCATCAACATCACACCCTTACCTGGTGTGAGCGGCAGCATCCGCGCGACGGGAGCGCTTTGCCTCGCCGTAGTGTAATCAGAGGTCATGGAAGGAGGGAGAAGTTTGGTTGCACGACTCGATAGCGCTCTGGATTGGCCGGTAGGCGCTTTTTGGCTTAGGTTGAGTAGACTTGTCTAAGGGATTTTCATGTTTTGCTCTGGGACTGGTAAGGCACCCACAGTGGCTTGACAGCAAAGGTGGGGGCGGCGTCGGAGGCGATCTAGATTGGATGAATGACGCAGAGCTGACGAGTCGGAACTGCAGAATATTGAGAGTGGCAGCGCCTGGCGCACGATAGAGAGCTGAAACGCGGCAGGCACTGCATGCGAGAGCAACTCAGCATCCCACGCATCGAGCCCTACGACGATATTGGCTATTCTCGGAGCACGCTGGTGTTGATATCAACAACTTTCGGACCGCCAAAAACAGGCATGAAAAAACAGCTCCGCTTATGCACCGGGAGAATTGTTTAGACCAGAAGTATCCGGAACTGAGCTGTCGTCGACGCAGTTTAGCGTTCGGCATGGCTGCGAGAAAGATATGCAACGTAAAGAGCGTGCAGCAGCAGAGAAGAGCGATTGGCCGTATAAATCTCGGTGTTCTGTCTAGAAGCATAGGCGTGCCGAGGTTGGGGGGTTGGAGCAGCCTAGCCAGTCGGAAGCCGGAACAGACTGGCCGACAGAGATAGCGCTGCACGTAGCGCTGCGGTCTAGACCACGGAGGATTGTGCCGATATCTTTGAGGCTTGAGCTCGACATCGTCGTCATCGCTGACAGATCAGAAGTTGCCCGACGTGCGTTTGCACGCTGAACACAACTCCAAAGACTTTATCGGGATACATCGGAACGACAAAAACCACTTGGCTCTGTAGTACTACTTGCAGGAGAGATAATGCATGTAGCTGGTGTGCTCTAGGCTGACCTCGAGGCTCACAGGTATGGCAGGATCCAGGCCCTCAACAACCGATGAGCGAAACAAGCAGTCGGCCGCCATCTGTGCCGTGAGACAATACCATACCATTGCGATTTGTGGGCCCCCACCCTCACGACGGGGCATATCCATGATGGGCAAACGGGCGGTGGCATTATCGGCGCCTGGATCGTATCTTGCACCTGTCCGGGCACTCTGCAAGCTTACCTCACTGGAGTTTGGGTACACAGCATCCAGGCAAGCCAGCAAACCAGCGGCGGGAGCCGCACTGGCAGGTTCTGGATCCAGCCCGAAAGGTCTTGCAACATGGCCACCATGTGTATACAGAAATATAGAAGGTGGAAGCGAGGGACGTGGGGCCCTTGAAGGGGCAGGAGATAGAGCCTGCTGAGCAAGAGCCTGGGCCTGAGCCTGTGCCTGCTGCTGCTGCTACCTTGCATAAGATAGTAGCGGCGAACGGAAAGCTTTCTGTTTGCTTCCCGAGACAACAGAGAGGATCCCAGGTAAAGGCAGGGCGTACATCGGCGTTGTAGTGAGGAGGCAGGCAGGCAGGCAGGCAGGCAAGCATCGGGCAAAGAGCTGGCCGCAAGGCAAGCCCGACACACGGCATCCGCGTGTTTGGCTCTTTCTTGTTGGTGAGGCTCGCGAACCGTGCTTTCAGAATTGTTCAGCCTTCCTTCCGAAGCCGGTAAAGACTTTCTAGCGGGCAATCTGAGAGAGGTCGTCAATTTTAGCCTTTATTTCCGCGGATCCAACCCCCTAGGGCGTGTTGGTTGTTCCCAATGAGGGAAGGGGCTCGCCGTCCCCACAAGTTGCAACCGCACTACACTACAGTGGCAAGCCGGGAGATAGCCGAGTATTGTCCTTCGGAATGGTTGCAATAACATGTTGGGCGCAAACACAATCACGGCTATCCGGCTCCCGGCTTCCGGCTCCCGGATTCTCTGTGTTGTCCAATGTCGTGTACTGACTCGAGTGTATGTAGCATCGGGGAAGGACAGCCGCAGCTGTGGCCCAAGACTGCATACCTTCGTCCCATGGAAACGCTTCAATGGGTCTGGGCGGCCCAAGCAGCAGGCGCTTGCCTTCGCAAGAGTGAGAGGGGAGAGAAGAGAGAGGGGAGAAAGAGGAATGTAGTGCGATGAAGGTGTGTTTCGATCATGCCTCTTCCAACTAGGAACTTGGAACGTTAACCTGGAGCCTGTAACTTTTGGCTTGGAAGCGTGGAATTTGGATTGCAGACTGCAAATTGCGAATCGGGGATTGCTAGGTGTACTTGCAGGTCGAGCTCGCCCCCGATGGCGTCGCGGTTCTGCCATCGGCGCCTTTGGAAGAATGCTATTGCAAACCAAGGCGTTGATTTCCTCATCAAACGCGCCCGAAAAAGGGGTGAGTGTCTGTTGCTGTGGTCGGCGCCCATCGATGCTTGCGATGTTCATACGAGAAGTGAACGGCGCTAACTGGGACAGGAGGTGCTCGAGACACCCGCAGTGGAAGAAATGTGGAGATTACCAAATACGTAATACGTAACAGAGGGCCAGCAGCAGAGCCCTTGCCGGCCGGAAATCGAGTGGAGGGCACACCGGCTTCAGGGGGTGAGTCTTCCTTCCTCAACAGGTTAAAGGAGATTTGAGAAGTCTAGCCTGCTACGGCAGGCACCTCCCGCTCTAACGAGAACAACAGCCTCCTTTGGCTAGACGCTGGGAGCAGCTGCAGGTACGCCTCAGGACACCACGGCGGGAAGATCCAGGGCGAACAGGGGCCGCAACGCCACAAAAAGGTGGGTCCCGTCTCTTACTGCTTTTCGCTCGGGGACATTTGAGCCCTGAAAATCTGCCAAGGCCAGCATCGCGGGGAGAGGAACCCACAGCGGGCTAGACGACCTCTGCCGAGAACTTAGTGCCGGGTGAGAAGGAACTGAAAGCATCGTCCAAAACTCTGTTGACCTGGCTCTGCAAAAGGTTCGACGTACACATATCGCCACGAAGGAGCCGGATTCGTTTTGCTCGTGCGCATCCATACAACAGCGTCCGAACACCTATGAGCATCTCGGGCAGCTTGCTTGCTAGAGGCGAGCAGCACACGCGACGACGGCCTGCGCGCAAAAGGCATGGAAGGGAAAAGAGGGCAAGTGCACACCCGATCGAGACGTGGCTGCTGCGAACGGTGCAGCGCTTCTCGTATCAAGGCCGACTTTGCCCAGCACAGCACAACACAGCACAGCACAGCACAGTGCCACAGAGTGACCAAACGCTTATGCTCATTGGCACGGCGCCCTGGTGGAAATTCGGTGTGTGCCATCAGCTGCAAGCCACGACGAGAACGTTTTTCCATTTGCGACAAAAAGCTAAACCGGCCAGCCATCCCAGAAACCTTCGTTGGTTGTTCCAGCCGCGCGATTATTTTGTCTCTGTTTCTCGTCGACTGCCGACACACAGCTAAGAAGGCATTCCATGAATGTCGCCCACGAGATGACGGGTGCAGATCTTCGCCCTCTTGGAGGATCGCCCTTTGAAGATGTCTCAATGGATCTCGGAACTTGGGGCGAGACCCTGGCCTGTTTCTACCGGCACGTTTTCGCCGCTTCTAGATCGATCCTCGTGTCTGCACAGATGTGGAATTGCTAGCCGAGGAATTGCTGGCCGAGGAATTGCTGGCCCAGGTTCAACCCACACGTGCTTTTGTTGTACGTAACAAGCCGCCCGACAGTGTATGTACGCGACTTGAAATTTTCTACTAGACCTATGTAAGGTCCGACTTACGGTGAGCTTGCTAGGGCTGGCAGAAGTCAAACGCCACAGGTGCTCGGCACCCCGTATAGCAACGACACACTGTCCAACGCAACACAAAGCAAAGCACAAGTAGGGGGGTAGGCAAGGGCACAAGCCTTTAAAAAGCACAAGCAACAAGCCACCGCCGCTGTAGGTTCCCAGAACCCGAAAGACACTAAACCCTGTTTGGGTGGAGGCCACTTATAGGCGGTTTTGGCCCTTTGGTCCCAACTCCCGCCGCGCCGGGCCTAGCATTCTGGCCGGTAACACTAGGTTCAATAACGGGAGTGGCCCGGGTAGGTAAACTGTTTCGTGGCGGAGGGGGCATACGGGTGCCAGTGAAGTGTCGATACTGGGCAACAGGAGGAAGTGGGCGGCGAGCTGAGGCACAGTGACACATGGGCCATTCTCAACTCCAAGCTCCATTCCACCCTCTAGCTGTCACGTTCTCCATGCCAATGTCTCCTTGGTGGCCATCCCGTGCTTTGCTTGACGAGTTGCCGACTGTGGCTGCACCCACCAGCAGTTAGTGCCTACCCAGGTCTCAGGAGCGGGCTGTATGTACTGAGGTGACCAGGACGAGAACACACGCTCTCGCTTCACCTATCTGCCATCCAGCTTCGGGTTACTACCGCTGTGTGTGTTCCGAGCACAACGGCTGTCACTCGACACGAGCTATTCCTGGCCCCTCCCCCTGCTATGTCAGTCTTTCTGCTGAAGTCATTACACGGCAGTCCTCCCTGCGCCCGTCCGCTCAAACTCTGCCTTGTTCTGCCACCTCGGTCTACTTTGTTTGTTCCAACCCACAAGTCCTCTCGTGCTTGTGATCCTCCCAGGCCGGCCCGGGACTGCTGCCGTCATCCACAGCCCCCCGTACTCGCCGTGTGCGGCTCAAGAGCTGCCGACGGTGACCTCTCACAGCTTCCAAGCTCCCTCGGCCTCGATCGATCTGACAGCTACCATGGACGGCGAGCAATCATATTCACCCCAGGGGGGCTACTACGGCCGCCCCAACGCCGGCATGTCCTCCGCCGCCTCGACTGCAGTCACCACGCCCCAAGTCGCAACCCCCCAGCGCCCCGGCACGCCCAACGACTCGCTCGGCCGCAACCCCTTCAGCGACGGCGTCGAGTCCCAGGCGTCGAACCGGACGGGCAACGGCGGCGGCAACCCCTTTGCCAGCCCCTCGGGATCGCGGCCGCCGAGCAGCTTCGACTCGTCGTCGGCCTCGGCAGCCCGCTACGAGGACCGCTCCGGGCGCTACTTCCACTCGCGCCGCGTGCCCAAGGGCGACATCGAGAAGCCGTGGGCCAAGCACGCCGACCCCAAGGAGAAATGGGTCACCATCATCCCCGTCATCGGCATCTTCGTCGGCCTGGCCATCTCGGGCTTTTTGGTCTGGGACGGCATTAGGAGCGTCATCAAGCACAACTACTGCCTGGTCCTGGCCGAGGACTTCCGCAACGGGCTCGACAAGTCCATCTGGCAAAAGGAGGTGCAGGTTGGCGGCTTCGGGTGGGTTTGTCCAGTGTTGTGCCACATCTAGTCTGAGCGCAGCTAGCTAATCCCAACCAAATACAAAAAAACAGGAACGGCGAGTTTGAGCAGACCACCGGGGGCAACGACAACGTCAACACGGACGGCGGCAGCCTCGTCATCAAGGCGACGCTGCAGGATGACAGCCTCATGCAGCAGGCGTACACCATCGACCTGCTCAAGGACGGCACCTGCACATCGACATCGCCCGCGGACTGCATCGCCGTGACCAACATCACGGCCGGCAACTCGAGCATCGTCCCCCCAGTGCTGTCGGGGCGCATCAACACCAAGCCCGGCGCGCACATCAAGTACGGGCGCGTCGAGATCACAGCCAAGCTGCCCGTCGGCGACTGGCTGTGGCCGGCCATCTGGATGATGCCGGTGGCCGACACGTACGGGCCGTGGCCGGCGTCGGGCGAGATCGACATCGTCGAGAGCCGCGGCAACGACCACTGGCACCCGCAGGGCGGCAACAACATCGCCTCCTCGGCCCTCCACTGGGGCCCGAACCCGGCCAACGACGGCTGGTGGCGCACCAACGTCAAGCGGTCGGCGCTGCACACGACGTACGCGGCCGGCTTCCACACGTTCGGGCTCGAGTGGTCGCAGAAGTACCTGTTCACATACATCGACTCGCGCCTGCTGCAGGTGCTGTACGTCAACTTCGACACGCCCATGTGGGACCGCGGCAATTTTCCCGTCGTCAACAGCAACGGCACCCGCCTCGAGAACATCTGGCGCAACACCACCCGCCTCAACACCCCCTTTGACGAGCCGTTCTACCTGATTCTTAATCTTGCCGTCGGCGGGACGAATGGCTGGTTCGAGGACAACGTGGCCGGTAAGCCCTGGCTCGACGGCTCGCCTAATGCGAAGAAGGACTTTTGGCAGGCCAAGAATAAGTGGTTCCCTACGTGGTCGCAGCCCCAGCTCGAGGTTTCCAAGGTCATGATGTGGCAGCAGTGCGACGGCAACGAGGATCTATGAGTCTCTTACGCTTTCTGTCTTGGCCGTATGTAATGCTTTTGTTTTGAGGTCTCTTGTTATTTCAGGGGGGGGGGGGGGCTATAGATTGGTTTCGGAAAGTAGTTTTATTTTCTCTCTCCTTATCTTGGTCTTTGTCTAGGCACCCGGAGCTTGGGTCTATCAGGTCTTGGGTAATTGTATCAGGGCTACCAAATCTGTTCAACAACGAAGGAGGGATTGACGGGCGCTAGTAGTTGTTCTGTCTCTACATCTGCGAAACCGCCATCACTATTCCGCCCCTTCACGGGGGCGTTTTATATATAGAACCAGATACCTCGTACGAGTTTTAATTCATCGCTCCATTCTCTATGGTAGCTACCTTACCTGCCTACCGAAGAAGATGACCTGCAGACGGCAATGGTTACTTGTCCTAATTGTATTACGCCGTGATAACGACTCTCGCGACAACTGCAACGATGTGCCGTTACGCTAGCAGACAAAACAGATATCTATGCCTGGATATCTGGCAATAGCAACTATGGTCGCAATCCCCACCACCGCACCAACTCTCGCGGATGGTTGCGGGCAATAACCTTCTCTCAGACCGACCCGAAAGCATCCGGGTCTTCCCGGACTGGTGGCGAACACCTTGTTGCAGAGCAAAGAGACAGTGACATCCACTTGTATTGCCAGAGGAATGCGGCTCTCCATCTCAAAGCAAGCTATACGCCAGCCGCATCGTCGAATGTTTGCTGCTCCGATTCTGCGCAGCAAGATCAGGGCCTAGATGCATGACTCATCACCAAAGAAGAGTCTATGGCGGTGAAAAGGGGGGGTGGTACAGAAAATGCGACTCTTGTTCTAGGCCTCGACTATCTTGGCTATGCGTGCGTGTGTGTCTTCCCCCTCTTCTCTCCTCATGATCAAAAATTCCACCCAGTCAGCAGAAAGGTGGCCGACGCCACTTCGGCGTGATGCCGATAGGTCCCAGCCTTCTTATCTGGGCCTCTCCTCCTTGTTTGTTCTCTTGCCCGGGCTGCTCCCTTTTATCCCTCTCCGCCGCCTGTTCCATCTATTCCATCTATTCCATCTGTTCCATCTCGGGACTTGACTGGGTCGGCTTCGTTCCATACAGGAGAGCAGGGCCGATGATGTCCAACAGCAGAGCAGCGGCTTGATGATGGCGTGCCCGGCTACTCCTTGCTGCTGTTCTGTGTGAGAAGGGAAAAGGGGAAGAGGCATTTTATCACTCGTCGACCCTCTTTGCCTTTCTTTTCTTACCTCTCATGATTTCCTACACGACAACAAGTCCCCAACGAACCCAACCCTGCGATCCGACAGCCATAAACAGGAACACAGGCTTGAAGAAACCTCTTCAGTCTGTGCTCGTGCAACCAGACCGCGAGACTTGCTACGCATGGCTTCACCCCAAAGGTCTGAGCGACGCTCTTTAATACGAAGACTTCGCCAGCCAAAGCGAGGGCCGAGACCCAGTCGTGCCGTCTTGTCCCTCCCTCCCCCTCTGCCTGTGCCGCAGTCCATGCCACGTGTTGGGCCTCTCGTCAAGGTCCGAGGCTGTAGCACTGCGGCGCTGCTTCCCGGTGCGGGAGGGAAGGAAGGAAGCGAACACAGGGTAAACAACGCCGTCCTCTTTTCCCCCTTGTTTCAGGTGCTTGTGCTTGTTTGTCCAAGATGTCCGAGCATGCTCGCGGCTGGGCATGTGTTTGTTTCTCTTTAATTATTTCAGCATACGTACACGCACAGCGGAGAACAAACACACAGCCTCGGGAGCTCGGCAGAGAAAGTCGCAGGTTGACACCGCAAGCCAAGCAATGCCGTGACGAGGTGGGCAAGGTTTCGCGGCACGAGCGAGAAGCTCTGGCCTACTGCGGCGTCAAAGATGGCCCGGCGGCGGCGCTGTGGACAAGACCGAGTTGTGCAGTGCCGGCGGCCATAGTACAGACGACATTCGTCGTCTGTGCACTGCCATCACCCGCCCCAGGCTTCCTGGCCTCCCGCCTGGCCGATTCGAGATACGGGGCCGACTTGGTTGTCTTTTTGGGACGGTGGTCCCGTGTTTTATTTACTAATTTGCGCGAAACTGGCAGGGGCGATTCTAGACCCGACTACGGAAGCCATGGTCCACCAGAAAAAAAGAGATCCGAGCTACGCGCGCCTGCAAATGCGAGTATCCTGTGCAGAAAAAAGCTCCTTAGAGAAGAAATAATGCAAGAAAGAAGCGTCTTTTTTGTTTGCGGGGAGAATTAAGATCATGCAGCGATGGCGGCGCAGTTTCTCTCGAGACTAATCGACTAACCATCCAATAACAACAACGACGACGACAAACTTTAGATATGCCTCTGAATCGATTGCTCATTTGGCACAGCTTCTCTTTTCCGCCGAAGACCAATGTCAACTACGGCGTGCTTTTCAGTTTTGGCAGACCACGGCGGTTCAAGGGGACTGGATGCCAGCCCCTTTTATCGGCAACACATCAACAAACCCTCGCGCACCCAAGTGTATAGAGTGATGGGCTTGATGCACATGCACCATGTCAAGACTTGCAAAATAATTTTCCTTTCTTGTCTGGGCCGTGCCGCCGGAGCTTATTTCCATTCTTATGACGGTGGATTACTGTTTTGAGTTTCCTTTTTTTTATTTACTTTCTCCATCCTTCTCCTCCTGACAGACCCCCCCCCCCCTTTTTAGACTCTGCTTGCTCCACTACCTCACCATACCTACCTACCTAGTGGTGATTGGTCCAAAAAATTGGGCTTGTCCGGGGCTGCATCGGCAGTATCAGCACCAGGGACGCACCACACACGTGCTTGCTATCCGGATCTCCAAGGATCGAGAACGGAAAGAAAGACAAACGAGCCCCCGAAACAAGCAGAAGACAGGAGACACTCATACGGACAGTGCACGCCCACTAGCCTACCTCGTAGAGCTCGCCGTAGCTCGAGCCCGTCTCCTCGGTACGACGACACGAGCAATACAGAGACAGACAGACAAACACTCAAACTGTCCGTGACCGAGAAAGGAATGCGGTGCGAGCTTCACACAAGCCTCTGCTACTTCCCTCTAACCTCGACGGTTTCGTTTCCAGGGGGGTGGGGGTATCTTTCGGGGCTTGGCACATCGCAGCGGCTGGACCCGACCTGGCCGTTTTGCTGCTGCTGCTGCTGCTGCTGCTGCTGCTGCTGCTGCTACTGTTCCCGCCCCGGGGTAGGGTAGGGGCACGGAATGGAACCGCATTACCTACTGCATACTACACTAGCGTGGTAGTGGGAACCTTGCGTCAAGCAACTGGGCGTGTCTGGGTGGTCGTGTAAGTCTGGCGCTTTTTTTCCTCGCTTCTTTTCTTTGTACGGTGTTTTGTCTTGGAGCCCAAAAACGCCCATTTTTACGTCTCAGCCGAATCGTCATTCTATACGGGGTTTTGTCTTGGCTGTGGCGGGCTGGGCATGCTCCTGCAAGCTGCACCCCCGTGTGATATTGACAACGGGCATCTGTGGGCCAGGCTTGCTATGCACGTGCGGCCTAGAACGGATGAAACAACTGTCTTGGCCTCACAGGCGCGAGGGAAGCTTTGCCGACTGCCCTTTCCAGCGATTTGTCCGGTTTGGAGAGGGGTTTCCAGCTTACTTATTCCATTACGCAAGCGGAGCTTGTCACTGGCAATTGGGCGCATTGGCGAGGCGAGAGCTCGTTCGGTTGTTGAGCAGTTGGCCCGGTGGATACGGATCAGTCCGTCGCGGCTTGGAAAATGGCAGGGCAGGGCCAGACAGAGGCACGAATGGATGACTGGCGTCGGCCGGCTGGAGGCGAGCCCGCTATCGCTGCGCAAGCACTGACAACCGCCCCGAGGAGCCGGAGCCAGGACAGATTTAGAGACGATCGATTAAGACATTCTAGCAAATTGCCCGTCTCGGCCCTAGCTCGTTGGACTCCAACCGTTTCTCCAGGGCTCTCAATTGCGGCACGGCAAAAGCGAGCCTAGGGTTATTGAGGTGGGCCGGCAGTGGGGGGAGACCACGCTGCGAAACTCTATCTCAACCGCCAGATCGTTGGTAATTTCCCGTCACCAGCGCTGGGGGTGGAGTCGGATCTGTTGTGGGGCATCTGGCCTTCTACGCGGGGAAAGGGAACGGGTTCTAAACCGCGTCGCAATACAGACCACCCCATCAGTCATCACTCGACGTGCGAATTCGCAATTCCTAAGCGGGAAATCCTATGCAGTCAGCACCATAAAGCCGTTCTCGCACCTGGTCCCGGGGCCGATCCCGAACCAGAGCGTAGGAGCGACCAGGGCCCGCACCTTCCAGGCTGCTGTAGGGTAACATATGCCAAGCGATGCTCCCTGGTGCAGCGGTAGAGTCGCTTCACGCAACGACAGTCAAGGGCATGCAAGACTCTTTTTGGCTGGCCATCTGTCGCGGCCGACAGCCCTTTGCAACAATGTCAGCCAGCGCCCGCGGCGACGGCGGCGGCGGCGGCGGCGGCGGCGGCGGCACGCAACAGCAGCACGCCGCGTCGCAAAAGAGCAAAACAAGCCAGGCCCTAGAAGATACTACTCTAGACCGTCCGCACGGCCCAGCAGTACGGCAGTTTGTGTGCTCGCCTCGGCCAGTTGATGACGATAGCGCTTTCGTCGCAGCGAAGCAAGCCGACCTCGGAAAGCCGAGGCCAAAGCGCTCACCACAAGCGAGCCGCCGGCTCCCGTTATTAAAGGGACAGAGCTTGGCAGCCGACGACAGACTACTGACGGCGGCAGACCACGGCGTTCTATTTTGGCGCTTTACTCGAGGATATTTCTCACCACCACACCCACAATGCGTAATGGCGTTTCCAGCCCGTAACAGAGTAAGCCAGTATCTTGATGCAAGGTTTAAAAAGCGCCGTGGGCAAAGCCGCGCCTGGCAGCACTTGCGATGGAACCGCTCGCTGCAAGGCGCGTGGTCGAGATAAGAACGGATTAACGTTACAGGTTCTACCCAATCTTTTTCCGCCGTCGTGGGCGGCCGCTGAGGTCTCGACCCGCGGGCCACAACTACAACCTAGCCGTCGGCTTCAAGCACCGAGAGGGTGGTGGGCCAAGTGCTGCTTCAACCAATATTTTGACCGGCTGTTTTATTTTCTCTTTGTCTTCTCTTATTATTTCTTGCCAGCCTATACAGCGCTAGACAGCAGCAATCTCGCCGTGCGGAGAGAGGCAGAAGAGCGAATTGCGCGAAAATGGCGATACGAGAAATGTTGGCAGGTGCCTCCACCATCGCAGCCCAAAAATAGTGCCTCCGCCGCCCCCTCATTGGGCTCCTCGCGAGCCTCTCTCCCACATGGGTCCGATGCGGCTGGCTTAACGGACGACGATCTAACCACTCACGGCGCCGGGACATCGATTCTCGTGCAGTTGCGTGCATCCGCACGCCTACCATTCGCCCAAACCGCAACTGATGTCTAAAAGACTCGTCCTGAAAGGTTGCGAGAGCTGGGCGCTGCGTTGGCAGCTTTAACAGCCAAACAACCTGGAATCCATTATCGTGCAGGATCATGACGTCGGGGAACAACAAGAGCTCGTGTAACAACCCTTTTCCATCGAAGCTCTGGCTTCCGCGGATCCCATTCTCGGTCCTGGAGTACCCGTGTTTGCTGCTCTGAACAGCACTCCAAAAATCTCCCGTGGTGGGTAGAATGTCTCAGGTGGGACGTGCAAGGTAATCGAAACCTTTGAGCCACCGTAAATCCTCGCTGGGCCGTGGCTTGACATATTATTGCTAGAGTGCCACGGTCTCTCAACTCCGGTAACGAGAGACATTTCCTATCTGTAATTATGGGGGCTGGCTGTTTCTGTGGTACGGTATGTATGGCAAAGGCAGCACCGTCCCTTATTAGCTCCCGCAGTCCTAGGCGGTGTGATTCGTCCTCGGTTTGGGGCACCGTGCTGGCTGCTGGCTGTATCGTGTTGAATACTTACGGTGGACTGATCTATTGATTTGGCTTGCAGGAATGTTGCATACACCTGTCAAGGCATATTGCTCTCCAGTCTAGCGGCGAGTGTGCCGGCTTTGCCTCTGCAGCTCCCCAGCACCAACCACTAAATATTACGAGAATTCCGTCAGAAACACTCGAACGGGACGGCCCAGGGCTCACGCAGGGGGCGGGGCCCCAGCTCGTGGGCAACCACACGCCGCTTTAAGACACTTGACGGGCCACCAAAAACCCACGTTGAGGCGCGTACCTTTTAGTCGCGGAAGAATTTAATGAAAATTTCTAGATATTTATTCCTCGTCTATTATTTTCTCAACTCCACTGCCGTTCAGTGTTCTCCTCTGCAATGCGAATCCGCCGGTTTCCCTTTGCATTCCCCGTACAGAGTAATTCATACCGTATCAACTACGTATTACGTAGTTACGACAGCTGTTTGTCATTCCAGGTGTCCATGCTTGACTCTGGGCACTAGAAATAAAAACAGAACAAAAATGTTTTACACATATTCGAAACATTCCATTAATTAACCGTGGATTGTCTCACCGAAGGAACCAAGAGAAAACAAGTTGTCTCAACACACCCACCCTGACGGGAGTGTGTGAGGCGCAGAGCCCACTGACGGGCTGAATTTCAGCGGGTGGTGCCCTGATCGACACCCCGATTGCCCCGCTGAACGGGAAACTGGAGAGCTGCCCTCAGCTGCAAACAAAATGCCAGCCAATCACAGCGCTGCATTCCTTCCCCAGGTTTTTCGCAAGACCCCACCTACTTCATTGAATCCGGGGACAGGCAGGCAGCTGCTTGCCAATTAATTCCTCTCCGTCACTCGGTCTTGGAATTGATTGCTTCGTTTACAAAGTTAGAACTAGTTTGCTTGGAGAAGCGACGCAGATATGGTTTTGGCACCTAATAAACAAATATTCTGCATAAGTATGGGGAATACAGAATATTACGATGGGTATCAGATCGGCGTACATATAGCAGACCGCCGATAGGTAACCAACATTACAAATGATCAACTCGAATAATACGGAGCAATCCCGAATTCACTTTGGCTTGATCACAGAGTTTTCGATTCCACGATACCGAGTAGTTCACTTTTAGGAAGGTGGAAATAAAGCCCCGGAGCGCAAAAAATGCTCTGAAGTTGCTCCCCTGTCAAAAAGAATACGGAGCGGTTTCCTTTTCTTTGCAGACGCACGGACGTCACTCGATCGAAATACAAGGGCCCCTGCCATTCCGCGCAGAGTGCCGGCGGGATCCCTGGTGCGGCTGAGAATATTTGTTTTACTGCTTTTATTTTATTATTTTATTTTATACCATTATTTTATATTTTATTTCATCGCATGGCAACTTTGCCGGCCGCAAAGAGCGAGAGAGCAGCCATGCAATTGCACCCCCCACTCTCACCCCCCGCCTCACTTCTCAACTTTAAGTTCCTTTGAACCACATCCGCTCTTCCCCACCGGGCTCCTCCTGCCTGCCTGGTGCCTGCCTGGTGCCTACCTACTGCTCAGGTGTGGATACCTTCCTTACAGCGATGGGCGAGGTCGGCCGCTGAAACAGCAGTGCCGCGACAGATAGTCCTCTCGGGACTGATCATATCCGAGGCCGTAGCGGTTTGTCTCTACCGACAGTTTCGGAGCAAAGTGCAGTCTGCGGTCTGTCGCGAGGACAAGAAATCGCCACTTGCGGAACATGCTGTCCGCAATGTTGTCTTTTGGGCCAGGCTTCCTAGTTCGGCACGGAAGGCACGGTCTGGCATGCTGTATCCGTACTTCGTCGTCTAAGGTAGTACATACACATGCGAGAGGGCAGGAGCGACGGGGCGCCTGTCACAAGGGAGTCGGAGCTGCTGCTGCTCCTTCCTGTGTGGTATGTACAGGTAGTTCGTTTTATTCTTCCCGCGGCAGGCAGGCTGTCGCCAGGAGGTTACCAAGGCGATCTTCCCATCTTTTGGAATATTAGAAAGACGGCAGCAAACCCAGAAGCTCCATCACCAAGTCGCCAGGCCCCTTTGCTCTCCCCAGTAGAAGAGCGACGGGCACACTAGCTAGCCCAGGCACTGGCACAGGTGAGTTCAGGTCAGGCAGCCTGGCCAGAGCGCGCCTCGTTGAGCCATGGAATTTCCCTTGCCGCTAAGGAGCAAGCAGCCGCCTCCAAAACCCCGTGACGGCGGCGCCCCAGCGGCAGATTGACAGCGTGCCACAGCGAACGGTCTCGTCCGAGTGCTTCACTTGCTTGCCCGCATCCTTATCTCGCTCGCCGCGAGGCAAAGCCCGGGACAAGGATGCCCCCCCAAGGTGCGCCCCATGTGGCCCATGGTTGTTGCTGTTGGCGAACCCCCACTCGTTTAGGAGCTTGGGCGAGTGAGGTTCATCTCGATCATCAACCAGCCTGGATATCATTTTCCTAAGAGAGCATACTGTGTACTCTGGACTCTAGTCTCTCGCCTCTCGCCTCTCGTTACTCTGTAGGCTCGTTCTTGAACTTCATTCTTGGGTGCGAGGGGTTGCCTTACCTTGCATTGCTGTTGCATTGCTAGCGGTGGGTACGCATCTGGAGCTTCGGACTGGAGCTGTGGACGCTGACGCTTCTCGTGTTCTCTCGCCTAAGGTAGCCCGTTGGCATTGGCGCAGATGAGGGGGGGAGGGTCGGTACGTACTCAGAAAGCACCCTTGTCCAGCTTGACCCGGTTTTCCCAATAAGTCACTTACACGACCACAGGCCTCTCTCCAGCCCAGCCAACCCAGCTCTGCACAACCCGACCTGGCCGAATATTGAAGCTACCCTTGAGCGTGCAGGTCTACGGCTGTCTGCTCTTGCACCAGAGGCCAATCACGCCTGCACAGACAGGGTCCTCTCGTCCCAAGACCTCGCGGCTGTCCACTCACTCTTTTGATCCTCCTCTCCTGTCTTTGTCGTTCGTTCCCTCTTCTGACCGTCTTTCCACCTTGTCCTCCTAAGGCGTCGGGGCCTCGGACAAGTAAGCATTCGTCCTCGTTGCTGCATTTTGACGAAGCCAAGACAATCCTGCCCAGTATCTTGAGCTTCGACGGGCAACTACACGGCAGCGACAGCTAACATTGGCCTGACATATTGTTGACACACAAGCTTCCAGCCTTCTGGACAGACGGGAGCTGTCCGCTCGCTACCTCGACCCACCACCGCCACGTTCGTTCTCGAACTTAATATTTCCTGAGGAGCTTATCCCACCGGGCTTGGGAATCGGTAATCGGAGACACTGTGACAGTCGGGCAAAACATAATAGATCCGTCAACCCCAACACCGTGTTCGCCTTCCTCGCATTGTACAGCTTTCTGTGCAGAGTAACCGGAACGCTCCTCCTAGGTACGACAGCAGCAGGATAGAGCTGCAAGGGAACCAGCCTCAGGTCCGAGTCGGATCCTGCGGTCCGTTAGCGGCCTGCCAGTGCGGAAGTTTCTTGGGCGTTGCTAACAACCGTGGGTACAGATACGAGGGGCTTTTCCAGTAAAGTAGATCTTAATATTGGTCAGGCTGTGACACAAGCAGACCGGCAACCCGGGTCACCAAAAACCTTAGACTCCCCGCTCCCATCCCCAATCTTGAGCTTCCCGGTGACGGGAGTCAAACGAGAGAGCGAACCGCCTCTTCACTTAGCCAAAGACAGGCCCAGGTTCGTGGACTGTTGTCACCATGGGCGTTGGGAGCTATTTCAAGGCCCAAAAGCCAGAGCCGCCGCTTCCCAATCCGCTCCCCCCTCGGAAACACGCAAAGCCGCCAAAGAGCTCGAACCAGAGGCGTAGCCCTCTGCGAGAATCGCCCGAATCAGAGAAGTCACCATCAGAAGGCTCGCTGAACAATGACCTCGAGCTCCAGCCGCCGGCTTCGGTGCAGCTCAGCTCCCGGCCGCAGTCCATATCAGGGCGGTCGGTGAGGTCAGCGAGCAGTTCCATGTTTCTGGACGACATCAAGCACGAGGTCATGGTCAACTACCTATATCAGCAACAATGCTCCCATCTGTGGGTTTCGGACGGAAGCGGCGAGATCGAAGGCGTCCTTTTGCGCAAAGCTAGGGGACAATACATGGCCTGCCCGCCGCAGCTGGGCAATTCCCCATTTGCCATGGCGTGTGCAGCACTAAACGTCCAGGTACGATGCGTGATTATTTTTCTCATCTATCATCTGAATAGTCGTGCTGATATTGCTTTTGTCTCTAGTGTGCCATGACAGTCAACTCTCGGGTCATCAAAACCTTTTTGCAATGGTCTCCTGAGGCAGTTGACGTGCCCCTGATGAACGGCCTGCGCGTTCAAATCCTGCCCACAATTGACGACTTGACGCGCGCGAGGAAACACCAGTTCGCAGCTTTTGTCGCCTCTGAAGGCCTCCTCGTGGTGTGGGATGATGACGCCCTGCACCTTGTTCAGAGAGCCAAGGCCATCGAGTCGGAGCTCATGGAGCTTGTATGGAAGGCTGGGGGCGAAGAGGATGAGGACGAGAAAAAGGGGCCGCCCGTGGCCGAGGCCGAGATCGACGAGGAGAGCGGGGAGCTGAAGCCCGAGAAACGGCCAGTTCACCTGCAGAATACCTATCTTGTCAGCTTGACGTTGATCATCGTTATCGTCTCCCTTGGGGCCGCGTTCAGAGCACTGGCCATTGAGGTGTCTGTGGACGGTCAATATCTGCGCCTAGCTCTTGTCGCTCTCTTTCCGGTCCAGATTTTCTTCACCCTCTTTTTTGCCCAGGTCATTGTCGGCTGTCTAGCGCAGATCTTTGGTCCGATTCGCCAGCTCACTATCAATTCCAAGTTTTACTCGGCCCGCCCGCCCCCGAGGCTGCAGGCGTCCATTCTCCCACACGTCACGGTCCAGTGCCCAGTTTACAAGGAGGGTCTCGCCGGTGTCATTGCGCCCACTGTCAAGTCTATCAAGCAGGCCATGTCCACATACGAACTTCAGGGCGGATCGGCCAATATGTTCATCAACGATGACGGTCTCCAGCTCATCTCTGAGGAGGACCGCCGCGCCCGCATCGAGTTCTACGCCGACCACAGCATTGGCTGGGTTGCCCGCCCTAGGGATGGCGAGAACGGCTTCTTGCGTCGCGGTAAATTCAAGAAGGCGTCCAACATGAACTTTGCCCTCATGATTTCGTGCAAGGTCGAGGAGAAGCTGGCTGCCCTCCAGCGTGCCCCCGATTGGTCGCAACACGACGAGGCGCAGGCCTATGAGCGCGCGCTGAAGGAAACTCTCGAGGAAGACGGCCGTGCCTGGGCTGATGGCAACATCCGTGTTGGTGACTACATCTTGCTTATTGACTCAGACACGCGTGTGCCAGCCGACTGCCTGCTTGACGCCGTGTCTGAGATGGAGCTGTCCCCTGACGTTGGCATTATGCAGTTCTCGTCCGGTGTCATGCAAGTTGTCCACACCTACTTCGAGAACGGCATCACCTTCTTCACCAACCTCGTCTACAGCGCGATTCGGTATACTGTTGCCAACGGCGACGTTGCCCCGTTCGTCGGTCACAACGCTGTTCTCCGGTGGTCTGCTATCCAGCAAGTCTCCTACGAGGATGAGGACGGCTACGAGAAGTTCTGGTCCGAGAGTCACGTGTCAGAAGACTTCGACATGTCCCTGCGTCTTCAGTGCAACGGTTACATCATCCGTCTTGCTGCATGGGCTGGCGAGGGCTTCAAGGAGGGCGTGTCACTCACAGTGTATGATGAGCTGGCGCGGTGGGAGAAGTACGCTTACGGTTGCAACGAGCTTCTCTTCCACCCCATCCGCAAGTGGATCTACAAGGGCCCCTTCACGCCGCTATTCCGACGCTTCCTCTTCTCCAACATCCGCTTCACGTCCAAGGTTACGGTAATCTCTTACATTGGAACCTACTACGCCATTGGCGCCGCATGGATCATGACCAGCGTCAATTACTTCCTCATCGGCTGGTTCAACGGCTACCTTGACAAGTACTATATCGACTCGTGGCAGGTGTGGTTCTCGATTATCATTGTCTTCAACGGTCTTGGCAACATCGCCCTCGCCCTTATGCGCTACCGTGTCGGCGAGCGGAATCTACTGTATGCCGTCTTCGAGAACTTCAAGTGGACCTTTTTGCTTGCCATCTTCCTTGGTGGTCTGTCGCTGCACGTGTCGCAGGCGCTGCTAGCGCACATGTTTGAGATCAACATGACTTGGGGCGCAACCAGCAAGGAAGCCGAGTTTTCCAACTTCTTCATTGAGATCCCGAAGGTGTTGAAGAAGGTCAGTAATACCCGACTCCTCCCCCTTTATTCGTTCTCCCGGTCGCTAACTCTTGTCTAATAGTTCAAATTCTCCATGATATTTGCCACCGTATTTATTGCGGGAATGGTTGTTCTTGCCATTGGTCCTTTCATTCCGTACAGCTGGAACATTACCGATTTCGTTGCCATCCTGCCCATGGCGACCGTTGCCGTGTCGCATCTTTTGCTCCCATTAGCCCTAAACCCTGCGCTCATGACGTTCTCGTGGTAAAGCGATTGCCGCCGCAAGTCTTGCCACTGGCTGCGTGTATTGTTGCTTGCGTCATGTTTTCTCTTCTCACATTTCGCAACCTCTCTCATATATACTTACATGTATGTTGTCACACATCTACCTTACATACCTCGGTTCGCCAGAACCATCCAAGGCCTTCTATGTTTTTATTTCCGTTTCCTAACGGCAATTCACGAATTCTATCTAGACTTGGGATAGGCAAAGCTTGATAGGAGTTTTAAACAACCACATTCTTGTTGCTTAATTTTTCCGTGGGATTTAGCAGTTGGATGCGCGGCCTTGTTGTAGTGGATGTCCTCGGCTTGAGTGACGGAGGAAATGGCAGGCTCAAGTTGACGAAGTTATTTCTTTGGCTAGGAAACGCCTTTGCGTGGAACTACCTACAGAGGTGGGATAATTTTTTTCTGAGGACATGGGATGGCATTGTTGGAAATCTCATCTTTCTGCCTTATCAGGATACGACAGCTACTAAGTATAGCCAGTCGAGTTGGTACATACATAGCTCTATACTCTAAGTCCCGACACACCTTGCCTCGTTAGAATGGGGCAAGAGTAAAATCATAATAAATATTAATGCCATTTATGATGTGGGCTAATGTGGTGGGGTTGGCTTTTCTGTGGGCGAAATGGAGAGACAATGTCTTGGTTGCAAACCGACACGTGTTTGTCTTGCTTGTTATGTCTGAGGATTAAGATAGTGTCTCGGGGAGCGCGAGCCCCCTTTTCGTCGAAGACGATGTGAAACGAACTCTGCGGCTATTCCTTGCGGCCCAGTCCAAGCTGCGGGGGTTTGCTTGATAAAATAGAGGCCATCGGAGTGCAGTCTTTTAAATTTTTACTTTTTTCCAATATTTAGAGGTAATGATATCTCTTTCGAATTTCTTGGGGATTTGGAGAGGATGTCATGGTCCCGTCGAGGTCATCAAATTCCCGCGCTCTTTAGGCTGGTGTGCAACTGCCTGGAAATGGGCGGGAAGTTAGGTTAGTTACCTAAAACCTTAGCCTCCCCACGCTGTAGACTCCTAGGGTTGTCCCCTAGGACCTAGCACCAACCCCCCTCTCACAGGTCCCTGCCGGGTATGTAGCGATGCAGCAACAGGGTTGGCTGAGGTAAACCTCGTATTCGTCTGAACCTAAGTTTATGTTTTGGCCCCGCAGCTTGACAGCGCACACAAGTTTACGTATTACTTATCACGCCTTCTTTTTTCCCTCCTTTGTTAGAATGGGTGGCGCATCACGCGCGGTTGTCCTCATTTCCACGGCCCACAGAGCAAAACGCCTCTTTTTTCTGGCAAAAGGGCATCAGCGGTCACTCAGTTTCGGGACCGCGGCCACACCATGGAATCATTCCTGAGGCCTTTGCCAGTTGTTGCTGAGGTAGTCGACCGCGTTACGCAGAAAAGCGGCGTTGACCGCTGGAGAAAGCGAACGAGACGCCTCGAGCGGGCGGAACGGGCGCCGCCGATAAGGACGGCGTGGCTTCCTGTCAGATACCCAACAAGTGGCACAACAGCGAACTGGGCGTCGTGTGTGTGTGTGTGTGTGTGTGTGCCAAATTCGATGGCTGAACACGAAGGTGACGAGGACCGGGCGTCCCAGCTGAGTGCCTGCCGCCTGCAGTCACGCTGCTGCATTGGCTTAGGCTGCTTGACTGGAACTATAGCTGGGCTGCTGCTGGTGGACGGAAGGGGACTGCCTTTGCTTTTCGTTGGATAGGAAAAGACGCCACACGTAATTAAGAACAAGACGAAAAGAAGAACGCCATCCATTGCCTTTCCTCGTTCCGCAGCGAGGAATGTTTCAGCGCTCTGGCCCGCCTGGAGACTGTCGCTCTCCCAACCTACCCCCCGGGCGGCGCATCACTTCTCTGAGAGGTCCTCTTCGTCGTGGGTTCTTCTGTCTTGTCCGTGTTATCTGCCCTCGGCTATCCCTATTTCCTGTCTTGTGTTTGCTTTCTCGTGGCGGTCACGGCGATCGGAACCGCCAGCTAAGCAGACCAAGTTGGAGACGCGGTCTAGGTCCCAGTAATACTCACATACCAGAAAGCAGACTAACACTGAGGACATGCTCACATAGCAAAAGGCCGACTAACACCGAGGACTGCGTTCAAACTCAGACCAGCTGCCCCCCCCGCGACGACAAATTTAGTCTTTCTTCTTCTCTGTTGCTTTCCCGCGTCGGGCCGCACCCCCTTCTTAATGTCATCTTGCTGCTTACCTCCGTCCCCACCCTCGCTCGAAGCTCAAGCTTCATGACCGAGGTGAGGAGGACTGCCACTGCTGCTGTGACGTCGTCGCGGGCCCCTTTGCCTTTCTAGACGAGGCAGAGGCTCTCATATTATTTCCCTTCTACAACTACTGGCACCATGTTCGGGGCGTCTGCTTCTAGCCTGTTAGCCTCGGCGCTACTCGCCTCGCTCGCGGCCCTACCATTGAGCTCCGCCTGGCAATTGCGGCAGGTTGCGAAACCTCAAGACTTGGGCACCGTCCTGTCTTCGCACAAGAACATCTCGACCTACTACGGCTTGGTCAAGGTAACCACTATGATGTTGCAGGTCCGTGTCGTGCCGGGAACATTAGCTGACTGCCTGCACAGCAATATCCCGACATCCTCCTGCAGCTACCAAACTATGCCGGCGTCACGGTATGTCTTGGGCGGCTTCATCGGACCTTGAACAGTGGACTGGCTAGCTTGCTGACACGCGGCGTAGCTCGTGGCCCCTAACAACAATGCCTTCACCAAATACGAACTATGGGACCCAAACAACAAGACTATGGTGACTAACTTCCTGCTGTACCACATCATGCAGGGCACCGTGTCGACGGCAGCAGTGCCCCAGGGCGTGTCGACGTTCGTGTCGTCGCTGCTGACAGATCCGGCTTATACCAATGTAACCGGCGGTCAGAAGGTCATCATCGACAAGCAGCCCGACAACGCTGTCGTCTTCACGTCGGGCATCGGGTCGCGCGCCACCGTCGTCGAGCCCGATATCCCCTTCACGGGCGGCCTGCTGCACATCGTCGAGACGCTGATGGTGCCGCCCGCGCGCCTCGAGACGACGACGCGCGACTACTACAAGGACCTGCAGTCGTTCCTGGGCGCCCTGTACGCCGCCGGCCTGGTCAGCGAGTTCGCCGACCAGTCCAACGTGACCATCCTGGCGCCGCGCGAGGATGCCTTCCAGCGCGTTGCGCCCGCCCTCGCCGCCCTGTCCAAGGCCGACCTGGCCAACGTGCTGCGCTACCACCTGCTGCCTGGCACCGTGCGCCCGAGCGTGACCTTTGCCAACGCCACCCACCTCGCCACGGCCGCCGACGGCGGCCAGAAGATCAGCCTGCGCCGCGCGGGGAACAACCTCTACTTTGACCGCGCCCAGCTGCTGCAGCCCGACATCCTCATCGCCAACGGCGTCGTCCACATCATCGCCGACGTGCTCAACCCCAACGCCACCAGCGCCCCGCCCGATCCGGCCCTCGGAACTCAGGCCCCGGCCTACTCCCCAGCCTTGGCCACCGACAGCGCCCTCCCCTTCGTCACCGCTCTTCCCTGCACCACCGACTGCCCCGTCACGACCACCGCCATCACCGGCAGCGGCAGTGGCAGCGGCAACGGCACGGGCTCCAACGCTACGGGCGCGGGCGTGGGCGCGTCAACCACCGCTGACGTCTCGAGCAGGTCCAGCAAGGCCCTCGCTGCCGCCCCGCGCTATACTGGTGCCGTGGCTGGCGTCGGCGCTGCGGGACTACTCGGCCTCGCGGGTATGGGGCTCGTCGGGCTGGTGTGAGGACGCTGTCTCCCTCCTCGCCTGCACTGAGTTCGAGCTGGCTGGCTCACCTAAATAAAGTAACTAATGAGGCTTGACTACAATCACTGTGGGACTTGGTAGCGTGTGAATGAAAAATAACCGGTACAACTTGGTCACCTTGCTAGACTACCTATCTACCGGGCGGTGTGATATTTAGAGAGAGAGCAGGAAGCTATTATATACCTCGGTTATTTTTCGTGATTCTGTTTCCCTGTCAATACCTCCCCTTGCGTTCTACATCTGGCGATTGGGGTGTTTACGGTGTTGGTGAGTGGGTAATAGGATGGATGGATAGCCCTTCACTATTGTCTCTCACGGCCGGGCTAGAGGGATAGCATAAATATACCTATATTTGTAATTATTTGTTTGTTGTTATGAAATGTTCAGAGTGTTCTTCAGCCCGGGACATTGTTTCAGTCTTCGTCCTCCACAACCTACCTTTTCCTGTCCCTGTTCTGACGCGACTAATAACGCAAACCCTTGCCAAAGATGATATGCGATTTAGAAACCCTGACGAGTAGTTCTTCTGGATGCTTAAGACTGGCCGTCGCCCAGTGCCCTCCTGCTTTACTTACGATAGGACGGTAGGCAAGCCTCCTGGTTGCCGATGGAGAAATGTAAGCGGCCCCTGAGCCGAGGTTTAACACACGCGCTCACTTGCGCTTGATAGCCTACCAAAGCCCTATTGAACTCGATCACTACTCACTCTTCGTAGACACATTCACAACAGCGACCCTGCCGAGGATAGACGGCAAGACAACACAGGATTATGACGAGAGATAAAATTATGCCAAGTCTACTACTACCGCAACCCGCAGATGGCAACTAACTGACATTGAAACAAAAAAAACGCCTCTATCAGTCTTCTATTCCATTGAGTAACCGGAGCAAGCGAAAAGCACGCATTATCACACATCCCGTTTCTTTTTTCCCCTGCCAAAAAAAAACAAAACACCAACAACCCACCCAGCCGTCCCGAATCATCTTCTCTTCTCTTTTTTATCTTCTCTTTCTTATCTTGAGCCGAATCTAGCCAAAAGAAGTCTACCCTCTAAACCCGCTTTCCATCAAAGAGACATTAAAAAAAAACAGCAACAGACGGACGGCCACACCACAACCACCCAGCTCTATACCACCCTAAAAGCCACAATGCACCATGCAAAATGCAGACAACAACGGCAATGAACACGCGAAAAGCGCGACGAGGAATGCTCAACTCTGTTCCGTCCCCTACTCAGCCTCGTCGTCCGTGTCGAGGGGCTTGGGCGTGCCCTTGGGGCTGTTGAGCCAGTCGATCTGGCGCAGGCGTCTGCGCACCTCGCGCTCCTTGACCTCCTTCTTGGTCATCTTCTTCTTTTTCCTTGCGCGGAACTTCATGTTTTCGTCCGTGATGCCGTTATCCTCGACGCCGCTGTTGACGGCGCTGCTCTGGACGCTGCTCATGTTGGGCGTGTTAAGACCGCTGGTCACGGCGCTGGCCGGCTTGCTGTCGTCGAAGCGGTCGAGCGAGATAGCCGCGGTGCCGCGGTGCGTCACGCGTCCGTCGTTGACGTGCCACTGCTCGCTGGCGAGGGCGCCGACGAACTCTTCGTTGTGGGAAATCATGACGACACCTCCCTTGAAGTCGCGGATGGCAACGGCCAAGCCGCCGAGCGAGTCGCGATCCAAGAAATTGGTCGGCTCGTCGAGAACAAGCAAATGCGGGTTGTTCCACATGGCGCCGGCAATCACGACCTTGACCTTCTGACCACCAGAGAGAGAGCCAATCTCGTTGTGGTTGGCGATATCGGGATCCAGACCAAGGTCATCAAAGTGCTTGCTGATGACAGACGGCTGCAGCTCCCGGTAGCCCAGACCCTCACGAGAAGCCTCGTGATCATCGAATTCCTGGACAAGTTTGGCAAAGCCAAGATCCAGAAGCGTCTCACGCGAGATTTGCGAGTTGTACTTGGGCAGCATTAACCGCCATTTGCTGTGTAAAATATATTAGCATCTGAGTGCGGCTTGGCGAAGGGATTTGTAAAACTTACACCTCGTATTGGAACGTCTTCTTGTACTTTTGACGACCGACCAGCGACTCGATCTGACGAGCGCCATTGCCGTCCTTAAGGTCGACATATTTATCCATTTGCTCCTTATCAGCGTCGGAAAGAACGCGAGTTTGCTTCATGTGAACCTCGCGGTCATCGCCGTGCTGGTAGCGCCATTGCAGATACTGGTTGGGCGTCTTCTCTAGATGCATCTCCACGTGCTCAAGGGCGTGTTGCTTGATGTACCCGATCCGGAGATTGGGGTGCTTCTCAACTCTGCCAACGGTCGGGATAGTCTCGCCCGTAAGAAGCTTGATCAGCGTCGACTTGCCGGCACCGTTGGGGCCAATAATAGCCACGCGGGACGAGAGCGTCAGCTGGCAAGACACGTCAGCCAGAGACGGCTTTGGCGCGTTCGGGTAGCTGTAGGAGACGTTGCTCATGCGGATAATGGCACGAGTTGCCGACTTGACACCGGTGAGAATTCCCGGGGGAGGGAACTTGAACTGGACTGTCGAGGCGGACAGAGTGTAGTAACTCCTGGCCTCGGGCTTGACCTTGACAAATGCGTTCAGATTGCCCTTGTAGTGCCCCAGCTTCTTGTTGGGCTCGTAGTGATAGATGTCGGTCGTGACGTTGTCGAGGAATCCGGAGTCGTGAGACACAATCAAACTGGTAATGTCGGTGTGCGACTTGAGGTACTCCTCGAGCCACTTGATGTTTGCCACATCGAGGTGATTGGTAGGTTCGTCAAGCAGGAGGACGTCGGCTCTTTGCAGCATGGCGCGGGCGAGGGCCAACTTCATCTTCCAACCACCGGACAGCGATCCGACTCTCTGCGATTGCTTGCCTTCGGGGCCGGATGTGAAGCCAAACTCCTCAAGGACAGACGATATCCTCTCGCGACCCTCCTTTGCGATGGTCGGGTCCTTTTCGACAAAGTCGAGAATGCTAATGTCGGCATCCTCGCCCTGGTTGTGCTCCACGTAGCACGTCCGGAGCACGTCCTGGGACGGAAAGCCCTCGAGCTTGCCCGAAGCAATGCTCTTCATCAGCGTCGACTTTCCGGCGCCGTTCCTGCCGCAGAGGCCGTATCTGTGGCCCTTGAGCAGCCGCAGGTTTGTGTGGGACAGCAGAAGCATGCCGCCATATGCCAAGGAAAAGTCGGCGTTGACAATTTCCGTCTCGCCATCGTCCTCCTTCTCTGGGACACCGAACTTGCGCTCATCTTCCTTGATGTAGTAGTTTTGGACCGCGGCAGCCACGGCTTCGTGAGCGGTCGCAGATTTCATCAACGGCTGGAGATAGGGGCCGATTCTGTCAGAAATGCGGCGCACGAAGCGGTGGTTGACATCCTCGGCGACCATGTCGCAGACATAGGGGCGCAGCAACTTGTAAAAGTCCTGGTCGCCCCCAACACCACCATACTTCTTGACCTCGGCATCGAGGACCTTGGCGACATCGGCTCCCGAGATGCGCTCAATGACGTTCTCCTTGTCGGTCGCCATGGCTTTGTCCATGACGGCGAGAGCGCGAGTTGCGAGCTCGCGGACTTCGGGGAGGGAAGCTCTGTTAACGACGCTCTTGATTCCGGGCTGGAGCTTGGGCAAGAAGGCGCGGGCCTCGATGGGATCGTGTACCAGCTTAGTCAAGTTCTCGGTAATGACAACAGTCTGGCGGAGGACTTCTTGGCTGGTGTTGGGGCTGTTGAGGGAGCGCTCGAGGAAGGGTGTGAGGAGGGCCAGAGCGGGGGAGGTGACAATGGCGACAAAGGTTGTTTGCGAAAGTGCATGGATGGCCGATTGCAGGCCCTCGGAAGAAGGGTTGTGCATGGTCTCGATAAGGAGGGGGATGCGGGGAGCGACATCGTCGTTGGACAGCAGGGTGGCGAGAGAAGTCATGGTCTTGAGAGCCTGCTTCTCAACCTCAGACTTCATGTCGAGCATGCCGCCCTCGGCGACGGGGATCAGGCTGGCAAGCTTGTTGCCCATAATCTCGCGCAAGATGTCACCAATCTCGGACTCTTCCTTTGTGCTCCCGATTCTGATCTTGGCCTTGTCGGCCATCTTCTGGATCATCAGGTAGGCACCCACAACACCCTGCCACTTGCCGCCGGCCTTCTTCAGGTATTCGACGAGAGCAGGCAGGAGGCTGACAACCAGAGCCTCGGGGCTCAAGTTGGCAAAGAGGGCATCGAGGCCGTACTGGGCAGCCTCGCGGACGACGCTGCCCTTGTCGGCAAGGGCATCGAGGGCACAGGCAACCAAGCCGCCATCTTGGAGAAGGAGAGCGACCTCGCTGGCGGGCTGGCGGAGGGGGAAACGCTCGAATACAGCACCGAGGAGGTTCTGGGCCCCCTCGCGGCGCAGGCCACTCTTCTTATCGGCCGCGGCCTTCTTGGCCTCGGCGACAACGCCGTACTGCTGCAGACCGCGGAAGCCGACCGAGGAGGCGAGTAGGAGGTCGCACAGAGCGTAGCAGGCGTCAATCGAGGCCGACGACGTCTTGGCCGAGAAAGCCGTGGCGACCAGAGCAGAAACGTCGGTAGTGGCGGGAGGCGGGGCAGTGCCGTCGGGCGCCTTGATGGGCACAACCATACTGCTGGATTGCGTGGGCGGCGATACGGGGTGAGGCATCGCTGGGCGAAACTTGGAACCGTGCAGCACGTAAATCGCAGACGGCGTCTCTTCTCGTGAGAAGCCTGGGCGGAAAAATTGCCCTTTGCGACTTTGCGACGGCGCCTAAGATTGGCGAGCGACCAACGGCGGGACGATGGAAAAATTAATGGCGCCCAACCAACCCACACCCCACAGAGACTTTTTTTTCTTCGCCTGCCAATTCTTTTAGCACGAATCTTATCGGGCTGACTCAGCAGGGATTGTGGCGGGGTTGAAAGAAATGACACGGAGCAAAAACTCGCCAGTGTCTCAGGCACGTGCAGCCCACCACAGGCTGCCTTCTGCAACAAGGCCTTGTGCGCCACACAGTGCCAGCATAAACGACCCTGGGAGCGTCACTGCTAATTCTAGAGCAGTCACAGTGCGCAGGGCTGATTCCAACGTTCATTCTTGACAGTTGCACGCTTAAAATTCTGGTTGCCAAATTTTCTCTGGAAGCACCTGCCTCGTAGCGGGGAGGACTCAAATGCCATCTAGCCATCGCCTTGGCTAAGAGACTCCAGCAGGTCGTGCTGTGCATGTCTACACTCTGCACATACAGACTACTGTACATGTACCTCGACAATGAGTCCGGCAACGAGCCAGCTCTATCTTTTTTCTTTAGGCGTCCGCCATGACCAGCGCGCATATGCCTTTTTCTTCCGACTGCGGCAGCATCTGTTAAAGTTACAGTGGAGGGGCGCGCACACCGAGAACCCCAGGGCAAACACTGCACTTGCTTCAATCCGGCAGGCAGACAGTGACATCGCCAGAGTCATACCCAAAAGCTTCACAAAGCGAGCTCCCTACCCTATCCTTTATTTTCTTTTACCACGAGCAAGACGTAGCTCGAGTCAATGTCGGCCACCATCTTTCAGCCAAGAAACCCTGGCAATTATCGGTGTCGGTGTATCGGTGAGCTTGTGGTCATGGTCGTGGTCGTGACCGTAGCCGTGGCCGTGGCAGGAAGGGCCTGCCTGCCGACGACGCTCGACAGTTCGAGACAGGCACCCGGAATCCGCCAACAAACAAACGTTCCCAAGGGAATAGAGCTGTTCATGTTGGTTGGCAGACCTATGCATGTTAGCTCTCTCGTCAGATTCCTTCTTTTCCTTCCGTTTCGCGCCGCCAGCGTCCAGACGCGCCAACAACCAATACATTATTGGTGCAGACTCTAGCCGTCGTCTGGAGTGCTTCCGTCCTCGGCGCCCCCGCTACCGGTGGCGGCGACGTCTACGTCGACGTTCCTAAAAGACTAGACAGCGCCAGCTTGTTCATCAAGGCGATGAGTTCGTTCGTTCTGCCGATGAGCCTCGTCTTGCCCAGCTTGTCGCGCCGTCAATCCTGCCTGCGCAGTACATACTCGGACATCGCAATGACGCGCTTCGGAGCTTGTCTCTTGTTGATGCGAGTGGCTTTTTTTTTTTTACCCCAAAACTATCGTGGCCCGTTGGTCGGTCTTGAAGAGCTAGGTTCTTATTCGGTTTCTCGGAAACAGACTCGGAATAAGGTGGCCACTAACTCTGGGGGCTCTGTTGGTTACCCAATAGTTCAAACCATGCTCCGTATTGCTACCCCTTTTCTAGATCCACCCGAATGCATCGCAACCAACAGAACAAATACACGACCAACTCTGAGTATTGGCCTGTACATTGTATTACGCGGTCCTCCATCGGTTCGTCTCGCAGATTTCCCAGCAGACCGTTACTTGGGGGCTGCGCGCCTGGCCTGCCATCTATAATGAGAAATGGCTAAGAAGGCATCCTCGGACCTTGAAGAACAAACGCACCAGACGTGCACCGACTACTACCAACAAAGGAGGTGGTTATGGCCGATGCATCACTTTCCTAAGGGAGGCACCCTACGGAGCCTCCAAAGTACCTCGTATTTCGGAGCAAACTCGAGAGGTGGTGAGACGGCAAGACGTAGGTATATATAGGCATCCGTCTATATGTCTAAGTCCATGCAGAATTGATTAACTGAACTCGGAATTCCGAGCCTTGCGAGCAGAACAAGAGGGCATGTTGCCTTTTTAGACACAAGCTCGGACTCGCACATGTCGCGCTCTCCTTGCAGCCTTGTTTCTCGGCCCCATCAGATGCTCCCCAAGAATCTCACAGACCCAGGAAAGCCGCGCAAATCCCGCCCCTCGCACAGCACAGTCGCACACACGAGTTCGGTTGCTTTCATTGACCATTCCGGTTCCTCCTCTTCGGGACGCGGGATTGCCCCATTTATTTAAGGCTGATCGATTTGCAACGAACCACCTCACCCCACTCCTTTCCCTTCCGTTGTCCCTCGGAGGCGGCGTTAGCATTTCTTTCTTCTGTCATGTCAGGTTTTGTTATGTTATATGTCATGACGTCGCGGAATTCCGGCGTCGATTACCAAGCCAATTGCTAACGTCTGGCGGTCTGCTCGGGTTTGTTGTCGTTGTTTTTGTCATCGTCGTTCAAACAGCCGCGGCGTCAAACATTGCAATCGCAACCCTCTCCACACAGCACCTTCCTGTCTATCCGATGACTCGCCGCAAGGCTGCAACACGCCGGCAGCCACGTGTGCAAGGGCACAGAGTAACGAGATCCCGGGGTTTCCTCTTACAGAACAACCACTTACATAGAAGGGAAGGCCGCAGGCGTGCGGCTTGGTCAGACTGCCCGTCAAGGTCGACCTCGTGACGCACCACCTTCCTTTCCGAAGCTGCAGTATTTACCAAAGGGGGGTGATGTGGGTGGGCGCTAACCGGGTAGGTGGGCCGCTTTGCTGCACCGTCTACGAAAGTTACAGACGTACGTACGTACCCATGTAACCCCCTCGGTTTTCCGAGATGCGAGCCCGGCCTTGCCTCTTGGCTTTGCTTCCCTTTCCCACAACACACATCGCACCACCCCCCATTTCCGCCCAGAGGTACAAGATGCGTACCATTTATGCGGTAGCGTGCCAGCCGCACTACCTTTATTGTTCATGCCTGTCAAAAAAGAAATAACGTTGGTGTCCACACCAACACAAACCAGCGCGGCGCGCGGCCACAGCCACGCCACCCCCCCTCCCCGGTCGCCGTGTTCTCTCCCTTCGCCCGCCCCTTTTCCAATAAGGCAAACGGATATAACTAAAACTTTCGCAGCTGCCTCCCCCGTAATCGAACCAATCGACAGGAATGTGCCCGGTTTTAGTTTGAATTTCGCGACACAAAGTCGGGTGGCAACTTGATGCTTTCGCAACATCCCATGACGCGCCCATGACGGCTCTCTCGCCCGCACCGCCGCTCGTCTCCCTGCCTGGCAAGGAACGCGCCCACGCGAGAAATGTGAGTTACCTTTGTTGTCGACGTGCCTGATTTTGAGTGGATGGGCCAAAACGCTGCGATTCCCGTCTCGGCTCGGCCCCCCCTGGCGTTACACAACGCGAATTCGGTGCCGTGGTCTCTTGTCTGTGGGTGAGTGAGTTCGTGACTAACTTTTAAGAATCGCTTGGGTTCTTTTTCTGTCTTCTTGTTCTCTCTCTCTTCGACGGCTGCCTCACTTGTGGGGCACACCATAGCTGCCTACTTACCTACTTACCTAGTGGCGCTTCATCTTCCTCGACTCACTTCTCATGCATGCTTCCTATACACAGATGAAGCATGTTCTCTGGTTTCATACTCATTCGAACCAATTAAGATGGGCTTGAAGTGGTTGTCACTTGCTCATCTTGTAATATAGCCAGCATACAGTGTCCCGGCAGACGTTTGTAGTAAATAAAACATGAACACAAAATGTAAGCTTGACCTCACAAACAACACAACGCACAAAAAATTCAGGACAACGGCAGTCCACTCACCTACCCCCGTAACACACACACACACACTCACACACACAAGCTGTCCGTGGGGGTGGTGGTCTCTGCGGAAACAGCCAGAGGCAAAGAACGGCAAAGCGAGGCAAAGCAATCCCCTTCCGTCTCCGTCTCCGCCTCCGCCTCCGCCGTCCCATTGCCCGTCTCACCTTCCCCTTTCTTTTTTTTAAGTTGGCAACCTTGTCTTTGCTACCCGCTGGCGTTTTTCCTGGCTCGTACAGCTAGATCGCCTGCACGGTCCCAGGTCTGCGCCGCAATTTCGGGGGCCAGCCAGCCATGGGACGGGAACACGTTTCTTTTTCTTGTTTCTTGTTTCTTGTTTTTCTGTTCCTGTTTTTCTATTTTAAGGAAACGGTATTTAATTAGTCCACTCGGCACTTGCTGTTGGGATGGATGATAGGACGACGGGACAACGGGAAAGGGGGGATGTATTTGATGTCGTTTTTCCCCCTTTACTCGAAGGAAGGTAGGTTTGTATCTATAAGTACCCGAACAGCGAAGTCCGATGTCGTATTGTTTTCACTACCACTATCGTCATCATCAGCATCCTCATCATCATCCAACGAAAACACAACAACGCCTTACCGAGAATCTCTCTCAACAGCCACGCGGCCATTCCTTCCTTGCATGTAGCACGACGCCCCAGGATCGGATTTGTCTCTGTGAGAGAGACGAAATTGGTTGATGGGAAGACGAGATTGTTTTGATGGTATGGGCGAGCATAAGATGTGTCTATTCTAGGAAAAAAGAAACGCAATGCTAGTAACAGGTTCACGGAAGCGTGATTCTAGGAAATGCAAGTAGAGGATAAGAAAGAGAGCCGCTTGACTCTTCCCCCTCTAAGGAGAAAAGGAAATAGAGAGGAGAGGAAAATATGCAAAGAAAACAAGGAAAAGAAATTACCACCCCGTCGTAGCCCTTCGTCGCTGCCGTCGTCATCGTCATGGCCGTAGATTTATGCGATACCCCCCCCCCCCCCCCTTTGCCCAATCCAAGCGTAGGTAAGCTGACCAGCCACGCGCACCCGCAAAAAGATACCACGTAAGGACACGACACAGCAGCCCAGTAGCCAGGTACCTTGGTTAGGCCCGGGTTTAACTCCCAGC